TCCTGTTCTACTGCTGCTTGTCTTCGTGCCTCGTCGCAAAGATTAGCCTCAAGGTCCTGGTTATTGAATACTCTAGCCCGTCTTTTTTCTGATAAATTTGCTGACATGTGCGTTATACAGCACAGCCAATCAGAAAACGGTATTTAACGCAGTCTGCGGCAGCAAAAACATCAACGCGTAACGATTCGATTTTATTTGGGCATTGGGTGAGACACCAGCACCGGAACACGGGTCACCGGCGCAACCGGCCCCGCCGTTCTTGCTTAAACAACCCCCCGTCTCCGCGCCAAAGAGGGTGGCGAGAGGGAAGAACGATTTATTACATGTGAACCACCTTTACTCCAACACAACAGCAACTGAAATGCACTAACAGAAATGCACAATCACTTCAAATGCAACATCCACAACCGAAACTGCATTGGTTATACAGTATCGGGACCTGCATCCCAAGACACACCCTAATGGGTTTTCTTGGCTGGACACTGGTTAACCAAGTCGTCCAGCCTTGCAATTGCCTCCGTTGCGTTAACCGGAATCAGCTTTGCTAATTCTATTTTAAAGCATCGCCCTTCCGAAACATGGCTGGCGAGCGGGAGCTGGAGACAGCGCGTACATTATCGGGCTGTGGTGACTACCACCGCGAGTTCCAATAATTAAAACGAAGGGAAGGTCAATGCAACCACCAGCTGCATTCAACAAAAATCCCTGGTTATAACGATGGCTACTGACCAAATTCAAAAGGTTCAAGTTGGACGGCCAGGGAATTTTTGAGCTTACAAATTCCATTCCTTTTGGAGACATGAAGAAAGAAGAGAATTTTGTTGGAAATGTCGTACTTACTTGCTACTTTACGCTGGTTGGTGAAACGGCTACTGCGAATCGTTCAATCTGAAGCATTCTGGGCGGCTCTGTCTGTCCATATGGCCGTCAATTTTCGTCCCGAAGGGTGTCTGTTGTTGTGTGGGCTATTTGCAAACTCCACAAACTATTGAGGGCCCAGACAAATGGCGTTTGTCGGATATGCCACGAACATGTTCAGCAGACCAATCCACGCTGCCAAAGGTAAAACTCTTCACCGCGTGTCAGTGTTCATGCGCTCTGCATTCCGAAAATCCAGTTTCCGCTCAAAGACAAGACAATCAATCTGGCCCCGGCCCTGCTATGTAATGCTCAAGCTCAGTTTCCTTTTGTCTGGCTTTCCGCAAATGCAGGAACAGCGGCTCGCCTTCTTCTGCCTCAATTAAACCGGTAAACATGGTTATGGATTGGTAACCTTCGATACCGCGCGAATTATTTTCCGTGCTGAAATTTGCTAAACAATTTTCCTCTGCTTTATCGTCAGTTATACGCTGCGAAAGCAGAAGGATCATTGTTTAGCAAATTACATTGCACGGAAAATAATTCGCGCTCTCAGAAGGTTGCAAACGTAACCATGTTTACCGGTAGATGCAGATGGCTGACTCGGCATCCCTGTAATGCATTTGCAGGAAAAGCCAGATTTGCGTTGACGGCACCTATGAGGCAACGGCCGGGGCCAGATTGATTGTCTTGTCTTTCGCATAATATCTGATTATGGGAAGAGCCGCATCACCACTTGACCTGTCCGCGGAGTTTTACCAATGAACTGCTTGATAAAATAAAAAAACAGACGTCTCTGACTCTCCGTGTTCTAGACGATTTTGACAGTTTTCAGTGCGACAGATGGAAAAGAAATTTCCAATGAAATCCAAAATTATCGACATGGCAAATACTTATAAGAGTGTATACCGGGTAATTTAATTATACAAAGGTTAAGCATTTAATTTGCAACCAGCACATGATTACAAGTGATTTACAAACCCATTTTTTTATTCATGTTAAGATAGCAATTTTAAGTTGCGCTGTTCATACTGTTCACAGTTTTACAACAACTTAAAACCGAATGCTGTTCATTGTGTTCAGAACTTCAGACGTCGAAATTTCAGAAATTTATTTCGTCTGAATTAAATTATTCTGAATTTACAAACAAAAGTTTTTGCATCTCAGTCATCAAACTATCAAAATCGAAAAAGAAATCCATAATTATATGCTCAGCAGTTATTTTGGCGGTTGTCGAATTCCACCGTCACAGTCCGTGGCTTTGGCATGATTCAAACTATCCAGTGAACGCTGAATAGCGCTTTACACGGGTCAGCTACGCTCAGTGTAAAAAATACATTGTAGTGCCAACTTTCGTGAGTACAGTATGTTAAATACTAAATTCCGAAACGTACTGAATTACCATAATACCGTCACCTTTTATGCTAAACAAATTATACGCAAAGAGCTCAAAACTGTTGAGATTGCCGTCTGCGCTAACTTAACAAACACATCTGCAGAATTAATGCGCAAAAACGTATAATGCACGGCATTTAAAGATACGCAGACGAACAACTGTGTATCGTAAAGACATCCACTAAATGTGACATTTTAAGCTCCAGGTACATCGTTAGCTAAGAACCATGGAGAGAGCCACTGTAACAATCATCGTTTCTCTTTGCCTGTGGTTAATCTGTCAGCGTTTTTCTATTCCTGAAATCAACGTTTTTGGACAACTGTTGGGCTCGTACCCGGTGACACCTTACGGCGTCAACTACGGCGGCGGCTATCCACCAGGGGCCGGGTTTTCGCCCTCCTACTTCCCCCCACAATCCGCCCCGCCGCGCTACCCTCCGCCGCCAGCAGCCTCTCCGTACAGTGCACCACCGTATGCCGGCTCCCGACCGGGCTCCGCCCGTCCACCGGGATACAACCCAGGATTTGCCTATGCTCCACCCTACAAAGTGCAGTACGGAAATAGCTATGCAGCCTATTTAGGATACTATCCGTTGAGCACCAATTACAGTCTGACCTTTGGAACGCCCGTTCAAATTGGGACGCTTACGCAACAGATCGCCACGTCCAAGATAAATGCCAGTCAATCGTATTACCCACCGCCCTACGGGGGGAGGAGGATATCCGCCCTACGGAAAATGAAGAACCTAGCACTGATTTTAAGCATTGATGTAACTCTTAATTAGAATACTGACCGCCATTCCATTTAATATGAGGGCAGACTTGGTTGCCGAAAGAGGCCACAAAGCTGAGCATCATCCGTTCATTGTGTTCAAGCGTGTTGACAGCCGCGCCATCTACCAGGAAATGACAGCCAGCAAACGCAACACGGAAATACCTTTCACTAACTCAAATTGTGACAGCCACACTGGATTATCTTGGCGGTTGAAAGGGCTGCGTGCAGACAAGCGGACGTAGGAGTCGGACAAGACTCAATTTTGTGACCTCTTTCGAAACAACTGAACCTCTCATCTCTAATGTTTTAAGTTTTTGTTAAGTTTGATAATTGCATAATAAATTTGTGGTTTTGTACAGTTCGCACGTCAACCTTTGTATTATGCTATGGTTGCGCAAAATTTGTTGCAAAATCCCTGCGGTAATAATATTAAATTCTTAATAGCGCGGTGAAAAACACGTTTAACAAACAAATATGGCCTCTATTCGCAAAAAAAGAAATTTACGCAGTAGCGTAAACGTGAGTCCTGCCTGTTCCTTTCGGAAACGGTCGCATGCAGTTATAATCCAGGAAGCAACAAAATAGTGCCGAGACTCACTTATAACGCTCGTCAGGAACGTAAGTCCAACTCACGGATCGCCTAAGTTTAAAAATACGTTGAGTAGTACACTGCAGTGATGAGTTTTGCTTTCTTGATAGATTTCCAGAAAGTTCACCAGAGTCGGACAATAAATTTTTCCATCCAGTACTAGGTGGCTTTTCAGTCAATGTCGTTTGACCGTCATCAACTGCATGCGCAGAAACAACAAAAAGACTGGATCAATACCAAGAGACGAAGACGTGTGGCACTCTACTGACGATGACGAACCTGCAAATAAAGCTGCAATCATTAATATTTTGATGTTGTGTCTGCTTGTCCCTGTCTCTTTTGTGGTAGAAGAAAATATTCGTTCAGGTACATCCTACGGTTGTTCTGCCAATTTGCAAAAAAAATGAATTTTCTGAAATGGAGGCCTCTAACCATTCTTTGCAATTGCTGAGGAAAAATACTGACGGTATAATGATCCGGATGCATGGGATTACGAGTGTTAACTGGTGAAACACAAGAAACAAGAAAGCAGCAAACACAGAAGAAGAGTACGGATGTGACGTTGGCCGTAAAATTCAGCGAAACATAAAATCAGATTTCGTGGATGTACTTCAGCCTAAGCGTAGCACATACGATAATGTAACTATGTATGTACATATTGCGAACTCCAAACGACGTCCTCGGAATTTTGGTTTAATAATAATTGTTATTGGTCAGAAAATGCGTACTAACACCGAAGTATAACACCAAAGGCTACCAGGTATGCCGGATCATTTCAATGATGCACGATGGATTCCTGCAAAAGACAAAAGTATCAGCATTTTAACCGGTTCCGATCATGCTTGCAAATGAAAGGGAGGCCAGACTGACCAGGCAGCTACAGTTTAAAATGTAACAAATTGCACGGCGAATAGTGTCCACGGTTCGTCTACGGTGAAAAGGAGATCTGCCTAGCCACAATTTCTTCCTAATCGTCCAGTATATACTCTTCTGTATCCCTGGAAGTAAAGCAACCGGAAGACGCAGAACGTGATCCCAGGCACAGGATATCAGTCATTGATGTTGTATGTAATTTCACACTGCACAGCGCACATACCGCGGCGCTGCTGACGTTGACAGTTGCACAAGTTCCATAATACTATAAACCTTTGTTCATGTTGTAAGATCAGCATATAATCGCGTGCGCAATGTTCCAACTGTCTAAAGATACCATAGTGAAAAGAGAACTTTTATGAATGCTTAACCTAATCAATTTCCACAATTCAACACTATTTCTGGTTGCATCAGCGAATTCAATCCTCGACTTGCCTCCTGTGCCCTGCGGTGCCGACGGACAATGTGCTTCCCGGTCCGATTAAAGAAAAACAGTCACCCCACTGTGGAAGCCTGCATTGATGGTGTCCTTTAGAGAAAGGAAGACTTTGATATGCATATGGATGACGACATCACTCGCCTAATTGATTTACCTGACTGGGATGCGTGTAAAATATAAGCGGAAAGAACCGCTTTCGCAGACATAAGCACGCTGCCTCACTTTATCGCTACTGCACAGAACTTTGGAACAATGCCAGCTGTAAAGATTTTCTGGCTGGTGCTAATTACAACTTGCGTTGGCCGGTTGAGCGGCCTCATAGTGGACGTGGTGACCATCGGGGAATATGCAGGTGGATGGTCTTATGGGGCGGCTGCAGTTAGTGGGGCCGGCCGTGGATTTGGCGGTGGAGGAGATTAACTCAAAGTATGCCGGAGTATTTTCCATACGACGGACATTCCTGTATGATGTCAATTCCGCCAGTTGTGGGGATTTGCTAGCGTCGGAGGTCGATCTGATTGCAAGCTCTTATTATCGTGCATTTGAGAGAAAGTCCAAGTTAACAGCGCTAATCTATCCAGGTGACGTCATGTGCATTTATCACATAATATCGTAACGGAAAAACGAAATCCAAGTATTAGACATGTTTGTCTTAATAATATAGTGCTGAGTGGGTTATGCTTTGACTATAATGTGTAACAGCATATGAAAGCGCATTCGTTTACTGGTTTAGAGCATTTAACAATAAACAAAGATGAAAACAGCTAGCAGTATCACTATCCTTTGCCGCTATGTATGCTACATGTATGTTATTTCAATTGTAATTAATATAGGCTGCTTCGACCAATCGGCACAAATTCTTTGGCTTACGAAAGGTAACCAATGAATTATTGCTACCAGACTTTTGTACTTCAAGATTAGTCTTGAGTCTGCATTCGATTTTTGTGCGACTGGAGGAGAACTTCTAGGCCGTGTTAATTATTTATTGTAAATAGTAAACAGTGTTCATAGACATTATTAATAACAAACATTGTAAATATTTATTGTTAGTACGAGGCAAGCGACAACTCTTTCCCATCGCTTTAGTAAATTTTATCACTTTCCCTGCTGCATCTTACCCGTGTGCAGGCGCTCACGTGATACTGATATCGAATCCACTGTAATCAGCGCTTACTGAGCCGGCGATAAAATCTCGCCTTTCGTGCTCTTCTCTATATTCTTTATCAGTTTGCACAATCAACTATAGCTGCAAACCGACGTGAAACGGCTGAAATCAAGTATCACGTGAGCGCCCGCACACGGGTAAGATGCAGCAGGGAAAGTGATCAAATTTACTAAAGCGATGGGAAAGAGTTGTCGCTTGCCTCGTACTATTTATTGTTAATAACAATTGTCAATTATTTATTTCAGAATGGAATTTTCTAACCATTGTCGGGTACCGTCCGTGGTGTATAACTACTACTTATTCAAAACTGTTGCTGTATTGTATGGTGCTCTATGTCGTAGCGATCTTATGAATGATTAAATTAACTAGAGATTAAATTAACTTTTCTGAAGAACTTGGCAAGTGTTGCAGATCGGTGCAGGCACTGACCAAGAGCTTCCCTCAAGCTGTCGTGACTGCCTACGCCAACTCCACCCCGTACGGCCGTCTGATCGTTGCCCTGCTGATGAAGTACAAATGGACAGATGTGTACATTGTTTACGATAGCAGTCCGTCGCGCACGCAGTTCCGCATGCTTGCGCTGGGCGCTGTGGACGCCGTCAAGACCATCAAGGGCTTCAAATTCAACATCGCCGTGCGACCGGTGGACTGCGTACACAATGCCACCTTTACGGAGGCTCTAAAGGATTTTCGCCGGCAGTCGCGAGGCAAATGCAATTCTGACATTTGATGACTACCAATGTTATTTTTTTCTTGGGATTTTTCTAGTTTTAATTTTCTTCGGCAACAACGACTTTGTTCGAACCTTATTAGTAAGTGCTACCGCTGGATTGCGAGCTGGTTATACTTCATGCTATTTTGGTTTCCATGATTAGATCGAAGCATCCACGTTGAACATGACAGATGGAGAATACGTAAGCTATGTGCTACACATAGAGAACTCTCAGGTTACGGGCTGATCGGGATTATTGTTTACTGCAGGTGTACATAACTATCAACAGCGGGCCTGACGCTGACCGCGGCATTTACGGCCGCTTAGAGTGGCAGAAACAGGATGAAAACGATGAGGTAACACTGTAAAAGCATCTAGCCAGGGAAATATAATAGTGTCTGCTACAGGTTGCCCGCAACGCGTTTCGCTCCCTATTGGTTGCATCTCCTTTACCGGATACGATTAATCCGGAAAATATCCGTAATTTTTCGGCACGGATACGACAGATCTCAATGCAGAACTACAATTACACTTACACTGCCGACGAAGAGGTAGCACGAGAAGCAGGCTTAATTAATAATACGCAGTGCTAACCTGGAGTGTGTATGGCTAGTCTTTTTGTTTCGTGTTGGAGCGGATGAGATCGCCGTAATGTGTTGCAGAAAACAAACCGTTAAACTACTTCTACAGAATAAGTGCCGCGATGCGCAACTAATCAAGGTTATATAAACTAGGTTAAACAACAAAGCTCTCTCTGGTTAGAGCCGACCCCTGATCGACTCTAACCAGACTTTGTTGCCTAACATCAGTGTTGTTTACATAACAAGAATTAGTGAGCAATTGTCCTTTGACTCACCCAAAAAAAGGCAGTTATTTCCACAGCTTGCGTGCAGTAAGATTTTCCTTTTTTCCAGCCAAATTACGTTGTAAAATCGATGTACATATCGTATTGGATGCTGGCCCAGGTGAGGTTGTATTTAGTCGCATTTTCATCTTTACGTCGCCTCAATTAATGCTGGCTTCCACGAACCATTCAGGTCATTAGCGATGTGTTGTCCACTGACGATCCCATTGACTTGAGCAACGGGGCTGCACTGAGTGAGCAGTTTCATGACCGCACATTTGACATGTCCATCGGGAAAGCTTATATCGACGATAAAGGTCAGCGCACCGACGCCGTGGCGATCTTCCATTTTGACGCTTCAACGAATACGTTTACGGTAACAAACTCATGTTGCATCAATATTGTCCGCTGATTGTGATCAAAGTGATGCGTGCACGGCAGCCAGTGATCAAACAAGACGATGTATTCTTCATCCTGTATTCCGTGCGCAACTTCACGTGGCCCAACGGAAAGTGGCCGCCGCTCAACACTCCGCTTTGTGGATACAGTCAGCTTGAAGGACCCTGTAGAATTCAAGGTTGGTTTTCCTATGCTCTCTATAAAATTGTTTTACATAGCCATTATTTTCAGCATCGTCGACTATGCTAAGCGGCGTCGTCTGTGGGTCAGTCGCTGTAGTTGTGCTCGTTGTTCTGGTAGTCATAGGACTTCGAGTCATGCACCACAGAGCGCGCTTAAGTAACCGCTGGTGGGAGCTCGATCGATGTCAGTTTTCGGTTCTTAGCGGTCGCAGTGTGTCGGTCATAGCACCACAGGTATTCAGTTCCATAAAACTCTCCCATGTCAATATAATCGAAAACTTTGCTTTGTTTCCGCAGTTCTTTCGAAACGATCCAATTCCCTTGGAATTCTCGCCGAAATCCGGTGCAGCATTATACCGCTTCCACCCGGTCTTCTTGTCACGCTTGCCGGCTGTAGACTGCGCGGTGACCAATCGGCACGCTCACATGTTGTTTGATCAAGTAAACTGTAACTGCTGAACGGGGGTCGAGTAATTGATGCAGTCAGTGGCTTTTTGGCAGCTTTCCAGCATTCAGCATTCCAATATCAACAGCATGGTCGGGATCCTCTATACAGCGAGTGAGACGGCGTTCTCCACGTGGTACGTCGACCCTCTATGTCCGCGACTCGACCTGGAAACCGTGTTGGCGGATGCCAGTAGCAATATGCTGGATCTGGAGTTTCGGCACGGAATAACGAGAGATATTCTGTCGGTAAAATGTGCTATTTAGTACGTAACGCGTAATAAACTGATTTAATCTGGAAATGTTTCAATGGCAGTAACTTTTTTTATGCTAATATTCATTTCTTATCGTGGCAAAGTCGTCGGTACGGCAGAAACCCGGTTATCTTAAAATCTTTGATTGGGTTTTACAGGGTCTGCAGTGCGTTTTCACATCATCCGTTAAGTATTGTGGGTACCTAAAACCCACAACTTGCCTGATTGACAGCCGCTTTTCGGTTAAGCTGTCCAAAATCGGATATGATCGCCTGCTACGAAGTCTTTCGACCAGCGAGAAAAAGTGGCCGTTTAATGATCTAAACACTGTCGCCCCTGAGCACCGCTCAACGCTTTCAGGCTCGCCAGCCGGTGACCTTTACTCGTTGGGAACGGTTTTAGAGATGGTATATAGCGATAGTGGTAAGCGTAATGCAAAGACTGGCGACAAGCTTTTTATCACCATTACAAAGAAACTCTGAACAGGCTTGAAGAACCCACTGAAGCGGAAGAAGTCCGTTATCAGTCACATCGAGACATTCCTGCACACGATTTCAGCTTGCCGTGATGTGAGTCCGGACCAGCGTCCTCATCTGAGCACTCTCATTTCTCAACAAAGAAAGACCGCGCACTTTGCTGATAACAGCTTTCTCGAGAGTGTAATGCGCCGCATGGAAGCATATGCCGAAACGTTGGAGTCTTCCGTCGCGCAGAGAACGAAACAGCTTTTGCACGAACAGAGAAAGTGCGATGAGCTGTTAGCCGAAATGTTGCCATCGTAAGTGCATATTTGTGACTACGGGCGACATTAATTTTTGCATATCACCTTGTACATTATACCGTACGAAATCATTCAGAACGCATTTTCCGGGTTTTGCGGACTTTCATGTTTCCTATATCTAATTTCGTGTGAGTTTCATCTGGTTATAGGCTGCCATGTTAGCTTTTAGGTAATTACCGTATCAACAGATTAACTGCTTTTTAAAATCCTAAAATTTTGTTTTTTCTCTCTCTGGCTTTACTGATGTGTACTGTGTACATCGGTTGCCTGTGCAATTGTAGGTCCATCGTTATTATACTCCGGCAAGGGCAGATCGTGGAAGCGGAGGTATTCGACGTCGTCAGCGTTTTATTTAGTGACATAGTCGGATTCTCCGAAATGGTAGCTCACTCCAAACCGGTGAATGTGGTCGAGTTCCTTAATAGCTCACACGGGCTCTTCGATCGCGTGCTGACCCAGTTCGATGCGTACAAAGTGGAAACCATCAACGACTGCTATCTGGTAATATTCCTTTAGTGACACAAGGAAACAAGGTATAGGAAGAAAAATGCAAGAATAAAACATAGAAAACACAAACGAAGAAAGATATGAGACAAGAAAACTGTAGTTATGAGAAAGAAAGTTATATAAGAAAACTGTGCATAATTGTCGTATCGGTAAAAAACGACATGCAAGTGCTAATTGTAACCATATTACTTTTGGCTGAATGCAGGTTGCCAGTGGAGTACTACCAATCAGAAACGGTAGCCGTCATGCACTGAATGTCTGCAAGGTGGCCCTGAAGTTCGTTAACTCATTCGACGAATACTTCCCCGCAACGAGCATGTCTGTTAAAATTGGCGTACACACAGGTCAGTCTCTGATTGAATCACTGTTGACAACTGCCGCAGTTACATAGTTCATCTTTAAAGGTCCCTGTGTGGCTGCCGTTGCCGGGACGAAACGCCCACGCTACTGTTTGTATGTCAAATTTATTTCTGCCGATTACACAGAGCAGCATTTTACTGCGCCGTGGTTGTGTAGATTTGGGGATACGATTAACACAGCCAGCCGGATGGAAAGCCACGGAAAAGCCGGGAAAATCCATGCCAGTCAGGCCACGGCCGATTATGTGGCCACCCTGGGTGATGCGGCCGTGACAGTGTGTCCGCGGGGGGCCATACAGATCAAGGGCAAAGGAATCATGCACACATACTGGATTGTTGCGACCGCAAATTACGGACTCACAGTGTGATTCAGTTGCAGCTTTCTTTTTCTGCTTCGAACGGAATGCCCGTCGATTATGTGCTTCCCTGACTTACTGTTTAAAACGGTGGTACCTAAAAATAAAATTTATTATTTACATTTGCTTTGTCCGAATTTAATTGGCTCTCCACCTCCCGCGTACAGCAAAAACAGATTCATTTATTGGCCGAAGCGAAGAAGAAGCATTTCTACAAACTTAGCAACCTTGAACCTTATCGTCATACAACACACTAAAACAGTTTGGATACAACTCATTGGTTGTTCGAAAGTTCACGAAATATTAAATTAATGTGCTACAGTAAACTCTTGTCGACAAATCTAAGAAGAGAGTTTCCATGCAAAGGACGATCACCGGAAGATAATTGTAATGTAATTGCGGTCGTGAGCGGAAGTCCTGTCTTAAGTAAGTGGTAACAAGCGGGACACTTTTTGTCATTTGGCAGCAGCTGCAAACCGCGCGCCCCATCCTCGAAATACGAGTATCACATTAACCGCATCACCCAAATGCCAATCGTTCCTTTGCACCGGAAAACCAGAGCAGAAGGATGAATTTTCTCTCTAGCATGCGTTGATATCAGCTGATCCACTACGGCAAGCTTGCTTCCCTGCAAAGCACGTAATTATGTCGCAAAGATAATTAAAATGAAATTATAGCGCATGTTTCAGTCGAATTCACCGCCGTGCTAATCATGGTGTAATTACAATCCGCCAATCATGTCGTATGCGCGGGAAAGGTACAGTAAATGACTAGCCGGATGCTTATTATATCTATATTTATGTTTAACTGCAGTCTGCAGCTAGCGAGGTAAAAAGTATAAGATCATTTGGACCATTCTGCTGCTCTTAGTATGCATGGTGGGTGCAAGTTAATACATACTTGATACAAAGTAAGATAAACCTGTAAGGTTGGTTGGACGTATCTTTCTTTACTTATATAAATACTGCTGTAATTTGATGTAACTTAACGGAAAAGCGAAAGACCAGTTGGCCGGATGCTGGTGTAACTGGTGCAACAAACGGTAAAGTGTAACATTCGAGCAGTGGCCACCCCTCCAACTGGGAATGCGCAAGGGTTATTTAAAAATTTAAAAACTGCCGGCGGCCCTGTATATCGATGAGCGCCAAATGGAATTTTCTTCCTAAATCTTGGATTTTGCCCAATAGATCCGCAGTCGGCAGAATCGGCTAATCCGCCACACATAAATTATTTCGATCGGATAAGCACGATGAGTTAATTTTGACATTCTGTGTGTTGTACCCGTATCCGCTCTATTGATTGTGGCAATTGAATGTTTTCGTGCTTGCATTCGTCGGATTTCGACTGGATTGTTTTGTATAATAAAGCATTGCACTAAGTCTTTATGTCAGCTTTCGTGATGTTTAGTGAACATTCAACGCTAGCCCCTGTTTATGGTTAATTGTCCAGACGAGCACGCCGATACATTATTCATTCCACAGCTGCATTTTGTGTACAGCGTCGGTGAGCGTGCCTGCCTAGACCAGCGTGAAACCTTACCAAGCGTTTTTGTTTACTTATGACACAATAATCTTCTCCCCACATACGTCTTTTACCGTACGATAGGGTTGCTGGTTTTTCATCGTAACAACAGGGGAATACGCCATCCAGTATTGGGCAATCCAACGCACACAAACGCCGGCTGCGTCAGCGGGACATGCAAGATGCACTCTTAGTCTTGCCTTTTCCCAATCCTCCATTCACTTCGCCGCACGCGTAACATGGTTTCCCGTTAATCCGCTTCCCTGTGAAAATGCCCTGTATTGTGGATTTTTATACCGGCTTATTATTGGCGTCAGTTAGCTTGGTGATAATCAGAAGCGAACTGTCCGTGGAAGTGCTGAGCGTAGTCAATGTTCGGCCAGATGGAACGATGGGACGGTTGGCGTTAGTGGGACCGGCCGTCGATGTGGCCATCGAGGAAATTAACAAACGTTACAGTGGGCAACTATCCATGCGACAAACGTATCTATACAACAACGGATCGGCCAGTTGCAGCGATCTGAAGGCCGTGGAAACCCAGCTGCTGGCCGCGTATTTCTATAGTCCACAACGCCAGGTGGCGAATGTGACGGCGCTCATTTACCCAGGTTAATCTTGTTACGCTTTGGTGTGCACGAGTGGACACTGTGTTGAATCGGTAACACGTTTTAGCCTTCTAGGGTGTTTTGATGAGAGGACACAAATGGCCTGGATGACAAACGGTACACTTAATTTTTCAGGCCTCTTTTATCTGCATTTAGTCACGTTTTGAGCACATTTCTAATCAGCACATTTACTACTGTAGTACGCAAAACGGATTCAATATTATCTGAAGTAAAATAAAGTGAGATTCGCCAGTTCGACAGTGTTTGATTGTTGGCTAATGCCACGTTTAAGTACTACCAGTACCGGTACAGTTTATTGCAAGATTCATACGTATTCATTATTGTTCACTATTCAATATTGCACGTCGATTCGTAATATTATTATTATGATTGTATCGTATTTTCAACAAATGCAATAGAAGTAGTGATACGTCGATGATTACGTCATTAACGTAACTAACGTAGCATCTGACTCTCTTACACCTTTTTTTCATCCAGTTGGTAGTAATCGGCTTTTATTTCATTTGCAGAACTGGACCTGCTCACTGTATACGGGTAAACTGACGCCACGCTAAGTGTTCAGTTGACAAGAATCGCTCCATTGTCACCTCACAATATGAACACCGCGCAATCACAACTTGTTTGCTTTCAGCGGCGCACAAAACAGCACCCGGCTGCCGCAGGTCATCGCAGCCGCCTACACGAACTCAGGTCCGTACGGCCGCCTGACACTGGCGATGCTGAAGATGTACCGCTGGACGGACGTCTACGTCATCTACGACATTGCTTTGTCTCAGTTCGCCACCTACGCCAAGGCCAGTGCGGCTCTGTTGGCATTCTATGGAGTCAAGTCCACTCTAGTGCCAGTGATGTGCCATGTCAATGTCACATTCACAGAAGTCCTACGCGACTTCCGCTCACGCTCACGCGGTAAGTCGAGAAACCTGTCAAAACGCGCCGGCTGCGGCATTGACGCCATTGTAATGTTTGAGTTTTGTAGTGCTGATCTTCTCCGCCAGTCTCGACCATCTCCGGAAATTACTGGTACGCTTAGGATGTAGCGTTGTGTGACTCAACCTGGTGACTGATGTTCCTTGTGTAGATCGATGCCTCTGCACTAAATATGACAAATGGCGAATACGTAAGAGAAACAGCCAACCCAGCTTCAGCCGGGGATAGCGCCGCGTTGTTACATTGTTATTAGTTAACATTGTTATTGTTAACGGGGTTTTTGTGTTGTAAGGTCTACTACACGGTTAACACCGGCGCGGATATTGCCATTTACGGACAATTGCAATGGCAGAAAAATGATAGCAATGACGAGGTGAGGCTGTGCGGAGATGGAAATAGGGACAGCTTGACCTGGCGGTTAGGTTGTCGAGAAAGTCTGGATCGGTAAAACAGGGCAATAATAAGAAGCCGAATATGTCAAGCGCAGAATGTGTTTTAGGTAGCGCGAAGAGCATTTCAGTCACTGGTCATTGGAATGCCTTTGCAAACTGTCGCCAGCGAAGAGACATGGCGCAATTACTCTGGGGAATTTAAACGGCGATCTCGTGCAGTCTACAACTACACGTACGGTCCTTCCGAAGAAGTAAGTCACCGTTTGCGCTCTTTACCTGAAGTTACTGAACTATGCCAAATGTGAGGGTGTGCTTTTACAGCCGAACATTGTGGTAAAAGCAATGTACGCTTCCTATTGGATGCTGGCGACGGTAACCGCGATCTTTCAACAAACTCTGCTGTAATGTATCAACAGATTTTGTGATTGAGCGCATTCTAGGCGTTAACCGACATCCACATCCTGAATAACACCACGTCAACTAATTTTATCAGCGGCTCAGCTATCTCCCGCCTGTTGCGGGGGCGAAGCTTCCATACCCCGATTGACAAATCGTACATTGACCAGAATGGTGAACGCGCAATTGACCTCGCTCTATGCACATTCGATTACAAACAGGGCAACTTCCAGGTGAGTGTTAAGGTCTGTAGATTGCGCAAACTGCGATGCGCAAATTGCTGTGAGTTCTCTGCGTGTGTTCAGCCGATCTGGAAGCAAGACAAGCAGACGTTTGCCATAACGCAACTGCGAGGCGTCTCTGACTGGCCGAATAACCTCTGGCCACCACCCAATGCACCGTTATGCGGATTTAGTGGACTAGAAGGTCCCTGTACACCCATAGCGTCCTCGACTGTTCTGGTGGCCAGCGTCTGCTCATGTGCAGCCATCCTTATACTGATTGCTACGGCCTTTGCCGGCATCAAGTAAGACGGGGTTTTGACAGCGTGATTTTTCAGCTGGATGTTTTCGACTCTGTACTACACTGAAATAGCTAAAATATTAGCAAAGCGTTTAGCAGATTATTTACATATTATCTAGTGCTTTGTTTTAGTTGCTTGTTGGCGCCCTCGTACAGCAGCAATTTGCATAGTTGGTCTTTCTTTTTGGTTTTCGTTTGATCAAATTCGAGATTTTCAGGGCACTACAGCGCGAATCACGCATTCGAAACCGCTGGTGGCTGCTAAGCAAAGCCGATTTGTCTGCTTTCGTGTCAAACCGTAGCACAACATCAATTTTAGCCAGCGGATTGTTCAAGCAGCCGGTGGGTTCCCAGATAAAACCGACAATTTCCAAACATACTTGAGTAAGCGTATATTTGTTGGGGTCCTCAGAGAGCGCACCCAGACATTCATTTTACGCCCAAGGAGGGAGTGGCCGTACTCCACCGGCAGAAGGTGTTTCTGACGCAGTTTCCCACACAGAACGCCGTTCAGAGCACCCGACAAGTCTTCCTCTTATTTGACAAGGTTATTTGCCGTTAAAATGTTGGCACGGCGGCATCACGTGATATAATTATCTTCGCCTTTTTAGCTAAGAGAAATTAGCCATGCTAACATCAACTCTATCAGCGGCATTCTATCAACCACCACACCTAGTAAATGCCTCAATTTCTTCGTGGATGAATGCTGTGGACGCTACGATCTGGAGACCGTGCTCAGTGAGAGCAGTCGCACGCTGGTGGATCTGGAATTTCGGCACGGAATGACAGCCGACCTGTTAGCCGTAAGCTGAGTAAGGTCATCATAATATTCACACCGAACTGCAGCGCTTTGTTGCAATCCAGGGGCTGCAGTATACGCACATGTCCTCTTTGCGGTATCACGGATACCTTCAGCCCACAAATTGCCTGGTGGACAGCCGGTTTACGGTGAAGGTGTCGAAGGTTGGCTATGATCGCATTCTGAAAGAGGTGTTCGGTGTCAGTGCGTGGCCATCGGGCGAAGCTAAATTTATTGCTCCAGAGCATGAAAAAGCGGTGTCGGGTTCGCCTGCGGGCGATCTGCATGCGTTGGGGATTGTGCTGGATATGCTGTTTAATGATATCGGTACATAGGTCAATACATTATTTTTAGACATAAACTTAAACAAAGCGGAACAAAGAAATTCTTCTATGCAGTTACCGATACCAAAGCGTCGCCCAAGAAACTGCCCGGTAAAAGTCGCATTGAAGTGTTCCTGCACGCCATCCAGCAATGCCATGACGGCGATCCCGGCAACCGTCCCAAATTAAGCAACCTGATTGAGCGGCACCGCTCGGCTGCTCGCACATCGGGAAGCGCAATGCAGAAAATCATGCGCCGGATGGAACGCTATGCGGAGAACCTGGAGAACTGCGTGGCGGAAAGAACGTTCCAGTTGTTAAGTGAGCAGAGAAAGTGCGACGCCCTTCTTGCCGAGATGCTGCCAGCGTAAGTCATAAGGGCCAGCTTGAATCGGATGGAAGAAACTAAAAGGACGCCTTTTGCAGGTCAATTGTGGCGATTCTTCGGCAAGGTCGCACCGTCGAACCCGAAGTTTTTGACTCGGTCAGCATCCTCTTCAGTGATATCGTGGGATTCGGCGACTTAGTGGCCACCGCCGAGCCCATTGATGTGGTGGTCTTTCTCAATGAATCGCACAGCCTCTTTGATCGGGTTGTCAGCTCATATGATGCATATAAAGTGGAAACCATCAATGACTGCTATTTGGTATCTCCCCGCAAACACGCGCTGATCCCTATCTAGCTACAGTGCTTCGAAATGTGAATCTACTCTAGGTTTCCAGTGGAGTTCCGGTGAGAAATGGCATTACCCACGCTCTGAGCCTCAGCAAAATGGCTACCCAGTTCGTCGGCACTTTCGGAGGAAAGTATTCGGCAAACGGGCTCGCAGCGAAAATCGGCATCCATTCCGGTGGGATAATGGGTCTTTATTATGTTATTATTGACCAGTGACCTTTGATGTAACAGGATCTTGTGTGGCGGCGGTAGCTGGAACGAAGAGGCCGCGATACTGTTTGTAAGTTGTCATGTCGCATTATGGTTCAGTACCAATGTTGAATAAACGTACGCTCTATATGCGCTACGCTATCATCCATGTAGGATTCTACCATGTCCCGTGTTAAGTCTAGAGGAGGCCTTAATTATACGCTTTCAATCAAATAGCACTGGGTTTCTCAAGATTATGAGTCAGCCGACAGCCTGTACGAGTATCCGTTACCGTGCTTTTGTCAGCATAACTTATAACAGTGCGCGGTGTGTTGTTTCCTTGGCTTGCAGGTTTGGTGATACGATTAACACCGCCAGCCGCATGGAGAGCCACGGTGAAGCCGGCAGAGTTCACATCAGTCAGCCGACAGCGGAACTAATCGGCAACATGCAGGACAACTCAGTGTTGGTACTGACCCGAGGGCTGATGCCGATTAAAGGCAAAGGATTCATGCAGACCTACTGGGTGGAAGCCACTGGTCGGTCGTAGGCCGCTTCAATGCAGTTGACATTATTCATACCGTAAATGGCCAAGGCGCTAATGGCGCGACGAGCATGTTGATATTAATCTACGTTACCTTCAGCTGCCTGTGTGAAACTTACAATTTAGCGGGGGTCCAAACAAAATCAGCACATGTGCAAGTTGCAATAATTCGTAAGCCGTAGCGAAGTTCGCGATGTCAAGTGCTCTAAAATTTTCTCGGGTTTTTCTGAACACCTAGTTGAAATGTTGTGTAGAGTAGTCATATTGGAGCACCAAAAAACATTAACCAGCCAACCACAATTACAAGCCGGTAATACGTTTTCCTTTTATTTCTTAGAAGCCACAGCATCATTCCTTCCTAATTAGTAAAAGTAGGTATATGTAAACCATTGGCCATTAAGGACAACGTGAAAACAGTAGCCCTCCATATAAGCCGTTCCGACTCATACGAAAAGGAACGCAACTAAAGTCGTAGTTACACTTCCATTATGCGAGCAAAACTACACAGTACGAACTTTGTAGCTAACATTTAAAAACAAATAACTTTCGCGTGAGAGACAAGCGAGTACAATAAGAACATGGCAACGATGTACGTCATATGTAAATAATTTGGCTAACGCACAATGCACGAACCCCGCAAACACTTCAGTGTCATATAAAGTACAGATAGATTACTGAGGAGCGAGGATCACAATGAGTTTAATCAAAGAACTTATCGACGCGCACGGTGTAGTTATCGACGCGCACAGTTGCTCTTCTGCGAAAGTTCCGCCGGGCACTGTACCGGCGCAAAATTAATGCTGGGATTGTCCGCTCCCTTGAACCAAACGAACCGCCAATAGCATCCCTCTCGAATGGCATCCGGAAGTCCATTGCACATGTCCCGCAACCAGACCCCTCCGTCACGGTTGCCCCAGTTACTAGCCGGAAGCCCCCACTGCCGTGTGCACCCATCGAAGATTCCGAATCCACTTCCGGGGATCTGTAGGTCAAAGTGGTTCTCCCCCAGATCAGCTCCAGTGTTGACCACCTGCACAATCATTGACTTCCCGCTGACTGGACCACTCGTGAACTCCAGTTTGTAACACCCGCAGCACCAACCCCGCTCGTCCGATCCCCGGATATTGGCCGCGGCGAATCCGTACGCTAGGTTGTCGTTGACCGCCCACGGGATGTTGTCATTACAGACAAAGGCGTCGCTCCCGTCGCAGCCGCTGCGGACGTTGAAGTCCCACAGCTGACTGAATCCGTCGTTGCGGCAAGTTTTAACCGGGTTACTGACGTCGGCTTTTCCCGACCACGCGCAGCTCGGTTTGCAGCAGTCCCAGTACCGCGTCGTCCCAGTACCGCGTCCCAGTACCGCGTCGTCTTCCCGCTTTGTGACGAGCCGGACGGCTGTCCACCGCTAGTCTCCGGAATTTCGCGAATAACCCCACAGACTGTGGATGTGTCGCCGCTATTGATAGCGTTTGCCTTGCTGATGGATCCGCCCTTGAGCGTGCAGACGCCGCCGTTCCAGTTGGACCATGCAAAGTGCGTGCAGGCCGGGTTGCTGGCACAATGTCCGCCGCAGCGTTCGCCAGGCATCGCCGCCTGACCGAGATCGTTGCCCGGGAAGTCGCAGCCCATCGCCCAGTTGCCTTGCCACTGGATGCCGCCGCTCGACTGACCACCTCCGCCGCTCTATCACGAATCACGCCGCACACCGTGGAGGAGTCTCCGCTGTCCACGGCATCCTGTTTGCTAACCGAGCCGCCTTTCAGTGTGCACGTTCCGCCATTCCAGTTCGACCAGGCAAAATGCGTGCAGTTGGTATTGTCGGCGCAGTGATCACCGCACTGGTCGCCGGGCAACTGTGCTTGGCGCAGGTCATTTCCGGCAAAGTCACACCCCATCGCCCAGTTTCCATTCCAATCGATCGACAGCACCGGCTGTAGCAGCAAAATCATGCAAGTAGCCCTGACCACCTACGGTGGCGCAGGAAAAGCGTTGCTTTACTGTTTTAGCACAATTTAGTAATTTCCTGTAATTCGATCCTCAAAACGAATGCAAATCGACCAACATCATTAAACGCAGTATAAAAAACATGTGAATATTATACTCTTTCAGTTGGCACGAAGCGTTACTACACAATGAGTGCATTGCGCGATGAACCATCAGAGTTCAGACTGTAACAGTGTATTAATACTGTGATACTGCATAAGATACTTCTACTGTAATACTGCAGTAATCCTGGTAATGGCAACTAAGTTGTTAACAGCTAAATACCGAACTTACTTTAATTGTAACGGTGGGCATTTCGTGACAGATTCGCGAAAGCTGGTGACAATACAAATATCGAAAGCGCGGTCGTTCACCAATCAGTGAATTACAATTGACCAGAATAAACTATGGTCCGCACAGTCTATCAGTAACGTTTAACAAACCGGTGAGCAAACCGGTGAGCAAACCGGTATAGTTTTGCAAACCGGTGAGCAAACCGGTATAGTTTTGCTTTTTCAGCTTATTGTTAATATACCAAAATTAATGCTAAACGCTAACTAACTGCGAAGTCACAACTGTTCAGGAAAATCACACTCTCGGCTTGTACGAATTAACTAGGTACACGCAACAGAACACGAAATACTAGCGACTCAGACCGTTGTTTTCGCCGAACGCTGCAAGTTTTACGTATCTTCGTAACATTCCGCTAATTACTCGATTTTTAATGCCTGATTACTTTGTAAGCTGAGTCTTACTTGTTAGGCCGCTTGTTAGGTCTTACTTGTTAGGCCGCTCTTAACAATTGGCACTGTTGCAGTTATCAATAATTTTCAAGAAAACTATAAACCTCTGTGCAATGTACACCGCTAAATTCCAGGTAAGCGAAACTGTATGGCAAAAAATAGATATCGCTGAACGCTGCAATGATTAGTGCTTTATGTACAAAGGCCATTCCAAAGAGGCATAAGGACATCGATGCAATGCTGTGCTCTTATTGACGATTTTTCAGATTTCTTGCTTGGTTTTTGTAGTTTGTTTCCTGCTGCAACATGTACAGTCGATTGACTGGAATGGAAACTGGGCGATGGGGTGTGACTTTGCCGGAAATGACCTGCGCCAAGCACAGTTGCCCGGCGACCAGTGCGGTGATCACTGCGCCGACAATACCAACTGCACGCATTTTGCCTGGTCGAACTGGAATGGCGGAACGTGCACACTGAAAGGCGGCTCGGTTAGCAAACAGGATGCCGTGGACAGCGGAGACTCCTCCACGGTGTGCGGCGTGATTCGTGATAGAGCGGCGGAGGTGGTCAGTCGAGCGGCGGCATCCAGTGGCAAGGCAACTGGGCGATGGGCTGCGACTTCCCGGGCAACGATCTCGGTCAGGCGGCGATGCCTGGCGAACGCTGCGGCGGACATTGTGCCAGCAACCCGGCCTGCACGCACTTTGCATGGTCCAACTGGAACGGCGGCGTCTGCACGCTCAAGGGCGGATCCATCAGCAAGGCAAACGCTATCAATAGCGGCGACACATCCACAGTCTGTGGAGTCATCCGCGAAAATCCGGAAAATAGTGGTGGACAGCCGTCCGGCTCAAACAGAGTGTTTGATGTGTTGGCAACGCGCCATGCTGCGCACGAATCCGGGTCTTGTGAACTGCCATCCGCTTCTTATACTGTTCAGTGGCCAGTGAGGCTGGGCGATATTGGTTCTTTGCAGGATCTAAAATATTCACCTGGAATGTGCGGACAAGTGCTGAACATTGACTGCAGGAGCGGAGCGCTGGATACCATCGTCAACAACGCCAATTTGGGCGGAGGCCTGGATCTATACGCTTCGACGTGGGATCGCGCAACCGACAGCAAGCCCCCTGGTGAAAGTAGATGCTCGGTCATTCTCTCCACTCGCAATGCTATGGACGCGAATGGCCCACAGTGCTTCTATGCTCCCACATCAGAAAAGAACAACGCCTTTTTCAAACTGTTAGGCGTTTTCAACACTAACGGCCAGGTGGGGGTAAGCGCCAGTCTGGACGGACGACCCGGATCGTTCAACGGACTGCAGCCGTACTTCGCCTTCCATGGTGGTCCCATTGATTCTGGAGCGCAAGCGGTGTTTAGGTTTTCTGACGGCTCGACCTTCAGCACTTCTTTGCGAGACTGTATAGCACAAAGCGGAGTCCAAATGTGGAGTTGACCTTTTTGTAGCGGCTCTTGAAATCTTGGTTGTACTGCATAAGTGACTAAAGCTGGACCATAAACTGGCGAAGAGCTAAAATCAGTTTGAAAACATTGTTCAAGTGAAGGAAAATGTGTGGAAAGCGCTTTAGTTTTCCCTGTTGCCCACATAACCTCCTTTGTTAGGATCTCAGGAGTCAGGAAGCTCCTGAAAGCTTGGTAGGTGTTCTTATTTGAATTGTCAGTTGCGGAGATGTGCATTTCAAGGCTAAAAAAGCAAGCGTTTTCTCGCGCTTCACAAGATCTCGTGAAGCGCGAGAAAATACGCGCAGGTGCATTAGATCCTAGGATCTAACGCTACGACTTATTTAGGAGTACTGACCGCGCTCGGGTTTCTCGGTGTCACAGTACCAAATTAATATTTGTGCCAGTGAAACGATATTCTGTAAAAGAATGTGAAACTGCCAGTTACTCTTCGCTCCATCTGTATTGTGCGTGCATTTTTTATCTCCTTGTTTGCACTGGTACGGTTGTTGTTCGGAAAGAAAGGCGTGTCCCGACAGACTCCGTGTGACATTTTGCGTCCTTACTTCCACTGCCAACCTGACATTCCGACGGCTTAGAAAGGTTTTCTGTAGGTTTCCGCTTTGTTTTCTGCCTCAACACTATCGCAAAACACCGAAAACCATAAAAAATCAAGTGGTAAACCTTTTCTTTTCCTAATAAACTTTTGGAACTAGCAATCACCACTTCCCGGCAAATTACCGCCATATGCATTGCCCGAAACAGATGTGGTAAGAGAATTTCCATGCAAGATTAATAACGTTTTCTGTTCAAAAGGAATTCGCCACAGAAAAAGCGAGACAACGCAGTGGTCACATAGGTAAATAGAAACTGTGCTTTTTCAGCCTGTGTCTAGGTTAGATTACAGGGCGTGACACGATAGCCTTAACTACTCCAGTTCATTTTATAGAGCATTCATTATGTTTTAGGGCATTCTTCGTAATTAATTCTGCTTCTTCACGCAGTCATTAGTTTGAAAATTTTAAATCCCAACTTTCCGATTTCCCTGAAGACACCGATCCGTGCAAGCCTCTCTAAGAGCGCTTTGTTGGTGCCGGCCGTCCAGCCAGCTCTCTCCCGACAAAACCAGCCATAAAATCTCGTGACTCCATAAGGTCTTCCAGCGCTCGCATGGCTCGTTTGGGCATCAATCTGCAACGTGTATTTTATTATACAGCAACCACTGAGACGATGCAGTGATCAGCGGACGCTGAATACAACTGCATGGGACACCGGCAAGGCGGCAATCGGTCAGAGAAGGCGAAAACAACAGCACTTACACAGCCAATCGCATCATGATGTACATGGAGCGTGGAATCATCACTTCCGGTTTGTTGAGCAATATAGCCTCCACGACAGTGTCGGCAACGTAATCGGGACTCAGTAGAGGCATCACGTTTTGCACCCTATCAAACCTCAAAGTGAACCCGAGATCCCAGTACAGAATTCCACCGCAGATTTATTTAGGTTACCAAGGATTAATGGACGTTTCCACACCGGTGAACATTCCAGTCGTAATAAAGAACGGCTGCACATTGGTCATCTTGACAGCCGTCTTTCCTAGCAACTCCAACTCCATCTGCAGGGATTCGTGGAAACCTGTTGCGGCAAACTTGCTGGCGCAGTAGTCGACCAACCGCGGTAGCGCGAATCGCCCCGCCATACTGGAAATTGTCACGATGTGCCCGTGGTTGTTGCTGATCATACTCGGCAAGAATGCCTTGACAGTCTGCAAAAGCAACCTTCAACCACCCGCACAAAATCACAAAATTAATTCAAGTTAACGAACCCAGAAGTGTGCCACAGCGTTGACTTGCATGGTCTTCTCCAGACGTTCGTCAGCCGTCTCCAAGAACCATTTTCCATTAACAATCCCCGCGTTGTTGACCAGGATCGTCACGTTCCCGACCTCCCGGCGGACGCGCTCAGCCACATCATACACCATCTGACGATCTGACACGTCGCAGAGGTATGAGCGTACCGGGCCACCGTCGTTCTCGATTATTCGTCGCGTCTCATCCAGCCCGGCCTCACTGACATCCCATAGGACCAGACTGGCGCCCAGGCGCGACAGTCGCAGTGCCATCAGACGACCGATCCCACTGCCGGCACCGGTGACCAGAGCGATTTCCCCTGCGATGCTTTTGTGCTTACGGAAGCGGGTAGGCAGAATGAGGAAAATAAGGGCTTCCAGGTAGGCGTACACGACCTCCAGGAGCGCCAGGATGATGCGCAGTGCTATATGCATGGTGGTTGCGTGGGTGAAACTCCCCTGTCTGAACAAGATCAATCGAACTAACGTCGTACTGCATTAATCACAGCATTGTTCCTCACAAATCGATATACCGGGTTGCCATCGGTTTTTGTTACTTACATTTACCCACCTATTTTTTCTGTATTTGCTGAATACGTTTTCTGATAACGCGGTTTTAAAAGAGACCAGCTGGTACCGCAAATTATAAGCAGATAGCCTGCAGTTGACTGGAATGTAATACCCAAAATTGTCAGGGATTTTTCAAACCACTGATGTCGACTTGACAATCGAATGTACAACGTATACCGTATAATCGCTTAACATGCTTACCATTTTGCAATAGAAAGTGTGTACGAAGAACACAGTAGATTGTAACAGCCGGAAGACCTTGAACTTGTTGAACAACTATTGCCGGTACATACTGCAGGAGATCAGTCATAACTTATAAACCAGTTTTGATTTGCCATTGTGATCGTATCCATTTTCCATATGCACATAAAGTTATCAGCCAGCCGTGCAAATCCAGAGGTTGGTTGGCTGATAGTTGCAAATGCATTTATTTGTGCCTGGAGCAAGCGTAACTTATACTTATCAACGTCTACATACAGTACTTGCGGTAGACAGGTGAAGACTTGAATAATTGTACTGGAATACAGTAGTTCTATCATTATGTATGACTGCATGTCGCTGCCGGTATGTATATAATCTGCGACTCTGTGCCGTCTGGTGCGCAGTAAAACTTTAAAAAACACGAAGTTAAAGTACAATCTAGATGCAACATTACTAATTAACGATAAATTACAGATTATTACCGTATGTCGATTTATCGACGAGATGGTTCCTGGCTCCTATTAAATTTTTATAGTGCATAAGAAATTAATGGAATCACATACCCGATAATGGCTACTGCAGTAAATGTGCATGTGTATATTGTATGACCCACCTTGCATGGCTATGTAACATACCTACAGTAAGTGGGCAGTGGGCACATTCATCTTATAATATACATTGTTAAATATTAAAACAATACGAGTAGTTTCTTCGTCATTTGATATAAATCGAAGTTAAAACTATGCCAAGGAGGATCTGGATACTGTACCTATCTACATAGTGCATATCCGTATAAATATGTACCACATTATTACGTTAACAGGAAAAGTGAAAATTCTTACCTTTCCTATGCTTATAGGCCTATGAAATGTTAGAATTTTCACTTTCACGAGTGTGGAACAATCAAAGCAATTTAATTAATTGTAAGTTGCTTTGATTGTTGCACACTCGTACAGAAAACTGTAATAAACGGGTCGCTCGAAATAAGCGCGGGAAAGTTTCTTTCAAAAGCCCTTTCTGAAATCTTATTAATGGCCAGTATTAATGTGCCTTAAAGATAGCGGTTGTGCAACTTATGCTAAAACTCGTGGCTCGTGACCTAAAAATTAAAAAATGGACGCACTGGCCAGGGGTCATTATAACTAGAGTATATAGTATCGGTCAAGTTTACTGCAACCAGAAGGCAGTGACAAACATAAACGCCAGTCTTCCATGTACGGCAATAACGGCCGCGTGAACTGTCACATTACATAATACGCAAATCGTAATCTTATTAAAGTGTTTTTGAATACTGCAACACAGCAGCGTATTTTTAATTCATCTGCACCACTACAACTGCGATAGAATCAGTGTCTTGAAAAATAACAACTGGATCAAATTACGCATTTAGCCGTCCGTACACCGGTACAATACACGGCCGTACTTTACCCTCCGCTCGCACAGCCTCGCAGAACGGCACAGCTGTGCTTCCTAAGCGCACCCACCGCCCGGCTTATCTGACCGCGACGATCTACACCACAGTGCCAAAATAAGCCAAAAGATTTGCTAGCGAAACAGCTAAACGTGCACTGTACAGATACGTACTCCATAGCCCACGATTGATGAAAATCATGAAAGTGTAATGGTTGCCGCGCTGTTCATTGATGACGCTCGACGGGAAGTTATTCGCACTGTCCTACTCTCTGTGAACCGGTCGAGCAGTTTTCTCAGCCGTATAAACAGGCCGGCTGCTGCTGCTGGTTGTGCCAGAGTGTGTATTGCATTACCCAAGGCGGATGCAGCTCCTCCATTCGCGTCTGCATTCAAAAATTCCACTTCTGCCAGTGAGTGTAGTGTGTGTGCCTAGTTTTAGCACGCAACCGCCTCAATCGATAGCAGCGGCTGCGGTGTCCGTATCTGTCTGCAAATGTTGCTTACTGCTGATGCGCCATCATCCGGCCATATTCTAAATTTTGACCACCACACGACTATGCGCGGATAATCATACCCAGGCGATTTATTATTACAGCCACACTGCCCCGCTTCCATTGTATTTGCCGATCCCTTTGATATGACAGACCTTACCCAAATGGACTGGGCGTAATTTACTGGCCGGCGGTTTTCCATTGGTTACATTGGAGCGACATCCTAATTTTGATTGGCGATTCGGTAATCCTGTCTGCAGCGCTGACTCCGCCTTTTGCTCTTTCTCTGTGTCTCTTGCGCAGTCTGTCTGACAGCGGCTGGGGCTACGCACGCACTGGCCTGGCGAATGTTTTTCAAGCTAATGCACTCTCTCTTTCCATTCAGGCAGACACAGACCACCATTCCACACTCACGCCACACTCCACGGTGATAGCAGGCGCATTTTTCTCGGGGATTTGTTGTACCGGATTGTTAATTTGTGGATAATCGTTAATCGTGTATTTCCCTGCATGGTGCGAGGATGACCACGGATCTCGTCAATCCCAGCCACTGGGCTGGTGATGGCGTCACCCAGATAACCACCACACACACCGTTGTAACCAGTAGTGTCAGTGGTGGCGCGGACGGTGAGGATTATGACGGGGGACTTAGCTCGGCCAAAGTCTTCGAACGGATCCGTATCAAGGCTTTATCAGGTGAGGGAGACGTTGAATTGTTGTTGTTTATCCTTTCCCTGTGGTGGATGGGCGTTTTGCGCTACCAGCCAGCGGTAGACTACAGGTTGCGCGGTAATTTGCGATTCGGTCTGTTGGACCAGTTGGCGCTGTTGGGCGATCGGTCCGCAGTGAATCGAAGGGATTAATCTTGTTTTCTTGACAAGTTTTCCAGCATGTTTCACGCTGCATTTGTGAAATGCGTATTTTTAGCCGGATCTGGCCGGTCGTGTCAGTGGTGTTGACTCTGTTATGGCCAGTTGCCGTTTTTGCCAATTTCTCCTAACGTAAACAGTCAAGTGTGACCGAGATTTTGTCCAAATTCTCCCTTTTCGCTGTTGCATTGCAAATCTGCAAAATAGTCTTTTCCGTAATTATCGAATTCCACACCGCAAAAATGCTATACAGTTCATTTATATTTTTATAGCGAGTATCCTGCAGGATCTACACTGATATTTTACCGCTGCAAACCGATACCACACATCCTTCTATATTTTTAATTTTTACAGTCTTAGTTAGCAGCTTGGGATGAGAAGAAAAATCTGAGATGTTTGTTACAGTTTATTAATGTGTAAAGTGTGTGTGTTTATAATATGTAAAGATATGCTGTTCTCTTACAAATTATGACAAAATTTTTATTGGATATACATGTTTATTTACTACTCCACATGTGTTCACCACACAATTGGCGTTTTTTGGGCGCTTCTTTGAATTTCGATTGCAGTTAGCAAAATCTAACTCTTATTTTATAGTTGATTTTATGAATATATTATGTGAACGATTTCCGGCGGGTTTAGCATCGTGTCTGGTCGTGTTACGTAAGATAAGTACTGTACTGTAAATTTTCCCTATTTTCTCGCCTGGTTCGTTCAGTGCGTTCATATTGTGGTTGCGTAACCACAAAGTCTCGTTTGGTTTCATTTTGTGTTGCATGTTGTGCAGCGAACGCTGTGATAACTGCCAAGCCCGTTTCATGCTGAATATGCAAAAGTGGATGAATTTTTACAGTCTTGTTGCGCTTTTCCGCTTGATCAGCAACGAATAAGTTGCATATTTGGCCAGATTTCACCACTTATTCTACATTCAGTGCTTTTCAGAGAAATAGGTCTTGCGATACGACTTTCATTGCTTAATATTGAAAAATATTTGGCTGCATAAGTCTGGCGAAATTTTCTAAAGAAAATGTCTGTAAATGGAAATACAGACCTGAAAAACGCATTCACAAGTTGACTTGAGGTTGTCGATCATACGGTTATTATACTGTACTCGTACCAGAAACATAATTAATAACTGTGACTGGAATCGATATTTTTGAGTAACATTTTGCAGTACTTTCTTTTCACAATTTTGTTCTTTTGATGGATTCTTGTTACAGATTCTTGCAGTTACAAAATTGATCACGCAAATAATAGTGGGTTGCAAGTGGATAATAGTGCGAAACTGCGAATGTCTGTTTTGTCGGAGCACCTCCACTCTTGTCTCGAAGTTCGAACCTAGCAGAGTCAGACGTATGTGAAGTTGTAAAGTGTAAACGCCCAATAATCATGAGAAATGTCTTCAACGAAATCTGCTGAGATGTGGCGTCGCATTGTTTATTTTTTTGACTTCCGGTCCGATGTTGATTGACGTAGACGACATATGATTGTTTTCTTAGACAGAATATCTGTGTTGGCTTTATGCATTAGATTATGCAGTAATTGCAGTTGATCATAACGATTATTTTTTATTCATTTTGTGCTAGTTATTTCAGAGCAAAAAATGTGTTTCTGGTCAGATAGGTGCTGGCTGATTTGGGTAGGTTTTGTATCGTATTAATTTTTCTTTTGAATTTTTCGTGAAATTATAATGCTGAAACTTAGACAGTATTTTAGTATGTTGTCTAAATTGCCTGCATGTCTGTATTTTCTTTCGTCGACAACCTAGTCAGCTTGCGCAATTGAGTAGTACTTACTTACTGCTGGAAAATGAGAACAAACACAGCTCGAGAGAAAAATCCCGGCATAAAACGCATTAAATCGGATTGATACATGTACAGTATGTATTGCATACGATCGTAAAAAGCAACGAAATAACCGGTTAGCAAATATTTAAACCACTTTTCCCACGAGTTGCTGTCTTGTGCAGGGTCTGATAGTGTACGAGAAATACAGTACGTACTTATAATTTCAGTGAAATTATTTCACGCGATTAGCGTATTTCCAGGATCACAGTATATATTTTTTGAATTTTTCGTCTCGTACGCTTGACGCAATAGGTTAAGCTACAGTACAAAGAGACAGTACTGATTTAATAGTTTTTGCAGCAATTTTTTTAAAATTTTGTTTTTGCATTATTGTAAGCGAAAGATTAGAAATAAAACGTCTTTGTGAATATTGCGGAATTTTCAAGCGAACTCCGAATTTCTTACGCGAAAGTTTTTCGTTTGATTATGCTAGGAGTAGGAGCTAAATTAAGTATTATTTTTTAAAAAGAGATATTGGTTGCGACTTGCGAGAATATTAATGGGTGTGGCATCAAGTTGTAGAATTGTGGAAAATTGAAAATGTCAGGAAGTGACTTCGGATTTTAATTAATGCGAAAAGCTCCATTCAGCCCGTTTTCAGGTTAATTTGATTGTTTTTCACGGGGAACAAATCAGTACAAGGCACAGCGATAAATTACCAATTTTGCCGTTGTCGCACAGTACCTGTTCCTTGTTGTGGTCGGGAGTGTACAGAGGAAGATTAAAGAAAATCATCGGCAGATGGCTTCCGATGTGGTGGTATTATCGTGAATTATTCCTGTCCAGTGAACAGTAAATCCCGGTTCACTGTACACCGCAGAAGGGCGAGCTAAGGAGAGCGCAGTCTGGGCGCTGCTGTTGGGAAGTGTATATGATGTATCCTTGACGTCACCGGAAGCTGCCCTGGCCCGTACACATCCCGGGGAGTGTGTGCGGCTGTATGTGTTTTGTGCAGGAAAACGACTGTCTGGCAGCGTCCACAACGCCAACGTGCTCGCAAGCGGGGCTGGGCCATTGATTTTTTCGATCTCCCACTGTCGGGATGTCCGCATGTGTGGATCTTGGAAATGAGCGCCCTTTAACTGCAATCCACGGTTGCTGGTGAAATAGAACCATTGATGTTGACATTCAGTGAAAACCGGGACAATTGCAATAGTGTGTAATATCATGATCAGTACGATCGCCTGACTGCGGTTTAATAATAAGTATTTTTTTGCGATAAATATTTCGAAAAAATTTTTATGAAAAACAGATCTGGCTTAAAAGGTCTGGGTTTTCCTGGCTTAAAATGTTTATTAAACCTCGGGAAAGAAAATCGCTGAATGTCTTATAGGACTTGGTCAAATTTGTTACTGCATAGACCAATTTGATGTTTTCAAATTTTCAAAATTTTCTTTTTATGTACTTTAACAGTCATCGTTTGGCGAAAGTACTGTCTACTGCGCTCGGATAAAATCGGCGGTTAACCACCGGAAGTATGGTTTACTTTAGAAGCCGTTGAAACACGTCGTCGATGTCTGATGCGAAGGAGATCTAGACCTATGCACCGTGGAGTTTAAATTTGTGGTTTTTAATGTGGACTTTGTTTATGTTGCATTGATTGGTCATCAGATTGAATCGCAGTCTTTTGCTGTTGGCTTTCGTAAAAATACTGCTTTTCATTCATCTGAATGTTTATTTCTGTGTTTCTGCCTTTACGCCCGAGTTACCGCTTAAGTTTCAGTTCAGTTTCATTTCAGTTTCATTTCATTTACCGCTTATATTTTTGGGGGGTGTTTATTCGAAGGTCATGATCCGATTTTTTATATTAAATTATTTTACGGGGAAAATTAAAATAGTCGCGAAATTTCAGAATAGTTCAACATTTTTGTTCTGAAAATTTTTAAATGCGGTAATTCATAATTTGGAACGGAATCTTTCTGAACCGTTATTAATGCTCATTTGTTTTAGTAACGACTAACGATAGAATATATAAATTATTCAACCCAAAACTTTGACGGGTATTTTACTGGTTGTAAATTGTGTATCGGAGGGCGGCCATGTGTACGGTGAATGCGGAGATGATCGTTAAGGAATGCAATCTGAACTTGAATTGGCAGCTGGTTGCATTTGTTTGGGCTGCTGTTATTTGGCCCGCACCCGACTCGTTGCTGGCTGTTGTGCACAAATCCTTGACTCGCTCTCGTGTGGCATGTTGAAGAGCCTGAACTGGATCGGCACACATGCTGCAGTGGCTTTGTATGCACATTTTTGCGTTTTTTTTCTCGTCGTCGTTGTCGTGCGTGTTGAAACGCGGGGGCGGCTGCACACTCTACTGATAAATGTGGCCTACTTGATGGGCGCAAAAATAAAACTGCCGCATTTTCTCAGTAGATGAGATGGTTACAGTTGAGCGGCTGGTGTATGGGCTCAACACTACAAGGACTCAATTTGCGGCACAAGTTACTTACAACTAGGTTGGAGCACTGCATTTGTCAAAAGTCGCCTGATTAACTGCTGCTAATCGTCTACAAAAGCATTTCGTCACGTTTTTACCAAACTGATCGGGCTTTCTCTGAAAGTGAACGTGGGGAGGAAAATGTAGAAGAAAGCGATAAAGGAGTTGTCGACGCTGTGGAGTGTGGACATAGAATTGGGTCATTTTCTTGATTTCATCGCTTTTAATTATGTTTTGAAATTTAGTGGATATCTCTCTGTTGTACGTTGTTTAAAGCTGAAATTATTGTAATTGCATCCTCTAAAATTTTCTAATTATTACTGGTATTGTTATTATTATTATTATTTTTAGATTTCAGTAAACTGGCCAGTGGCCACAGGACAGTCATGACTCATGAGGTACCCAAATCAGGCAGTTGTTCTACTTCTCATCAGGCAAATTAATTTCCCAAATTTTTATTCATCGCGACACTCTAAATTTTCAGTGAACATATCACCAAAAAAATCGTCAGTTGTTTTAATGCAGATTAATCCTTGCGCCGCTTTGCTTTTATTTTCCTTGCACCGCTTTTATCCTTGCACCGCTTGCGTAATCTGTCTGCCTTTGTTGGAAAAAAAACGTTGGTAGCGCTTTCATTAAGAGGCCGAGCAGTCAATCTGGATTTTTTTTGGCTGACCTTCCTCAATCGCTTGCTCGGGCTTCCTTACTTTCGTGCATGTCGAATATGCCGCGATGTCGGCGGAAAATAGGATTACGGCGACAGTAGTAATGCGTGGAATGGCAGCTTGAGAAATGGGGTGGGTTTAATGAGATATGAGATTGTTTCCCGAGTGGGGCCACGGAGAGTAATGGAAAGCTAATTGTAAACATGCGTCCGATGGTAGATAATGGTTTGGCAACAAACGCCTGCAGACGTTCGTTATGGCAGTCTGCTGCAGTAGCCTATTTCAGATTGCACGGTTTGTGCTCCATTCGGCTCCGGTTCCATATGGAACCTTCAGTTGCGGGTTGTTTTACGTCCGTTCACGACGTTAGCAGCTGTAACCTAGCGTCGTGCGGTGACGCGTAAAAACTATCTGCCTTACGCGGATGCATGCAACGGCTCAGACACATAAGTGAATGGCAGGCCAGCGTATCCTACCCGTGGATCTTTTTTGAGCACTCAGACCGCCGACCGTTAGCAGGGTGGTCACGTCCTCGCGCGCACTCGACTCGATTAATTTTTTCGTTGCTGTACGTGACCAAAGTGTAACCGCACAAAGATCTGAAGCAGTTTTCATCCTGCCAACGTACAGCTTATCTGACGCCGTGCGATTCTATGTACGGAGCCTCTACCGTATGCAATCTGAAATAGGCTAGTGTTGTGCGTAGTGCGTACAACCTCGTATTTTACATGCAAAGGAAACTGATTCCTCTTGTCGGCGCTGATCAGCCGGTAAAACTTTATTGACCGGTTGCTAGATGGCGCTGCACGTCGTAAGGATACACTCACGCAACCGCCGGCTGCGGAAGAAGATTTCCGCAGATCTGTTGCTGGGTTCCTTTGTTCAACAAAGTTTGTTGGCATACATCCTGGTCGCCGTCACAGTACGTACTACCTAGTTACGTACCGTGATTTACGTTTACAAAAATGCCTTTTGACAATTTTTCATGGTTAAATTTTTATTAATAATTTTCATGGTTAAATTTTATTAGTCATGACTGGTGAGGGTATACGAAGTTTGTACTCGGAGTACAAGCAAGTATTTGGACAATTTGGAATGGAGCTTATACTGTTTCGACGGGAGTATAGCGTCAGTCGGCACTGTAGGAATGGTGTCAATCGTTCGCTGATAAATAGCTGTATGGGTGTGGTCCACCGGTTGTCTTATTTTTTTTTCAACGTCTATATATTTTCTTCTGCCAGCATCCTGGGTTGCTTGCCGATATGTACTGGTACTGCGGACAGTAGTACTTTAACTGTAGTCTCTAGCCGCTACACTGCTGCAGTCTACCGCCAGTATTCCTTTACGTCAGTGACAGAATTAACGTTACGGTGAATAGCAGAATTAACGGGAAGCAGAAAACAGGTTTAGAAAATTTCACAAAAATGATTTGTTTATTAACTTACACCCTTACCCGAATTTGAATTTAACGAGTTTGTTTGGTTATTAATTTTGAACTTAAGAAAAAGCAACAGTACGTATCTGACAATTTCCTGCATCAATGTAACTCATGTTAGTGATATTAAATACAGACATGAACAATCTAATTTATGTAGGTGAAAATGGGCGCGTTTATGTTAATTAAAATTCAGCGTTTTAATAGGCATAGCTGTTAGCTTGCTGTTAGTAAGTGGCTCACCTTTGACGAAAAGGAGACTGGGATGACTGGAAGGCGCGTGTCCAGTTGGGTACACGGCAGGAGGCGCATGCGGGTAATTTTAGGCTACAACAATTGCGAAATAATACTCCATCGGAGTTTGGCTCGTTAATCATAACGCACACTGCGCCAGACGATATGAAAGCCGCATTAAAATTTAGGCAGTGCCAGCAAGCAACTCACGCAAAATTGCTGGTTGCGCTATCAATGTTTTAACGTTTTCGCATCCATAGCGATTTCATATACGGCACACAAACACACACACACCAACAGCCAGTGCGGCGAGAGAGCGAGCGGCCCTATCAGTAATGATTAAAAAGACGGGGAAAGAGAAGAGAAACGCTTAATCAAACGCAATGGGACAAAAGTCCATCGATTACTTTCTATACACTAACAACACACACACATCATACATACTTTCTCTTGATGTTGCGTGATCGTCTGATGTGTGTATATGTGTGCGGCAGTGTTTTCGGGACGTCGTCAGGCGAATAGCTCAGTAAATTGTAGTATGCTGTTGTTCGGCATCCACAGGACAAGGAACAAGGCGGTCCCGTGTTGGTGCCTGCAGGGCGTCGAGTGGAGAATAGGAAAAAGGCTCTCCTGACAATGCCCCGCGCGGCCACTATATTTTGATTGATTTTTTTGGACTTTTTTTGTGGGGAATTTTTCTAATTTTTTATACCGAAATGGCCGATATACTACAGCAGGGCCATGATTATACGCGGATTCAGGAGGCAGTCATGGAGAGAATTGTTTCCAAACATCGAGGTTGGGCGTCGGTTTTGTGTGTAAATCGTGTGCTGGTGACCCTTACATTTTTCTAAATTCTTTGGGACTTCTAGATATTTCGTGTATGAATGCGAAAATTTTTTTGGGAATTGTCACTAAAATGTCGGCTATATTAAGTCTTGCCGGTGCAGTAGAATGGCATGCTGCACCTGAATGTGGATGATAGATATGCTGCCACTCTGCGGGCAGCATAGCTAATTTCGGTAGCGTGCGCTGTGTTAATTTAAATTATTCGAATCAATTTTTTATGTTTTTTTAATATTGTATTGATTAAGTAAACGATGATGTTAGTCTGAGCTTGGAGACTGGATATGGTGGCAAGTTTTGAGTTTTGCCGTTTTTTGGCGTTGCTTCTGCCTTGTATTGTAGTGTTGCAAAGACGGTTGGCACAGAAAAATAGACCGGATTTTGTGTGTTGATTGTGCTCATACGGATATTTGTGTGATTGTTGAGGGGGAAGAAAACAAACAAAAAGCGATGGGATTAACGGCGTTAGTTGGATTGTTATATGAACTGTATGGTGTATGTTGTTGACAGACGAACGGGAGAACGTGCAGAAGAAGACCTTCACCAAATGGGTCAACTCCCATCTGATCCGCGTGGGATGCCGCATCCACGACCTATACACGGATCTACGCGACGGGAAAATGATTCTCAAACTTCTGGAAGTGCTCTCTGGAGAGCGATTGGTACGTGCTTCAGCCAGATGAATTTATGCGCGTTTTCGGGTTAATTTTTATACCCTGGAGCTATTAATGGGGCAGTATTATTGTGTTTATTTTTTGCCCGAGCACAAAATAAGGCATGTTAAAAATAAGCTACTACATATCAGGATTTTTAGGCTACGAAGCAAAATGAGTGCTCTAGTCTCTGAGTTTTGGACCCGAAAATTGCAAATTATTTTAAGTGAAATTTCCATATTAACTTTAAAATTTTTGTTCAGTGTTATTTTAATTGTTTATCATTAAGTGTTAAGGAAATATTTTTCTTAGTTTTTTTCCTGGTAATTTTTTAATGCTGCCAAAGTGATTGCCGATTGTCTTTGATGTTGATTTTGATGGAGGCTGTGCGTAACTGCAGAGTGCAGCGCGGGTGATTGATGGGCCGAGGGAGGCCCAGTGCGGCGGAGAAAACGATCGGTTCTGTTGAAACAGCTATGAATTTCTTATCAGCGCAAAGGGGAACTTTAACCCATTTGCACACAGGGCCACAAGCCTATCGGCGGGCCAGGAGATGAAGAATTATTGACCGTAAAATAGGATATGTCCGGTGATTAATGCACACGCAGGCCTTATCTAAGCATTTTATCACACTCAATTACCCTGCCATTTTTATACAGAATCAGGACAGGACACCTTTTTCCTGGAAAATTATTTAAAAGATAATAAGTTGAAATTGATTTAATAGTAGTCGAAGCGTTGCAGCTAAGTTAAGTTAAAGCTCGTAAATTTTCTAAAAATCTGTATCAGAGATGAAAACATGAACTTGTGATATATTGTTTAGGTATGTATTTGTATTGAATAACTGTATTACGATTTTATTTCTTTTTAAGGTATGAGTTGTAACAGGAAAATAAAACAAAACGCATGATGATGGTTTTCGTAAGAAGGAAATTGAAAAAGTATTCGGATTTATTTCTGTTTTTGCAATGTATCGTTTATTTTGAAAATTACTGAGTGTTTTCAAGAAAATAAATTTTAATCGCTTTTATTGATCGGAATTGTGTACGAATACGAGTTACAAAGGTGAGCAAATGCTTGTTCGTACTGCATGTATTTTCCCCCTGGAAAAATAGGGAATTCTCAAGTCACATCGTTTAGAAATTTGCATTCTTGAAATGATGATAAGAACGTGTTGGCAAGTGTTGAGTTTGTGGCAAGAACGTGCTGTTGGGTAAGTGGATTGTCTTGGAATGGTTTGGTAGCGGTTTGCGTTGCCTTCCTGTGTTGGCCTAATTTCCGCTCAAGTGCGCATCCCTCAGGCCTCTTCGGACTGCACCGATGGCTGGCTGGATGGTGGATACACTGTTTAAGTCAACAGGAACTGACGTAATTCGAGAAGTCGCACTGTCTACTCTACTCTCCAGACAAACCGCAAACACCGCAGCTCCAGTATCATTTAAACATAGAAAAATCACAATTAAATTTTGATTTAATCAACAGTAACGTTAATATGTAATTCGATTAGTGGAACGCTGGAATTAAATCCAAATCTGGATTCATCGCTTATTGGTTTTGCACTGTCATTGTGCGCATCAGAATATCTGGATATTAGGAAGAACAAAAAGCGAATCATACTGGACGATCATAATCGAAAGTTTTTTTACAGCCGCGTCCGACACGTGGGAAAATGCGCATCCACTGTCTGGAGAACGTGGACAAGGCGCTGCAGTTCCTCCGCGAGAAGCACGTGCATTTAGAGAACCTCGGCTCACACGACATTGTCGACGGGAATCCCCGTCTAACGCTCGGACTCATCTGGACCATCATCCTCCGCTTCCAGGTATGTGCACTGAATAAACTGAATCATTTCTGCCAAGAGAAGTGAACGCATAATGTACCGTAATACCTACCATGTAGTTCAATTTTTTTTTAAAGAGGGCTTTTGATTAAGCAATGTCAAAGTGATGGAAATATTTTACGTAGGGATGATTCTGGTTTTCTGTTATCGTTTTGTTTGTGTGAGTAGATCCAGGACATCATTATCGAAGAGGTGGAGAGCAAGGAGACTAAGTCGGCCAAGGATGCGCTGCTATTGTGGTGCCAGATGAAGACCGCCGGCTACGCCAACGTCAACGTGCGCAACTTCACGACCAGCTGGCGCGACGGTCTGGCCTTCAATGCCCTAATCCACCGCCACCGCGAGGACCTTATCCAATACGACAAACTGAACAAGAACCAGGCTATCTACAACCTTAATAACGCCTTTAACGTCGCCGAGCAGAAACTCGGTCTGGCTAAGCTCATCGATGCCGAAGGTATGCCGGCTTTGACCATAACTCAATATTTCTGCCAGTTGTACTGTACATTGCTTAACAGGTAGTGATATTATTAAATTTCTTTATTTTTGGCAAGGCTGCTCGACGTTGTAATAATAAACTTCCATTGACCGTTTATATTAGTGTTCAACTACGCGTAGCATTAAGATCTTACTTTTCATGATGTTTAGCGGACAGCTTATATTTTCTTTCGTTATGATTTCGTTTCATAAAGTTTAGCACAAAATGAAAAGCATGATGACTACCGTAGGATAAGACAAAGGGGTAGCGAGAGTGAGAACGTTAAAACATGTTTTCTTTGGCCAGGAGGTGAAATGATTAGGCTGGGATTAGATGTAGAGGAAATTAGTCACAGTTTTTTCGGTACATTCAAAACATGCGGCTTCTTTCTGCAACTCTTGCCGTATTTTTGAGTCATTTGCTTGGTCATATTACTTCATATTTTTACGCTCATCAGCGCTTGCGAAATCTTGTTACCATATTTTCGCTTTCTAGTTCCCGAGTGCCAATATGAGTGAGAGTAAGAGAATTATTTTGTTTTACTAAATTTTCATGTAATATTTCGTTTATTGGAACAGTAGCTTGCTTTTTGTAATAAAATATCCGTAAAATTTGAACTTCGTTTGAATTTTTAGATTGTTTTTGTTTCAGATGTGGGAAATATTAATTGCAGTGAACGAATAATAGTTAACGATTTAACACGATGGAAAAACTAGAAAGCCTCTGTCTAGTGTTTCTTTAGATGCTTAGTACGTGCTGCTACGATATGTTATGGCTGACAAATTAATTTTGCGAATATTGGCATAAATCATTGCATTGTACTTGTCGGTTGCAGACGTGGCTGTGGAGTATCCGGACGAGAAGTCGATTATCACCTATGTTGTCACATACTATCACTATTTCAGCAAAATGCGCGCCGATACGGTACATGGGCGCCGCATTGGCAAGGTGGGTGCTGGCCTTATCGGTCCCGGCAGTTTTTGTTTGTCCGTAAACAGTTGCCGGTATTTATTTTGTACCGTTGCATTTTACACCTGCCTACGAACAGCGTTAAGATACACTCTTTATGACCCATCGTCGTGGATTGCGCTGACGAGAGGATGTTCTGAGTAATAACGGAAATGTCGTTTATACTGTAGCGCCGTCGTAGTTTGCTGAGTGCTGGTAGCTGACTCAGTGAATGGTTTCACAGCATAATTTGCAAAAAAGAAGCTTTGCACTGGAAACTAGCAAAACTTAATTAAATTATTCGTATAACGGGGAAAGATGTTTTTTACAAACGGTGGTCGAAGCAGTTTTCGTCCTTTTGCGAATTTTCTGCTTTTTATCTGGTATAATTGTTCTGACTTCATAAAATCAACGTCTTTTAAGCGCGTGCAGAGTGACAAGCGTGATATTAAAAAAAATCTTATTCCAGTAGTAACAAGGAAAAATAAAAGCTGTATCGGTTACCGATACTTGGACACAGTCCACGTAACGTTTTCTGCGTCCAGTATTGGTATTTCGGTTTTTTGTTTTTGCCATACATTTTGTGTTGGTTCTGTTGAGTGTTTACCATTTCGACCAAAGGAATTTTATTTAAGCAGTGCAAAATCCTGTTTAGAAGAACACACGATACAGTATAAAACTGAAAATTTCCTAGATTATTTATTATTAGACAACGCTTAACATGCAGTGTTAACCGATTTTTAAAAAAAACAATCGTTAATTAGATCGTGGATATGGTGCGCGATGCTGATCGGGAAGCCCAGTCGTACGAGAAGCTGACCAGCGAACTGCTGCAGTGGATCCGCAAGACCATCGACTCGCTTAACGACCGGCGCTTCGCCAACTCGTTACCGGGTGTCCAGCAGCAACTGGCGCAGTTCAATACTTACCGCACCGTGGAGAAACCGCCCAAGTTCGTGGAAAAGGGCGATCTGGAGATGAAGCTGTTCGCCATTCAGAGTCGGTTGCGGGCTTTGGATTTGCGACTTTACGTGCCGCCGCAGGGCCGTCTCATCGCCGACATCAACAAGGCATGGGAAGCACTGGAGCGCGCTGAACACGAACGAGAGTTGGCGCTGCGCGAGGAACTAATTCGGTACGAAATTATGGGAAACTTATTTGGGCTGTGCCAAAATCTAATGGATTTTATTAAGTTTTTGTGTACGCTTTTACAAACAGATATTCCTAAACTTAAGTGTTGCAAAAACCTATGAAGTCAAAGTGGTAAAGAGCCGTGGTTTGGAATCAGTACATTTTCAGTTAAATTTTTTAATAACTGAATTTGTTAATAAATTTTGTTCATAAATTTTGTTAATAAATTTTATTTTGTGAATTTTTCTCTGGAGCATTCAAGGGATTCTGGTCGAGGTTATTTTGAAAGTTTGGTTTTTAAACACAAAAAAAATGCCGCCGCAGCAATGGGCCTGGTGTTTTTGTGATCCCTCCAAATTTATAGCGTGTTTTATGAAAGCAGACGATACTATCAAAGCAGGAAATTTGCGATTTTTTCCCCACTTTATTCGGCACTTCCGATACCATTTTTATGGCAGATTATCACATCTTGTCGAGAATATTTATGAGAATCTCAAACAGCTAACAATCCTCATTGAAGAGAGGGACACCCAGGGAAGAGACAGTGGCAAGACAGCGTGGTAGTTTTTAAAGTTGAGGATTGATTTCGGCTTTGGGTTGACTTGTGAGTTTGGCTGGAGTGCGTGATGAATGTCCGACACGCACTGATTGGCCCCGTGTGCTGCTGCTCGCTGCAGCTCGCTGCAAGTAGAAGGGAAGCTGAAATATGTCTGCTAGGGACAAATGTCGGGGTCGATAGCGGTTCCGTGTGTTGCAGCGATTAAGGACAGCTCGCGAGATGTTTCTAGGCTAAATGAGCCGGGGTTCGTTGTGATGGGTGGGGCCGAGAGAGCGGCAGACGAGGAACTGTTGTTTGTTGGCGCTGCTGTGCCGGAAATGGCTTGTGTTGTGTAACGGAGGGAGTTGGGTTAGCGTCGGTGGAAGAAAAATGATAAATGTAGCGCTGTCTGACTGTAATAAAGCAGCAGGGAGGTGGGAAACGATCGGTAATTCAGGGAGCCCTACTTTCCTGCAATATTTTTGGCTTACTGGTTAGTAATTTTACGAATGTTAGATAGAATGTATTGGTAAAAATTATGAATGATTATATATGAATGATTATTGATTATAGATTTGAAGCCATTTTGGAACATCGTAAAATTTGACTATTATATCAAAATATTTAAAGCTGTAAAATTGCGTTATTATTTTACCATTACTTAATATTGAGTAATTATTCTTCTTACTTACTTGACCATTTTTTTAAAAAAAGATTGTACTGAAGTTGAAAGCACGCTGTACTGTATGTTGCACTGCGCAATGAGACCGACTGTTGTCCAGTAGAATACGCAGTTCATTGGTCCGAATGTGTTGGTTAAAACGGTCTGTTCTTCTGCCCTTGTGAGCCTGGGGTGGGATGCAGTGTATGTATCGGGTTACGGTGCTGTGAATGGTAATGAAGTTGGCTGGGATTAATCCGGTCGATGGCGGGTTCATGTGTCGTGACAGTGAATTCTCAGGGATTATCCAACCATATTGACCGGCCTACATTCTGCCGGCTTCTCTAACAGTTACTGTAAAGCCGGGATGGGGTGGACTGGCTCAGCCTCAGCACAGATGTTCCCACACGCAATCCCTATCGATTAACTTGACAAGGCTCTCACTTCTGGGATGCAGACCAGCGCGGCGCTTGTTTTCCTCAAAGCAGAATGTTGCAATGTAGATGTCTGGGAAGTCACTCACTTTAGCCGTTAACGATAAAAACAGCTGCTGTAATGATTCGAAAACCTGAAATATGAAATCCGTCATAATCGGGCATTATGAAGCAGACCATAAACTTTTAAGAAATCAAAACTTCTCAGCTATGTATTTATGTAAATATTACTGCTAAAACATTCGGCCTTGATTAATCTAATTAAATTATTGAAAGATGCGATTATTATGTGAGTAATAATTTGGTACCCTCCGTTGCTTGATTTGCATCGGTGAAATGGCCACGCTTTTACAGTGCTCGTAATTGTACGCTCATTTTGAGTGCAGGAAGAAGCTTCGCATCAAACGGGTATCGAATTAAACATTTTTTTCCCGTTAGCGTAAAATGAGACCATATCCAGAATGATCTCGAAATATTACCCTGGATCTCTGCTAGTAATTTGTACGCTTACTGATGCGCTATATACGCATTGCAATTTGTAAACGCCAATTTATGGGCATAAAATGTACTACCTTTGTTAACGCCGGCACGCTAAGTAACTTTTCCCTTGGAGATATGGTCTAGTGTTGGCTGATGATTACTTACAGACAAGAAAAGCTGGAGCAACTGGCGGCGCGTTTCGATCGCAAAGCCGGTATGCGCGAGACTTGGTTGAGCGAGAACCAACGTTTGGTGGCCCAGGACAACTTTGGGGATGATTTGGGATCGGTGGACGCGGCCAGCAAGAAGCACGAGGCCATCGAGACCGACATCTTCGCCTATGAAGAGCGTGTGCAGGCGGTAATCTCCGTGGCGGAGGAACTGGAACAAGAAAACTATCACGACATTCAGCGCATCAACACTAGGTAGGCTGCTAGTCGCAAATTATTTCACTGTGCCAGTTCTTTTTTCTTGGAAGTATGAATAAACGACAGAACCTTAATTTAGTAAATCCAAAACAGTTCCTGTTGGTAGCATTTTTCTCGTTAGTTGTTGCGTAAATCGCAATCGTCGATCGACATCTTATTCGAAAATTAATCGAGAGTTTATTTATTGAATGGATCTCCTTACAGCACATCGCCTTGTGATAGAATTCTATGTATTGATTTGTTCAATCATTGATTCCAGGAAAGACAATGTCTTACGCTTGTGGAACTATTTGTTGGAGCTGTTGCGCGCTCGTCGCTCCCGCCTGGACGTGTCCCTGCAACTCCACCAGACCTTCCTGGAAATGCTGCAGGTCTTGATCACCATGGAGGAGCTGAAATCGCGGCTGGTATCGGATGACTACGGCCGCCACCTCCTGGACGTGGAGGAGCTGATCCAGAAACACGCCCTGCTAGACAACGACATAGGCGTGGTCGGCGACCGTGTGCGTTCCGTCAACAACACGGCGCGCCGCTTCATCGATGATGAGGGCATCGGCTTCCATCCAGTGGAGCCGCAGATTGTCGTCGACCGCATGCAGCAGCTAGAGGATCTCTACACTGAGCTGTGTGAGCTGGCGTTGGAGCGCAAGGACCGACTAGAAGATTCACGAAAGCTGTGGCAGTTCTTTGCGGATATCGCCGAGGAGGAGGCTTGGATTAAAGAAAAGGAGCAGATGCTGTCGTCCGCCGATATCGGACGCGATCTGACCTCCATCAATCTGCTGCTGACCAAACAAAAGGTGAGTCCTGTTTCATCCCGTTAGTCGGTATTGTTCTGAAGGGTTGGTTTCCGTAGTTTCCGTCCCTTATCAAGGTTAACTGCAAATTGCACATAGATACTGGACGAAATTTGCCTTGGCAATATGTATTTGCTTTTAATAATTTATCATTATATCTGCAGTTAATGGAAGACGACCTGAACGCCCGCAAAGCGCACCTGATCGACGTGATCAAAGTGGGTGAAGATCTTGTGGGTGACGGGCATTTCGGCTCCGAACAGATCCAGGCGCGCATCAACGACGTCAACGACCGTTGGGAGCACCTGATGGAACTGTCGGCTTACCGCAAAAAGCGCCTCCTCGAGGCGGTCGATTATCACCAGTTCTTTGCCGACGCCGATGACACGGACACGTGGATGCTAGATATGTTGCGCCTGGTGTCCAGCGACGACATCGGACGAGATGAGGGACATGTGCAGTCTTTGTTGAAGAAGCACCAGGATGTCATTGACCAGTTGCAACGGTATTATATAACATACAAATAAAGGAAGATTTTCTTTTGCTTCCGTTCCTGCTTCCCTGAAGAGTTTTTACGGGAACCTGGATTTTCACATGTATTTTGCATATAGCTGTTGCATTTAATACGCATTTTTCTTGATCGGTCTATGTGGTATGGGCCTTAATTCACTTTCTGGAACGTTAAAAAATTCAGCGAGCAAATTCTTGCAGACATTTAATATTTTAAACCAGCTAACGCTTAATTTATTGTATTGCTTGCATTATGTGATTTAATTTAGCTTGACTTTTGGGTGGAAAGGCTATCGCGTGTTGTTAAGCGTGTGAAAAGGTTAATATCGCATCACACTTGTGTTTATAATAGCAGCTGTTTCTGCAGATACGAGCCAAGCATCCGCACCATCCAGGAGCAGGCTGCCAATCTGGGCGAGCAGGATCGCAATTCACCGGAAGTGCGACAGCGCGTGGGCGACATCGCGCACCGCTACGACGAGCTGGTGCGGTTAGCGCGCATCCGCCAGCAGCGTCTGCTGGATGCCCTGGACTTTTACAAGCTTTTGACCGACGTTGACGCCACGGAACAGCTGATCAACGAGAAGGAGCGCATGTTGGCCACCATGGGTCCCACGCAGGACATGGAGGAGGTGGAGGTGATGAAGCACCGCTTCACCAGTCTGGAGAACGAGATGGCCATCATAAACGAGCGCGTCAAGCAGATCAACAACGTCAGCGAGCGCCTCCTCAACGTGCCGCATCCCGACGCGCGTGAGATCCACTCGCGACGCAACCGGCTGAATTCCTCATGGAACGCCCTAGTGGACAGCGTCAATAATAAACGCGATGAATTGGAGAAGGCGCACGGTTATCAGACCTTCCGGATCGAGTGCCAGGAGACGACACGCTGGATTGAAGAGAAAATCCGCATCATCGAGGTGACAGTTTCATTTCAGCGAAATATGATTGTTCTGTGTGGTTGTATGAACTGGTGCTGCTGTGGTAGGATGCGGAAGACATTCAAGGCGATTTGGGCGGCTTAATGCGCCTGCAACGACGATTGTCGTTCATTGAACGGGACATGGGTCCGATTCGGGCCAAGATGGATTCCATGTTGGAGGAGGCCACCAAGATTGAGCGCGAGCGACCGGAGGAGGCTGCGGCCATCCGTGAGCGGGTAGCTATAATGAAGAGCCAGTGGGAGCGGCTGACGGAGCTGATGGGCGAGCAGGACGCCAAGCTGGGTGAGGCCGGCGAGCTGCAGCATTTCTTGAGGGATTTGGACGCCTTCCAGTCCTGGCTGGGACGGACTCAGGTAAAGAAAGCATAGTTTTTAGTTTTGCTTTGTATTTCATCTAAAGCGCTCTGAAATACCGGTACTTTCTATGTTTCTGATAAGTAGTTGTCGCTTCTGTGGTTTGTTGGTTGAAAATATTTTCTTTAGTTCGATTTATTACGACGTTGGAGCATTGAATATTCATCTTTTATTTCAGAAAGCAAATTTATATTAGTTTGGAATTGGCTCGTTTGTAGCAGATGGTAAAATACTCGTATTTTGACCGCACGCTTTAAACATGATCAGCGCGAATAATTAGATACTGTACATTTTACCGCTGTGAAAATAACCCTTTACGTGTTCTTTTCTGGCTTGCTGTATAAGATTGCTGTTTTGGCGTTTCTAACAGCGTGGTATTATTTCTTTATTTTTCAAGAGTTACTGTTGTTGTTCGATCATTTTTCTGAACGCACTTTGTCGGTTTGTTGTGGCCTAAAAACTTTGCAAACATTTGGATCTTTTTAAATAACCTGTTGTGTACATCGTTTTAATAGCGGTTTATGTTAGGTGACTATTGCTTCGCAAGACGTGCCGGAGGATCTGGCCGAGACGGAGAAGGCGTTGAATCTGCACAAGCAGATGAAGGAGGAGATTGAGAATTACGCGGCGGAGTTTAACAAACTGATGGACATGGGCCAGCACGTAACGCGCGACCAGCAGGACCCACAGTATGTGATGCTGCGGGCGCGCCTCAAGGGCCTGAAGGAGGGCTGGGAGGAGCTGCAGCAGATGTGGGAGAACCGTCAGCAGCTGCTGTCCCAAGGTCTCAACTACCAGGTCTTCCTGCGAGACGCCAAGCAGGCCGAACAGCTGCTCGGTCAGCAGGAAAACTTCCTCGCCCGCGACGAGTTACCCGTAAGTTAACGAAGGCTGCCCTTATTGTTCTTTTTATCGATTAGCTAATAGGTACTAATAATCAGTTTCGACCGATGTGGTGCTGTGATGTAATGGGAAATAAACGATGCCACTGAAAATTTTTTTGGCCATGCTTAAAAGAGTTGGTGGTGAATGTTTCGTTGTTGAACTATTGTAATGAAACTGAAATTGTATATTGCAGAGAAATCTGGAAGAAGCTGAAAATATGCTGAAAAGACACGATGATTTCATCACCTCGCTGGATGTCAACCAAGACAAGATCCAGCAGATCATTAACCAATCGGAAAGGCTGACCTCCGAAGGCAATTACGCCTCCGACCGTATCTTCCGCAAAGCGGAAAACATCTTGGAACGCTTTAATGCCAACCGCGACCGCGCCAACAGCATCGGCCAGAAGCTGCGGGATGCTCGCCAGTTGCAGCAGTATCTGCGCGATGTGGAAGAGCATCTGGAGTTCATCAACAATAAGCGGATCCAGGTAGAGGACGAGAACTACCGTACGGCCAAGACGGCCCACCAAAAGTGGACGCGCCACCAGGCCTTCGAGGCTGAGGTTGCCGCTAACCGGGCCAAGAACGACGAGCTGCGTGCCGAGGGCGAGGCGCTGATGCGTGAGAAGCCGCAGTTCGCGCCGGAGATACAGCGCTCCCTCGACGAGATGAATGCGCGTTGGCAGGTCAGTTAGTTTTTAAAATAGTTTTTATCAGATTGCAGAATTTAAAAATTAAGCTCATGGTTAAGTTGACAAAGAGCCACTGAAAGAATTTTAAGAGTAGCTAGATTTGTGGATGCCATGCGGTTGATGCATTTGGTGAGTGACGGTAGACTTTGGCCCCTGACTGATCAACGCTTTTGTTAAGCCACTCACGAGGAGTTGCGATTGTATGACTAGTTTTGCCGTTCCCTGTTATCTTAGAGTGCATAATTACTACCCTAAATAATTTTCTGATCATCGGCATCGGGATAAAAATTTTGAACGTTAGTCCCTTTCGCAGTTGGTGAACAGAGTGATTGTATTAGTAATAATTATTCTTATTCCTTATCATTCTAATCAGTTACCCCACAGTGCGGCGACGATTGTGTCGTATATTATTCGGCTTGACCATTAATGGAAGCATGATGTGATAGGAACTGGAGGATGTGACGCGGTCGAAGGGCGAACGGCTGTTCGACGCCAACCGACAGGCCATCTATGAACAGACCTGTGATGACGTGGACAACTGGGTAACGGAGCTGGAAACGCAGATCCTGACAACCGAGACCGGACAGGATTTGACGACCGTCAACATCCTCATGCAAAAGCAGCAGATGCTGGAAAACCAGATGCAGATGCGCGCCCAGCAGGTGAGCGAGCTGGAGCGCCACGAGGATAAACTGCAGGAAATTGTCCCTGATAAAACGGAGGAGCTCAAGCAGCGCCGTGCCGAAGTCGAAGAAAGGTGAGCACAGTTTCTTCCATGATAAGATATAATACCTTGAAAACTATTTCCGTTGATTGTCTGAATGGTGGCATATAGGTTGTTTTCCTCAAAGATTTCCCTTCATTTTTTACGTCTCAGATTGTTGGTAATAAACTATATCTAGTAATATCTGTAGAACGAATTTTGTGCCATACAGTTAAAAAGTACATAGATTGGTTTACGGTATATTAACAACTTGACTTAAGAAAACAGTTGTGGTACTGGAATGGCAACTGCTTATATTTATGTGGTCTTACAAGGCAGATAATTAATGCGAATGTTGTATTTAGGTTCCGGCGTCTGCAGCCCTCGTTGCAGGAGCGCCGGCGTGAGCTGGAGAAGAAGAAAGAGGCCTTCCAGTTTCTGCGGGACATTGACGACGAGAAGTTCTATATCCACCAGAAGATGCAACAAGCGACTAGCCCCAACGTCGGCAACAACCTTTTCGAGGTGTTGCGGCTGAAGAAGCAGAATCAGAATTTGCGCCAAGAAGTTCACAACCACGAGCCTCTTATTGACGCCATTGACCGGGTTGGACGCCGGCTCATCGATGACCAGCATCCTGAAAGCGCTCGATTTAGTGTACGCTCTGCCTGAATGAATCTTTTTGTCTCCATGATGTTTTCTTTCTTCAAAATAATAATAGTAATCATAATGATAATAATCATGTCATGAAATTAAGATATTTAACCGACATTGGACAATGTGTTACTAAATCGTATACGGAATAACTTTGATGGATAATTTAATTTATAAAGAAAAATTTCATCTGATTTTTCTTCTGGAAGGAATTTATTAGTTTATGTGGGTGTTATTATGTAGGAATTATTGCAAGACTTGAGAGCACGGTGGAACGACTTGAAGGACGCGATTGAGGACCGGGAACGGCGTCTGGATCTCAGTGAGGCCGCTCAGCAGTACTTCTCGGACGCGAACGAAGTGGAGCAGTGGATGAGCGAGCAGGAGCTGTATCTGTTGAGTGACGACCGCGCCAAAGACGAACCCACGGCTCAAAGCAACCTCAAGCGGCAGGAGGCCATCGAAATGGCCGTCGCCGAGTACGAGGCCCGCATCCGCCACCTCAGCGAGGCAGCCGACCGCCTCACTAAGGACGGCAACCCCTTCGCCAACCAGGTAGGCTCACTCATTTCCAAGCCAGACTCAGAAATAATAAAGAAGTAACTGTTTCTAGTCATATTACATGAATGTCTGAGACCTTAATGGTCGTATGAATCAGTAACTGAGAAACTTTTAAAAATATATATGCTTTGCTTCATGCAGTCCCATTGGTGATTATTATAGAAATATTCCTTTGTAAATTGACAAGGCCAAGATTTGCAACTAGTGTGATTGTTTGTCCATTTTTTACAGCACTTTTTGTCTGAGAATCGGTACTGCATGTTGCAGTGTGAAACTTAATAGTGTATGTGCCGGTGCGTATCTGTAGGTGAACGCCCGGCAAGCGCAGATTGAACGGACGTACGCCGGCTTGAAAGATCTGTCACGGGACCGACGCAACCGCGTGGGTGAGACGATGCGGCTATTCCTGCTGCAGCGTGACATCGACGATCTCGAACGGTGGATTGCCGAGAAGGAGATCGTAGCCAATAGCCACGAGCTGGGCCAGGACTTCGATCACGTAACTATCCTGCGCGAGCGCTTCGATCGTTTCTGCGAGGAAACGGAGGCCGTCGGCGTAGAGCGCGTCCGCCTGGCCAACGAGGAGGCCAACCAACTCATTCGCGCCGGCCACACCGACGCTCCCCTTATTGCCCAGTGGAAGGATCGCATCAATGAAGGATGGGAGAACCTGAGGGAATTGATGGAGACAAGGTACGGCGGCTGTAGTTACTGATGATGATAGTTTGGGATGGATTAAATTAGTTGATATACTAAACCGATGCCTTTAATTTTATTTAACGCAGGAAACAATTGCTGGCGGCATCTTACGAGCTGCACAAATTCTTCTGGGATTGCAAGGACCTCCTTAGCCGTATCCACGAGAAGATGAACTCAATCGTGGACGACCTGGGTCGCGATGCCGGTAGTGTATCGGCACAGCAGCGCAAACATGCCAGCTTCCAGAACGACCTCGTGCCGCTGGGCCACCAGGTGGAGGGCATCCAGGAGCGTTCCACCAAACTCCTTAACGCCTACGCCGGCGATCGTGCCCGCGAAATCCAGATGCGCGAGGCCGAGGTGGTCAATGCCTGGCGCCATCTGCAGCAAATGGTCGAGCAGCGACGTCACAAGCTGGCCGATACCGGCGATCTATTCCGGTACGGATCTCTTTAGTTTCCATCACAGGATTGTTTTGTTTTCCATCTCTTCAATGAATTTTTTAAAATTAATAAGAAGCAGTAATAAAATAGTATTAAGCGGCTTCGAGTTAAATTTGATTTGCAATTATAATAAGCGGTGTTCTGTAGGTTTTTCAACATGGTGCGTGACCTGATGCTGTGGATGGAGGACGTGACGCGCACGATGAACACTTCCGAGAAAGCTCGCGACGTGTCGGGTGTTGAGCTGCTGATGAACAGCCACCAATCACTGCGCGCCGAGATTGACGCCCGCGACAGCAGCTTCGGCGAGTGCATCGAGCTGGGGAAGGATCTGCTAGCGCGCAGCCACTACGCTTCCCCCGAGATCCGCGACAAGCTGGTGCTGTTGACCAACACGCGGCAGGGCATGGTCAACCGCTGGGAAGAGCGCTGGGATCATCTCAAACTGAGTATGCATTTTTAAATGGCGGAAGTATAGTAACGGCAAATGTATGACTCCGTCTTCTTTTGCAGTCCTCGAAGTGTACCAGTTCGCCCGCGATGCCGCCGTGGCCGAGGCCTGGCTCATTGCTCAGGAGCCCTATCTCTACAGCCAGGAATTAGGAGTAAGTCAACTTTCTTATTTTCATTCTTGCGAAACCCATTCAGTAAATTTGTTATTGAGAAATAAATTTGTCAGTTGCCTTTCTTTCTTAGCCAACCTAATAATTTGATAATTTCTTGAACATGCCTATGTTTTGTGAAGTTTCTGCCATCTTATGAGTTGTTGTATTCAACTTGACTTTCATCGTGAACTGAAGGGTCGTTATGCGGGCTGTAGTTTCGTTGATATACAGTATTTCGAGATTACTGACTTGTGAGTGTTTTCTGTATGACTGCCTGATTAACGCGATGGCATTCTTTTAATGCAGCATTCGGTACAAGAAGTGGAGAAGATGATCAAGCGGCACGAGTCGTTCGAACGATCAGCCGCCGCTCAGGATGAGCGCTTCCAGGCACTGACACGCCTCACCACGGTATGTCGCTTTTGAATTTCCTCGTTGTAAGATATGAACGAGGAGTGGTGTCATGTAAGGAATGCTGTTTTCTCTCACAGTTGGAGTTGCGCGAGATGGCTCGCCGCCGACAGACGGACGGAGAGCGCCGACAGTCTGAGCAGCGCCGACTGGAACAAGCCCGTCAGGAACAGCAGCGACGCGAACGGGAACTCATCGGGTACATAGTAGTTTCAGTCAGTTGTCGACATTAGTGTTCCAGAGAAAACAAGGAGTATATTAGGTCAGGCCAGGGACATCTGTATAGGTTATCCAACCACTGCTGTGTTAGCCGATGCAAATAAGTACGAATTAAAGTGGGCTGATGTCAGACCATGGGACGATACGATCTCGTACGACCCAGACAAGCAGTCCCAGGAAGTGACTTGTGTAGCGATGACTCAGCTCGATGTTATCGTGTGAGGCAGACCTTTTGCTTGCATGATTCTCAGTCGTCTGACGCCATTCACAGCATACTGGTTTATCGGAATGCTGTATGAGGAGCAAGTTATTGTAATAATTACGAAACCTCCTCTTGAAGAGCAGTTTAGATGCTAAACCATCTTGTAGGACGGTTGGTCTAACGAGTGTTGATATTTGTTTCTGCGACTGTTTATTTGTTTCTGTGAATTGATGGTGGAAGCAGCCGGTAGAGTTGCGTTGAAATTCTACAGTTGAATTGAGTGTGTGTCCTTTAACCACAGCACCCCCACCACAAGCACGGCCGGAGGTGCCGGTGGATACGGCTCCGGTGGAGCAGGCAGCTACGTGCCCACTACCCACACCCAAGTCACGGAGGTTGAAGGCCCCATTTCCCCCAGTAAGTGACGTCCAGCAAGTGGTCGGTCGAACTGGTTAAGCAGTATCATTGAAAGATATCATCTCGTACGTTGGATACTCATTGGTGCCTGTTGTAGCACGCGTCACGGTGACGCCCGGACAATCCTCCCCCGGCACCACCAGCCCGGCGGGTCGCACCATCACCCCGGGCTCTCCAGCCGGCGGCCACATGCCCGGGACGTCGGGTACCCTCCCCGCGGTGCAGGAAACGGATGCGCTGATTGTGGAGGGTCCACTGTCGCGCAAACACGAGACAACCAGCGGCGGCGGCAAGGCCTCTGATCGGTGCGGCTCACTCAGGGTTTTTCTGTGTGAATGAACCTTTCAAGCGTAATTATGTTGTAGGTCGTGGGTGAGCCTGTATGCCATTATCCGCGGACAGCGCCTGCTGGTTTATCGCGATGAAAAGCATTTCAAATCGGTAAGGCGAATCGGCTTTCGATGATGGGAGAAAATTTGCTTTTTTTGAATACGGTTTTTGTGTGCTGCTTGGTTGTGTGTATGTAAATGACGTCCTTTTGTTTCAGTATTAAATGGATGTCTTTTCAGGGTGGACAGACGTACCACAATGAGCCGGGACTGGATCTGCGCGGAGCGGAAGCGGCCCCCGTCGATCACCACGCCAAGAAGTTTGCATTCCGGGTTGTGCTGGCCGACGGCAGCACTTACCTCTTCGACACCCGCAACGATGTACGTAAATGCAATAGGCCTCTTCCTGCTTTGCTACGAAGAAAGTTTAATTAATTTACAGTCTACTACTCAGTTGAGTGGGTAATTAGTTGATTACTTTTTGTGAATTGCTTTGGTCCTTCGAACATCAGGAACGGTACTCTAGGGATTCTGGTTGTTTTTCACTTTCTTTGCTAATGTAACTGAGTACTATTCTACTGAGTAAGATGTCAAGCTTTGGTTGGTTTAGTCGGTAAAGCAAGAGTTCCGGACCACTGGTTAGGATTTTTTCCGATTATTAAGGAATTTCATGTTACTTTTTATTAAAGGTTTTAACTGGCTGATTACTTTTAATTTTGTTAATACATAGTTTAACCACTTCTTAATCAAATGGGTTTGACGCTGCAGGATGAGCGGGGCATCTGGGTGGAGACCATCCAGGCGCAGGGCGGAGAGGGCTCGCCGGAAGGCCGAGCCTCCACCCTGCCGGCGGAGTTGTCGCGCAAAGAGGGCAAACGCAGCAGTCTGCCCTGGCGGAAGAAGTAGACAGACGGACGGATGGAATGAACCAAATTGATGTGGACTGGCTGTCGTAACCATCGCGCCGGGCCACACACACTGCCCCTTGCATCCTTTTTAATCCCTTCATTTCCTGTAATCCAGCTCGGCGCCCAGCTACGCGGCGCAGCACCATCTTTCTCTTTCGGGTTTTATCAGCTGATTGGCGCGCAAGCCGCGCAACTGAATTTGCAGCGTTTTATCGGGTGGTTTTTTAGTCGTGTGCCGTGTCTAGTGAAAGTTGTTTTTTTGCCGCCTATTGGAGGATTTTTGTCATTCAATGATTATATTATTCTATATTTTCGGGGGAATTTTAATGGTCATTTTATTTTTGTTATAATTGATTGTGTGGAAATGGTGTTTTTCCTCGGTCGCGGATGGGAATGGACGGGGGGTGGGTGGAACGCGGTGCGGATCCGATGGATGGAGGATATGACGCGGTGTCTGTTCTCTTCTCTCTCTCCCTATTCTGCGTTTCTGTGGGTGCATTTATCAGTTACGTAGTTGGTTTCGTCGATTACGTAATGCGTACCGTTGTGCTGTGGATGTGTTCCAGTCGTCACACATCGCATTTTGCCATACAGTTGCATATTTCTGGTTATATCCATACTTCTAATTATTCTGCGTTTGTCGAGCGATTTCTTGTTTGGATGATCCAGCATATTTACGGATGAACCGTGCAGCTTTTTTGTTATTTTATCATAGTTTTGATTCTGTGCCGCTTTATATGGTTTTATGCAGCAGTCGAATGTTTTAACGGTTATTTAATTGAAATATACCGCGATGCAGCCAATAAAATCTCCGCATTTTTATTATCTGCCTTATGCATGGTGTTGGTCACGAATATAACTGCCTACAATGTAGTCATATCAAGAAACTCATATTGCAGTCAATTAATTCTAGCAGTAACATTTTGGATAACCTTTAGGTCGCACTTTGTAATTCAAAGAGCAGTTGAGCTAACGAAGCAGTTTTAAATCGTAATACAAACGCCTTCTCAAATTACGGTAAAGCAGCTGCTGCAGCTGCAGTAAAATAAAGGCCGGTAAAAAGTTGCGAAAATGAAGAAACGAGATAATAGATTAAAAGGACGGCTCGCTAGTCCGCGGGGGAAGAGGCCGCGTCGGCGCGTGTGAACCTAATCGTGAACAGTCCGGCGATAGGCTGTTGCTTGAGAACGTTATTCACGGCCTTCGCTACTTGATCTTTCTTGATGTAGGGAGGGGTGGGGGGGTGGGACGCTGGCGTCGTCCTTGGTGCAGTCCACTTCGTAGGTGACGAGCCGCTGGGTTTTTGATGCATTTTTCTCTGCCTTCACGAACTGGATGCCGGGCGATCATACTGTACTGCTCCGCTGTAACATGGATACATTCTATTGATTGTGAGTTGTATGGTACTGCATTGTTGCAACAGTACACGAGCTGGTGTGACTTAATATTCGAAAAAACAGTTACAGTACCGTGATATTTATCTAACTGCGGTTGAGCGCGCGCTCGAGCACTAAGCATACGAAAACTGTGGCTCGTCACCTCACGTATCCCCTTTGAAGTGATAAACCGATTCCTGGCGTGCCATCTACCGCTACCGAAATCGGCTAATTTCCGAAATGGTTGTCGCAGTTTGTTTCAAGTACTATAAAACTGGTGCGGCAGGACTTAGAGAAATATGGCCTGAAAAGATTAGTCATTAAGGAATCACCGTTTTCTAGAAGCGAAAGTTACGTCGGCAACACACTCAACATCGAACACTATAACACCGCATTTACTGGTTAGTGGTCATTGTTTCAGGAAGCTCGGTGCATACTGGTACTGGCACTGGGTTCGGTATTAACTTCATATGTTTATAATCTGTGGCGGGGAAAAATACTGCTAGACCAAGGGCATCAGTATACGAATAATGGGCGAAAACATATCTTACTATTATGAATTCTTGACCGCCAAACAAACGCTCTTTTTCGCAAAACATTCTCCGATTTCGTATTACAGTCAATGTCATCGTAAAGTGTAATAAGCAATTGAACAGCCAACTTACACCGTCATTTTAACAGTAATAACATCTACATAATCACATGGTCGAGAATTTAAAAGAGCGCATATATGTAAAACAAATCGTGACTCTTGGATTAACCAGCCACGTTGCCGGCGGCACAGATACCACAGACGGAGACGGGTGGGCAGACGTTTGCATTGATGGGCAGCTGCACACCAGCACCGTTGCCCAGATTGACCGGGATCAGGCTGATGAGGCCGCCGCCTCCACTGTTGCCACCGCTAAGCACCTGCGTGTTCTGGTTGTTGTTGTTCTGACACTGCGCCATACCTGCAAAACATGCAAAGGTCATACTGAGTTGACAAAGATTAGCAGCCGTTGCACTTACCGCACTGGGATTTCTGTTCCGCGGTGCAACCGGCACTGCCGCCTGTCAGCTGGGGTATCGGCAGCGCCGGCAGTTGGCGAGCGAAGCGAAGGGCGTTGGCGGCCGAGCACGCAACGAGGAGAATCAACACGGCTGTCTGCATTGTGAGGGAGTACTTTTGTTTTCGAGAAATGGAATAGAAAACAGAGTTGCAAATTAATAGTTGTGATTTCAACCATTTATTCCGTCCTTAAATACAGATGGCAGCCCAATTAAGTCGGTTGGCAGGGTGGCCAATTCCGTTCGGATTCTTCCGAGAACAGGATTTTTGCGTGACTTGCTGTGGTTGTCGTAATATGACCAGTTGTCGCGCGCTGTCTCGCTTGAAGGCCTGATGGCTGCTTTTGGCGTTCGTGTATCCCACAGACAGATGATGCCCGTCGCGTGCACCTAACGCGACTCGCACGCGGAATTCTATACCTTTTTCCGCTGGCGACAGAAAATACCTTCATAGCAATACTGGAGAGAAGTTTGTTTTTCGGAAAACGCTTTCGGTGCTGAAATAGTGTCGAGAGCTTTGCTGGCTTGCCTGAATAACATTATTCCAATTTTGTACACGGTCGGTGGAGAATTAAAATTAAATAGCGAAGTTCACATGGTGATCTAATAACCACAGTAATAAAAGCACCGTTGACGTTCTCACGTCACGTATTGCAAGCGGCAACATTGGGCCAAGTAGCGTTTTGACAACAGTTGCCGGTCTTGACAGATCCAAGGCGCATCGGTGGATATAAGCGTAGATATTCTTGCTAATAAGAATTTTTGTTACAACGTTTTTAACACTAGCGTAATTTTTACTGCCTCTGAGACAAATTTTTTGCGCCTCTGTATACAAATCATTTTGCTGCAGAATGTCGTAACCAAGAAAAGAAATGTTTGAGAGTACGCGAAAGTGAAACTTTTCGTGCATGCACACGAATTTGGTACCTTGTACCGGGCCATGTACAGAGTACATCTCATCTACCCTAATTCGTATGAATGAATTGTTTCAGATTACCCTGTACTCCCGCGAAAACTACTGCTTTCTTCATACGATACTATAAAAGTTTGCGAAATCTCGGAGATAAACATTTTAAACGAACGAACTTTGGGAACGTCCGGTGCAATATAGTTGGAAATGCCCGGTATTGTAGCGAACTTCGGGTTTTATTTTGAAAACTTTAGAAACTTTCATTTTTGAAATTTCGATTTCTCGTTCGAAAGATGAATTCCTCTAGTAACCGTGAACTGGAGTCGATTGTGATGCAAATCGATTCTGCCAGCGCGACTCTTCGAAAATGCAACGAAATAAAATCTTGTATAAGTGATTGTGCGAGTGTTTAAGATAGTGCAGTGCTAACTGCGTGGATAGTACGAGTATATTGAAACGAGTATATTGTATTGTATATTATAGTACTGTATATTATTGTATTGTATATTATATTATATTATATTATATTATATTATATTATATTATATTATATTATATTATATTATATTATATTATATTATATTATATTATATTATATTATATTATATTATATTATATTATATTATATTATATTATATTATATTATATTATATTATATTATATTATATTATATTATATTATATTATATTATATTATATTATATTATATTATATTATATTATATTATATTATATTATATTATATTATATTATATTATATTATATTATATTATATTATATTATATTATATTATATTATATTATATTATATTATATTATATTATATTATATTATATTATATTATATTATATTATATTATATTATATATACAGTATATTGTATAGTACGAATATATTGTATTGTGAAACACGGTCTGCGTGAACTGCGTGATTTTGTATTTCCCTTTATTCACTTTACGGTAATTCGCAATTATGTATGTAATGTAATGAAGTTTATTGTCCTTGCAACGAAGCGACTGCCCCCTCTAAGCTTCAGACAGCGGAGAACAAACCAGAATGTTAAAATAACATCAAAATGCGATACCACGAAAACATGAAAGCCAGCGGAAACAAGTATAAACCAGAAAAAACATCAACATATGCAAAAACAAACATCAGCACATGAAAAGCACTTAAAACTGCATGTTGTCGGTACGGTTGCGATAAGTCGCGTTTATTGTGGAAAAAGGGCGGGGAATTACCTCGTAATTTAGCTACCATATGGCCAATTATATGATATGGGTGCCAATTATTGATATCCGTCAGGTCATTCCGTATAAATTTCAGAGTTAATTTATTCTGACGCGAGAACAACGTTAACTTTACCGACAGGGTGGTGTACGAACATCTGTATATAAAATGGTAGTGGTACTATTCTGGTGCTGGAAAGCCGGGAATATCGATTTAATTTGTTGACAGCCTGATACAGTACTGTATAAGTTCACTGCTCCTAGAGCAAGCTGCATCGACAAAAACGAACGTGTTAAAATACATTTTTATTGAGCAGCGTCTTGAAAACAAGACATTATAACCACCTTTTTACGGTCGGTCATAATTATTATGAAACATAACACGTAAAAAAACAATTTTGTTCCATCACAACAGTCAAACAGATTCCGGGTAATAAGCCGTGATCTTTTAACCGAGAACATTAGCAGCGGCGCAGATACCGCAGACGGACACCGGTGGACAGACGTTAGCGTTAACGGGAACCTGCACGCCGGCTCCGTTCAACAGATTGAGGGGGACACCGCTGATGAGACCGCCGCCACCGGTGTTACCACCGCTGATCACCTGGGTGTTCTGGTTGTTGTTATTCTGACACTGAGCCATACCTGCAAAATAAAATTCACATTTGTGAAATTCAGTTGCTCGAGAGTCAGTGCGTTAGTAACAATACAGACAGAACAATATCATGAAAGTTATAAATTTCGTAAATGATGCAGTATGTATGCATGCAGACATAACAATCTAATTGTCTGTTTGGTAAGAAACTTAAGGTCATCAGCGCTTACCACAAAGCGATTTCTGTTCCGCGGTACATCCGGCAGAGCCGCCGGTGAGCTGGCGAGCGAAGCGCAGGGCATTGGCGCTGGCGCAGGCCACAAGGAGGATCAATACGGCAGTCTTCATTGTTAAGGGAAGGTTTTGACGTTTCGAGAAAGAGCTAAGAAATTCAGAGAGTTGATGATTGCGTTGTGGTACGGTTTGAGAAAAGCGTTCTTTTATATTGTCAAGCGCAATCTAGTGAATATATTAATAAAAGGAATATTCCGCTCAAGAAACGCGCATGCAATTTACTACAAAGCAATAAAACGTGAGCGATGGTTTCTTGGCATTGTTGTTTAACTGTGCGCTTGGCTGCTGGTAGGTCTGCATTACAGTAACGTGCGCCCGGAAGCGACGACGGAAGGCACCAACGTTTTGTTGTCCATTAATTGGCGCCATTGCGAACCTGTACTCTATACAGAAGTGCAATTCATTGTCAGTAGTCGGCTTCGGTCGACAGTCTTCCTATAACGTATGCCATAAACTGTCGATTCACTAACAGTAAGGAATACCGGCAAATAAAATAAAAAAATGCTATCAATACGAGTACAGTACACGATTTAACATATGCAGTAAGTGCAACTGAGCGATTCTGAGATATTTTGTATTGTATTGTATTTTGTATTATGTTGTTTTTTAGACGCTGTCAACTATACTCAAAGTAAATAAATGAGTATATTTTGTATTTAGCTACACACTTCTCAAACTTAAAATTTGCGAATATCTGGGATTTTGATTTAGCGTAATAATCGAAGGACGTAAGTAAGAGAAGTTAATAAGACTGCAGATAGCAAACAACAGAAGCTACAATCTCTGAAATCGAAAGCTTTGAAACGGACAAAAAGAAAACGTTTGCCGTAACCCTCACTATCTTTTACTGTAGGCGTAAAACGGGACTTAACATCAGGGAAACCCATGACACATTTTTAATTTTGACTTTTATCAGCTTTCTATATACATACTGTAGTTTGCTTTTTTAGCGTATACTGTTTAGAGTGCGCAGGTCAGTTCTATTGTTCTCGTACAGTTTTCTGGAGAGGCCGAATTGAAAAAGAGCTGATTGTTGAATCGCCATAAATGCCGCTGCCTTCGGCGTTCAATTTACGCCAAAATATCCACGCGACTTAAAACAAAACTATAGGTAAGAATGCGCTGGGTCACGCTTACTGTTAGCATGTACAACAATGTCGGCAACGTGACCTAAGGGTATTTTCCACTTGCAAAAACTGGCTCATTGTTCTGCTAAGAACTGCAGCGTGCATCGCACGTGTATGTGCACTGCGGCTTTTCAGCAACAGAGACATGTTTATTCTTTAGTCTGTATCTACAGGAATAGCCGATCTTAGCAGAATGTAATGGGGATGACCTTTTGTTTCCCGACTGTGTTGTCGCAGAACCAGCTGGGGAGCGTACAAACTTCTAATCTGCACAATACTCCAGTGCAGGAGTTACCTTGAGTAATTTAGGGGAAAATATAAAACAATATCAGAGGAAGCTGTTGCAACAGTTCACAAAAACCAAAGCGATAAAACAGTGCTTAGTTGTACTATTTTTTCATCTTTCTAATTGAGTTTTCATTTTTTCAGGTTTAATTTTATTCATAATCGTTTGTGCATAACACAGACACAAGTATTTTGGTCAGACTTTTAATGGATCTTCAACCTTCGCTGTGCTACTGTATATCGTGTCGCTGGGAAGGCTCGTCGCATCTTGAAGCAGAGCAGCTCAGAAGGACTGAGACGGTTACTAAATGTCGCTATACATATGCAATTTTTACTGTTTCGTGAGAGTTGATTTTCTGAAACCATAATTGCTGGCCGTACTGTATGCACGTTAAACCTAAACACAAAATCGTGCTGCCTACTACTCATCTTGGTTGTAGTAACGGAAAATGTTGCGCTGCACTGCAGACAACTGCTGGCGATCGCAAAAACGAAGACTCTTTACAAGTCCCAAAGTGCGGGCATAAGGAAATTAGGCAAGAATTCTTTTATTTGTTAGCGTTATTGTACAGTTGAAGCCAGTGACCTTCAATAGAAGCCTACTTTATAGTAACACGGAACATCCATTCAAGTCAACGAACCTCAAGGTCAAACAACTCGGTTAAATGCTGTATTTGTTTACAGCGTCAGCACGTGTGTAGATTTGTAAACACCAAAGTGCGCTTGCAGGTTGCGGTCCGAAGCAAGTTTGGTTGCTCGTGAAAATGTCGGGAATGGCGATCTAATACATACGGCGTCATTGTGCATAATAACGACCCTTTGGTTTGTTGCACTCTTTCTGTACCGCAACCACACGGTGCTGACGGTCGCTTTGTAGTAGTAACAGCGCAGCAGAATGCTATCGTATGCGCTGCTGCAATGTCTTTTCCTCTTGCCGTTCTGATTCCTATTCCAGTGTTCGCCGCACTACTCTAGTAGTCGCAGTGAGGTCTGAATGGTGATACCGGAAGTGTTTGTCAGGCAAAAGAAAAAAGAAGCGAAAAACATAAAGGACCCGCGCCGTACGTGCGCATAACCTCTTATAAGTTTTAAGTTCAAAAGCTCTATTTCGAAAACTTTTAACATTCGCAGTCTAGCTTTTGTTTGTAAAATATATCAACTTAATAAACTGAAATAAAATATATATTTTAAAAATTCTTTTCCGTTTAGCCTTTTCACGATTTTAGAGTTCAATGTATGGCGCAAATAAAGCTGATTGGCTGATCCAGTTCTTGATTACATCGACGCTTCGTTACAAGTGAAGATGTCCAACCACTCTTCTCACTGCACGTATTTGATACAGTAAGTTACAAGTAGCTTTTTGCTAAGCCGGTTCGGAATACTGCATAGTTTCATTTTATACAATTCATATCTGTGCGTGACTGCGTATATTGTGCGTTTTATACTGAGCGCCTTTCTTCATTTTACTTTTCTTCTGAACTCATGGTTTACAATGTACATAATTTGGTTGCCGAATACCCAACTGAAAAGCGTACGTTTAGGAAATAATATTTAACCTATAACCGCAACAAACTTCGTTTTAAAAGCGGCTTTCGTAAAGTCTAACAAGGCAGAAGTCATAAGCATATGGAAAACACCAACAATCTGTAGCATAACTTTGCTGCATAATTATTGCTCAGTGTTTTATGTCGAGCGGCACGCAGACGGTGTATCACGCTCCGCTTTCTCGTGGTTTACAATTAACATTCACCAAAGTTTGCCCGCAAGCCACAACACTGGCATAACCAACAATAATTCCACTGAATGTGTGCGCCAAACGCAAAAACAACTTCCATAACGCACGCTTTATATGGCACGTTGTGTCGTTAGTGGTCGTAAACATCTTGTTTGGGTAGATTCCCGCTTGACATACTAACAAAATGGCAGACGACAAATTAAGCTGCGCCGGACGTATCTGTATATAAAAAGAACTGCCGACATGTACAGTAGCCCTTACCAAACAAGTCTCAAAGTTTCTAAGCTTAAGCCCTCTGCAAAACATTACGTTATCTCTCCTCCGTCTCGTCGCAACCATGAAGTGCATCCTGGTGACCCTCCTCTTGGTGGCCTGCGTCAGCGCCAATGTCCTCCGTGAACGCCGCCAACTGACCGGTGGCAGCGCCAGCTGCACGGCCGCCCAGAAAGCTCAGTGCGGTAAGTGTCGTCGCGTCACATCGGCATTAGCTCCTTCTTAGCCTGCATTGTCTTTTACTGCAGGTATGGCGGAGTGCCAGAACAACGGCAACCAGAACACCCAGGTGATCACTGGCGGTAACCAAGGTGGCTCTCCCCTGATCAGCCTGATCCCCGTCAACGCCCTCAACGGTGCCGGCGTCCAAGTGCCCATCAACGCCAATCTGTGTCCACCGATTTCCGTCTGCAATGCCTGCTTGGCTGCCAACGTCCTCGGTTAAAGAAACACGCGGATTTATCCTTAATTTTGCTCAAATTTTGCAGTGCACGTGTACAAAGGTCATCAGTAGCTGCCTACAGATGTAGGTTTTCATAATATTTATGAACGCTACTGTGAACATCGTCATGACTTGCGACTGTGTCGAAAGTTGTTGGTTTGTTGAATTTAAGATAACTGTCAGAAATAAAGCATTTTTTGGTCTGTACACTTTTTTTCGATAATTATAAGTCATACTGAGGCACATCAAATTATCGAAACAATATGCCGCACAACGTCCCGATGGCTGCACGACCTTTGCCTGGCAGAGGAGATGTGTCTAGCTTGGGATGTCACGTGTGTGGATACCGTTACGCCTTCCCACATTAAATCTACGGCGGCTAACGCAGGTGCAGCCGCGGTGGAAGCGGAAGAGAAGAAGTCGCGGCTTTATCTGTACTTAAGCGGCAGGTATATTTTTGCTCCGATAGCCTTCGGAACAAGCCCTTGGGAAGCGGCTGCTATCGCCATTATCAAAGAATTGGGTAAACGACTGGAACAGCAAACAGGCGAAAAGCGTTCCCATGAATTTTTACGTCAAAGATTGTCGCTGGAGATACAACGGGGGAATGCGGTCTCAATTTTTGGGTACAATGGAAGGAGCGGAAAAGTTTAACGAAGTTTTTATGTTGTAAAAACTGTGATGTTTTTAATTAATGCATAATACGTTGTACCACAGGTGAATAATGAGAATATGCCGCAACATGGACAGGAGAAAAATACACAGTAATGTGTCTCGGATATTAAGATATATTGTAACAGTTATACTTATATTATACTAGTTTAATACCATGTCGCGCCTTATAAGAAGCAATGGCAGAAATACAGGGATTAGAGCTGCCATTTTAACTCCCGTTTGGATTAATTTTGGCATTCCATTCCAGTATACCGCCCGCGTAATTGCGCACATTGGTGTAACCCAGTTCTCTCGCCATCGCTGCGGCCAGTGTGCTTCGCCGACCCGAGCGACAACTGACAATAATCTCGCTATCCTGACCCTGAACTGCGAGGCCGTGTAATGCCTGCAGTTCCGATGGCGACAGCCGCAGTGTATCTTTGAACTGCCCCAGAGGAATGTTGACAGCCGAGGGAATTGCTCCGTCCTTGGCGAGTTCCGCTGGCTCCCGCACATCGATGAGGTTCATCGCGCCCATGTCGGACAGACGCTTCATTTCTTCGAATGTGACATCGGTCCCGGTGTTGCTAAGAATGCCGTCTGTGGACATTGCAATTGACACAACCAGGAAAAACACTATCACGATCTGTGTGCTTGGAGAAGCACCACACGACTGCGAGCCGTGCGTTAACATTTTTGCTGTTTGGTAAAAGCACCTGGTTCTTGCTATTTTGAACCGGTTTCGACGTACAGTACATGCACATTTACGGTTAGTGCTCTATCATAAGTACAGCATGCAGTATGCACGGTAAGCCTGTTATTAATAATTATGTTGCAGGTTTTGTTTCCGGCACATGGGAGGCTAAACTGGCTAACCCGTACAGTACTGCTTGCTTATACAATTCATCGTAATTACTGATTGACATCACGGCGATCACATGACTGTACGTAGTACTCTGCACATGTTTCCAAACCGAACGCTGCCGTCCACCTCCGCGCCGCACCTTTAATTAACGCTGCGGCGCTTATGCAACGTTAATTTACTGATAAGACTATACAGATACGTAAAGTCTTATAAGACGTTAGCGCCGTTAAACACCTTTGGGGACAGCATTACATATAAAGTAGCAGAAAATCTGTTAATTTTTATTCTCGTTTAAACACCGCTGTAGACACTAGACAGTACCAATAAATGTAATAATAATTATTATTATTGTATGAATTTTCTATTCGACAACATTACAATCAACGCTGTCGAAGCACGGCACGCCAGTAGGTGACACGGAGAGAAGTCCCGCAACAAGTGTCGTTCTCTCCTCATTCCTCAGCATTTGGTTTCCGCTCTCAGAAGCCACAATGCAATCAGCCATCGTTCTAATCTCGCGACCACACCGACGGGTTAAACGAGAATACAGATATTGAATTAAATACTGTAACTTAGTAATAATATTGGAAACATTTCCAGTATAACCTTGCAACACATGGAATATTTTTCTGGAGACGAAGCACGTGCTTGCGACACGTGGAATTTCCACGCATTGCCGCCTGCGGGCACAAAGGACGCTGACACGGGTTAACCGCAGATCCCCACGGCAAAAAAAGCTGTCGACACTGATCATCCGCGCATTCATCGCAAGGACATCCCTTCAGCCACCGCAGGCTGCGCAGCTGCACTGACTGGTGAACTGCACGACCTGCGTCGATGTTTCGAACCTATATTGCTACTGATAACGATCCGCAAGCGGACTTGTATTAAAAAATCTTTTAATACGAAAAACAATATATAGTTAATCCTGACGAACAAGGCCGAATGCACGACATTGTATAATTTGCATGTGTTGGTGTAGCCCTGGCCCCTTATAACGTTTGACTGCATGGAGCGAGTAAGTTTAATTCTATAATAAAGCTGTCACAATGCACAAACAACAGCCGCGTGATGCACAAACAACAGCCACCTCTCTACAAATAGTACGTAACACATTTGCCTGTATGATTAACGTTGCTCTACACAGGCTGGAATACTTGTACAATGCGTGCAGTACATGTAGCCTTTTCTCTACTCAGAAGAGTATGGAATTCGGCTGAATTTCTGGCTGTTTCATATTTGCTTGTCTCTGTGGCAGGCTTGCAGCCAGTACACTGTACAGGTAAAAGACTGCGTAAAAAAAGTGTGCATACCCGGAGAAATTTTTGTGATGAAAAACTTGCGAAAAATGTCCTCGAAGCGTTACTAAGCGAATACTTGCATAAAAGAAACCGCTACCACTGTGGAACAAACAAAATGAGTAATGGGTTGTTTTGAACCAGTGTCGCTGCGGTGTCGAGAGCTACCTCCCTCCGGCTGTGCATACCACGGACCCAAACCACAAGTGCATCGCAGTGAACAATGCTGAGAAAAACTTGTTACTCACGATCAACGTAAAATGTGTGATGCAGTACACAAGCCTTGACTGTTAATCATCGTACTCTGTAGAACAATTATGCGCCGGAAGTTGCCAATCGGCATGCGCGCTTTGTACTAATTAGCCGCGACCGCAGTGTGGCTTTTTTGCCAACACAGAACTTGCTATATAAATAAACCACTTGCGGTTTTTCGAAGCAAACAATCCTGCAACTTTCGACAAACTACAAACTTTCCTGTTTGCTATCAAGTCATTAAGTATCACATATCAGCTGCAGCCATGAAGTGCATCTTGGTGACCCTTCTCTTGGTGGCATGTGTCAGCGCCAACGTTATTCGTGAACGCAGACAACTTTTGGGCGGTAACGCTAGCTGCACCGCGGCTCAACAAGCGCAGTGTGGTGAGTGACCTTTTTGGATTCACGTGTTCAAAGGCCGCTGTTCACAAAATTAAAAGACCCTTTTAATGCAAGCTATAAATTTGTATTTGTAAAGAGTGATTGTTGCATTGAAAAAATTTAATTATCTCCGGTCTGTAATTGCAGGGTCGGCACAGTGTCAGAATAACGGCAACACCAACACTCAGGTGCTGAGCGGCGGTAACAGCGGTGGTGGTGGCCTGATCAGCGGCGTGCCCGTCAACCTGCTGAACGGTGCTGGCGTCCAGCTGCCCATCAACGCCAACGTCTGCCCGCCCGTATCCGTATGCAATGCATGCTTGGGTGCCAACGTTCTCGGTTAATTGATTACAGCAACCGATAGTGTATTATTCTTTTTATTCTGATGTTTCTTACGACACATTGGCTGTGGACGAATAGTGCACCTGACGAATCCGAAATCTTGTTGACTTGTTAGTATTTGCACATACAATAAATTAAATTACTCCGTTTCCTTCTGCCGGGATGAGTTCACAAATATTACCTCATGTGGTTGCAGCGCGATCCGTTGTGTCAAAATTACCTAACGCCATTTGTCGCAATCTCCAGGCCACATTAAAGCAGTAATTAAACACAGTTTATTAATTTTTCACGCATTGCGGTAGTGATAATTAAACTCTTAATTATGCTGGGAATTAAACATCATGATTAATTCAATTAAAATTATGGCAATTTTGAATTAAGCTTGAGCATAATTAAAATTGGTCAATTCTAATTATACTTAAGCTTAATTATAAGTCAAATTAAAAATAATATTTTCTGATAGATCAAAAGAAAATTGAATTTTAATTATGATGAGCAAAATTAAAATTGGGCAATTTTAATTATGCTCCAGTTTAATTAAAATTGTTGAATTTTGATTATGCTGATCATAATTAAAACTCAGCGATTTTCAATTATGATTAGCTTAATCAAAATTATAAGCAAAATAATTTTGATGAGTTTAATATTCACTACACTGCGGCTTCAGGCTGCTGAGCACCAATTAAATATCAAGTGAATTTTTTTGCTAACTGCAGATACAGGTAAATATTCAGTCAAAGCAAACAAAACTGTCGCTAACAGTGCACATACATAGTGACTATAACGCTCCAAATACGGATTCAGCACATTGCTGCTACACTCGTACTGTAATTAAATGCATGACATGTGTGGAGAAGGCTCAGCCGATACAACATTGAGTTATTATGTTACAATTCAAAATAATTAAATCCTACAAAATTTACAGCGAAATTTTACACGAACTAATTTCCAGATGAATAATTCAGTACTTGCTGCGCTGTTTAAAGTCATGAATGGTAAACACTGGCTCATATCCCGCAAGTGGCCGCAACATAATAAGCACCATACATACCATTAGTAATGAAAACAGATTTATTAAAGTTAACAGCGCAAAGTAAACGTTAACAGAATAATTCAACACTATTATTATGTTAAGCTTTAATTTTGCAATATCCGGACACTACATCGGAAAGCGGCACGCCGGATGTTATTTTACGATATATACGATTGTGTTGTGCTTAATGCGGTGTTTATCGTGCATACTGTACATATGTTGTCAACAAAATTTGCCCTTTGGCTATCAACATCGCTCCGTCAACCGACAACCAAGCAGCAATTACACAGTAACTTCGCACTAACGAGAAAATAGCGTTCGCTCACGTTTAATGCACCGTGGTAACCGAACACGCGAGCGAAACGGAAATTTCCTACGTGGTCAAACAAATTTACTCCTAATGAGTATATAAAGAAGCTTCTCGTAGACAGATAAAACAATCCAATTTCACTAGCAAATCTTTACTTCTTCTTCTTCTCTTTACGTCCTAAACGCTTCCGTCCCTCCTTCGCCGCAACCATGAAGTGCATTCTGGTAACCCTTCTCCTGGTGGCCTGCGTCAGCGCCAATGTTATTCGCGAAAAACGACAACTGACCGGTGGTTCCGCCAGCTGCACGGCTGAACAGAAAGCTCAGTGCGGTAAGTAAAGTGTAACCTTTAAAGATTCTATGAAAGTGTTAGGTCTCACCCATAGTGGCCGTAATTTCATTGATTTATGGTTAATGTAGGTTCGGTGCAGTGCCAGAACAACGGCAACACCAACACCCAAGTTAACAGCGGTGGTAACACCGGTGGCGCTGGTCTCATCAGTGGCATCCCTCTCAATCTCCTTAACGGTGCCGGTGTCCAGGTGCCGGTCAACGCCAATGTCTGCCCACCCGTGTCCGTGTGCAACACCTGTTTGGCTTTCAACATCCTGGGTTAAACGCCAACTCGTGTAATTCTCCTGTCTGGATCGTTTTCGAATTTATGTCCAAAGTTCGGAAAATGTGAATGCCACAGTTTCATAATATTTATGAGCTATAAATCCATGAAAATGTGATCGATGAACATTGGTTGACCTTATAAATAAAACGTGAATCAACTAAATTCTTACAGCCGTATTGTCACGTACTCGTGTATTCGCATACTTCTAGAGTTGTCTGAAAGCATGTTACGAATTAATCGGCGAAAAGTACGCGGTAATACAAATATCACACAAGGTTGCTGGCTAAAATGCAGTTTATGAAGCACTAATATTATCTGACACCAACACACTATTTTTAGTGTTATATCTTCTATTATGTATACATGCAGCAATCTTTTATTAATATATCTTTTGGTGGCCTTTCATTAATTCTGTGAAAGGAGTATGGAGCTTCAAACATTCGGCCACAATATAGTCATTAATCTCCATATATACGTAAATTAAAACGACAGGTTTTGTATACTCCTTTCTGTTTAAGGTTTTGCTGAAAAGGCTTCGTATTCATAACAAACCGTTATTTAATAACCCTTGGTTGGTCTTTGAGGAGAGAGGACTGAGCAACCCACAACTGCTATAAAGTGCAGGTTTTAGCACTTTTTTAATTTAAGTTTTGCTTACTTTAGGTTTTTACTGTTTATCGATACTTTGTGCAAGACGCGTCGCTGCTAGGTTCACTTTTCATAGCACATACCATCGACCTCTATTGTAAGAATAGTCAGGTTCTTTTTCCATTGGCCCTCGTAAGTCTTGATATTGGAGAAACATAAATATCAAGACGATTCTAAACCAGAGCCAGGTTTAAGCCGTTTTTCTAATATTTCAGAATGATTGTAAATATGAGTTATAAAATGGTGAAAAAGTATTCGGGGTTTGGTTCAGAGTCGTTCGCAAATTTATTTGCCTGTAATTAAAGCTTTGAGAAAGATGCGATGATAATCTGATTTGATGCTCCGAAACGCGCTATTTTAGGTGTTACGCGTTACGCACTTAGGGCAAGCGCTTTAGTCCGTTTTCATGAAAATTAAAATTTATTTCTAGTACAGCTAGCACTAGGACAACTTACAAACCTCAGTACTCACAAAGGAGACTGCCCTCCGAAGATGCAGTTCTGCAGTTTCGTGACCTTTTGTAGGCAAGATCTGGCTTAAATTTGCAGCTGCGTATGATTACTGTAGAGCTAGACTACAGAGCCGACAGAAGCGTAGCTCCAGGAAAAACGTGTTAGTCACGACTCACGGGCGGTCCGCATAAAACGCTATCAATTCCGAGCGACAACGATCCGCAAAATGTGCGGCACAGACCGCACTGTAAACATCCTTATGATTGTCCGCTTTCTTAGAACAAACTGTACACGTGAACTTGGTCTGTGAGTCGCTCCAGTTCCATTTAAGGTTGCAGGACTAATGCCGCATATTTATTTACTCCCGTATCGAGTAGGAGTACTTTAAAGGGGCTGAATAATATGATTGCATTGAGTAAAAAAAATTAAATTTCAGAACTAACTTATGGTTAGTGACATACTGTGATTTCCATTGAAATCATAATGACAGAGTAAAAAAAACTTGCTTTCAAATTACCTACATGTATTCTGGTGAAAAATGAATAAATTACGAATAACGGCCAACGCCAGAAATTTCTTTATGTGTAATATTAATGACGACCGGATTGTTTTGCGTAGATATTTTCTCTGTAATTACACGTTCTAACTGTGTATATTATTATGTTTCTTGGTTCAAAAATGTAATGCTGCAGATAAACGCCATATTCTTTCTCCAACAAAACCACTGAACATTAAAAATATTATAAACGGCTGATGCACAACACGTTGTTATTGCCAATCAATATGTTGCACCCAGTGTTAATGTTGTTTTTCCACACGTGGAATTGTGGTCAACAAAACATGCCCAGCGGCCTCGCATTCCGAGCAATAAACCGCAAAATTGAATCGGCAAATACTACTATCGAGAAAACACAGCGTGTTCACGTTTAACACCAGCCGTTAATCATCCATGCGAACGCAACGGAATATTCCGCCTGTCGCCAGTAAGTCGCGTGGAAACCACGTCTGTCCAACTATATAATCCGTCGCAGTTCGCGAATAAACTTCACAACCGCAAAACTGCTAAAAAACTATTACTAACAATTTGTTAAGCCTGTCAAGCCGTTCTTAATCTCTCACAATGCAGACAGCCGTGTTGATTCTCCTAGTTGCGTGCTCGGCCGCCAACGCCCTTCGCTTCGCTCGTCAATTGCCTCTGCCTCCGCTGACAGGCGGCAGCGCCGGTTGCACCGCTGAACAGAAATCCCTCTGCGGTAAGTGCAGCGACTGGTGACCTTTGCCAACTCAGCGTGATTTTTTTATGTTTTGCAGGCATGGCACAGTGTCAGAATAACAACAACCAGAACACCCAGGTGATCACCGGTGGCAACAGTGGAGGCGGCGGCCTTATCAGCCTGATCCCGGTCAATCTGGGCAATGGTGCCGGTGTGCAGCTCCCCATTAACGCAAACGTATGCCCGCCAGTCTCTGTCTGTGGTGTCTGTGCCGCCGCCAACGTCGCTGGTTAATAAGAGCCTTTATAATATGCGTCTGCTGATTATGTGAACCATATTGGTTTTCTGTATATGTTTTGACAAAGCTGCTGTGACCGAATTGTTTCCTGAGACGATATTGTTAAAATGATACGGATGTTGAATTTCCGAATGAATTCATTAAATGACTGTCAAACACTTTATAAGCGAAGCCGGTAATCAGTACGAAATATAATAATTAAAGTACCGTACGTAAAAATCAATTTGGAATTGTATTAAAGAGCCAGCAATAAACAGCACAATGAAAAACAGTTGTAAAAAAAGAGGTCATCTCGAAGCTCTTTATAACGACTTGAGGTTTTTATTAATGTTGTGCTTCCTCGGCCACGTTAAGTTTTCTTTGTGGGAAAACAGATCAACGGACCTGAGCTCGACCTTGCATTTCTTTGGTGCCTTTGCCGCGACGTATTTGATAAAAGACAAAACTTATGAGGTCAAGGTTTCTGAACGCGTACATTTCCGGTGCTGGGAATTTCACTTGCAAACTGTACGATCAGTAATCAGAATGCTAAAATTAATAATCATTTCTGCTAGAACGGTTCTGTTTTAACTTTTAAAAACTACTTGAAAGCCCATTCGTTGTCGTCACTGTTGTGGGAGCAAGGTCCAATAATGCCCAACCCGGAAATGCTGCAGCGCACGCAACAGATTCACTGTACATACCCGTACCTACAGGGTACAGTGAATTTTGACGGAAAGGTTTCGCACATGAGATGATTTTTAAGGCTTCAGAGGAACAGTAACCGCGCATAAGTTCATAACTATGAGCGGAAGATTTTAAGTGATGAACCAGCGTGAATGTGCCTAAGTTATTCATTTTTGTATGGTTAATTGCTCGGCTGTAAATATCGCTGCAGCATAACCACATGAACGAAATACATTTCCTTTTGCAGCGTTAATAATTATTACACCGATTTTCCGATGTGAAAATAAATCAGTGTTTCGTTGCATGTTTCTTGGCGAGAATAACATCTTTATTCGTTATGCACGAAAATGCTTTGCCTTCATTACATTAAATTTGTTGGATATCCATAAAGTTACATGCTTTCAATCATTTTATGTAATATTATTATTTCTATCTGGCGATTATAACTTGTGATTGGGGTTAGTAATAATATCTGCACATACTGACTGTGTAATTTATGATTCCATAAGAAACATATTTTGATAAACATTGTCCACGCGTAAATAATTATGTGGCCACAAAACAGCCGCAAGGTGTTGTACATGCATAGGTGTGTATCTCTACGCTGCATACCGCCGCTATTACGGCGGCCCCCATGCGAAAAAGCGGAGCAATCCGGCGCCACCAATTAGCAGCAACATTTTCACGAAAACAGCCTTGTCACAGTCGTTCGTCCTTGCAAACGAATGGCAACACACATCCATCGGCACTTCCCCAAGTTGTTTACGCCAAAATACAGGCGCCGGTGTCCGAAATATAAAACCGCATTCACCCGAGACGCTGATCAGCATTAAGCTAGTCGACTTAACACAAAAGCACTTTTTCTTCGCAAAATACGCGTCTCTTCTCCTCCCTTCGCCGCAATCATGAAGTGCATTCTGGTGACCCTTCTCCTGGTGGCCTGCGTCAGCGCCAATGTTATTCGCGAAAAACGACAACTGACCGGTGGTTCCGCCAGCTGCACGGCCGAGCAGAAAGCCACATGCGGTAAGCGTCACCACTGTAACATCAACTCGTTTTCTGTACCTGAACAGTGTGTTTTACAGGTCTCGCGCAGTGCCAGAACAACGGTAACAGCAACACCCAGGTGGTCAGTGGCGGTAACACTGGTGGCGGCGGTATCCTCAGCCTGGTGCCCATCAACGCCCTCAACGGAGCCGGTGTGCAGGTGCCCATCAACGCCAACATCTGCCCACCCATCAGTGTCTGCAATGCCTGCTTGGCTGCCAATGTCCTTGGTTAGCGGCTTTAATGTGTTCTTACTTGTTTGACCTGTTTGATGAGCGGACGTAGCTGTCTGCATGGGTGATACCGCTGTATTCATTAACTGATTTAATGAGCACTTCCTCGGGGCCCTCATAATATTTATGAGTTATGGCACTAGATTTTTTCTCAAGTCAGCGTCTTTTGTGGAGACTACTCAAATTAAAGAAAAGCCAAATTTAATTACCGCATTCCCGTGCTGCCACAGAAAACAACCTGTTGCTTGCATCAGTGCGTACGTTAGTACAATTCCAATAAATTAATATGCAACGTCTAACGACTTCATTGTACTGACTTCCTCTCGGACCAGTAGTTTGAAATGTTCCCCGAACGAAAATTAGACCACCTTACACAACTATTTCGTTGCGTACTTTCACTGCCGTACACAATATTAACTGTGACCGTAAAAGTTTTTCCGCAGAAATTTTTTCACATTAAAAATCAAAAAAAGTACTGTACACAAACTAGAAAACTGAATCCGGCAGTGTCAGCCATACAAGTACGCATTCTTTGGTGGCTGTCATGGCTGCAACACAGGCACAGCTATTGGCGGACGGTTGTTGTTGTTGCACTTGCTACAGTTCTATCGAGCAGCTATACAGCAGCCGATTGATAGCAAATAACAAGTCACGTTGGGAATTTTCTGTTCTAAAATAATTATTAATCAAAATCAATGCCGGCAGCATACACTCTGTACACTTCGTTACTGCGATAAAGTAGGCAGCGTTACGAAGAAACACTGAATTCTTGTTTGCTCTAAATGCGATCCTAAACATGCTTTCCAAATTGCAATTATACCCATCATTGATTCGTACGTAGTATACGGTATACCCAACAACTGCTGGCACACTAAATGTTTTTTAGCGCATAGTTTTCATCACAATACATTTCCTACGAGGCAGGAAGCAGCGCCGACTGGAACGAATATCTGCAAGGCATTACTTCAGTCTACAGATTTGGCATTTCTGTCGTTGTTATCATGAAGTGCATTCTGGTAGCTCTCCTTCTCGTTACGTGCACCGAAAGTAGTGTCGTCCGCCTGCGCCGGCAACTGCCTGGATTGGACAGTCTGGGCGCCTTGGCCGGTGGCAGCCCGTTAGGCGGTTTGACTGGCGCTCTGGCTGGTCAGCCGGGTGGCGGAGCAACCGCTGGTGGTGCCGGCTGCACAGCCGACACAATTGCACTCTGTGGTACGCAGAACCTGCTTTGTTACATATATGCTCAAAGAATGCGTTCGTTATTCGATGGTTTGTTTATTTTAGGAATTCCGCTGTGCAAGAATCAGTTAGGTAGCGGCGGTAACGTGCAGGTGATCAGCGGTGGCAATACCGGTGGCGCGGCTTCCAGTGGTGTCTGTCCACCGCCTTCTGTGTGCAGCATGTGTGCCGGCGCAAGTATCCTCCCAGGTTGACTTCCCAAGGCAACTTCCCGTGACTGGAGTCTACGGATTTTTAATCATTAGGCCGTTTGTTGATACGCTCCTATATGGTCTACATGCTGTCTGCTCATTTTTAATTATTTTCCGAAAGGAAAAAATTGTGGTCGCTCGTGTGTTTCTGGTACTGAACGAATAAATTTTGGTTTCCTATTGGCAGTAAGCAAATAAGCCAAATCCGTGCTAGAAGTAAAGTGTTAAGTGCTAACTGTCGAGTTTCCTCACAATAGGTCTTGAATAACAAAGGGTTTATAATTTATTGTTACAGTAATTTCATAAGTACGTATGTAATAATTCCAGCCGATCAGAATTTGCAAGATACGAGTACATTTTACGGGCTTTTTCACACTTATTGGCCTTGCTGAAGGGCAAGTGTGTTTTTTGTACTTCTACGGCATGCTTCGTCATATTCAGAAACAAAAAAATTTCTGTGCTGAATACATTCCAAGGATTTGTTGACGCTCTAGAAAGCACAAGCGGAACTGAATTACGTACGCAGAACACAAAGAGACCGCCTAGGAATAAACCACGGCAAAATTTTCCGCAAACGTGTCACCAGTTTTTAGGTTAATGAAGTTGAAAATCACAGTGACAGAAACCACTCAAGCGAGCCATAGTCGTTCTCTAATGCCGGTATACGAATTAACATTTGATGCCGCAACGTTATTCATTGCCACAAGTTGTCCGGTAAAGTTAAAGTAATAATATCCCATGCCAAATGACACTTAACTATTACTCAATATACAAAAAACAATGCGTGGCCCTTATATGGAGTCGACTGTGGACGTTGTAATAGCATATGTTGTCTACCCGTGACAGGCCACAAGTAGCGAAGTCAAACGTTTAGCTTCCGGAAACATGACAGCATCGAACAAAACTTCCTCAGCCGCTGTTGTAGAAAGAGACAATAACAGCATCTTTGCGTCGTAGGCTGCTGGAAATATTCTGGTGAATCACAAACATTTGCCCCGAACGGGACAATTCCGAAACCAAGTACCGCATGCCGACAGCGACTTGTATAAAACGCTGTGGCAAACCGCAACTGAAGCACTTGATTATTGTCGGTCTCACTAAAAAATCATACGTTTTTAGCATTACTATTATATTTTGTGATCGTTTTTTAACCGAAAATGAAGTGTATGTTTGTGGTAATTCTTCTGGTGGCCACTGTGAGTGCCAAGGCCTTCCGGGAACGCCGTACAGCGGACGTTGGAGCCAGCGGAGGAGCGAGTGCGGGAGCCGGTGCCAGCGCAGGCGGTTCCCTGCCGGGTCTGCCTTCTCTTCCCAACCTGCCCACCGGTGGCGGTGCTCTGACCGGCGGCTCGGCTAGTTGTACGGCCGATCAGAAGGCAGCATGCGGTAAGCTTAATAGACAATCATGACCTTTTGCCCAGCAAGGCTGATAACATAATACTTATTTGGCAGGTATGGCGCAGTGCCAGAACAATGGTAACAGTAACACCCAGGTGATTGGTGGCGGTAACAGCGGTGGTGGTGGCCTGATCAGTGGAGTGCCCATAAACGCTCTGAACGGTGCTGGTGTCCAAGTGCCCATTAATGCCAACATCTGCCCGCCGGTCTCCGTCTGCAACCTCTGCTTGGCCGGAAATGTTCTCGGGTAGAGCGACAAAGAAATGCACCACTTTCAGATGTTTCCGGACTGTGATGTATTAAGTACATTATACTTATTCATACTACGAGACTTTGTTACTGTTTGTGAACCGTCTCGCTGACACGAGTTCGGCTCTGCCCAGTTGCTGCCATCTTTGTTGGTTAGCTTTATGTCAGCTGTTTTTGATTATATATAGGTGCTATGTTTTCTGATGTACACTATCATACAAACGATCTAAGAACATTAAAGATACCAAAAATTATTCGCTAAGTTGGCTTGCATTAATTCTTGTATGGGAAAATTAACCCATATACATAAACATTCAGTTGATTAACTGCCAATAATTTAAAAAACATCACTACCTGCTTCGTAAATTCATTTTCTTCCTGGTCCAAGCGCGGAGTGTTTGAGTATTGTCTGAACTCTCTTCTGGTGCACGCATTTCTTGGCACCATTTTGCCAATCGATGGAGATTGGTGAAACAGAGTGACTGTATATCTATTTGGAATATTTTGGTTTTGGTAAATTTACATGCACACATTGGTGATACAGCTACATACAGTAAGTACCTGCTGTAGTCCTATGCATAAAAATAACATTAGTATGCAAGGCAATGAGTTGTTTTGTATGTCTTTGTAAGCCATTCCGCAAGAGTTTGGTATGACACTGATGGAAGAGATTCTGACTTGTTCTCGTTTTCGCTCGCAAAACTATCTCGGTGACATCCTGAAAGAAGACCAGTTATCGTACATCGGTGTCAGTTGATAACTTTTAGCACGAACAAGAGCGCATTTAGTAGGTTAGTGGCGGCAGAGCCGACGACGAGGGCAAGGAGTCTGCCATACAATACTGGAAATCCTGGAGACAAGGTTGTTGTGAAACTGTACTCGTGTCTTATCTGTACTCTATGACAGTTTGTGTAGACCTGGAATCTATGGTTCGCCAAACCGTCATGGCGGCTTGGCGTGCGCTATTTTGGGCGTAACTTCGAAGCCCGGGTTTTAAAGCCCAGCAATATGTATGTGCGAGTACTTATAATCTTCTGTACAGTGCAGCGGATAGCAAAGTCCCGGGCATATAGCCCCGGTAGGTATAGCTCCTATTTCAAATTCCTATAATTTTTAAATTACGCTTTGCATTACGCATTTATTATCTAAAGCGAAAGTCAGATGCTGACCAATTGGCTTGCCATATCCTGAATATGTCCTTTACTAACAACCTGGCTGCAAGCCTGCAAACGTTTAATCAGTGGAAATTAACGGAAACTGGGCACTGTCACGTTACCAGTCAGCGGTGCGACTTTTTCGCTAAAAATACGCACTAGTTGTTGTCTTTTGTAGAAATATGTTATTCCGCTTCTCTAACTCAGCCATTTTTCAGCACCGCTGCACAGTTGACAGTGTGTTATACAAAGAAAGCAATTACCAAACTGTTGTGTGGTTGCTGAAAGCCTGAAATACTATTCGTTGCCGCAACGTCTCGATTTCGACAGCCGAGACAGCGTAAAAGCCAGAACGTTTCCGCGGAATGGTACAATCCTCCTCCCAAGTCAGCCGATGAGCGCTGACAATGCGTTCAACAGTCTCGGCTTTTGCGTGCATGTGAAACTTGAATGCGGCTCCCGGCAAAATGACAACATTCTATTTCGAATTATAGGGTTTTACCTAACAGAAATTTATTTCAATACTTTGTCTCGAGCATATCCGTATATAAACAACTGGATGGTTGCGAGAAAACCATACGAGTCCGAATCAAACCGGTGCAGATTAAATACGAAATTGTACAACTTTCTGTTTCCCAGCTCTATTTCGCAACAGCCATGCAGATCATCCTGGTGACCCTTCTTTTGGTAGCCTGCACCAGCGCCAGTGTTCTTCGTGAGCGCCGACAGCTGACCGGCGGCAGCGCCAGCTGCACCGCCGAACAAAAAGCTCAGTGCGGTAAGTGAAAGTGACCTTTGTCTAGAATGGCCGTTGCTGTGTCAAATTACTTATTTCTGCATGTTTCCTTATTTGACGCCTACAGCAAAAAAAGCAGAAAGTGCGTTTCATACGAAAATCACCAGATCCTTATTGCCCCCGTCAAGCGATAATTTATAGTATAAATAAACTGTGGAACTTTAACAATATGGTATCTTTTAGGGATGGCACAGTGCCAGAACAACGGCAACTCAAATACCCAGGTGATCAGTGGCGGTAACACTGGTGGCGGCGGTCTCCTTAGCTTGGTGCCAATCAACGCCCTCAATGGAGCCGGCGTACAGGTGCCCATCAACGCCAACGTCTGCCCACCGATTTCCGTCTGCAACGCCTGCTTGGCTGCCAACATCCTTGGTTAATGAGTTCATTATCTTGAGCTTTATTTAAGTTGCTAGTACTTAACAGCGCCCTCCGTGTAACGCTTTTCAGAATAAAACTATCTGCATAAACCTCCTAGAAAATCTGGTCGACGTGCACTTTTAGTGTACTATAAAACGCTACATAGGCGGTCACTTTTTGCCGAGTATTTTGCAAAATGCAGAGCAAGAGTAGCTCGATCTTACATTTAGAAACACAGGGCTCAAAAACTGGAATTAGTTTGCAATGAAAATGGTTAATGAGCCAGAAAACAGTTTGCTGGCGTGCCATGACCTTTATAAGCTTGGTTGCTTATCGAAAATATAGCTACTGCAGACCATCTGAAATGCCGTAACTACCGCGACCAGTTACCTTAAGGATTTATAGTACCGCATTTCTGTTTTAACAAGAATCAAAATATCGGCTTTGTAATAAGCATCACACGATATTTGGGTTTACCAATTATCTATAGTTTATGATACATTAGTACGTACATACACTATTATTACGCGCTAGAACCCACCTGATAAACCACTGAAACGTGCCACATAACAATGCAATAAATACCGTATTACAACTCAATATTAAATCAGGTAGGGCTTATTTAACTGCATGTCTTTGATACCAAATAGTAGAATTTGCTATTCGGTCCCAACAAATTATTTATTATGGGGGATTCAACGCGATGCTGCCCATGAGGTACCGTAATAAGTGATCCCGCCCATCTTAAATTCTTAATTAATTTGATCCCGACTACGAGATCGCGCGTACTACGAGCTACGAGATTGTCTTAACTGAACACCACACATGGAAGACTTGCACAAATTGTGCATTATAAAGGTAAGGTAAGTACTTGTAAACTATCATCAAGCCTTTAGGTTTGACTTATCTAAACTGGGACAATGCAGCCGGTATATGTTATCGTGTACGATACAAATATTTTATCCAACAACCACTGTCATTAGAATCAGGTATTATTATCATCTGGTGGATGATAAGCGCGGAAACATTGTTTTCCCTAAAGAAATTCCTCGAAGCTGTGTGCTGTTTAGTTTGCATTTTCAATAAACGTTTCTGCAAGAAACAGACACCAAATAAACCAACGCAGCAGTGTTTTGCAAAATGCGTATATCATGTCACCCTGTTACATAAAAAACATTGTAATTGCTGTTGTATGCCTGGATCTGGTTGTCGGCGGCGCGGCAATCTCACCATTATTAGATGTTAAGCGATCGCCATTGCCGCTGGAGGTTGCGGCTGCGAAGGGACAGCAAGAGAAAGATCAGTCACAGAATTCCTCCACCTTAATACCAGGTACAATCATATTTTGTTTAGCAGCGCCGCAGGGGCATGTTAGAGTTATGTCTGCAATAATTTCCGTGTGGGTAAAACTAATGTTATCATCGTTGGGAAACTCTGTACTCCAGATTGCATTTAGTATAATGCACCATAATTAGATTAATTGTGGTACAAGGCTGCACTTTTCTTGAAGCGGCGGCGGGGCGCTTAAACGCGCTCTATGATTAGCATGTGCAACCTTACCAAACTTAATTTGAATTTAATTCTTCTTATTTAACTGAAATATTTTCTGATGGAACAACAAGAAACTACTATTTAAATACCTATGCCAGAGGAAAAATGGATTTAACATTAGTTTGTAAGATAGTTTTCAGGATAACGGCGATCGCCAATCGACTTGTGAGGTTTCCGTCAACGACGGCACAGACATTTCGCAGTATTGTTTGGTATTTGCGCCGGAGAGTTGATTAAACCGTGCGGGCAATAATTCGTACCATGCTGGTCGCACCATCAGGATCAGCCAATGGAAGGACAGCTGCGATTACTCCAGTGCTCATTTGATCCGTACCCCCACAATCAGCCGTTATCAGCCACGTGGGGCAGTCTTTGTGTGCGGCGTCAAAACTCAACCTGCAAATCACTTGTGTCTCATGCGTCTAAAGGTCGCCGGTGCATCCGGTGCACAGGCACACTGAATACATATTGCAGGCACATTAGGATTATGCAGAAGAGCCAGTATCCGTGGCATATCAACAGTGATTATACATTCCTGTAGCTTGCAGGTTTGCTGTGCCGATCCATGATTACACCTGTTTAACTGTATAGTTTAAGTTCTGCTAGATTTTGGTCAGTTTAAAATTATTGTCGAAAACGCGATCATTGGCATTTACGTCGCCACCATTTTGATTAAAGGATTGAGATGCACCTGCCTATGTTGAGCTTGTTTGGTGTAATCACTAAAGCAAAACTGCTTTTCGATCCGGCATATTCGGTTGCCTAATTGTAAGCATATTAGCATACAAAGCAAATGTACATATAAAATAAAATATATATTATAATTTGTATATGCAGCTTGAAAATGACCAAGCAAAAGCAACTATAAAACTGGAAGCGCTATAGAATACTCGTATATGATGATTAGTTATGTGAATACTCTGACAGAGTTTTCAGAATCAGGGATTATTCAAGCAGTTCTTTACTGCTTGCGAACAATCAGTTGCTGAATAACTGCATGCATAGATAGCTATATCAAACTCATAATTATGTATTTACAGCCATGGATCGCTTCCGCAACCACTCATCCTTTGTCAATGGGAGCGCCAGCCTGCCGTTCAGCAGCCGGCCGACCAAACTGCCGCGGAAGAGCGTGGTTGGCGCCGGTCCGCTGGCCTCCTCTTACTACACGTCCAGCGCCTGGATCAACACCATCAAGAGCATCGCCGTCTGCTGGGCTATCGTGGCCTGCATTTGGATCTTCTTCAAACTCCTCACCTGCTCCACTTTCGCCTACCGCCTCTGGTACCGCAAGCGCCTCACCGAGGCCCGCGAGATGGCGTTGCTGGAAGGGGCACAGAGTGGCGTGCCCAGCGGTGGTTGTCCCCTTGGACTGGGCTTCGCCTCACGCTGGACCCAAGTTAACTTCCTAAAACAAGGCGGGGAGGCAGCCATGGAGGCGCCGCCGGGTTATGAACAGTTCTCGCCGCCGGCATACGAGGATATTGTCGGCATGGAAATGTGTGCGCAGTTGATACTGGAGCGGGTGGATGAGACCGTTGGCGGCGGTGGCACCGCAGGGAATGCAAGTGACGAAGGGGAAACAACGGCGCTGACCGCCGATGCACAAGATGACCGCAGCTAGTATCGGCTGGCTCCTGTCTCTTTTTGTATTATAATTAAGTATCTTTTTTGTTGAGAATTTTTGGTATTTCACGGCCTTTTCACTCACTCATACGCTGCATTACTTGCATGTTGAATTTATTTAAGTACTGATAATACTTAATTGTTCTATCGCACATACAGTAATTTAGGAGGGCTTGCAAGTTTGCGCAAGAGACTGAGTACTTATATCAGCATTTTCCATTGTGGCGTTAATTATTTACTGAGGTTTTTCATGACAATATGGGTTGAACTTATGAAGTAATACTGTAGAGGCTCGATCAAGTGGCACCACAGAGTTTGTGTACGGGAAATCAGCACCTGCAATATGTGCACTGATCGTGCATGTGAACGCATGGGCATGCACACGCTGCGTGTGTGCTGCTTTCCCATACACAAACTCTGTGGTGCCACTTGATCGAGCCGCTACAGTACGCCTACTGGTCGATGAATGTACTCGAAAATAAATTCAGTGTCAAGTTATCTGGGTGCTACAATATAACTTACGTTACTTACGGATACTACAAACATGAAGCATAGTCGACATTACCAATGATAAATCACTCGTTTCGTTTCTAGTTCTGAATTTTTGCCGTTTGCAACTGTCGTATACCGTCTTGTCAGATCTTACGGAGTAGATACAACAATTTACGTGTAATATTGTGAAACTGATATGATGCTGACGCGTTCACCGGAGGAAAAATTCAAAAATTCCTTACACTGTTACATTGTGGCGCAGAAATTTGTATAACTAACCGTAAGTACTATTACGTACAGCCTAAGCCACTGCGCTGCACCAGCTATCAGCCAAATGGCTGCTGACCTTTACGTCGGAGGACATCGGTGCCGGATAATGTGGGTGTCGCCCCTGTGCGTCAACCTTTGTTATTATCAACCTGATATGCCCACTGACGTGCACGCTGAGACCGGCAGCAAAATGGATGATGCAAATGGGGGGATGTAGCAACAGCGAGCGCACAGCTGCAGGACAGCGTGGGTCACGACGGACGGGAAGCGGATCGCCGCTTCTTATAAAATTCGCTACTGCGCATCCCATGCTGCTCCCATTATCGTTTTTTGTCTGGAGAAACGTTCAGTTGTGTCGCCGGTTAGCTACTGCCTGTAGTATGGCTCCGTAGCATGATCGCTATTATGGCGAAATATTTTATCTCCTTTTTGGCCTTCGTAATCCTGCAGCGTGCACTGACCTCGCATGCCAGCCCCATTCTGATGCCAGCGTGCCGTTATGCTGGTAAGCAGATGTACACATTTTAATGATACTCTAATGTTTGTAGTATGGTTGACGTTCTGGCTGAGCAAACTTAATTATCGCAGAGTATCGCGAATACAATCCCTTTTTTATTTTTTCATTTGTCTCTATGATGACTTTAACGGGGCAAAATAGCTGCGTAGTTTCTCGACAATTCGCAGCTGCAGATGGAGAAAGGTTTTCATTAGGATAATAACATTGAAAGCCTTAAGTGATGTTTTTTATGGCTAGCCAATAAAAGCAACAAAGCTCCACAATCCAGCTGCACGAAATTACATATAATACGATATCATAATAAATTTTTAAAGTTTTTCTTGTCCTAATACTGCAAGTTTGGCGTTCCACAGCACTAGTAACTAGCACAAGTAACTGGTGACCTTTGATCAGTTTTACAGTAACGTGGTTTAGCGATTGGTTCAATTGATTCTATTGGTTCAGTTGAGCATAAGCTCTTCTTCTGGGCAGGTTCCATTTGCAAGCGCCAAGAATTTGCATCCTCATACGGAACTATTTCGCCGCGCGTCACCAAAAACTCTGGCTCGCCCAAAGCCCAGTGGTACCTGGGCAAACGAACACCTATGGCCGCTGCGGTACTCTCACGGCTTTTTGCCAAACCAAAAGCCCCGGCGGTTGCAGCAGGAAATTCCTTGAAAGGGAACGTCCTCACCAGCTTCGACAAAATACCCCGCAAACTGGCCGGTGAACCCCGTATCCGCCTGGGTGCCGGTTATCTGCCCACCGCCAGCCTGTGGTATCATTTCCACTTGGACAAGGCGAATCCTTCGCGCCCACCAGCCCCAACCTCAAGCTATATGCCAGTAATTTAACCAACATATACAAACAATCTTCTTTTTATATTCATTTCACAATAATTATGAGAATCGCGTGCCGCATCTTTTTGCCGTAGCCCATAGCCTTAGCGTAACTCAATTAACTTCTCGGCTGCACTTATTAGTGCGGCCCATTTGCGATATAAGTAATTATGTAAGAGTATTACCTGTTATGACAATGGCATTCACTACACTGTGGAAACTAAGTACCTTTACCTTACAATTATAAGTGCTGCTTTATTTAATGGGAACTCGAGTGCATAGAAATTACAGCACGTTCATGTATTAATAGCCTTTTACTGCTTTGTGAAGAAGTACTACAGTAATTTAAAATTTTGTACACTTGTTAACTGGTTCAGCAATAGTATGGTGCTACTATTATTATTAATAATAATGTTTATCTTGTTAAGTTGCGTGGTTCGTCGTTTGTACAGTTTTCGACTATGGCTGTGGCAGTGTTGAAACCACTACACGTAGAAGTACTTACTTTCAGCTTACGGTAAGCTGTATGTGCCTATGTGGTACTTAAAATCCTTCCCAAAATCTGGAGATCCAGCGTTCTAAATAAGCTGATGGTAAGCTATAAATGAGTGATTAATTAACAGCGCAAATGTACAACTACCGCATGTCCCTATCCAATCAAAGATAAAGCTATTACGTACCATCTTGACAAAATTTACTACTCTAGTAGTATTCAAGTGTTGAGCGCTATAACGCTATACAGATGTGCTGATGGACGACTACCCTGGCCGGATGTCCACATTCAGTTAGGCCACTACTGGAATGTCCAGTGGGCCCAGTGGGCAGTGGGTAGCAAAAAAATTCCTAGATGAGTGTGTCCAGAGAGAAAAATCGCTACTGTAGGTGAGCGAGTGACCGAGCTACTATCGCAGTAAAGCGCTAGCTGCAGTTTGTAATTTTTAGAAGGGAAACACCAACAGCCCGACTTCGAGTATTCAGATTGCTTAAAAATCTCACATTAACTGGCAATGCAGTCATTGCATTTGCTGAAATAAAACGAAATAATATAATTCGTTTAAGCCAGCCGTGGATCATAAGAAATGGAAGGCGAAGCCGGAGAGGTTTCTTGCAATGCAATATGTATGCATAGGAAGATAATGAAATAAGTAATAAGTAATGTTTATATCACTGGGAATTTCTTTCCAGTAAAATATTGAAAGTGTTTGTTTCTAACCCGATGCTCGTACCTTACTTTAGCATGTTTTGTACATAAGTTACGATAAGAATAACGTTGTACTTAACAAAATTTTTTCAGTCGATAATAATTAGCGTTCTTATGTTGCATTGCTGCCGTTTGTTTTCTAAACTACTGTATAACAGTAAGTTGGATTGATACTGTTTAGCAAACACATGTACATAGACTAATAAATGTATTTTGCATCATTAAAGGAAAAGTATTTCTTGTAAAAAGAGTTAACTTAAAAGTTAAAACTGAAATGTAACACTTAAAGTAAAATGGCAATATTTATAAGTCATTATTAGAACTTTCCAGTAGTGCGGTACGTGATACGTATCTGTACGATGAGTGCAGGTACGTATATGTACGTACTTGCACCAGATCGTATGCAGTAACTAATGACAGTATACTTTAATAATACTGCAGAGAACTGTTTAAACAATTTGCTTGATCATTTTATAGCTAGAAAATAATCCTTCAAGCAGGCTCTCTATATTGGAGACTTGCTGCATATTTTTCTGTAAAACATAAATAATTCATGGGATGAACTAGAAATTACTTGAACTATGTCAAATCACTCCCATTCCCAGAGAAAAAAGAATCCCAGCAGCGTGTCATTTGACGAGAAAATCAAGGACCGCGGTACAGTGATTTACCTCTACCATTGTCGTGACAGAATACTAAAAGCGACAACAATCATTGATTTACAGAAGGCCGAGTGTACCCGAAGACTCCCGTTAAAAAAGGTCAACTGCTAAATGTCCCATCTGATTCCGATGAGCGCAGCAGCACTTCCAGCTCCACCACTTCTTCCCATCCTGCCAAGCAGTCCACCACGACTTCCAAACAGAAAACAAACTCCACTTCCGATCAACGCAAAAAATAATACAACCTGTATACAAAGACTTCCATACGGTTTTTCTCAGTAATTGCCACGTTTTGCCTTATACGACAGTGTTTATGCGTTTGATTAAGTAAAATTTGTTTCTTTACAAAACATAGAGTGCCATAAAGGTCACGTTTCTTAATTTTGTGGCGTTTCTGCCCCGTGTTGGCTCTTTCGATGAGCACAATTACGTAAACTCTATCCACATTGTTAATATCAGAGACGTTTATGTCAAAAATCATGATGGCAGGTTAAATTTTGCTTAATAATGCGACTAAGCAATAGATTTGTGACGGCTAACATCATGGCTGTATTGAAAGAAGCTAGACATTGATTAGGAAGGTGCACACTGGTCATCTTCCGTTAAGGCCTTGAGGACGTTGTCGGCCATAGTACAAGTGACACCAGTGCCGTCGGGCTCTACGAACATTTTCACCACTTTCCCATTGTTGATAATCATGGCAAACCTGCAAAAGCCAACATTACGTTTACGGAAATTTCTATCTTTGCAAAATAATCCTTCTGCGAGTGGTGACCTTTTGCTCCTCCAGTTTCCCAAAAGTTCGGTAAAGTCTTTCTCCATCTTAATGGCCTAAAGAAACACAAGAGTTAGCTTTTAAGCCGGTGTCAAACGGCATTTTTGACGCATTGTGTGTACTTTGGTGAATTTGCACTGTGGGTCGGCTAACATGCGAATTTTGCCTTCGGTCTTTAGTTCTCGCGCCCACGCTTGCATCCTGCAAAAGACAAAGTATACACAGTGCATCTGAAAGATCACCGAATGAGCGGATCGATTAACTGGATCTAACTTACACAAAGGGGTCGTTGACGGAGAGGCAGGCGATGGTGGCCACCCCTTTCTTCTGAAAGTCACCGTGGCGGTTCAAATAGCTAGGCACGTGTTTCTGTCACACACAAGACTTGATTATTGTGAGAAATTACTATGGCTGCAGTCGGGATGTATTTTGGCGCGGCAGTACAAACCGAACTACATCCCGGCGTGTAGGCTCCCGGCACGCCGAACATGACGGCCTTCTTCTGGCCGAAGATCTCCGAGGCGCAGAGCTTCTTCATCGGGTCATTCTCAACCAGCACGGAATCATTGGGCAGCGTGTCGCCCTCCTACATGTTGACAAATTAAATGCTATTACTGATTTTCCAAGTCATAAGATACCATCAAATTAAAGAGTAAAACTTATTTTTGCAGGTAATTACGTAATGCTTAAACGACTATGCGCATATTATATCTCGCACTAGAAGTGCAGTTGAAGTGTGCCTTTATAAATAAACAGCCTTGTACGTATTTGTTCGTTCAAAATAATAATATGTTCGTTTTTTTCCTGATTTCTAAATTTCCCTACAGAAAGATTGTTTACATGCGAGTAGAGACTAAGAACCACCCGGAGACTTTTCCAATTACAACGTAAGTGCACTTTTAAAAAAACACTGATTTTAATTTTTTTCTATATTTATTGCGATGAGACAATCCACGTACCTTGAAGCTCTTGCCTGAGCCGGAGCTTTTGCTGGAGAAGATGGTGCGAACCATCCGCTGTCCTGTCTGTGCCCATTGCCCGCTAACAGAACTGAATAAGAGCTGAGTGGTTGCGCGAGGAAAAGCCAAGTTCATCGTATAGAAACTGTGGCGGCAAATAGGGGAAAAGCACAGAACAAACCTATTCAAGATTTACTGGGTACCTTCTGCTGTTAGTATTACATGCGACATGCAGCGTGAAAAAAAACACACGATCCACAAAGGTGACGTACTGTAAGTACTCAGAATGCACCACCATTCTTACAACGAAATCAGCGCGGTAGCTGTTGCTACGCTAATAATAGCAAATGAATGCAATCAACGTACTGGTACGATTGCAATACACACGTTGTAGCTATACTGGCATTTTTACTTAATGCATTATTAGTATTATTAAGAAGTACGTAACAAAACAAACTTACGACCTTTTGTGACCGACAGGAGCGAAATAACAGTACTAGTACCATTATTTTTTAAGTGCCAGATCTGTTTGCTGCTGTGCATGTACTAGCATACAGATTACAACGTTAATAATACTTAATATACGGGAAATCGTGCGCACCCCTACAGACGCCCTAAGAACAATATATATGGATATTATATTATACGTATGGCAAAAACTACTTTGTACATGACTTTAAAAAGACTCTTCATCACATTGTTGTGGAATACTACTCTACTCTTTCCTCGTAAGCTTTGAAATCGACCGCGCTGTTATTAATTGGGAAATTTTTAGACGTAAATAATTTTTTGCAACTTTGAAAAACATCCGTAACCCTGGCGCTGCTTTGTCGCTGTGTCGGTATATTTTTGGTGTCGGTATATTTTTTTAAAGCAGTGATAAGTCCGTAACAAGTAATACAAAGCCTTTGATAACTGGCATGCTTTATTCTATGTCGGAGCCGGCACGAGGAGAGCCAACTCAGGGAAAAACTGGTTGCCGCAGATTTGGTAAATCTAAAGAAAATGTTGCAATACGAATGTTTGCAAGATATAATCGAATATACAGAGAAGGTGGCATTTGAGTCTAGTCCAATATTCGTGGCAACATGTCAGTACTGTGCATGTTCGGGACCGACAGGAGCGATCTGTTCAAAACGACTCCATATTATAAAAGCCGTGACTTTGTCTAAAGGGAAAACAACATCCGCAGCACCTCTTGAATTTGATAATCTTTGCGATTCTTCGATTGTGCGGTATACTGCAGCAATCAATATCTCTTAAACATAATACAAATAATAACTTGCAGCCGACATCCTCTTAATTCCCAGCAAGTACAATGGGCACCGGCAGGAGATTGAGTTACGAGAAGTATGTTTGTTGAGCTGGTTTGTTGACCCAGTTGTCCATTAACGCCTACGTATGTCCCACGCCGTCCCAACATACTCATGATCAGGTACAGCTACCAATAATCCGTCACCAATAATCGCTAATAAGTTATCACGTAATACGACAGCTACAAACGGTGGAGGTGCGCAAGGGACATAAATGCAGCTATCAACTGGAGCAGTTTTAGACGATCGCGACTTCGTCTGTGACGAGCAGACTAATTGCATGAAAATCGGCAGGATACATTGTATGTAGTTGCAAGTGAAATTGAACTGACCATTGCGATTAGCAGTAACTGCACTTAAAACGTGACCTTTATGTGTGCTAGTTGACCAGAATGGCACCGTATACCGCAGCTGACTACGCAATTGCCACCACGCCATTATTGTAAGTGTACGAAGCAACTATGCGTTGCAACGAGCTTATTAACGTAACGCATTATGATTGTACAAGAGAAGTGTACAAGTACTGATCGAGAATATAGCGCAATCAACAGTTACTCTTGTGACCATAACTGATCTATAACAGGCCTAGGCGCAAGTAGTGCTTTACCGGTGGGACGCTGTTCTTAAAGGGGGCTGTAGAAAACTAAGCACTGTAGAAAACTGTATAAGTAAGTACAGTAGCTGTTCACAATTTTTTTAACAGAATATTTTTAACAGAATTTTTTAACAGTTCACAATTTTTGGGTTTGGATTGCTTTGGAAAATTTGTTGATTCGCATCCCTAACTTGTAAGGTGTGTTGTATAAGTACTGTACCGACCATACAGCTGTAAAACCAGCAGTACTGCATGCAGACTTACATGTACACCTATTCGCTACAGACTCGCAGCTTACAGACCAAGTTATTCGGCGTTACAAAACTTTAAACCGTCACACCCGGTGTACAGTTATATTTTTATTTTGCTACAATGTCATGTACGTGTATGTGGAGCACGATGAATTCAGTTTGACAGTTACCCCATTTGCCCGATAACTACCTTATTCTTTCTTTCGTCGACCATTACAAAGTTATACGATTCGATTGTTTTACACGGAAACTCTTTTATGGATAAGATTGCCGGCCCGTATAGATTAGATTATGCGCTGCATATTGTAGCTTGGATACAACAGCTTCACGTGTACGATAAAAATCGGTTTAAGGTATGTGCATACAATACAATAACATAATATTGTGCACTTCTGCATTCTCCGCTTTTATCGATTTTCCTCTGCGCAATCACTTTGCAGTGCAGCATTTACGGCATAATGCAGGCAACGTTTAGTCGCTTGTACCAGCAACAGACGCCAGAACATGGGCGCAGCGGGATGAATAGGTGGTTTGTACAAGCAGCCCTCTCCATTAAGCCGTCGACGATGAGGGCCACATAAATATGTAACGGCTTTTGTGCACGCTAACCGGAAATCCCCGCCGGCCTTCAGGCTGCTGCTCCTCTAACGCTATAGACTACCATCGAAATGTTATTCGCTTTGCACAACTTATCTCTGCTGCTTTCAGATAACTGCCTGCTGCTAGCAAAATCTTGCATCTAAAGACGCACTGAGATTAGAAATTATACTAGAAATTAAACTAATTGCATCGAATTATTGTTATTAATTCTACAGTTATTACTTTGAGCAATTATTATTAGCAGTTCAAAATGGTTAGCTGTATACTGTTGCATTCTGCACAGGTTTTTATACATACATTTTCATGAGTGACAATATTTAAATCGAACGAGCTGCAGCTATGTATTAGAAATATTAGTTTCAAATTAGCTTAAATGAAAGCAAATATCGTAAAAACTGAAAAATGAGAGACCAGATTTAAAAAATATTAAACGGAGTGCGTGACATTAAGTTTTTCGTGTCGGTACGCTTTTGTGCTTGAATAGGTCAGTCCCAGAATTGGGCTAATTGCTCTAGGGAAATCGACAGGTCTGGGATTGGGCAGATCAGACATAAACGGGAACTAAGTAATTAAGACTTTTAGCTGCCGCTTTGGTCTTTACTAATTATAATATAATACGTTGACCAGTTTTAAAATTTGGCCGACGGTAAATATAATTCGATCCAAAAAAACCATTCAAATTTAATTAGTTTCAAATGTCCTATTTCTAGCATGTCAAAAATTCGCTACAGCAGAAATGCTGCTCTGCAAAACTTGCTTGCAGAGAAGAAAAATGTGTGCCCGTTCGCACACGCATTAAAAAATCTAATGTCGATGGTCAATTTCCACTCAGTCTATCCTAACGTTTTACATGCGATATTTTTGACCGTGTAAAGCTTGGCGTTGCACATCCGGCGAGCGGGTGCATATTTCGTATACGCGCTATGACTGTGGGCGGGGCGGAAGCACCGGAAGGCTGAGAAGCGGTTGTACCGGCACACTGCACGAGTCACAGTCACGCTTTTACACACTACCCAGTGCACAACTGGTCCCATTTGACGGTACAGCATCGATTTCGGCTACTCTCGTAACGTTCTCATACTATCATCTCTGGCTAGTTCGATCCGGCTGTGTGTACGCGGGGCTAAGAAAATATATTTATTCCGGTCTTGTGCCTTCTAACCCAACATTCCCTTTTGCCTCTCCTTATCGATCGGCTGCGACTCCATTTTGGAGAATAAATTCAGTCTTCTGCGTGCAGTGCGGAAAACGGTTCCAAGCCGAGTGATTGTTGGGAAAACGTGATCGTATAATTATCGCTCTTTTTACGGTTACTGTTTAATTGTTATCCAACGTGTGGATGGTCAGTTGGCCAATAGGCGGGGCTGGGGAGCGTCTCCCGAAGAGGCGTTAGATATCGGGAAAATAATTGCCTTGGGGATCAGGCAGCCCTACCGCGGCGGCCTCATCTAATCCCATTGACGACTTCCGTTGGTGACTTGGTGATCGCCAACGCGCTTTTCTGCTTGGAGGTACAGTACACTCCGTGTTGCATTGGTTCATGCTGTTTCCACTCGGGCTAATTAGTTTTTAATCCAAGTGACACCAAAACTCTGACATTTTTGCGTCAGCTTCCGCTTAAAATTTGTTTCTTATGGCTTCGCCAATTTTCTTACGTATAACATTTTATCGATTGTGCATAAATTTGACACTGCTGCAAATGTTTTACTTAATAAACTGCCAATTGATTAATTAAAAACTTGCTAATCCATTTTTTTTGCGTACGCGGAAAATGCATAAGACAACACAATACGCGATCAATTTATTATCTTCAATAATTTATAATAACTCCCAAGGTTCGTTTTTAGGGGAGTTTGTTTTAGTGTTGTAGTGTAGCCCTTCTAATTGCGGGTTTCTCCTAAATACATATTTACATACCCACCGTCCAAAAACGTTTATTACTTGCCAGTTAAGCCTGCACTTTTCGTTTTTGATGAATGTTGTCTATAAAAGTTAAATTTTAGTAAGCTTAATTTGCTATCGTTTGCTACCGTCAAATTTAATGTTTAAGACATCTTTTCCAGCATTTTTATATCACACTTAATTGTTTTATTAACTTTTTTGAATTGAAATGAAGCCCCCACGCTCGTTCATCCGTAGCACACTGTGTAAGTAATGGACGTAAGAAATGTTAATTGCATTTTTTGCACGCGTGGTTGACTGAACACTTGGCACTCACTTGTTTACTGTAGCCGTGTGTGTTGACGAAGCCGCAGTAATAAAGCGGTGGGAGATAAGAAGCGCTGGCATCAGCGCGTTGTGCTCGTGTTTGCCATTGATCAGCTGTATCGGATTAAGGAGCGTGTTGGTTATCAAGCGGTGGTTGAGTTGAAAAGTTTTCTCTCAACAACCGTTCTCAAGAGATCCACTGCGCGTGACTCATCCCTCAAAGTGTCCAGGGTTTAAGCGGGTTTTCACCGAGTGCATGAATCACCGCAATTTCAGGACCGAGTGTTTGTTTGCGGGAACAAGTAGTCTTTCACCTTGTGCAGTGACGCGAAGCTTTTTTGTAACATGTGTTCATAACGGCACGTCAATCTGTGGTCAAGTGTCTTTATAAACTGGTCTTATCACCCGTAAATTATTATTTCATTATTATGTAGCACACGGATTACGTGATAAAGGAACATTTCATGCAGAAGGGATACCGAAACTTATTTAAAACATTTATGCCGGTAAATATTTGCAAGGATTTACTGGAGAATGTGAGTTCCTGACTTCAACTTGTTAGTTATATTTTTTATACCAATATTTCATCTAAAAGTTATCGGTGATTACGGAAGACGTAAATCATTTGCGAGTTGTGACAGCTGTCGCATGCGCAATAAAACGACATAAGGAACTGTAGTAACAAGAGTCGACTGATTTAATTTGCGATGTCTTATCATGTTGAACAGATTTTACGCTCGACCGGTGGAGATCATCATGGCCAAACAGAATGGCAGCGCCGGCTCGGAATCGGGCGACTGGGGCTTCCTTTCCGACATGGACAACAAAGCGCTGAACGAAGGCTTCAAGAACTACGGAAAATTCGGCGACCGCAACTTTACCGGCAACAATATGACCCTGAAGAACGTGGACAAGTGGCTGAAAGAGGCCGGCGTCATCGGCAAGACCATCACCACCACCGACACCAGCATCGCCTTCAAGCAAGTCGTCGGGTAGGTCGCCTAACAGATATTTCATGCAGCTGTTAGTTGTGCATTCGTTTCCGCTGCGAATACCTTACCACAAGATAATTTGGAAAATTAATTCAGTCTTATTATACGATTGCCGGTTAAACTCTGTATGCGGCGTCGCTTCGAATTACCCACACGGGCGGAATGAGTGTCAATAGCCTCGGCTGTGGTAGACGAGAGTTACACGTCTGGCCAACTGCTCTCTGTCAATCAAAAATAGTTGTTTCTTCATTTTTTATTACCGCGTTACATCCTTCAGACCACGTTCGGGTCCTTGCTTAACGTAGTATCGCTGAATTAGTGAAAGACATTTACCAGACGTTCTCTGCGACACTGTTTGTGAATGTATCTGGATCCTCAGATTTTGGCATCCGCACCGGCATACGACAGTAGTTTCCTTTTTGTAATGTGGTTAATCGCCATTTCTGTAACTCTGTGCGTTATTTTTGCAATAAGTTATAATATCACTACATGTATTTTCAAAATGCTTTGATGATTTGTTAATTTTTGCTGTATGATTACATTCAGTAACGCCTATTAGCAGTCTCTGTGGTACGTCATCAATATTTTGCTTCTTTTACCGGTTGTGTAAATCTCTTACTGTTAGCCATGAATTCGCATCAAATACTGGCTGAATGGGTTGTTGAAAAATTAAGCGTTTTAATCATTGGTTTTACGTGAAAAAACGTATCCGTATTGCTTAAGTTGTGTGATTTCGTGAGTTGTGATTGAGTTATGAAATAACAGACTGATGTTATTGCGAATAAAAGCTGTACAACCCATCTCCCAATTTAATGAAAGCCGATTTTATCTGTATTACAGGAACAACGAGAAAGTGATCACGTACGAGAAGTTCAAAACATTCCTCTTCAAATTGGCCCAGCGCGCCAATAAAGATGCCGGCCAGGATGAGCTGACCAAACTAGTCGACAAGCTCCAGACCAAACTGGAGCCCAGCCTTTCCGGCACAACGGTAATAGCAAACACACCAAAATGTCTTCACGGTTACATGCCACTTCCATAATATCTATATTGTTACTATTTAACGGGCATACAGAGCGCAGCCTCGCAGTCATTTAGGACGGTGTATTAATACTGGAAAAATGTGCACTAGAAAAAAAATTATTATTGTACCGATAATAGAATAATCATTAATTATTAATGTGCACTAGAATAATGTAATTATTAATGCACTAGAATAATTACTAATGTGCACGCCCTGAACGGAAATACGTATACCGACTCGAAGTTCGCTGGCATTAAAAATCTTGTTACAGAAGGAATATTACTTTGTATCGTGTGAATTCCTTCGGATTTGGTGCTGTATTCAATATTGTACGAGTATGTGCGTGCTTTGCGACATCAGTTCGCTGCTGCTCGAAAGAAAATCAACCATACCCGGGTAGTATGTACTCTGTATCTAGCTTCTCCAGCAGTGTAGCAGCTACAACAGTGCTTCTTCTTTTTAATGCTAGCTTTTAGCGTGGTTTCATCGAACTGAATTTTTGCTTGCGAAAATTCGATAATAGTTATTAAATTTTGTTTCAAAACTCTTTACTGTTCTAGCACCCATATAATTAACTTTTATTCTAATTTTTGCCAACGCATACGGCAAGGTTGATCTGACCGGAAGGGCGGCATACGTTGTGTTATCGGCCGGATTTTTGGCGGTATTCTATTTTCGGCAACCCTTATGTTTATAACTCCGTTTAAATATTTTTGCAGTTATATGCAGCTATTGTATAAAATATCAGACTTAATTATAAGAAAACTCCGAGTACTGTAACCGATTTAAGATCCTTAGCTTCCCATAGAAACGTGCCGCTTGGAAACTGTGAGTCCGCGATCGAGGCGCATCTCGTATAACATAACGACATAACGAAAGGGCATGCATATAATTCGCTACTTTTGGGCGCTGTGCATATTCATTTCTGCAATGATTGTCATCAGCGATTTGGATTTTGCGCATACATTTTATATGAAGAACCTTGGTAAAAAATTACGAGGAATTTAAGTAAATCCTGTCAAGTACTAATAATTATTAAGTTGAATAGATATAATAGTTAATTTCCTGATATAAAAAGCGATGGAAGTAAGAATGTCCTTGGTAGCATGCGGTATCACTTTTGCAGAGTACAGTCCAGGCGAACGTAATCGACAGATTAACCGACACCAGCAAATACACAGGATCTTCCAAAGAACGATTTGATGCCGAAGGCAAAGGTCGTGGAAAAGAAGGCATGTGCAGTATAGCTTATAAATTACTGTTAACTTTACCCTTATAATACGAGTAGGCATTTGCAGTTAAATAAATAATTCGGACAAAAGCATGTTAAATGCTTTATATGTGCCGTAAATGAATACGCACTACAAACGCACGCAGTTTATGCTTAATGTGGTTTTAGGTCGAGAAGACGTTCCCAACAAATCCGGTTACGTTACCGGTTCCAAGATTGGCGATCCCACAAAAAAACCTGTAACGAGACCTTAACACTGGCATTCTGCCCTTGCCGCTATTTAAACATCCAAACGTGCACAAAAAGGAATTCAAAAGATTTAAGACTTATCGAATAGCCAAATGTTTTGCCTATACAAACATAAATGCATGCACCGAAGGTCCAAGCAAATTTTCTACAATATGTGTTTCCTTGGTTTAGGGCGATGAGAAGAACTGATCTCTACAGTTGTACCTACTGAAACGCATCCTTTTGCATAAGGTGACCGTGTGTGTCACTGTGATGTGTGCCGCCGTCATGTGTTTTGTGTTATTTTAGGTTTCTCATTACTTCGCCGATTATGCCAACGATTGCGGCTGCGTGTCAAACGAACGTTATACTTGTAACCGTTAACCGTTCAGCGATAATTTTTTCGTTTTTGAGGTTGGCTTAAATTTACGGTAAATTTTGATTATTGTATAACATTAATAAAAGGTTTCCGTGCAAATAAAAGCACGGCAGCGTTGGTCTGCAGCAAAATTTAGTATAGGCAGCATAGTGCCATACGGACTTGTCCAAGTTGTCCGATACGGGAATCGGCGACTCGTATCCGTCGCAAACCTGCTGTAGTCCGCTTTGAATACGAATCCGTTAACGTTGTGGCCTCCTTAATCAGCAAATAATTAAAAATATATCTTACTTCTAATTTGACAGTGGGCACAAATTATAACATTCTAGCATCTAAACTCTTCCACTAACCGTAATTAACTGTAAGGACTGGCTAACTGACAGGCTACGCTCATGGTGTACATACTTATAAGCGCTTGCTAAACAACTCACAGCATCTTAAAAACAAGTGGAAATAAGCAACTTGATCGAAGAGAACATTAGGAGTTTAATACTGGTATTTGAAACCAGTTTCCAGAATGACGTTGTATTTTTTCGTTGGTCTTCAATACTGATTGGTGGCTCAGATGTAATCCTTTCCCGTATGCTACCTGTTTCCTGGCGTATCTTCTTTCTCACTTTGGTATGGGTCGCTTCCGGTCCAAATGTCCAAGCGTTTTTTTGGGGTCCAGAGGTCAAGATAAATAGACCTAGGTGGATGCTCTATGATTTCGCGGATTTATTCTGTTCAGCCTGATGCTGTTCAGTGTTCCGTCGCTCCCACGACTTTTTTACTTCTTTATGAGACATTACTTTCAACACAATATATTTTATGCGAATACTTGCTTGTATATCCAGTATTATCACTGTTTTGTCTAAAGATTGCTTAATACAGCACAGATAAATTTCATCCGTTCTGAAACTAGACATACATTAATTTTTATGGTGCATGTGAAATGTGAACACTTCTAAAGGTTGTGGTACTACTGCGTAACGATAGTTTATTGCGCCTCGTAAGTGTGAACACGGTTTATGGATTCGTTTGTCGTGGAAACTTTGATCAAACATCTAGTAACAACACGTTGCAGTTCAATTTCTTTAATGATTTTCTTCATATTAATTACGACTTACGAGTATAATGACGTGCAGCGGAAAACAAAAAGGGTCAGTAACAGTCCGTTGCAAACTATGTCGTCTATCACATTTCAGTATTGCACAGCAATTTTCGAGTAACAACACCGTAGAACGCGATGCTATTTTTAAAAATTTGAATATTCTAGCCGCCAAGCCCACTTCCGACGGAAGCTGCTAAACAAACATTGCAGATTTGTACTGATGGGCACAGATTGACGTTAATGGGAGCTTGCACGCCGGCGCTGTTGAGGACGTTGGCCGGCACCACGCCCAACAAAGCTGGCCCGCCACCGCTGTTGCCGCCACCCAGCACCTGTGTGTTCTGGTTGTTGTTGTTCTGACAAACGATGTTTCCTGCAAAAATTCCCGTTTTCATTTACTATTTACTCATTCTTTGTATTCGATCGAATAACTATTTAAACCAAAAAATTTATCTACGGAAACTGCAAAAGACGCCAAACTGCTAGCTAAACCGGATTGGATGTTTCGGGTCACGCACTTACGATCAGTTTAGTACTAGAAACTGTAGAAGCAAGTATATCGGTTACCATTACCAAAGCATGTAAAAAAAAATAAAATTATTCATTTCCATTTCGCATTTGGTACTGCAATTTGGTTAGCATGCGTTTAACGGCAAGTATCTGTACAAAATTAATAGCATTTGACTATATATTACAGAGAATGCGTACCACAAAGAGCTCTGTCATTGGGAGTGCAGATGGCGCCGGGGCTGATCCCTCCTGCTGGGACGAGGCTTCCGACACCGGGAAGTGGAGGAAGTTGGCGACGGAAGCGGTGATTATAGGCACTCACGCTGGCGAAGAGCAAAAAGGCGAAGATCACACACTTCATTGTTAAGCGCTTATTGCTATTAGGAAACACGTATTTTATAGTATCGCTGGCTCGCTTTCACCTCAAACTTTTTTCTCCTTCTGTGTGACAGACACAATTGACGATCATTGGGCAACCTTACAATGATTTTTATAGCAACGTACAAAAGTGTTGTTTACCGCCAAAAGTGGGGATTTGCCGAGTTGCATTGTTGTAGTAACAAACGTTTCGTGTAAACGGTAGCGGCATGCGCGGACTGCTACTGTGGTAGTCATGCTTGTTTACGGCGCCGCATGCGTGCGAGATCGCACGAGCCTCAGGTCACGTTGGCCGAGGCAGGTCCTTAATTGGTGTGGTTGCGTTATTCTATAGGCCAATAGAAACCGCAACAAGAACGATGATACTGCAATAATTAAAAAGTTAATGTTCACGACAATTTTTATGGCTCGAAGTAGGCTTGTTAATGAATGCACAAATGGTTAAAACACAAGATCTGGAGGAGTTTAAAGCATGTAACTAGCAATATATAAGCAAGAATCCCGGGGTGTAAACCTAAAACAAATGCAAACCGTGAGAAAAAAAAGTGTAACACATAAATATATTATTTAACATATTATTTATTTAACATATTATTATTTAACATATTATTTAACACTTATCGTCGTTTTCTATCAATTTGCGAGGGACCTCCTACTGGAACATTGCCCTGACGGCTGCTCAACATTCGCTTAGAAACGACTTTGTGCTTAATTGTTAGCATGGGATTCGGCCTGCGTTAAATACCGTGTCATCGTCACACATGTACATAACATTAGTGAATTTATTCACCTCTCATCAATACTGCTTCGGCTGCAGTGCATTCGGAAAAGGCTGTGTTTTCCCCTGCAACGGAGCAAGGTTTTGGCGCCGACTGCTTTTAAACAACGATCAGTTTAAAGAGCAGAATACTTCTATAATACGTGACACTGATACGCAAAATTTTTGGAGTCCGCGTTTTTGTTTCTGTTTCCTGTTTCCGCGTTTGTTGTAAATGTGATCTTATTATGATTGCCTGTGTATCCTACCTCGCTTCTTACCTATCCAAATACAGCCTCGGTAACTATTTTGCGGTTGACAACTCGCTGCACTAAATTTCTAAATGTAATATGGAGACGCTGCCTTATCGGTTTTCGGTTGTTAGCGAACACTTGTCTGAACGGTATACACTGCTGAATGCACTTCTGCGACAGTCTAGCTGAGTCTACTCATATATATATCGCAACCTTTATTGAGTTCCGCTTGCTGTTATGCGGCAAAAAAACCCCTATTACAAATTAGGGGAAAAGGCACGCATAACCTATTCTTTTTTAAAGTTTTGTAAACATGCTTACTACGGTATATGTACTTACTAGGTAGTCCCGTTGGTGTAAATAGCGGCTGTAGTCACGTGCATAGTCTGCAGTGACTCTGCACCGAAACTGCCAAAAAGCATACTCGTACGAGTACAATCGATTGCGCCAAATTTGTTGTTAGGAATGACATAAACCTTGTATGATGTTGCGATAATAGAATGGATGTGATATAAAGAATTATTATTCTTTTAGTTGCAGTTAAAATTATATTCTTCCACAAGCAGGCAGAAACTTAGTACAAGGCACAATGTTTTTCTCGGCCAGATACAAACCGTGAGTAGGACATTAGAAATCAACTTACAAATGTAATAGCTTTCGTATTTATTGAGTATAAATCAACCGGCGTGACACAATATCACAACAATAATACTCGGTCATGGTCAACAGTCATGCAATTCAACCTGGAGCTATACTCGTAAATATTACGAAACCGCAAAAACAACAGCCTGTTTAGAGAGACAATATCTGTGCAACAACAACAAGCGATCTTCTGGGCGGAGTTGTAAAATTTCGAGTTATTGAACCGTTGCTCCTAACCCAGAATATTGACAGCCAGACACGTGTTGCAGACAGAGACCGGCGGACAGACATTGGCGTTGATGGGCGCCTGCACACCGGCACCGTTCAGCAAATTCAACGGGATCAGACTGGCCAGACCGCCGCCTCCGCTGTTGCCGCCGCTGATCACCTGCGTGTTGGAATTACCGTTGTTCTGGCACTGAACCGAACCTGCAAATCCATATGAATTGCTTTTAATTAAGCCTGCTATTTTTAACTTTAAAGGTCACTTACCGCACTGCGCTTTTTGGTCTGCTGTGCAACCTGCGCTTCCGCCCGTCAGGGAAGGCAGTTGTCGGCGTTCACGAATGACATTGGCGCTGGCGCAAGCCACCAAGAGAAGGGTCACGAGAATGATTTGCATGGTTGCGGAAGACGGCTGCGTAAATAAGCTTTGGAAATTTAGAAAGAAGTGATTCCTAGCAAATGCTGCTGTGTATGATTCTCTATGTTGCAGGTGCGCTGTGTTTTTAAAGGTTTGCAGCCATCAAAAAATTCTTTCGGTTGTGTGTTTGTGGAATTTGCCGAATGATAGCGTGCTTTGTCACCAACGTTTCGCGTAAACGGTGCCTTTACTCTCATTTTACGGGCGGTTTAGTCATGCATGTTTACGGCGCCACATGCACGCACGCAAGCTCGCACGAGCCTGAGGTCACGTTGTTCAGCGCGGTGCCTTATTCGGTTGGTACTTATATGAGTAATGTTTTAATTAATTGTAAGCACAGCAATAAATGCAGCATTTGAAAATATGTTGTCACTTCAGACTTTCCACAACGCCAGTTGCATTCTGAGGAACTGTTAAAATGGCGGGAAATTCCAAAAAATAGCAATATACCGAGTCACGAGAGGATTTTTACCGGTTTTGGAAAGTATATCCAGGAATTATGTATGAGATAGACAAGATATGAGACACACTGGAAGATGTTTTAATTCGTTAACCGTATTGTTACATTCGACTTAACAAAATCTGTAATAGATTTTCTGCTGTGTCTGAAAATCATATGGAGTTTTTTCCAATTTTCAGCGGTCGAGGACGGACAGAAAGCAACGTTAAATCTGCCGACGGCACTTTCAGTGCCACTAACAGCAGGAAACCTCTCTGTCATTATAAATAAAAGAATTTAAAAATGTTTCCCAAGCTACAAACATTTTGTAGACTATCCGAAATTTACAGAAGTGAGACATGCACGCCCCTAAACCTTCAACTTTTAACTACTACGCGCTACATATGTGATAAGAATAAATATAACGAGGCTTGCAAAGAGAAATTTGATGTCTTCCAGGAAATAACACATGTTTACCAGCTAATCAGCTAAAGAAAAACGCCGAAATTCTTCTAACACACCAACCGGATGTGAGATACTCGTGCACAGCAACACGTTATTTTCTGGATTGTTATTACTGACGTAAATATTTGTTTGTCCTTTCTTTAGCTGGTACAAAGAACAGTAAGATTTGGCAAAACTTGTCGTGTATATATTGCAACGTCATCAGAGGGAAAGTTTCACTCTTTAGATTCCCTGACGTACTCTTATTGTTAGCTCTGTCGACAACAGAACTAATATACCACCCGTTTGCATTTTTCAGTGTTGTGTTGTTTGTTTGGGTTTTTTCGGTGGCAAAGGTAGCTACAAAAAGTTTTTTAATGCTTTGCATTTGTACTTCTATATAAGAAGTTTAGGTGCAGGAGTGAAGTTTGCAGGTTTGCTTGGAATTAGAGATGCTTCGTAGCGAGTATTACAAAGTCTCCAGTGCTCCACCGTCCAGTTACACATCTTTGAGAAGTGAGCTAATTGTAAGTAACCCACCCCGTATGCGAAAACGTTAATATGCTGGCTACAGATTGTACTTTTATGTGCACAGATTAGCGCTCCCCTAATAATTATCAGGACCTTAATGTGATCTCATAATCGCATTAAGTGTACATACTGTACGTCTGCTTGTACAAGTATATCTGTATTGTGTACCGAAACAGTCACAGAATCGGCTGTTTTTTGCAGTGGTTTCCATAAATTGCAGTCTGCAGACGCTACCTGGAATGAAAAGAATCGTCCTCTTGTTGATCGGTCTGGCCGTGCTGGCTACGGCCGTGGCGCACTACGTTCCCGGGATTCCGCTCGACCAGCTAGAAGCGCACGGTTATCAACCGGACGAGACGCAGCCGGGTCGCTACAAGCGCCAAGTTCCGGCGGATCCTCGACGGGCACTGGCACCCGGCACCGGCGTCGCCGCACCCACAAAGCCTCCAACCACTGTTATCGTCGCGACATCTGGCGATTGTTGCTGCGTTATTATAATAAATGGAAATAGCGTGTGTGTTATTTGCGTCTGTCAAGGATAACATATGGGTCAACTAAGCACCAATTTGCACATAGAAGTAGTAACAGTTACTTACATTACCCAATTGCAACTGTCAGATGTCACCGCTGTAAAATTTCTAAACTAAGCGGACATGTACGTACAGTTCTTTAAGTTGTGCATCAAGTGTCACTGCTTTTTACGAATGTCCGTCTGACCGTTACAAAAGATTTTAAATTGTTTTTCCAGCTTTCGCGACAATTGGCGAGAACGTCGAAAAGATTAAAGCTTCTGAAGTAATAATAATTTATTTGATTTGCGGGATTCAAATTAAATCGACTTTTCATTGTATTAGTATTTGATGGTAGTTTTATAGTTCGACTTTTAATTATCCCAACGCAGCCTGTATAACAGGAAGTGTGTCGAAGTTTGTAAAAAATCAGTTTAGCATAGTTCTCGTAAATATTACGAAATTGCAGAGACACTAATGGCACCGTTAAGAAACAATCGATGCAACCGTAAGCATAATCGTGCAGCGCAATTGAAAATCTCAATTAACTGAACGATATTAGCCCAGAATATTGAGACCCAGACACATGTTACAGACGGAAACCGGTGGGCAGACATTGGCATTGATGGGCGCCTGTACACCGGCTCCATTGAGAAGATTCAGCGGGATCAGGCTGGCCAAACCACCACCCCCGACGTTGCCGCCACTCAACACCTGTGTGTTCTGGTTGCCGTTATTTTGGCATTCCACCGAACCTGCAAGAGTACATTCATTACCTACGCGCACCGTAATTGTTTTTTCGCGAAGGTCACTTACCGCACTGCGCTTGCTGGGCGGCTGTGCAGCTGGCACTGCCACCGGTTAGTTGGCGCCGTTCACGGATGACGTTGGCGCTGGCACAGGCCACCAGGAGAAGGGTCACCAGAATAATCTGCATGATTTCGTAGCTAACACAAGAGTCGAGAAATAGTTAGAGGAATGATTTTTTTGCGAGTGCTGTTGTATGATCGGGTTGGAGCGGAATGGTTGCATTTAAAGGTTTCCTGGTGCGACAACAGCGATTATTTTTTTGGCGGGGCCGTGAATGGGATTTGCCGCTGTGTTCACGTTTACTAAGCTAATGTGAGATTTTGTTGCACGGTGTTCACCTGTACGGCATGTGCGGTTGTGCGTGAGCGAGCGCTTTCTTTTGTCAGCACGTGCGTGGATGTACGTTCTAATACTTATTGGACTTCCTATGATTGTTTCGTTGAACTGTTGTTGCATTCTTACGTATACGATGTTGTGCCCGGAAGGCAAATTGTGTTGATCAGACGCATTGCGGTTGGTAGCATGTTTTCGCAGTCACTACTGTTTTTTTCTGGATGCTCATTGAAGTTCATATTGTGCTCCGAAAGCTTGTTTTCCTTTCGACTGCGCTTATAAACAGGCAATAAATTTCCGCTGTTATGTAAGGATATGGCTAACAACTGGCCAGAAAATGCAGAAGATAACGATTTATACGACAAAAAACTTAGAAATACCATAATTAATAAATTAGATTTTGGCTTTTTTAGTGTTTCGAACTTTCCAAAACGATTATTTAGCCAGCATCTTTTAGAGTTACTTGATATAATTGTACCAATTTAAAGAGTAGCATCTTACTAAAATCTTGCATTTTACGTGCATAATAGTCCGCCAAGTGTATTTCAAACACGTTTTTATTACATAACGGGCCAGCGGAGATGTACAAATGCCCGAGCAACTTCCAATTGTCGAGTGAAATATCGATTCTAAGAAAACTAGTTAGTCGTTACACATGCATCTCTTTGCTTGTTATGAATTAACCAATACGAAAAAATGAGTTGGCAGTCAGTTGGTGCTTTTTTGTAGATAATTTTTCACAAAAGGATTTGGAAAATTCCGATTGCTGGGTTCCAATTTGCGAATATTACCAGGCTGTGACAAGCAGTTGTAGCGCCTGCAGGACAAATGTCGATGGAGCGGAAGCCAATAAACATACCGGTCCGTGCGTGGCGGCTTCCGCCGTTCGCACCTCTTATGCAGCTGCTATTGTGGGAACCTTAAGTGGATTGGAGAAATTTATTTGTTTTTCAGTGTTTAAAATTTTAAACAGTACAATTATTGTTTTGCTGTGCAGGTTTGTAGGAATGCAAATTGGCCACTGCCTAATAAAATGCAATACGAGTAGGTAATTAAGTAGCTTTGAAAGCCGAAATATGGTTCCGGTGTTATGCAGCGCATCTAAAATCTTGTGTTTATTTTGCTTTCGCCATATACTGTAGCCGCTAGATGAAATGGCACCACAGAGTCTGGTGTACGGAAAACAGCGCACACGCTGCTGTTAACTTGTGCGCTGTCCGGCAGGGGGCAGGCAGCGGCCGGATCTAAAAGTGGTGCCATTTCATCTAGCGGCTACAGTATAAGAAAACGACTTGCTGCAGGACGTTCGGCAGAAGCACGCTATCGTATCCTTCAGTTTATTTTCCACATTATAATACTATGAATGAACTGAAGTTCAAATGACAAAGCTTCCCGCAAATATTTGGCAAATCATTATTAGTGCAGTATAAATTAGATCAATCAACCGGAAACCCAGTTAACCGATACCAGTAAAAAGAACAGGATAACCGAAACATGAAGCGCCATTCACAGAAGGTCACTATATATTTGCAACGGTTTAACCAAGGATGTTGAGACCCAGACACGTGTTACACACCGACACCGGCGGGCAGACATTGGCGTTGACCGGCACCTGGACACCGGCACCGTTGAGGGCGTTGATGGGCACCAGACTGAGAAGGCCACCACCACCGCTGTTGCCACCGCTCAACACCTGAGTATTCTGGTTGCCGTTGTTCTGACACTGCGCCGAGCCTGCAGAATGAAGCGATACGGTCAAAGCAATGCACAACTCCCACTATTTCCTTCAGTTTTTGACAATTCATTTACGGGATGTAACGCTAGTTAACATTATATGCGTGTATCCGATACTGAAACAGAAACGAACTGACAAAAATCTTAAAAAAATGCAAGTGTAAAAGTTTTACACGATTGGTTAATATATTATAAATATATCGATGCGGTGGAGCTTATTCGTTGGAATATTAAAAGTGTCACTTACCGCACTGCGCTTGCTGCGCAGCCGTGCAGCTGGCACTGCCACCGGTCAGTTGTCGGCGTTCACGAATGACATTGGCGCTGGCACATGCCACCAGGAGAAGGGTCACCAGGATGATCTGCATGGTTGGGCGAGAATTTACACGGAACGTTTACTACTTGGAGAAAAAATCTTAATTTCCAGAAATGCTACTGTTTGCTTCCTACGCTTCTGCAAAGGGTTTATACCTTGTATCTGCGGTAGATTATACCGTCTTTGAATGGATTGTTCTTTCTCTACCACAGGAATTTACCATTTATTACACCGTAATATCGCGCAATCTTTTGTGATTGGTGGTTTCGCCCGAGGTGTCACTTTTTTAGTAGGAACGGTTGCTTAATTTTGTGATTCATGACATTGTTGTCGACATTTCTTTGCTGCAGCGGCGCTGCTCGTCGCCAGGATATATTCGTTTGCCAAAAAAATAGCAGAGCCAACTCGTATTTAAAAATTATTATCAATTTTATTATTCTGAATATCGTTTTATATATACGTACTATCCACCTGTTGCATCAAAGCTGTGAGACTGAAGCTCGAGACGGCATGCAGACTTAAAATTAAATTTGGTACTCTTTTGTTTATATCTTGCAATTATTAATTAACGTAATGTTTTAAGGCGCTTTAATGATACATTCTGAACAGCCTAAACCAAAAATTTTAGACATCGTTTAAGTAGAAATTGGTGGCCACAGTAGTGTTAAGACATGTATTATTCTGTACATGATTGTGAACGATTAACATACGTACTCTAGGCACCCCTTTGAGAATAATTATTTCGCATTCCGTATTATAAGAATGATATAAGCACCCCTTTTTAAAAATAAACTGTTGAACGTTACGTTACGTTTTTTCTCATAACCTAATTCTAAGGTTGTTTACCATTTTTAATTCTAAATTGGTTAGTCAGTTACTCAGTGAGTCAGTGGCCCCAATGCACAGCACGCAATAACAACAAAATTATTAATGTTGTGATTAGATAATAATTTCACAGTGCCCTGCACTAAATGCGTACAGATACATACGCGTAGCGGAAGTTAGAGTACAACATAAAGATAAAAAACATAACTGCAACATAAACAGGACCAATTAAAGGCAAAATATTGCCGATACAGTTAAAGGCAAAACTTTTCCTCGATACCCGGTTTTATAGCAGACGTACAGATAGGTGTAAATGTCCTACTAAAAAAATACTGATGTATTTGTTACTAAATTCGAACAAATAATGTTTTGTGCAAGTTTTATTGGGTTCGAGAAGACCTTGGCGCGGACTGCGTTAAGAGTCACCAAAGTTTTCTGATACAATATGCATCACGGACTTGATCACGAAACATTCCATTTATGGAACAACAGGTGATTTATAAAACAACAGAAGACATGCTCCACGCGGTCGATATTATCGTCTTTGGTTTGTAGCTCTGCACACACTGCACTGGGCAGAGGTGGGACAATTGTTTACGCTGGAGCCCGGTGGAAGCTGACCTGAGCCGCTTCCGCTGACAGGAATTTTAATACCAAACATGGACTGCAGGACAGCGGCGGCGGCAGCATTATTCGCCGCGCTGTTACCTGACCCGCCGACCTGCGTGTTTACATTCCCGTTGTTTTGGCACTGCGCCGGCTGACCTGCAGAGCCGAAAAAAGATAAGTATTTAAAAAATTTGCAAATTGCCAGGAATCGTCTTACTTATGATATCAACCTTAGCGCAAAGTAACTAAGAGTTGACGCAATAATAAAAATCAGAAGGTTTCCCGGTGCATTACTGCCGAAAACAATACTCGTATTCGAAAAACAAACGTCATCTCAACTCTGTCTGTACTCTGTACAATTATTGTATGAGTGAAGTGGGATACTGTTGCTCATTAATGGCCACATAATCTTAACGACACTTACTGCACTGCGCTAACTGTGCGGCCGTACATGTGACGCTCCCGCTGGTCTGCCGGGAGAATCGGAGGGCATTAATACCGCCAACACAGGCCGCAACGAACAGGATCAGCAAACCGGTCTGCATCTTCAATCTGCTGCGAAAAAAATATTTTACTCACGTACGGTAAGTTGGGAGGAAGTCATTAATTGCACTTAATATTAATGTGGTGTGTGACAGCGGATGTCGACTTATAACTTTATATATGCGGCGGTTAGCGTGACAGAAAGTTGGTGTTGTTATCCGCACAGTTATAGTACGAGTACATACTAATGAATGGAAATGTCCGTATTGCGTATACCGTTAAACTGCAATGCGGTGAGTGCACGCTTGCTTGTTGACAGCCGTGACGCGGCGATTCAGAAGCATTGATTCACTTTCCCAAAAGTGTTGACTTGTTGATCAAGTCGACGCTATATCTCTACAAAACAGTTTGAGTGTATGTTTTCGTATTAATTTATTGTGAGCGGCGATCAATTTCTCTCAACGTGCAGACTACTGTAGATACATTTTTATAAGTGTCGTGCATGCAGCGTGTCTTTATCAAAACAACTGTACGTACGCTGGACTTCAAAATGGTGATAACACATTTACCTACCCATATACAGAGCGTTATCTGCTGTGGGTGATACCATAATTATTGAGTGCACTGTATACCTATACTGCTCCATGAATTACACCGTGTGAGTACTTGAGTTACGAGTATTACTGTTGTCAACGAATATTTGCAGCTGCTTTCTTGCCAATTATTTTGCACGTGGACGCCGCGCCGGCAACAAAACGTGCACAGATGTCAACGTTTTCTTGTACCTATACGTCGGAAGTTAATAAGGCAAACCCCAACCATTTTTTTGCAAAGGCATGACGTTTTAAAATAAGCGGCATTTATTCTGCCATATTACATATATGTATGTATATATTACACCGGCTGTGATCTGCCATATTACTTATTTACATTGTCTTAATCCCATTAGAATTTTGTATAATGATTTCGCGGTCTCGTGAATCCTGATCGTGGCTTATCAACGCTGCGCTGTTTAATCAGAACCACTCGGCGCGGGGAGGCAAATTAGACCGATTTTCAATTTATTACCGGATCACTATAAATGACAACCAACATGGTGTAAATTCTTTACAACAAAACATTCGTGAAAATTCGATCTCCGCATAACAACATGAGAAAATCAAGATAAGAGAAGAAAGTTAGTCGCACAAAACGTATGTTCCCTTAGCCAGCAACATTAGCAGCGGCACACAACCCACAAACGGAGACGGGCGGGCAGACGTTGGCGTTGATGGGCAGTTGCACGCCGGCACCGTTGCCTAAATTGACTGGGATGAGGCTGATGAGACCGCCGCCTCCGGTGTTGCCACCGCCGATCACTTGCGTGTTCTGGTTGTTGTTGTTTTGACACTGCGCTTGACCTGCAAAAACACGGAAAGGTCAGGCCGGCTGGTTTATCCGTCGGTCATCAACCGTTGTGCACCTACTACAGGTCAGCCATAGTGTGCTGACAAAATAAAGTGATTGTTGCACTTACCGCAAAGGGATTTCTGTTCCGCCGTACAGCCTGCACTGCCGCCCGTCAGCGGGGGCAGCGGCAGTTGGCGAGCGAAGCGGAGAGCGTTAGCGGATGCGCACGCAACGAGGACAATCAACACGACCGTCTGCATTTTGGTAAGAAGCAGCGAAGTTCCAGAGAAATGAATAGAATTTTAAAACTGTTTAGTTATGAATGCTTGTGTGACTGCTTGAATTTGTTTATATATTCTCCTAGTGTTGTTTGTCCAACGCTCGACTGACCCAGAGAAGCACGCGGGGAAAACACCGACGCCAGCCAGCATGCTTCATAATTGTTACGAGTATGTACGCGGCGGCGATTATGCAGTGTGTATGGTGCTTTCTGGAAAATTGTTTGTTGTGGCAGCAGTTTCGCGGCAGACAGCAATGAGTACAGCCGCCGAGGGCTGTTGTGGTGGTAGCTGAGAAGTTGCTAACCGCAAGATCAGGTGTAAACCGAAAACAATATCATGTAATTCTGCTCTGCTCGGTTCGACGCACGTGGTCCAGTTGTGCATTCTGCAAAAATGGAGCGCTTACAGCACGACAACCAAAACCATATATGGTCGAACCCTCCCGGTTACTCGAAATTAATTCGTATAAATATAATATGGGTAAGAAAACATGCAGGGTCGATGTTGATGTTGATGGGTCGAAGTTAACCGATTTTTTCCATAATATAATATAATGTTTTTACAGCTTTTTTCTTTCAAGGTTTCGACTTTTTGTTGACGGCAGTTGTTTTTAACATTTTTTTCATGGACGGTCTCCTATGTGGTGCGACCTGATCACTTGGTGACAAAGATACCGGCACTGAGCGAAGTGACTGAAATTACTATACATAATGGATAAAATGAAACTCGTTTGCTTGAAAGCGAAAATAGGTTCAAATGTTTTCAATGTCAGGACTTGAAATTAGTGACATTTTTTAGGGCGTAACACTACGAATAAAGTAAAGACACGCTAAGAATGGCATAAAGCTTCGAAGTGTTAACCAAGAAACGAAACTGCGAGCAAATGATAACCACTAAACAAAAGTTGAAACAAACTATTAAAAATTTAAAACACTCAGCAACAACCATGTATGTACTGAAGTCCAGCGATGTAGTGTTGGTATCAATTAAAGCACCTTTATACTGTATCTGCAATTCACTCAACACCTTTAAATTCCTGTCACAGAAGAGTGCCGCATGTATCATGTGACAGAAAAACATACCATTGCATGGTAGTCTCAGAGAAACAGCGAAGAAATCGGTGGCCGCTGTAATTGTGGTTAATTCAAGATGAGTAAAGTCTCCATGAAATGCATGAATGGATGACTCAGTGTCTCTACTTCTGTCGACAATGTGTGCGACTCAAAAACAACGACAAATGCGAAGCGATTCGATGTTCACATACGCAGGCTTTGTTGTTGTAACAGCTCGGATGACCTTGTTGTTACCGCTTATTATTGCAAACATTGTTAACGGCGCACTTTTTGAGCGAACTGCACGCATTGTAAGCAGCTGACTGGATTAAGAAGTATACTCGCCGCGCTGAACGAATGCAAATTGCAACTGAATAAACGCAAACCGTGCTACTCTGTTTTCGCGTTTGTTTCGCGGTTTTAGTGTTCATCTGGCTAACAATGACTAATAATTGATATTAAATAACATGCTGACCTTTATCCAGTTAATCGCTTTTTTTCCGGTGAACTATGATTGTTTCCCGAGTTTGACGACGAATATGACACTGGCATGTGTACGAGTAGGCAAACAAAAAGTGTTCTTGCTGTATACGAACAACGATTTGTATTTCACAAAAAAATTTCTTCGGCTGCGAGCACTGCCAGCGCTTCGACGTTCCTAACTTACAATTGTTTACATATACCTACATAGTCTCGTCAAAATGCATACTGCTATTCTCATGATCACTCGTTGCCTGCGCTAGCGCCACGAGAAAATGGAAACGGGAGAGAAAATGGAATTTTTCCTTCCTCGTGGCGCTAGCTCTCCTGGTATACTCGCCAACTGCCTGCACCGTTGGCGGGGCTGCCAGCTGCTCCACCACTTACGGGTGGCAGTAGTGTCTGCGCCGCGGAACAAAGAGCATACAGTAATGCGGAAAGTAATGCGGAAAGTATTCGTATACAGAGGAGGAGGTGCGTTTTGCAGGTCTATCGCAGTGTCAAACTAACGGCGACAGCAACACACAAGGACTGTTGCAGTCGGGCAACCAAACGGGTCCGTCATCAGCGGCGTTCCCATTAATGCGCATAGCGGCGCCGCCGCGCCGGTATCCAAGAGCCCATCAACGCCGATGCACTTCACACTGGTTAACCGAGCAACTGTACAAGTACAACAGTGTTTCACGACCTAAACGTACTGTAAGCACGTAGTAACATTTTCATCGAATTGACGCCCACTAATATTCAGTGTGAACTTAATTATCATGATGTAGGGCATTGCTTGTCGGCCGGTTATTTGAGATCTCTGGCTAGGTCTTTGCAATGGCTCGGTCTCTCTCTCCTTTCCAACGGTTCCGGTTGCTGCCCTACGGCAGCCTCTTACTGAAATCGGCACTGTCCTGGGTATGAGAGTGTGCGACCGACTAGTCTTGAATAATTGTATTTATCGAGTCCGGAGTTTTTATAAGCAGGCGCGACTCTTATCAAGTCCAGCATCATCATAAGACGGTGCCGGATGCACAGCGAGCTGATACGGTTACTTGTGTTTCAACTTTTTCTTGTCGTCTACCGTTAAACTCGCAAAATTCACTTGGATTCTGCAAAATCTGCAACTGCAAAATCAGTTTTAATTATTTAAGGATCGATTATTTAAGGATTTAAGGATTTAATAATTGGCGATCTTTACTTTGAATCCACTCCAAGAAGCATATTTTCAACAAACATAGTTGTGCAACAAAAGTTCTCTCAAGATCGAAACCATTAACCAAAGCAAGTGAGTTGCATAACATATTTATTACAATTTACAACGCTTAACCGGCAATATTGGCGGCCGCACATGCGCCACAAACAGAGATTGGCGGGCAGACGTTGGCGTTGATGGGCAACTGCACACCGGCACCGTTGCCCAGGTTGACCGGGATCAGGCTGGCCAAACCGCCACCACCGTTGTTGCCACCGGTGTTCACCTGGGTGTTTTGGTTGTTATTGTTCTGACACTGCGCCAGACCTGCATAGATAGGGAAAGGTCACGATGAGCTGACAATTGTAATCAAGAAATGTTCTTACCGCAGAGGGATTTCTGTTCAGCGGTACAACTAGCAGTGCCACCTGTCAGCGGGGGCAGCGGCAGCGGCGGTAGTTGGCGAGCGAAGCGAAGGGCGTTGGCGGCCGAGCATGCCACAAGGAGAATCAAAACGGCAGTCTGCATTGTGACGTGTGAGGAAGGATTGCGATTTATTCAGTAAAAGATAAACCTTTTGGAGTCACTTGTTTATGAGTGGTTGTTTCGGACTGCTGAAGCCTGCTTATATACGACTGAAGTTTTATTTGGGTGATGTTTGTCTGGCCTAAAATTTTAGACAAAGTATGTAATTTCGGCTTGTGCAACGTAAGCGGCTGTCCTTGCAGTACGCAGGATTACATATCGCTCTTTCTTAAAAATATTTGTTGTTGTCTTGTTGATGCGGTTGTGAGGCATACTATGGATGCCTGTGGCTGCTATTCTGCCGACTTTCGGCCGACTGCTACTTGGTAAATATTAACCAGCCACAGACCAACTTACCAGCAATGCTCAATTAGCACAACAAAACATGTTGCTCTATTCCGTATACTGGAATAATATTATGTTGTACGAGTGATAGACATACATACATAATATAGGTGATTTCATTCATCACTGCATGAATCCCGTACGAAAGTGATGCGGAAAAACTATGCTGATTTGGTCATCTTTCTGTATATTTCCAATTAACTTCGCGCAAATCCGACTGTTGAAATTATGTAGTTAGTTGGTTGTCTCTAAATCGTATGCCAGGTATGCGCTATCTTACGGAAATTTAGACGCTTGCGCACATTTTAGTACCACTTTGCAGAACGACTACTTTTTCGATTGAGCTAGCACGAAATCCGATCGACATCAACCACTGGATTTCTGACCAGCAGGGCTTTTAACTGAAGTAGAAAAAAATAATAGCAGAGATTTTTAAAAATTCGTTAGATTGAGAAATCGTGCAGAATAGAAGAAGCCAAAATGCACGCGTTCGCATTCTGACCGCATCACTTTCGTATGGGAATGAGATTCTTTTCATTTACTAACCGATTGTATTCCGTCCTTCTGTTCCGTACCCAACATCGCTTATTATAATTTTGTCCATAAATAGTGCTCTAATTCCGTAATAAAACTAGCTGTACATCAACTGTACATGTACAACCACTCCAAGACAGTTTCACCTATATATCGAGGAAATACTTCCACGCCGACCGGAAATGAGTTTACTGCTGGTACTTGTTCAGAAAGTGCATCCCTTGCCGTGTTACCTTGAAGTTCTTACAGGACAAGAGCCGCATAAGCAAATGCAGGAGAGAAAAAAAATTGCACTCAAAACAGCAGACTTTTCCTGAGATTTAATTGTTATGGACAGGCAGCAAGCAGCAACGAGCAAATGGAGCAAAAGCTCATTACAGCAGCATGCCATTTATTTTCTGACATTACTGGCAACTACTGCAATTTGCTAAACTGTGTGTTTTAAATTTTTGTGTTCAGATTCATTGACAGAAAAAAGATTAACAGAACCACATAAAACATGCTTTAAGGTGCTTAAAGTTTGCCGCCCATTCTTCTGCGATTATTTCTGTTTAACGCTTAACTTTTTGGTCTAGATCATTCTGCAAAAGTACGCCTAGTGATTTCGCCGCTCCTTTTCCACACTCATGTAATTATTGAGAACACGTGCAAAGCTCATGCGTAACTGTGACTGTCAGCTAGAATTGACGGCATATAAACAACAATATGTATTCGTAATAATTATAAGGAAATCTGCAGTTCTGTCCTGAACATTCTTAATTTGATTCATTCATTGCAGAAAAGTCTGTTCATGAAGTGTTTTTGACCGACCTCGCATACGTTTTGCGGCTTCGTATTAATTCGTCCTAAACCTCCGTAATTACCGGCAGACTTCAACTTATTTTCATGGGTAGGTGCGATAGACTACAAACAGAAAAATAATATTATCGAGTCTACAAATGGGCTGAGTCTCAGTAATTGTCTTCTCTTTACTACAAATGGGCTGAGTCTCAGTAAAGAGAAGACAAGCGGGCTGAGTCATTCATTCATGCATTATTTTACGCATCAAACGCATAAACGAGACAATCGAAAGAGTTCTGCGATTTCTTTTTGGTAGAAATGGACTAATACTGGCAAGCGGTTGAGCGCAAGTGTAAACATTTTTCAGTATTCCACTTTGAAAATTACTTTCTTTTGACTTAAGCTTCACATAAACACTCAACGTTTGTCCGAAAGACTGTTGTTTGAATTAGTGTGGGCTGACGAGATGAATTCATATTAATTCCTTACTCATGTCCTGCCAAACAAATACTGTTTCCCGAATTGCCCGGCAAAATACCGTAATTATCGAATTTGCACCCCTGGGGTGCAAATAGTTCAAACGTCCTGGTGGAGGGGGACTTATTTCGGGGAGGGGCGTTATTTCGGGGGGTGGTACTATTTTTCAAAGAGCATTTTTTGGAGGGGGCCGTTATTTTTTAAATAATTGCGCATCCTGTTCTGTTGATACTGAACGCAGTAGATACCGGTATTTGCCGTTTTACAACCTTACGAGCAGCATTCTGAAGCATCGCACAACATTATTTTTGTGACTGTTAACTGTTTATTCATTAAATCATAACAATTATTATGAAGCAGTCTGCGGTATATCTATCATTTTGTGGCGCTAACCATTTAATAACGCCCCTGGGCGGTAAATTCGGGGGGAGGCGCTATTTTTCAAACGGCTTGTGGGAGGGGGGCTTACTACTTACGATTTGCACCTCCCCCTTATTACGGGGGAGGTGCAAATTCGATAATTACGGTATCACCGTTTTGCCCGATAAGTAAGCGCATTTGTACGAGTACATAAGCGAGAACAGAAGTGCGGACTTCATACCTTCGACGAGTAAAACAGAAAAAAACCTTCACGTTCCAGTCGTGTCTCATTGGTTTATTGATTGTCATCCGAAACATACTTGAGCAGTAAAATGCAGACGATTGCTACGATTCTGATGATCGCGTGTGCCAGCACCAACGCGCTGCGATTCCCTCGTCAGGCGGTTGCACCGGCTCGACCGGTTCCAAGTGTCCCGTCTCCAAGTGCCCCTCTCCCGAGTGTGCCAGCTCCAAATGTCCCCACCTCAGGTGTTCTCGTTCTTGCTCCGAGCATTCCCGCTCCCTGCCCCTGCCCCCAGCGCCCCTGTTCCTTTCCCGAGCGCTCCATCGCCGTCTTCCGGTCTGCCGGTTCCTGAATCGGTTGTGCCGGTCGCTCCGCCGCAAACTGGTGCCGGTGCTATCTGTACCGCAGAACAAAAGGCGCAGTGCGGTGAAGAAGCGCACTGCTCGCTGACCTTTTAAATGCTCAGCTCGAATTGCAGGTTTAACGTGCTCGTGTTGCAGGTTTGGTGTAGTGCCAGAATAATGGCAACACCAATACACAAGTCTTGCAACAAGCCGGCAACTTGGGGGGAGGATCCCTCATCAGCGACATTCCCTTAAACCTGCTGAATGGCGCAGGATTTCAGGTGGCCATCAACGCCAACGTCTGCCCCCCGGTATCCGCCTGCAATGCCTGCGCCGCTGCAAATATTCTAGGCTAATTAAGACGCCGGAATGGTGCAATCCGACCAGCACTAATGCTTTTGTTTGGAGGAGTTTTTGGAAATGTTTAATATTTAATTGTTGAAGCGGTACAAATGTTAGACTGGGCTCTAGAGAATTTAAAGTTTTATTATGTTGCATTAAGGCTGTGTCCTCGCACCATACAAAAATTATAGAGTATGTTTGCATGAAAATCATTAAAATTGATCTTTTCACTTGCCAATTTTGCTTTACATATTATACGCGTTGTGAGTCGGGACTACAATATGTAAGTGTAAGGACTTTTCAATGTACATAGAATGCCCGCGGTTCCACCTTGTATTACTTATTTGATGGCTATTGCCTAATAAACGGTTATTGTAAGGTTTGGCGTTTGTGCCCGGTATGCCAGCGCAGGCAATTGCCTAGTACTGCATGTATTTATTACTTGTGCCTCTTAGATGCCGCGGAAAGCTGCTTTTCCTGGGTAAACGGTATGTGCCTATGTTTCACTTCCCGAATTCGAATTTCAAGCGTTTTTTTTAAATTTGGAGTTCGAATGGTGTGGCGCATGCGGAGATCCGAATAGCTGATTTTTGTTAAGGGTCATTAATTCGTATAGCAACAACAGTCACGAGAACGCAAGAAACATATCGAATATCATGTGGATGACTTGATGGTCTATTTGTTTTCCTGTGGTATTTGTGCTGAAATACTTCCCAGACCCGTCAAAAATTAAATGTTTGGTGGAACTAAAAGATATAATTGTTGTACTAGCGAAACTGAAAGACGTTGCACTATGCTTGTCCGACCCCACACTGCCGTTCACGACACAATCGGTAAGAGCACTCTTGTATCTCAAACTGCTACGGAAGGTTGCAGATGGTAAAGTTGACCTTTGAAAATGACGAAGAAGAAGTCCGGAATCAGGAATCCCTGCTGCAAACACGAGAAATATGCACGAAGAGTATACGTTACCTGTCCTGACGCTAGATGTAAGCAGAAGCGTATGACAAATCCATCAACCTGGCGCTACAGGGCACGAAGATGAAGAAAGAGACCGAAAGGTCAAGAGATGCAAGCGGGAGCTAAAGGTCACCTATTACGCTGCGAGACTACCTGACTGAGAGTAGTGCAGTGAAGTGTAGGAGTACCACTGACGATAAGTGAAAGGTGACCCAGAGGTCAGATAGCTGACCCACACTGCGAAAGAGACCAGAGCAAAACCGTGAAGTTACTGTAGCCGCTAGACCAACTTGCACCACTTTCAGATCCACCCGCTGCCTTCACCCTGCCGGGTATTTAGCACGAGACACCCTCCCACCGGGCAGCGCCCACGTTGCCTTTTACATTTTAATGCTTTGAAGCCAGCCAAACTGTAAAATCTCTGCCCCTGCCAGGGGCACCCCAAAAACCAAAACAAACCTGAGTTTACACTTAAATGAAACTATATCAGCGCTCTAAATTTGTCGTTTCTTTTAATTTGTGTTGCCAATAAGTAAAATAAAAATTTAGTTTCTTCTAGAACATCGCCAAGGAGAATGGCTCGAAATTACAAGCAAACTACCAGATATTTTCGCAGCCAGCAAAGTGTGTATATTAGAATTGAATTTTTGCGTACACCAGACTCTGTGGTGCAAGTTCGTTTAGCGGCTACAGTAATCACAGCGAGAACAAGTCTCTGTTTTGTTGGGATTACAACTCTTGGTGTTACATTGGGCGCCGCTGCGCTTATATAGACTCTCGACATACGCAGATGCCTCACATATCGTACAACTCGTATTGAAGAACAAAAGGGATTTCGAAACTAGCCACTGAACTACAAGAAATTAACACGTGGACTAATGAGAACAAGAGGCCAACTCGTACATGAGAACAATTGGTAGAGCTACGTCAGGGAACACTCGGTCACCTCAAAATGAACAGTCGCGGTCAAAGTTCTCTGCTGGGGATTTCTGAGAAGGCACGACTCGAACACGGGGTCATGACTCGAGAAGCCGAAATAGTAAATCGTAGAGAAGGGGCAGTAGAAGTATTAAAATAGTACGATGTGTACGGTGGTACACCAGTACACATCATAATAATCATTTTAATCATCGGCCTACTTGTCATTCGATAGCAGCGAGTCTTTAGAACAGCCAGCAAAAATCGGGTTAGAGAAAAATACTACCAGCTTTATGAAAATTTCAAGCATTTGACATGCAGAATCTACGGGATTATGAAAAGATAGAAAGGATAACCGCGGGACTCTGCCAGTACTGTAATAATACGATGCACATGTTACGAGTATTACTGGCTACCTAACCATGTGTCATGTAGCCGTGGGCTTGCGTCCAGAGTGGGACTTTACATGTAAACTACTGATTTGCTACCTCGTTGATCGCGTGGATGATCGTGAAATAGTGAAAATTACGTTTTACTTATGATAGTTGAAAGCGTGCTTCAGTCTGAAGGTCATGTGTTTCCATTAATGTTGCTGAATAAGCTGAGTACAGAGTAGTTTCATTTGCCAAGAACGCATTGGAAGCATTCACTTTGAATAGCAGTGAGGGGAAAACAAAATATTATAATAATAATTATGTTTGCCTTACATCAGTTTTGATAGGTTGTTATATCAAAACTAAAACGCATGCACGAGTTTAATTTACAACCATGAACACGCATTTCAGCGAAATAAGTCCGGATCAAAATATAATAATTATCAGATGAACAAAACGAGGATTATCCCCTTAGTACCGGCATTACGTCAAGACGCTTTTCATACTAGAGCAGTAGTTCTTTTACCAGCCGCAATGGTTATGAATCTTTTTTTATTAAATCCTGTCATTACAAAAAACTATATTTGAATTTTGAAGTACTGCACGAGTAGCAATGCACGTAAACATGCTACCGTACAGTAATGTACGTACATCAAAAATGACAATAATAGCTTGCTAAAATGAGTTAGGCGAAGTTATCAGCTGATGAAGAGGCGGCGAGTGTTTACGAATCCGCTGAATGGGTCACAATGGCCGTATTAGCTGGCATCCTAATGCGTTTACGCTTCCCCATCATCGAATAAAGGGCCCACTTCGTACACGTCCTTCTTGAAACGGGGCAGCACAAATTTCGGTTGATGGAAGTCGCGTGTCATCGTGGAAAGCATTTCCTGGAATATCTGCTTCTGTGTGGGGATGCGCGGCCGCGCCGGGATTGGCCGCGTACGGGGAATCGGATAGCCTTGACCTTGCCGCGGAAGGTGCATGCGCATGGCTTTTCGTAGCGCAACCAGTGGACTGCTGCCGATGCCTGTGTTCAACATCAATTATATCAACTGGCGTTTGCGGATTTTGGTCTGATTGCTCAAAACAAATTGCTGATTAACATTGCAGTATCTAATTCCCAGCTTCAAAATTCGGCCGGATGCCCCATTAACGTATATACAGATATATATACCGCCGGCTATCCTAGACGTTGCTTAGACATCTCTAACATCGGCGTATCATCGTAATATTACCGATTACAGCGATCTAAAATTACCGATTACAGCGACCAGCGGGCCAACTGATCTAAAATCTGCAAATTTAACGCTTCTGAGTAATTTTACCAATCGAGCAAAATGTCTTTCGTAAATTTCGAGACAAAGCTCAATTTTGGTTTTGCATCAAATCCTTATCTGTGAAGCATTGACAATCACCTGTAACACAGTATGTCAAACCGTAACTGGACTACAAAAGGTCGCGAAACCTAACCAGTCTAATGCATCTTTGAATTAAGTAAAGCCAGTTATGACATTTACGAAAACTGTCAAGAATACACAACCCTTGCATGACGGCGCAAATTCAGGTAGTCTAATACCGAAATTTTTTTTATTTTTCATGACCTTTATGAGATCTACTTAACCTGGTTGGCTTCATGTGGCTAAAAAATCAAGCGATTGTTGGTTCTACGGATTGGATAACAAATTTGATACCAACATGATGCAACATCTAGTGCATTACAGAACTGCCATCGACTTACTTTCAAAGCGCTGCGCCGAAACGAAAACTTTGCGTGGTGAAGCCGGCATGACTGAACATGATCCAAGAACAATCCACAACGTGCATAGAATAACCAACGGAACGACAATCCGTGCCATTTTGCCAGCCAAGAGATGGGTAAAGAACAGCGTGCGACAGAAGTGAATCCGGTGGGAAATAAAGAATTCCGGCTTTAAAAGTCCAGGAAAGGCCAATCTCAGAGCCACCGCCAATCAGGGTTCGGAGAATAATTATCCACCGCTATGATTTATAATGATAAACCCGAGCAGATTTAATCAATGTCGATTGTGTCCTTTCCTTTCGCTGCTGTGCCGGGGCGTGTATTGGTAAAAACGAAGGTACAGTAAGTCTGATGAAGCCGCTATGTCAAAGAACATGTAATCAGCAGCTATATTTGATTCGCATGACTTTATGTACTCCAGTAATATGTCATATGTAGAGCAATAGGCACGCCTGCCGTCAGCGGATGTCCTGCCCGTTTAAATAGTTGTTTTGTCCCGCGCTATGGTAAATTAGATTGTGGAAAAAATCACCTATCCGCGTCAGAGTGCTAATGCGGTTAGATGAAGTTAGGCGCTGATCGATGCCGGTATGAATGATAACGGTTGTGGATAGATCCTGTTGAGGAGGCAAATTAAAAGGGACATCCACCGGTGCGACGACAAGGCATGCCGGGCCGCGTGTTTGCTCACCCATCAAGTGCAGCGAAAAACATGATTAAGTTGTTAAATGACGGCGGAACAGTTTTAGCCGCTGCTTGCAAAACACTTGACACTGTGCATTGTTTGCGTCTATACGGCAAAATAGTTGTTGAAACCACATGAAAGTCGTTATTTGCTGTTTGCTATAGGTCACTGGAAATGCGTATTTGTAAGTAGCTATCGATGTCGTGTTATCTGGAAGTATTTTTCCCGGCTCATTTTGGCCCAATGAAATATTATTATTTTTATCAATCTCATCTTTCACCGCATTTCAATTTTACTTTGCATTGACGAACCGGTGTAAATATGCAATGTAGACCGTGCTCGCAGTGACGCCTAAAACAGAAATAGTAAGTAGCAAGCCAATGATTTTCCCGCTAAATAACACGTTTAAAAGTGAGCGGTAATCAGTTAATGAATCATTAGCTGCATTGTAATTTCGTGCATCTGGTAGAAGAACGCTCTCTTTCTCCGGTTGTTAGTGGAATTTGGAAACGCCATCTCAGACAACCTCTGATATGTCAGTACACTGAAACCAAGTACGAATGACCCATTGTCGTTCTGTGTTCTGCTTACGCTTCGACTGTCAACGCAGGCTTTACGCAGCAAGTCGCAAATAGCGCAGCGTGCCGCAGCGTATCTTACGGATCTGGCGGGCCCTTCTGTTTTCATTTCGTTAAAAGTCAAGCTTGGAAAGACTCTTGTACGGCGTCTAGAGTAAGCGGAAAAGCCGCTACAAGTACCAGATCGCACTATAACAGCTGTTATGCCTTTTGGCTGTTGACATTCTTTCACGTCCATGTCGCTGCAAAAATAGACACGAGCAGCTTCATAAAGAATGAAGACTTGAAAAAGAAAAGGCTTTAATTTCTAGAATTTGTCAATTTTTCCGCGATGTGCATGCCCAAGGGCCGTGCGAGAAACGTGCCACTCACACTATGATCGTTGGTTAAATAAGCCGTTTCAAGCAAAACTACATAACATGCGAAGGCTGTGAAATCCTTGTACAATTGAATACAAACCCGCTTAATCGAAAGATTCTACTTTGAGAAGAGATTTTAGGGATTCCGTTAGTTCACATCTAAAAAAACATCAAACAGTCTTCGAGCGAATTCCAGATGCATTGTTCACGATCATAAGGCGTTTTGCTCAGATTTGGCGGTCAAGCGCACTGGCAGTACAGGGTATTTATGTGCTGGCAGCATATCAGTGGCCTATGAGCCGGCCGGCTCCGGTGAAGTTGCAAGCTTTGCATGCAAAAGCGGAACCGAATTTTCAGCGACTAATGGTAAGCGGAGATTTCCGTTCGTGCACGAATTACGTGAAAGCGACGGTAAAGTGTCGGACTGCTGCCTTGAAATACCAATCAAATAGGAGGAGTTAACCAACGCAAAATTTTGAGGAAAATCCTGATGGAAACATTTTCTCTCGAAACTGCTAAAAAATGAGCAATATGCGCCTCGAGACTCGAGGATAATTTTCACTATGTTATTATGGTCATAGCAAAACCTGGTTTTGCACCAGTTATACGCGGATTTTACAAAAGCATTTATTAAACGCATTTGATTTTAAAGTAGAAGCTATTGTATACCAACCTCTTGTTGCGAGAAATGATTTACGATCAGATTAGTTTAGTTGAAGTACAACATTTTTATTGAAGTCTCCAGTTGTTCGCATTTCTTCCTGCTTTTTTGAAATAAAGCAACATTTGGCCTGTTAATTTGTTCAACGCATGCAGAATAATTGACTTGAATATTTTTTCTGTTTGTATTGGAAGTTTACTGGTGACTGGTGTTAAGAAGATTATTGTTGAAATAATGGAATCGATACCGGTATATGGTTGGCTAGTCGCATTGGCAGCCGCCATGGGTGGATTTCTCTTTGGTTATGAAATGGGTGTCATTGGGTAAATAGCGAACCTTTGTTATAAACATTGCAGCTGTTGCTTATGGGAATGGTTTCATTTGCTTTTCTAACTACTGACTTTCAAAGTCACAATGGTACTTTAAGTTTAATAAATATCACAGAGCGTCGCAAATTTATGGGTTTATGCGCTGTCTGTGCTGATTAATGTTGCTGCATAAACAAGGTATCCTAAAAATTTTGTACTTAAACATGTGCCTTTTTGATGGTCTGGACAAACTTAAGAATTTATGAAACTCCTGACCTTTTAAATAATCATAAACTATTATTACGACCGATATGATACGACGCAACTAGCTAGGACCTAGAAACTTTACCCACCCGACTGAACATGTTCTCCGGCTTTGTGCAATCAGTTCACTTACTCCTATGTATAATCTGCAGGCAAGTGATGGGCATGAACAGCTTCGGTGTGGAATTTGGCCTCCGACACGAAGAAGCGGTTAATGTGACCCTCGAGGACGGCACCCTCCTCAACGGTACCGACGACCGTCCCGCGCTGCAGTACGAAAACGGCACACTATGGGAAAACATAAATGGCTCTTACCTGGAAATGACTAATATTTCCCTGCCGGAGACCCCGAACGCCCCGGACATCATGGGCTCTATCCCTTTCACTTTCCTGGTCGGATGCATCGCCGGCGCCGCTTGCGCCTCCATTCTGGCTGACTTCCTAGGTCGGCGCTATTCCATCTTCACCGGTTCTGTGTTTTACATGGTAGGTGGAGCCATGCAAACCGGCTCCAGTCACTTGGTTACGCTTTATATCGGCCGCGTGGTCTCTGGCATTGGTGTCGGTCTGATGAGCGCCGTGGTCCCGTTGTACATCTCCGAGACATCCAAGACATCCATCCGAGGGCGACTGATCACAACCTTCCAGCTGATGATGGCCTTTGGTGTGTTGGTGGCATGCTCGGTCAACGCAGCGATTCTGACGGTACTCCGCGGAGATTTGCAGTGGCGCCTGGCGTTGGGAATGCAAATGATTCCCGCGGCGATTCTTTGGCTGCTGATCATAATCTTACCCTTTTCTCCACGTTGGTTAATCGATCACAACCGGGATGACGAAGCGCTAAAGACGTTGGCTAAATTGCGTAACAAGCGGCCAGATAGTGAGAAGCTCTTGGCCGAATTCGCTACCATCAAAGAGAATGTCAACTACGAGAAGAAAGTGGGTAACGCTACGTGGTTAGAACTGCTGCAGCCCGGCATCCGTAATCGCGTGGCCCTGGGTGTAACACTGCAGTTTTTTCAACAGTGGACCGGCTGCAACGTAATGCTGTATTATGGCGGGAAAGTGTTCAGTGCCATTGGGATGCCGGTGATTCATGCCTTTATTACCCTGATAGTTCTCAATGCCGGAGTTAATTTCCTCTCAACCTTTTTTGCCATGTGGTGGGTGGAACGGATCGGGAGAAAATTGCTGCTAATTATTGGCGGCTTCCTAATGTGCCTTTGCCACGCCATGATCGCGACGTAAGTCGAAAGTAAAGCGCAAGCATAGCTACAGTAAAAAACTTTTATATGTTTTTTGTTTTGTAGATTTCTGGGATTGTCGGTGCACGTAAAAGAGGAGCTCGTATACGGCGCATTAGTATTCATATACTTGTACACCGTGACCTTTGCTGCCACCTGGGGTCCGGTGGTGTGGGTGTACCAGTCGGAGATCTTCCCCATGCGAGTGCGCGCTAAAGCCACTGCGTTGTGCACAATGTCCAATTGGACGTGGAATGCCATTATTTCCAAATTGACGCCTATTATGCTGGCGGATATCGCATATTATACCAACGTGGTAAGCCGGTTTTTAGGACTTGCACTCCCAACCAGACTTACTGTATTATATGCATATGCAATAATGATGTAATTTACATTACAACGCTATGCAGTATGCACAATTGCTGAGCCTTTAATTTAATTTCAGGTATTTGCCTCGTTCTGTTTAGTAATGGCAATTTTTGTATGGGTTTTCGTGCCGGAAACTAGGGAAAGAAGCTTGAGCGCATGGATGAAATCTTCGGATCCACCCCAGAAGAAGAAGAAACACCGGACAATAATCGCAACAAGAAGATTCGCAACATAATGGCGGAAGAAGCCGACAAACTTAAAAACGAGCAGCTCGATGATTTGCAACCCGGCGCTTGAAGGTCGTGCGGTGGTGTAGCTTTTAGTAGTGTGAATACTAAATTTGTTATTGATCTCAGAAATTATAATTCTTTGCTTACCTTGTTAGAAAATACAGGACTTGCCTGAATTAAATACAATTTTATCGTTCATGTGCTTGGAGAGCGCTGTACAGTACGTGTACGTAACACCGCACAAATGATTCTAAAGAGAATTAAAACAGCTATACAGACACAGTCACCATATGTAAAATAATGCACTTTTTAGGGTCAACATCAGCCACAACATTTCAGTTCAAAACGAAACATGGTTTATAATGCCGCCAGATTAGAGCGATGGGTAAAATCACATTATACGGTGGGCGAGCAAACCGACTCTACTATACGTTTTTAGTATCCAGAAGCATTCCAGAACCTATCTGAACTTGTTTCAAGTGAGGAAAACTGATTTTGACTAAAATATGTTTTCCCAAATTTAACATAGTAGTTCATGCAAGCGAAACATGGCGCATGTGGTTTGGTCACTGTACAAGCTGTGGCAATGAGGTCGATCTGTAGGCGGTTGTTTTTTATCCTAAGAAACCTAAAAAAACCTAAGAAAACTAAGAAACCTAAGAAACCTAAGAAACCTAAGAAACCTAAGAAACCTAAGAAACCTAAGAAAACCTAAGAAAACCTAAGAAACCTAAGAAACCTAAGAAAACAACGTTAACTGTGGTAAGCTTCCATAGACCACCATGTTAAGTTTGTGGAAACGTATTTCAATCAGGATTAATTTTCCTCACTTGAAACATGTTTAAATATATTTTAGGGTGCTTTTTAAACCTAAAAACATATACTAGAGACACTTTCCTTGCCCACCGCATAAAGTGACTAAACCGATGGGTCTGCATTTCATTGCATCAATGTTTGAAAACTCCAATATGCGGAGCTTATTTAATAAAGCCGAATAAAGACTGGTTTCCCAGCGAGACTCATTTGCAATGGCCCTGCACAGGAGTTATTCAAAAACGTCCGTTGCACGGCAAACAGCTCAAACATTTCAACATATCGTAAAAGGTCAACACTACTTTCGTAGCTCTTTGCAGCTAATTACATTATTTACGAGTAATTTTTGAAAACAGAAAGTAACAGCTATTCGTGTCCGTCCTCGGTAGTTAACAACAACCCAAGTAGAACTATTTTGCAAATTAAACAGGGCTTTTTAACCGGCAGTCGCCTGGGTACACTGAGACTGACATCGACACCAAGGTATATCTATATATAGGTATCTTATAAACATTATATAATCATTATATATTCTATTTCTTATATATATACCTTGCTGACACTGTGTAATATTGACTGCGCCTTCTCTACGCCAATCTGAAAGCGGATATGCAAAAGTGGTTCATACTTCAAAAATTCCGGAGTCTCGTTGCATTACAACTGCACAAAAGTAGTAACTTCATACAAAGTCATGACATAGGTAAAATACTAGAAAGTAGAAACGAAAGTCGAAAAGTATAAAACTTGAATATTATTCATCTTCAATTATCAAAGCAGCTTTGTTATCGTAATACCCGCCGATTTGAGACTATCACAAGTGCGGGTTGACCACATATGCAGCTTAAGAACAATTAGAGCCCTTGATCCGACAGTAATCAATGGAAAACCGGAAGCTGATCCTGGACATGTGTATGTGTCATCCTGTCTCTAGGCGCTGGATGCCACCACAGCGCTGGAAGGTACATGCAGGAAGGGACTTCCTTCCGTTACCGCGGATCCGGTGCGCATGTTGCTCAGCATGGCCGAAGGTTGACGACGGAGCCGCTCCGACCGGTTTCTTGCCGACAGCAGCCGGAAAATCCCGTAGATCACTGGATTGAGCACGGTGCTCGTCATTCCTTTAAAGAAACTAATAAGTTATTCTGAACTTTCCTGCAAAACCGGTTGTTACCTAACCAAAACAATTTACCGAAACACAAAATAATGGTCATCCAACTGCTGGGTAAGTGGTAATGGAAAACATACGCAACCATTGACGCATAATACGGACCTAGAACAAAAAATGTGCGTGTCATCGGAAATCAAACGTATCGCGATAAATTGTCTTAAATTTTAAAATAGGTTCAACTATATGATTCATTTTGACAATATTCAATCAAGATTGCTAATTCCTATTTATTTCCCTAATTAACATTAATTAGCATTTGATTAATTCAAAAGATTATTATTTACTTTTTATCAGAATTTAATCAATACGTAATTTTCCATGCATTTAGCCATCTGTTCAGTATTTCTTATTTCTAACACGGCAATCAAGTACATACATACACTGATGCACACGTGCCGTGGTTTTAACTGGTTTTCTATAGATATACCAATATAGGTTTAAATAGAGGCTGCGTTTTACAGCCGTTATGGGTGGTTGACGTACACCAGCAGAGCATGTATATAAACGCAATACAAAATGTGGTCCAAAGCGAGAACTGGCGTGTCCGCCGGTACGCTTTTCGACCCAGCCCCGGGTCTTGCATAGAGGCGATGCGCACTCGATATCCATTTTGAAGTTCGGTACGCCGCGATCCTGAAAAAGCGCATTATCGGATTTATTGACACCCGCACGCAATTACTTAGAATCGCATTAAAGGTCAAAAGAGCGTGCGAGCTGCGTCAAACAACGACCTTTAAGACCGTTGTCGAGAATACAAGCGTCTTGAAACAAGTTACCGGCAGCCATCTTGGCTTCGTTGGAGACTAAGACGGAGATAGTAATACAGCAGATGACATTGATGATGAGGGGAAAGACAAACATTATCAGTAGAGTGGCCAGCGTGTAGGCCACCTCTTGCCAGGGCTCCGAGTAGGAGCCGTACGTGACACACTGGTAGAAATCCACGCAGATCGGCGCACGTTCCACACGGAAGATAAGCATCTACGAGGTGCAGAAACTTGCTACTTGTATGTCATATAAAGCTGCCTAACTGCCCGATTTCAGGTAACTTGATTGGCTGATAAAGTACAGAAACAGTACCCGGTTACAAAATGTTCTGCAACTGGCAAGATGCCCCATCCTGCATTTCATTTTTACTAAAAATTTTCGAGAAAGTGCTATGATTTCACCGCTGTAAAAATCGAGAGTGGTTGTTACAGACTGATTTCAATCTGGAAACAACCACTCTTGACTTTTACACGGTGTGTTATTATTTCTGACTTCATTAAAATGGTGATTTAATTATTATTTATTGTCACTTCTTAGAATGATATTGTTCTACGTTTCGATACTGACTTAATTGCGTTTATTCGAAAGGCAGCTGCTTTGCCTTTGCATCGAAGGATTTCGGAATGTGTCGCAAACTGTCCCGCAGTTCTTGTCCCAAGATATTACAGTAGTCTGTGCTTTTTATCATGAGAAACGACTGAAAACTATCAAATTTATTTATGCAAGATTTACCTGAGGGGTACTAAAAACGATGGCGAAGAACCACACCACTATGGAGACAGTTCGCGCTCTCTGCATGGCAATATGCGGCTGACATCGACTGAGCGGATAAATGACGGTAACGCATCGTTCCACCGTCATGCCGGTCAGGATCATCGTCGAGGCGTACAAACTGCAAACGATAACGTCAGTTTTCCATTTACGTAACTGTGAGTCTGTGCATACAGTTCTGTACTTCCTGCGCATAATTGCCGGCCATTAAGCGTATCCGTGGATATTTGTGCAACCCCGGAACAGACATCGAAATAAAAGTGAATACGTACCATCGAAAACATTTGCGTATGCAACTACGACCTAAAACTTAAACTTTGGCTTGCCGAGAATCAGCTTTCACAGTTGCTGGAATTTTACGTAAAGCATATTCTGGTGCGTGATTACGTCAAACGTACATAGAATATTTAATTCCTATCTTTTTGAATTACAGTGCCTATGATATGTGCATTCTTAAAACCGAATAATATTCGTACTGAGGTGCTACTGCACACTGATATCAAGACGATTTGTAATGCTAAATTACCAATTGCCTATTGTCTGTACCTTCACGCTAGATAAGCGAGTCAGCCAAACAGAATCAATAATAAGAAAATTAAAACACTGCTTTGTCTTGCTTAGAGCCGGGCCGGCGAAATCCTGCCGATAGCGTGGTTAATTTACATAATTTACATATTGCTCGTGAGTCGCGTATTTGGAAGTGATAATTGACGAATAACAGTAAGTATACCGGCAGAGGTAGCAGTGAACTGGGGCCCTGTCGCCCAAAGAGTTGGGCTACAGCCTATGGAAATCCACAGTTCAGGCCCCGGGGCCTCCGCAATAATCCCAAGCTACTGATTACCGGTATACTGTATTGTACTCTGTATATCGCTGGCTAGCTTGCAATCTTGTCACTGAGCTGATGCTGAAAGTGACTGCTAACGCATCGCCCGATGTGCACACACAATGCGTCGGCCGGCCAAGAACTCCCGGTCGCACTGAAAAAACTTAACTACGCACTAGATCCTCAGTGGATCCCCTATTGATTATTCAGTTACATGACCCATTTCCGCCATATGGTTCCCCTGCATTCCTTACTCTTTCTCCATTTCCGACTGCAGCACGTGCCAAGAATTAAGGCCCGCGTCGTGTGGTTCACTGGTTGTAACACGCACTTCTGAGTACAAGCACTTCATACGCAAAACATCCATTAAATCTCGATAAAGCCGCGTTTGTAAGCAAATACTTGTACATATATAGATACAAGAAACAGCCTCGGCTTCGCCTCCGCGTTTCTTGTGGTCCATGGCCATTTTATTTGAATTTGAACGAATATTTATTAGATTAACATCTATATTTCGTCGAAACATGCTCGGTAGATACAATAGGGCAACACGAATTTTCTATGAAAATCAGTTCATGATTCTCTCAATCTTGAAAGCGTTCCCTTTGGCTGTACAAACAGATAATTTTACGATATCCCCTACTCGAAAAGAAAGCCGAAATATCAGTCTATACGGTGTGAAATTCGAAACAGTGATAGTGCACTGGATCACTAGTTCGGTGACTCGCCACTTCACTGGCTCTTTTCACTGGAAAGTGGTGTGTGCCAGTGGTGTATGTCCGGTCAGTAATGGTAGCTCGATTACTTGCTTATCAAACCGGTTCCGTTCGCCGAAGTAGTGGTAGCTCGGTCACTCGTATACACTGTACAATAATGACAGCTTGGTCGCTCGTTCACCTACCGGGCTCTCTGCACCGGACAGTAGTGGTAACTCGGTCACTCGTTCCCTAACGGTCTTTGTTCCCTTGGCAGTAGTGACAGCTCGGTCACCCGCTCACCTACCGGCTCTGTGCACGGACGGTAGTGGTAGCTTAGCCACTCGTTCCCTAACGGGCTTCCTACGCCGGTTAGTAGTGAAAGCTCGGTCACTCGTATCACCAAACGGGCTCTCTGCACCGGACCAGCAGTGGTAGCTCGGTCACTCGTTTCACCTCGGCTTCGCTTCCGCGTTTCTTGAGGTCTACGACCGGTCTGTTCGAATTTCTATTTTAATCGTTTTCATTTGTATCTTTAGGCTCTGTCAACTGGACTGTAGTGGTAGACTGGTGGGGCTTTCTGCGCAGGGCAGTAGTGGTAGCCCGGTCACCCGCTCACCTAACGGACTTTCTGCACCGGACATTAGTTACAGCGCGGTCACCCGCTCACCTCCCGGGCTCTGTGCACGGACAGTATAGTGGTAGCTCAGTCACTCGTTCACCGAACGGGCTTTTTGCGCCGTACAGCAGTGATAGCCCGGTCGCCCGCTGACAGCTCGGTCACCCGCTCACCTACCGGGCTCTGTGCACGGACAGTATAGTGGTAGCTCAGTCACTCGTTCACCGAACGGGCTTTTTGCGCCGTACAGCAGTGATAGCCCGGTCGCCCGCTGACCTAACGGACTTTCTGCGACGGACATTACTGATAGCGCGGTCACCCGCTCACCTACCGGTCTCTGTGCACGGACAGTAGTGATAACTCGGTCACTCGTTCCCTAACGGGCTTTTTAAACTGAAAAGTAGTGACAGCTCGGTCACTCGCTCACCTACCGGGCGCTTTGGACCGGACAGTAGTGTTACTCATTCACTCGTTCCCTAACGGGCTTTGTACACTGGACAGTAGTGACAGCTCGGTCACCCGCTCACCTCCCGTGCTCTGTGTGTGCACGGACAGTGGTGGTAGCTCAGTCACTCGTTTACCGAACGGGCTTTTTGCGCCGGACAGCAGTGGTAGCCCGGTCACCCGCTGACCTAACGGACTTTCTGCGCCGGACGTTTGTGACAGCGCGGTCACCCGCTCACCTCCCGGGCTCTGTGCACGGACAGTGGTGGTAGCTCAGGCACTCGTTCACTGCCGGACAGCAGTGGTAGCTCGGTCACCCGCTGACCTAACGCGCTCTGTGCACGGACAGTAGTGGTAACTCGGTCACTCGTTTACTTTGTCACTCGGCATCGGACAGTAATGACAGCTCGGTCAACCGCTCACTTAGCTATCCATAGTGGGAGTTCGGTCACTCACTGGCTTATCGGGCTCTTTTAACTAGAATGTAATGGTATTTTGGTCACTCGCTGAACCAACGGGTTTGTGCACTGAACAGTGGCGGTAGTTCGGTCTATCGCTGCTCGGCCGGCACTCGTTTAGAAATTGTCCTCGATGACAACGTTGGATATGTAGTCGTTCTTGTCGCAATAACGGTCTGCTAATTAAATTCATTCTGATATCTTAATTAGTGGAAAATACTTTCATTTTTTAACTATATATTATTTGGTTTACGTGGCAACATTGCCTGGTTAAAAATACCACGATGATAATTATTATTATAATAATTTAGTTGCATTTGGTGAAGGTAGTCAAAGCTCTTCCGCTTTGGCGCTCGAAGCGGAAGAGGTTTTAAAAGAAATGAATACTATCTGGCCGGGTTTTCGACTACGGGCTTTCAGAATATAATATCGGTTTTGGTAAGTCTTTTCTGGTTTGCCGGCTCTGGTGTATCCCATTCGTGGCAATACATATAGATCTAAATCTTGATACATAATCATTGGTATCTTGTTAGATGCTGTATTTCCGAAAATCAAAATTTTTGTTTCAGCATTATCATCAATATCAGTTTGAATTAAAAATGTATAAGACAGGAAATAAAATAAAAGCATAGCATATTAAAAGCATATTAAGCGGCATAGCAGGTTCTAGCATATTAAATATCGTTGATGTCTCATTATGCTACAAGTGCTTTATTTGCTTTTACAAGTTTTATTCCTTTTTATCAAACCGTTCAGATTTTTTAATAAGCACTTTGCAGTTACAGGTTAAAATTTCTCTTGTATCGTACTCGTTTACCAATAATCGTAAAATCGTACTTAAGCATGGCACTGCAGGAGTTATTATCAAAGTTTTTGACAAAAATTATCATTAAGCTGTCAGGTAATTGTTAATTCGGATTGTTTCAAGTACGTCTTCCCGATATGCACACCGCAAAACTCACCTAGGTTATAATATCACATTAGTATTTTACTCTTGCTCGCTGTTACATATGATAGCCGTATAACTATCAATTATCATTGATCGGCAGTCTACAATACTCGTATGAAGGATTCGACAGTTTTACCCGCAATCTGCTGATTAATTATACCTGAGCATCTGCACAAACTTCATAAACCGACACAGCACCTCCCCGCCCAGCCAGGCCACCGTCACATTCCACACTCCATCCACAAGCAGACAGAACAGTGACACCATCACATCGGCAATGGCCAGTTGCAACATCAGCGCCGACAGTCCGGACGTGCGGAAGCGGCCATGGCCAGCCAGAAAGACTATGACTAGGACGTTGCTAATAAGGCCGACAGCGCCAAGAGTTAGCAGGGCCCCGATGATATACGGCCGGGTCGCATGGTATTCGGGATCGTATGCGGCGATGAAGCGGAAGACCAGCGACCAGTTTCCGGCGCAGCGGGGGTCGTGTTTGTCGCTAAAGACCAGAGACATGTTACCAAAGAAGCGCGGCTCCATGGGGAACATGGGCAGGACCATCTTTCCGTGTCTGTCTAATGGTATGCTGCTGCTGGCGTGCCGGTGCGGTGAGGACCTAACAGCGGGTGCTCATGGTGTAGTGGGCACTGCCGGGTTAGTATATCAGCTGCAGATGGGATCGTCACGTGATACTCAACAGCGCCTATCAACCGACATGCAATCACGTATTTACGATATCAATATATGTGGTTCTAGCATAATTTTAAATGCATGACCAACGCCTATTGCACGTATCTGCACCGCTATGATGTGGACCGCTTCGAATAAACGTATGTTTAACTAGATAAGTGGATCGCGGTGAGGCAACTCCAGGATAAAAAAATAATTGTGAAATGTTTGATTTGCACTTATCTAGCAGAGGTGTGCAGAACAATAAGCAATCGATCAGACAAAACCATGAACCCGTTCAGCAATATCGGCTTGTACAACAAGCTTCATCTCCTTTCACTAAAATCGACGGTGACTGTCCTTTCTCATTAAATTTAGTGCATATTATGCAGCCAGAAAAACGCTTCGGTTTAAATTACCCTTACTAGAGTGCTGCGCATGTATTCCTAGTGTCCTACAGGTAAACAGGACGAATCGTTCACTGCATGTAACCGGCTAAACAAAAGCAACTTCAGAATAAGCACAATATGTTATCAAGTTAAACATTCAAACATATTGGCGCCGAATGGCATCCCCTATTTCTCCGAGCACCGGAACGATAAACGATGCCGGTGCAGTTTATACCTAAAAATTAAAGGCTGCTAATTGGCGCTTGCGCCCTGTCCTGCGCATTGTCATAAACAAATCGCCAACTGCGCTCCTTTGCGCTGTACACCACGATAACTCTTCTTGCGTGCGCAGGTTGATCATTAGCACCGGAAACATAATAGCTCTAACTCACTTACGCGTCTATTTGCAGCATCCGAACAGGCAAGAGGCAACCAGAGAGCATCAGTCACCGCAAGGTCACGACAAAAACGCTTTAAGGTTACCTATCGTAACTTACTGACTGTTTTATTCCCGTTGTAACATGCAGATGGGGAAAGTGCTCCTTTAACATGCCGCGAAGGAAAATTCAAGCAGGATCTTACCGGTGGAAATCGGTATTTAACCTTGATTAATCCACCTGACCTCGACCTTCCAAGGCAGGCCGCGGGCAAAACCCAAGACGAGGGGTGGATGATGCGGCGATTTAGTAAAGACGGTTCTGTGGGCGCTGCTGCTGACCTGCTCTAGCAGAGGACTATGTAGTATGTGCAGCCGTGCGCGCCAAATATGGGCGGTTTAGGCAATGGCGATGAGCAGCGATCTCACTAGGAAAATTGAGAAAAAGAGCGACAGAGATAATTAGTCCCGTGATCCGTCCACCGCTTCATCCTGTTCTGCCTTTAGAGTAAATGTTAAATACTGCATTTACTGCGTCACGCGCTACTAATCTTAGCCCTTGTCTGTCATTGTACCAGTTCACACTTCACACTACAGCCAGGAATAAGTCGTGCGTAAGGATTTTCGGCTAATGAAAGCATCACGCTGATAAGCTACAGCCAACGAGCGTCATTGCATTAGCCATAGAAGTATCATCACTGACCGTGAATTACACACCTGGTGTCATGTACTAACTACAACTAAGTACAGACACCTCTCTCAGACTCCCGCAAATGCTCGCTCAGCAAACCATAAACTTGCATTCTACGGTAATAACCTTCTCATGTACAGCTGCTTTCCAGTCCGGCGCTGATTTTCACACTATTACAAACAGTGCGACGGAAAGTCCAATGAGTTTCATAAGCAAACTTCAGCAACATAGGCATTTAAGTGGAGTATGTTTTGCATTAAAAACAGTTAAATCGGAATGCGCGCACAGTAAGAACTAAATTCTGGAAATGCTAACTAAAAGCACTAACAAATAAATGGGCAGATGAATATTAAAATAAACGCTGTTCGCAGTAACGTACTGTATGTACAAAAAACCTGACCGGTATCAAATCAGCACGCAGGCAGCACCAACAGCAGCTCCAGACTGTTGAATGGATCCCGCGCGCAAATATAGCATTATGGATTGTTTCTGTCAGCAACAAAACCAGAAAAAGACGTATTTAATTTACGCGATCTCCCGATACACTGGATTTTCATGACCGACTGCTCTCAGCCTACACTAGGCGCCTCGTTGCAATCGATTGATGTTATTCCAGGGCATCCCTATCTCTTTTTCCTGTTCATTCTGCTATCCTCTTCAATCCCTCCATTGAGATATCTCCGTCCAGCGCTGCGGGAAATGTCAGTGCCGGCTCACGCGACGGGAATAACCACGCGACTAGCGCTCCGCAGCGCCACTCAGCCACTCATGCGGCAGAGACAAAAGGAAACGTGCTTATAGATCGCATTGCCGTTTGCACTGGCGGGCGCCCCTGCAAACAGAACAGCCGACGTCGGATGACAAAAGACCGTTCCGTTGGATCATCAAAGATGGCGGACAAGAGGTACGTTGATCATAATGCTGGCAAATGCATGGTATTCCGCTAAAGGTTATCGCATCCAGATGCTCCTACGTCACATATAAAGGATCGGTCTCAGCAAATAATAACAATAAGGGAAATTGTCTGAAACGCTATAACATTACGTATTTTCTTGGTGCATTATTATCAGCCAGAAAACTACATACATATAATTACTTCCTTAAATTTAGTGGTACTCGCATGGAAATAATCGAGCAAATAAAAATGATTCGCGAAGACCACGAAACACGCACTTAAAAAAACAAACTGAAAATGCAACAGTAGCTTGTAAAGTCTCAGATATTTAGATAACCATGCAACAGAAATGCTTATTTATAAGTATTCACTAAGCAAAATCTTGCAGCGTGGCAGTGTTCATAAAGGCCAACTTGTCCTTGTGATATTTCTTTTCGTAGATATAGATGAATCGAAACAAAGCCTCCATATTAGCTGACTTGTTCTCCATACCAACGGTAAACTGTTTGCCCAGATCTCGCATCAGCTGCTGGAAAGGTCGGATGCCGGCATCTGATCGTTTACGGACCAGTTCGTCCAGGTTGTCGTGGTGCGTAATTGGCGTGCCAAGATGGAATTCCTTGATCTCATCGTACACCGCCAGATTGTACACGTAATCCAAATCCTCATCCGGCTCCACGCGGCGCACTCCGCCATTGTCCACCAAGTGAATCTTTTGCCTCCCGCGTGCGAGTGGTTCGTAGTTCTTCCAGAAATCACTGGACATGATAACAATCATCGGATAGTTCACCCCCAAGACACCCAAAGAGGTCACTGGCAGATCAATTCGATCGTTGCCAAAAATGATGAGATCCTTGGGAATGCCTTCGTAGATCATGAGCACCAGCAGTTTCATCAGCTCCTCCACTGTCCATCCTCGCAGCCCGATGGAATCGACGAACCCGTTGCCCTGGATGATTTCCACAGTCCCGTCTGTCGTCGTCCGCTTGGGCTTGTCACCTTTGTTCAGCAGCCAGAGAAAGGTGCTCTTGCCCATTCCCTTCGGACCCAGCAGCAACAGATTATCCGTCTGCTGGATCTTTAGATTTAGTCTGTTGACAAACGCCAATTTGCTTTCGCGGTCCTTGATCGGCCGTTCCAGCTGCTCAGTAATCTTCTTCACCTTATCCTCGGCATCCTTCATACTCTTGGCCAGTTCGTTGATGCGTGCTTCATAACGTTCTTGCTCCGCCTTCCGCTCGCTTTCCAGTCGCTCTTGTTCGCGCTGGAATTCGTGAAGCATGCGATCGCGTTCTGCAGCGCTGGAATTTCGCATCTCTTCCATCTTTTCCATGAAAGCCGCCTGATCGCGTTCGCGCTGCTCTTTATATTCTTGGGCTCGGCGCTCCATCGATGCTTCATGGGAGCGCATAAGTTCTCCCACGTCGATCGCCGGTGCGTCGGAACTAAACAGACCGCCCATGATCTTCGATAATGACTGCAGAGCGGTGGAAATAGCCGGGACTACTTCGACGAACTTTGTAAACTTGTCCATGCTATGCTGCGAAATGCAGGGAATCTTTACAGTCACACGTCTTTGTAACAGTGTGAGCCTGTTTTGTATTATATTGTACGACTTTGTGTTTTCAACTGTAGTTTGTAGACTATAGCAAGTTGCCAAATGCAAACAGATGATATGCACTTTTATGTCAACTTCATCTCATGCTTAATACATGTAGCGTCTTATCGGTCAGGATGATTTCTGATGACGAGTTGCCGATAAAGCGTTGAGCGCTATTTACCAGCATAGAACTATACACAGCCACCGTTCCCATTTCCTTCTCACACCCTGTTGAGCTTATCTGCATGATTATGTTATACATACAGTAGTCATGCATAATGTTGGTGCGATGCAGAAATGAATGACTCATACCGTCACATTTGATATATCATATGTATGCCCACTTTTTTTCGTTCAAAATGATGTCGGCTTGAAACACGGTTCATTAAAGTGGCCCATCCCACGCTTGTTATCGAACTTGAACAGTCACTATACGGCACTGCTTAAATAATTGTGGCATCAACAATGCTGTCACTGTTACACATTACTTATTTATGGTTTAAGTTAAAATGCACCTGCCCTTGTAACTGGTATCAAAGCACAAACGATAGACTTCCCAATGTCGTCACGGCTTTCGGAGGAGGAGGGTTTTAAAAATTTATGACTGAAGTCCAAAGTGACACGGAAGGGGGTGGGGTCGACTACGCTGTTGCCCATGTATAATGAACAGGGGAAAACTGGAAAAAGGAACGCGGCTTTCTTTCGTGACTCAACGTAACAAGGCGGAGGGCGTACGTACGCAAACAGTCATTTCTACGTTACCTCCTTTGGGGATGCTCCCTAATCCAACGCGCATATGAACAGGCAAACAAGCGCAACCTTGGCACCAAAGTCTGAATACGTAATTCCATCACCTTGTTTTTGCCTTTTAAAACACTGACCACTATTTAGCATCTTTTTTCGCGTTGTACGGAAAAATGTCCATTTGGCATACTGTGCCCAGGCTGGCATTTGGCACGAGTCCCAGGCCTTACCGATCATAGCCGGATGACAGTGCGAGCTGTTTTGCCACCGTTAGCGAAACCGGAACTCAGTTCCATCATGATTCTCAAGTATGTGCTGCGGGTTTCGGAAAAGAAAATTCGAAAAATCCAGTTGAAACACAGTTAAATTTGATTTCCCCAAAACTTTATCACTATATTTTACGTTGTAAAAAGTGGAAAATTATCTGCACGTCATTAGTCATCAACCGGTTTGCAGCGTTCACGAATTAAAATTTCTCCACTTTTAGTCAACGTAAAGAGAAACCATCAAGCGCAGTAACGGTTTCTGGACACAAAATGTGAGAAGCGTCCGTATACATATACACATTTCGCGACTCATGTACCTGTAGCTAATTTCATCTGACTGCAATGTGTTTCTTCTGAATGTAGCATGTCAGTTAACATTTTTCAATGCGAATCAAATGCCGGTAAACAGCCGAAATTAATTATTGTACGACTGTGTTCAAGAATCAAGGCAACAATAGCGTGCGGCCTTGTACCAGCAATACCCTTACGCTGCAATTTTCTGTTTCATCACCTTTGCACCACACGAGGGCTTTTCCGCTACACAAACACTCATACCACGTTCCGACAAGGTCAAAGTGGTCATAGAAAATCAGTAAACAGAAATTGTTGATCATTACTTCTTTGTAGGGCGGTTTTGATTAGTCTTTTTTACCAGCAGCTGTTGTCTGCTGATTGTCATTTTGCGCATTCAAGACACACTGGGGAAAAGCGGCATAAAACAGTATTAAAAGTAGAAGTAAAAATGGTAAAAGTACATAAATCAACGCGTACACCTCCCGCGCAATTTCCGCGCCCTGCAGCGCCGTCATTAAGTGATCGACGAACATGAAGGCTGTCATTCCACCTTCTCAAGTCTTTGCTGATGGGCGACCCGCATAACGAGCATTATGAATATGCGCGGAATTGTTGGCGAGATTCTATTGTAGCCACACTGACACGCACAGAGAGAGAAAGATGGAAACAAAAGCCGACAAATTACGCGCGCGCATTCCAGACTGCAATTGTCATCTGTGACCGTGCTGATGTAAAAACGTGAGCCGTTATCCAATCATTTCACAGTTGGTACGTTGCACTGCGCAATAATTATCTGTCGTCGAAATAAATTTTTTATGATCATCGGATTATATTGCTCTCGTTGAATTTGCATTCTTTCTGGAGGCACACTTCTGCAGTGCTGATCCGATTATTAACGCTTTTTCATCTGCCAGTTACTGCATAACCAGGTAACGCCGCCGCTCACTCCGTTATAAAAGTACGGAGTACAGTTGTATACTCAGTACTTACTCCCTGCAGTTCCGTTATTACGCGTACAGTTGGTACAGTGAAATTATCAATTATTTTATATCATTAACAAAAGCTGATTTGTTTAGTAACCTGTAATAATCAAAAACACTGGACCTAAGAAAGGGGATTTATTTTCTTTTTTTGCTGAAAGAGTCAGCGGATTATTATCCAGCACATGTTTAAAGGATATTAGGGCACAAGTCTGATAATTATAATATAATATACATATATAGTCATGACTGGCGTTTGTTTTTCATGGGCATTTCTGAAGAAAGGGACGTCTGTTGTAATGGACAATACACCGGTGTACGCGTATCTCGTCGCGCTGGCAGCGGCCATGGGCGGCTTCCTTATTGGATACGAAATGGGAATGATTGGGTAAGCTGCGCGTGCTTGTCACTGTTTGCTCTGCTGTCGCCTATGCAATTCAGTTCAAAAAAGAAATGAGTACCACCTCTTTGAAACCCTTGTTCCGTTGCGCTGGTGCTTAATGTAATGATTAAGGGCTATTTTCGTACTCTTCTTAAATTTTAGAACAAAGTGCATTGTTATTGTGCTATCATAGAAATATATTCACTTGTTGATCATATGGCACAGTGAGAGCGCGTGATGAGTCGGCAGTTTTGACAATGTGACCGCTTGTTTTGAGTCGCTACGGCGCTTTCCCTACGAACATGCGTGGCGCCGGTCTGTCTACCGTGGCGTTACGGCTGTGACGGGCTGTCACACACTGAGTGTCTTTTTTTATTTGGTTACGATGAATGTGCTACCACTACTGTAGCAACGTTTACGTAGTGTTGATTTCGTCTTTGACCGATTCCATACCCTTGGAAATCCCGGTATCTAGTCATAACGAAATTTTGTCGTATTTTGAGTTTGTTTGAAAGCTGGCTATTTATGTCTTTGAAATCATGACATCTTTTTGGTTTTTTTACCGCAACCTTTTGCTGTGAATAATTTCTCAATTGATTTTCCTTTCCAACGTCATTTAGCAGCAATTACTATTAACAGCTAGCAACCTGTTGGTATAATTTATAATTTTAAGAAATTGTAAGTTTGCGGTTATGCATACTGATGCAATAGCGCAAATTGGCAGTAAACCGTCTTATTTAATGTCTCTTGGCATGCTATGCAAAATATTTTACCGTAACTTACAACCAGCAGATGATTAAAACGCTAGTACTGGGTGCTGCCAAAGTCGAATTTTTCAAACTCATCCTTCCCGGCACTTGCCATTTGTCCACAAAAAGACGATTTAGCATGCCAATCAAATATTCAATAAATTATACAACTTCGCGAAAACAAAATTAATCGATTGGCAGCATTTCTCAGAGTTTATTGAAATTACTAACGAGAATTCGTAAAACTGTTTTGCCAACTGTCGATTATCGCTGATGGCAAGTAAGGGCACTCAGTTGAATAAACGTATTAGTGTCGTTTTTAGTGATTTATAAAGACTATTTACAAATGATTAAGAGCCGTCGCATGATCAACCAACTCGATCTCCTTGGCATCAACCGTAATATGTTGAAGAGACCAAGTATACTCTTGCGTGACGTTGTTTAACTTATGGAAATTTGCAATGCAAGACTGACGGATGCTGTCGTGTTTTTCCGGCAAAGTTTACTTAACTTTCTGTAAAAAGTGCAGTTATTTTTTACGAAGCTAAGGCCCTTCAGGCGTGAATTTTAATGTTTGATGGAAAAAATAAATATAAATCAACATTAAATCAGCTCCGATTTACAGTACTGTATGTTGAAAGGCAGTATGTTGTACAAGCCGGTCCGGATGATGAGCACGATAAAGAACAGTGAAAAATGTAAATTCATGGGTTACGCCAAACGCCACGCTACGCCACACTGTTTAAACACGTAACATGCGTTTCGCTGGCTGGTGGCCTGCTGCGCACCTGATAATTTAATGAGAATACTTGTAATTGCCTGGCGGATGGTGGCTAGAAAACGGTCGGTGCAGTAAGGGACACTAACTGCGGAGCGCATTTACGCATTGTGGTAAACGTAGTGTAGTGGCCATCGTGCTCAGCGCTAATATCGCGCTAAATATGCATTAGCTGTACCTTTACGTGCTCATTACACGGACAGGCTTGTACACTGTTACTTGTTTAATTATTTACTGTACCATCTCTAGACCTACTCTACTATACGGAAAGCGTACAAGTAGAGCTAGAATATTTTATTTGCCCATTGCATGACCATTGATTTTGGATTTAATCTTTAGAGTTAAATTCTTGATGATATTTTACCCGGTCTCGACGTTCTCGTATTTATAACCGCTCAATAATGCCGGGTGCCGACCTCTTGATTAATCTAGCTTATACCGTAACTGCAACAGGCTTTACATATTCTAACTTCCGGTTTGTTGTCACACATAGCTGTACTATCTGGGCTAACTGCAGACGGTCGCGCACCCATTGTTCATTTCACAAGTTAGCACATGTTCGAGCGCACGATCTTGGTTTTTGGTGGTAATGAAACAAAAGATGTAGTAGCATTACTCGTGATCACCAACTCACAAGTCATTTGAAGGTTTGACCGATCCGCCGACCAATTCTGCTCAACTCGCGTTGCTGAACTTCTGTGGTAACCATAGCACGATGCGGCTTTTTTGTTCGTAATGCAGCAAAAGAATCCACGCCAGGAACGAATGACAACATTTTCCGAGATTGGGGAAAAGCCATTGCAATCTCTGGTTTTATCAACGTAAACTTTGTAAACCGCGCAAAATTAACGTTTGTACGGTTGTACCGTAGTTTGCAGATGAATCTTTCGTCTAACGCGCCTGTTGTTTAAAATTTCGTTGTTTGTTGGGTTGTTGTGCCCCAGCTTCCCTGGCATTGTGTCTTGTTTAGATTCTTATACACCACATCACACATGCACACTGCACAGTAATAACGGACACTCCATTTTGCGTCTTTGGCAAGAATCTTTGCGAAACTACATAAACCACGCATGTACAGCAAACACACTACAACAACATAAATACGAGGGGCCCAACACGGCCCAACACGGCCCAGACTCTGACTCTGATTCTGACCACTCAAACTCTGACTCTGACTACTCAAAGTCTGACTCTGACCGCTCAAAGTCTGGCTCTGACTCTGAAGGTTTCTTAGGTTCCTTAATAGGTTTCTTAGGTTTCTTAGGTTCTTAGTTTTCTTGTTTTCTTAGGTTTCTTAAGTTATTCTTAGGTTATTCAGTCAGATTCAGAGTCAGAGTTCGGACAGTCAGAGTCAGACTTTGAGAAGTCAGAGTCAGAGTTTGAGCGGTCAGAGTCTGATTGTGAGTCAGAGTCAGAGCTTGAGCGCCGGCCGTACAAGGCCCGTACAACACAGTGAACACTCTATAGCAAAATAGCCGCTACTGTCACTGGTACCGCTACGATCGCAGCTTTGCCCAGATTTTCTACTTGCTTTATTAAATGCATACTTAGTTCGTTCCGAAAATATTCATTTAAATCTATTTTGGTTATTTTAGTAATGTACCATTATCGCGCGGTGAACTGATTCGGAGGGTATAAATGATAAAGTAACTTTGTTTAAGTAACTTTGATAAAGTAACTTTGTTTAAGTAACTTTGTAACTTTGTTTGTTTGTTTTTTGACATTAATTATAACTATCGCATATACAGTGTGTCACGAAGTGTTGCAAATCGATATCCACTGAGCTTTTACACCATGACTCTGATCTTTTAAAATTAATATTATTAACTGTTGTAATAATATTAATTTTAACATTAATAATATTAATTTCAGTATTAATATTAATTTTAACATTAATATTAACATTAATAATATTAATTTCAGTATTAATCACTATGCCTCTATTAAGCCAGCTAGCGACTTTTGGCTATACGGAACAGCCCTTAAGTTCTAACTTGTCATGTCAGTTATGAAACGCCGTTTTTGTTGTAGGCAACTAATTGGAATGCCCAGCTTTAACGTCCAGTTCGGTATCCAGCGCGACCAGAAACTCAACCTGACCCTGCCTGACGGCGTCGTGGTCCACCAGACCTACAAGCAGATCGTCCTCTTGTTGACGCACAACAAGACCTTTTCCGAGAACCTCTACGACGCAGGTTTCGACTTCACCGCCATCTCCCTGCCGGACACCCGCCTGGCACCCGAAATCACAGGCTACATAGCCTTCAGCTTCCTGGCGGGCGCAATCGCCGGCGCTGCCATCGTTGCGAAGCTGGCCGACGGACTGGGCCGTCGGTACTCCATCTTTATGGGGTCGGTGCTCTTCATGGTGGGTGGAGCCATGCAGGCGGGCGCGGTCAATCTCTCTATGCTGTTAGTTGGACGAGTCGTCGCCGGGTTGGGTGTGGGGGTCATGTCCGCCGTAGTCCCCCTCTATATCTCCGAAACCGCCAAGACCGCCATCCGTGGGCGACTGATTACCGTGTTCCAACTGATGATGGCCTTCGGAATTCTGATCAAGTGCGCCGTCAATTCGGTGCTCTTGACGTTCATAACTGGGAACCTGCAGTGGCGACTGGCGCTGGGACTGCCGCTGATTCCCTGCTTGATCATGTGGTTGCTGATCATCGTCCTACCCTTTTCGCCCCGTTGGCTAATCGACCGCAACCGTGACGACGAAGCGGTGCACACGTTAGCAAAGCTGCGGAACAAGCCGGCCGACTGCGAAGAACTCTTAGCTGAGTTTGCAACGATTAAGGAGAACGTTAACTACGAGATGGAGGTGGGGCATGCCACCTGGCTGGAAATCCTTCAACCGGGCATCCGCAACCGTGTCGCACTGGGCATCATTCTGCAGTTCTTCCAGCAATGGTCGGGATGCAACGTGATGCTGTATTATGGCGGAAAGGTCTTCAGCGCAATCGGGATGCCGGTGATCCATGCCTTTGTGACGCTGATCGTCCTCAATGCTGCCATCAATTTTCTGTCGACCTTCTTCGCCTTGTGGTGGGTGGATAGGATTGGGCGGAAAGTGCTGATGATTGTCGGAGGATTTGCAATGTGTTTCTGCCATGCCGCCATTGCATGGTAGGTGTTATGCTGATAATGTAAAGCTCACCAGGCATAACAACAATTCGATTATCGTGTTGCAGCTGCCTGGGCCTCTCCGACCGTGTGGACGAGCAGTACGCTGAGTACTTCGTGCGGTGCGCCGTCGTGTTCATATACCTGTACACCATCATTTTCGCCTCCACTCTCGGCCCCATAGTGTGGGTGTACCAGTCAGAGATTTTCCCCATGCGAGTCCGAGCTAAGGCTGCTTCCCTTTGTACAATGTCCAACTGGATATGGAACGCTGTGGTCGCCAAGTTGGCCCCAATTATGCTGGCATATATGGCGTATTATACCAATGTGGTACGTTCATGCCATGACTACAAAACATTAAAGTGTGTCATAGAAGCACTCGTTATTCAGTTACGCTACACATAACCTGTTTATCGCCGCAAACGTTTTTTCGATAAATTGTTAGTCGAGTAATAAGAAAGTGGCAAATTACATTTTTATAGGTATTTTCTTCATTCTGTTTCGCTTGCGGCATTTTCGTGTGGGCTTTCGTTCCGGAAACTAAAGGTCTCACTCTGGAATGCATGAACGAAATATTTGGCACCCCACCGGACGAAGCCCGTTCACCGGATGACAAACGCGAAAAGAAGATCCAAAAGATCATGATGCTGGAAGCTGATAAACTCAAACAGGAACAGCTAGATATGTCGCATCTACGCGTCTGAGTTTAGCCTAACGAGAGCGATTTACAGATTGTCGCAGTTTGGTGACTTTATGTCGCCAAGGATCAGTTGTCTCTACACGCTCGAATCTCTTTTATGCACAACAGTCTATGCTTAACTGCGAACAAAATATGACGGCAAGCGGGCATAATCAAAGCACCGGTAGGCGCAGACAACGGGAAGGCCACCTCCTCAACAACGGGACAATGCCACGCCTACACCTACTATATCGCTTCCGAAAGTTTTTGTTTCCTTTTTATTAGATTTTTGTCTTAGTTGGGTTATTTTGTACAGCCTAAAAGCTTGAGGATGAACCAGTTCTAACCACATAAAATTTTCAAATTATTGCCCGTGTTCGAAATGTGTGTAGTACCAGTACTAATGAACATATGTCCAATGTCGCGCAAACTTTATGGCGGGGTCTTGCCGAAAAAAAGTAATCAGCAGTATCCGACATCTGTACGGATTGAGCGGGAACCGCATTCTTTAATTTACTTACAACGGAATGTGTTCAAGACGAGTGCGTATCAGAGCGATAAGTGCGAATGGACGTTCCGCATGCTACCTGGCTCTGCCACAAAGAAATCGGGAAGCCTCGACGCGCAAAATCGATAGAAAAAGCGGGCGGTATGTTAGTGGCATTAGTCTATCCTGTAACACAGTCGATTCAGTACATGCGTCGTCTGCACGTACTGCCCTTTCTCAACCGGCGTTTTTTCCCTGTGCTAAGGTACTTCCGGCAGCGTAGCACGGGAAACAGTGGATCGCGTAATAATTATCTCTCATCGACGATTGATTGGTTACCGCACCTGCCGCGAAATATCGCCGCGGTTGCCGGTATATCTGTGGTGCAGTGAACGGTTATTTTTACGTTTATCTAAGAGCCGGCATCGAGCATATGCAATCGTTCATTGCTTTGACATTTCCATAATACCATCACTAATGCCGCTTCCTTCCTGTTCCGTTCTCTCCGTCAACCGTATATTATTATCCATAGTCATACGACATAGCTGGAGCTGATATATATATGATCTTTCTCCCATGTAGATATGCAAAAACAGATGGAAGGCTGACAGCTAATTAAAACAGCGCCCGCGCATCATTCCTTACTTAAGCAGCCTTGAACCAAAAACATCTTACTTGTGTCGACGTCGACGAAAAGATTGCTAGTTTTATAATTGTCGGAAAAATAGTGGGATTTCGTTGCGGATAAGATACCTTTTTCCATTTTCCGGAAGAAACCAGACGGACGTCTGAGAAAGATACATAATAATAACTATATATTATGTATGGCATCGTTAAAACCTTTGTTGACCGTAATAAGTTCAGTCAGCAAAGGAAAATAAAAACGGATTAACAGCGATTGTTGACAGAAAAGGTTAGTGTGCAAGCTTAACTTATTAACCAGTAACCGGATATTATTTCTGCCTGAGACCAGGTCTTTAATAGTAAAAACGGTCGCGCATTCGTTTTATTTAGTGTTTTTATTAAGCTTATTTATGTTGAGCATTTCAACTATGACTAAATTATCAACAATTATTATACGAGTACCTCGGATATGTTGCTCGAAGAAGGGCTTCTGTTGTGTAATTTATGCACTAAGGTTATGGCCAAAGTGCGGCGTCTAGCTGGGGCATGTAATTTACTTTTAATGTTTTGTTGAGAGAAACAGAGCTTAGCGCAAAGGCCGCGAAAGCTTCGATCTTGTCATACAAAGATTGATTTCCCGCAATAATTCCTTATAATGCCCTCGACGGCTCGACCGCACATATTGCGTGCTGATGATTCTGTCAGTATGTACTAAGATGCTGATTTGCGGTCACGCATCTGGGACCCATTTGTTCTGCCGGAAATTGTGTTTTTCTTTCCTGATAGCGTTTGGGGAGAAATAACCATGTAATAAAAAGGATCTTCAACAGTCCATCGGTGCAGTATAGGCCATAACGTCTGCGACGAAAAGATTTGTCAGCACTTTATTAAAGAAGCGCGCTGCATTTATACGTAGACCCGGCAATCGGAAGTGGGCGCCATCCATTCTCTGGACCTCCATTGAAATTGGCTGAGAAAATCATTAGCGACACTCCAGTGTCGGGCAAATTGTCGGCTGCTGCGTGACTGGCATGCTGAGGCCGTGTCTGTTCATTAGTGCAGCGTGCGTGCATGTGAACACTACTGTGAGAGTGAAGGCAAATTAGCTTAAACTACCAGCCGATAGCACAATGGGGAGTGAACGCTTCCGCTGCTCTGTCACAGAAGTGTGGGCTAGTCAGCACTCGGCAACGGTCATTCGCACGTCACATTAACACTAACTCCACACTCTTAATCGGCAAACTGCGGATTGCGCTTAATGTTCGCTCGTTTTATGGATGATGTACAAGCATTTTCGCTTTCGCTGATGGTCAGTTCATGCATTTTGGGGAGCGCAGGCTAAGGACAGTCAAAGTGGGCAAAATGCGAATCGTTGTTGTGTCCTGGTGATATCATAAAGTAAAGGCTCCAAATCTGTAGTCGAACTGAATTGCACAAGACGCAACACTATGCGACATTTGAAGAAGTATGATGCCAATGAGCGGCTAGTGCGCGTTGGCCTTGAAAGCGTAGCAGTCATCCATAACGGCTGCTAATGCAGCCAAAAGGTCCTCGTAAATCACGGGAGATACCCTGTCAGGAATTCTCATTACACGCCTGTCAGAGCGCCGAAGAATGTGTTGCCGCGATAGATTAGACGGAAACATGTCCGACACGTTGACTAGAACTAAAAACACCGCTCCCATTCTACGTAGCTTCTTCGTATACTGCGTGAGAATGCATACAAGAGGATCCGAATCATTCCACAAGCCGGCGAGCAGCCGAATAGAATATCCACTCTACTACTCCATTAAGATAAGCATCTTTAATATTTCAAATACTTTCATCCTAATTTCGCCCATCACCTGATTTATGGACTAGAACAGTTAGTGATTTCGAGCTTACACGTTAGTTTAATTCCATCGACTGCATCTTTGTGCCACACTCGCTTGAGTGAAGAACTGCAGTTTAGAAGCAGAATCGATTATTTCGTACGGGGTATTGTATTATCTGATCGCTCATTGAACTAGCGCACAACGACGTGCTCGGCCGCGCTACGGCTGATTGGCCCCAGCGTAATGAGTGGTGATGTTTGTGTGCCACTGATGGCCCTCTCCTCTGGTTAAGTGCACCAATGATACCAGCAAAATCAAGCTAATCTCCGCTGGCGATTAGTGTCTCTGCTAATGCCCATAACAATACGATCTCCTTATATCGATCGCTCGTGCACTTGTTACACCATTCTTATTAGTGACCGAGCTTTTTTTTTGAGTTGATTAATACATGGCTCGATCATGTAGCGTCGTAGTAAAGCGCGTAGGAAACCTATGAACTTGAATTCCATCGAGTGCATGCCATACAGACTGTACTTGTTTATTGAATTTTCCGGGTATTTACTCGATATTTCTGTGTTTATCGATCACGCTGTCCGCTCCCACGTAATCCAATCCCGAAATATCAGGAAGATGCTGCGAGCCACTCATGCCGGTTGTTTATTGGCGTGACCTTATCAGATTGCTAATTGATTGGGGGCTGGCAGCGGTTGATGTGGGACAAAGAAGTCTCCAGCAAAGGTGACTGCTGTGTGTGCAGAAGTGTTGAGAACAAACAAGCTGCTCCTTGTGTTGCAGCTCGCTCTGTACGTATCCTACTGGATACAGAAGCCGTTGTAGCGTGATCCGGTAGCAGATAACAAGTCAAATTATTCACACAGAGAAGAGAGACGTGTTTTTTTTTGTGCTGAAGAGACGTGTTTTTTTTGTTAGAAACTGTCAATAAGACGCACGTGGAAACCCTGAGTTGACAGGCGCGGGTGTTTGATTGCATTTGGCGCTATGTTTCCCGCGGACAACAACAGCAGCGATGAGGCGGCATGCCGGCACAACTACACCATCCTGCTGCTCTTCATCAATGCCACCAACCCCGACTACTTCCTCTACCGTCTCAACGACATCATCATTCTGTTGACCTTGGCCGTGCTTGGCCTCCTTTTCAACGCCCTCATGGCCTGGCTGCTGCTGCGCGACCAGGCCTTTGCCCAGTCGGCCAACGCCTTCCTGGCGCTCCATCTGGCCATTGCCGATGTGTTAGTGGCTTTGTTCTGTATGATCTCCGACGGGGCATGGAATATCACCATGCAGTGGATGGGCGGCAATGTGCTGTGTAAGGTCGTCAAGTTTATGCAGATGTTCGGGTAAGTGGCCTAAGTGCTTGATATTTACCGGGAATAAAAACTAATCATCATGGGACGAAAAAGCGCGGAATAACGATATATTGCTGCAAATGGATAGTGTATACAGGAAGACTGCATGCAATGTGGGTTGTGAAAACCTGTTACCGAAATAAATTACTGCGTTTATATGTTTTTATTCATAGGCTAATAAGGGCAACCGAGTGCTCGAAACTGTCGCACTTTTAGTTTTATAGTGGTTCAAGCTTAAAGCAACTGAAATGCCGTGTGGTTTTCCATAGATTATTTGCCACAACCCTGACACTAACGGGGATGAGTGTGGAGCGCTGCATTACCGTAATCTTCCCCATTTCTAAGTCCGGTCGGCATTTGACGCTGAGGCGCAGTCGGACCATCGCCGGGTTTGTCTGGGTGATTGCCGGCGTGTGCTCCATCCCACAGGTTAGTTGGCGGTGATCCCATGATTAACACCGCATTAACGGCTCATTGTGGGTTGATTGTGCGGGCTACTGCGGCCACACCTCGCGCGGAGGCAGTGTAATCCCCATCGATCTTCGATAAGTTGTGCGGATTATCGCTATCACCGTCAATTGGCAGTTGCTGTAACTGGACGCAGACCAACCCTCGATCTAACATCTTCAGGCAGCTTTACGGGTGGTGGAATAACCTCGTAATACGATAGTGACCATCGTGCAAGAAGACATTGAATATTGATCTATCCTATTTTAATATTGTTAGTGCAAAAAATTCGAAAGTCAATCACGAATTCACGGTTAAGATCCGCAGGATTTGCACATGTACAGAGCACATGCACGTAAATTTTGACGCATGGGCCAAAGGGAACTAAATCTTATTAGCGTTATCGAAATCGTATGAAAGTCAATAATTATTAGATTCTTATCGCAACACAAAATGGACCTACGATAGACGGTACGATATACGGTAGGCTCTTCTACGTCATCACGGCGTACCCTTACCGGACCGTTTGACGGTAGGATTGACGGTAGAAGGCTGAGATATCGTAATGCCTACCGTCGACATCTGCGATATAACAACCACCCTCAGTGGCAGTGGCATGAAGCACAACGTGTGCAGCTGCCAAATCATGCAACTTTAAAATTGTTCTGGTAGATTTTAATTGTTTTTGATTCATCAGAAAAGGATATTATAAGATAAATAAAATTCTAAGAAATTTTTTGATACCAAGCGAGTGCAGTTTATTTGAAAACGAACTATTCTGCAGCCATGTGAATTTAGCATGCAAAGCTTACGGAGCCGTTGGAGTACCCTGCGCGAGCTGTTACTTACTTAAACTCCATAGGCGCCTGTGTTAAAATTTAAATGCTCGTAGAAAGATTCATGGGCTGTTAAATCTGGCCGTTTTGGTACTGAAAAATAGTTTAGCATTTTAGTTTTCATCGAGTTTTAACCTGAACGATTGTTACCATCTGCCAAAGTCTTAAAACCGATTTGAACCGCAGCATGTTTCACGTCAGAGGCAGGATTGGACCGTATCGTTTACCGTCTGCGCGTTGCGATCACTTTAACTTATCAACGGTACGGTCACGATACGGTGTCCCACCGTATCGTATACCGGACCGTATATCGCGACTGTGGGGCGATAATAATCTATCGGGTATTATGCTGTTTGGATGCGGCAATACAACTGAGTGCGGTAAGAATCCAGTTCCATATTTCTCCGCCAGGAGTTGCGCGACGCTGTAATGAAATCTAATTAGCACTGTTCAGAGCCGCGCGAGACGTCACGGGCACGTTCACGCCGGTCTTCGGCAATCCCCACTGGGATAATTGTCCCGTTGTCGACGCGGCGCAAGGATTAATTATTATATTTCCGTAGGCGATTATCTTCCATGTGGAGCGCGCGCCGATCTGCGTGGACTTCTACCAGTGCGTCACTCACGGCTCCTACTCCAGCGACCAGCAAGAGCTGGCCTATAATATGCTCATTTTATGCCTTATGTTTATCGTGCCGCTGGTCGTCATCTGCGTCTGCTACATCCTCATCTTTGCCAGCTTTACCAAGGAGGCTCAACAAGCACTCGGTAAATTTAGCGCGGTTTACGCTGGAAGCCCGTGCAAGCTGCCGGCGCGCCATTAATTAAGAGAGGTTTTTCTCGGGAATAACCGTCTTGTTAATCAATTAATTATGGAGGAATGAAATTCATTTCCCCACAAAAATTCCAGTCTGGCTCACTAAGATGATCTTCACGCTTTGCTTGCTTAGTCTAATCTGCAACAAACGCCGGCACGTAGTATACCGGTTGTAAATGTGTGATTCAGTAATTGCAACGTGGTTTTAGGCCATTCTGATATCCTGAAAAGATTAATAATTTTAGCTTTCCCTCATATTTTCATTCGTTAAATAAATCAAATTATTTATGTGCACAAAGCTACAAGTAAGTGAGTACATACTACATTGTTGTAAATTATAGGTGACAGCGATATCCGACCGCAGCTGCTGAATCCCCACGCTCGAAATGGTCCCAAACGCGGTCAGCGATTGTACTTGAAAATGCGAAGGATATCTTTATGGATGACATTTTTTATCGCCGTAACATTTGTTGTCTGTTGGAGTAAGGATTATTCCTCAGCAGAGCGTTCCACCTTCGGCGTGTCAGTAATCTTATTTTACTGTCTAGCGCCGTATTACATGCTGACGTTAGCACATCTCTTCAAATGGAGCAGTCCACCAGCCACATTGGCATCGTTGTATCTCTTTGGTAATGACTAACGCTTGAGAAAAATTACGAAGGGATAAATATAATTATTGTATGCTGAAGTATTTTTTTCTACCAGGAATGAGCAACTCCGTACTAAATCCCATTATTTTCGCCGGCTTCCGGTGGGTTTCTGCGCAACCGGGGAACACGCGCAACAACAGCTATCGTCCTACTGTGGACACTAGCGAAGTTGCAACTGGCCTTGTGCGGCTGACCTCGGCTCCGTAATATCCAAGTTGGAGTCTGGAAGCCGGACAGCGCACAGTGTTGTAGAACAATTCGGCTTTGTGAACGCGATGGAATGTGATTGTATTCACTAATTTTTTTCTAGATTTCATATTGAACCGTTTATTGATATTCGTTCCGCAACTCTCGACATGCGTGGAAATGCATGTTTTGCTCAAAGCCTACCTAGGAAACACCCGTAATTCTAGAAAAATTCCCCAGATGTTGCTTTATTGATATATATACGATTTCGTTCGGTAAGTGCATGTATACTGCACCAAATGACAAAAATGCAAGCACTGTAACTCTACACGACTGAAAAAAGAAACTTGAAAAGCAACCGAACCCCCTATTTTCCCGTACATTACATACCCTACATTTAATAATAATTATGTACGTAAGCTATATGTACCTCGTGTCCTCAATGTCCTTCATGTAAGTACTGTACCTATTGCACGGGGTGTACTGAATGCGCTAATCAAGTTCGTACTTACTTTGCAGAAGTTACTAAGTTGTAGTTTGTTACACTTGGGACGTTTCGAATATGAATGCACGTCTGCAACGAATTGGCTAAACAAACAAGCAACCATGTTGTGTCAAAGTGAAAATAGTCAAAGTTCTGCAGTACTTAATTTGCAATACTCGTACAGCTGTAATTAATACATGGAAAATTACGAAGGAATCTAATAAAAATGAAAAACTACTCTATGGCTCTGTGAAAGCGCTTCCTCGTGTCAGCGGTAGAATGCCAAAGGCTGCAGCACCTACCATGTTAGTGCATGCAATAAACATTATCTGAATCATTTATGCAGTATCATTCGCGTTCTGTACAGTAGTGTGTGAAACCGGTGTTCAGTTGACTGCAGTATTGCCATTCGCGAACTGTAGTGCACACAAACTAATAGTCAAATGACCTTTTGTGATGCCATTAGCCAAAGTGTGATGTGGACTGTAGTGACAATAGTGTTTTGTTGTGAACTGTGGTGGCATTAGCCCAAGCATTGTACTTCGACGTTTTTCGCATTCCGGACACTTCCGCAATATGGCTTCGCGTACCGGACAACAAATCTGCATATAGAGACATGGCATCCTCGTTGTTCTACATGACGAAAAATTTTCAGAAATTGACTGCGTGATAATTATTGTGTTTATGCAAATTGTAATATAAGTTTTCTAATGTGGAACAACACAGAGAATTCCGTGCCTCTAGATCTGGTGTCCGGTTGACGCGAAGCCATATTTGTGGAAATGTTCGGAATGCAAGAAAAGTGGAAGTAGACTTTATAACTACATCCCATGTTGAATTTGTTATGTTAATGTTTTTTTAGTTTTCGTAGTCTTCTCAGTTTTATACATGTGGGACACTCATATGAATGATAGGATATTGCGGGAATACGGTGGCCGGTGGAATACTTATTACGTCCATAGTTTATAATACTCGTAATGTGAATATGATCAATGCAAAGTATTCGTGACATAAATATATATAATAATCATTATATTTTGTCGTATTACCTTGCTTGATTTAATACAGTACGTACTACAATACGTAGTGTTGTACATTGTACTACGTACCAAGAAAGCGTGACTTCTGCTGGCTACAGCGTTTTGTTATCCCGTCGTTTTGACAAATGCACGACATTGCTATATGATCGTGTTACAAATGGAAAGCTTGCCATAATTAGGAATAGAAACTTGCTGTGGAATAATAAATTTTATTATTAATAAAACTGTACGGTTCTGGAAGCGCATGGCTGTTCTTTGTTTAGAGATGTTATTGCATAAATGCATATTACCGTTTCTCTGCCGCACATACTGTATACTAATGACATTCTGGTAGAAATATACGAATACGAATGACATATACGAATTATACGAATTGTATACGAATGACATTCTAGTAAAAATGTTATAAAATAAAAAAGGACCGCCCGGACCGGATGCTGCCCGCACGATAACGGAATTCGGACAGATGATACGACAGGAAACCGGCGAAAAACGAGCCACAGTGACACAGTCCCACAGAATACGAGTATCTTCGCCAGCGGATTAGCATCGAAATTCAACGAGGAAATGCGGCATCGATCTTGGGGACAGCGCCGATAGGGGCAAATTTAGACCAAATTTTCTCTGTGATTAGGCCGCCTCTGTCGATTGATGCTTAATATGATCGTTTCTGAGGTTGTTGTGAAATTTTTCTGTGAACAATTGTTTTTCTTTAAATACGAATCGTTAGTGACTTACTTACTACTATCGATTAAAATATGAAAATAAAATAAATAATTAGTTTTACTTCCGTACTTCCATTGCTAAGCAGCAAACCGCCCTTGGGGTGGTAGTTGTAGTTCCTAAAACCTACGTCAAGATTTCTGCTTACCATTAGAGTAGTGGTTATTCTGAATCCAAGCAAATGGGATTCGAAGTAAAAAGTATATCGTGTACTTCCGAATTCAGATTGTCACCGTCTGATTGTGAGCTGTTCAGTCGGGTTGATATGGTATTATCATCATGGAGTTGGACGAGGAGATAACGGAAGTGGACGAAATCGACGCCTTGGTAAGTGTCAGTGGCAGGCCCAGCGGACTTAGTTTGTGAAGATGAACGAAGCTGGTCGTTTAGACTTTAGCCCGCGACTTAGTCAGCCTCACTGCGCTGGATTGCAATGGTTGCTGGTTGCGTTTTGTTCGAGCCATTATTGTTCAGGACTATAACAGAACTGCAGAAGCTTTATAATTACCGTTGTAATGCTTTTGTCTGAACCGTATATGCAGCTCGTAGCTGTAAACTGATAACGAGGGCCTTGAGGAAGGAAGGAAGGAAGGGCGCACGCCTTGCGTTCTGGTGGTTTGTGTGAAGATTAGGAGAACGGTGAATAAGTAAGGAAGGGAAGAGGTGGGATGAGCTATAGCTACTGACTGGGGTTGAGGCAGCGATCCAGTATCCAACTGCAGTCCGTGGCCGTGGCCAGATCAGGCACGAGCGGTGGGCTGGTGCTGTCTGTCCGCGTCGTTATGGCACAGTGTTGGACGTGCCAGTACCGTGGGGAGCTGCCACAGTCACTGATCACCGCTCACCCCTTTGGTTTCAAGCCAAAGAGCGCATGCGCCGCCTTCGTTAATCGCGGCGAAGCCACGGACCTGCTGGTGCTGGATGAAATGCAACAGCGAAAAATATGAATCATATGATAGACGGTCACAGACCTAACGGCTAACATCTGCTGTATTAACTTGGCACGGGTAGTAGTACGTGTTACTAATTGCACTCTTACCGAGGCGGCCGTTATTGCAGGAGCGCGAATACCGTTGGTTCCTCCGCACCGAAGTCCGACCGCAAATCGGCTACCTACAGGGAATCCTTACGGTAAGCTACTGACAGTGCTCAGCCGCTCACTCACTGCCTTTCATTTGTGTAATCAGTAGTCCCTTCATCTTTCAATTCTCCCGTTCCCTATGGCTGGCAACTGCATGGGCTGTCTATGATTGTCCATGCCTGTTGGCTGTCCCGTTCAGACTCGTCTCTGTTTTTCCCTTTCGACTGACCGTAGTAGGCTGCTAGCTGCCGTAAGCGGACGCTCACTGTCACGCGCGTGTCTTCACTCGTCTCTTAAATTTTTTTGCTGTATTTAATTCTTTTAATTAAATACAACATAAGAATTTGTATTTAGAATATCAGTGTTAATAAGGGATAATACTACATGTGCAGTCACAATCATCAGCGCTGCATCAGCCTGCATGTGTTTTCTTCAGGAATGTAAAGAAAGGCTTCCACCTGCTTCCTTCTCAGGTATGTTACCGTATGTACGAACGATTCAGTAAATTGTACGGTTTAATATTGATCGGCTACGGTAAATTGATTTTTCGTAATTAGTTTTTCACTTTCGATCAGTACTGTACACGTAATTTTATTGAGTAATATTTCTTTTCAAGCCTGCATTTGTGTAACGTTGGGCTCCGCTTAGGATGTTTCTTGTCTGGACTCCACATGTGTAGTTGTTCGCTTGATACAAATTGTGTTTTATTTCCTTCTCTACATTATTCGCATACGGGTCACCGGCATTGTGCACAGATTGTTAGAAAATGAAGTACTTACCGGTACTTGTACTGGAACCGCGAGTATTTGAAGAGTATTATTTGTTGTGATGCAGATCGTCAGAAGAATCCCCGCGAAGAGCGCTTCGTTGTCAGCCCGACCAAGTGAGTATCAATCGTCTTGTCGTGGCCCTGCTGGGCGCAGTGGCGGCGTGTCAGCCGATGTGGCCTCTAACTGTTTCTGGTTGTTTGTGGCAGTGGCGGAGATTTTTTGAAATGCATCGTCACATTGACCGGAAGCCGCATCACCGCGGCGGTAAGTGCAGTTCCAGAGTGCAGTGATATATTTGAGAGACAGTGGCTTGAAGTTCATTGGCTTTCCAGGACGTGACATTTAGGATGGCCACCGCGAAGAATCCCGGCCAAATGATGAAGTTGGGTATTCCGCCGGAAGCTCCCTACCAACTGCAGCAGCTGCAGGACGCTCTTAATGCGGTCAGCGATGCGCTGGCCCACCTGGCGGCGCAGGATGCCGAGTACGAATTCCAGACGGCCGAAGAAGTTATCAAGGTTAATGCTATAGCTTGTCGCAGCTTCCTCACTTGTCAGGATGCAGGGCGCATTTTATTTGCTTGTAGTTCAACATGGTTGCTCATTGCTAATCCATTTCTTTTGAATGAAAATGGATGTGAATGTGAAGTTTTTTGGTGTGACCTTGCAGATTATCCAGCCGGCTATGGCGCAGCTGTCGCAGGCGCGTAGTACCCTGATCGTCCCCAAGAAGCGTTCCTTCGACGAGCTGAAGGGGGCCTTCCACCGGCGCCACTTCGTGCCGCCCCTGCCGGCCGACATGTCCGCCAGCTTCTACCTGCAGGCCCACAAGCTCGTCTTCGCTCTGTACCAGATCCTCCCGGGAACTGGGAAGTTCGACTGCTATCAGGTGGGTGCTGATATCAGATGGGTGTTATCTTGTCCTACAGCGGCAACTGAGCGGGGTGGCGCGTCGTGTCATTGGGTCCCGAGAAGTATCCTAGCGATGCTGCTGGTTTGCGTGAACCTGCGGATATTGTCGCTGCACTGGATGGTTAAGCCATCTTACAGCAAAAGCCTGTTAACGAGCAGCGTGCGTGTGATGCTGAGCGGAAGTATGTGTGCTAAGGATGGTTTGGATGATTGCAGGGCGAAGTGTCCATTCCGTGGCTGACGGAATCGCTGGTGCTGTTGACGGTGGCCCTGCAGACCTGCCAGCAGCTGCTCGATAAGGTACCGATCAAATAATAATTATTGAATCGAAACTGCCGCTGTCACCTTGATTCATGTTTACTAAAATCAATATGTGAAGAATGCGGGAATAGACAATACAAGTTTACAATTGGCATTTACTGTACAAATGATAAACAAAATATCGAACTTCTAAAAAATAAAAACAGGTTCCTCGAGATTGTCAATGCTCTTAGGCATTGGTTAAGTTTTGTTACCGTCGACGCTAAAACAGTGTTCCTGCTCCTTAGATAGGGCAGTTTTTGCATCGCCGTTACCGTCCGTGTCATGTTTGACAATGAGTTACTTAATGGGGCCAGATTTGATTGGAATTTTCTTGAGCGATTGATGTAATTATGAACACAATTTAATCAGTCACGATATCACGACGACAAATTTTTTCGACGCTGCCGGTGAGAACTGACAAGTGTCGTGCAGGTCGTTTCGTACTTACCGTTATCTGATATAGTATGGATTTTGTTTGGCAGTAGTCTAAAGCGGCTTTGGCGCCGTTTCATTATAGCGCAGCATTTGCCGCGGTCGATCGAGAAAGAAATCCGGTTAAAGGAAGATATGTTTATTCGCTATTCGTTTATTCGACATGTCAGTTGTCGACGTTTTGCAGATGAACATTTTCATGCAGAATCTCGACCTTAGTCCCAAGCCCTTCGATTGAATGGATTGAGCCCTTAGTGGGGTCGCATAGACTGGCGATCCCGTGAAGCTGAAGCGATACGGATCGCAAACGTTGCCTGCTGGTTGTGGGGGTGTCGTTCCGGTGGTTGATTAATTGTTAGTGCCGTGGTATGGTCTGTCTTGTTCTGTCATGGTTTTGAAGTGATTCCGCATAATCAAAAGCGGCTGCGTCCGTCCGCATTGAGACCGGTGGATGCAGCACGTGTGTAATGAGTGCCAAATATGCGGCGTCGCAAATCAAACTGCTCCTTTTGCGTACTTGTCTATGTCACAAATGCTGCTGTGTGATTTTTGTCGATCTGACCTGGTATGTGTCTGTAACTTTGTGTAATTAACGTTCTCCGTCACTATTGCATTCCCATTTGAATTGATTAAAGGTTAAGACTTGATACGTGATGAAATCATGAATACTATGTTAGTATAAAATGACCATCAATCGGATATTGGGAGTCCATATCTTCGGTCTTTACTCTTCACTTCTTCCCGTATCAGTCCCGAGTTAAACGTCAGCATAGCCAAAAGGGAAATGCAGGCTGGATGTACCTGTAGTCAGCAGAAGCTGGACACACATGACTGGTTAGTCCACAGTGCTCAGCCTGCATCTCTTTGGTAGCGCGTCCGGCACAGGCAAAAGGAACTGACCTGCCACAGTGCTACTGTTGCGTGTTCCGACTGACCGTCAGAAACTGTCGCGTTCGCTCCCGATTGCATCCTGTACAGAGCTATACGACTAATCAGCTACTCGTTATGTGAAAGCTTTCAGTCATACGAAACGGTTGACAAATGCTAAACTGCTTAGCAGTCACTTACTCCTCAGTCGATAACTCGATGAAGAAGCGTCCTCCCATGAAAAATCGGACATTCTCATAACACCATACTGAAATATTTAATTGAATACTTCTACTCATAAATACGCAAGCAAAGAAAACAGATCACAGCCTATAGGCCAATGGCCGGCAAATAAAACAAAATAAAACCCACGGTATAAAAAATGCAGAAAAAAATTTCCGCTGAACAGCCAACGCGTTCGGCAGAACCCCCACAGAGTATACTTCGTCGTTAGCAAATAGCTGAGTGAAAGAAAAGAATGAAAGAGCTATAAATCAATCACCAGTTAAGAGAAAAGCACCAATTAACAACGCCCCAGTCCAAGAGCTCAGGCAGGTGCAGGAGAACAAGAGCAAGAGTCGGTAAATCAGGTCCAAACGTACTGTCGTGTGCTGAGAAGCAGAGGAACTAGTGGAGAACACGGTATCAAGGGGACCTCAATCAAGGAGAGACGGAGGATGCACGCGAACCGCCACAGCCATTTGTCCCATCCTTCATCAGGCCGCCATCATGAGGGGCGACGTCTCGTCCAAGTCCTCCTCGTCGTCCGGCACGCCCACGAAGAGGGCTCTTTTGCGGGAAGCCTTGCGCATTTCGTGCATTAAGTACATCACCGTCACAAACACCTGCGAGTGCACAACAATCAAATGACGTTAACTATCAGCAGTGGTACAGTGGTACTGGCACATCCATAGCGTAACATCCGACCAGCAACGATCCCTACTAACCAGTAACAACTCCCAGTAACTCACCATACGATATGTTCTACTACGCACAGACATTGCGCACACCATTTTCACCGCACACAGAAATGTTGCTGACACTTACCACAATCAAATTCAGGAAGGCGATGCCGGTCACTGTCCAGCTGAAACCGTACTCCTCCACTGCGAACCCACCCACCGACGGCCCCACGAAGGCTCTGCAAAAAGCTTATTTCGTAACAACATTTATCACTATTACCAATACCGTAAGCATATATACTCGTATATTCCACTTTTACGCAAGATAGCCGACTTGCGTTCGGTCACGATGACGCCTATCTAAGCAAGCGTAAAGCGAAACACTGACAAAATAACCGAACAAAACCGGGGATCGCAAGCGACTGCCTGTTATCTATCCTCCTCAAGCAGCTGCTCAACAGGTACGGTTACCGCGCTATTAACTGAACTGCCAAAATATGTTCACTGTTAACTTATCCATGTGCATGTAGCTACAAAAAAACGGAGCGACCACGCGCACGTCATTTTAATCCCAAGCGTGCATTTACAACCGTTCTTCGATCATCAACAAAATTCACTGCTCGTCTAGCACCACGCTATCACCCTAGTCGATGCAACAATCATGCACCGCCATCTACAATGTTTTTAAGTTTTAAATACACCACCAAGATTTAACCACATCACCGAGATTTGGCTCTGAGCCTCTGACCACCAATAATGACTCACGAGAACACCATAAACCTATGGCTGCAGCTGACAGTTAGCCGGTTGCAGTCGGCATGAAGACTAGAAACCCAGTCAAGGCTCTGGTGTACTGAATATCGTTGCAACTTTCGACAAGCCGAATTTTCGTCAAAATAAACCATACAGCGCCGTCACCTTGGTGAAAGTTTGGATCTGAACACATAAGCAGTTTGGCCAGTGAATGCGCATGACACCTGTAGCACAGGAAGGAGAAACTTCAGTCAACTGGAAGTGGGATTATAAACAGTTCTGCGTCTGTCCGGCTTTCCACTTCGTCCAGCGGGAAAAGAACAATCCACGAAGAAGGGAACCACACGAATGGCACACATACAAACAGAGATCGGGCCGTTTGGCCCTGAGCGGCACTGCACTGAACGGCATTCATTTTCATCCATCCGTTCACTTCGTTTCACTGCGCTGCCTGTTCAGCGCCTTCACCCGATTCCCACGACACTGTTCGAGTGACCGGCCAGCCGGCAGTCGTCGAAGTAGGCGGTGGTGTCATAGTAATACAGCCGACATAGCACCACGTTGTTGTCGTAGCTCATCTCCGCCACTTTGGTGTCGGGATTGACCGACGCCTTGAACGTGTACACGCCCGCCTTTACGTCTGTCAGATCGATCCACTGGCAGTCCACGTCGTGTTTGTAGATGTCAAAGCATCCTGCAAAAAGTCACAGCTGCTCACCGATCTGCAGGCTTGTACCATTTTCACGGATGTACTGATCATAAAACCATTATGTGGCATCGGAAGCACAAACCAATATCTGTTACTTGTATTTTATAATAGCAAACACCGGCTGCCTAAAAGTTCGTTTATAGCATAAACTACTTTATACTCTATCGTAACATATCGCCTGGCTGTTGATCTGTCCAAACCAAGCCGATACGGCAAAGAATAACTGAGGACAGCCAGATCACAAGCATCACAAATAAGTTTTCCTTACCGACGGAAATGCCCTGATCGCCGAAGTTGGCACAGTTGTACTTCTTCTGCCAGGCCTGGTCACAAGCGTTGTCCTCCAGGCAGAAGCTGGCCTTGTGTCCCTCGGCCACGCGTCTTCCCTGCTCGTCCAGGATGTCGAAGTGAGCAAAGACCTCCATCGAATGGTAGTGCTTGTGGCAGGCATGCCACTGCCAAAGGTGCTTGGGAATGAAGGAGACAAAGTCGGCCTTGCCCACGTTCTTCGTGGCCAGCGTGAAGCGCAGCAGGCGGCGCGTAATCCAGGGGAAGTTACGGGCCTTCTGGTCCAGCTGGTACGCCGAGGAAGACAAGCAGTTCTCCTCCATAGCGCAAGTCAAGTAAAACATAGGCTGGTCTTGCAGGTACACCGAGCTCATCAGAAAATCCATGTCCGGTACCAGGTCCGGCAGCTCAGTGCTGCACATAACGCCGGCGATGCTTTCTCGGCCGCGACACTCCGCTTGCCCTGCTTGCGGGTCCTTGTGAAGGCATTCCACCAGGTTCTTCTCGTGGCCGTTACAGGCCACTCCACTCAACACTACCGCCCGCTGCGGCCCCGTGAACAATACGTTCTGAATGGCCCGTGAACCCACTCCCAACCCCAATTGTCGGCACACCACATCTGTCTCTTTCAGTGACCAGCCGTTCCCACAAATGACGCCCCACTCGCCGGCGCCATCCCAACGCACTTCCACCCTTCCCTCGCGATTATTCCTCCCACCGGCCAAGCGCAGCTGAAAGCGTCGCCGATCGGAGAGGAGAAAAATGTCATTGGCCAGCGGAATGGGGTTTTCATCGGCGATCAGCATCGGTGTCGGACGCACTGTAGTCTTTGTTGTTGGTGGGCGTGGTGTTGTTCTTGTAGTAGTTTCGATAGCAGTTGTCGTAGTGTGCCCGCCCGTTCGCGGCGGCGAGCGTCTCGGAGCGGAATGCGTGATGTAGGCCCGATTAGGTCTGGCCCTCGGCTGCGTCCCGTTACTGATCAGTCTGGCCTTGCAAATGACACCGGCCGCCTCCGAAGTGTCGCATTCCTCTCCGCTGCCCCACCCATCCGAACGGCAGCTTGTCAGATTGCGCTCGTAGCCCCAGCATTGTACATTGCTCAGCCAGATGTGCCCGTGTGTTAGACCGAAGCGGGAGGCGGTTGTGGCAAAGTCCGAGCGTGGAAAGCCCAGTTGCCGACAAAGGACGGTAGCGTCACGCAAATCCCATCCGTCGTCGCACACATAGCCCCACCGCCGGTCGTGATACACCTGCACGTTGCCCTCAAACTCAGTCGTGCCTCCCACCAACCGCACTTCTCCGTCTTCCGGCTGGCACGACACCAGAGTGACCAACAGTAGTTGCAGATAAATCGCTCCTTCGAGAAATTTAATAAGGCACACACGGCTCATTTTTTAAACAAATCCACTGGCCACAAGGGTGTATATTTCGCTATGGAAATTGGATCAAGTGGAATGCACGACTATCACAAGTTCAAGCATGACATGACGGTGGAAAGAAGCAGGCGCCCGATCTTCTCACTCTCACTAACACGCTTCACAACCAATAAAACCCATCTTCTGTCGTTTAGCCATCTTTAAATGTCTTACGCCTGTGCTGACGCGTGCTGCTTCTCAGCTTCGTAATGAGCCTTCTATCGGTATTGACGCTAACGCATGGTGGCTTTTTTGGCCAGAATGATTGATGAGAAGCTATGCGTAACCCGGAATTTGTCACTAAGTACACTTCCTGCACCGATAACTCTTTTTCTATCGGCCTCTCTCTCTCTTTCTTCTGTTCTCCTGCGCTTAATCCAGCAACGGCAGTACACATCTGGCCACAGCTGGCTGCGCCTGTGCCTGCGGCTTGGCCAATATCGCCGCTTCCGCCAGAATCCAAGGCAAACATAACGGTAACTGGCGATGCATGAACTGCCCCGTCAGAAACTTGAAAAACAACTGTACAAGCAGTTAAAAACCCTGCTGCATGTACAGCACCTAACCAGCCCTCAGTCAAACGGTGAGTGACTCAAAACCAACGCATGCAGTGCCAAATGACACCGAATCACTGTCACCATCCAAAACAACGGAAGACATGAAGTAATGTAACATCACAGAAAAGCGCAGTACAGCTACCCATCTTTTAAAACAGGTAACCAAGACCATAAGCAATCAAAACTAATAACCAACATTACCACTTTTATCTTACTAACTGCACTTTCACAGAACTTGCAACTTGCTTTTGAATATCTAATGAAATTACTTGATGAAGCGGCTTATGGCTTCTGGTCATAACTGATTACCACATAATAATATTTTTTCAAAAACGAAATCTATTAATTTGGTAAGTACAACATATTAATAAATACCTAAAACCAGACTGAATGTAGTTTCTTTTGCAGCACTAGTAGGGGCCATTACCCGCGTTCATAATTATTATGATACACGGATGACGTCGTCAGGTCTAAAAATGGATATTAGGTGTAAATAAACAAACCAAAGCAAGTTGCTATCATTGCATCCTGGCAGCTTCTTTGCTTCGCAGGCAAACAAGATGCTATATTAAGCCCGGCTACACGAAACCTGACAGGCCGCGTTTCACCAACGCCAACTCATCCTGTGTTACAAATAAATGTGCTGACACTCCTAGCAGCGTAATTCATAAACTGACTGCATAACGGCCAAAAATAAATTTACGCGAATCTCACGTGACGACCATTAGGATTTACGAGGTGCGAACGTGATGCAAACATGACAAAAACCGTCAAAGATCTGATTCTCCCTAATTTACCGAGTTATGTCAAAGTATCCGTACCTACCATTGTAATTAATCTATCAAATCAACACCTGGTCGAAGAAAATAAGTAACGAGCAGACAACGCAGGTTACTGGCGCCCCTTCACTTACCCCAAAGCAGTGGCTGAACTCAAGGCTCCCGAAACAAGGCCATGCGTCTCGAAGTTGTCTGGAAATCCAGCATTTCTAAGGAAATAAGTAATTGTCTTCAACAGCCACAAACCATAACATGACACCACCGAACGCCCAAATCAACAGGAGGAAAGCGAAATACAAGGCAGCACTACGTACATAGTCGCCTCCAAATTTTTACCAAACGGGGGAATCAGCTGGCCGCATGTTCCCAGTCCCAGGATGATGTTGGCGATGATCAGCACCCAAAGCTTCCTGTGTACAAGCAACGAATTTAGCTTCTAGCCTTCTAGTGTATCAATTTTAGGTTATTAATAAGCACTTCTCAATCATTCCATAAACGAATAACAGCAATTTTCTTGCATATTAAACTTTGCAAATATATTGTTAAGAACGTTAGGTAAAGCAATGGAAAGGAGTCGCGGAATATACGCCAACACGCACAGCCAAGCGGAAGCCTGTGGTACTGTGAAACTAATGAACACACTCTGCACTTACCCCTGCAAATGCATAAAGGGTGCCGGTCCCATGAAGAGGTAGCAACTGCCGCTGATGATAGCCCCCAACGTGATGAACTCTAGCGCCCGGCCTCGACGATCCACGATGACACCAAGAAAGGGCGCGCAGATGAAATAGAGCACACTAGGCAGGAGGAAGATGGCCCCCACTAGTCCCGGGGAGATGTGGAACTCCTCCAAATGCGGCCCATACCTGAGGAATGAAAAAAAACATGTTGAGATTAAAGACTGTGCCGTCAGCAATACGATTATACGACACCCGCAATAAATGACTAACATGGCGTCCAAGAATCCTAATCCAAGCGTGGCGGTAAAAACGGACAGCAGCGTGATCCAGACGCCCGGGATGGACAGATACTGGCGGTAGGAAGGGCTGTCCTCCTGCGAGGGTTCGGCGTGCTGCATGGAAGGTACCAGCAGCCAGGAGGCGATGCCCACTAACAGCACCACCGAGCCCAGCACCGCAAAAGGCAGGATGAAGCCGCCTAGCTGGTAGAGAAGGCCTCCGATGGGCGGCCCCAGGGTGTAGCCCAGGCCGTTGAAGGTCTCACAGGCGCCGAAGATGGTGGAGATGGCAGTGGGGAACTCGTTGGCGATCACCGTGAAGGATGCTAACACCCAAAGGACTCGCGTAAATACATTCGCTAATGCGGTGCCAGTAAACTGATGAAGCAGAACTATGGTGTTCGGCAATAAAATAAGGGCTGTACTCTGTATTAACTAATAGGAAAATTAGTTCCCCTTCAGTCTTTTAGAAACATAAACATGAGCGGACAAAACTGCCATATCAACGAGCAGCTGGTCCTGGCCAAAAAATCGCACCAATAGTAAATGAGTCATCATTACTACCGGAGCGATAACTTATAAATAACTCACTGCTATGATCAGAGCACGACATTGTTTAGCTCACCTGTGAGGAATGCGGAAACACCAACGGCGTCCACCACGCGAATAACGAAGCACATTATGACGAAGGAGCGGCCGGCGGGGCAGAATTCGAGAAAGCCCATGAGGATAGCCGCCGCGCCCGTCGTTAGGATGCCCGTAACGAAGAGAAACTTGGCGCCGAACAGATGCATCTGGAAAATGATAATATACAGACAGGTAAATAAGACAATAGCACAGACTGATAGCGCCCCGGCCCTGCATCGCTGACTCTAGCGGAATCAGAAGTCAGATCACACGGAAGCGCTATGGCAAAAAAAGTAAGAAGAAAGTGTACCCACGTATTTCCCCCAAATCGGCGACATAAAAAAGATCACTAACTGGAAACATCCGAAAACGAAGCCCACTTCCGTTTCCGTCGCTCCTTTCCGCATCGCCTACATAACACAGATTTAATAATTCACACAACCAGACACTGTTGACGCTGTTAATGAATATGCGCAAATACCCATGCATCACGCACAACCAACATTCCGGCTAAATTTAACGCCCTATCTTCAGAATGATATACATATACATCAACCCAAGAGGAACATCATCAAGTTAACCAGCAAAAATGCTGCACTGCTTTGGCAGGTATGTACACCATTATTAATCGTAAAATAAAAGCTGAGACGTTGTTCTGGCACTAGGCTGATTTGGTCAGTCAGCGGCGTAACTTACATAGCTGGGGAAAAAGGGAGCGATGCAGGAGTAGAAGACTGTGGCTGAGAAGTTGGCCTGCAATGAAAGCCAGTTAGACAAATTAAAATACTTACTTGACAACTGCTAGGTACACCCATCAACTACTACATCAAATGCACCCAAGAAGTAGCGCCTTTCTCTTCTTCCTCCGCCCCGCGTCAAAAAGGGAGCCAGCGGTCTACATTCGCTGGACAGCGGCTGAGCACAAGGCCTGGAGACGCCGTACTTACCAGACAAAGGATGGCCACGAGCATCTTCTGCTTGCGCGTCATGGCGCGGAACCAGGCCAGTCCGCCGGCGGGCTCCTCGCTGGCCGCGTCGCCGTTGACGCTGAGGGGCCGCGTGAGGAGGGGCGCCGAGGCGGAGACGGCGGGGCCATGGCTGAGGGTGTCGCTGAGCAGCTCCTCGTCCTCCTCGCGGATCGTGGTCGGCGCCGCGAAGGAGACGGCCCGCGTGATGCGCGGTCGGAACAGGAGGTTGTGCGACGAGGACTTGCGCGAGAACATGGCGAACACGCAGTGCGAACGTAACTGAGATAGTGCGCAAGCAGTGACAGGTCCGCACAGAAACACAAGGCAGATCACCGTTCAACCACCAACCAGCGCTCCTGTTCTTTTGGCAAGCGTACAGTGCAGTCTTGTCAGGCGCAGATACCCCAGTACACAAACTCCACTCTAAACTCAGATAAACCGCCAGGCTACTGGCATTCACGTATGGTATAATTCACTTTCGCAAAAAGGCATTTGTTCACTTCATAATTCTCGCCATTAACAATGCCACAACTGCATCCTAACATACAGTCTAGGGTAGCTCGCAACACGAAAATCGCCACATCGTTATTAACAAAACAATAAGCTGCAAAAGGACTAAACATCAAACCAGCAGCAAGTCCACAATCCCCATTAAGCTGCTTTCGATAATCAAAATCGTGCCAAGTACAACCCTGACAGAAATGTTATGAAATTTTGGGCTGAAATTAAGTATTCAGGCGCACCATTAGTTTGTCTCGCGGACTGGGGTCAGTCTAAACTAAGTATCATTAGTAATGGGTTATTTCCGCTGTTATTTCCGTTCAAGCACGCGCCCGAAGAGAAGCACAGTCATGCTATGAGCCCGTCAAAATTTTGGGTAAGTATCTCTACATGCTAAAGGTACATACTGTACTGTACATACGGAAAATACAATTAAAAATGCCTTGTCAGCGCGTTATCGCATTCGTCTTTGTCCGCCGATTAACCTTTGGATAAACACATTCATGAATCTTTAGATACAAAAACTGGTAGAAATTATTACTACTGGTTCCAAAATATGTAAATTTTGGTACTACTACAACGCATGCACTCGTAATCGCAGCCAATAAAATTTTTTCTTGTTCAATAACTATTATGTAGTTCGTTCAATACATATGCAACCGGTATTTCGTCTCAACTGGAATCCGAGGCCTTCCAGAGATGATGGGAAAAGTAAAGATAAATGGCTTGAGAAAAACAGAATCATGCTATCTGACACAAATTTTCGCAAATTTAATTTAGTTCCGTGGAACTAATAAAAATGTTCATGTGTAATTATTTGTCGAATACCACATCTCGTTCCCTAAAACTATCGCGCAGAAAGCAGATCTCAGGACATAGGAGCGGAGCAGGGCCAGGCGCATATCTTACGAGAGTTTCTACTTCTTGTGAATTGTACTTTTATTCGGCTTCGGCCAGCATACATAATAAATCGCCTGCGCAGGTTTACACTAATTAAAAGCATCAAATTTTTAAACATTAAAAAAACATCCAAAATCGTTAGTGTCACGCATGATCTTGGGACGTGCGTTAAGTGAACCCAAAACAGCTGCTGCATTTCCACGGACTACCGCTAGACTGAAACGTTGTCTTAAAAAGGCGGTAGACCGAGGTTCTACTTCTTTAATTTTCGTACTGTTTATTCCCAACAGCATGCAGCAAAACAATCAAAGGGCAAGCACCAGAAGGTGGTTATTCTTATAAAAACAACTAAAAACGAGCAAGAACGACTTAGAACGTTCATTGTTTGGTAAACCATGGGAATGAAACCGGAACCACATCTGACTAGAACCATTAGCTACGCCGTTTCTATGAACTGAAGGCGACAACAAATCCTACAAACTTACGAAGGCAGTACCAGAAAAAGCAGAATGGGCACATCAATTCAGTCAACGCATACTTGAGCAACACTTGCAAGAGACCAAGGGGACGAATGCCGCAGACAGGGAAGGAAGGACAGGACCAGTGAAAATAAAACGGCTCAGTTTTCCTGAGAAGTTTGCGGAGCGGCAGCGTTGGAGGAGTTCAAAAGTCGCCCCAGAAGGCGCGCGTCAACTCGCCAGGAAGATCCCGCACTGAACTGGAAGAGAGCTTCTTACTGCAACGTCCTCCAAGGATAGGACTAAGACCCGTGTGCGTGCTGGCAATCGCTTCCCGTACCTCTGCTCCGTTCTCATCTGCCCATGACCACAGCATTGATTCGTACTTAGTAAGCACTCGAGCAAGCTCTCCACAGAAACACACGATTAACAAGTGATGTTACCTTGGAAGGTAACTTTTCTGTCGGTCTGAGACATTTCGCGATCACACAGCATTTGGGTGCTGCGAGCCAGTTTCTTCGTGGCGGGCTGTGCCCGAAGGACGGGGAGTTGAATTCCGCTGTCACTCGATAACGACTCCACCACCGATGCTTCCCGAATCGGCTCCAGGCGACAGTGCATCTGCAGCAAAAACATTCACGTTCTAAGCAAACTTAGAGAAGGCGAGCAGTACTGCTTCAGATACCACATACCGTACAGCACACCGCACATCACATTTAAAGCTTAACAAGATTACTTATGAAATTTAGTTCACTAAAATCTCGCTCACTGATAAAAACTCGTGTTTTGCAGCCTAGCTGCTAAGACGGTAACTGCTATAGAAGTATGTGTGAACACAATCGATCAATCGTCTCCTCGTGCACAGCCGGCAAAAAATTATTATGTATAACTGTATGTTGTGCTAATGATGTTGCTGGTTTAAGAGTGCGCAATATTTACTTCACTCACTTTATACTTTATAGTTTCTACGCATGTATCTAGTATCTACCGTATACGCACAAAACCTATTTTAAAGAACCAAAACATCTAACGTAAAGCTGAAGCATGCAAGCGCGCATGCGTAGCCACTTGAAGTCGTGGACGCTAACAGCAATAAAAAAATTCAAATTACGTGATTACTATCGTATAAAGACTTCTCAGACATATATTCGCAGGGGCACTTATAAGCGATTCTGGCGGAAACGGGAGGAGATCTGATGTTATTCTAAAATCTGTCATGCTGCATAAATGATGTCACAATCCGCCTAAATTTCCACTACTCTAGTGGGTCCCAGAAGCCATCAACGGAACCGTACTTTACCGCGTATAAACACGAAAAGACGGTAAAGAAACTCTACCAGATAAGTGCATGGGTACTGTACCTTCATCCACTCGTGGTCGAGAATCTGGTTGGCGTGGTAGCGGCTACTGACGTCCACATCGATCATGCGCCGGATGAGGTCTTTGCCCGCCATGGAGACATGGTCCCAGTATGGAGAACGGAATTCGAACTCCCCAGCAAGGATCATTTCGAACAAGGTTTCTTGGTGGTTGCCCTCGCTAAATGTCCAACACACCCGTGTCACTCACTGGCAAAACGAAGCAATTACAGAATGCCATACCTCTGGAATGGCGGATATCCACAAAGCAAGATGAATGCTGTCACTCCAGCCGCCCAAATATCTACCTTGAACCCGTAACTAAATTGTAAAGGCAAACCCGTTTTTATCAAAACATGTAAGAAGCATGAAAGAATATGCGTAGCTAAACACCAAAAACAGCTTCGTCAACTTAATCCAATAGATTTCGTCAGCCGCAGGATATACGACGCCAAACAGGCACGCTGACAAAGTAAAATTCCATACTCGCAGTCTCGCACTAACACAACCATTAGCGGGATGTGCGGTTGCGGCAGACAACTCACCCGGTTTCCGTAAGGATTTCGGGGGCCACGTAGGTGGGCGAGCCGCAAATCGTCATCAGCAGCTCGCTCTCCTTGACAAATGTCGCCAGTCCGAAGTCGGCCAGCTTGAGAGTGCGTTGTCCGCCAGCGCTTTCCATGACCAGCAGATTTTCCGGCTTGACGTCGCGATGGACGACGCGGCTACTGTGCAGGTAATCCAGAGCGTGGCACAGACAGCGCACCATATCAGCGCTCTGCGTCTCCGAAAAATGCGTCACATCCGAGATCAAACTGAACAGATCCCCGCCTTTCACCAGCTCCATCACGACTGCCAACAAGAAACTAACTCAAACGTCAACCGCGTTTTAAAAAATCCTATAGGCAGTCAGACAGGTTGAAAAAGTTCTTAATAACTTAAAAAATCTGCTGTCCACTTCTTTGACTTTCCTTATAGTAAAGCACTCGGATCACACTCACCATACAGTCGTCCGGCAAAGCTGTATTCATCCAAGAGGTTAACGATATTGGGATGTTTCAGACGCCGCAGAATGCTGATCTCGTTGCCAATCAGTTTCTAACAACAATCAATCCAATCCCATGTATTCACACAGCCCAACGAACGCTGCAACGACCTCCTAACGAAAACTTCTGTACATACCTTATCGCGAATTTTGTTAATTTCGATGATTTTCATAGCGACCGTCCGTCCACTTCGCCTGTGGCAATCCCAGTAGTTTAAGTTGAGAAAACGGCACTGCGCAGGTGATTAGTCTTCTTACCACTCAATGCACTCGTGGACGCTAGCGAAATTCCCATTCCCGATGGCCCGACCGATGTGGTAACGATCGCGGATGTCGGGCGGGTGGTTGACGTTAAACAATGACCCGTCCATACCCCATCCTTTGGGCAGGGTCATCTGTTCAACACAAAGCAGGTTAGCAGGCAATGCATTCGCTGCTCGAACACTTAAATTCAACGACAACAAAAGAGAAGGATCGCCTTCACTCACTCTGCGTGACAGCCGGGGAGAAGGGACATTTTCGCGGAAACTAACAACGTAAGTCCCAGAATCTGCATTCAAATACCAACACCAGTCACGCAATGCAACTGTCAGTCGGATAAATTTCATATGCAATCAAATTAACATTACTTGTTCCCAGACCGCGGTTTCCTGACCGACTGATCTTTCTTTTAATTGATAACTTTTCTTCTGCAAAAGTAACCAAATCTGAGCATACAGAGTAGTTTAATATCATGACGTTTATTTTCATTTTCTGTTGTCTGTTTTCCATAGCAGTGCAAAAGCGGCTTTGCGCGTAATTGTTCAATTATACCTTCAGGATCCAAATCCATATCCGATTTTGTAACTTTCCCACTGGTGGATGCAATAAACACGTCGCCATGGAAAAAGTCAGCCAAATTAAAACACTATAAAAAGAACAATTTTCATTTACTACAACGTACCATGGCGATTTTTCCAACAGGTTTGCACTAAAAATAAAATAACGAATGCTGACTTTTTCGTAAGTCATCTAACTTGTATAGTATCTGTACTGTATGTATGCCGACAGTTTGTTACGTGCGCGTAACTGAAGCCCATGTTCCTAATCTGCCAAATTTCTGAGCTTATATTTGTCTTTATATTTAACCAAAAGTATTTCAGCTACGAGTCTACAAACGAAGGTTTGATGTACAGATATAGTCCAGCAATAATAAACAAATGCTGGATATTTCATTTCGTAAACCATTTAATTTTGATTTGTCCACTTTGTTCACGATTATTGCTCACAACTGGGATTCTTCTATTTTCTTCGTCGCACTAAACCTTCATATTATTAAATCGGTTATCATATTATCATAAATTATAAACTTATTTACCTACTTAGGTATACCTAATCTTATTAACAGCGAGTACAGCTGGAAGAGATTGGATTCTCAAAGCAGTTTGGCGCGGTCAATGAGTGATAAGCTACGCAATCAAATAATAACGCTACTGCCGCTTCGAATGCAGGGCATTAGCTGCTTCAGTTGTTTTCTGGTGGAAGACCAAAGGAGCAAACATGGCAGACTAGAATGCAAACCATGGCCTGGAAAGGGGAATTGGGGAAGCAGCATTGGCCGGATAGTACAAGGGTTTGCTCTACATCACGTAAGTGCTAGCGTGACTCTTGCATTGACCATTATGGAACGAGCACTGCAAGCGGGAATCACACATAAAGCCAAATCGTTAATGTGCCAATCGATAAGGGAAACGATATCATTATATGGCATCATTCTTGTTCCGAGAACCGGACATCGGAAAGCCGAAAGGGAACAGACAATTGAAATATCGATTTTTCTCTTTACCATTGTATCACATACAGCTGCATCAAGGTCAAGTTACCGATCGATATTTATGGTCAACATCAAACATACTTCAACTGCCTGCGTATCCCAAAATTTTGCCAAACAAAGATTTCACCCCCCCTATTTTCATGCATCGTTGCTTTTACGCAAAGTTACAGCAGTCACTGTGGAAGCTTTAATAAAATTTTGCTGGAGCTGCTTTAGTGGCAAAAATAGATATTTCACAAAAGTTCACATTAGCACATTATCAAGCTGCAATCATGTTCATTCCACAACATAATTTTAAACGTAAATAAAAGGCATTAAAACAAAACTCAAATTCGAATAACGGTATAACTCTAATGAACTATTAAAATGTAGAATGTGCAAGTGCAGTAAGTAAGTACGTACCTCGAGTTTAAAGGTGGCGTTATAGACGCGTCGTACGGGCGCCGGCAGTGGACTAAAGAAGCGCGTGATCTCGTCTAGAACGTGCGTGAAGGACTGTGCTGAGCGGTCATCCAGCAGAAAGCGCATCAGCTGGCGCGGCTTTGGCCCGTTAAGGAAAACGGAGATGCGCTTGGGGCTGATTGTGGGGAGGCTGCTCGTCAGGATAGTCTTGTAGGTGCCTGCTGCAAAACACAATCTTAATGAAAGAGTTGTGCGCACAATTAAAAGGCAATCACAAACTGAACGTCTAGCTGCCTAACGGACAGAACCGAAATTGATACGGCCTACATGAATTGTGCCAGCGCAACTGGAGCGGAAGTGCGTCGTTAAAGTGTGCCCATCAACAAATTACTGCAACTCCTACAGCGAAACTTAGCGAAATATCAGAAACGTTTTAACCGAAACTGCGGTATTCTGTCATCGTTAGAGGGAAAGCACATTTTATGCTCACAATAAAACGTGTCGATCAACCGGGCATTCAGCCGGGACCATTCTGTATCGTTTGGTGTTAATGTGAGGCATTTAACCTACCATCCTGCACCCCATCAACACGGGATTATTGGCACAAAAATATTTCGTTGGAATTTCAGATACAACTACGGGTACGGAACATCACTAATGAGAAAAGCGACGGAGCAATGCAAATCGTGAGATACAACAACAAAAAATAACCTAATAAGCGTAAGATATCAAAATTTATTTAAGCTGTGCGCTGGAGCCTACAATCACTTCCCACGTGGATAGATCATGTTCGTTCGACCATTAAATTTTGTAAAATCAAGTATTCTAACCATCTAACTTGACAAACTGACATGATAAAAAACTGCATAACTTTGAACACCCACCTTGGTCCTGTCTGGAAGCGGGCTCAGCCAGAGATCGTCGCTTGAGAATAGCCTCCTCCTGGGCCGCCGTTTTGCCGACGCCGTTTAACGCAAGCGGCACTCGCCCTCGCGGTCGGATGGCCAGATAGTCCAGCTTTTTCAAGGCGCTGCCCGAGGAGCAAACGTAACAGTGGCCGTCGAGCAGTTGCTCCAGGGAGAGAACGGGACTCCCGTCCATCGCCAGCAGGAAGCGAGCGCCCTTGGCCAGGAAGATGCTGTCGGCCAACTGTCGCGACAACTGCAGCAGCAGGGCCTCCACTGAGCGTACCTTCTCGCAGGTCACCACCACCTCCAGGCCCGCGAAGAAGCGGTCTCCGTTGCGATAGACGCGGATACGTCTGGATGGGGATGATGCGGACGCTGCCAGGAGCCGCTGCTCGTTGCTGCTGCCAATACCAATGCCATGGCTGGGGGCAGCATCCCGCGGATATGGGCGCGGGGATGGCGAGGACGAGGGACGGGGAATGCGCGATGGCGTCGCACTGCCAAGAGCAGAAGCAGGCGTGGGACTGACTGCTGCAGTGGCCGCACGTCGACTCCATCCACTCGGAGAGGCGTCCTTCTCCCTGCTTCTGCCTTTGGCCACAGGGACATCTGCACCGAGACCGCTTCTCTGACTGGCCAACGAACTGCCATTACAATCTCTGGAGGCCGCTGCGCATGTCTCGCCCGCAGCTGTCACGGCCATCATTCAGTCATCTACGCATGCGTCACAAAACTCAGCTTTCCTCTGCCAGGCACAAGCACACCACTATTGTCAGGGCTGCCCTTGACAATGCTTTCAATAACCTAACAAATGCACGGACATATGTCGAAAATCATCTTGCGAAAAAGCAAACAAAATCCAGCCCAGGAAAAGAAATGGGAATGAAAATTATCAAGTCCAAAATTTCAGCTGCAAAGCAAGTGTGCAAGCAAGTGTGCTTTGCTTGCAAACAAAAATTCATGTCATGCTGTCTGCTGTCAGCCGCCGCAGAGGTTGCGAGAAGTGGGCGGTGCGAGTCCGCAACCAGCGAATGGTAATTTTCAAGAATTGGAAGCAGCATCGAGTCAACAGTCAGCTGTCGTGTGTGGCCACTGCAGCGGAAGGTGCATTTTGAATCATTTCAGATACAATACTTTATATTCCGTATTTGTTTACAGTTTTGTTTTCTTTGTGTTAGTTGTACGCAGATTGCTTGTGAGATCCTTATATCATTGGTGTCCGAGTACCGGACATCTAAAAAACCTTTCCCAAATCAGTTGGCTGTACAAGTGGATTGCAATTCAGAAGTGGAAGCAGTGTCTTTTTTTTGCTGTCTGCAGTAGACCACTGATCAAGCGTACTAGTCACCGGGGCTCTTGAGTGAAGTGATAAAGTCTTCTCGCCTTGCCATAATTCATTATGTCGAAATTCACCCTTGCTTTGATTCAAATGAAAACGGGATTGGATAAAGCGGAGAACATATCTCGAGCTCTGCAGATGATAAGGACTGCCGCCACCGAACACAAAGCCAAGCTCATCTCCTTACCAGTAAGTAGGTTTTTAATAAATCGAAATTATAAGTGCACCTGAATTTAACTAACTGAATTTAGCCAGCCAGTCGTGGTGCGCAGAGTTACTAAACGGAAGTCTGTGCGCACCAGAGAGAGGTGAAGATACTGAAGCCTTTAACATCCGCGGCATTAACGTAGTTAGCAGGGCGCCCAGTGGAACACAGCTACAGACGGGAGTGCCAACTTAAATTACTTAATGCGTTTCAGTTTGCCTGTTTAGGAATGCTTCAATTCTCCGTATGGGACGCAGTATTTCGCAGACTACGCCGAGCCTATCCCTGGGCCGACGGTGGAGGCGCTGGCCCAAGCTGCCAAAGAGCACAAAGTGTACCTGATCGGAGGTAGGCTGAACGGTAGCAGCAGCTTTAACAAGAGAAACAGCTGTTGCGCGACGCGCAGCCATCCGTTCCTTTCCGCTGCGTCCTACGATGTGGATGCATGGTGTTACCGGTGTTTTTGACTCTGGAGCAGGTTCCATTCCGGAGAAGAAGGGCACCGCGTTGTATAATACGGCCACGGTGTTCGGACCGGACGGCAGTTTGATGAAGACATTCCGCAAGCTCCACTTGTTCGACATCGACATTCCCGGCAAAATCACCTTCCGCGAATCGGACAGCCTCCAGCCCGGCTCCGAGTTCTGCGTCCTTGATACAGGTTAGGCGGCCAGTAGTGTCAGGCCCGCCTCTTGTAGTAGTAGTCGCTATTAAATGGAGCAGGAATGACTGCCGTGACGGTTGGGTTTGTCACTGCTTCAAAACAATATACTTTTTCGCTCTGCGGTTGCTACTTGTTTGTGGCAAGTTCTTTCGGTTTGCGTGGTTCGTAATTTTTTCATCTCAACTGTCGCCTATTTGTCCGTTGTAGGCTTCTGCAAAGTCGGCGTGGCTATCTGTTACGACATCCGCTTTGCGGAACTGGGTTTGACCTACGGGAAACTAGGTGGGTTCTGCCAGTGGATCGCAGTATCCGAGTATCGGCAAGAGATTTCTGGAAGCGCGTAGCTGATCAGTAGGGACATACCCCATTGAATCTGTTGTCGACAATATATAAAGGACGCTCCAAAAGTACGTTTCCCTATTTTGTATCTCCCGGCTTGAACGCTTTTAGTTCTTATGAACCATATTTTTAGAAACGTCCTTCATTAACGAACCAAAATAAAATATAACTCTACCTAACTACAATCAAATAGAGAAGAACTGCCGAGAAAGCCGTTCAAGGTTTTCGGCACTTTGCCACGGGTTTTACGCTGACAGTTTTTGTTATTTTTCTCAGTCTTCCTGCTCAGTTTTCGGAAAGCACCAAATATGATCAGATTAGGAATTCTTTTCTGTCCTAATTCCAAGAACGAAACAAAACAGCTTCTTTGCAGTGCTTTTCCAGAATATTAAAAACTCTTTATGACTAGGTGGAAAAACCACAGAGCTGCTCAAGGTGCCAGACGGTAAAAAATCGAAAATTTCTTGTAAAACATTATTGTTGTAGGTACAACTTGAAGTTATTTGTGTCTAAGACCCGCATGACTGCGCATGAAATTTCCTTTTTATTGATGCCAAGAACTTTTGGATTCATATCAGCAAGAAGGCTGAAAAGGAGGATTCCGGCGTCGTGGAGAAAAAAAATGTTTGCTCTCCTCCGTAAATTTTTAAAACCATTCTGTTATTGCAGTAATATTAAGAACAGTATTTGTAGCTGGTACTTTAAATTTGCTGCCGAAATTACAACAGGGACGGAAGTGGTAACAAAAAGAACGAGCTTCGAAAAAACCCGTGGAAATGAGTGTATAAGTAGTATTGCTATTCTGTTTTTCGTTTTCCCAGTTCTTCATTAAATCTTTTGATTCTTATTTCTCTAATTGGTTTACATAATTGCTTATACAACAAAAAATATATCACATGTCTATTACTTCAAATGGCAGGGAGGCAAAATAGGGAAAGTTACTTTTGGAGCGTCCTTTGTACATGCCTTCGCTATTTGGGTGAATAAATGTGCGACTGCAGGGTGCGACCTAATCGTGTACCCTGGCGCCTTCAACATGACCACTGGACCGGCGCATTGGCGGCTGCTGCAGCAGGCGCGCGCTCTGGACAACCAGCTGTACATAGCCGCCGTATCTCCGGCGCGGGACGAGACTGCCGGTTACGTCGCCTGGGGTCACAGCTCGATCGTGAGTCCCTGGTGAGTGCCAGGGCTAATACGTTGGGCGTTACCTTGCGTTTGTTTCCCTCGCCTCTGTCCACGGCTGTCCATTAAATTTCTTCCAGGGCCGATGTGCTAGCGGAAGCTGACCATACCGAGCAGATCGTTACAGCGGAAGTCGGTAGGCCGCTTCTCTTTTGATTACAAAAATTTGTTAAAACGGTCTGCTGGCTGAGTTGCTTTGCAACTCTACATACAGTATTACAGTGGAAGAAGTTCGCGCCGTTTTTCTGCGCTTGTTGTGTAGGATGTTTCTTTGCAGATCCTGCCTACGTTCAGCAAGTGCGCTCGCAGATTCCCATAACTAAGCAGAGGCGCCTAGATTTGTACCGAATGGAATTTAAAGCATAAAGCTGCTTGCGGGAGCGTGGCCAGATTGTCACTCGTCCTTGTCCCGGTGCACACTATTTCTTTTCGCCTTACAATTAGACACTTGAGTCTGTGATTACTGGTTTAGCTTTGTAATGGGCTAACTCTATCCTGTTTTGCGGGATTCCACGTCGTTTTAAATTTTAATGGTGTGCAGAGGGTAGAACCGCTGCATCGCGATTTAATCATTTAGCTTGGTAAAGGCGAAACGCAGATCAGTTTCTCATTGCAGGTAATAGGAGTCTACGCCCGACTCGAGGAAGCGTTTTGCAGTTACAAATTAAGGTCAGCGCTTTCTCTTCTGAGTTTGATTGACCTTTTCTCATAGATGAATCATGAGAGTCTGAGACGCATCTGTAGATCAGATCAGATGATCAGTATTAATCTGCAGAGACAAGAGACAGAGAAATTAGAGTCCGTAAACCGCTAAAATAACGGAGCGTAGCGACCGCTAACTGAGCGGTTCGTCAAGCTCCGCGCAGGTTTTTAGGCCTAATAAACCGCGCTTCGCTAAGCTCCGCTAAATGTCCTAGAACTTTCGTTTCGCGGCAAATGCAAATGTTCAAGTTCGCTAAAAATCCCGCTAATTACAGGGAATTTATTGCAATTCTCTAACATTTTTACTGCAATTTCTGACTAATTTTTAAAAATTTGCCCGTCAGCTTCGCGCGAAACGTTGCTGTTTTTTTGGCTTCTGCTTGCGTCTGCGGAAAGTTCACCTTAATTTTTTTCAAATCGAAACTGATTTTTCTTCTTTAAAAATTTTCGCTAAGCTTCGCTTAACAGTTCAAAAAAAATTTTCCGTTTTCGCTATTTCGCTGAATGGTTTTGGAAAGCCGCTAAGCTCCGCTGTTTTACTCCCAAATTTGACTACAGTTACGTTCCGCTAAGTTGGCCAAAAATGTTGAGACTTTCCGCTTCGCTGTGGAAGTCTTAGCGGTTTACGGACTTTAAGAGAAATACATACTATGTGGACTCTGTAAACGTTTGAATCGTTTGTATGATATTTGAGTCGTTTTAATGGTAGACAGGTAGACCAAAATATTTAATAAGTCTGTACATCTACAGTAATTGGAGCATGCCATGCCTTGATAATCAGGAGATTTTCTCGGTTTTTTTAAACTGCATCTACTTTGTGCTGTATATAAACAACCAACAAAATGTCAGCGAGGCAACAGCCATTTAATAAAAACATCCACCTTAAAGAAATCAACAAATTTCCCTGTAAAATACAGCATGGAAGCGCAGACATTCAGAACCGATGGAAGCATGGCTCTTGACAGTTGACACAAACTAATACTGCAACAACAAGCGCACCCTTTGAAAACAGTAACACAGCGGTCGAACAATATCGGCATACAAGGCAAAAACGGGTAAAAACCATAGCGCATACTATGGAGCGGAGAATAAGAGATCCAAGGAGATAACAACAGTGACAAACTCTTCCAAAGCGCGCACGTGAAACGGGCATATGCAGGCAGCTGCTACCAGCCTTCAACAGAAGCCGGCAGCAACCTAACACAGAACTCAGCTATCAGATTTCGTTTTGCGACGTTTGGTCGTTGTTACATCGCTGCAGACGCTATAGAGGATGTCGGATACGGTCTGCTCCACAGCGCTCTCCCACACCCGCTCATTCATCTGAAATAACCCATCGTCAACGTACAGTTACGGTGTCCAGTGCCCACATATCACAACCACACGTCATTAACGTGTAGCAAAATTAGGAACACTATACTAATCCAATGCAGCCATACCGGAAGAAACTGCAGAGATGTCGGTGGGTACTGAAACACTGGTCCGAAGTTTAAGGATACTGCAGCATTCTTGTACAGGGAAACCGCCGGGAAGTATCGGCCGTTGTTGATGTCCGTAAACGCCGTTCCACAACACTTGCCGTTCTTGAAGAAAATGATCTGCAAACCAGTAAGCTACCTCCTAGGAACCGAACCGTGCTTTGCCACTTCAACTAATCGTTGCGTTACCTGACTGCCCATCCGTGGCTTAAGAGCAGCAACCTCTCTGGGGATGTCCTCTCTGCTTTCATAGTAGAAATGGTTTTTGTACTTCACTAGCGGCTGCAACGTACAACAGGTTACACGACCATGGACCATGACTGATGTTAGAACCACGCCTATCCCGACGATAGGGGAGAAAATGCTAAACATATCACCCACTTCCTGCTTGAAAGAGTCGGGCAGAATCTGGTGCATGTTATCGGCGGGCAGCTCAATGTAACAGCCCAGCACGTCACCAGCGGTGTACCCTTCAGAGTAGTGCCGACCCCGGGAGGCGTGGAAGACGGTGCCCTTGCGAGAGCGCCAACTGTAGCCGAAGCGGTCGTAGCCGAGAGGTGCCTGCAGAGCGGCATGCACAGTACCCCAACCGGCCCGGACGGCCGCGTTGCCAGGGAGGTCCCGCACTGTCAACTCGTAGTACCATCGCCCGCATCCCACGCTCTGGTTGGCCCGCACACAGGAGTAGCCTTTGTCACCGATCACGCTTAGCCGGTCGTTAGACACTTTCAGCTGCGGTGCTGTTGAAAAAACATCAAAACAATGCTTACACAGGCGCTAACGATAAATTTTTACTAAAAGCGAAAGAATACACCAACAGCAATCAAAACACATAATTTTTTATTTGCACAGAAAAAACAGCTACGGCGCACGTTCAGAAACCGAGGTACTGTAGCGAAAAGTCGCCGATAACAGAGCGAGGCGAATGAACAGCGCAAAAAAATGCTGACGAACCGCTAAGTACGTACCTTGATCCTGGATAGAGAGGGCGATGCGGTCCTCTACGAAGACGCGGTACAAGTGGCCAGGAATGGGCCGACCTTGGGGCCCATGCCAGGCTTCAGGGTTGTTGATGTAGCTTTCGCTGAGAGAGGATGTCCGGTCGCACTCGGCCAGGATATAACGGAAGTTGGGGTTGGTCGGCAGTTCGTGAGGCACGCTGGTAGGGAAGGCCTTGAGGGTAGTTAGCAAGTCTGTCCGGGGCACCGGAAGCGGAGGGGGTGTCGGCACGGGAAGCCGCTTTCTCAGTTGACCCCGGGAAAGTTTCGGAGAAACTAGAAGCAGCGGGAACAGAGAAACTAGTACTCCAGCACTCCAAGTAACATACTACAGCACTTATCAAGGTCAACCACTAACAACTGCTACTTTTTATACGCCGCGGCGGTCGCTCTAACCGTACCTCACGATATGCATGCCTCTTCAGAGTCAGTGCTCTTTCAGAAAATAACAGTACTGCATAACCGTATCATGTATTACAAAATTTATTACGAATAGTTTTCCATTTTCAGTGTTTCTGTTAATCAGAAAGAGACAAGTGGCGTCATGCTGCATCTGCGGCTACGATAATAATTTTCTTTACTGGTAAGTCAGTAACAGCACGCAGAAATATGGTTTATACGCTTACAGAAAAACGTCTACAAACACCTACGGAAGTAAGGGACACTAATACAGTACAGGAGTAACAATTTTTCAAGTTACCGCACGGTTTACTGCTCTGCTTACCACTGATGCCAGTTCTTTGTTGGTCCAGACCATTGAGCAATGGTTTGGCGTTACCCGCAGGCAGGGCCGAAGTTGAGGTGGGTGAGGAGATATCGTAGGGATTCAAATGATTTATATCAACCAAAAGGGAATAGGAGACACCGGCGCGGCCCAGTTCGGCGTGGAAAACGGCGGGGTAGGAGGCCTGCAAGGACAGCCAGAATGTGAGCAGGGATAGTTACGGAGTGCAGTCTGCAGCAGCGCCGACGCCAGCACATCTGTCGCGTCGCAAAACGCGCAGTACGCGTCTCTGCGTGCTCAACCGCCAGCACAATCCGTTCGTAAATGAACGTAAAAGTTCGTAAATGAGGCTGACGCCAACTCACCAGCGTCTTGATGATGGTCTCCTGCCACATGCCCTCCGTGCGCGACGCCGCCCCTGTCATCGCGTCCCAGAATTGGTTGATGAAGGGCAGGATCTGGCGCGCCGCGAAGGACTTATCCGGGAGGCCCTGCGCCGCGGCGTAGTGCGTCAGATTGGCCATGGCGGTGATGGAGATCTGCAGGTACGTCGGCGGTCGCTCCTTCAGTTCGGAGATGCCCCCGCCCGCCCCGGACCCCCCCGAGGCGGCAGTACACGTGACGCATAGGTAGTTGTAGCTGAGGCTGAAGGGTATCGTCAGTCTGCAACACACCAATGACTTGTCACTGAATTATGAAGGACCGCAAGTGTTAGGCGAAGAGAAGACAGCGCTCATCGCACGCACTTGGGTTGGCCGTTGAGGCCTGCCAGCACGTCCTCGCGACTGAACCATCTACTGCAGCTGCCGCACAGATACCGCACGGGGGCCAGAAATCTGCAAGGCAACCAACGCGCATCAGTCTTTCCCATCAGAAATGACAACCACAACAAGCAATATCACGAACGACAGAAAATGCGTGTCGCATCGTTGCAACAGCAACGTCTCACACACTGGGGATCGTAGGGATCGTGCCCGTCCGTTCCGTTGCTCGTTCTGCTGGTGCTGTTAGCATAGGCCGCACCAGACGCGGAATGCTTGTCCTTGCTGGCAGCTGTGTGCTCTTCTGCCGCAGAATCTCCCCCCGACGACATCGTTCAAACAGTAAAAAACCCAAGCCTTTGGCGATTGTGTACACCTCACATTCAACCGGATTCGGAAGCGCTGAAGCAAAACCAGCCCGAAACCTGCAACTAAGGGCTATACCAAGACCACCACAAAAGCTAGGTAATTGCAAATCAATTCAGAGATCCTCAGAGAGATGTCAAAATTATAAATTGGATAATAAGCATCATAATATTCACCAAATTTTGCGATGAAATGATAAATCATAAACTCAGCGACCGAGACCTACATGCGTCCTTTTGCGGCAGGGCAACCGCCATTAGAAGACAGTTTGAGAAAACCATCAAGCCACCGGAAGTCAGTTCCCTTTCCGTTTTCCTATTGCCAGTTTTCAGATTTGTTTGGAGAAACTTTGGAGTGCCGAAAAAAATTAATCATGTTTTGAATCGCGGAATATGAGATATTTTACTATCCGTTAAGTTTGTTTTGCGACTGTTTAGAAGCGACATCTTGACATCAGCCAAACGCTAACCTTAGATTATTTGCTTGACAAGCTGTGCTGCCAGCGTTGTTGGGAAATTGTCGTAATTAGTCAAGATGAAGAGGACGTTCTTCCAGATGGCGGAACCACGTTGGATGTAAGTATACGATGGTTTGTGGCCAGTGCCTACTGAGTCTTAATAATGTCTGGGCGCTAGTACAGCTTGTCGCTGGTGAGCTGCGTAAACATTTGCAGGCAGAACACCAGTGGACTGGAGCACGTTTTTGCAGTTTTGCTAATGTTGCCACGCTAAGACGAAGTGATGATCGCTCTGCTTGACAGGTTCACGATTGCGGTGGGACTGGGAATGCTGCTGGTGAGTAAACACTGTAATCTGACTAAGTCACTAAGCCAAGTTCTCCTTCCTCTGCTCGTCGCAGTGCAGTGATTACGCTGCAACAGTAGTGAAAACAAGGCACTGCTAGTGCTGTCGTAGCGCTTAGCGGACGTAAACACTAAAGTGAGTTGTCTGATCATTCATCGCTTCCATTGCCTTTGCAGTGGAGCTGGCTGGCTCCGAGCTCCATCCCGGGACCGTACGGACTGTATTTGGGTCCGGTGGGAATGCTGGGCCGCTTCCTCGGGGAGAACTTCCCCCACATCGTTTCCTCCATGTTAGTCGCGTCACGCGTCTAAGCTTGATAAAATGTAGTTGAAGAATTGAACTGATAGTGTAATCAGTGCCACAGCGGCCGCGTTCATTGCTGTTTCTAGACTAGCCAATCCTTTCCGATAAATTATTAAATTCGCTGCTCAGTGGATTACGTAACCTACTGCTCTTTTCTTGGGAACGTACTTTTTTGCGCGGAATAAGCCAGTAGAGTTTTGAAACTGGAAAGTCTCTGTTTTTAAGCGAAGTGACGGTTATCGCAGTCTCATTAGTTTGGCAAAAAGTGATTTAAGCTGTTTAACAGTACGTATAGTTGGATACCCGCAAGTTTTGACATGCCTGTAATCTTCGCTTGCATTTAACATTATATTACTGTTGTCTTTGCAGAGTGTACGTCGCTACCTTTCTGCATATCGGCGAGGCGCTATATGCAGCTAAACTATGTTGGTAAGTGACTAAGTGGGCCTCTTTCCAGTGGCTCTTAGCGCCGACAGTTGGTATAATCTGGGGAACGCGGAGTGCATTCTGCGCTGCATTCGGTTGCATAAACCGCAAGGACACAGACTCCAGTATATTATGCCATGCTCATTAGGGATCTGTTGAGTTTTCTCGGGGCATTTCAGTCCATTGCACGTGCACAGCTGCGTCTGTGGTTGCAGGGATCAGCGTCTGACCGTCGGCACGTCACTTAAGTGGGTGCTGCAGACCTTCCTCTTCGGCTTCGCCTCCCTGCGCATTCTCCGCAGCCGGACCCGCACCGCCTGACGACCTGACCCACGCTTTTCCCCAACCACCCAGATGCATTTGCATCTTGCAGCCAGCGAGTTCGCCTGCCGGATGTGAAAGTACCAAAGATAGACTATATTTTCCTGTTCCTCACCATGCCCGTAATCATAAGTTGACACGATGTATATGGCGCTTTATGGAGATTTTTGACTGTTTTATTATGATTTTGCTGTTGATTGTTATACCGTGGTAGATTCGCATCGTGGAATGCAAGTGTACTGACCACAGTCATCTAGGGCACCCTAATTTTTACTGTTTTAGTGAGTTATTCTGTTGCTGCATTCTGTATTTTTAAACTGTATTGTTCGGGTTTGCTTAGAACGGACTGCGTTAACCCTAGTTCAGAATTTGGCTGGTGATCGGGGTAGGAGTGTTGAATAGATTTTGGATTTACCAAGTGATTTCTGGTTAATTTTTGTACTTAAAAACCCTTGCCATATACTTCTATTGATATTTGTAACGAACAGCTAACCTGTAAGAGCCACAGGTTGAAAGGTCAACAATACCCTGTTAATTCGCTTTGCGCCAGCCATCGATTTGGGATGTTGCAGTTGCTCTACTTTGCTGCCAGCTTGCACCTGCTAGCAAACTACTGCAGCACGTACACTACAAGCCGAAATGCATTTTGTTGTACCAGCGGTTTCTTTTGTTAAAGATGTAAAAAATGTAACAAGTTTATTATATAGATATGATACGGGGCCTGTGTACGTAGCTAATATACGTAGCCGTGTAATAATGAGATCTGATGATTCCGATCAAAGCATACGACGCATGCGAAAAGTGCCTACTTGTACAATACAGATGTATTGTACTTATATCTATATGTTATGTATATCTTTGTAGTGGTAGCTAATAAAAAACGAAGCGGCTGCAAGTGGCATTTAATGCCCTAGCACTTGTTCTGCTGCTGTTGTCGCTTAAACGGCACAAAGTACTGGCCTTTATATTTGACGGAGATGGCTGTTGCGCTATTCTGCCGGAAGCGTCGTAGTCGTGTTATGTAGTTTGACCACACGCGCATACTCAGTAAATTGAGAGATAAACGCGATGCTGTGCTAGTTGTATTAATATGCATGTTATGTCGAGGTCGGAGGATGCCGAAGAGTTTTTGCTTGGTACTCCGCATCTGTTTCGTTTTGGTCGTTGTTCCGCGGGGACTGTGAGCTTCGCCGGTGACGGGAGTGCTGGACACACTGTACCGATGTCTTACATGTACTGAGCAGGAGCCGCGTCACTGCTGCATGCGAACGGGGAAAGGAGAGATGTGCTATATATGATACAACAAAATTATAATTTTATATTATAGCCAATGCGCTCAACCGAATATTTCTGTCAGGACTTACATTCAGTACATTCCCCTGCAGTTGTTTCTGTTGCCGCCAAGATTACGTGGATCTGGCAATCTGCGTTTTGTTATATTTGTTATCTAGGCCGGCAGCAGTTGAAGGGTGCTATCCTGTATCAACATTATTAATCAACTGTTAGGGCAACTTCTGCACCCGACAGATCATCCACGTGAACCCGGCCACTGTCGTTTTCGGGGCATCGGCGCCCATGATCACTCCCCGCTTTTATTATGGAAGACAAGGCACTTCCCACACTCCTGCTTTGCATTTTGACGCTCCTCCTGGCAAACGGTGAGAACGGGACAACGCAACGCTACCTCACTTATTAACCGGGGCCGTTGCTGTTATACAAAGTATTCTATCTCGTTATTGCCTACAATACAGCTGGATATCATCGTGGGTGTGCTGAACTAGGTTTGGCGAATACGCCGAATGGTGTACAATTAACAACGGCAAAGCACTCGTCAGAAATACGCTGACAATGGTAGAATATGGTCATTTCAGCCATACTAAGGATTGTGTGACCTCTCGCTGCAGGTTCCGTTTGGGGACGTCGCGTGTGGTTCGTGTCATCAGGGATCGGCAGCTTCCAGAACGAGGTACAGTCATGGAGTGCCAGTACGTACATAGAGAGTATAATAAATTATAGTTATGGACAACCGGACTTTCATAAGTAAAAGGAAAATAAATCTACCACAATAATTATAATCACAGTTATTCTAACCCAATAAATATCCGTATCGTTATGTATGTGCTATAATGTTTTTATAATCATGCCATTTATGCGCAGTTGCAATTATAATTCTGCTGATATTGAAAATAAGTACTTACGCTTTCGAAGTATAACAAGAATTTTCAGGACTGCTACTTACATTAAATTTATGATGCTTAATCTGTGGTATTCAGTACATGTGCGGCAGAGGTAGTGGAAAGCGACATTAATGTATTCAAAATTTTGTGTTTTCACTTGAGATAATTTTTGAATGCTAAGTGGATGCGGAATGCTTCGACTTCGCGCGGAATAGTTCTACTTATCCGCGCGCGCATTTTACGACCTGAGGAATAGGCAAAATGAGTTCAAAACGGTTGTAGTCTTCGTCATCCCTGGCGACTTACTCGTTCAACGTCAGTGGGCGGTTGGCTGATGGGGACGCTGGAAGGGGCTTTATCGGGAGAGTGCGGGCGGAAGCAGACAAAGGGAACCTGTCGATAGCATATGCGCTCAAAGGTACGTTAGGTAAAAGCTGCAACATAGCAAGTATAAAGGGCGCTAGGTACTTGCAAGTAGAAACTATAAATCAGAATTAAGGTCACATGTGTTTGCTTTTTATTAATCCCTATATTTATATCATAATTATTTTAAATAGTTCGATAAAAGTACAATGTACAGAACTGCACATACAGTCACAGAAGTATGCACTTTTAGCTTAAAGCTGTACGGGTATAATAGCGCCATTCGTCTTCCTTGCCTCACTTTATTGAATCAGTGAAATTCACTGTGCGATAAAGAGGTACACGGAGGATTGATGTATATGTTACGTCTGGTCATAAGTGTTAAATGGAACATTACTAGCACATGTACAGATAGGTACCTGAGACGGTATTAATATCGGATATGCGGATGTTGGGCAGTATAATACTACAGAGTATATTACGTATATCGTATAATCATTTTTATACTGCTTTGCAGACAGCGCAGATCAGTCGCCCATACAGTTACTTGTCGACAGTGTCACCGGTGACCTACAAATTCGGCCGGCGCACCTGAGCACCGCTGGCACTCAGCAGCTAACCTCACCCACATCTGCATCGGCATCTGCAGCGGCTACGGACAGTGTACACTTCTTCGTCACAGCGGAGGAGCGGACATCGGCTCCCGCCGCTGCCGGCAGTCATCGGCTGATCACGAGTTCGGACGGTGCCGACAAGAAGGACAAAGTTGTAGCAAAAGTAACGCTGATTTTCTCCGGAAACGACACCGGCATGGACGGGCTGTCTCCAGTGTTCGATCTTGGTAAATAATGGTACCTAACATTCACCAGTAACGAAAAACGCTGTAAATTGTGGGAAGGTATAATTCAATGATAATTACTTTTGTAATTAAAGTATATGCGGAAAGCACGCGGAAAGCAGCATGCATACACATCGCAGAAGTACTGTACATATTAGCAGTGCATGAGTTTTGATTGCGCATATACAGCCGTACCGAGCACTGCACTGGTGGGAGACGTCATTGGGCGTGTGGAGTTGGCCAGCAGTGGACGGGGAATTACATACAGCGTCAGCAGCATCGACGTCCTATCAAAGGACAGCCCAGGGGCTAACAGCACGGCCACCCGCGGCCCTTCCGGCCGCCTCCTGGACATCACGGCTCGCAGTGGTGAAGTGTACGTCAGTATGTTCCTGGCGGCTTTCAGCCAACAGCGCCTACAGCTGACCGTGGCCGCCAGCGAAGCCGCTGGGCAACGCAAGGCACAGGGCAGCGTGCGCGTGTGGATATACGACTGCGGGCAGGAAGTGCAGCTAAGCCTGGGCTTGCCGGTCTCCGCGTTGTTGCAGCACGGCTACAGTAACCTGACGCAGCAGCTCAGCGCCGGATTTGGTTGGCCCCTGGCACTAGGCAGGGTGTCTCTCAACGAAGCCGTAACGCCAGACTCCAAGCGCGAGCGGTAAGTAAAGCAGAAATATCTGGGGTTTTCGAAGTTTAGAAGTAGACTGCCGCCCGTAGTGCCGGTGGTCACAAATACCCGCCAGTGGCTGATGCTCATTTGCTCGGGTTTATATACAAGCGTACCTGTTCTGAATATCTGCGGCATTCTGCGCACAGGACAATTGTCAAGTTGATCTTCCTGGATAAAACGCGCAATCACATCATCAGTCCGAGTGCAGTGCTGACCGAGTTGGACCGGAACAGTGCGTCCTTCCGCGGGTTGGAGAGGGCTTTGGCGCTGGAGAAAATGCAGGTGGGTGGCTTAGGGCGTTACTAGGCGTGGCGCCACGGACTGGTAAAGATACAGCTGCACTGAAAAATGCAGTTTGCGCTAGTATTGTTCTGCTCCGGGCCCCGGCAAACTGGGTACTGTGCCGGACGTAGCCATTTAGAATACGGTATTTCTCGCCCAGATTGCATCATCGCTGTTTCAGGTTAGTGCGCGCAGTCTGCCGGCATGGGAGAACGTTTCGCTGGCGGCTATCGTCCTCATCGCCGTCTGCGCCTTCCTGGCGCTGTGTCTGTGTCTCGTAACGGGCATCTTCTGCCACTTGAAGCGCAGGTAGGTGTGGCCGTGTGAACACACGCAGTTTTTCTTGTGCTGGCGTCGACTGACTACAGAAACATAGTGAACCGAAGAGATCTGTCTCCTTGTCTCGATGACGGGATCCATTAACCAACTCGCTTTGTCTGTTTGCTGCTTATGTACTGCATGCATTTGCAGGTATCGTCACGGATATTTTTACAGCAGGCAGCGTATTCCGACGCCACCGACTAGCAGTGGCAAGTTGCCCGCTTACCGTGCCAAAGGTTCGCTGAGCGCCAGCAGCATGCATTCCCTGCATCCCATTTCCGACCATCCGTCTTTCCAGCCGCCGGCGTCTGGGCACTACGGAAACGCCTTGCACAACCATGGCTGGGCCAGTTCCCGGACGCCCTCCCTCTCCTCGACCGGTATCGGCGCTGCGTCGATGACGCCGGCGCCCTACATCTACGGTTCAATTGGCAACCCTCTGGCCTCCTTCCGGTATGTAACACTGGCTCTACTGCGTCACTGAACTTTCGTCCCACCGGTTACACTTTTATCTTAAGCTCCTAACATATTGCAATCGTAGCCAAACCATAATTGTATGCATTGTTCGCTCGCAGCAGCAACTACCCGGTGGACATTGGTCCGAAGCCTGAACGCGGCCGGATGAGCAGCTACGAGGAGCAAGAGATGTCGCTTAGCCTAGCGTCAGATGCCATAAGCTGCAGCGGTCGCCGCAGCGAGGAAGTGCCCAAACGGCGGACCGCGGTAGACGCCGCTGAAATGGAGACTGACGGCGACGTGGACTGCCTGCCTGCCACCGAGTCTGACCCGCTTAGCCGTATAACCCGATCGACAGCAAAGACACGTCCACGCAGTCAGACCGCTTCGCAGTCGCCGGAATCGCAATTGCAAAGGCACCATCGAGCTGCAGCGACCACGGGCCACGCGTCCAGTATACATGCGCCCGACACGCCCACTTCCCTGGAACAGACCTATTTTTGATGCACCAGCAGTAATACTTCAGTACTGGGCTCTCGAACCTTGTATTGTTATTCCTCGTCTTTATTTATGCCGCATTAGGTGCCGTGATTGGTGTGAGGCCCTACGTTCGTTTTACCATCGTTCTACCATAACAATGGCAAAACATACGAGGGGCCTGGTGGCTAGTGTTCCTGTAGAAAACTAGTAGAAATTTTTTATCACGACGACGCTTTGTGTGCCATAGAACAGACGGAATTACTGCATGTTCAGTTACTTACATAATACCACTCTTGCAGCAGTTTTCTTGCTTTCAATAAATGCAATGGGTGATCGCGCTGCATGGTATGGCAGAATTAAAGTTATTAGCATAGGCCACCTGAATTATTATTAAGCGAAATTTGTTTTGAACTCCATAAAAGCTCCAGAATGGACCAGCAAAAAGGAGGCTTCAAAAGGCAGCAGGCATTGTATTTACAGTTACAGTACATACAATAAGCGAGGATTAAGCATTCACCGTATTACTATAACGCGCTCGATTGTATTCGTAGGTATGCGTAATGCTGTAAAGGTTGTGGTTTAATTTCGATCGTAGCCACGAATACTGCCGTTGCGGGATTACGTTAACTGTTGTGCAGTGGCAAAAACCGGTGACCTTTCTGGCACGCAGCCACATATATGGGTGCTGGCGCTTGAGCCTAATCTCGAGTAACAATCACCAGTTAGCAGTAAAAACTGCTCACCAAAACGTGTGGTTGTGGGCGTAAGAATACAACTTCCTTCTAGTACCAGAAAGGGACATCTAGTTACCCGTGCTGGGTTTCTATCCGTCTACGGGTACGCTTCCACGGCGTTTACGAGCTTCTGCATTTATGGAAACTTTGGTCCAGGGAAAACCTCTCGTCGAGCCTTGTCGACAATTTAATTAAGTTATCAGGCGCTGGCTGCCACACGCCTTTTACTGGGACGAAGATCGTATATCTCCTCTGACAACATGCAGTACGGTTGTTGCGTATGCCGGGCAAAAGGTCAATTCGCTAACAGCGGAAATGTTCATTCCCACGCTTTACGCGATAGTAATTTGATGGGATTTTGTTGACCAAATAGACTTACGGGCGAATTAAAAAAAATGCGAATCCAAATGACCTTTGTTACGCACACGGTGCCCGCTACAGCCGGATAAGGCCAACGGAGGGCTGGAGAGCTAGATGGTTCCGACTGGGCAGTACGATTGAGAAGTTGGCTGGAGCCGTTTGAAGACTTTTTCCCCGCATTCCACAATGAGATGTTCTATTTTCATTTCTCTTTATCATTGACACATCCTTGTAACGGGGACATGTCGCTCGTGCGCGCAGATCTAGATTGCGTGCTGACTGCGCGTGAGATCGCGCCAATGTGACGAGTGTCTGGAGATTCAAGCACCTTGAAGATGGGAATAAATATGTACGCGTACGGTACGTAAATTATATATCCGTACATCTATCTTAACAAGAGCACTGTTTGCGTTGAGCCCGAGTAATCCCTATTGATTTCCGATGTAGGGAATTATGTTTTCTTAACCGGAAGCTGTTTAACATGCGAGTGCAGCGCCTGACGCTGAGCACATCCGCACTGCATGTAGGAATGTACGTATTGTACACACAATAGTCGATTATGTATGTTCTTACAAATGCAACAAGCTTACATCCCAGCCACAGTGAAGATGTAAACGATGCCGGCACCTCTCCTCGGGACCCCATACTTAAGCCTATGCTTACACTGGCAAGTATTTGCATAATAAATTGTCAAACAAATTCAATATTATTTGAATACAGGGTAATCCGCGTATGTGGGTTCTGTCTATTGTATTACGGTACAGATGTGCGCAGGTAACAATAAATACTATTGTTATACGACACGTAGTCGCTCTCCGCTTGCGCAATTGCTTTAAATACAGAGTAGTAAGGCACCGCAGTGACCGCACACAAAATTAATTACTGTACAAGCCCAGCACGGATGAATATTGGCCGATGACTATTAAAAAATAAGTAATTCCAAGGAGGTGTTGCTTTGCGGTCGCTTACAGACTGTCATAATAATAATATTAATAAACCCGTACGTTTATTTAGCAATATTATGATACACTTTACATAGTTTAATCGAAACACTGACTGTTTACTTGTACATACAGTACATAACTTCCAATGATGACTAATGTGATTATGACTAACGTGTTAAGTTACATGAATTTTTTACTTTGTACTGTACTCGTACTTATTGTTAACGATAAGTAGCAGCCCAGATATATTTCGACTGTTCTTGGTCAAGTTGTGTTAGAACAGTGTGCATTCTTATCGCGTCCATGGTAACAAGCTTATGATTGACCACTGGACCTAGACAAATGATTTTGGCAAAAAGTCAACAATCTTGGTTCCACCGCTACACCTAGAGAATTTTTATGTACTTTAAAGCAACAAAATTGGTGAAGTAGAAGCCGAGATCCTTTGCCTCAAAGGACAGGGCCGAAGTCCTGGCACAGATAATCAGTATTCATATAACTACTGCACTATCCTTGGTATATTGTAATTCTGTGCCAGATTACCGTCTGCTCACTGTTGTTGTCACAGGCATGAAGGTGTTGTTTTGCAACGTGTCACTTACATACCGTTAAAGTTTTGTATCGGTTGATGGGAAAAAGCTTTGGTTTTTGCCTGTCTGAGTGTAAAATTTAATACGAGTACTACTTGTTTTGTACATGTGTTGCTACATAATATATGAACGGAAGATTACACAGAGCTGGCCCGTACTTGTGCTAGAGCAAGCCGGAAGATGGGAAATTATTCAGACAGGAAATTACATGTTCATTTCGTTAGGAATCGTGATTGGCTCTCGCTAGATTTATCCCCGCAGTCCGATAGTTTTGCAGGCCTGTTGCTGATCAGAGAAATGATTTTTGGAGCGGAGAACGGTTATAACTCAGTTTCGTGCGGATACAGTTTGTCATTACATATGCTACTTATTACGTACACTGCAAAGGACCAAAGAATCACTACAATAATATATATCGGGTCGTATTCATGCAAATTATTCGCGACATTAGCAAAACTTTTGTATATAATACATTCCCGTGTATATCGGCATTAGTCAGCAAAGAGGTTTGCCCCGGCGTCCAGTGCCGGGAAATGAAGTAATCATCCAATTCCAAATGACGGAGAACTGGATGGCGCTTTTGCGCATGCACAGGCCTAATTACGTAACATCAGCCATTTCCGCTTCCATTAACAATCCAATCTCCTAAATGCAGGGATGGCTGGCTGAAGAGATGCTGTTGCATTTGCCGTATGTAAAGGGCATACGTACTAACTACTACCCTAACCATGGGAGATGGGAGTGCGAACCTGCAAGACAACCGAAAATGCAGTACGCCCGTGATATATATGATTTTGTTCTCATAAGCTTTAAATCTTTTACTATCGACTACTATCCTACAAGCCTACCTGCTATAATTGTAACAGGCAATTTCAAAAATATGAATAAAAATTATGAAATCAATCAGATTTTAAAATGGTTTAGAAAACACTGATATTGATGGCATATGTGGGTGCAGCGCAGTGTAACGCTTGCAGGATACGTTATTAAATCAACAATCGTGTAGTGAATATCACTTAGCCAAGTTTCTACAACTTCGTTACCGGTTATGTCATGAACGTTTTGTTGTTGTTACCATAAAATAGGTAGGGTATACCTTATTTTATGGCAACAAAAACTGTTTTTTGTTACCATAAAAGCAACCAAAATTCAAATTCTATCCATCGTTTCAAGGTAGCGTATCTGATACTTACGATACTACGAGTATAGCATACGGGCTATTCACTGTAGTCTGTACAAATACACAGTTATACACGTTTCCCCTACCAATTCCCAAATTGAATTAATTATAGCAACATAGAGCTATCGATCATCGATCCGTATTGAATTCTTTCTTTTAAAATCATATATAATTAATTAGTCCAGTAGGCTTCCTGCCGATCATGGGAGGAATTGGACAATTTAAACCGAGTTATTGCAGTTTCCTACAATTAAAGGATAACACATGAATAGTAACTCCTTGAAAAATATATGGAGGAGAAGTATAGCTTGGGTTAATATCTATATATAGATATACAATAGATATCTATAATCTATATATACATATAGATATAGACTATTTAGCGGCTTAAACTGAGCATGTTTTGCTCTGCGCTCTTCCAATATTATTATGGAATATCGCTGTGAGTAAGCATTTTAAGGTTTAAAATTATTTTTGGTATTAATGAGTGCACAAAATCGTTTGCAAACCACGTTTTTAGAATGTTTTCCACTGACAAAAAGGTCATAGATAAACCTTACAAGTTAGTAAACTGTAAAGGCAGCAAAGCACTGTAAACTGCGAGCATATGGGTGTGCCGGTGCTGTATGTTGTACATAGATTCGGGAGAGTTTAAAAAAGACAGATTCAAATTGAAGAATATGAACTGAAGGATTAGTGCTAAAATTAATCAGTACAAGGTACAAGCATAGGTATGCCGTACGCGTACAGTGCTAGTACCTGATAATAAACTGAATTTTAAATGTATTCATTTTCTTCAAATCTGCAAGTGAAGTACTGATGGTGAGGCACATACAAATAGAATGCGGCACTGGTATCTTCAGTGCAAGCATTTGCGTTAGCTATCTCTGTAGAACCAGCAGTCTATGCTGACATGTTGACACTAAACGGCAACAATAATAATAAGTGTAATAATAATTATTAAGTATTTGCTTTATCATTCGTTGTAAGTACGATTTAGCACCTGGTGCGTGTGCAGTTTAGCTATTATTTTATTACTTATTACGAATAACACTCGTAAAATTGTTCTATAATATTTACAGTTAATAGTATGGTTTAATATAAGCCATACGGTAGCCTTTCAAATTCACATGGCTCAACCGCAGCGAGAACACAGAGTGTGTAGTGTGTGGAACTATACCAACACTGTTGTATCAGTAGAGTACAATACGAACTACGGGCGGTATTAGCCGACGCAGGGCTTTATTCGCCATCAGCTGTCTTCATTTCCACTTTTGCAACAAGCAACTGACTGCCGCATGCTGTCTGCTCGGTGCTCATATTCTGTTGGCGTGCGATAAGCCGGCAAGGCACGCAAACGACTTGACGCTATTTTTATAACTTCTGACTTTCTCAAAACGTTGGATGGCTGGATATTATTCAGTTCTCGCGATCGTGTGGTGCTGGCACGCTAGTGCATCGTTGGCTCGTAACGTTCGCTTTACGGGTGCCATCCGAAAACTGCCTTTCCAGTGATTATACGATTCTGATCATGGGCTACTTTGTCCTCTGCGGAGATTAACAGCCAGCTGCTGTCTATTCGTGCCGGATGAACTGGTGAGTCCATGTAGAATTATTTATCATTTATTAACCAGCAACCAAGAGTATAGGTGCGTTTGTGCTGTAATTAGCCAGTGTTGTCGTTGATTCTCGACGACGCTGTCTGAATGTGACGGTGCAGTACCGATTATAAAGTGACTCCCGACCTTCTTGCCTTGAATTCGAGAATCGAGACATATCGGTAGCACACATATAGATATAACATATTACTACATACGTTCGTGGTTGAAATATTGAGGCGCGGATGATGTCGTGATCACTATGGACCGTTATCCAGTATCCTGCACGTTCGCGTTAACGCTTACGCATTAAGGCGTCGCCTTTTATTCCTGTTCCTTAAATACCATGTGATGTGCGGTACATTAATTATAAGGTTTAGACGCCATCGCCGAGTGTAATTATTATAGTTAGTATTAGTTACCCTGACTTTGCTTGGGCGAAACCCACCGTGTAAATCCGAACTCTCGATGGTCTAGCCGTATTGTTCAAATACTGTTAAATACTTTTCAATTTTTTATGTTTGCCCTGTGAGTGCGATTTCACTGCAGAGATTACAATACTGGCACTACAGTATATTGTAGAACTACTTATTACTCTGTTAGCTGTAACTGTGTATTAACGGTAGCACAGTAAAATTCACTTTCCGCCGTCAGTACAACACTTCCCTTTAACATTCGCGAACAGTATGCACTTGGGTCGCATTCGAGGGCTCTTCTCGCTGATGTTTTCCTTGTAAAGTATTTAGTATTGCAGAAATTTTCCCTAAATAAGCCGTCGCACATCGTCGTACAATACGCGAATTCATGCGTCTGCTGGCCGGCATCACTTGTTTTATTTTCCGGCTAACAAAAGTAGTCTTGTTTGCGATCGCGGTAAAATGTTTAGTACAGTATATGTAATGTTAACGCTCAAATGAAGCTGTTATCAGCTTAATTCTAGCAATACGCTGACGTAAAATTTGATTGTGAATGATTTTGCTATCATAGTACGCAGGATGGAATGCATAGTCGATTATAACACGAGCACGAGTATATTCTTTGATCTAGAATCGTTTTGTGTTTTCTTTCTGCTGTTTGGTTAGGGGTAGTTTTTGTTATTGTGATCAACAAACAGTGTTTAACTTTACCATTAAAAATTTTGTTATTAATTTAACTCGAATCCGAATCAAGAAGCAATACTTATAATAGTTATCAGAATATTACCCATACTCCTACGACTTGTACGTACTTTCACCGTGCATAAAATTTTTTAGACGTAAAAATACCTTTGTTTTCTGATTATGTCCGTGATTTTATTCAGTAGAGCCGTTGTGACGGCGGTTATCGCGTTACAGTACGTAATTGATGGAATAGCAATTAAGTTTGCTTAACAATGAAATTAATATGTGTGACAGGGGTGGGGACCGTAAAAATGTGAATTGACACAAGCAAAAGAACATTTTAACATAATATTATTATTATGACCCAATACAACAGATATTATATACATGCGATAGCTTACTTAACATATGGACCTGTACGTCGGTGCGACATGCATTACAAGATGGTTTATCAGTTGGTATTGATGGTGCCGATTGAATTTGCAGCCGGGAAGCGATCGGCCACATCCGCATCCGCTTGCGCAGCTGTAGCGCCTGGCCAGCAGCTGCAGTACACGCGCCAGCCTCATTGTCACCCGCCGCCTCCGTAGAGATATGGCCAGTCCGTCTCCCTCGCCGGGACAGGAGCAGCTGCCGCTGGCTGGCCTGTCCACGGCCGCTCTGTCGGCGCTGGACGCCGAGCGGCCGATGCTGCCGGAGAAGAAGCATTCACTGTACGCTTATGCCCAACAGGGCATCATCCACGAGGAGGAGCGACTGGAGCTGAAACGAAGCGGTCTGTACCGCTTGCTGCCAACCTGTCTGCGCGTTAAGTTCGCCGAGCGGCAGCAGGAGGCGCTATACGAGGCCTACTATACCAGCCAGAAGCAGGGCGACCTGGTGGCCTTCGTGGTGGCGGCGTTGTGCCTGCAGCTCTTCTGCGTCATCCAGTACTCAACGCGCGGCCTGGACCTGCACCATCGCCCGGCCGAACGCGCCGCCCTCGTCTTCCTCATCCTGGCCTTTCTCTTCAACTGTGTGGTTGTGGCCGTCTACAAGCTGCAGATCGTCAAGTTAAAGGAGCAGCGCCGCTTCAAGCAGCTTTTCCCGCTCCTGGTCTTCGCTGTGCAGTACACGCAGTTCTTTCTCGACCTGTTGACCACGCACCACCCCCTCCTCCTCAGCGATGCCGTCTCTTTCCAGATCCTCTTTGTCTACGTCACGATGACGATGTTGCCGCTGCGCCTCACCGTCTGCTCACTGCTGGCTCTCCTCTCCTCGTTGGCGCTGCTCATTGTGCAGGGCGTAAAGGGCGTGGTCAGCTTCCAGGAGACGCCGTCACAGCTCCTACAAACCTCTCCCGATCGTCAGGTCAGTACTGCATATTTAAAAGAGTACCGGACAGTATACTAATAATACGTATATGAGTGTACAATAATAACTCTAGTACCACTATACCAAAATGCCATCTGACTCACTAATTGACTATGCTATACTGTGGCTGAATTGTTCGCACGGGGCAACCTTATGCTCTTTGAATTTTTAATTTTCCACAGTGGTGAGATTCAAGCGAAGCTCAGCTTATAATTTAACCGAAGGTGCTACCAGTTGATTCTACTGCTGAGAATTTCTACTCGTAGGTAGTATTACGTAGTGTGTCGAAACAAGGTGTTGAAACTATACATAGGAGGGATTTTACATACTCTGTAGGGCTGTGCCGGCAGTGAAATTTTAACCATGCAGACTATTATGCGTAGAGTGTACTGCTCTGGGGTGTTTTCTTCCGACAGCGCCTGCTTTGCCGCTGGAGAAATAAACCAAAGGAGCGGCACTGCTCCACTGAACAGAGCCGCAAACTAACCGAGAATTTAGACACTTTACTGCGGAGCCAAACACGCTCCTGCAGAGATTTTGCATGAGAGCAAACATTTTTTTCTTTCTCCACCGGACTGAAAAGCGGAGCGACTGTGTTGTGCGGGATCTGAAGAGCGTGTTGACGCCGACTTGTCATCGATTGCTAGATTGCTACACCATCGTTCGGGCTAGCTATCTGCATTTGGCGCTAGCTGCTATTCTGTACAGCAGTATAAGTGGCACGGTTTCGTGCGGTGCGCGGCGCTGTGCGTCCCGTAACGAGGATGTAATTAGGCCATTGGCAAAGGGCGTAAATCAGGCAGAGCGATGCGATGTGATGAGAAAACGTTGATTTCATTGCCGGCCCGGTGGACAGGGACAAGGGAGCTGCTTCGGCGTGTTTTCTGCCGGCAACGATGCTGACTGACTTGGTTGGTGGGTAATGGGTATGCTATTCCACTGCGTACAGTGTTGCCGGCTGTTAAGCAGCTCAACTGAAATCACTTCCGTCGCTGCAGCTTAGCCATCCATCCGTCGCATCCGCATCTGCATTGACGTTGAAAGTCCCTTTCCCGAGCTCATCATCTTCAATCAACGCTTGACTAAGCAAAGCAGGCGCATTCCGCCACAGGGCCTGCGTGATGGGTGCTCTGCTCACCGGCGCTGCGCCGACCGAACCGGTGAATGCGTTTATTGCTGAATTAAACCTCATTTGCTACGGCGGTAGATGGTGATTTCCGCCCTGTCTCTTCCTTTCTCTTCCCAGAGCACATCTCTGGGAATAGGAGAACGGAATGGATTAGCAGCTGATGCGGTATTAACATTTGGTGTCCCAAGGAAATTACTGTGCGCTGGCGGAAAGAGGAGCGCGTAATCCCCGCTCACAATTGCCTCGCCATCCGCTCTGCGGTTGTCATGATCAGCGGCAACATCCACAATTAGCATTGACGTACGGGGCCCGCTCATGCCTGCCAGCTAAAAACATCCAATTTGTTCAACGCATTTTCTGGGACAGGTCTGTACTGAGTAGGTTGAATGGATCAAGGGGAAACTGAAAGGGATCGGGATGCGGGCGTTAGTTCGGGCCGGGCTGAACGGGGGAAAGGAAATTAACAGGCCGGCTTCGGGATGAACTTACTGGAAGAGGGCTTACCCAATTTTGCGGCAGGATACTTGAAACACTCGTTGCACCGCTGTGTTGATAGTGCTGCCTTAGACGCAACGTAATATTTTCTTTTGCCGTCCTTAAACGAACCGAATACATCTCGGCCGTGCAATCGACTGTTGGAATTTTTAACTTTCTGCCAATAACGCGAGCTGGAGAATGTAAACGTTGTTGCTTGCAATAAATGCATGCGGTTTGCGTGAAGATGATGCATTTAAGAGTAACACGAGAAGGTTAATATGGAGGTGAAGCACACAATGGGCGAACACGATCGGGCGCCAGGGATAAATATTGCACACTATGCATAGTGTGTGTCATGCAAATGCTATTATGCCGGCTCTGTCCTGGAACCGCTGGGAACTGGGGAAGAATGAGGCCGCTATATGAGTTATCGATTACACTGTCGGACAATTAAAGTTCATGACACGGTAATTCACAGCCTTTCCATTAGTGCATGCTCTCTGTGGAGCTACAATGTACTTATTGCAGTATGCACACCCTGCGCAAACGTATCATGCCCCGCACACGGGAAAAATTTGCATGTACATAGAAAAACTCAGCTACGAGTGTTGCTACAAGAACTGGACGATGCAGCGGGATAATTGCGTTAGAGACTCGCCGACTCGGCAAGATTGTGTTGAATGTTGTTGCAACGTAAATCAATTACGCTTTCACTTGCTATAAAAACATCCGTACACGAATATCCGTACAGCGACCGTGTATTCTGAAACCGGGTAGGCACTTCATGGCCAAATTGTCTCGGCTGCTCTTTTCCCGCCAAGATTTAGATGAGTAATAAACGGGTAACAACATAATAAAGAATAATTACGTGACTACCATGAAAGTGATTACCATCGGCGTTCGCCAGAATCGGATGGATACGATGGGATTTGGATGTCACTATTTTGTACTGTGAAGTAATGTAACAGCGTGATTCGTGGTAATGCACAATATTAGCAGTAGCGTTAACAATTCTGCATTTAACGTTCGAGGCCGGATACAAATCAGATAATACTGTACTGGAAGGACTAACATATGTAAATTAACCAACTTACATAGAGGTATTTAATAGAGGTATATTAAATAGAAGTGATTTAATAGAGGTATTAACAGAGGTACTTGTACAATATTTAAGAGAGGTATTGTTGTATCCTAATTATAATGATTGAGATTTACGAGCAGGAGCGCGCAAGCGCGCGCAATGATCTGCGATCGCCTAACATGATAATATCGCATGATTCGCATCTAACGTACAAGTACAAGTAGTTATTATTGTGGTGTAATTAAACCCTTCGCCATTACCACATGTTATGTTTTTACACCTGTCGCTTTGATACATTCACAGTGAGGTTAAAAAAGACTGCGTTTAGCAGAAACAATCAGTGGGATCACAATCAACAAGCTCATGCTTTCCCAAACTTTGCAGTTGTGTGCCGCCGCAGTGTTGTATTTTGGTTCTTGGATACTGGGCATGATTGCGTCCTTCGTCTCTGATAAAAAACAGCGTCGTGCTTTCCGGCAGGCACGTGTCACCATTGCCATGAAGCTGATTATGGAACAGCAATCACAAGAACAGGTATGTTACAATTTTGCTGTGATTTTCCATTATGTGTAAACGTACCACAAAAATAATTATGTGCCACACGAAGGCATGTATGTAAATACAATTTTACACGGTAGATCCATTCGCGTGCGCTCTGCATAGTGAGACCGGAAATTGAACGACGTTGCTAAACTTGGGAACCGAATGAAGTACTACTGGTCTACAGTACTTGCGGTTACTGCCAGTTATGTAAATAGTGAACACTGAACAGCAAGACATGCACTATACAGCGAGACGCCGAAATGGCACGTGTGGCACATGATTGTTTATTTATTGTGTAGACTTCTTACTGCTTATATTGGATAATTTGGAAAGGGTAAGATTGCAGTTGTGCGATATGTAATGTAGTGCGATATGTAACTTTTTCAGGAGCGACTGCTGTTAGCGGTTTTGCCGAAGCATATTGCCGGTGAAATACGGACAGATTTGGGGGCGATGGTCCATGGACAGTTCAAAAAAATTTACCTGACTCGCTACGAAAACGTCAGTATTCTTTTTGCCGACATTGTGGGATTCACCGCCCTGGTAAGCACAATGCAGACTATGCGTGACCTTTGATAGTACAATATACGTTGTTTTGAGATAAGCCGCTCCTTGCAGAGAAATTTTTAATCCTAACAACCAGCAAATTGGGCTTCTTTAATCATTGTGAGCGTTGTTTTCGCCATGTGATACGCGTATCGAATGAGAGCAGGTTCATGTTGTTGGGTATGCAATTTCATACCGTAGACATCTTTGTGTCTATGCTGCATATTAATTTTATAAATTGGCACAGGAAAATGTAGCCACAACGCAGATGCACTGTGCAGCCGCAGCTTTTTGTTTGCATGTACAGAGTAGATCTGCTGAGCTTATTATGTAGGAAGTGGCGGACCGACATACACAAACGTAGTTAACGTACTTAGTACGAGTACTTACACGAGTTACACAGAAGATGAAGTAGCTGATTGATGGTAAAAAATCAGTGTGGACTGTGTAGTAAACGAACGCATTGGGAATTCGTTGATCATAGTTCATTTTAGTGGCATCGTTAGCGGGGGGAGTGTAATCAGTGGTAGGAAACATTGTGTTGATTGCAGTGTGTAATGCTGAACCGGTGGTTGATTGCAGAGCTCCAACTGCACCGCCGCCGAGCTGGTGAAGCTGCTGAACAAGTTGATCGCGCGCTTTGACAAATTGTCAGAGGTAAGGAAGCTGCCGGCGCGAATGACTTGTTGATTGTGTGATTTAATGAAAGTGGCGTTGATTGTGTCCTGATAGAAATACCACCAATTACGTATCAAAATCCTCGGTGACTGCTGTAAGTTCTTGTGTAAGCATGGCTTCCACCTTCTCATTATTCCATTATTCTGTTGTTATTCCATTACTTGTACTGTATTCCATACATTAATGGTGACGTACGCGTTCATACCAACTGGGCTTGGCTGTGCCTTTCTCACTTTCTGCGTAATCTTAATCTTCCTAATATACATACCACTTTAACTGTCATTACTGACGCTGGCCGGTCCGCTCCGCCTTGGCGCGGCGAGCAGGCGGCCGCTACTAACCATTGCCTAACCTTTGGCGTTGGCTGGCTCGTTTGCAGACTACTGCATCAGTGGCGCCCCGGAGCCCCGCAGTGACCACGCCGTGCTGTGCTGCCACATGGGCCTGGCCATGGTGGACGCCATCCGGGCGGTGCGCGAGGAGACACAGTCCAGTGTCGACATGCGCGTCGGCATCCACACCGGATCCGTGCTAGCCGGTAAGACAGTTGCATCAACAAGCTGTACTGCGCGCCGTATGAGGAAAGATAGGCAGACCTAGTCAGATGCAGATGAAGATGGTTGGATCAACTTGGATGCATGGTGCTGTGTGCTATGCTGTTCCGCCTGATGGGCATCTGCCGGCAAGCGTTATGGTGCTGCCTGGGACGATGCAATGTCCTTGTTCAAGGGGAACCAAGCAGATAGTGATGTATCGATAGCTTTTCCACCTTGGCGTGATGTATAGGCCTGTCTAGATACTGGCAGAAGCATCCGGGAATTGCTTTCATGCTTGAGAGCACGCGCACACTGCTGTTGCACATCCTGTGCCGGATCCACTTTCTCACTTAAGGCATCCCAACGCATTGCCTCAGTTCGCTTTTAAAAGGCTGTTAGTTATTTTCCCCTCTGAGGACCACATGTTAACTCTGCGATAAATCCTCAGCATCGCCGAGAAAGAGCAATACGTAATCATGTGAAATTGATGTGCAAAATATTATTATTAAGGTGCTCCTTGTCGAACTGTAAAAGGCATACAAAATACGAGTTTGCCATTTCCGTGATGAGTGTCCTAATCTTAGCAAACTGAGACCAAAAGTGATTTTACATACGCAGTATACGAAAATGATCAGACAAGGTAGTTTCCCTTGGCAAGGTACTTGCCGGCAATTACGAAGGCCTTACACAAAAGGTTTCGTAGGACTTTTTATGTACTGTGCGCGCGATAATGGTTTGTAATTTGCCAAAGCTTGCTAAACTCTGGTGAATGTACGGATGTGTTGCAGGAGTCATGGGACAAAAGCAGTACGCGTACGATGTGTACAGCAAAGACACCAAACTGGCAAACGCCATGGAATCGGGTGGAAAACCAGGGTAATGGCAGCGCGTAATACCGAAAGGGCTGAATGCAAATGATGGCACGTGGTGCAGTTTGTTACTGTAATTTATGGTGGTGTACAGGTAACCAGTTTAAGTTGTGTACTGTGTACATTCTTAATGATTCTATCTAAGGCATAGGCAGTGCGGTGAAGAATGAAGACATACAGTAGTTGTCGCGACGTAATTTAACTGTTGTATATCGGCATCCGTCCTTGCGCACTCTGATGGTAGTACACGAGATAACGGGTTGGGCGTTGGCTTTGACAGGCGCGTACACATCTCGGCGACGACAATGGCTTGCATGAAGGGCGACGAATTCGAAGTGGAGCCGGGCGACGGCGGAAGCCGCAACGAGGACATCCGCAAATCACACCTGGACACCTTCCTCATCGTCAGGACGCTGAAAATGGTCAGTAATTGTGAATAAAGATCAGTAGAGAACGGTGGTAGTCGGTCAAGTTTGACGCTGCACGCGTTCAGCGGAGTTGTCCAGGAAGACGGGGTACTGCGTATGATGACCGCATTTGTTGTCTTTGCAGTACCCGGAGGGAACGCTGGACGCCGACAAGGGCCGGCTGTCGGTGCAAAATGAGCCGGCACTGTCGACGCGGCGGGCCAGTCAGCGGCCGCGCAACGGTCCCGGCCACGGTGTCAGCAGTGGCGAAGCGGACTTCGACAACCGCCTGCTGCAGGCGCTCATTGAGCGCGAAGGCGCCACGTCAGTGCTTGACCACCCGCACCTTCCTTCATCGGCACAATTCGTAACCTTCATGGGGTGTTTTTCGCAGGCTGAAGAGCAAAGCCAACTATGTGACGTTGTCTTTCAATGACGCCAAGCTGGAGCAGGAGTACGCGGCTGTCCGCGAGAAGCTAGGCCCGGCTGTCATAAGCGCCAACTTCTTCGTCCTTCTTGTCTCCTGTCTCGCGCACGGCATTCTCTGGGATATGTGAGTACTCAGTATTTATTGGCCGGTTTCACTTTCCGACATCATGTGTTATCTTCGTCGACTTCAGAGTTAGAATATAATTACACAATTCATACTCGTAGCATGCACAGTCCAGCATGTCGATGGGTTTTGTACGGTGCGGTACTAATGCTCCAGTGTAGGAAATGTAAAATAATGTCTGTGTTATACTTTTACGAGTATTTTATGGCGTATGCTATAGGAGCCTTGGAACGGGTGTGGCGTACGGATTGGCCTTGCTGATCCTGCTCGGCATCTCGGTAGTATCTTGGGCAACCGTTAAGCGAAGGGTGAGTGAGTTTAATTGTTATGAAAAAGTCAAAGACCAATATGAGGAGCGCTACTTTAGTGCTACCTACGTAGTGTAGTGTAGTGCAGTATAGTGTTTTAGTGTTTAGTGCTCATGCTTCAAGATGAGCACTCTGTAGGTCTTCCCCTTGGGAGTAGTCAGGTTGGTGCAGTGGACGGAGGAGATCCCTTCCATCCGGTTAGCCTGGCTCCTGGCGGCGGTGCTGTGCGGCGTCGTGCCGGAGCTGGTGGACCGGGTGCGCTGCCAACGCGACGAAGATAGGCCGTCCTGCGAGCCGCCGCTCTTCTACATCCACTTGGTCACCTTCCTCCTGCTGGCCATAACCGTCCTTATGCAGATCGGCCACCTGGCCAAGCTGCTCATGATGAGCGGCCTCGTCACGCTCCACTGCCTGCTGACGACGCTCGTGCAGCAGGAGGTATTCGACGCCGTCGACCGGCGCACGCTCAGCGACGAGCAGTACATGTAAGTGCAGCTATAGCGACGCTACTGCAATATCCTCAATGTATCCATGCTTTATCTTATTGAGATCAGGGATACGCTGCGTCAAGGTTGAGAAAACATTCTAGTTTTATGCGAATACAGTATGTAAACACAATGGTAGTGTGCGTGTTCGTTTGTAACTGCAGGGCCTTCCTGACGAAGTATGCCGCATGCTGCATACTGGTGATCATTCTCTGTGCCTTATTCTGGGTTAATCGCCACGTAAGTCGCACCCTGTGTTACTCTGCATGTTTACGGCTACAATACGTTGATATTCAAAAGAAAAGTTTGAATGGCGGTGTTGTGATTACTGCTAACCGGTCAGTGAATGCGTGGGTATATCAGTGGTTGACCTTTTGAATGCAGATGGAAATTACGTCGCGGTTGCTGTTCGTTTGGAAGAACGAGTCGGACGCGCAGAAAACGCAGGTCACCGAGTTGCGGCGCAAGAACGAGGAGCTGGTCTCCAACATCCTGCCGCCGCACGTCGCCAAACACTTCCTCGGGCGCAACTTCACCGAGAACGACGTATGTTTCCGCGCAGTTGGTACTGTAATCTGATCAAATTAGTGCAGGCTTTGTTTTGTTTTGGCTTAAGTAACACGTAAAAACTCATTGATAAGCATTTAGTCGTACTCCTAACTAAAAATTGTTGTTCAGTGTTCACTTGGTAAGGTGCACTGCACCCGTTTTACATGTATGAGTAGTCCAAGGGTTGGTTCAGTAGGCACGCTCTGTTAATTGGCTATTATACACAGGACCCCTACAGCGAGCACCACTCGGGAGTGGGCGTGATGTTCGCGTCTATGCCCAATTTCTCCGATTTCTACACGGAGGAGGGTGTCAACAACCAGGGCCTAGAATGTCTGCGCTTCCTCAACGAGGTCATCAGCGACTACGACGAACTGCTGGACGACGCGCGCTTCGAAGGCGCCATCACCAAGATCAAGACCATCGGGCCTACATACATGGTCAGTATCTGTAAATCCGTTGTGCAATACGGTGTTATAACGTGTCGAGTGGTTACATGAAAACATTGTGCCAACAGGTGGCTAGTGGTCTGACCAACGCGGAAGTCTACGACCAACTGGCGGGAACCAGCGACACGCACCGCTGGCGACACCTGCACTTGCTGGTCAAGTTCGCCCTGGCCATGCAGGAAAAGCTCAAGCTAATCAACGAGAATTCCTTCAACCAGTTCTACCTCCGTATCGGCATAAACCACGGCCCCATTTCCGCCGGGGTCATCGGCGTCCGCAAGCCGGTAAACGCACACGCTCATCCCTCCACATATAAATTACCGTTACAAACAAGCTTTACGTAACCATCTTCTAACCGAGCCCCGCACGTATAGTACTTGCACCGGCATTTTCTGAATCTACTGGGTAACCAGAGTAGGCCCTCTGTTCGGCCAGGCGACACCCATATTAGACCAGTTGGTCACTCGCCGTTGGCCTGTTTTGCCTGTTAACTCCCGTAATAATTATTATTACGCACAATGTGAATTTTGTAATTATAAACCCTTTTTCTCGTAGTTGTACTTAAAAATTGCTTTAAAACTCTTTAATGCAGTCATAGCATACTGGACGTCAATTAATGCTTGCACAGAACAGGTGTGCTGTTAATTGTAGCTGTGGTAGTTGTTGCTGTAGTTGTGTGTTGTAGTTACAGACTTACAGTATTTGTGCTGTAGTAACAAGTGTAGTTGTACAACTTGCACTTGCACTTACCGTATGTATGCTTATTGTCAGCACTACGATATTTGGGGCAACACAGTGAACGTGGCCTCGCGAATGGAGTCGACGGGACAGCCCAACTCCATCCAGGTGACGGAGGAGACCATGCTGCTACTCAAACAATTCGGCTACCGCTTCGAGTCGCGCGGCCTGGTCTACGTCAAGGGCAAGGGCGAGCTGGCCACCTACTGCCTCCTGCCGCCCCCCGACGCCGCCGTCCCCGCCCCCGGGGGCGGGCCCGACGCCGACCAGCAGCAACTCAGCTCAAGCAACCCCCAGCACGCCAACGCCACCGGAAACAGCCACACCCAACCGCAGCAGTACCGCAACAGCGCCGCTCTCTGATCTTCAAAACGCAATTTTCTGTCACTTCTTTTTATTGCCGACCAGAGTTTTTGTTGGGCGCGCAGTAGCGCACTGCACTGCGCGGGAGACGTTGCTCCACATGAACGCTTTGATCTCAGATTGTTGTCAAGAATAGTTTGATAGACATAGACAGAGACACTAAGTTGTTTGTAGTTTTCTGCCAGAGTAATTCCCACTTTGTAATTGCCAGTGCATCATTGGCCAGTGCTTTTCTTGTGCATTTTGTTTGTTGTTCTTTTCTAGTCAGACCAGATTGACTTGTCCGGTGAGCGTGTCCAAAGACTACGACAATCAAATAAATTTTTACAGATTTTTATTGATTTCTTTTCTTCATGAACAGTATTCGCCTGTCCGTTTGCTAAATAAATAGGATGACTTGTGTAATGTGAATTAATTGAACATACGGTAATTTAGTACTTAATTAATTGCGCACTGGGATCTAATGGTCAATGACGCATTTCGGCCCCTTACGTTCTTCAAGATAATTGATGATTGCTTTTTGCCAAACTATTTCCTTACCACGTTACACTGTAACTCTGTAAGACTTACAGCACAAATGATTTTACCATGTCCTAACTTATTCAGTACGCTGAGACGCTCCGATGAATCATGACACACCCTTTTGGCTAAACGCTTCTCAGGCAGAAGCTACGTCTGCGTGGAATCAGCTGATATGCCAGCATTGATTTGTCGGGAAAAGTGCACCGGTAAAAACAACTGAATAACAGAATGTCGTTTCACTTTAGACCACTTGCCTGGAGTGGCCGCGGCAGCTTATTTACTATGGCGGGCAACTGTTTACGAGGAGAGATCAAAGGAATGTCGGCTTAATCGCTGGCCGCGCGTGGCAATTTTTTCAGTTTAATCGCACCGCTGCCATACAGAAGCCAAAAATTATAAAGCACTAAACTATCAGTAAAAATGTAAAGTGTCAAAAAACACAACAGCGCAGCATGCAAATCGACAAATTACTGACTCTGCACCGAATACTTTGTCTGCACTCTGCAGTTGCCGTCACCTACAGAATAAATACCTGAATAAGTCATCTAATACAAACAATACCACCCGGACCAAAAAGGAACGCACATCTAAATTCACAGCGAAAATGCCTAGCTGATCCTTGGATGGAAGAGGATCAAAATATGGACCAAGACTCAAAACTATCGGCAGGCGGCACCGGGGGCGGCGGAATCGGCACGCTCAGGGAACGTGGAAGAACAGGCTCGTCGTCCATCCGGTTACGCAGGAACTGTTGCAGGAAAGCCACCTTCTGCCGGGAGGCAGCCTGTTTGGCCTGCACGGGCGCGTTGCTAGTGGCACGGCCCGTCTCGACCATGGGAGCGGGGGGCTTGCCACCGTCGGGCGCCGGCTTCAGTATCATGTCGGCGATGACTTCCAGCGTGCCGGTGTTGCCGTTAGGATGGCGCTGCCAATGTTTGTGCAGCTCCCGCAGCAGCACCATCAGCGCTTTGAAAGTCTCCCGGTGAACCAGTGGGAACTCCTGTAATACCGCGCGAGAGCTATCCCAGCGGGCGCCCACGGACAAACACCTGTGGTACTGACTGAAAGGGACCAGAGGCTCCGGGAGGACGTCGAGGAAGAGAAGCAGAGCCTCCGCCACCGAGTGGCCGCTGCCCGGGAGCGGCAAAGGCAGCCGCGCGTCCAAGTGGTCGCGGATCTGCTCCATCTCATGCGACAGACCCGGTTGAAGGAACAAATCGGCTATCTCTGTAGCCGATACGTGAAGGTGCACCAACATGCGCCATATCTCCACGGGAATACCGGCCGGCGGAGGAAAGTGGTCAGGCGGCGTGGCCGCGGAGTGGGCGTCGGACTCTTGATCGAAGCTGATGAGAAGCTCCACGGTGGGTGGTGCGACGGCACGCATGGGATGGTCAGACTGGGCTAGTTGTTGCAGCGAGGTGCCAAAGCAGGAGGGCACGTAGCGGCCCTGGACGCAGATAAAAAAGTCTCGTCCACCTTGCAGCTTCAGCACCAAGATGTCGTCAATCTGGTCAGCACCCGTGGTCAGTTGCTGCACCGTTTTGCGATTGACCTCGATTTCCAGTTCCACGTCGGTCGTCTCACCGGGTGAGATCTTGCCGGTGCGCGGCGCGATGTTGATCCAGTCCTTGCAGACCTTGCGACTGCTTTGGCGGGCAGGTGGCGGCGTGAAAGCGAAGACCAGGGGCACCTGGCCGGTGTTGTGGATTGTGACTGAGCGCTTCACCAGCTGGAGAAAGGTCACATCGCCCAGCTGGAAATCGAAGGGCTGTACTGTGGCAGCTGGAAGCAGGAGGTTCTCCTCGCGGTCGATAATCTTGAGAACATCCTCAAGGACACGCTTCTCCCGCGCCCGCTCCACCACGCGCACGCCCACTTCGAATAGCGCCACCACCGGCTTGTGGTCGCTGATGCGTAGCTGAGGCCGGCTGTCGTACACACGCTGTTGCACACAAGCGTCATCGCGAGCCTGCCACAACACACGATCGCACCAAGAGGGGATGCGGCTTTTCTCGCTGGAGTCCCACTGGTCGGAGCCCACATCGTATTTGTAGGTGGGTCGGAAGTGAATGGCACCCTCGCGGAAGCCCTGGAAGACGCGCTTTTGCTCCATCTGCTGGCGCAGTTGGTCGTGCTCGTGCAGATCAACGATGCGCTGCTGGTCGATGTGAGCCACCACGTCGGCGTGGGGCAGTGCGGCGATGCGGTAGTTGAAGTCTCCTAGCCAAAGCACCAGGTCGTGCTCCTTAATGCGCTTGGGAATCCAGTCACCGGCGTTTTGCGCCTGCAGATCCATGTGCGTGAACAACATCTTGCTGGACACAGCGCGGTAGTCCTCGTTGCGGCGCTCCACCTCCTCAGTGTGGGCGGCGAAATGGGCGGTGACAAAACAGAGCTCGCTGGTGTGGAAGTCCAGCCGCACTCCCACCCCGCCCTTGTTGCCCATCCAGCCCATGATGCCGGTGCCGATGAAGGCCGCGGAGACGTTGCTGACGTGCTGTGCCAGTGGCTCCAGCACGTACACCAGCAGCATGATGCCCACCAGCCGTACGAGTCGCAGCAACCGGTAATCCCCCATCCGCTTCAAGGAGGCAGTCACCGCCCGCCTCCACTCCTGCTCCTTCAGCGATGTCTCCAGAACGTAGGCGCGCTTGTCTAGGTCCAGCTCCTGGAAGCCGATGATGTAAAAGTGAGGGGGCTGGGGGCAGTCCGGGGGTGGCCGCAGCCAGGCGTCCAGGGCGTCGGCCTCTCGGGGCGGCAGCTGGCCGTTGACGTTCCAGGTGGTCACGAACAAGTAAAAGGGCCGCTGGTCGCTGTACTCTTTTAAGCGCGCCCGCATACGCTCCTTCACCAACAGCTCCCGTGATTTCAGACGGGCCTGGGCGGCGGTCAAGGGGGGTTCCGTCTCCCAAGGCTCCCCTTCTCCCGAGGATGTCGAGGCGTTAGAAGAGAGGGACTCGATCGGCTGTGATTCAGGCATAATGTAGGATTTCATCGTCGAGCCGAAGCGACTCGGCTGCGACATGCTGCTACCGCTGCCTCTGGGGGGCCGCCTTGCAGTCAGGGGGGCCGCTGCTGACAGGAGGTATCGGGAGTCCAGGATCGGATTCTGACTGGAAAATCCCAATCAGCGCACTACTAACGCTGCCCTGATTGCCACAAGCCAACGAATGCTACCGAGGATAGACAACGAGATCGACCACCGACAGGACCTGCGAATACAGCCATATCAACACCGACATCTGCCAGTGCATACTGTACCCAAATGACTTATGGTATGTACCAGACTGTGCTGCAAGAAGCAGCGTTACGAATCGCGACTGATGGGAAACCGGTCCAACTTGACTCACCTATATTCGTATGGTGTCCGCTTTCCCAAACAAACTTCCTCAAAGTGAGCTTACGTATTTGCATCAAGAACGTGTCACACGCAAAAACAGTCCATTTCAGTAGCATATAAAAACGAGCGCTCGCAACTCATCAGACAAAATAACAATCTAAGATCACAGCAGATTCATCCGAAGCAAGAATCAGAATCATTTAGCACTTGCGTACGTATTGCCCAAATGGAAAGCTAACTTTAAATAAGTTTTAACGTTTTATTGTCACTTAAATTACTTAATTTATTATGTAGCCATAAATGCAAACGTTTTTTGCCGTGGGATCTGTGAAACAAATCTGACAGTGCATGCGTGACTGCAGAGTTGACATGCCAGGGCGGACACGCTGTCGCCGGCAGATCGTGTGGGATGGGCCGGCGCTCGGCCGCTGCACTACAACATGCTAACCAATAAGGAGCCGCCGGTTGTTCACAACTTCACAGGTTAAATGATTAATCTTGCTTTTACATTATTTATCAACTACATGCAAGTAATCATTACATTTAGCCTGATAAAAATGGCGATATGTTTTCGATAGGAGGACGAGTAACAATAATGCTCAACAATCAGTTTGTCAAACACCTTGCAACACATTGTCGCTCGCGTCTCCGATAACAGCGAAGTTGTCAAAGATTAACGCTGATCAAAGTTCGTAGTATCCAAAATTATTAGATACTAACTGGCTGAGGCTGCACAATCAGATGGCTTTTTAATTTTACAGGAGACTTGGGACTTAAAGCGAAAACAGTAGCAAAAAACGCACAGAAATAACAGCGTAAGCACATGAATTATAAGTAAATGTTAGTTCGGCGTTATTGTGCAATCTTAAACAAAACAACCGCACACCGTTTATCGAAGGAAGCCTGATAAAAAGACAGGATAGTATACTGTAAAGAGGACCACCAAAACGAAGAGAAGCATGCAGCGTTAGCACAGTGCTGCACTGAGCAGCGGCACGCGCGAGGTAAGGTACAAAAAAGTTGGCTGAAATCAATGTTAAAGTGTCCCCAACGTAGAAGGCGCTGCACCAGATCCCATCCAATTATTTTGGGCGGCAGAAGCACATAACGGACTGGCAGCACCATGCGACGCCCAGTGAGTACTTAACCAACCAGTTAGTTTGGATCAGCAATTTAGTAGTGAAGAAAAGGAAAAGGCGAAGGAGGGGCGTTGCAGCAGAAGATTCAGTACAAGAACAACCGGTCAGGCGGGATTTCCGCTTCAGCAGGCGCGCTCTTTGTGCTGCTTGGCCATGAGAGCGCTGAGGTCTTGGCGCAGACGCTGCACTTGCAGTTCCTGCTCCTCGATCAGCTGCGGAGTGACCTTCATGGCCTAACGACGACAATAACGAATCTTATCATTTTACTTCCACTTGTAAGTGAACTACACCTGTAAGTGTACTGATGGTTATATAAACTGCTCCAAAAATGTAACGCAAAAATGTAACGAACAAACGAAGTCGTCATCGGCGCCTGCCGTTTGCAAACATGCAGCAGATGCACACTCAGCAAAAGGAAATATTTCTGAGTGATCAGTCAGTTAATGAATGCCTTACCACGGTCAAAGGCTGGTAGGGATTGACGTGGACGTCGGGATGGGAGCGCATCTTTTCCGCGGGCGCTGACTGGCCCAAGACGCTGCAGTTGTCGGAGCCCATGTAGCCCTGGTTGCTGGCGTTGTAGATGGCCGCCGCCAAGCTGGCGATAGCAGTCGAGTCGCGGATGATGCTGGTCGCCGCTGCAAACCAAACAAAACAATCAGTGAGCGGCTCTCTTCGAATAATATCTCTTTCAGTCCAAAACACATAGAAATTCCATGGGCTGATTATTGCGTGCACCTGTCTCTCAACAATACGGTTTTCACTTTCACGGATTCGCAGAAAATCTGAATAAGAAGCTGCGGTACAGTGGCACATTTAGCACGACCAGGAGTAAAGTTCTTGCGAGCCTTAAAAATGTAGCAATAACGGTGGCCTCAAACCTCACACGTTCCGAAACAACAGGTGCATTGCAAGTTACAACACACACCTTTAAAACCTTTAGGCAGCTGCTGCGTCCCCTTCAGATCCAGATCCATGTCACTGGCTTCGTAGTCCTCCAGGCGTTTCGCCCAGAACACCTGCCAACACCAGCCAAAATTAAATGAGGGTCACTTCACTTCCGCCAGTCAGGCCATCCAGTTCAACAACGTAATTCTATCTGTCAAATTTAATCTGATATCTTCAGAAGGAAGTTAAGTAGTCAATTTTCGCCGAGTTTTCGGTTTATAAAACAGGATAAATGCAAATATAGCGCTTTTGCCTGTGGGATAAAACGGCTATACGCACGCAAAACTGGCTGCTGTACTTCGGCTGCGAACGTATAGTCCATCTGCACTCTGCAGGCCCAGTGTACGCATAGCGAATACCGTGCGGATCAGGCTACTGCTATTACCGTACCTGCAAAGGCTTGGGCTTGAGGTTTCTGGGGAGGTGGGTGGTGATGGCCTTGGGAAGATCTCTAGCCTCACGGCAGACATTCTGTCCGGCGCTTTCCACCACTTTGACCTTCTGGTTATAGATGCAAGTGCACTGGCGCACCGGGGCCTCTAGCAGCTTCTGCAGCGTCGCCAGACTGCTTCCAGCGCCGTTGCGCGTGAGGGGGCCGCTGCGGGCGGCACTGTTGACGTGGGGCTTGCGCATCGCTCCACCGGCCCCGGGAGCACCCCCGGCCGCAGCGGCATTGCCGGAGGTGTAGGGGTAGTTGCTGAGCATCTTGCCCGTCTTGAAGTCGAGATTGGAGAGATCCAGGCGCGTGCCGAAGAAGCGCGCCAGGTCGGCTTTGGAGCGGAACTTGGTGCCGTCGGGCGCGTAGTAGTAGACCAGTTTCTGGCCCGGATTGACCACGCCCGCCCCCGAGCGGACCATCTCTTCGCGGTACCAGCCCTTGGGGAAGCCAGGGGCTTCCGAACGCTGCTTGACATACGTCACACCGCGCTCTGTCTTCCCGCAGGTCTCATCCGCGGGATCGGCCGCGAACAGCTGCCGCACAGCCTTGTCCATATTTGATCAAGAGCGGGAGACGTGGTTCGGTGAACGACGAGAGGGCTACAACCAGACAGACGAAAACAACAGTTATGGGGTGGCAGGGGTGCGAACGCTGTGATCGACGTCCAGGTGAAGGGAAATAAAATGGTAGATCCCGAAGCTGCAAAAACTATCAGATCATGGATCAGGTGGTACGATATTCCAATGACTGTGGCCGATATTATGATAATATCTCGCAACAGCCACGCCAGTTAGGCTCAATCTTCTTACACTCAGGCGCAAATCAGTTCACTGCCCACAAATGTATGCTTATTCCGAACCCTGGCTGGCAGACTACGAGATCACGCCACTTGATATTTTGATACAAGGAAAGTCGGCAGCGCGGTGGCTTCCCCTCGGCAGAGACTTATTGATAAGTCGAAGGCTCAAAGCAAAGTGACAGAGCTCAGATGCAGATCATCAGCCCTTTTCAGCGTCAGCGAACCGATCAAGCTTCTAATACCATCCAATACTAGCTATTTTCCAACAGTGCCCTGCAACGACCAACAAATACAGATACTTAACAGCAAAAGTTTCCAGTCTGCAATGAGGCTCACAATCTTACGCGCGGAATCCTCCTTCACATCCACCCAAGCTAAACACCACTGATACATAGGTAAGTACACTAATAACACTCCAACGGCGAACTCCACTTCTTAAATCCACTATGCCAGCAAAAAATACACTGGTCACTAGATATAAGATAAGTACGAGTACAGACAACACTCGCACATTCTCGGTTCAGAACTTTGGGTTTCGGAATTAAGATACGAATATTAATGAACCAGAATTGAGAATGGGAAAGCAGTGTGCCATTCGACAAGTCATTCGAAGTCTGCCTAGCGTGGAAAACTGAGAAAACCATCGAATCCGTGAATTTTTTCCTGTATTACCTATACTTCTATATGTACCGTAGGTCCGTAGTATGGTCACAGGACGGGTGCCATATTGCTAATTTTTACATTAGATAACCCCCACAGGCATCCAGTCACGTAAATTAGGGCCTTCAATAGAGTATTATAGTTTTAATATATTGATTATGTGGAATAGCCGTGCATTGAAGTGCCTGGCGAAAATCTTTCGATTGGTCGGTTTATTTAGAAATTAAATAAACCGACCAATCGAAAGATTTTCGCCAGGCAGCTTCAATTCGGCACGGCTGGCAGCTTGTTTTCGCAATCGCGTCACTGTAAACAGTCACTGCAGTGGTGTGGTGAGAAAAAAATTTATTTGGCAGTACACAATACAGTAAGTACTTGATTAATTTTTTAAAATACTGTAGTAATCGTAACATTGATGGTTGAATATTTGGTAGAAGTCTTAATCGACGGAACACAGGAGAACATCAATCCGCGACCAGCATGGCGGGAAACGTGAAAATGTGAGTGAAGTGAGCTTTCTATTTTGGCCATTTCAGTACTGTTCAGTCTGTTTTACTGTGCTGTCCTTGTGAGTGGCGTTGGAAGTTTAGTGGAAACAATATAACGTCTAAAAATTATGTCTAAATGGCTGTTACACAGATTGGTGGTGGGCGACGTGGAGGGACGGTTCGCCACGGTCTTCTCCAAGATTAACGCGCTGCACAAGAAGAACGGACCGTTTGAGGTACTGCGTATACTATGCTAAGTCACACTGAAATTGTGACTGAATATCTCCACTGCAACTCTTGTGAGTGCTGTTGTCGTTGTGGAGCTGTGCTGAAAGGGAGTGTGTTGACAGGCGGTCTTCTGCGTGGGCAACTTCTTCGGCGACGACAACAGTGAATGGAGCCAGGTGCAGCAGTGTAGTTTGCAAAGTAAGTGTGACCAGGCAGCGTCAACTGTTGCCGTCCGCTTTGCGAAGACAGCCCTTACCTGTCTTACAGTCAACGTTGCCACCTATATTCTCGGTCCGATTTTCGCTGAGCACGTGCGCTTCTACGCGCAGCAGGAGGCGGGCGATTTGGCGCCCAACCTGACGTATCTCGGTGAGTGAGTCATGCTGCCGGTCGCGACTGGACCGTTGTTTTGATTTGAGCGGTTGAATGGTTTGCGGCAGGACAGCGCGGAATCTTCACCTTCGGTTGCGGCCTGAAGGTGGCCTACCTCAGCGGGAAGGAAGCCGCCGATCCCAGCAGCAGCGACGCCAGTGCCATTTCCTTCAACCAGCAGAGTGTCGAAGAGGTAGCCACCCTGGCCGGCGGCAACACCTGTCCCGGCGTCGATCTCCTCCTCACCTCGCAATGGCCCGCCGGTGTCGAAAAACTGGCGGGGCAAACGGTAAGGAGTGTCCGCTTCTAGCTGTGTTTGCGTGGAGAATGGGAAATTACAGTTTTTAGTAAGTATTTGTTGATGTCGTATAGAGCGTCGACTCGGCACAAATTGGATCGGGCTTAATTGCCCAGCTGGCACAGGCCATCAAGCCGCGCTACCATTTCGCCGGACTGACCGGGGTCTTCTATGAACGCCTGCCTTATCGCAACCACCAAGTGCTCGCCGAGTCCGCCGTTCATGTTACGCGCTTCGTCGGGCTGGCCAGTGCCGCAGCGCCTGCAAATCAGCGGGTACGTTTTCGATAATTTGTTTAAAAAACATGCTGTAAATAAATGCTTTGCATTGCTGCATGGTTACTACCTGCTTACATGTCTATCATAGGTGTGCTGCTGTCTTTTCCTCCAATCAAATAATATTTGCCGTTGAATAATCAGATATGGTTGCAGTTTCTGTACGCCTTCAACGTTATTCCAATGGCGAAGATCTCCATGGCCGAGTTGCGGCGGCAACCGGAACAGAGCACTCCCTGTCCGTACGAGCGGAAGGTGTTGGCCACTAAGAAGGAGAAAATGGAAGACGTGGTCAGTCGGCAGTACTTCTACGACGTGCTTTCTGGTCCGGCTCATGGAGGCAAGAGGAAGCATGACGCCGGCGACCGGTTTGGGGGAGGCAAGCGCGAGCGCCGCCAACACGATCAACGTAAGCGCATCTGCCTGGTAGTATCGCTTATTAATGTTATGCTACAGTAGAAGTTTTGTATTATAGAGGAAGAGGAGTCTTCATGTTGGTTTTGTCTCAGTTCGCCACAGGTGGAGAAACATCTGGTTGTCAGTGTCGGTCTACACGTGAGCATTGTGCTTGCTTCCTTAGCTTTAAAACTGTTAAAATGCTTTCTGTCACGGTAGACGTATGTGGCTTTGGCAAAAGGCGGGCTCAACGCCGAGCACGTTCTCATTTTGCCCATCACCCACCTCCGCTCCACGCCGGAGCTGGATGACGACGCGGTGGACGAGTTGGAGCGCTACAAAAAGGCCCTCGTGCGCTTCTTTGCGCAGCAGAACAAGTCCACCGTCTTCTTCGAGCGCAACTATAAGTCGAAGCACATGCAGCTGCAAGTGGTAGCCGTGCCCAGGCGGGAGCCCGAGAAGATCAAGGAGCTCTTCCTGCAGCGGGCCGAAGAGAACCAGCTGAAGCTGACGGAGATTCCCTCCCGCTCCGACCTCAGACAGGTGATGCAAGAATGACAGAAATTTTTCTGTTTTTGTCCAGAACAGCTCTGCATATCGAGAATCGCTGTGTTACTGGTGTGGCCACTGCAACGATATGCCGTGTGTTGTTCGCCTGTACCACGTCCAAAAAATATTAGTTTAATATGATTCTGTATGTTAGAGTATGTTGATTGCAGATCATGAAGCCGGGCCAGACGTTCTTCTTCGCTGAGTTTGACGATGGCAGCAAGCTGCTGTACAAGATTGATAAGAAGGGCTTTCCCTTGCAGTTTGGCCGGTGAGTATCATTTTTCCCTCAGCAGCATTACGTGAACAGTGGCGACTGGCTCTGCATCTGTGGTGCGTTACTGAAATACAGTGTACTGCAAAAGTGACATGTGTTGGTTAGGGATGTGTTAGCCGGTCGGGCGATATTAAACGTCCCGGAGCGGCTGGAGTGGCGCGAGTGCCAGATCAGCAGGACGGAAGAAGAAGCCAACGCTGCTGCTTTCAAGTCGGCTTTCCGGCCCTACGATTTTAATTTCGAATAGCCCAGCCGGGAAGAAGCACAGTGGATCATCGATCTCTGTAAGAGTGGGATCCCACCGATGCCTTCGTCTTGCGGCGGCTGAGACCAGATTCTCTTAATTAACTGGCCTCCGATTGCTGCTCAAACGTCAGTCGAATCCAAGAAGACCAGAAGCAGCAGTACTTGTTGGTTACGGTGATCTTGATTTTCTTTCCGACCGCTATAACCAGTTAAGATGAATTTTTAAAAAAAGAAAGTCTCTTAACGCCGGGACGCTTTAAAACTATGGGCAGTTATTGCTTCGGTTTTGTATTACCTCAAATCTGTATCAGTGTGACTCATTTCTGTTCATAGTTGTAACACTGCAAAGCACCGGCTGCTTTTCATTATTGCCGTTCTTCTGTCCGGATTCATTTGTACATAAACAGTGATGATAAGCTGATAACCATGAGTTAGTAGTGAAGAAGTTTATCATACCACTAGAAGTGTAACACCGCAACAGCTATGGCAACACCTGTACAAAACTTTCTTTTGAAGAGTGAATTACGCGGTTGCAACGTTCTACGCTGGCCGCAGCCCATCCAATCGGAATCGATACAGCTGTATAGATATTCATTTACACTATCACTTTAATACGTACTTAGTATTGTAAAGATTGTGGGACTACTGTAATGCTCAAGACGTTATCGGTTATGCAGCACAAGGATACTAACCGATAGACATGCATTGCCATTATGCACGCATAGTCGGCATAGATGGAACTTTATGGTTAGTTCGGCCTTATCGTCGTTGATAGCGTATTGTGCAATAAAAATAGCAGCAATTGTGCTATATTAGTTAGGCTCAAAATTCAGTCATGAAGATTTCAGCGAAGGAAATCTGTGACACACGCTTAAAAAAATCGAACTTTGAACCTTAACAAACATCAAATAACTGCACGGCAATGATGCATCACATATCTGCATCGAGCGGGCAATTTTGGGAGCGCAAAAACATGCGATATTTTGCTTTACGGTGTGCTTTCTTTCTAGTCTGCAACTTTCTTTGCCGTTTGCACCTTACTGCTGCCTATATATTGCCTATCGAATTCAGTGCTTCAAATTAATTAAAAAAGATACTGTAATTAACGATTAATTTAAAACAGTTAATTAACGGTCGAGTTGCAAGTTAATAAACGCCAGCCGGTCAGCGAATTGATCAATACTCTGCACGCAATTTATCCGCAAAATTTTTAATTCTAATGAACCCGTAATTAATTAATTATTTTAATTAGACATTGTAACACGTCGTGGTAACTTATAAGTTCTGTTAGAGACTTATGCGCCCTACGCGCACTTTCTGGTTTACGCTACCAGAATGTGTTTGGATGAGCAATTAACACTAATTATAATGTTATTAATTAGTTATTACGATTCTGCACGTAGCAGTGTCGATGATGCCCGATAGGCGTTAGCATTATTTATTAATGGATAATTATTGAAGTGTACAGTTACGGTATATCGTAGTGAAATGTAAGCATTAAAATGTGTGCATATGAGTTTGTATGAGAAATATCCAAATTGGCGACTTTTACGCTCGAATATGCTACTCTCGAGTAGCTTTTTCTAGAGCAACATTTACGAATATTTGGGGCGTGGATAGAAACGTGCAAAAGCCACATCATCGCAATATGGACCAGTTATGAGCGCTTATCTTATCTCGTGCGTTACTCAGCTTTTGCAGAAATCTCACAATTGCCAGGATTTACTAAATTTTCAGCCTATTTTGAACCGGACTATTGAAATAGCAGCAATTTCCCGAAAGCGACAGCAAAATTAATATTTTTGTAAGATCTGGCACCAACCAATGCTGGTGGAAGTTCTGTAAAAGCTACGAAATCTGTCACGCGAGGCGGCCAGCTTATCGCTTTCACAGCGACGCGACAGCCAGTCACTGCGCAGAATGGGCGTGTCTGCGCTGTGGTCAAAGCAGCCGCCGCGCCGACCCAACAGTGTCTGTCGCCAGCACTATTGATAAAAAGGCGCTGACGTACGTACGTGTGCACAATGCCAATGCTGAATGAGTGGAGAATACAGAGAGAGCGCCGACCAGAACGATGTGGTCAGATAGAGAGACAGAGACAAACCGATCAGCAGCCCACTGGCAAAACGCAATGCATACCAGTGTGGCTAAATCTAATCGCTAATCAGTACACGGTATTCAGTGGCACAGTTTCAAAGCAGCTGCACTGCATCGAAGTTGATTGAGCACAGTTATCGGTTGCGGGTGTTGTTGGGGTTTCTTTCTGTTTATTTGCTAATATTATCATGTTTTTGTTGCACATTGAGAATGAGTGAAAAAGGGAACGGACAGCGCAGTGCCACGGAGGAGGAACTGTGCTTGAAACTGGAGCAGAGTGTTCTGGATGCGGAAGCGCCTGATCGTGAGGACGGCGAAGAAGAGGAGTGTGTGTCGCCAGTCAGCGAGTTGGAGTGCGATGAGGCTGGAGGGGAAAGCATGGCTGACGTGCAACTGGCCAGCAGCAGCAGCAACGCTCAGGCTGTCTTGCGCCAGCAGTGTCGGCGCTGGACGGCGGCGCTGAAGAACGTCCTGGACGACGACGCGGGACGACGGCTCTTCCACCACTACCTGTACACGCAGGCCGCCACAGGTACGCCACAGTCTGCAAGTGATCTCACAAGTCGGCTTGTGTGTGCAGTGTGCTGGCGCCGACCATCATTGGCGGCTGGCTTTGCTATTATGATCTCATTTGGCAACGAATGCATGAATCTTTTGCGGTGCCGCCGTAAAGTTTTCATCAGTTCGATCAGTGCTTTAGTAATAAGCATCTGCATCTCCCTTAAATCACCGTTCATTATCATTGCATATACTTGCTTTGCATGTACATTGTTTTTTCTAAATTATTATTAACGGGATAATGCCAATGTGCATGTACTGATCATAATTATTAATCTCATGCATTTGAATGACTGCAACTAGCACTGTAATGGGACGCGATTTGAGATATTTTGCTATTTTAAACTGCATGATAATGTGGTATACGGCTGTTGTGATTGAATGGGTGCGTATTGAATGAACGTCTGGAGTGAATGCTCATTGTGTGCAGGTGATGCCGCGGCCGTGCGGGAGCAGGCGGCCTGGTTGTTCTTCCTGGCCTGTGCCCAGTTAAAGGCCGAAACCGACCCCTCCGAGCAGCAGCGCCGTGCTCGCGCCATCTTCGAGCGTTTTGTGCGTGGCCCGCCGACGTCGGAGACGGTCAGTCTGCTGCACCCCACCGAGACGGAACTGCTGCGCCGCTTCCACGATCCCGACCGCGATGTGGACGACGTGCGGCGCGTCTTCGAGGCGGCACAGCGCGAGTGCAGAAGTCTGCTGGAGTGGAGCTGCTTCCCCGCTTTCAGGCAGTCCGCCTTCCTCCGCAATTGGATGCTGCAGCGTGTGAGCATCCATTTGATCCTGGATGTTGTCAGTAAAGGGTAACGATGTGGTGTTTTCATCTTGCAGGGTGTGCGTCCGGAGGAGATCTTGCCAACGGGCACGGTTGCGGCGGATACGTCACCAACCAGCGATTATGTCGTGCAGGGAGCCAGTGGTCGACGATCGCAGGCAAGTGCGCCAGCTGCCGGTAGCGCCCCTGCTAGGTGAGGCTACTCGTTCGTATTGCGTTAAGAATCTCGGGATGATACATTTGGCTGATTGTGATTGCTTGCAGTCAGTTGGAGCAGGGACGCAGGCGCCCACCAAGAGAACTCAGCGGTTACGCAATAACGATGATGGGTGATGACGGGATGACGCCGCGGGAGCGGCTGCGACCGGACGAGCTCTACCGCGACATGCGCGATGTGCCCCCGCCCCGACCGTCGGTACGGCGTTGTTGTTGAAGCATTAATGCATTGTCTGGTAGGTGCTACGTTGCTACAGGTACGGATGCCTGGCAGCGCCGCCCCTCCCGTTCCACCCCGCGCCCCGGATCCCCAGAGAAAGGCGGCCGCGCTGCAGCAACTTGAAAGTGTGAAACAGCGCTGTCTGCCATACTTACAGCGCCACCACTCTCAGGACTCCCATGACGTCCTCCTGGCCCATGCTGACCGTACCGGCTCACCACCGGAGGGCGCCGGCAACGATGCGCAGTGGAATGCCAGTTCTCCAGCAGCTCAGCGGACGGAGACCAGCCGCCCTGGGCCCAATCAGCGCTCTGCGTGGATGGCCAGCGTAAGTGCCCAGATGCAACAGCGCTCACAGCCCTGCACCACCGACTCCGGCCTGGGACGTAGCTCTGCCAGCGAGGCTTCTCGCGTACCGCCCACGCTGGGGCAACAGCGGCCAGTGCGCAGGGAGCAGCCTGTTAATCCGCGTCCTAACTATCCGTTTGTCGGTAAGTACTTAGTAAAGCGTCGATTAGTCTGGCCATATTGATACAGTAGCTATATTTTATTATGCAGGCGGCACAGCAGCAGCAGGAGTGCCGCGGGACGAGGTGTCGGTGATGTGGAAGCGCGACATGAACGGCGAGTGGTTCTCCACTAAGTATACGCGGCCGGTGATGGGTGGGCCCAACTGGCATCGAGAGATCCGCTTCGGCGACATCCGGCCGCTTCTGCCTGTAAAATTCCTGCAGGATCCCGCCGCCAAGTATGACGAGCGAGTAAATGTCAGAAACCGTTCAGACTAATCGGTGTATGTTGTTTACAGGTTCTACTGCAAGTCGTGTGGTCCTCGCGGCAACGAAAAGGTGTGGGAAGAGATGCTAGATTTAATGACGCCGGTGCCGCTGTTCCAGGGTCAAATCCTCCTCGTTATCATGTGAATGCAGGGTATAACCGGCTTACACCCGATGCAGCTCCACGTGGATGCCATCCTCTTTGGTGTCAGTCCAGTGCCACAAGCTTTTACATTGGCTGTGATGAGCGTCATGTCCTTACGTGTGCGCTGAAGTGCACCGTCGATATTCCAGAATTATATCATAATATTGTTTTCACCTTTTCTGCTCGTCTGTGTTCACAGTAATTTTTGTCATGGAGCCTCTGCTAACTGACTGATCTGTATGGTCAGCTTATGTGATGGTGTGCTTCTTCCTTGCAATTGTTGTAGACCTCTGAATCCTGGGACCACTTTCTGTACAGTTTTTACACAGATTTTGACTACATCGCTATGTAGCGAACGTGAAATTTTGTATGAGAGCATTTATTTCTGGAAGATGAATGATTTACAAAATAAACAATATGTATGCTAAATCTAGGTACGTATGCTAGTACTGTATACGTATTGCTGGTTATGGCGTCTTGTATGTATGACTAACTGGTACTTACTGAGTTACTGGCAGGCTGAAACCTGAAATCTATTTCTTCACAAAACCATTTCGGTTGTGAATACAAATAACTGTTTAACTTCATCGGCCGTGAACAAGTTTTAATGGAGTTTATAATGTAAGTGCCCGTTGGACAGCGTTATATCTATATGCAATAAATTGTTGAAGAGGCAAAGATCCATGTGATGTCCACTGAGAACTCGCTAGCAACAGTTTCCAGTGATTATATTCAGCTAAGTTTTGTACAGAGTAAGTGCAACATTAGGCATTTTTATTTGAGAGTTTTCCACAAACGCGAAGCAAGCACGCATTCTGCAGCCGCGTCAACCGGTTACATCAAATTTGGAATGTCGCCAATTTCGACTACAATTACGTGGAAAGCAGGTTCAAACTCAAAAAACAAAAACAACATCAAACCAGTAAAAACAAAAAAAAACTAGATCTAAAAGCAGTTGAAAGATAAAAGAAACCAAGAGGGGCAAGAAGCTGCAGAAGACTATGCTAATGGAAGCCCAAATCACTGGCCAGCCGATGGGTCCATCGATCAATCGCTGAAGTTTAGCTGCCTCGGCACCAGCTGTGAGATTAACGTTCTCAATTGCAAGAAGAGAACTCATGCGAGCGCGTGGCGATGCGGCTGACCGCGTGCCACTGCCGCTAGCCCGACCACGTCCAACTCCTCATCCTGCAGCAGCAGGCCGGCCTTCTCCGTGTCACTATTGCCCGGCCGGCCGCCGCCCCCACCGCGGAAGACATGCGACTCGTAGATGGGATTGGCAAAAGCCGCCTTGTCGGGATGCAACACGTCCTGCTCGTCCAGGATGTCATCGCCGTCTTTGAGATACATGGGATTACTAATCGCTGCCTGCATGCCGCCTCCACCACCCTCGGGCATATCCTCCATGAGAATGTGCCGGAAGGCCTTGGCCTGCTGTCGACGGCGCCAACCTACGCACAATCCGACCGCCAACAACAGAAGCAGCACCACAATCATCACGGGGTAAACGATCACCGCCGCCGAGCCTTCTTCGCCCTTCGCGGCTTCCTCAGCGGCGTCCACGTCCGACAGGGTCGACTGACACTGTGCGCCCATGAAGGCGCTTGGGCATCTACAGCGATGCACTCATACTACACCCAGAAATTCTCTGAACTGCAACAGAACGAACAGCTTACAAGCAAGTGGGATCATCGGACTCCGCTCCCGGCAGACATGTACCGCCGTTCTCGCAATAGTCCACGCATTTCTCATGAGTCTCGCAGCGCTCACCCAGCCAGCCCACCGGACAACTGCAATACTCATACTTCGAAGGTTTTTTCATGGCGAAATACCCAAAAAGTTTCTTACTCGCAGCGGAAATTGGTCACCTCGTCCTTAACACATTTTGCTCCGTTTAGACACTGCAGTGCGTAGCAGTTCAACGCTTTTTCGCACAGTGTCCCTGCAAGCGTGCCCGAATGTAATTCCACAAACAACCAGTTAAGAACGCGTAGGACATCCTGACAAAAGGCGCGAAGAACAAAAACCAACCTACCACTGAATCCAGGAGGGCAAATGCATTTGTTGACCTGTCGGCCGTCTACCTTGACCAGGGGCCCGCAGGTGGCGTTATGCCGGCACGCGCAATTTTCGTCCACTTCGCAGCGCAGACCACTGCGCCCCGGAGGGCAGTTGCAGCGTGGTGGGACACCATGAATGCAATTTCCGCTCGCGCAATACGCCTGGCACAGATCCTTCTGACAGCGCTGTCCCGTGAAACCGATGCTGCAATTACACCGCGGTTTGCCGCCGGTGATGTGGCACGTGCCATCGTTCTCACACTTGAACGACTGGCACTCTTCGCAGCGATCCCCAGTGAATCTGCTGACAAAAGGAATGATTATCACTGAGAATCGTCTACCGATATGGAATCAAAAGGCTAAACGCACTCTTCCAGGCATCGGCATTTTTCCGCGCCGCTGGTGCTGTCTACATAACAGATACCGCCGTTCAAACAGCGTCCGCAGGGGCCCTCGCCCCATTCGCATTGATCTCCCGTGAACCCTAAATCACACTGGCAATAGGCGCGTCCGTCTTCGCCTTTGAAACAGCGACCACCGTTTTTGCACAGCTTGTCACACTGGTCCACCGGCTTCTCGCACTGCTGGCCGCTCCACCCGCTAAGACATCTGTGAATGCAGAACAAATTAATTTCCATTCCAGAAAGGAACACTGTGATGCACTGACTGGCAGTGGATCTGGCTGTCCGGACCGAGGCTGCAGGTGCCATTGTTCTTGCAGTGTGTCGAGCAAAGGTTGCTCTGACAGCGCTCTCCCGCGAAGGGCATCTTACAGCGGCAGCGTGGGACGGTGGTATTGCCCTGTTCGTCGAAGTAGCAGGCGCCGTTGTTGTAGCAGTATGTGGCGCACTTGCTCACGGCACACGTCGGTCCAGAATACTCAGCGCTGCATCTGCATTACGCAAAAACAAATAATAATCCATAAAACATTTAAAAAATGCAACAAAGAGACTAGAAAAGGAAACTCGTTCGCTTACCGACAAACAAATCCATTACCAGATAACAACTGCAGACATTTGCCGCCGTTCTGACAGGGCGGAATGCAGTTGCCGGGCGTGGCTTCACATCGTCTATTCTGTTCATTGAAGATGGAGTAACCCGGACAGACGCACTTATATCCAGCTGGCGGCTCAGGCACGCAGACGCGCTGCCCTTCGCAGGGATTGGATTGGCAAAGCGCCGGCACTAATCAGAGTCAAACACTCAGCTGCTGCAAAAAGGCCGCCAGAAAGCACGACTTACACTGGCGATTTTGTTTGTGCTCCTGCACAATGAGCAATCGCGCTGGCCTCCGCAATCCCTTGGCTAGCAGAGTGGCATTGCCGGCACCCCACTTGTTAATCTTGAAGACGCTATGACTGGAGTACGTCGATACGTACAGTTCATCCTCGAAGACGTCGATGCCATAGGGCTTCTCTTTTTCTGCTCACAGAAACCACATCAGTGATCACAACAGTCCCGTCCATCAAAAGTTTAAAAAAATCTTACCAAAGAGGGAGTGCTTGATAGAGCGCCGGTCCCTTCCCTCCAACGTGATGGTCTCAACCGATCCCGTTTTCGGATCGGCCCAGTACAGACGCCGGTTGGCGTAATCAATGGCCATTCCCGTTGGGTAACGCAGGCTCGCTTGCGCCAACACGCGCCGATCACTACCGTCGTAGCGCGCGCGTTCGATGCGCGGTCGCCCGGAGACGTCGCTCCAGAAGACGTAACCGGATTCCGGATCTACCACCAGATTGTACGGGTCCGACAATTCACTGGACACCACCGGACTGCGCAGAGATCCGTTCAAGAGAGCCGTCTCGATGTGCTTACTGTGCCCATCAACCCAGAAGAGCCGCTTGTTGACCCAATCCACAGCCACTCCGCGTGGCTCCACAACGTTCGATACCTATGAACAAAAATTAATCTAAATATCCAGATGGTTATCTTAAGCCTCCAGCAATGCAAAGTGCAAAGGACAAAATAACATGCCAAGATCATCGGTTTGCTGTGGTCAAAATCGGCTCGTTCTTTCCTTCGTTTGGGCACCGTCTGCCGGAAGATGCCATGATTGTCGCGGCTGCTCCAGTAGAGCACCGCGTCATTTCCCGACAAGATCTCCACATCCATAAAGGTCATCCGCTCCTCCTTAAAGGCCATTAGCGGCCGATAGTCCGCGCGTCGGTGATACGGATCCAGCCGGGTCAGTTGGCTGTGCTCGGACACCAGCAGATAGGCAGCGGCTCCCTCGGCGACACAAGTCTTATTTCTGCCGTGCATCAGCATTCGATATCCGCCATCGCAAATACAGTTGAAGCTGTCACCGTTATTGTCCCAAGCACAGCGCTGCGAGCACAGCCCGTGGCGATCACAGGGATTTTCTTGATCAGGGCACGCCTCCTCGTCGCTGCCGTCACCACAATTATCAACCCCGTCGCACAATACCTTCTCTGACTGCAGACAGCGTCCATTAGCACAGCGATACCGACACTGATGACCCGGGCAATACAACTCATCCGATCCATCAGCACAGTCTTTTCGGCCGTCGCACTGCTGCCACGGCAGAATGCACAATCCACTGGCGCAGCGAAACCGATCGGCGAAGCAGGGGAAACGCGCACACAGCCCAGGTTCCTCGTCGCTACCGTCGCCGCAGTCGTTATCGCCGTCACACAACCACGTTTTGGTAATGCAGCGTTTGTTTTTGCAGGTGTGCTCATCGGGTGCACACGTGTAGGCACAGTTGTTCTCATCAGAAGCGTCTGGACAATCGATCACCCCGTCGCACTTCCACTTGGCTTGCACGCAGCCACTGCCATCGCGGCACGCTGTATAGCCTTCGGCGCAGGGCGATGTGCAGTTCAGCTCATCGCTGCCATCCTGACAGTCCGCCTCACCATCACACTGGAACTTGGCATCAATACAATGTCCGTCGCAAGCCACTTCGTTGGAGCCGCAGTTCATCTCCGGCTCGTAGCATTGCGCTTCGTCTGAGTTGTCGCCGCAGTCGTCCTCGTCGTCGCAGACCCATTTGCGCGAAATACAGCGGCTGTTGTTGCAGGTAAAGAAGGAAGTGGTATCGCAGTTCCCGGGCAGAAGACAGGCGTGCGGCCACTCATCAGACCCGTCCGAACAGTCATTGATGCCGTCGCAGCGGCGCGCCTCTTCGATACACTGTCGGTTGGCACAGCGGAAACTGTCGTTGCGTCCACAGGGCAGCATCGTACAGTTGATAGCCGGCATTTCGTCACTGCTGTCCGTGCAGTCGCCCACTCCGTCACATACCTTTTCGGAACCAATACACTGTCCGGTGCCGCACTGGAAGCGCAGCGGCGGCATGCAGTGCTTAGGCACGAGGCTTCCGCTGATGTTCCTAGTGCAGTTCGCTTCATCTTCGCCTAGTCTGCAATCCGGACGACCGTCGCAGCGCATGGACATGGGAATGCAATGGTTAGACTGTGCGCACTTGAACTGGCTAGACAAGCAGCGATAAGAAGGACAATCGACCACCGAGCCGTCCTCGTCGCTTCCGTCAGCGCACTTAAAACGTTACAACCAACACATATGTCAGTTTAAACAAATAATTTCTAACAGACTGCGCACCTGTTTTATGCCGTCACATATTGCCGTCGGATGTAGACAGCCTTTGCCGTCCACACACTGAAATTCGCCGGGTGTGCAGCCAAATCGATCTCCACAGTTGAACCCGTTCACTTGCTCGTCGCTTCCATCTGCAAGAATATGATATAGCAAGTTTGGACAGTAGTATTTTACGGCGTCCCGTAACAAACAATGCGTACGGCTGCAAATGCCTTAAATTAAGCATACCTCCGCAGTCGTCTTGGCCGTCACACACCCACCATTTCGGAATGCATTTAAAGGTTTGGAGACATACAAACTGCGCCTACAGCGATTAGAAAATACCTTTAGCATCCATCATCTGTTAGCGGTGCTTTTAAGCAACGACACACTCAAACGGCGCAACGTACCTGTGAACAATTGGCCGCGCACGTTTTCATATCCCGCTGCAGTGCAAAGCTCTCAGGACAGGCACAAACCTTACCAACCGGTCTCTGGCTGCTATTGGTAGGTTTAAGCAGGCACAGATTGCTGCAGCCGCCGCCTTTGGCGCAGGGATTTGGGCCGAATGCCAGTGCAGCCTGTCGGAAGGGGTGGAACACCTGCAGATCCATGGGACGATGCGAGGACGCTGACACTAGCACAGTCATATTGCGGCCGGTGAACTTGTGCGCCCGATGGATCTGTTTACTCTCCCAGTCAGTCCAGTACAGGAAATCCTCAAAGACACTCATCGCGAAGACGTGACCCAGTCGCTCCGTCGGCGTCTGGCTCTGCGAGTTACTACGAATGCGACGGCGGTTCTGCAGGTTCAAATCAGCCATTGCGATATAATCCAGATGCGCGTCTGCCCAGAAGAGTGTGTTGGTAACATAGTCGATGGTTAATGCATTAGGCCAGAACAGCTCCGTACGGTCCAAAATGAGCCGAAAGGGCGGCGATCCGCCATCCATGGCCATTTTTCCAATATGGGCGTTCGTTCCCCAGTCTACAAAAGAAGTCTTCTTTCAAATCATATATCAGCAAACGCCCCCACAATCGCTGCGACGTACCTGACCAGTAAAGGTAACCATGGTGCGGATCAACAACAAGCGCCCGGGGCTCGTGCAGGCCCTCCTTAAGCAGAATCTTTCGCCAGCCGCCGTCAAAGTTGGATACTTCAATGGTGTCACTACCCTTGTCGCACCAGTACAGGTTCTTCCCGATCCAGTCGACCGCCATTCCGTCGGGGTTGGACAACGAGGAAGAGTGCAGAACCTTCACCTCGGGAAGGTGCGAAGCGTTGTGCTGATTAAGGCACAGTCGATTGATGGTGCTGCCGGTTGGCAGGACATCCGACCAGAAGACACACTGACTGTCCCAGTCAAAATCCACAGCCACCGCACTGGACAGGTTGCCGGCCAGCAGTCGCCCGCCTACCTGCGCAGTATCGCCCCGCAGTAACACAGTACGTACAGAATGGCGCACGGTATACAGCATGTTGGGCGTCACATCGGAGCTGGCCTTACACAGACGGCCGGAGTCGATGGCGGTGTAGTTGTGAGCGCAGACACAGCGATAGCTGCCGATGGTGTTGTAGCAGAAGTGGCTACATGGGAAGCGCAGGCACTCGTTCTCATCCACGCATTGTCCGCTGCGGTTGCTCATCACGTAGCCCTGCGAGCAGTTACACCCGTATCCGATCCGCTTTTCTATGCACACGCCGTGCGGCCCGCAAGGGTTGGACTGACAATCGTCCTGGTCGCATCCCACTTCATCGCTCAGGTCCTGTCACAGCGCACAAATACAGTCAGCCAATAATGATACTTCCGCCTTTTTAATCCCAATACTTACCCCGCAGTCGTCAGCGTTGTCGCATACTAGAGATTCGTTCAAGCACTTTGCGTTATTGCAGCGAAATTCCGCAGGTGCGCACTGCGTGCTGTCGGCATCCGTTGTTACCGCACTGGTGTTCGCAATGCGCCGCACATCACACATTTCCTTAATTTCATCTGTAGAATCTCCGCAGTCATTCTGCAAAGCAACAATGTGGACAGCTTCAGTCAAGTTTGGAAGCTACGTTTAACAATGCTAAATCAAGGTCTTTTACCAGGCCATCACAAATAAATTCCCCTGGAATGCAGCGATTGTTTCTGCAGCGGAATTCGTTCATTGCGCACCTCGACATGCCTTCTGCAAGTAGCATTTAATTTTTCATTTTGCAAAATTGTACAAGAGTTACCAGCCGGCTTACCGCATCCTTCTGTCTCATCGGATGTATCATTTTTGCCGCAGTCACTGTCACCATCGCATCTGTGCAGGAAATCAAAAATTAACCAGTCTCTGTCAGCAGCGACACCGGCAGTATTCATGGAACGCATACCTCCAGTCTGCCGGAATACAAAGGCCGGATGTTAGGCAGCGAAACTCACTGTCGGAACAGTTGGTCTTCTGGCACACCTCGACTGCTTCGTCACTCCCACCTGCGATGGAATCAGCACTTATATATTGTTTAAATACTCCGATTATGCCTTGACATTTAAAATGCACTTAAAGCAACCGCAAACAACTGCAATGAAACACGATGTCATTAAAAAAGCGCCATTACTATTCGCCTGCAACCGGCATCGCCTTCACGGCTCACATCGTGCCAGTATCGGTAAGGGCGATGTGGAAACGTGTACGTCACTGTGCTAAAGAGCTTGGCCTTGCTTTTCATCACGGACAGATGTGTCCCATCCCGTGATATGCGCCGATCTTCTTGACCGGATACCGTAATTCTCACTCACCAGGACATTCCGGCACACCGTCGCACTTCCAGACGGAAGGTATGCAGGATCCATCGGAACACTGGAAGGAGTTGGGTGGACACTGGCTGCTGCAATTGAGCTCATCCGATTTATCGTGACAGTCGGGCTCGCCATCACAGCGCCAGCCCGGCGGAATGCAACCTTGTCCGGTACTGCAGCGGAACCAGTCGTTGCTGCAGACCATCGACGGGGCCGCAGTGATGGCTGTCGTGCAGTTCTGCTCGTCAAAGTTGTCTCCGCAGTCATTGTCACCATCTGTCAGGAACATAACAAACCTTATAACCAAGCAAAAACATCTGCTGCGTTACATACCGCAAAGCCATTCCGGCAAATAGCACATCGACGAGTGCGGGCACGGGAGCATCTGTCGTCCATCCGGGGTGGTTTCGCAGTCTTTACCGGCGCAGCCGATTTCATCGCTGCTGTCCCCACAGTCCTGAAAGCCAAGACAACACCCGTTGGTCAATGATAACAGTTGAATCTTCCGTAGCGAAAAATTAAAAACATCGCACACTGTGATGCTGGCCCAAATCAATGAAGTAATTCGGCTATACAATTACAAACTGACCTGTTCTCCGTCGCAATGGTACTCGTTTTTTATGCATTCTCCGGTTGTCTTGCATTTGAACTCACTTTCATTGCACACTATTTAATGTCAGAAACAAGTCAGCAAGAGCAGCTCAGGATCAATTCTGATCGACAGCCACAAGCGGATGCATTAAAGCCTAAGGTTACCTAACTCGGCACTTCACGCTGCTTCTAAAAGTAATCTTCAGCTTACCGCAATCGCGTTCATCTGATCCATCACCACACTCATCGCGTCGATTACAGCGCAGATTGTCGGGAATGCACCTCCTCGTTGTTTTACAAGCAAAAAATCCAGCAGAAACAGGGCAAACCCGGTATTCTGTCGAACATTTTGCATGCCCTTGAATGATTTTTGCAACAAACCAAAATAAATCTTACTGCAGTAGTCGACGTTTTCATCGGCCCCATCCTGACAATGTCGTCGGCTGTCGCAAGTCAGCAACAGCGGGATGCATTGGCCATTGGATGGGCACTTGAACTGATCCGGTGGGCAACGCATCGGTCCGGCGTCACACGTCCCGTTGGGCAGCAGGGTGGCATTGTTGAAACAGTGACAGACAACGCCGGTGCCGTTCTCTGTGGGCACGCACATGTCTGAGCAGTTGCCGTTGTTCACGAAGCACGGATTCATCCGGCAGTCCTGACTGCTGTTGGCCACAGCTACGATGCCCATCGGCTGCCGTCCTAGGCCTTCGCGAATCTTCACCACGTCCAGACCGGTGTGCTTGTTGGCGCGTACGATGGCCCGCAGAATCCAGTCAGTCCAATAGATGTGCTCGCCAAAGACAGCCAATGCGAACGGATGTCTCACGTTTTCCCATAAAAGCACCTTCATCGGAGATTGCAAACCGTTCACTATTTTGGCACTGTTTACAGGAAAGATGAACGCGATGCAATAACATTTCTGTGCCATCACTGACCTTCCTGTCTCTGCCATCAAAACGGCAGCGTTCAATTTTGTCTAGCAAGGCATCGGCCCAAAACAGGTACTGACTACGATGGTCGATGGTTATGGCATTTGGCGTTTTAATGTCCGTATCAATGATGTCCTCCAGTTGGCGACCATCGAAACCGGCTCTCTGGATGCTCGGTCGATCTTTATTCCAATTTGTCCAGTACAACATTCTACATGACAACAAAAGAGAATCCTTGCGAAAGCGATCAAATGGCCAATTACATCAATTAATTCAATTGTCTAGAACTATAAAAGATGGAAGATTGTAACTTACTCTCTGCAGGCATCCAAAGCCAGATTACGCAGCTTATCCCCAACTGTCAACTGGATAACGCGCTGAGGTGAAGATGAACGGCCAGACCGACCAACCGACATGCGGAAAATGGAGGCATTGTTATAGCTGGTCCAGTATAAATTCGATGTCATGGAATCAAAAGCCAACCCTTCCGCAGAATGGATTCCTAAACAGTTTGCAAAATCATAACTGTCACTTGTCTGACATACGTAAGCTGCTGACTACCGGTAAGAATATATACGAGTCTGAGAAGGTATGCACAAGCAAAACAAATTGCAAAGGCACGAAAATGCCATACAATTTCATACCAGATGCCATAATGCGAAAGTCCGTTCCGTTAAAGAAAACACTGCCGATCTCGCCCCGCTGGATATCACTATAGAAGAGCCGAGAATTGGCAAAATCAAAACCCAAACCGATGACATTGAGCATGAACGATGAGTTGCTGATGGGCGGCAGCGGATCATTCTTGTTCAGCTCGCCGGTCAGCGGGGCACTCTCCACACTCCGGCCACGCGAGTACAGCAGAAAGGACGAATGGACTGCGGAAGAACATCATACTGCAGAAGCCGTCTCTGTCTCATAATGAATTGTTAACTTACTGTCGCAACTCTGTCCGTCCGGCGCTAAAAGTCCGTGAGCACAAGCACACTGGACCCCTGCAGACTTCACGGATGATGGACTCTTCGACTCAGGCAATGTATTCCCGATGAAGAAACACAGCTCTTCACAGCCTCCATTATTAACAGCACACGGATTGCTACCTGCAAAGATAACCAACAATCCAGATCGACGGTTTATATCACGAAGTACAAACCGAATAAACGCGGCAGTATAAACAGTGGATTTGTGCATCCGCTATTAACTGGCCGTTCCAAAATGAAAATCACATCAAGTGTACCTTTTTGACGATCTTTACTGAAAATAACCAGGTCATTGACAGTTGCATTGAGATCTTGACGCACCACGGTTGCCGAGCGTAGATCAGCCTTATCCGCACGGTAAATTACTCCTTTTTGGTTGTTTCTGTAAATTATTGCTCAGTCACTAAGATCGCTATCAGTTCTCCGGCAACCGGCAGGCTGTCGCCTCGGACCGGCTCAACCAGTAAAAGAGTTTCGACGTACTTATCAGTCCAGTACAAATACTGCTGGAAAACAGCTAAGGCAGATGGGCTACCGGGCAGAGATTGTTCAACAGCACTGATCAAACTAATTCGACCGGAGAAGTCCAGGTTTGCCCGTCCTAAAGGAAGACAACTTCCGGGTCCTCTTTTACATTAGTAACATCGTATCGTTCGCACAAAAAAAACTGAATTAACCTACCAATGAGATGTGCTAGGGCGTCGCACCAGTAAATGTGCCCCAGTTCATAATCCACCGTCATGTCCGTGATCCGCCCGGACAACGTCAGACTGAACCGGCCACTTCCGTCCAAGAAAGCCCGCTCGATGCGGGGCCGGGTGGCGGCGTTGTCGCTCCAGAATAAGTAGCTAAACGTGGCCAAGTACAGATATAACCAATCAGGCAACCACCCAGCAGGACAATCAAACACATTCTGACGAACAAGAGCATGCAGGAAGGAGTGTCATGCAGTAAGTAGGTTCATCAACCAAACGCCACAACTGTCAGCAACCGGATCGTTGACGTTCGCATGCAGCACAACATGGTCCTACCCTTTGGCGGGATGAACCGCGATGGCTTTGGGTTGGTCCACTTTGTCGTACACCACGACATATCTGGAGGAGCCGTTTAAGCGGGCTACTTCGATACTTTTTCCTGCCGGATTGGTCCAGTAGATGTTACCTGTGAATGAATACAATTCATCACTGCACTTTACCAAGCGAAAATCAGGGACGTTTCGGTGTTATACCGGCTATCCAGTCCAGCGCAATATCTTCGACGGAAGTGATTCCTTCCTGTAGGATCACTTGCCGGCCCGTCAAATCACGTCGTATGCGGTTTAGCGTCGACAATTTGGGATCAACCCAGTAGATATACGAGTTCTCTTCAAAACAAATTTGACCGGTTAGGATCACCGCAGATGCACTTAACTAGGAGTGCAGCTACAAGGCAGCTCTGCCGAGTAAAAAGTTTTAAGTGAGTGATAGATGTACGAAAACAAACGCACCGGCCTCAAAATCCAACGCAGCAGCCAAAGTGATTCTCGATAAGGGCGGTAGAAGCTTCTCGGTTTGACTGATGTCCAGACTTATGCCATGAATCTGCATTGGAATGGCGCTTGTAGAGTTGAACACATAATTTTCATTGCAGCTTCACACATCCCCGGTAGGTCAACAATACTACTGTAATTTTTATTTGTCAACGTATCGATACCAAACCAAAACACACGCACCTGATTTCCCATTGAAAACAACAAAGTGGAGTTAATGGGCATACACGCTGTTGGCTGACCATCCTGTGAATGAAAGACATAACCGACGGTGCAGTTGCAGGTTCTGCCAGAAACAAATGACGGCAGACACAGTTGGGAGCAGCCACCGTTTCTTTCCGAACAAGCGTTGGACCCTTTAATCAATAATAACAGCTCCTTAGAAAACTATACTCTGTTAAATAAAAACACAGGCAATGCTTACCAGTTTGCACCTGCGGACTGAACATCTTCAAGCTGACGACGGGCAGATTATTGGACCGGATAACGGTGAAGTTCATGTCCGCCAAACGCAGTACCCCCACCGACAACTGCGGATGCCCCAACGCAATCAACAGACTATCGTCGTAATATGCAATCGCTAAGGGATTGCTCAGCTGCACAGCCGACAACGCCTCCACTTGTGGACACCGCCCTCGTGTCGCCTCCGCATGCAATGTCGGCAACCGGCAGAACTGAATCTCTTCCTCCACACGGCTGATCCAGTACAGAAAACCCTGTCGCTTCCCGTATCCAAAGGTCAGACACCGTGGGAAATTGACGCCGCGAGCACCGGCGATCTTGGAGCCAGAAATGCTAGATGCCTCGTCAATGAACACTCGCCGAGCGTCTCCGTTCATAGCTGACAGTTCAATGCGGTGCTTAGCGAACCCGATATCAGCCCAAACCATTGCACTGTGCAAAACACCACAAAACGCATTCAATCAATAAAAACAGAGATCAAAACGGAGCTACCAACCCAGTAACAGAATCGACGGCAACGGATATAGGTGTTTTGATTCCATCTTTTACTAGAGTCTTCCGAAACTCTCCAGAAAGCGTAGACACAACGATTTCGCCCGATGTCGATGCTATACTCAGTTTTCCAGCAGTGTAATCAGCGGAAAATGTGGTATAAATGTTTCGTGAAATCCAGTCAATGGCAATATCAGTCGGACGAGGCGTTCCTGCACAACCAGCCAGTTAGAGAAACAACTTCACGAACAGAACACAGAGAAAATGTCACCAGGTGAGTCAATAATGGTTTCGATAGAAGTTCCGTTGAGAAAGCCGCGTACGACGGTCTTGGCCTTGGTCTCCACCCAATAAACGCTGTCCGTCTGAACGTCGACTTCCATACTGGTGGCATTCTGCACGTTGATCACGGCCGGGATAAAGTTGTGATAGCTAGCATCAAGGGTGACGCCACGAATCTCCGTGCTAGCTGAGAAGACCATGAAGGTCCGAAAATCTGTAGAAACGATTACCATAAAGGCAACACCAACGGCGCTTTCTCTCTGATGGAAAATCTATCAGTTAGCGAGCCCAGCCTGTACTTACGCTGACACTGTGTCGTGCTGCCTTCCACAAATTTGGTCAAATGCGGGCACACACAACGCGCAGTTCCTCCCAGTCCAATTACGCACAAATGGGAGCACCCGCCGTTTTGATTCGCACACGGGTTGCTCACTAAAACGTTCGAATGATGCACTAGAACGAAAGCAGCTGGCTGATATTTACCAGGAGAACTACAACTAACCTTTGGGCTGAAGGGAGGAATGCATTACGTGCAGGTCGAAAGGCTGTGTTGTCACCTGCACAACAGTCTCGATATTTGATCCATTCCACTTATTGGCCTGCCAAAGCATAAGTTCAGATTTTGCGGTAATTAAATCAGAAAGTTATTCAAACGGGCGACTGACTTTGTGGATAGCGTTGGTTCTCCAGTCGGTCCAGAAAACGTGCGAACCATACACAGCCAACGCAAAAGGATGCTGAATAAAATCTCCACCCCGCAGAATTTCGCGGAGATCGTGCCCGTCAATGTCCACGGTATAAATAGCATCCGAACTATGGGCAAAGTGTCTCAGAGACAGCACGAGTCCGCTATACGTACAATGCACGTAGATATTACGCCTACTCACTAGGCGTCAATCCAGTAAACCCGATGCGGCCGCATTTCCAGATCCATAGCCAAGCCGTTTGGCCAGCGGCCTCCCTTTACGCTGCTGACATTGACCAGGACGCTGCGATTTTCCCCAGCCATCGACGCTCGCTCGATTCTGGGAAACTCAGGATCCCAATCACTCCAAAACAGCCACCTACGCAATTAATCCACATCTCATACCGTAAATAACACACAAATAACACACACAAATAACACACAAAAAACAAATAACATACATCTCATTCCGTAAATAACACACAAGTTATGCATACCGCCAGCACATGGTATCACAGCTACAGTGTACCGAGACAGACGTTAGGCCTCACCCTTCTTGTGGATCCAAGGCGATAGCGCGGGGATTGTGCATGCTACCGGCAATGATGGTTCCGCGACGCTGGCCGTTTAATTTCGATACTTCGATCTGGTCCAGAGTGCTTTCCACCTTAGCGAGAAAAATATACAATACTACCGCAGTCCATGTTGCTGATAGCCATTGAGCGTACCCAGTAGAGATTTTTAGCCACATAGTCGACGGCGATACCTTCGGCCGTCGGTATAGAATTTTCCACTACCGTTTGGATATTGAAAACGGCTGCAATTTACGAAATCATTACAGAATATCGACAAAGCCCTACAGCAGTGATGCAGACCTGAATCAACAAGGCTGCCGGAGAAGATCTTGTCGTCAACAACATCCGTCCAGAATATCTGAAGCGGTTTAATTGTTGTTATTGAAGGAAATCCGACTGAACCCTACTTTATTTTCTACCTGCTGGCGATCGCCGTCCCCAGTGTCATAGAGAAAGTCAATAGCGATGGTGTTGCGCAGAGAAGGCACCAGAACCGGCTGGATGTCTGGCTCGCGCAGGTTGAGCATGCGTATCTCGTGTCGGCTGGAGAATATCAGATAGGCGCTGCGGTTGTCTAATAGCAACAGCAGCTGTAAAAAAAATCTCCGAAGTAAAATGTTTGTGCAACATACCAACGCTATCGCATGTGAACTTGTCCTGCGCCAACTTGAACCCGGGGTAGCAATCACACACATAGCCGGTGCCCGTTGCCAGCGAGGCGCACTTCTGACTGCAACGGCCCCACAGCCAGGGATTGGAGCGGCCATCCGTGTCGGGACAGCCTTCCTTTTCTGTCAGTTAAACCATGCGAATTACCAATTTTTATTCGATCAGTCGTTACTACGTCATACTTATGCAAGTGCGACTGTCTTCCGGATCCAAAGCGTAGCCAGCCGGACACAAGCATGTGAGTGTACCGTCGGGCAGCGGCTGGCAAGTGCCATTAATACAGGTGTCGATGTGGGCAGTACACTGTTTGTTATCTACAAAAACACAGGAACCATTCACACATCGAAATCTACTCGTACTGCAAGTATATAATCAGTAAACAACAAATCTCTTACAGCACTGCGGGCCCTCATCACTGTGGTCGTCGCAGTGGAAAGTCCCATCGCAAAACTTGTTCAAAGGCACACATAATCGCTCTTTGCTGCCACAAAGGCGCTCGTCGGGTTGACACTTCAATGCCTTTGTTTCTAAAGTGCAAGAAACAAGTGTTTTTAAATCAAACAAGTACTTCCGGTACGTGGTGTTACCGCAGCCCTTTTCGTCGGAGCCGTCTAAACAATCCACACTTCCGTCGCAGCGCCACTCTTTGAAAATGCAGCGCGAACGATCCTCACATGCAAACTCCTTTTCCTTATCACAGCCTACAACGCAGAATAAGGCACCGATCTATATGCAGTCCATCACTGCCACGCGCAGAACACGTACCGCAGCCAAGCTCATCGCTGCCGTCTTCGCAATCTATGAATGCGTTGCAGATTTTACTTTTATTAATGCACGCTCCATCCCTGCATCGGAAGTCGGTTGCGGCGCACTGGGTGCTCGGACTACCAGAGTCCCCTGTAGAGAGCACAACCACCACATCAAGCATCTTTTCGTCTATACTTACACACTCGCTTACCGCAGCCAATCTCGTCCCGTCCATCGATGCAATCATACACACCATCACATTGCTTAAAACAGAAGAGTTTTCTAATAGATAAACAGATACCGGGGACCTGCAGCTAAACATACCTTCGTTAAAGGAAAACAGGAAGAAGTTTTGGCATTAGCAGGACAGAAGAAGTCCCGGTCTTTGTGGCAAGTGTTGCTGCAGTTGAGCAAGTTTTCGTCGGAAGAGTCGCGGCAATCAGCCTACAACGCACATCGTCCAGTAAATACTGTCATATAACGCTGGACGCTTTACTTACCCGACCGTCGCATATATACTGTAAAGGGATGCATCGACCGTTGGCGCAACGAAATTCCACAATGGTGCAAGGTCGATCCCGGACAGCCACTGCAAAGCAGAAAAACACGGGATGAATCTCGCTAAGATAAAAATGTTTTACCGACAATGCAGCAGCAGCTACTACTGCTAGTGACATAAAGTCGTTACTGTCTCGGTATCGGCAGCATAACCGCACGCATTTCTTGGATGCACGTCTCTCATCGGTATCTGAGTAACAGAGATAATCCGATAGTTATCAGGCGCGACTTACCACACGACGCAGGTTCATCCGCGCCGTCTTGGCAGTCCGCAATGCCATCACAGACGTAATTCTTTGGTATGCACGCCCGCCCACCATCGCAGCTTATCTCCGTGTTCCCATTGCACGTCGACTGTGCAGCGTGGGAATCGCCTGCAAAGTACAAACAACCAAAATAAACCCCAAAAATGCGTCGACGGCTGTGTTATCCTAGAAAAGGCGTTTTACGCAAAGACCGACAAAACTGAGAAATGACTTCAAATGAAAGTCCAATTAAACATTTTGGCCAAACTCCCAAGAGAAATCCCCCAAAAGGGTGATGTGCCCAGAAATTTCAAAGTGCGAATATTTCCTGCTGTATTAATTTTAAATACGGTAGGGTTGCGGGGAAGCAGCCAGCATGCAAAGAGAAGTAAAGCACCTACCAATTACTGCGGACACATCCGCGCGGGGAGTGTGGGTAGAAGCAAGGGATCCGGGGGACAGGACACCAAACAGCAAGAGGAAGACTGCAGTAATACTGTTGCAATTGCGGGCAAGACGAACGCTGCTCGCACACGCAGGGGCCTCCATTGCGCCGTCTTATTCTGCGTGGTGGCGGCTGGGGCGACGGATTCAGACAGCGCTTACTTCACAATACATGACACTCTCATAATCGCGTTACCATTCCGATGAAGTTCCATCTGTTGTGCTAGGACGTCTCGTCTCGCAATGGTTAGGGAAAGAAAAGATGGGCCAGCATGCAATCAAAACATTCACTTCGGAAGCTCGGGCTATCCATCCGCGGGCATCCACTCAGTGTTCAGGCATGACCCCACACGGGGCACATTTTCATAAGCCCTGCACTCATATCAACAGAATCCAGATTCCAGAAAATCTGAATTTTTCATAATCAGTCTAAACCTATATTTTCGGAAAAAGATACAAATAATAGAACCCACTAAGGCCTAGGCCACTACTGACTACTGCTTGTAAATTTGCAGCAAGCTTAATTTTTATTTTTTAGCACCTCCGAGTAGCATAACGGGAATGTAAAAGTTTGTAACTGCCACCCGAGGCTTGAAATTGGCTAGTGGCCACTACTCTATGCAAGAATGGCCGGGCTAGCGCTTCAGTGTAACACTTCGACTGCCAGCGGCTGCTCCCAAGAAACAAGTGGGATAACTTGAGGTCGTTGTTGTCTTTGAAAGATTACCGCCTGTCTCGTCCTATATACCTATTATTGTATGTAAATAAAATATATTACATATACAGTGCATAATTACATATACTGAAGTATCTGCATGCCCGTCCACGTGCGCCTTCTGTTGGTAGCTTAGAATTTAAATTGTTTTACTGACTGATTAATCAGCAGTTTAATCATGCGCCTCTGCAGGCTGTGCTTGTATTTCGTTATATTGATAAAAACCTTAATTTTTGAAGTTTTTTCAGGTAGACACGGTATATTTATATAGATATGTCATCATCCACTGTCTCCGACTTGAAGTTATACTTGCACAGTAATAAACTGAACTGTTACTTACTGCTACAATACCGTAATGAGAAATACGAGTATCATTGTGAAAAACATAAGTACAGTATATACAGCTTGTCAATTACTAACGCAAGTAGCAAGTAGTCAAAGTAATGCAATTAGCAATAAGGACAAAGTATACAGCTTGTCAATTAGTCGCAGTGGCGATCTAATCGGTGTCGACCTATTTATTATTAATACATCTTGTTTATGTGCAAACACTGACTGCAGCACGATGCCAGAACCCAAGGTCAATGTTTTGATAAGAAATGTTTATGGTACGTCGGGTACAGTACGGGTAGGTACAATATACAGTACACACTGCATGCTAGCTGTATTGCACATCTTACAATAATAATTATTTTAATTATTAATTTTATAACCAGGGACCCAGGGTACATATAAGTAAGTACTGCAGCAGGTTATCACTATCGGCTTGTCTCGCAGTAATGAGGAGATTATAACGATTTCCTTCCAGGCACTTGCAAAACAAGATCACGCGCTCGCATTCTCCAGTGTAAAAATACATACAAGAACGTGTGTTCACCGGTTCGTCTTTTTGTACTGGTGAATTGTGCATTACAGTATCGTCAGCGTTTTTATAAATTCTTTTTAATTTTTATTATTATTATGATGCACGAGTATAACCGAGCGCAGTATTTTAACACAATTAAACACCGACGACCGACGAATACCCACCGTTTTGAAGAATACAGTACTATAGCACTTAATTTATACAATGTATTGAACTGTTCTTTCTATTTTACACAGTACTGTACTTTTGAGTTATGCCGTCAAAATAACGCAAGCATGCTCTGCTGCGCTTACCCGGAAATGCCAGTCGATCACTGGAAATCGGCCCGTATCCCCGCCTACGTTTTCCATACGCCGGTTCCATTGGCGGAAATGCGGGTGCTTCCCGTACGACGCTATAAATACATCATTAAATTTTATTCTACTGGATCGTTGCCAACACTGCTATCATCCAGACTCAAGAGCGTATCACTGCCGTACAAACTTTTGCCGATTGAAAAAATCGTAAACAAAGTCACTTCAATGTCATAACATGCATCGTGAACGGGAAACAAGCATACTTTGCTAGGTTGCTCCCAAGACCGTGTGAAAAACATGATAAAAATAGACGCATCGAGCAGGTTGGCATTTATTGAACATTTGCAGACCCCGTTGGAGTTCATACGCTGAGGCCTATATAAGCGCTAAAGCCCGATAACAAGCCTCTTCAAAACATTTGCGCAACGGAAGTTGCTCTCCTCGTACACTGACAATTCGGATTATACTGCGAAGCACTTGAAAACTACAGATTCCCAATTTACAGCTAGTTGAACGTTTTCGAAAAGGAGAAAAAATGGTTCTGGGCTGGTTTCAAACTCCTCTGAGTCGCGATCGCGCCAACTCCTTTTCGCGCCATGTAAGTGCACAAATTCCGGTCCCTGTGAGTGTAATCCATTTTCTCACCGCGTTGATTACGACTACGAGTACAGAAATACATATGTAATTACTGACTTTAATTGCTACATAATTATTACTTTGGGTCTGTTTACTAGTACTATTACAGCCGCATGATTATACATAGTACTGTATATCTCGTCTGTTATTACTTAAAACCTAACTATTAATAACTATTAATAATTTATAAGATTCAACGATATAACAAAGGCGTAGTGCTTTAATATATAATTTAATACAGACTTGGTCAGTACGTACGAGTACATATTCAAAACGCTTGCTTGGGCTAAATTGCAAAATGGCCTTTTGTCCAAATAGAATCGCTATTGTATGTACGATAGCGAGTAGAATTCATTTTGCAGAAAAATGAATTACCATATTATCATGCACCGCAGATCTACTCTACGAGGTAGAGATGTGCGGGGCCAAATTAAAAGTGAAAATTACTTTTAATTTTACACGTAATGCGATGTTTGTAAGTACCGTGCACGCAAATTTATTAGAATCCATGGTGTGTAGCAGGTGACCTTTACAGTACGCTGATACCGCTTTTCATCCCTGGCTTCTTGAATTTGCACAGGAGAACGCAGCGGAGCCGGCGATTATTCAGGAGCAGTTGCAGAATCGGATCAATCAGGCCGATCCAGCACCGGCGCAGCCGCAGCCACAGCGACGACGATCGATCTTCGAGCGCCGCGTTAGCCTCGGATCGGATCCCTTTAGCCGCGAGGTAAGGCTCCCACAGCCCCCACTAAATCGCTGTATTGTACAGTGTACAGTGATCAGCAACCGATTTTGTATTTCATTCGCGTTAACCTAACAAACAAAGAGACTGACAAAAAAACTACAGAAGAAAGTTAAGCGCTCGTAACACCATCTTAATTGTCAGTTGTGTAAATTTATGTTGGTTTGAATTGAAAATGTACATCGACCGTATACATGTAGGTTGGAAAAATATCCAATTAGTTAGAGATAAGTTTACATTAAAAACCACACAAGGCTTAGAAACTACAGATCCATAGAATATTACTCAACATAGTATAAGTAAAACTTTAGAAGTATGTACTGTACTTTGCATGACTGCATAAAATCTATTTGACTATGCAACTCTGAACGTTTGACTAGCAGAGCTGTTAGCAATAAGATAATAGTGTGTCGAGTCATTTAATTACGAGTACGGCATCCTGTATAAGTGAACGTCAGTATTTTTTCTTTTATAATTTATGTGTTTAAAGAAACGATTATCGATTATTCGATTAAGGTACATTTTATTTTATATCGATATTAACTGTCAATACTATGTATTACTCACCATCAGTATAATTATTTATATTACTGTTTAGCGCACGTAATTTGATTGTAGGTAAAGATCGTTAAATTAATAGCTATGGACCTATTGCTCCATTATAAAAATCTTTAATTACTGCAGTATGCGGATCAGACTGGTGACCTCTGGGTGGCCGAATGCGATCAAGGAGATGCGGCGCATATTGCGGAAGGACACCTGAGGACGGAAGCTCTGACGCGCCCGGTGCCACTGGGAGCCGACGAATTCAGCCGCGAGGTATTTCTGATTTTCTGACTGGTTACCAATCTACAGTGTAGTCCAGGTGCAAATTACGAAATTCACCCGTAATATTCTGCAGTACTTCGATGCCACTGAAGACAACTTTGTGGCCGAAACGGATTTGGGTGACTCGGGATATGTGCGCCGCAATTCGCAGACCGTTGTCGACTACGACTCACCGGAAGTCATTCGTCGCATCGGGGAAATGCTACGCCGACCAGTTCGCGTGGGCCACGACACTTTCAGCCAAGAGGTATGTACGAGTATTAAAGATGTAGCTCATTTGTGGTAGGTAATCAGGTAAACCTTACCAAAATTTCAATATAAAAACCGTTTTTCTTTCGTTACCTACTTATGCAGTATGCCCGCGAATTCGAGGACATGTGGCAAGCCACCGCCGGCAAGGGTCCATCCGGAAAATATACAATCGTTGAGCGCGTTATGAGCGAGGTAATCTGGATGAGTATTTGCATGCTTTAAGTAATCCAAACTAGCGCAACCATCATTACAGTATCAGCCGGACAATCGCAACGCTGAACAAGGAATGCCGCGTCGTCAGAGCATCTTCTCGCAATAAGCGATCTGCGGGATGGATCTTCTACCGTACTTCAACATTTAGGGTGCCATTGGCTGAATGGCGCCGCATGTAAACACGTGTGTACTTGTACTTATTACCTGTCGAAATATTAGCTTTTCGATGGGCAAATTACTGTCCCATTCTTCAAACTGAAGCCAAGTGTGAATATTATCTACTCAGTTTAGCTTCCTCGCACACAAAACCGGTACAGTGTACATAGAAACGTATGGACGTCAGTTGTGCACTTCTCAGACTTGTTGATAATTTCCCGCACTTTTTAATGTGCTAGCACTTAATAAAGTTGTACATAATCTGTATGCAATAAAGTGGCAAAATCAGTTCGTGATGCAGTTTTGAAAAATTTTGTCCAACATTTGAATACAAACAAATACTCAGTACCAGAACACGGCTCTGTCGAATGCATTTCACTGACTATTTCCGTATGCGGCCTCTCTTGGGCTTATTTGTAGCCCGAAATCCTGATTCCGACGGCACAGCAGCGGCGCCAGGTCTGGGTCGACCGTGGCCCTTACGATGCTTGGGCTTAGCCAATCTTCTCGCCATTCTTTCAAGAGATTTCAACCTACAACAAAATTCCGTAAAATCAAAAGCTAGCCTGCGTGGAAATTATCACCGGAAAGCAGTACAGAGTAGCTTGATGTATCTAACACAACAACGAAAAGCTGCTGCAGAAATTGACTACTGCTATTCACGAAACAAGATTAACCGCAACTTCGTTACGCGCAACATGAAATGCATCTTATATCAATATCACTTACTTTAACAGCACAAGAGTCAAATGTTCCGATAATTAATTTTAAGAAAACTAGGCTCGGGAATCCTAATATAAATTGTGGAAATCGAAGAAGCGATCTCACAATTAACAGCGCAGATATATGATGAGATTCGTAACGAAAATACCATAGTACTAGTAGACCCCGCGCAAACTGCGCGGAATAAATTAACGATAAATTGTTATTTACGGAAACTACAAAGGACAAACCCATGACTACAAAATACAAATTTAGTTTAATTGAGCGGAGCGTATAATAATAATAATATAGTTTCACTGGCAGAGACAGACAGTATTTGCCATATACCGTAGCTATTTGGTTGACTACTTATCATAACTTATGTGGTAAGTTTATTGTTTATTTTGGCCATAGTTCACTGACATATAAAATGTATTACAGTTTACTTATTAAATGTTTAAGGCCGCTTTGAAAGCATTGTCGCGTTCCGCTGACTTCAGATTTAACTTTAAATTAGACCCGAAAAATTTGACAATTTCGAGGAATACATGTATGCCTTTTTTTGCAGTTATAAAACAAAGTTTTTAAGCCTTTTCCAAATCAATCAGCAGCATATGCTGGTCAGTTGTCAAGAACTACAAATAAGAAAGACTCCATAATTACCGGAATTTTTATAGCCGTATTACAGTACTTCTATTGGTTCAGATACCATTCTGAGCTTTGTTAAATTTTAGCCAGTGCGTTGTGACCGACAAAACTATCCAGTGATACGACGGTACGACCACCGATGTTAACCTTTAGACCACTTAGAATAAAAATACTTTCCGGTGTCCAGTTTCCTCCTTCTGTTTACACACAAAACAATTTAACTTAATGAAGACTTCAAAATTTCGTTGTTTTCTTTGGTGAATCAATAATTAACGTCGACAACTTTAGCGCAGTGTCTTGGTTGCGACCCCCGCTGCAGGTAGGCGTCGCCTGTGCCTCCGCTTTCCGTTACGTACTTATAAAATTTTCCCGTGTTTTTTAGTTTTGACCTTTGATGGGAGATGATCTGACGGATTGCTTTATAGCTGGCGGAAAAAATAGATTAGAAAGCGGATAAGTTCGAGTTTTGAATCTTCTGTTTGTTTTAAATTTTTTAATGCTAAAAATGCGTTTTTTGTTTTAATAAAACCGTTTTTCTACGTTCCTAGGCCCGGCGGGACTGGGACTCGTTGTTTTGCCCAATGGTGTGGACTCATCATTTCCAGTCGAACACCAAAATTCTCGAAATCGACTTTCAGTCTCTCACAAAATAATATGTTTATTGGCCATTTCCAAAAGAATGTTTATTGGCACGTCAGCACGATATTATCAAAGCCAACCGCCCTGTGGAAGCAGTTTCAATATTAAATCTAATCAACCCGTTGCGAAAGGCAACTACTTTATCTTTGAAATTTGAGTCGATCCCACTTTCCAGAAGATTTCGCATCGCATGTTCAGTTTTTAAGAAACATCACTTTCAAAGCCTACATTTTTTGAAAACTAACTCTTAATAAAAATTTTATGGACTAAAGGTAATCGGATACCTAATGGACACCAAAGTTCCATCAAGTGTAGATGAATGCTTTTCCTGTGCTGTTCATGACGGTGGTGGCGTGGGTGGGTTTGCAGTGGTGGGTTCTCCACTTTTCCCATAAACTTTGTATGTTAAGATCTTTTAAGATTTTCTCTGAAACTTCGCACACTTTCAAAAAACTGACTGGTTTCTGCAAATCTGCAAACTAACGGCTATTAAATGACATATAGACATCACAGTTTGGTTCAGTGGCTCGCTCAAAAAAGGGAGACAGAAATGGAATTCGCTAAGGCTTATTTTATTAATATATAGGATTGTGGCGCAAAATAAAAAAAACAACAGAGCCTGCTATGCTTCGTTGTCGACATGAACAACTTACTTTTTAGGGTTGCCCTGGGCTTTGGTCGCTGCAGACGACGGCAATTGCTTCCGACCATCTTCGCCAACTTCACCGGTGTTATCTGGGTGGTCAGCCAAGTCCTTGTGTCCAGGAATCTGAGGAAAGTCATAAAATTAATATTATGAAGGATCATGGTTTCGCGGCAGTGCAAAACTGCAGAATGTGGGTTCGCATATGAAGTGACACAGAACTACGAAAGCCACCACGGCGGCGCCAAATGCCAACCATAGCAGAAAAGAAATACTTCGTTGTTGCGTCCTAGAAAGAGATCGTTGTGTGTTCCTTCCAACTGGCCCAACTGCCAAATGCGCACCGAGTGCGCCGGCATATCCAGCGTCATCTCTTCCGGTGGCTCCTCTTCGTTTTCCTCCGGCCGCTCTTCGTTCCACGCCAAGTCTGCATGCACACCTCTGCTGTGGCTTTCTTTTCGCTTCTGTGGAAATAAGCATTCAGTCAATGTTCCTTACAAAGTTAACCAAGCGATGCATAGGCCGTGCATTTACCATGTCGCGAACATTCTTTCGTTCCTCCTTCAGTTTCTCTTCAATGTCGTGCTTCGCCTTTCTTCTTCGTTCTTTCTTTCTCTTTTGGAAACCCAGGAGGTAATCCCTACAAGAACGTTAGCCATGCTCTAACGTAGCGTTGATATTCTCAGGATCTCACGAATATACGACTGTGCGAGTATCAAGTCAGAATTCACTTTCAGCAACAGAAAAAACAGGCTAAGATACAGAAAACAAACATACCCAAGCACTCCGTGATAGCGCACCTAATTAACAGTATTTCTATATCTGTAATCATGCTTTCTGCATCTTCGCCGACGAAAATATGGGATAAATAAACTGCACTCATGGGATTAATCACCGTACGTACCTTCGTTTGTGCTCGTCAAACGTGATGCTCAAACCTCCTTTCCTTTTCCGCATTTTGAAGAAATCTCAAATTAAGGTAAGAAATTCTTCTTACAAAGAGCAAACTCCACTTAAAACAAAAGTAACGAAAAACCATGCAGTCGTGAATTCTGTATACGAAAGTGATAGAGCAACCTAAGTCAAAATTTTCACCAAAGGATAAATTTCCATAAAAAAACGGCAAACTGTGAAAATTTAAACTCCACAAATATAGATATAATACTTACATAATTATGTCCAAACCTGTCTGTCTGGTTTGGTCCAAATTTTTCAATTCACTTTTGGACCTTACTTTTGGTACGCAGTGTTGGTACGGCATTTAACGTACCCAAGGGAGTGCGTTCGTATGTAGACGACCAAGGCGAACCTTCCGATTCTCGCCGTATGCCAGTAACAAGCAGTAGCAGAAATAGAGTTCCTTACGGAATCACTACAGTAAGCGCTGAGTTTAGTGTGTAATTTGTTGTGGTGGAATTTGCCAATCAGCTGAAAATTTTACCGTGAAGCCCGTCTGCGATTATGCGATACACATCTCCTTAGCCACGTAGAATTCATTTAGATTCGCGCAAATATTTTTCTGGAAATATCATATTCTTCTGTTTTTTTTTGTGACTGTGATTTTTTATTAAACTTAGCGACAAAGAATGTCGGACCGTACGGAGGAGACCGAAACTCGAGCGGGACATCCGCCAGCAAGTAAGTATCCTTCGCACGGATTAAGTTGCAGTATGCAGCTGTATTGTCATGTCGGCCTTGTATTCTTTCTCTGCCAAACGTCAACATCATCTAAAACATTCTTCGACGGAATGATTAGATCACTTCTGCTTCGTACTTACTAGCTGCATCGTAATCGGGAGTTAATACGCTATTAATCCGATGGACATGTCGTTGCAGCTAAGGTGGGAGGCATGCGCATCACACAGCGCTCGCGATCTCCGGGAGCGGAAGGAGCGGCGGCGAGCAGCTCGGAGAACCCGCAGATTCCGCCGCAGGACAAGGAGGGAGGCGACACGCAAGTGCACGGAGTGGGGGGACTGCAGTCCCAGTAAGTAATGCACTGGTGCATGAATGGCGGATGTGGGGTGTTTTGTCTTTTCTCAGTCTTTTGAGATCGTATGAGACCGACCTTTTGAAACTCCTTTATCTTATTATTCTTATAGGCCGAAAGATTTATTGGTGAAAGGGACCAGCGGAATTCCGGTCACAGCTAAGGTTAGTCTGTTTTTGTATTATGATTTCAGTAGCCCTAGGGTTTTCAAATATAAATAAAAAATAAATTTTTGCCATCGTTTGCCCTGTTCATGAATCATTTGTACTCTGCAGTTTACTGCTTACATATGAAAATGGACTTTTCGTTTTGCGTCTTCCATCTGTACAAAATTGACAACAAGTAAAATAATGGTGCGAGTTGCGTTTATACGATATGTTAAAAATTATAATATGCACTCTAGGTGTTACCATAACTATTGCATTATTAAAATAATACTTAATAATTTACTCGTATAGCTTCGTTAGTTACGTATGGGCGGTATCAGCTACAGTAATTTTCGAAAACATGATTTATGTTAAAGTTTGAGTGACAATGTCGGCGAAATACCTTGTGCAATAATTTTTGAGTTTAAAAAAGAATAAAGTGTGGATTGTTTATCAAAAATATTAAAGGCTACGTCGCCACGAGTACGTACTTGTACTGAAATAACAGTACGAGACTGCAAGTTGGTACTTACTGTATCAGTATCATGAATTTTCTTTTTCGCTACCTCCGTTGCAACGGTAAGACGAATCTTACGTTAGACGGAGCGAACCTACATTAATTTGTTTTTTGTGTCGCAAAAAATACGAACCTATAATTACTATGAAAAAAGTTCAGTTTCTGATACATAACTAATCATAATATGCAAAAGATCTTGTGAATGTAGGACTTGGGCATGCACTTGGAAGGTGTGCGCCACACTCACGACAAAGGTTTCGACAAGAATCAACAGAACAGCACTAACTTCACGCCGCAGCAGCACGCGACGATGACTCGCCACGGGCAGCACATCAACGAGCCGCGCAGCCATGGCACCAACCACTGAACAGTTATCCCAGGCAAGCTTCCGGTGCGCCACATCAACACGACCAGGCGTTACGTTTTTGCTGTTCAACTTGATTCCGCAACGTTTTTTTACTTATCTGAGTTTTAGCTAGCTAGCTGAGCAAGCTTTGCGTTTTACAACAGTTTTTGGATACATCCAGCTGTATGTTTTTTCAGTTCGTTGTAAGGAATAAACGAGAGGTCTAAATCGTTTGCCGCCACTAAAGATTCTGTTTTATGAACTGCTAACGAGGATCTGTCATGTACAGTACTCGTACTGTAATCCGTGATGTAGGATCCATCTGACAAAACCATCTCGTAACAATTTATAGCAGCAAAAACGGCTTAAAAAGCAATGGAGTGAGATTACAATTATGCCGACGGTCGCACTGTTTCGCCGGTGCCGCAGCGCGAAAATTTTCCAGTACAGAAAAATAGAAAGATAAGTAACAAAAAGAACTTAGCAAACGGAGGACTTTATTCCTTACGAGCTGTGTGTCGCTCTGGACGCTCCCGCAGTGATTTTTTCCCGATGAAGCGATGTGCCGTCTTTTTGTTGCGCAGATTTCTCCCTGTCGGTTGCACTTGGCCATCGTCATCTGAGATCATAATATCATCATCCGTTTCTGTATCGTCGGTATCCAACTCGTCCGTGGTGCTATGCTCGTCACTGCTACTGGAAGAGTCCGATGGAATCTGGATGACATCTGCACTTATCCGAGGAGCGCTTCCTCTGGCAGCATTTCCGCGTCTTGCGAGCAGCGCGGATCTTTTTGCCCGAACCGGCGGGTTCTGCACCGACTTGGACCGCGTGACGCGCGTGCAATGACCACCCCCTTCCTTCTTTACCATGGCATCCCCTCGGCCACGGGCAGCCTGTTGGACTGGCTTATCGTCGACTTCCTTCCTGCCTGCTCCGTCCGGCTTCCCCTTCATTTTCACAAATGCAGACGGTGGGGTGCTGGCACGCGGGCTCTTTTCTGCCGTCGCTCGCTTCGGTAAAAATACGGCGCGTTTCAGCGCTAAGGCCTTTCGAGGGGGCGTATCTTTAGGCGGCTCCGTGCTGGCCGCAACGGGGACGGTTGGCAGCGGTAGCGGAGCCACGACAACATCGTCTTCTACGGACGCTGCGGTCATAGGCTCATCTGCAAGAGTGACGACAGGAGCATTCTCAGTAATGGCCGCCACTGGACAGTCTTCTCCTCTCACCCACTGAAAATGCCCTAATCTGCGGAAAGGGACCTGCCCGTTGGAGTCCGACTGGGCGCTGACCAGGAATCGGTCCGCTTTATCCACCAACACGGACAGCTCCCGCGACAGCTTCCCAGCTGTAATAGCAGACGGAGACGCCGATTCAACTGTACTGCCGTCAATGTCCATTGCGCGCAACGTACGCTGGAGCGCTTCCATCCACAGCCGCATTAAATGGAGCTGCAGCCGAGCCTTGGACAGGACTATGCTGGTTCCTCCAGTATGCGTCGCGGCCGTGGAATTCCCGTCGGAAACCGAGAAGCAAAACTGGCTGCCCTGTCCCTGCGCAGGATTATGGACCAGGATCACTGCGGGGATCTTGTCGCAGTCTTCCAGCATTCGCTGCAGAGTGACGGTGACTCGATCTGCAAGGTGGTCTTCTGCATGATTTTCATTGTTATGCGCACGGAGGATATTCTGCAACGCTGCAATACTCCGATTCAGCAGCGCTTTCAACGTCATGTGCCGCTGTACTGCATCTGTCCCCATTTCTCGGTTCTCATCTTGGCTTCCGCCTGCACCGTCAGGTCCCTTCATAACTGGCTTCACTGCCTTGCTTCCAGCACTTAGCGCTGCGCCAGCTGATTTTGGACTGCTTCCATCCTGTCCTCCGGTTTCGTCGTTCAGCGATTTGTCCATGGTGCCAGTCAAACAACAATTGTATTCCCATCAACAACAAATCTTTAGAGTGAAAATGGGAAATCGGTATAAAGTACTTGTAAACTATAGACTTCTGGCTTGCTGTAAGGATGGAAGGAGACACATCAGCAGAGATGTCTCACCAAAATCGATCGGAATTCTGACGGTAGACAGACACAGGCCCGTCGCGAGACCCCCGTTAGTTTTTCAAAACGCTACTCCTCCCGGGGTTTTCATCGAACATTTTTTCTGAATATACCGTTAGAATCGCCGTGAAATTCTGAACAAGATGGTTGAGGCCGATTTTTAAAATTTGCTTTACGCCGAAGTCGACATCATAGGGCGGTCGCCAATGCGAAAGCCCACAATTTGGGGTTTTTCCCTTGACCACCCCAGATTAGGGGGAAACCCTTGAAAATTACGCTGTCGTACGGTCGACCACCCTGTAATTTGATTCTGGGGAGAAACGAATTTTAAAAATCGGTTGCAACCGTTTTGTTCAGAATTTTACGTTGAGTTTATTGGTGTATTCAGAAAAATTTTAGGATGAAAACTGTTGAAGGAGTAGATTTTTGAATTTTGTAAGGGAAAAATCCCCAAAAGGAAGGTGTCGCATTTGCGACCGCCCGTTAATGTCGAATTTTGGGGGCAAACGAATTTTGAAAATCGGCCTCAATCATTTTGTTCAGAATTTCACGGCGATCCTAACGGTATATCCAGAAAAAATGTGCGATGAAAACCCCGGGAGGAGTAGCGTTTTGAAAAACTAACGGGGGTCTCGCGATGGGCCTGGACAGACAACCACAGGTCCAATCTCGAAGTCAAAAAGATTTTAAAGTCAAAATAATGAAGTAAGGCTAGTAAGCTGTACACACTACACAGTTTTAAACTGTAGCACAGGTTGCCAAATTTCCCGACCGCGCGTACGTGCTATGGGGATAACCAGGGCAGATCTCAATACAGGCATTTAATGCCTGTATTGAGATCCAGGCAATAGTGCCCTGCATCGGACTGGAAAACTTCGTCCAGTCCGATCCAAACTTAAAAAATTTATCCGAACCCAGTCCGACTCCGAATTCTAAAAATCGTACTCCGACCAGTCCGATCCGTAAATTTTTTGCGAATCCGAACCCACTCCGATCCACTCCGAAAATTTTTCCAAAAGAATATTGATTACACATCTTTACTGTACAGAGGGTATATTAAAAAAATTTTTTGTGGCCATTTTGACGGTAGTAAACAGACTTCAGACTTCACAGTTAGTCTTTTCGTGGGCGTGAAATAGGTACTTTCGAGGTTTATAAAAAACGTTATTTTGGCATATTTTAAGTTGTTCTTTAACACTACAGTGTTGTAGCATTTTAGGAAGTTTGTTACAGTAGTTTTTCTCATTGTCAGAAATCTGGATTAGATCTTTTTATTGTGTACAGTTCAGCCCACGAATCACCCACATAGTGGTCATGGTCAAACGAGGGAGGGATATTTCTAAACGTCCACAACTGCAAAAAGATGTAGCTTCATGTATTCAAACTTAGGCTTAGTTAAATATAATTAATATTATTATTATTATCCTAAGCACCAGTATCATTCCAGTAATAGTGCTACAACTATAGGAAATGGAAAGCCGGAGCCCAGTTAAATCGCCTGAGCCGTAAAACTCGTGTTGGAAAGCGTAATAATATTTGGTGGAACCATAACGACTAACAACATCACAACAATTCTAAAAACACTCTAATATTAAAAAGTATCGAGACTTAACAAAGAAATTGAAAGAGAACTAACAACAGTTAAGTAAACAAAAGAAGATATTTTGGTGTTGAATAACGCAAATGGATGCCTCGCGCTAAGCGCGAAGCTGACGAAGTTTTTTGTTCTGAAAATGCGTGAAATTCAATAAAAATTATTAATACTATTTATTTAATTTCGGATAATTCGGAGTCTTGATTGCATCCGAATCCAGTCCGGTCAGATGCACATAAACTCCGAAACCACTCCGAATCCGAATTTTCCAGAGTGGAATCGGTCCAATCCGATCCGAAAGTCGGGGTGGATTCGGAGCGGTTCGGATTTACCAGTCCGTTGCAGGGCTCTGCCAGGCAATTCCACTGACTCGTTACGTCATCACTAGAGTAGCTCGCATATTAGCGCGGCTACAGTAAAATGCTGGGAAAAATCGGTTTGCTCCCCTTTTTCTGTTTCTGTTGAATGGGATTCGAACTGCAAAATAATGGGATTCGAGCAGCAAAAGTGCTGCTCGACTCGCTCGTTTCAGCTTTCTGCAACTTGCTGCTCGCTCAGCTCGCTCGCGCCCAAACCGCCGCTCGCTCAACTCGCTCGTTTTCCAATTTTTCTTTGCTTCCGCTCGCTCGTAATTTTATTTTGGCAAATCGGCTCGCTCGTGAGATCGGCAGAAATTTACGTATCAATTTTTCGCAAGAATTAATTATACCAAGCTTTTCACCAACACAAAAAAACTCATTAAGTGTAATAGGATGTTCAGAGACAATCACTTATATCTCCATACTGGTAGTCCGTTTCACTACAGTTTTATTTTTTTGCTAATACCTGTCTCTCGTTTTCAACTGGATGTAGTTTTCTTAATTTAGTCTGAAATAAATACATGTAACAGAACGCCCGAAAATTTAAATGCACCTTTCTTAGGAAGCATTCAACTGATTCAGAAACCCGTCAAATAATGTTTTTGTTAGCTACAGAATATCAAACCTCAGTCATGAGTCCCAACCGGTCTAGGAAAGTTAGTAAGTCACTTCGCGCGAAGCGCGAAGGAGACGGTTGTTTAAGACCGTTTTCAGGTCGGTCAATGTGATTTTGTACTAGAAACTTCTCCAGTTCGCACAATGTCAGCCTGTAGGCTCGCGATCGCTCGCACCCGACCATCCCGCTCGCTCGGCTCGCTCGCAACTTTTTTTCTGTTGCTCAGCTCGTTCGCAAATTCGCAAAACGACGCCTGCTCGCTCGAAGTGCTCGCGGGCGCCGAGCGCTCGTGAGCCGAGCCGAGCGGCTCGGCTCCTGCAGGGCTCTAGTTCATATTACGAGTAAATCACCGATGCGTGATTATATCTCGGTATTCTCCATGTAAATTATTACCAATTAGTTCTTTAATTTTTCACATTGTTCAGTTCAGTATCTGCTTCATTTTTTTCTTAGAGTTTGAAAAGTTTCGTTGGAATAAATCAATAAAACCAACTCGTGCAGTAATAATTTTGCCGTATACCGGTAGAAACCAAGTTGCCAACAGCCGTTTTTTCTTAGAGTTTGAAAAGTTTCGTTGGAATCAATCAATAAAACCAACTCGTGCAGTAATAATTTTGCCGTATACCGGTAGAAAGTTAGAATCCAAGTTGCCAACAGCCGCTTTGCAACTTGCCGCACCGTACTTAATCATGTTGCCTCTTCCCATTGCTTATTTTATATTAGAAATAAAATCCTAACTGCAATAAAAGAGTGAAAACGACTAAAGAAACACAAAAAAGCTTTGAAAAGCTTAAAAAACTCTCGCTTTTACGGTGTTCTTTGGCAATTTGGGCTACTCTAGCGCTTTCGTCATTGCAAATCCCGCCCTCAGTGGGGTTGCCTGTCTAAGCAGGGCGCAAGCCGAGGGAAACCGAGAAACGGCTGAAAAAGGCGCCGATGGGGGAATCGAACCCCGGCTACGTCGTTAGATCCGCGTAGGCAGTACCACTGCACCACGGCGCAATACGTTGAAATCCTTTGAAAGATTTTGTCGCTTTACGTGAGCCGCTTCTCGCCTCACACCCCTTTGCAGCTTTCGCTACGTCCTCGTAGTGAGACTAAGCGATCCTTTAAGCGGCGGCTCCGGCTCACCGCATCCTCTATTCATTTAATCTTTTTATTCGTTTTTGCTCTGTTCCTCCCGTTCGAGGTTAGCACACCAGTCTCATACCATAGGTCCGTGATCGAACCGTGATCTGCTACCATCTAAGCAGGGCGCAAGCCGAGGGAAACCGAGAAACGGCTGAAAAAGGCGCCGATGGGGGAATCGAACCCCGGCTACGTCGTTAGATCCGCGTAGGCAGTACCACTGCACCACGGCGCAATACGTTGAAATCCTTTGAAAGATTTTGTCGCTTTACGTGAGCCGCTTCTCGCCTCACTCCTGTATTGAGATCTGCCTTGGGATAACCGATATTACGGTACAGTAGACTGTATTGTGCTTATTGTACCGTAAGGACCACCCGTAGGCGATTGCAAGCGTAAAAGTTTAAAGCTTGCAAGGCAGCATGCAAACGAATCTTTCACGCTTCCGCTTTCCAGCTTCTTTTTCATAAGATTTCTTTTGCTGAACTTATTGCGTTAGGTATAGACTATAGATTATAACCGATAGTAAAATTTGATTGATTTGCTGCAGTTTGTGGATCTAGAGTGCATACTTTGATAGCAGAGTTTGATTCTCTGTCGAAGAAGAAACCTTAGAGAAATGAGCAGCCAGTTGTTGGTGGGGGGAGACGACGTCAACGCCATCGTTGTGGACTATGGCAGTTCTTCTTTTCGCTACGGGCATGCCGGAGAAGAAGCGCCTACCCTTGTTTTGCCGATGAGCATTGGATACGTCGAGGAAATTATTAAAGTCGTCGGTGAGTTAAGCCTACATCCGTCATAGTTTTAGTTGGCAATTGCGATTGGCCGAAGAGTTAGTGAAGACCCTGCAGGAATTGAATTATTTGTCAGTTGTCTGTGAAATGCCCGTGGTGCATACTTGAGAAACATTTAAGAACTTGACTGATTGTAGAGCGCAATGAGAACGATGACGTAGTGATGACTGAGAACCTGCGGGACGGAGCAACAACAGCGGGCAACGGCACCAGCAGTCTCAGCGCGGCCACCACCGACGCTAGCAATGCCAACGGGAATGCTGTTAACGGTGCGATGTGCTTGCTAGTGGCGGTATAGAGTAGCTGATCCCAGGGTTTTGTAGGCGAGATGAAGAAGGAGAAGCGGTACATTGTTAGCTCGCAGGCGCTGATGAATCCCCGCGAAGGCCTCGAGATTGAAAGGTATAATTACTACTGATTAACTGATACTACTTTTAACTTTTTTGTCGAAGAAGAAATCTTGGTTAAATGAGCAGCCAGTTGCTGATGGGGGATACGCTGCTGCTGCCGTTGTTAGCTGCTTGACAGCCGCTAATCAGGATGGCTTGCGTTACCCATTCGGCAGTAGAGTTAAGCGCTAGTACTGCACGACACTCATTTGTTTTTAGCGGCGTCATACTGGACGGCATGATTGACAACTGGGACGCTTTCTATTCCATTATGGAGTTTGCTCTAAATAAGCATCGTCCTGTCACTTCATCGCAACATCCTTTCCTCTTTTCCGAGCCATTGGTACGTTGTAACTTGTCTGTTGTCTAGCATACATTTTATGGTTGATCATTTTTTTTGCGCTAACCAGGGCACTATTTCCGCCTCAACGTTAAAAGAAATCTAATTTTTGTAATAAGGTGATATTTTAATGGGGTATGTCTAAAAACTATTTTCATCTGCAATGGTCAAAAGGATTCTCATTTAAAGCTGTTGCACTAGTTTGGCAGTGCTTGATTAATGCGTATAAGTAGTGCGAATGTCTATAAACGTTTTTTTAGAAAATGAGTACGTAAGAGATTACAGTACTGTAGCCGCTAGATGAAGTGGCTCCACTTTTAGATCCGGCCGCTGCCTGCCTCTGGCCGGGCACTGAACACGAGCCTTCCTCCCACCGGGAGACGCACACTTTGCTTTTCGATATTAGTACTGTACTGTTGCCTGCCCTGCCAGGGGCAACCCAAAAACCACAACAAACCAGGTTTATAAATTGAAAACTATCAGAGCTCTGACATTATGCTCTAACAATAATTATTGTCGTTGCTAAAAATAAGAAAACTCGGTAAAACATGTAGAACGTCAGCATCAGAGTCAAAATTGTTTGAAATCAAAAACAAGTCTGCACGGAGCAATGTGTGTATATTGGGCTTGCATTTTCCCGTATACCAGACTCTGTGGAGCCACTTCATCTAGCGGCTACAGTACGTAATGGAAATTTGATAACAATAATATTTCTGATCGCACGATTTTTTTATCGCATTAATTGGATTGTGACTGCAACAGTGCACTTTTCTTTTTAGTGGATTACGAAAAATAAGCGCGAGCAGCTGTGCGAGTTGATGTTCGAAAAGTTCAAAGCATCGGCGTTCTACACCGTGAAATCGCCTGTCCTGACCTGTTTTGCCCACGGAAAATCCAGTGGTCTGGTGCTGGATAGCGGCAAGATCCACACAACCGCCTGTGCGGTGCATGAAGGGTTCTGTTTGGTGCCGACGATGGTGCGTAGCCCTTTGGCGGGTGACTTCATCAGCAACGAATGCCGACGCGAGCTGGAGCGCATGAAGATCGACCTGACTCCACAGTACATGATCAAGAGCAAGGATAACGTAGAACTGGAGCAGCCGCCCAAATATCTTAAGAAGATCGCTCTTCCCAAAGCATCTACCGCGTTTCACGAGAGCAAAGTGCGCGAACTGGTGGAGGACTTCAAGCAGATCTTGGCCGTATCCGATGCGCCGCTGCACGACGTCAATCCCGACGGTCTGGAGGCCCGAGAGTACGAATTTCCCACAGGCTATCATGCCATGTTTGGGCCCGAGCGCTTCCAGGTACCGGAAATGCTCTTCGATCCGAGCCTGATTCGCTCAGGCAGCAGCGCGGGAACGGCCCTCTCGGGAATGCAGATGCAACCGCCGAGCATCAACAGCACCATGGGAATGAGCAACCTCATCCAGAACTGCCTGACCATCACCGACCAGGACGTCCGTCCACAGCTGTGGGGCAACATCCTCATTTCGGGTGGCAACAGCTGCATCACTGGCTTTGCTGAGCGCATCTCCGCCGACTGCACACGTCGCAGCACCACCTCCATGAAGCTGAAGTGCACGGCCGCCACTGGCAGCGGTCCGGAACGCTCCAGTGAACGTCTTTTTGCTCCATGGACGGGCGCCTCCATTCTCGGCTCACTGGGCACCTTCCAGAGCATGTGGATTTCGCGTAGCGACTACGAAGAGGCCGGCAAGGGAATCGTGGGCAAGAAGTGTCCCTGATCGACGTATAACATAATCTCATGTTTTGTATGGCAGTATGTTTTCGTTCGCCTGCTGCTGCGGCTGCTCTCTCATTCCTGCATTGTTGTTTTGTTTTATTTGAACAAGTTTTCGGTTCCTTGTTACACTTTTGGGTGCAATGTACACTACAGTTTGATTACTCGCTGCAGTTTTAAACGATTTGTTGCTGAGCAGTTGTAAGCAGGATTTCACTAGATCAGAAATGATGCGGTGCATTGAGTAATAACAATAATTATTTAATAGCCCTAGAGTGATATCTGTATGTTCTGAACTTTAAAAGTAACATGGTTTTGAATCTTTGATTACACGTCTCGTAGGTACTGTATAATACCAACCACCCAGTAAGTTAACATTGATCGTTTCGGCGGGATATTTGATATAAAACTATTACACCGTTACAGTGGAAGCTTCACACACCCGATAATCTATTAGAAAAACACATTAAAAATAAAAGCAGGAAAAGTCAAAGGACAACAGAACTGTGTCTCCACAAACTAGTTATAAGTATAACAAAATTAAATGCACAACAGTAAACCGGTACTGTAGAATTTTGTAGCAGAAAGACAATCAATTAACTAAAATCTGTAGGCTTTATTTGATGACAACGACATATGGTTTCCACGGATCGTCGACTACTTTGGCCTGCTCAAGTTTGGCTTTCAAACTAGCCACATCCGTAGAAGGATTGCGGGCAGGCAACGGTGGGCAGTTGCACTCGGTGCGAAGCTTTATAGCCTATTAGCGACGGTTGAGTTATGAAAGCTGACAAGTGTTCCGATACCAACGAGCGCAAATCTTCTTACCCGTGGAAGCGAAGCGTTCAGAGTCTGCGCTCGGGTGGAGTTTGAAGGGTGTGTACTGAGGAACTCAGGCATCTGTGCGGCGACGTCACCCTCGAACTCGCCAACCAACTGCATGCGCTCCCAGAAGGCCACACTCTCGCGCACGTCGAAACAGGCTTTGGCAGACAGCATCAAGCCCACTTCGTCGGCTTCGTTCTCTAGCAGGCGGCCGTAGGGTAGATTTAGCAACAACTATGAAAAGCAAATAACCGAAAAAAATTGTTAACGCTGTAACGCTAAAAAAATCGCAGCCACAGTACTGACATCTACGACTTTGTTCATGACCCATGTTGTGATCCCGGAAATAATATCGGAAGGCAAAACAGCCCATAGAACGCTCATCAACTACAAACAAAATCCAAGTCATTGCACATTTAACATATCAACCAGCCTCAGCACAATAATAATCTGACTTACCGCAATGAGAATGTAATCGACAAAATGCATCACGCTGACCTGCTCCATCTATTGATAACAAGCATTGTTCAGGTTATTCCAACGGGTGCAACGTGTGAGAACCAAACACTTAAACGCTTACTCCGTGGCCAAGTACAGCATGCGCCATTTCGTGTCCCAAAACCACACCCAACTGGTCATCGTTGCCAATCATCTCAAGCATTCCCAGGAAGACGAAGATGTGCCCACTCTACAGTAATCCATACACACAATTGCATCAGACCAGGAATTATGCTCGTACTGGTTTGACAGACTACATCCGATGGAATTGATCAGCAGTTTACCGGCAAGACGAAGGCGTTCTTCTCCTTACTTCCTATGAGCGTGACGCTCCACTTCTGATCGCGGATGAGCGGGATGTCCACGTTGGATTTGACGAGGCGCATGGCCACTCGATTGACTTGTTTGTAGGCGGGGTGCCGTGTCGGCAGCAACTGCTCCTTCATCGACTCCAGAATCTGCAGTCAAGCATAGCTTTATATACCAATGCATTATTTATGAGAAATCCTTCCACCGACCATGTTGCGCTGCTGCTCGGTAATCTGGGCGAACTGATCTGGCGTGAAAACGATGAATCTTCTGCGCTTAGTGAAGGGCGTCTCCTCCACGTGCATCTCATAGTAAATGAAGGCGAAGAGAGCGAGCAAGCCAGCAGCCACTGTAATACTACAGTACGTATAGCAAATCAACTGCGCAAACTTTGGAAATTTTTTATAAGGTTGATAAGATAACTGATAAACCAAAGCTGCTCCAGTCAAACTACCGAAGCTAAACCGGAAACGGATGATCTGATAAGTCAAAAACACCATCACACCTGCGAGCTTATGCTTGTAGAGTCTAAAGTAACGCTGCCGATCTTCGGGGGGAACTTCCGCCCACATTTTGCGAGCATACCTGTAATTGTAATACAAAAGCCCAGTCAGACATGGAGAAATGTACGATCACTTCCAGTTATCAACAGCGGAACAGTTATCAATTACTGTTTCTGTGCTACAGCGCAATTACGCTACCTGCCAACAAGGACTGCAGCCGGCTTCCCTACCACCCGGATCAGCGCAGCGATCAGCGGTGGAAAGGCCAAGTGTGAAGGCGCGGAGGTACGGAAGGCGCGCTGCTGCTGCGCATGCAGCGGAGCGCGAGGCTGCGACGCGGGGTAGGCAGACTGGAAGGGGAGGAGGTAGCCCGACACACAACGAGCACTGGCCACATCATTTGCGGATAATGGCCGATTTATGAGCGAGTTCTGCAACGCTGTCCTTTCGTCAGAACGACGCAGCAAGTGGCTGTGGGAGGTCCCTTGCAGTCCTGCTCCTTCCCTTCGCACAAGGTGTCCACGAGCCACCACGGCGCTCGATCCACGGTAACGATGTTGGCCTCTTCCAAAGATCGGGAAATTTCTGCTCACAGTCGCTTTTATCCATTTATCACCTGCTATTCGCATAGCGCCACACTCTGACAGGCTCAAGCGCATCTGATGGAACATGTTAGGTTGATCAGAATTAGAAGTGTATCTCCGATTGTTGTTCTTGGCCACTGGTGACTGGCCCACTGATCACAGGTTTACAAGTTTAAATCACAACGATTTCACTGAGCTCACTTTACCCTTAAAATCATATTATCCACCAAACCAATTTTATGTGCGTGGATCGCGCAAAGCATCAGTTTTAAAAATTCAACAATAAAAAATAAAAATCATAAACGGTAAACCTAATTAATAAAATAATACTCAGAATAGATTCGAAAATCTGCCGAGCTGATTATTGAAGAAATCATATTGCAGAAATCATTTTTTTTCAAAACACTGTTAACAGCAGCGCAGTTGCGGTCGGAAGCATGTGATCGAGCAATACACAGCAACCTACTGCAGGCGACAGCAGCGTTATTACAGCTGCGCTTGCCGATTGCAGAGTTACGAAATCAGAGCGCAGGCGCACATTTCCAGAAAACGAGCTTGTGTGTTATCGTGTAGAATCCAGATTCCGAAGGCACAAGCCACGGCATCGAAAGTTTGTAAGATTCATCCATAAGACACTCGCCTGGACATTGTGGTCGTACATATTTGATGTCGTGGGGGTGCTGCCGCATTGAATTATGGATAGGATATGCGGAAGGTGTGCTTTGAGCCTGTGCCAGCGCCTGGCTGCAACGCGCAGCCCTGTGGACGCTTCGAGTGTACTTCGCTGGAGCCATACTGCTCGTTACTCTGAAAACAGCATGGTTATTAGTCGCAGAGGTATGGTGCTTGCATTATTTGCACATTGGGCACTGTCATCTTCGTATAAAAGCACTATCAGCCATCAGGCTATAAGCATGCTCATTGCTCAGTCAGCTAAGAGTGCGCTTGCAGGGTGCAGCAGCGGTGCGGCGGTAGGCTCTTCGTCCCGGGTTGGTCTCAAGCAGCAACCCAGCCAAGTCAGAGCCATTCAGTCTACGGAGTTGTCGGCAAACAATATTTCTTCCGCGCGAGCAGCTGCCCCCAATAGTGCAAGCCCCTCAACGAAGCCTGCGCCGTCTTCGGGAAAGACGAAGAAGGCTGGCAAGAAGAACGCTGAGGTATTCACCAGCCAGCACCTAGACATCATCAAGAGTAAGTGTCGCTCGACTCTCGGTGCCATCTTGAGCCACGTTGGACATAAAAATACAAGTGGCGTAAGCCTGTTTGAGTGTCTAAATGGACAAGGTGTGTTTGTATAGTGCTCCATAAGCGTCGTCACCAGCTCAAAGCGCGCATTAGGCAGTTGCGTGAGCGGGAGAGGACGGAAAAATCCAACAGAACTGAATCAAAAATCGAGGAACCGGGAAGGAAGGGTGCCCTCGTGCGACTGCGCGACCCAGCGGTGCCGCTGAAGAGTGCCCTTGTCCCGACGTCTTCTGCCAGCCAGACTGCCCTTCTTCCATTCGCTCCTGAGGGCGGTCGCGATGGCCGCTTGGATCTCCTTGCCGCGCTGCAAGTACGTGATCCCGATTATCTGGAGCAGGACCATCTGTCCAACGTCAGCGACTTCCGTTTGTCGCTGGCGTCATCAGTGTCGCGTACACTTCCGGCCGCAAAGCCGATTTCTTCTCCCGCGGCTCCGGCTGTCGGCCCGAGAAAGACCGCTAGGTGGGAGGCATCGTCTGCCGTGGCTGCAGCGTCGTGGAAGCAGCAGGAGGCGCTGGCAGCGGAGTATAACGAGAAGCGCCGCGTGGAGGCCAGAATGCGACCGGCTAATCTCAAAAATCTGAACTCCACGCTCAAGGCCTACATCTTGGCATGTACGCACGCTGATATGGTAAGGTTACTTGCTGCCCCGGAGAATGCCTGCAAGCTTGGGTTTTTCTTTTCTGAGAGAAACAGACGTGGGCCGGCCCTTCATGTTGCTTGCGCGAGATTTGGGGTGTTTGTTTATATTTGTATGTTTCAGGCTTCCCCGGCTGTCGGTGCTTTCATGTTCTACCGCGACAAATATCCTGATCCAGCTGATCGAGCCATCGTCTTGGATTTAGATGTGTGCAATTTGTTGATGAACTTATTTGCCAAGAAGGTATGCTGGTTATGCGTTTGCCGGAGGTTTAACTGACAGAAACTAAGCAGTATCACAGCCTGTCGTCTTTTGCTACAATCAGTAATTACCGACTCAGCCCATAAACAGGTGGATTATTGCCCGTGACACAGGGATTGTGCGTTGTAGGGCAGAATGGATCGTATCAAGGAGATCTTCCACTGGATGCGATCCGATCGCATCAAACCAGATGCGCAGTCTTTCGCTTTGGCGCTAGAAACTCTTGGACGGCAGCCGACGTTGGACCTTAAAACAGCCCGCCGAATTGCCAGACAAATGACGGAAGAGGTATGCTTGCTGTTCTGCAGGCCGTGATTCGACGTTCATTGCCGTATAGACGAACGAGGAGTCTAGCGAAGCGTTTTATGTTGTCTACATTGGTGATCATGTGTTGGTTTCGCAGAAAATCAGCTTCCAGGTTTTGTTCGAGCAGTGCAGATTCGTGTTGGACGAGAAGGAAAAGGTGCTGGAAGTAATCCGCCAAATGCAGCCCGGCTGGAAGATGGTTCCCATCCGCCGTCTGTTTCCCTACGAGCCGGAAATCTTGCGCTGCCTGAATCAGCGCCCCACCAGTACCCTGATGGACACGCCTTACCGCGGTGTCACCAAGCCGGAACAGTGGCCCGCCCTCCTGTCCGAGCAGCTGAAGCGGGAAATGCACAGCGTAGTGCGTGTGCGCTCGGTAGATGCGCCGCTGCAGTTGGACGCCAAGACTGCCGCCTGTCGGCTAGTGTGGGAGCAGCAAAAGGAGACTTGGAAGCAGGTGTTGACGAAGGCTTTTGAGCGCGGAAAAGAAGTGGTCAAGAATCACACGCGGAACCAGCGGGCGGTCAACATCTATCCGTTGCTCTGCGCTTTAAAACCAGAGGACTATGTTGACATCCTGGTGGAGGTAAGAGGGCAAAGGCGAAAAAGACTTTGGAATTGCTCTTATTAAGCGCGAATTTGCAGGAAGTCGTACGTCTGGCGCAGGGCTCTGAGGGATATTCTCCATCGACCATGGTGCTGGATATGCTGTTAGGGCAAAAAGTTATGAATAAGTACTTGGTGGAGTGCAAGCAGAAATATGGGATCGTCAACCGGGTTAGTGCGGTTAGCGCTTAATAATAAAGCCCTCAAATAGGGATGCAGGGCTGCTTGATATCTTAAGCTGATGGGCGTTGTTGTAGCTGGAAAGTGTTTACAAAGAGTACTTCAAGTACTTTGACAATCCCGCGGAAATTACTCAGTACAACTGCCGCGAAAAGTGGCAGAAGGTGGAAGAGGAGCTGCAGCTGACCAAATACCCGGTAGGGTTATAGCTGGCGTGATGAGATAGCAAGGAATAACTCATGGCCGTGTTGATTGTTGGCAGACTTTGAGTGACCACGTCTGGTCAAAGGCGCTGACGGTGCGGCTAGGCAAATTTCTCAACGACATCATCGTCAACGAGGTGAAGATCGATGTCAACTGCATGCGCATCAAGTCAGTGGAGCCACAGTACACACCGGCTGTCTTCAAACTATACAAAGAGCGGGCCAAGGAGCTCTGCGAAGAACTGAGGGTATGTGGTCACCGCGGCCGTCCAGCAGACAAGAGGCTTTCAGTAGTAATTTTTGTTCGCTGCGCTAGCGTGCGCTCTTGGAACTCTTTGGAAACCATGTGCTTTTGCAGCCTCATCCTTTGCTTGTACGGCTGTATAAGGCCGCGTCGCCAGATACGCTGACCTTTGAGACTACCATGTGCCCCACCATTGTGCCGCCGCTACCGTGGACGGAGGTGCGCTCTGGTGGATATCTTCTGCAGCACAGTAGGTGTCTTGGCTGTGCAAGTACCGCTTTGTTGGAGTGTGATCTGACCGCCAACCTTGCGGTATTCGGTTTGGAGCCCATGAAAATGTTTCATGTTTGCTGTAGCCGTTTTAACGCGGTTGCCAGAAATGGCCATTGCGTCGGACTGCGTGGTTGCCCGCGCTCCTGCGCCTCAGCTATACCCGGTGTTTGACGCGCTGAACCAGTTAGGCGCTTCGCCATGGATCATTAACAAGCCCGTAAGTTCGACGCTGCTTACCTTGTGTGGTTAAAATAGAAATTGGGCACTTCTTTCTAAACGAATCTCTTGATCTTTGCAGATGCTGGACCTGGTGATTAGCATCTTTCGCAATAAAGGCATGCCGGACGTTGACATCCCGGCCCCGGTGTCCGATTGCCTTCCACTCCCCAAACTTACCCAGTACGCTCGTTCGGTGTAAGAACTGTGCTTTCTCTGATCTGAGCAAACTTTGGGTTTGCAGGGGAATGAGTAATATTGAGAAAATGGAAGTGTTCCGAGAGCGCTTTCGGTTGAAGCGCCGCAAAAACGAAATGTTCAGCCTGTGGTGCGACGCTCTCTATAAGTTGTCCATTGCCAATCATGTAAATCGCACGCTTCAGAAACTCCAGCTAATAACGCAGTCGTCCAGTTGTGACGGATTATTTGTTGCAGTTCCGCGACAGTGTTTTCTATTTCCCGCATAACATCGATTTTCGCGGACGCGTCTATCCTGTACCACCACATTTCCAACATCTCGGTAAGCAGTAAGTCCATCAGTATCGAGCAGAGCAGTGTTACATCGGATACTTTGTTGACGGTTATCTTTGGACAACCTTTATGTAATGATATCTCCTTGAAGGAGGCGACATGACCCGCAGTCTCTTATTGTTCGCCAAGGGGATGCCATTGGGCGAGAAGGGTCTCGACTGGCTGAAGATCCATCTGATCAATCTCACTGGGTTGAAGAAAAAGTGAGTTGGTCAGTCCGTGCGAATTAGTTGCAGTGCGCAGTCCTTCTTTGATTACCATCGAGCGTGAGATGCTATGCCTGGGCTGTGGTTGCGCAATGTCAGTGTTGTAGATGTTCGATCGCTGAACGGCTTGCCTATGCCAATGAAATAATGGACGACATTCTCGATTCGGCTGACAATCCTTTAACGGTATGTAGTGGCAACAGTGCCGTCTGCATATTCCGGCTCGTCTGTACTTGTTAACAGGGTTGGCTGCGTGTCGTTGTAGGGGCGGCAGTGGTGGAAGAGTTCGGATGACCCGTGGCAGTCGTTGGCCTGCTGCAAAGAGATCGCTAATGCATCCCGCTCACCCGACCACCGCTGCTTTGTCAGCCACTTCCCCATCCATCAAGACGGCTCCTGCAACGGACTGCAGCATTACGCCGCCCTGGGACGCGACAGCCTAGGCGCACATCAAGTCAATCTAGCCCCGGCTCCGGTCCCGCAAGATGTCTACAGCGGAGTCGCCGCCTTGGTATGCTCACCTGGTGTTCAGCTCTGTTTTGAAATTTTGTTGAAGTTGAACATAAAAAATCGAGCAGCATCATGTGGTAGATTCCAAAACTGTACGGCGTTTTACGCTATGTCGGTTTGTCGACTCGCGTTGTAGATGTGTCTGCACTTTGCGGTATCTAACTGTAGCTGTCATCCGCGTTGCATTGCAGGTGGAAGAGGAGCGCCGGCAGGATGCTGAACGTGGTATTGAAGTCGCGAAAGCGCTGGATGGGTTTGTTGGTCGCAAGGCAAGCGCAGTTTTAGCTATATGTCTTTTGTGCTGGTTTTCTTACGAGAATGTCAGAAAATTAGTCGGATAGTATACGCAGATTTTCTTACGTGTATGCAGTATTCTTACAAAATAGAAGACCCTTGAGCAGAAAACAAAGTAACAGCAGATAACAGAACATGAACGTTAGATGTGGTTGCGTGCAGGTGGTGAAACAGACGGTGATGACGATCGTGTATGGCGTAACGCGCTACGGAGCGCGCCAGCAGATCCATGGTCAGCTAGCGGACTTGCGCGCCTTCGACCAGGAGAAGTCGTGGCCTGGCGCCTCCTACTTGGCCGGAAAGACCTTCGACAGCATCCGTCAAATGTTCACCGCTACCCGCCAGATTCAGGAGTGGTTCGTGGAGTGCGCTCGTCTCATTTCTACCGTCCGCGAACGGCCCATTCAGTGGGTTACACCGTTGCAGCTACCCGTCCTGCAGCCCTACTTCAAGCAGACCAAGGCAAGTCACGTGCTACTGCTCTTTTCTAACAACGTGGCTGTGGAATGATGATCTTGTTCTTGTAGCAACACCAGAAATCTCGACAAACCCTGCATCTTAGCGTCGACAAGGGGTGAGTTAGTTTTTGCTTGTGCAGTTCTCTTCCTCTGTTTGCGCCTTTTCCATTGTTTCTGTTTTGTCTTTATAAACAAAACATGTTGTTGGTTACAGGAAAATCAACACGATGAAGCAGAAAAACGCCTTCCCGCCCAACTTCATCCACTCTTTGGACTCCACGCATATGATGCTGACGTGCCTCCACTCTGCCAGGTGAGAACACCTGTAATAGTTGTTTCCTGCACGTAAAAAGACACATTTGGGTTGTCGAGAAACGGGAACGCACGATTAACACTCAATTGTTTTCTGCTGCAGGGCCGGGATCAGTTTTGTGTCCGTTCACGACAGCTACTGGACACATCCCATCAGCGTGGATATCATGAACAAGGTGGGTGAATTCTGGTACATTCATCTGTCATATCGTATTCGGTTTTCGATGGAGCATAACGCGGTTTGTCCATTTTGCAGCTGTGTCGGGAGCAGTTCGTGGCGATGCACAGTCTGCCCATCCTGGACGACCTTTCCCGCTACCTGGTGAAGGAGTTCGCATTCGACCAAGCGTAAGGCTTCTATGTGCCTATGAATACATTTCGAGAATAAACATACGGTTTTGTTCGATGCAGTGAGGTGGCTAATTTGCCGCCGGACTCGTCACCCGTGATACTGAATAAAACCCTTCAGCATGTCCCTGCTAAAGGTATTCGAATGCGCACACGTTAATGTTGTAGCTTAGCCGTACGTAGTTTTAGCAGTGTAGCGTTGTCCTGTTTGTAGATTGTACAGTTGTTTTGTTGTTGCAGGCGACTTTGACCTTAGCTCCGTGCTACGATCGGTATACTTTTTCAGTTGAGTTATTTGTTCAGTCTGCAGTTATTGGTTTGTTCTGTTAATGCGCTGTGTGCATGGCTGCATGCTGATTTGTACGAAATATTGTGAGTTTTTAATTTTTAACGCCTTGAAAAACCGTGTGCTGTCTGCTGTGATTTTGTGACCCGCTAGGAAGTGATAGAAGGTGCACTTTACCCATATAAGTGGTTTAGCTTGCTGAATTGGCTTATGTTAATTGACAAGCGAATTCAAAAGCAAAGAAAATGCATCGAAAAACCAATAAACAACGCAAGCGAGCTCGTAGGAGATGTTGTTGGTTAGACTTTCAATGAAAAAACGTAGACACCTGCACACTACACAGACGAAATGGAGACTAGCCCGGTAGCGATCACTTAAATGACAATTAACGGGTTACAGTAATGGCCAACAGAGGATGAAATGCTCAAACGAAGAGTGAATGAGTGTCGCTGCGAAACAATGCAACATCACAACTAATCACGGCATCGAGGATGGTGTCGCGCGCCTGCCGCAGGAAACGAAGGCGAGACGTCGGCTAGGACGTCTCCATTTGCGCTATCCTGTCCGTTCAGCTGACCACCTTGTCGAACTTGTGGCCGGCAACGCTCTTGCCCTTCATGGATTCCGCCACGTTGGTGTGGAACTGGGCGGGATTGCGCACCATGAGATCGGCGGCCTCCTTGTTCAGGGGGTCATCGGCGTTGGGTTCGAGGAGTAGATACTGAAGGCCATAGACGACAGCGCTGATGGTCAGCACCGGCTTCCAGTCTTCGCGCAGAATGTTCAGACAAACGTTGCCCTCGTAATCGATGTTGGGGTGATAAATCTTGGGCAAGCACTTCACCTTGGGCGGCTCATGCGGGTAGCCGTTGGAGATTTTGATGGAAAAGGTGAACTTGCCGTTGCGGTAAATTCCCTGCAATACCGAAATGCGGATCATTTTTTACGTAAGTTTTAATGTAAGCTTTTTTACTACAGTGCGCGCATAAGACTATTTCTCTAAAGGTACCTAAAATTTTTCAAACTATAGTAATACGAATATTATTGACAGTTAAATAAATTTTGAATTACAGGTTGGAGTTACAAGCATACAGTGATTACGCATTACACCTCTAAAATGCGAGTGATTAATTACATCGTAAAATTTGGCATAAAAATAACTCATAAACCAGCTCAAACTTAACGTGATAAAAAGCTAAACGAGAGAAACCCTAAACGCAGTTTAGCGGTAAGAAACAAAAGGTTAATTAAGAAATGACGAATTCAAATTAAAATTGTCGAACAGATTGATCGTTTGCAAGAGAAAGCGAACTGAAGACGGACAAAAGAGGACCGACCTCGTCCGGACAGATGGTCAGCTGGATATTCTGCAGATCGTCCTTGTCGGGGAACTCCACCTTTAGTGTCTTGGGCAACTGCAGATCGCTAATGTCTGCAAATTAATCACGCCAGCCTTATCAGTTATTAGTGCATTATCAGCTGTCAATGCATCGTCAAGGCGTCTCCTTAACGCACTTCGAGCACAAATAATATACCTTTGGTGATGCGCAGCTGGGCCGCGGTGGTCTTTTTGGCGTTCTTATTGGCGCCCCCGGCCGCCTCCTGGCCCTTGGACTGCTCTTTCAGCGAGAACAGTTTGATCATTCTTCTCCGCGCAGCCAAATGTACAAATCAGAAGTTCCCGCAGTCCCTGTAACCAACACACTAATCACTTACGGTGTCATGGCCACACTGCACGCAAGATGCCTTCTTCAAGTGTTACATAATAAGGATAAGCACAACCTACGGGGCTTCCAGTGTACTGTACACGGACAACATCCTGTTGTGACGCCAGCCACACAACAATTACTCAGTATTATTTAGTTAGTTACCGTATTCTATAGCTTCGTGTCTCGATAAAGCCAAAAACAACAGGCGACCAAAGGCGTATCTATCGTTCTCGTATTAAAGTTCATTCCATCAATGGTTAAGAACAGAGAGGAATGGCTGACTGCTTGGGTGATGTCAGTCAAACGACTCAAACCCCTTTCGCTACCAGCACACGCTGTACAGTGTACACTGAACTTCCACATTAACTTATGGCTTTTCTATCCTTATGGACCACGATATTAAAAGGGACAATCGAACCTTGTCGTTACACGGTTACAGTGAAGACCTAGACACTCACCTGCGCTGAATCCCGTCCGCTCCTCGAGATTGAATCATCGAAACACGGGAAAAGGGGACAGCCACAGTTTTTCAAACAATACAATTACTTACAGTTAATTCAATAAAAAAAACATTAACCAGCAAACAGATTATCCGTAGATACGTGATCAAAGGATTGAAAAGTAGCACAATTCTTTTAACAGGAGACTGCAGCAGCAATAGAACGTTAAAGTTAAAAACGTATCATATACACACGGGAAAAAAAATTCGTCTGATGACAAATTCTCGGAACTCTAAGAAAGGTTTGCCACTTTTGTAAAAACGTGATAAAACCCAGAAGCTGTACAAACGGAATATCGCATGATTGTACAGTACTTACTGTAGAGCTCTGACTGGTGAGTACAGCAGTTTTTTATGATAAAATAAAAGCAAGTCGGAAGTTGCAAGCGAAGAGTGAAGTATGTATGTACTCATTGTACTGTATCTAAGTGAGTACAGGGGATGAATGGGTGCCGCGCTGCACAGAAAAATGCAAAATGAGTTTATGAAAGAAAATTTATACGACCAAGCCGAGAGTGCACCTGTACGGCACAACTACTGTACACGTTTAAGGTATGCCCCTGTTTAAGCGTACGGTGCGATGTAAAAACAATTTACTTAAATATTATAATAATTTAATATCACAGTATAAATTTAATTTTAGCCCAGTACAGTAAGTTTTAAAATTCTGCTTTTGACAGTGGAACAGGAACTGAATACACTGTGAGTCTGTGACACTATTATCTGTTGTTCGTGCTTTCTGAAAGGATTTGTGCTGCTGAAGTAATCATAAGCAGAAGCTCGACAGCTCCGTTATTGATTGTGATAGAAATTTTAATCTAATCTGGAGATGGCCAGTACGTCGAAGAAGAACAAGTCGAGCGCGTCAGTGAGCGTGGACGACGTGGACAGCGAAATGCGCGATCTGACGGTGGAGGACGCGGCAGATGCGGAGGACGAAGAGGCCCCAGAGGCTGACGAGGAGATGGAAGGCGAAGGCGAGGAGGGCGACAAGACCCGCGCGGCGGCCGATGAAATCTTCAGTCTGGAAGGTGCGGCGGTGGACTGAATTGCTGATTTGCAGTGCGGAGTGTGTGGCCCTGTCTGACGCGTCTTTTGTGGTTGCAGTGCTGAAGGTGGTCAAGGAGGCGCAGCAAGCGCGTGGCCTGCGCCACGGTGATTACGTCCGCTACAGGTAGGAACGACGTCATTGAGTCCATATTGAAGAAGCACATTTGATTTGACGTCGTTGCTTGGAACAGGCAGTATTGCGCGCGCAAGATCCACCGTCTGCGCAGCTGTTTCTCCCTGGCGCAGGGCACCAAGACGCGCTTCCACGGTAAAGTGCTCAAGGCCGACCACATTCGCGACGCCCGGTGGGTGCAAACGTTACGAGTAATGATTCGCTTTGGTGATCGGCGTTAAAATGTGCTATTGTGCGCAGATGCCTGCAGATTCCGCTCTTCATTGCCGAGCGCGCCTGGAGCTACGGCATGCAGCTGAAGCAGGAGGCCGGCCAGGCCGCTCACCCCCGCCGCAAATTCCACATGCTGCGTCGCTTTGCCAAGGCGTCGCGTGCCGCCCAGCATTTGCAGCGCCTCTGTGAGACGCTGAAGGTGGACGCCCGCACCAAACTGGAAACGCAGGTGGGCTGCTTGGGTCGCCTGTGTTTTGTGGTTGGCCAATGATATCCTGTTTGTTTGCGCGCTGTAGGCCTATGTGGAGTGGATGCAGGGCGTGGTATCCTTTAATGCTGAGTCCTGGAGGGAGGCGCTGGAATCCTTCTCGCAGGCCAAGTATGAAATACATCGTCTTTCCTTTGGCGACTTTGTGTGCTTGTTATTTACATGGAAATTGTAACTGATTTCAGAGCGATCTACGAATCGATCGCCTCGACGCTGGATGAAGAGACGCGTCAGCTGTACCGACAGCGCATCGACGAGACCGTCCCGCAGATTCGCTTCTGCGGCTACAACATCGGCGACGAGTCGGCCGTGGAGGACCTCATCAAGATGCGCCTCAAGCCTGGATCCGCCGAGCTGGGCGAGGGTCTTATGGCCAAACTAGATGTACGTCGATACGTCGTTTGGTTATGTACACTGTTGTCATCAATCAATCTCCGTGGTTATTTAAGAAGTGCAAGTCCCACTGAGGCAGGTGTTGAAAACAGTAGGCTGTTTTGATTTTCAGGAGCTGATTGCGCAGAGTCGCGAGAAGCAGGCGCAGACGGAGATATCTTGGCTGGGCAAGAGTGTCCCGGTCAAGAACGCCAAAGTGCGCGGTCTGCTCATCAGCGCCCAAGAAGGCGCCCGACAGTTGGATAGTCTCGACACGGCCGACGCCAAGCTGGAGGTGCTGGAGAATACACAGAACGTCCTCCGCGAAGCACTGCAAGCGGTGCAGGACGAGCAGAAGGCTGTGAGTGGGCTAGCGTAGTCGGAAATAAATTGTCCATCGGAGTGCAGCGCTTGTCGTTTATGCAGGTCAGCAAGGAGCAGCCAGCGGCCGGCGCGGGCCAACAGCTGTTGCACTCGTACATCACCTTCCTGAAGAACCACCACAGTAATCAGCGAGCGCTGCTGACCATCCAAATCATGCGCGGCAAGGTGAAATTGTCGGCCGAGAAGGAAGCGGAGGAGCGGAAAAAAAAGCACAAGGCGCAGGACTACATCCGCCTCTACGACACCATGGTGGAGGTGCGTGCAAGGCTGACTTCTCCGGTCATACGTGCTTTGCTCGTTGTTCTGACTGATGTTTTGTATAGAACAACAACGAGACCGTCGCCCTGACCGGCGTCACGGGCACCGCCCTCATGGAGTCTCTTAACGCGAGCACGCAACTGTACAAAGGCTTCCGCGCCCTGCATATTGGCGACGCTTTTGTCAGCGTGAAAAAATTTCCCGAAGCGCTCACATTTTACGCTCGCGCCGCGGAGTTCGCGGATGCCGCTGTCAAGGCGCTTAGCAAAGCCCAAGCCACTGAGGTACGGATGGTGTTAGATTTTGCATCTGTATCATCCCCATCCTTTTGTTTTATATTACACAAGTGCAGTTGCTGGACGATTGCGTTTCGTTTACTATACTGCGGGCTGTTTGTTTATTTAACACATTTGCAGGAATCTAAACAGAGCTTGACGGAATTGGAAGCGTTGGTCATCAGCCAGAAGGATGCCGCTCTGGCTTATAGTGTGCTGCAGAAAGAAGAATTCTCTGACCTGGAAAGCGAAATGATTGCCCGTCACCGCAAGGTACGTTGTCGCGTGTCCTGACAAGCTTCTTCATTGCAGCCTTTTTTCTCTTTGTGCGCTTGTAGGCCAACAACGAGTTGGAGATCGCACTTGCCAAGCCGGTGACCTTCGACCTGGTGCTGGAAGCCATCAAACTGCCCAACCTGGACGACCGACTGGCGAGCAAGAAGGCTAAAGCCAAGCCGGCCTCAGGCAAGGCGGAAGCAGCACCGGCCAAGGAGAAGACAGGGCCAGCTGCAGCCGCGGCGGCCGCGGGCGGGGGTATCTCGGCACTCAAAGGCTGGATGGGATGGGGCAAAAAGTCGTAGCCGGGCCTTCTTATTTATGCATTTGAGCCTTTTTGTACGAGCGAAGCCTGTTCTTTAAGTTAAATCAGCGAGTGCTAAACCGGTAATATTTGACGACGCCATTTGAAAGCATAAATTTAGCTTCCTGTTGTATTGATTGGTACTTGCTAGTTTAATCTGTAGTTCTCAATGGGATGACGACCAAACAAATCACTGGAAATAGATTTCTGTAAAATTTACTGCAGCACTGAGTAAATCAGTGGTCATCTGCCGGCCTAAAAGGCGCACGGATGATGATGTCTCCAGTCTACAAACTCATGCCAAGCAAACAGAACAGGCAAGCGGAAACGTCGAAAGAGAGAGAAAACACATAGTACAGTTGCAATTCTCGACACCCCACAGCCCTAATTGAGTTGAAACTGCATTCACTGCCGTCAGAGTTACATCGTCCTCACAATCAGCCAAGCAAGAGTAGCCAACAGGCTAACATAATCCAGTCCACAAATCGTGCTTTTTGAAAAGAACGGCTATAAAAATGTGTGAACCGAAAAACCGTTGTGCCACAAAAGCGGGCAATCCCATGGTGATCTAAGGTCCTCAGAAGAAACAGGAAGTCAAACAACTGTGCGGAAGCGTCAGTCCTGCACACTGTCATCCACAACCAACGCTCCCTCCCCGTCAGCCGCCCAGCCGTTGTTGGCGTCCAGCGCGGCGTCTTCCTCTAACTCCACAGGACTGTCGACGCGCGACACGTGGGCGCAGCGCGTCAGGGGCCCAAAAGGGGTATACACACTGGCCTCTTGTTCCGCTTCCGCCTTAGCCAGCGCCCCGGCAGCGGCACTGCGTCGGCAGTGCATGCTGTGGAGGGGCGCGTTCTTCCGCTGGCACTCCTCGCTGCAATATGTCGTCACGCCGCAGCACAACAGTTTGGCGGTCTTCAGGCACACGCAGCACTAAACAACCTCTTTTGAATTAGTTCAACCAGCACCTTGGCTGTTTCTACGAACCGCCCACTCACCCATAACGTCCTCTTGGCCGCCGTAATGGCGCGCTGACGCTCTATGTCCTTCATGCGCGTCACTTCCTGAACCTTCGACTCTGCAACCAAAAATATCTATCAACAAAATCCAACGAAACAATGCCAAGTCAAGGATTACTTTGTGCGAAATCCGTTTCGCTCTGGTACACGGCGAACAGGATCTCGAATTTCTTCACGTTCTGCTCCATTGTCTGCAAGGCGCACATTTAATGCGGGAGAAGTAGAATACAATGCAAAAGATCAAATATTCAAACCTCTTGCATATCCTGCAGCATCTTATCCACCGCCGACTGGCTGCGCGCCTGGCTTTCCTGCAGAGCACGGTATGCATCCGAGTGCATCTGCGCCATGTCGCGCAACGCTTGTGTCCCGTCTGCTTTTCTCTCCCGAATATTCTTCTTCGTATTTCGTAAGAACAACTCCACTTGCTGCAAAGAACAACACTCACTGCCACGTAGTCATCGCAAAAAAGGTGTGACTCTCCGCAAAGAATTACCAGCTGCGCCGTATCAGCTTGTCCGGGCACGCGGTTAGCGTTGGGGCCGCTGGCTGTCGCCGCGGTGCGCTCGGCGGCAGTGTTTGGATTCCAGGTGGGATTGCTGCGTAGGAGGTTGCTAGAGGGTAACGCCGGCGACATCCGGTCCCCGTTGAGACCGGTCAGCGGTACGGGTGAGGCCCGAGCCAAGCTGCCGTTCAGCACAGTAGACGACGGCGGAGTGGCAAAGCGTCCGATGCCCGCCATCGTCGGACTGTTTAGCGAGCGAGTCAGAATTGGCTTCTGCACGTTCTGATCCGCATTATCTATTGAAAAAACATTCGGATGAATGCAACACAGATTTCAGGAAAGCACCAAGGACCGCGCTACCTGTTGAACGAATGGTTTTCTCGCTAAAAGAATTTCTGGACGGGGTGAAGCGCAATGTGCCGCTCGAGTTACCCATCCTAGCCCGCACTTCCATCTGGCTGCGAACATCTATACCGCGATGGCTCGCGTAGACCGCATGTGCGTCTGTCGTCTGCACCATACGGCTGAATATACCTCCGCTGTCGCTGCGTCCCGTGCCGCCGGCGGGTGTTCCCGCGGCAAGCAGACTTCCTAGTGTTTCTTGTCCAAAATTGCCGCTAGTCCGTGAACGGCTGTCTGTCTCAGCGGCACTGTCAGCGGGGATGATCTGCACGCTGTCTGCGTCGCTCACCGCTGAGGCACTGAGCCTGTCGGTTGGAGGTGTATCAGAAAAAGATCCCAAAGAAACGGCACTGGACGGGAGGGGGCGTGGCGAGGAGCGCGACTGCAACGCGTCAATTAAGTAAGACGACTGACTGGAGCCGGCAGCCATAGAGGGAAAGCCCTGCAAAAAATCACCACAACTCCCATTACCCGTGCAATCACATTTTCAGTGTTCGCTCTTCTAATGATTCATATTCCACGAAAACTCACAAATTAACTACGACTTACCTTCCGGGCGGCCTTCCTCAATAAGTCTTGCTGTGGTCCGCCTTGCGACCGCTGGGCATCATTTAACACTGATCGTGACTGCGCGGGCAGCGTGGCCTTGCTCAACTCGTGCGCCAGGGCCCCCATAGGACGCGGTGGCATCCCGCCCTTGGGGACGGCGCGGACACTGTCCGGCACGGTCACCGTGGCTTCTTTGGCCGGACTGCTGGTCGGTCGCTTCATAATGGAATCTAATTTACCCGCCGAGCGAGTGCGCACATCCTGCCCGTCCTCCGGCATCTCGAAAGACGGCATCTCCATTTCCACATCCGCTTCCAGTTGGGCCGGTTTGTTTCTGTCGGATTCCTCGGCAACATCGAGTGGTTCAAAAGCATTATCACTGCTCCCCGCAACTGCCGAAGACACCTCATTGTGCAGCAGAGACGGCTGCGTCTCCACCGAGCTTTCCACGTTACTTACCGCTTCGTCCGCTCGCGGGACCCGCAGTGGCTGTCGTTTGCGACGGTTCTTGGAGTTGATCACCTCCGTCAGTTCCGGGCTGGCTGGGAACAACGACGACACTTCGCTTGTGGGTTCCGGAATCCCTGGCTCGGGAGAGGCTACTACGGGTTCCGGCGCATGAATTTCAGCCACCGTCTCCTTTATAGGTGTTTCCGGTGCGGGTGAGGGTTCTCTGGGCTCAATCAAACGAATTCGTTTATAGCCGGTGTTTTGTGAAAGCGGTTCTGTGGAAGGGGATTTGGAGCGATCCCGATCCCGTTTATCTGTCCGCTCTTCCGGCGTCTCGTCGATTTGAAGCATTGGGGGAAACTCCGAAAAGGACTTCTCCAAAGATTCTCTCTCAGCCACTACGGGGGCCACCGCGGGGGGCACTGTCGGCACCTCAGCGGAGACCAGCGGAGGTGGAATGTCGGCGTCCACGTCGTTGTCGGAGAACATGCGCAGACGCCCGTCAAACGGTGTGTTCTTGGGATGGGCGATCAGCTGCTTATCGGGAATCCGTTGCAGTTTGGCTACATGCTTTCTGCAAAAAACAACCGCTATAGGTTCCATTCCCAATTTCCCACTTATCCAGCAGCACGCAATTGTCTTACCGAAATTGCGCAAGTGCATTTTCGTACTCTAGCTTGACCTTGCCCTTCTGTTTTCCTTTGCTGAACTTATTTGTGTACATAAAAATTGCGTCCTTTGGGAAGACGCCACTGCAAATGCAGAAAAAGTGATTGTGGAGACGGTTTAGTGGCCTGCATAAATGAAGCCAACTAACAATTCAAAGGCACCGAAGAAGCGGACATCGGCCAGCGTTCCGTTGAAGCGGTAGACTATGGCCGGCCAAATGGGATACTTCTCCGCCTTCACCCATACAACGGCGTGCGGATCAGACTGCAAATATTTCATATTAAAGTTCCCAAAATAACCAAATTTGCGTACGAACTTGTAAATACTCTAAAAGGTAAACCCATTCTTAATTATGCGATAGAAAAATTCAACGAAAAAACGCAGCCAGCAGATGTTAATGACTGAAATAATTCTGAATACAAATCTGACCATTTAAATTAGCTTAAAAAGTATTTCTAAACTTAAGTACACAAATAAAATACATAAATAAAAAAAACAAAATAAAATAAGTACGTAAATAAAATATATAAAAAATAAGTAAATAAATTATTGCAAGTGTTCTGGATTGACAACCATTCGTCCACATTACGCGAGTCAATTCGGTGCTTACACAGGGCTGAATCATGGCACGTTCGATGGCGTGCTGGATGGTCTCGCCAGGCCGCGGCATGCCGCGCTCGAAGCACTCCATACACCATTCCAGACTGTAGCACAAGTTCTGGCACGTCTCCACGATATAGTGAGCCGAATGCGTATAGCGGCTATTTTCTGCAAGACAGTCGATAATGAGTTAACAACGCCAGGATAAAATGTGCTGGTGGTTAACCACAATTAATACGAAAGGGACTGATACTAATCCATTCAACCAAGTACTTACGTCCGTTGAAGATGGAGGTATTATGCTGCACCCATTTCAGATCAGCCAGGAAGCTGGTACATGTCTGATACTTGTTGTCTTCGATATTCTGCAACAAAATCACGCATCAAAACAAAGGAGAATTGCTCCAGCCGGAACAACTACTCACATTAGCTATCTGGCGTAAATCCATGGGATGCGTTATGAGTTCCTGGTATTTCTCCTTCACTTCATCGGAACACTCCTCCTGCTGAATCACAGGAATAGCGAACGGCCGTACACGATCCTGACAAATCAAAAACCCCATTAAAACACGGGAACTTACTGGAGCTACGCTGACCTTCACAGGAAATGATGGCGCACGTAGTATATCAAAAATGCAGACGACAGATATCAGAAAGTTACTGAGGAAACACTATTATACCTCCGGAAGATGTTCATTAACAAAGCGCATCATGTGGGACAGATAACTCTTAAATTTGGTCATGCCGACACGATTGAACGCGCTGTCCGCTCTCCTCGACTCATCCATAATGCACTGCAATATTAAAACCGCAATGCTTTTTTTGGTATAACCAAGGCTACAGCAACGCTGACCGCGGCAGCAGACAAATTTCAGTTAATGTCGTAAATCGCAATTAAAATCCAGCTCGTTGATTTACTGGCTTAGCACAACATGCGACTATTTAAAAAAAACTCCAAGAGCTTACGTAGCAATCGAGGCATTCCGACAATTTGTTGTCGGGCGCTAACTCGTCCTGCGACTGGGTGTTGGGGTTGTTGTGGGGTGCACTGAGCGGGTGGGTGTCCATGGGGAGATCTCGGCTGCTGCTGGGGTTCAGATTCCACCAGCACGCGCGGTGGAAGACCCGCACGCATTTCGGACAGCCCCGCTGCTCCTTCAGCGGGATGGCTTTGTGGCAGCGCCAGCAGAAGGCGTCCCATAGCTACGAGACAAAAAGAAAGACATCCGTGATCAATGCTCACCAACCAACGGTGCACGATGACATTCAAGCGCAGTTTACTGACCATGTTTAGATCAGGATTTAGCTGGCGCTCCGGCACGAGCGGATATTTCATGCCGTACTCTAGCTTTCCTTTGGTCGTTCGTTTCGACGCCGGCGACGTTGTTCCCGACTTCCCGGCCTCCAGCTCCGAAGCGGTTCGCTCATCGTCTTCCGTATCAGCAGAGTGTCTACCGGTACAATACAACACAGTAAATTATACGTACTCGTATATGCTGAGCAAACTTTTGCGCTATAGCAACACTGTTATCACGTTTAATTTGAGGAAAAATTAAGTAATTTAATATCTGAATTTATGGAGTCAAACGTCTGTCAACCAAAACACGGCGTGTACCGGAAGTTCTATATAAATAATATTAATAGCTCAGCGCGAACGGTTTACGGTATCACGGCGACGGATCCGTGATACGGCTGATTTAATTTCAGCAAGCACCCTACTGAAATTCGCCTTAATTATTAGCTTTTCAGAATTCCAAAAACTGTAGTAAAGACCCAATACCCATATCCCAAAGAAAAGCGGAAACACTAATAATTAAGGTAGACAACGTATCAAGTCTGAAGCGGTCTGGTGGCCTTGAAAAAGCGCATCAGACTGCACGCCCTTCAAGTGTACAGTGTACTCATTTACTTAATCAGGTCAGTCAATGCGTGAACACTGAATTGCCTCCGATATGCTACGTATCTAGGTCTCATTTTTATGTGTAATGCAAAGTCTGTCAGCAAACAGAAAATTTCCGGAAAAAGTCGAAAACGAAAAGTCGCATACATATAATGTACCACCGAGTAGTGGCGGTGACGGTATAGCCAATTTGAAGTGTAACATTCAAAGGACTTAAAAAAGACAGGATTAACAGCAGCGCGTGCTCACTTGGAGAAAGCTCCAGTAATTCATTGTCAAGCTGTCAAATCTTGCTTGCCGCGTCGCCTTTATAAAAATTTCCCTTTCAGCCTTCTCAATCAACATTTAAAAAACACGTGTATGGGGCAGGGAAATACTGGCTTTTACAAGGGGTACTCACGCGGTGGCTGGCGTGGTCCGTCCTGGCTGGTGGAGACGCGCGGAACGGCGTCGCTCGGGATGCGGACTGTCGCGGTCGCTGCTGGTGGTGATGCTGTGCGTGGACTCCCAGTGCGGCGGGCCCTCGTTCGTCGACGAGGTGGACGCCTCCGCCGAGTGCTCCGACACGGGCGCCTCCTCGCCCTCCTCCATGTCTCCGCTGAGTTCCTTCACTGTGCACAAAGGGAACGCGATCACTCTCCGAGCACCCAGGATGCGGCTGCGATTCAGAACAGGCTCAGCATGCTCCACCCACAACTCTGTGCGCACTCTTTCTCCGCACTTGGTGACTTGCGTTTTATCTCAATCGAGAGCTCCCCCACTGCTACAAATAACTCACGATCATCCACGTGAGAATTCTCTTGTACACGGTCGCTTCGCTGGATGTTTTCACAAATGGAAATCGGCATTGAATGGCATCAAAACTACTGATAACTATTATAAGTCTGGCTTCTCAGCGTAAATCTCTTACGTAAACGGGAAAGCTGAAGTTGGAAATCACAAGAGGCGAAACACGTCGTTCGGGTTCAGGTTCCCCAATACGGAACCTGTTGTAATTAAAAATTACAACTTACGTCTTTAAATAATCGGTAAAAATTATGAATTAAAACAACTAAATCTGAGATATATTTGTTGCAGCTAACTCAAATGAGAAAATAATTTATTTATCGTCTGCCAGAAGTTGACAGTCAACAAATGTTTGCAGTTTTTCATAATGGGTATATACAGTGACAGCATTAAAACCAATTTACAGATCATCACGCGTAACGGGCAGCTCGCGCAGCGGTCGGGGAAAACGAAAACTGTTAATATACACTCTGCTCCCTGCCAGAAGGTGTACCTGCTCTGGTGTTTGACGCAGTGCCTCATGACGTTTTTCCCAAATCGATTGCGTTTTTCCGATCGGTAGGTCTTATGATTCTTATCTTTTAAAACGATCTTCTGATGTCTGGTTGAATTAATGGAATTGACGTTGTAAAGAACGCCACAGTTCAGAAACTCTATTGTAATAAACTTGTTTAAAGGGAGATCGTGATATTGTGCACCCAGTCTTGTTTCGTCACTGACATCTCATGTTCTTCATACTGCAGTAAACACGCAACAGGTACTCCAGTGGTTCTTCAACTTGTATTCATTCTCTTCTACCTTTTTTACCATGTGCACGCACACTAAACCACACTGTATACCAGTGTCAATATTTATAAACACAAAATGCATGCATTTTGATGTTTATATACTTGAATGCACTGAGAGAAAGAGGGCATCTTCAATTTTTTTAAAAAAACACGTGACCAAAAATCACGAGGCAAAAATTACGTCATCCATACCGTACGCCGATGCCTGCAAGGGGGAATCGCTTGCATAATATGGCCTTCCCTGTAAGTCATCCGTATGGATTTCCACGTCATAGCTGAACAGAAATTTTTATAAGCGCTACATTTATAGTAACTGCACATGTTGCTATTTAAAAGTCGAGTTAGCACACGTATCTCGAAATGCGTATAAGTGATTACACTCACGCTGGTCTATATTCCTGGTAAATTTTTTACTGTTTTTTTACATGAAGAATTCACAAAGGCATCAGAGCCAGACGTTATAAAAAACGAATTTCAAAGACTTGGCGCGGGACGCAGGTGGCACCGCCCAGTGTGGCACGGTGATTTGGCTTACATTTTAACAGATTTCAAAATTTTTCATCCTTTTAATTTTCAATTTTCGGGCGCAACTATGGTTGCAAAAATCCATACCGTTGACTGGACAGCACAGCGAAGGTGTGTAGTATGCAATCGATTTTCCTCCATATTAAACAATCAGGTTCAGGTGTAAATTTACTGCTGGCCAGCATTTTTCCATACACGCATAGTAAATCTTGCCCGGGGCCCAAATTTCCAATAGGGGCAAAAATAAAATAAATAATATTTTGCATTTGCATTGCTTTCTGCATCAGAAATATCCGCTGATTCCGTTTTAATCAAGCATTTTGATTAAGCAATTTTATCAAGACTTAACAAAACGGTTTCAACCGAAAAACAAGCTATACGTTCTTGAAGGTGAAAATTTACTAATGACCATTATATTTTAACATAGCTTCAGTAAAGTTCTGTGTTAGTTGCAATGAATGTTTTGGGATTTGTTTTCATTCCTTGTAAATAGTTATTAAAATCGGCAGACGCGATACGTAAAGTTGCGTGCGTGAAATAAACTCCGTAGGGTTTACGTAGCGTAGCGTATCGATCAGCGTATCGATTCCCCGACCGCTGCACGAAGTGCCCGTTACGCTTGATAACACGTAAATTCTATTCAGAGCTGTCACTGGATATACCCACCTTGAGTTTTTGCTGTTTTCTGTTTGTGCTTGGCAAAAAGTGGCGAGCAACGAGCATGGCAAAGCTTGGAAGAGTTTAGCGTGTCCTTGTGCACACACTCTGATTGCATTCTCCACCGCCCCGAGACGGTGGCCGAGCATTATTTTGACTGCACAGCGTAGAGACGCCGTTGAGGCGTTGACGTCAATGAAAAGAGGCGGGTCCAACGCTGGCAATACTTCATTTTGTACAGTGAGCTGACGCGTCGCCAACACGGCGCGTCAGTCAGCCAACGGATCAGAAGCAGCGGCTTCTCCGTAATTAATTATTGTAGAAAAGGTATTCCTGCTTGACGGTAACCATCAGTAAAAATTTCTTCCATCTAACTATCGGGTTGCCGTGTTGCCCTTTCCGTGGCTGTTTGGAATATAATCCACCATGCCTGCGCCACCGAAAAAGCGCCCGAGTGCGACCACCAAGAATCCACCGATGCTCAGCCAGGAGTTCTTCATCCAGAACCACGCTGACATCTTCTCCTGCGCCACGATTGTCATCATTATCGGCATGATGGCGCAGGTGCGTAGCATCTAACCCTTTACCGTGGGTGCTGGTAGCAGGCTGCTTGTTGCAGGTTACCAACCGTTTCGCAGCGCCTTTCGTGGCCCTGACGAACAACGTTACCACTGCCGAGGAATTGCAGTTGGGTAAGTCAGAGTGCTCTGCAAGCAGCAAGCTCTATTTTTTCTTCGAAGTAAATCTCCGGTACGCATATGCAGTGGTAGCGGCTGGACTGGCTGAAGGTGCTGGTCGTTGCAAGCTAAAAGAGAATTGCCTTAACAGCTGTGCAACTTGGGCTGCTTGTTGTCTCTCATGCAGATTTGATCTAATTATTGATAATATCAAATATGCGATTCGATATTATGATCCGTGCACGTGGCATTTGTCCGGGGATGGCATTTCCTGAATAGACAATGAGATAGGCTCAAAAAAATTTAAACTTCGAATTTCCATTGCCTGAAAACTTTTCTGAATAATTGTGCAATATAGATATGACCGCGTATGTATTGTAGTTACTAGTTACGGTCACTGTGGCGGCCAGTGTCCCTTAAAAGAGAATATCTTGTTTCTTTCTCACGGGGTTATTATTTAAACGGCTATTGCTATCTATAATTCTTACGGATAATTGATTAAATTAATGGAAGTGGTTGAATGGAATATGAATGGTGGCTTTTGATTGCAGATCCCAGCCGGCCGATCGAGTACGTGTCGGGCTGGAAGGACGCCTGCACGGTGGTTTTCTATGTCATGGTCTGCATTATCATCCACCAGGTTATTCAGGAATACCTCGTTGACGTAAGTCTTACGCATCGCTGAATCTTAGGGTTTTTATTCTTTCTCTTACTTGCTGTTCTTGACCTCCCTAAATAATTATAGCACTTTGCGAGTATTCACATTTTCGTACGATTTAGTGATAAATGATAATTACAGAAACTGACTCGCCGGATGCATTTATCGAAACTTCGGACAAGTCGGTTCAGTGAAAGCGCCCAACTGATCGGTTTCTATCTCGTCGCCTTCGTTTGGTCCGTCGACTTGGCCATCAGCGTGAGTGAGGCTGAGCGCCACTGATCAGCCGTTATTTTTGATTTGCTGACAGATTGTTTTTGTTGTTTCGTGTAGAAGGGCTACATTACCAAGTATAGCACCATCTGGGACAACTATCCCCATGCTCGCATGGAGTGAGTCTTTGCAGTCTGTTTCTCACGTACCATCGCTCGCGTTAGTATTAATATGGTCTATGCTGTCTGTGTATTTCAGCTTTGCGGAGAAGTTCTTTATGATCCTGCAGATCGCGCACTGGCTGCACACTTATGCTGAGCTGTACTTCCAAAAAGTTAAAAAGGTGCGTGCGTGTTGCTTTCGCTTAATGCGGAAGAACGTGTTGAGTAGAAAGCTTCACACCAGCTGAGGTTGAACTTGTCCGCAATTTTTTGGTTATTTAGGAAGACATTCCGAACCGGTTGGTCTATCAGACAATTAATTTGGTCGCTGTGATTCTGGCCTACGTTACGAAGTAAGTAAACACTAAAAGTTTTAAAATCAAGCTGAAATTATTCTCATAGGTCGATATCCGATAATTCTTATACCTTAGTGCTTAGACTGATGAATGTGTTTTTGGCATCTTAGCTTTCATCGATTGTTTACCGTCCTGATGGTGGCCGAATCGGCTGTGCAGTTAGTTTTCCACTCCGCCAAACTGTTGCATTATGCCGACAAAAACCGCATCGCTAATCCGCTGTGAGCTCCGTTGCTTCCTTTCATTGACGTGTTTGATACGAAGTTAATCGTCTTTCCGTTGTAGATTCCTGGCATACAACGTAATGTTCGTGCTGGCGCGAGTCCTTACGGTTGTCCTGGGCGGCTACGTGATGCTGTACGCGCTGAAGCCATCGCAGGTGTCCACCGTTGATTTACAGCAAGGCAACTTCAACACTCCTTTTGTCAAGTAAGGCTGTGATAATTTCTGTCGCCAGCATGTGGCACCTGTAAGAATTAATGGAATTGGCTGACGTGATTTTCGTCGTTGGCAGGGTGGTTCTGTTTGCCCTGGTGGTGATTGTCAACTTCTGGATGCTGGTGCGCTTCGTGCAGTTCCACTTCCGGCGCACTCGCGAACGGAAGGAGGCCGCGGCCCAGCGACGCCGTCTGGCCCAGGAGCGGCGCAGCAAGGGCGGTCCGGCTAGCCGCAGCGCCTCCTCCAGCGACGACGAGACCCAGAACCAGTCGCAGCCGGAAAGCTCGCCGGCCTCGGCCAACCTGCGCAGTCGCGTCAAGGCCAAGAAGGCCGAGCTGTAGGCGAATCAGACTGTCTCATGTTCCCATTCCAGCTGCAAAATCTCCTTTCGCCGCTGCATCGCTACCTCTGCGCCGCTCCACGCCGTATCATTCCGCTGTTCAGAGAGCAGCCTGGCCTCTTTGGACGCATATGCCATTCTGCACTGCGCGCTGAATTTTATTTGCGCTAGACTTCTTCCCATTCATAGCGTGTTTCTTCCCATGGTCAATGGTGTTTTTGTGTATTTCGGCAGAGATGCGTAATTTTATATTTTTTTTCATCGCGTTTTACTCAGTCTTAAAATTTCGTTTGAATCGTAGAGTTTTGTGCACATGTATTATCGTTATCCATCCCGATGGTGTGGACTGGTATTGGCCGCCCGTCAGTCGCCGCTGCCGTCAGTTTGTACGTTTTAGCCTCTCCTGTTTGTTTTGACATATTTGAGGACACAGCCCGGAAGTCGAAGTAGATTCTGGCGCTTGTACGAGTATTTCACCTTTCCGCATGAATTTCTTTCGGTTTTATTACAACAAAACACACAATAGCTAAGCTTGTATGGTACCAGTATATTACACTTCGCCCAGAAGACTTATGAATCGCTGATCGCAAGAGGTTGCAACCAGCTAGCAAAGTAGCCGTGAATTTTATGACGTTGTATTCCTGACAGTAGTCATCACTACGCAGTGGAGAGGCAGTAGACCAATCGTAGACAAAAGTGTTAGCAATCGGAATGTGATAGCAACCGCTCGTCGCGGCTACAGTAACCGGAAGCAGTGGGACGCAGTCGAAGGAATACCCGCAGCAGATGCAATACGAACAGTAGCGACTTGGAGCTGTTGTACTGGCCGCCAGAACCAACACTAGTAACCGGGTCCTACTGCGGAGCAGTAGTTCCAAGAGGGACAACACATACAGTTCCGGCAGCAGTTGAGTGCTGTAATTACCGGAAGCAGAATTAGTTTCTGTATTAGTCAGTTTATATATTATTCGCTGGCAGTTGCTGTAGCACAAGTTCCAGTGATGTCCCGTTTTTTTCACGGGCTCGGTAAATCACGGGAATTTCCCGCACCCCGCACCCGCTTTTGCTCGGAAAGCGGTGCGGGAGATTTTCTGCTCGGATCGGGTGCGGTCGGGATTAAAGCTTGATAAGTACGCCCGCCCGCTGCTCGGAAAAACTCGGGATTTATTTGAATGATGAAAAATTAAATTATTTGCAAATTAGAAATTATAAAATTATCGTGTAAGCAAGCCACCGTAGCATGTAGCAGTAACTTGCTGTAACTAATTCCACTGCTCCGCATTCCAGTAGCTGTTGTAATCCCATTGCCGCTGGCTGGCGGCCTGCAGACTGCAATACACTTTCAGTACCGTAACTTTCACACTTCCAGTATCGCGCTTTGTCTCGTGCCTTGGCACTGGAATTAACGAAAATTCAATTTTACTGCCACCTGTTTTTAACTTTTTGGCCAGAGACTGTAGACTGTAAAGTGGAGATCAAACGTGTTATCGGGAGTTTAGAGTTAGTTAATTTTAACTCCCAAGATTTCAAAGGATCTGAAGATTGTTCTTTTATTGCTCTAAAGCAAGGCTGGGTTGAAAAGGCCACGTTTGAAAATTCTTGCCAAACAAGTTTTATGCGCTCCAGCAACGACCGCTGACGTCGAACGGATGTTTAGTGTTGCGGGAATTTTGCTCAGTAACAGGAGATTAAAAACTTCGGATCAGCATTTCGAGAGATTACTGTTTTGTAGTATTAATAAACGGCGGTTAGATGGTGATTTAAATGTCGGTGGTAAGAGAAAGTTGAATAGTTGACGGTGATAATAAATTGTACGGCGACACTAAGGCTTCAAGCTAAGGGTGAAATTTCTTAAAAGTAAGATTTACGATGCAGGTTGAAAAACAGTAATTTTCCAAACGTATGGCATACTTGAAACATTTTAACAAAAATGGCAGTAACAATAACATTGTTAAAAAATTATTTTATTGAAAATCGGGAGTCGGAGCGTGGTGCGGGACTGTCCGAGGGCTCGGGTGCGGGAGCGGGTGCGGGAAAGTTTTCGATCGGGAAAGTGCGGTCGGGACATGAAAAATTGTAAACGGGACATCACTGAGCACAACAGACACAAGTAGCCGTTATTCTCATTACTAAACACTCGGCTCCGGTTGCTGCAGTGACTGCTGTCGGCAAGCTCAGTGCAAAAGGCCATAATATTAGAAGATTTTAGTAATTTCGTGCTGCCCGTCTCCTACCAAATGCTGGACTTTTTCTGATTGTTGTTGCGCCAGCTGTCGGGTAATGCGTCATCCGGTAACAATAATCGTGCTGCAGGTGTCGGCCGCTACGGTTGCGACGGCTTCCAGCCACCGCTGAACCTCCTTCCGATTGCTAACTTGCTACTTTGGGCTTTCCCGCTAGAACAGCAGCTTGTGCGGGTACTACTGCGACTGCTGCTGGATAAATGAAGCATAAGCTAGAAACAGTCGCAATTACATGTCGCTAACTGCTGCTGTGCTGCTCTCGCCGCGAGAGCCGCTCATGGAGTAGAAAAGGGAAGTTGGTCCAGTGATGGCCGACCGTCGCTGTGGTTACATATTATAATAGTTTTTGTCAGTTGCTAGATGACAGGATGGAGGAGGTTCTATACTCGGGTGACCGCAGTTTACAGGAACTGGAAGGAACAACAAGAGCGTCCCGCGGCAGTCGCACCGTGTGCCGGCACCCAGTGCAGCGGTCAGCAGTCGAAATCGCCGCAAAAGACAGCGCTAGCGGCTTTAGCGCTCCGTAGCCAGAGTCGCAGCGGCTACAACTACGTTGGTACGGTCTCTTTTCGCTGCAACCGTCTAAGCTGTCGGCAATGTTAGGAGGCAGGCACCAGAGATAGGTCCAGTACAGACGGTATCCAGTAAGGGCCGCAGTAGTGGCCGACAGTTTTCGCACATCCGCTGCCGGATGCAGCCACGCCAAGTGCGGAGGACCACTGCCGATCACGCCCATGTTGCTGTTCCAGCTAGATATTAGCCTGCAGTCTTTGCGCCTGTTGCTAATGGACGATGGTCATTGGCGCCTGTTAGTAGTGAGTACACAATTATTCCGTTATCGCTACCGTGAAATCCATCCATGCCAGCTAATGATTTCCCGGCGGGTGTTATACTATTCTATCAAGCCAACAGAGACCGAAACAGAAACATAGTCCTTTTTGCCAACAGACGTCTTGATAATTAGGCTGCCGAAAATTTGTACGTAATACGCCATTAAAGCATTCATAATATCTTTTACTGCCCTACCGAGACCGGCACAGTATGGTGAAAGTTACACAGCGTTTTGTACGAAAAAGTATTATCAGTTTTGCTGCAGATGCCGGGAAATTAGCCAATGACGAGTCGCTCGTTTGTACAATTGCACTTATTGACGGAAACATGCCTCTAGTCCGTCAGGGAAACTTTACTGTCGATACTGTTAACACTGGGTTTGGGGCAGAGTTGACATGTAGAGAAGTTGTCACTGTTTTCCGCTGTGCATATTGCTAATCCACAAAACGTGCGGGCTATCGCTGACACGCATTACACATCCAAATCGCCGGCATATGCATTCTGCGTTGGCTTGGCCTGGGTCAAAAATAACATTTTCTGCATTGCAGTTGGTTGGGTTCGGTTTTGCACTGCACCATGCGGAAACGTCGGAAGATGTGGAAGCTGAAGAGTTTCAGTGTGGAGCATAAATCCATTTAGCTAAGGCAGTGTAGCTTGTGGTGCAACATGGACATGTTAACAACTTCTTCGTCTTCATTCACCTAATCGTTTCGGCCGCGGCTGATATCGCTGCAGCGGAAGTTGTTCGTCATGATCAGTGTGCACTTGAAATATCATTATGCCGTGATTTATATCTCTGCACTCCCCACCGTAGTCATTCTTTTTTGCCAATTATCTTAGCTCAGCGAAATTGTTGGATGCAACTCATGCGATGCTGTAGGTGGAAATCGGTTATTCAGCGGCGTTATTTTTAGCTGGGCCCACAAACACTTACTCAAGCTGCTCTGCATGTCGTTCGTTGCGTCGGCCTGTTGATTGGCGGTAGAGCGGCAGTATGGCCGCATCCCTGCCGTTGCCGTCCAAGAGTGGCGTGCGTGCAGATAACGCCGCATCCAAACCGGCGCACTCGCCTTCGCCAGTCGTGCAGCCGAGTAGCGCTGCCAATTCGAATTCGCGTGCAGCCGTCGTTTCCGCTAATTCCACTTCGCCAAGCCCAAAGACGAGCACTGCTTCCACGCCGATCCTCTGTCAGCACTTCGAGGGTCAGGTTTTCCGCAAAAACCGCTGCAAGACATGTTTACGCGATAAGAGCGAACACAACAACGGCACACCAACAACAACAACAGCAACATCAGCGGCACCGTCCGCAGCGCCCTCTGCGGCTAGTCCCGTTTCCGCCAGTCCTTATTCCAAGTCACAGCCACAGTTAACTGGGCATCCGCCACCCACCAAAAGCAAAGAAGAAGCACCGACTGCCTCCATCAGCGGAATACTGAAGAAGGCGCAGAATGGCGGTCTGACTGCGCCTAATCAGCCGCCGCCGTTGCCGGCGCCAGCCATGACGTCCTCCTCCAATCTGCGGCCGGTGCGGGTAGCCGTCAGTGCCACAGCGGAGACCGACAGGCCCGGTCACTCGCCCGATCAGGAACAGCTCAACACCACCACCCAGACCATCATCCTGTCCAAACACTCCCCCCAAATTCGTCGCTCTAGCTCCAGCGAGGCTACTCAACGGGGGGCGCATGTGCGAGGGGTGCGACGTTTCAGCTCAGCGGAGAAGGTCAGCGAGCAGGAGGAGGAAGGAGACGATTCGGACCGCATGCGAACGCCGTTGAGCGGCTCGCTGCTGTCGATGGTGACCGCCGTGGAGTCGACCTCCGACTTGCAGTCGATGCACACCGCTGTCAGCGCCGGGTCACTCACCAGCCTCAACAGCGCCGGCACCTACACCTCTTCTAGGGACAACTTCCAGGTTAGCAGTAACACATAATGATCGCTGCTCAGTGTTCTTCAGGTAGGCTGGCAATAATGCCATTTGCACGTGATTTATTGCTAGTTGACATCATACTGACACCAGCCATATACAAGTGCGTTTATAGAATTTTTGAGTGTTCGGTTTAAGTCGTTTGGCTGATTCCGTGAAAGTAAATAGACCACCGAGGTAGTCGTGGTCTTTTGGGATGTAATTTCCCATCCAAATACACACTGGAATGACTGACTAAAATTGTCTGACGGAACTGTTTCTGTCTTCCGGCCAACCGTAATATTTTTGCCGGTTGTATGGAACATTCGAGCCTGATTTAATCCATGATACACTTGCAAAATTAGCATAATAACTGTGATGTATACGGTAGTTGCAGAGGCATCATTATTATGGATCAGTATTTGTTTTGTTTTTGTGGCCCGCTTAGTCTTGTTGGGAGCTGTTTGCTACAGAAAAAGTTATGAAACAGATGCCACGCGACCAGACTGACGCACTTATTGCTTCGTAGGACACCGTAGAGGAAATGCAGGCCACCATCCGTTCACTGACCGCTCAGCTGGACGACAAGAGCATCGCGTTGGCTGAGCTGGAAGCGGCCAACGGTGAACTGCGGGAGCAATTGTCCAGCCCGCTGCAGTCTGGCAACAACGCCGCCGGCGGTACTCTCACGCGCAAACGCGATGAACAGAAACGGTTACGCGATCTGGAGCGCGAGAAAGCGGAGCTGGCCGGCAGCGTTAAGATGCTGCAGGACGAGGTGGAGCGCATCCGCGAGGCCATGGACGAGGTCAATGACCCCGACGAGGCCGCACAGCCCCTGGGGGAGCGCGTGCGGGACGCCGTACACAAGCTGCAGTCGGCGGAAATGATGTGCGAGGACCTCATGGACGACAACGAAGAACTAAAAAAGGAGCTGCGCTCAATGGAGGCGGAGATGGACGAGCTGCACGACAACTTCCGCCAGGATCAGGCGGTGGAATTCCAGACCATCCAGAAAGAGATGGAGCAGACCATGAAGAACTGTCGCATCCTGCAGTTCAAACTGCGCAAGGCCGAGCGCAAGTGCGACGAGCTGGAGGCCGACAAGGCCATCTACGAGGTCAAACTGCGCCAGCTGACCAACGTCACGCCGGTCACGGTAGCGGGAGGAGCATCGGCTAGCCAGGAGGCTGCCTACGCGCAGGAAATGGCAGCCGAGCTGCGGCAGGTGGTGGAGGTCAACAAGCGCCTGCACGAGGAGATCGAGCGCATCGAAGAGGAGCGCGGTCAGCTGCGGCTGGAGTACGAGGCGCTAACTAAAAGCTGCGCACAGATGGACAAGCATAAGGACGCCTACCGCCTTGCGCCGGCGGTTCACCAGCCTCATTCCCAGGTATGTCGATAGAACAAAAAGCGCGAAAAGACTTCCACTGGGAATAGCGTGGGCCGTTAAAGCGGTCGATCGGAACTTTCTCCTTAAGTAACGTGTTTGTAGTAAGTAGTAAAATCCCTAATTAAATGCAGTTACGAGCTCACGCGTTCTTACCAGCTGTTAGTGATCCGCTGAACTGGTTCTGCCATCAAATATTTGCAGTCCAGACAGTAGAGTGACTGTTCAGTCGAACATTTAATGTCGCGCGTAAAGTGCAGTTTGATGAGGTGGCACGTATCGGTGCACTGTGCGGCTGCGCGTGTATAAGTCGATGTTTATGCCGGAGCAGAATTTCAGGCTGGCTATTTTTATTCCCTCCGCTCCGACATTTCGTTTCGCCATTCACCGACCTGCAGGCTGCACGATGAACCGCATCTTTGCTCAACGGAGCTCGCCGACTAAATAGTTCGTGCCAAAAATAATAATATTCCTCGCACCGACCTATAAATTTAACCTGTATCTGCCTACTAAAGACTTGCGCAAGCGCATTATGCGACATCATTTTAATAATTACCCTCTTGCAGTTTTTGTAAAAAATTAATATAATTATTATACAAATCATATAATTTGTACGAACGCTGAGCGCTACTGCACATAGCTGATTCACTAGAATTCACAACAGTTGCCTGAACGTTTCTTTGGACAGTTCGAAGTGCTTGTTTAAATTTAAATTTGTTAGCACTTATTTTTGAAAATAAAAATGGTGATGCTTTACAGTCAAAAGGATTTACTTTCAAAAAAATTCTGGCAGATACTGTAAAAAGTAAAGCCGGTATCGTGAGCAGCAGCTAATCATTCTGATGGTGAATACATACGACTACGCGTACGAGCAGCAACGTTTAATACGAGTATACAGCACAACGTCAGTTTCTGCTAATACTCTAGGTACGTTGTTTAAATAACGATGAAAATTATTGTAATTTAAACTATCAAACTATTATAACTTGAATTTGTGCTATAAATAAATTACGCTGTTGCACGTTGTTGCAGAGTGGTCTCGAATCTGATTCACCTTCACATTCCAGCGGAGCCCAAATTCTCTCCCAGGTACGCATTCAACGTGTCCAGTGCAGAACACACGTAACAAGTAATTAGTAACCATTGCAACACGCCGCAAAGGTCATGCTGCCGTGGTCTCTATAGACTGCCTGCGTCACATCGACGCATGCGTACGCATTATATTCCAGCCGGTTTCGACAAATCTGCCAGAAGGAAAGCGTACCCGTAGTTTGTATAGCTTGCCGGTGATATAGCCGTCTTGCCTAATTATGGTGCTATGGTCTTGTCTTAATTACACGTCTTAGTTAATTTTTTTAATTGAAACATGTTGTGCAATTCGATCAATTGGATTGTAGGCATCAGGTAGCAATGGGAAGAGCATCCAGAGGAACGGAACAGCCGTCCCGGATACAGCCAACCAGGAGTACGACGTCAACCAGCTACTGCGCGATCTCTATGACTCCGTCGAGCGCGAGACGGATCTCCGTGATCAGCTGACCTTTGCGGAAGAGCAGGCCCGCCGATTGCGAGGGCAACTGACAGACACGGAGCACGAAAACGACTCCCTGCAGCATCAGTTGAAGAAACTGTCGGCCGCCCGCCCGCCATCCGGTGACTACTCTAAACTGGCCGCTCCAGAACAACTGGACATCCTGCAGATCAACGAGGACATGAAGATTCAGTTGGATGTCGCCGAGCACGAGGTCTCTCTTCTCAAACGGAAGTTACAGGTGCCGATGGTGATTCGGGTTTTCTAAATAAATTATGATTTTGATGTCAACAACTACTAACTACAGGAGGCGGACCAGAAAAACGAAGATCTAGGCGTCGAGGTGAAGCGGCTGCGGTCATCGTGTGACGAACTGAAAAGTGCCAAAGAAACGATGAGTGCCGCGCTAAACAACTCAACCCACCGTGGTGGTGACAGCACACCGGTGAGCCAGGAGCAGAAGGTGAAAGTGATGGAGGCGGAGTGCAACGAGCTCCGGCGGAAGCTGGTGGACAAGGAGCGCCAGTTGGAACGGCTGTCATCGCAAGTAGAACTTGTGAAACGGCGAAGCACCCTGGACCGTAGCCGCTCTCTAGAGGACGGCCAGTTGATCGATCTGCGCCGGCAGTTGACGATGGCCGAGCAGGAAATTAGCGTGCTCCGTCAGAAGACGCACGGGCTGGAGAGTGATAATGACAGGCTGTCGGTGGAGAACAAGCGTCTGCATTTTGGCGTCCGTGCAGCCTCTGCCGCTGGCAATCACAGCAGTAACAGCAAGCGCGGCTCCACGGAGGACCCCGACGTAGCACGGGCCGTCAAATCCAGTGAGGCGCTGGCCTCCATCAGTGAACAGTTCACCGACAAGTACCTGGCCGACATCACCGCGCTTTCAGCCGCCGGTAAATCGGCCCAGGAACTACTGGAGGAAATAGCCGGGCTCAAGCAGCGCAACGAGGAGATACAGGCGGCCATCGGTAATGCACGCGACGCCTACGAAAAGATTTTGGCCAAGGCGCCTATCAAGAAGGACATTGCCACGCGCCAGGAGCTCAAATCCCGCATCGACGAGTTGGAGGCCGACATGAGTGAGTGTGGCTAGCCGAGTGCGCTGCATACAGAGAATGTTAATTTTAATCAGCATATTAATTAATCTTGACATTGAGCAGAGTTTGCGCTGACCGTTGCCGAGCAGGAGGGCAGCGCGGCTAAGCGGCTGCAGACGGAAGTGGAGGAGCTGCGCGCGAAGGTCCGGCGTGTGGAGATGCAGGATGCGCCCGTCAGCGACGAAGTCAAGGAGTACCGCATCAAGCTGTACGACGCGCAGCACGAAGTGGACAACCTCAAGGTGGAAATTAAAGACCTCCAGACGAATTTGGTCGAGGAACGCCGGCGTTCCCGCACGGTCAGTCAAGACTGCATGCCCCACTTTTGTTACCTTGAACGGGAGTTTTTATACCGGCTTCTATTTGTAACGTGGATTTTGGGAAATTCTGCTGGGCTTGAAAGCTGTTATATGACGCATGAACTTGTGTTGTAGAGTGAAAGCGACATCATCGCTAAAGAGCGGATGGACACGCAGTTGCGTAATCTCAAACAGGAACTAGCCAAGCAGCGGTATATGGTGGAAGAACTGACAGCAAAGGACAACACGGTACGGGTTAATATATTGCTATGCTGCACCGGCATGGCAAATTTAACAGTTACTTTAAAGTAAAACGTTTTTGCCGATGGTCGCACGCTGCCTAAAAAAATTGTTTCATGTCTGCAGCTCTGCAAACAACTGGCGGAGTGGCAGAAGAAGTATCACAGCCTAAAGGACGCCTATAAGAGCGACACAGACGCCTGGCAGAAGGAACTAACGGATCTGGAGCAGGAGCTGAGTAAGGAGAAAGGCCTGCGCACCAACGAGACCGGCAGTAAGAAAACTTTGGAAAAGGAGCTGCAACAGGCTAGGAATAAGAACGCTACCTATGAAGACCAGATCCGGAACCTTATCGAGGCCGGAAAACTGAAAGGGAAGGACTTACGCGACAAGAATGCCAAGCTGGAGACGGAAGTGGCCAAGGATCGTAAGGCCCTGGAGGAGGTGCGTATGCAGCTGGACAACCGCCAGGCGGAGGCCGCCATGCAGGATACGAAGAAGCAGGCCGAGAAAGAGCGGCTGGAACAGAGGGTTAGTCGGTATAAATATGTGGTGAAATAATTTTACATGGTGACCTTTTTGCTTGCAGGTGAATAATCTGGTGAAGGAACAGGAAGAGGCCGCCGCCCAGAGTAAACGCGAAAGCGACAAGCTACGCAGCGAGGTTGAGAAGTTGAAGAAGACGGCGCTGGAGACAGAGAAGGCGCTGCAGGAAGCAAAAAGCGAGGCAGAAAAGCTGAAAACACAGCAAGGCAGCGGCGACGCTGGGACCACGCCCAAGGGCGGGTACGCGCGTCTGTCGGCCTACGAGCGGGCGCGCGCCAACGAGCAGATCAAAGAGGAAGTGGAGAAGCTGCACAAGCAGAATCTGGAGCTGCAGAAGCAGCTGCTAGATGCGCGGCGTGCTGGCGATGAGGCCGGGGAACAGCTGCAGCGCAGCGAGCGCAAGTGGACATGCGAGCGTGACGAGATGCAGAGGAAACTGCGGCAAGATGAAAAGATTCACAAGGCGGAGATGTCGGCAGTTAGCATGCGTTTTGAGAACAAGCAGCGATTGCTGGAGGACGAAAGCAAGACGCTGAATGTGGCGCTCAAGCAGGTGCGCGTAGAGCGCGACACACTGCAGGAGCGGCTGGAAGGTGTCACGCAGCACAGCGGTCGACTCAAGGACGAACATGCTGACGCTACAGCTAAGCTGGACATAGCGGTCAGTGGTATATGTGCATTAATTAATTTTGATGTGCTCACTACATTCATATCTTTGCCTGTAACAGAATGCTCAGTTGGCCAGCCTGAAATCAAACCGGGACTCCGCCCAGCGGCAGCTAGATGACGTCCAGAGCCGACTGAACAAGCTGGAGTCGGAGCGTAACGACACCAAGAGCAAGGCGGCCAAGGAGAAGTCTTCCTACGAGCTTAAGATTGCCGAACTGCAGGACAAACTCAGCCAAGTAGGTTTGCTGCTCTAAGAGTCTGGGTAACCTACGTCGCATAAAATATTTATGCTTGATAAGAACACACCTTGCGCTTGAGCTGTTTGTTGAGAGATTAGCGTCAACAGAAAATCGGCTACTTTTAGCCGAGGTCAGCTGTAGGATAAGATTGTTGTGGAAATGCGATGTATAGATTTGAGCCAATACTGAACACATGGTGTAGGAAGTAGCATCTAGCCAGTTTACTGGGTTTAATAATATTATGATAAATCATACTATTTTGCTAACTGCATACAACTGGCCGACAGGTACAACAGTTTTATTTTGCTGGTAGTATGAAGGTCAGCACGCGAAACTGTCGGCCTATGCGTTGAAGACACGACAGATGGCGCAGGGTGGAAGTAACAGCAGCGGCACAAGCAAAAAGAACAACGGGGAGCCGGCAGAGGCCAGCGACGCCCGGGAGCGGGCGGAGGCGGCGGAGAAGGCGGCCAAGCGGGCGGAAAAGGAACTGACCGATGTGAAGGCCCAAGTGCTGGCCCTCAAACTGGACAAGGAGCGGGAGAATGACCTCCTGCGAGCCAAAATTCGCGAAGTATGGCGTTTATCTCAAAACCCTGCTATTAAAGCGCGCGCGCGCACTGCATCTCACGACGGAAGGGCATTTAAGGCACTTAGTGTTGTAGTCGTGACTTGAGAGAGCCCTTGTGCGCCATCCTCTAACCGTGTGAAATGTGTATTTGCTGCATATGACATGTTATTGTTTTGTATAGTTACAAGACAAACACAAGCCAGTAAGCGACGCTCACGTCAGCTTGAAACTGGCCTATGATTGCTTGCGCACCGAACTGGACGTCATCCAAATCGAGCGGGATGACTTCGCTGAACGGCTGGCCGAGAACGAGAGCTACCAGATTAAGGAGCGCGGCAAGATTGACCAAATACTCTCCGAGGTGAGTGGTTTAATGACACGCTCGTTTGGTCATACCACAAATTACAACTCAGCTGCAGTCATATCCGCTCAGTATAACGTGCTACGGAGTGTTGACTGAGTGGTGATTTCACAGATCCAGAAGCTGAAAGAAGTAGCACCCAGTCTGATGTCCTCCGAGGAAGACCTCTTCCTCTCCTCGCCCTCCGCGCCCAAACGGCCTTCACGAGGCCGCACCCGTGACACCCAGGTCGACGATAAAGCCATACCCTTCTTGGCCACCACGCCCACGTCCGACCACAAAAAATACAAGGGCACGAAGAGTGCCGATTTGCAAAAGGCCATTGATAACGTAAGCGACTCTCTGCAACAGCCCCGCGGATTTCCCACTGTTATAAATTTTTCCACTTAATTTCGGCTAACTTTAGCCGCGCGGAAAGATTACGTACTGCAATGTTACTCCAGAATGGTTGTTGTCATATTTAAAGCGCTTTCACGTCATTTTTTTGCTAATGGTTGCAGATTACCAAAGTTAGCGAAGACATCAAAGCAGAAAGAAAGACGCGGCGTCCAATACTGCCTCACAAACGGTACGACACGATAAAAATTCAGATGATTTGCTTGTTGAACTGCAGAACGGTTGAAAAGCCGTATAAAAAGCAGAGCGAAGTTATCCGGTTTTGTCCCTGTCGAATAGGTCTCAATCGGCCTCGATAGCGGAGTCTAGCGCCGGCGCTTCGCCACTGATCCGGCGCTATCCCAGCCTAGACGACGACGAAACGGGCGACGCGGTCAGTCTGCCGGCGCCCACGCCCCTCAAGTCCATCGCCAAGGTTAGCCGTAACCCGCGCTTCCCCTCCATTCCACCCAGCTTCATCGTGACACCGCCCACCGCGATGCAGCAACAGCAGCAGACACGGGACAAACTGCGAAGCCGCGCTTACGAGCTGGCGGCAGCCGGGCACTCCGCATCGCCCATCACGGAGGAAAGTTTCACCAACCCGGGCGGTAGCTGGGACTCCATCGACAGCGACATCAGCACCGAGTCATGGAATCTGCCGCTGACGCGTCCCGCGCACGACGATCGGCTCAGCTACATATCGTTGCCTAATCTGCCGCAGAAAGTGGATACAGCCACCTCCATGGAGGACAAGCCCAAGCGCTCCCTGATGGACGTAGCCAAGGCCAAGCGCAAAAAGCTCATGGCCAAGCTGCGTCCTCTCTCCCTGCACTCCTCCACAGAGTCCCTCGAGGAGACTGTCCGCGTTACGCACTCCGACTCCTCCGGCTTCTTCGAGTCACCTTCGCAACCAGCCAAACCCAGGGCGCCGCCTACTCCGCCTTCTCTACCCGCGCATACCCCCTCCCCGTCCGAGTTATCGACGAGGAGGTCTCCTTACGGCTCCGCGCCCGCCACCGTGCAATCCAGTCCTAATACGGCGGCCCGTGCTGCTCCCGCCGCTAAGGAATCCATTCCGGCGCCCACTGTGCCTGACAAGACTCGCGTCAAGGAAGTGGCCAGGGAACGGGCAGGGGGAACAGCGACAACTAACACAACCGCCGCGACCAGCACGACTGCCACCTCAACCGCGCCGTCAAGCGCTGCCGCGTCCAGTTCAACACCTGCCGCTTCCTCCGTCAAAGAGGTCAAGTTTACGGAAGGAAAGGCGGGCGCCGGTAAGCCGTACCTCAATGTGTGGAGGAAGCCCATTTCGGATATTGCGAAAAAATTCGAAAACAAGAGCAAATAATGCTGATATGCACCTGTACACCTGATTATATTGCCACTTTTTTATTGATTACAGTGATTCGTATTCTTCTGTATTTACTGATTAATAAAAATTTCAAATTCCGTCTGCCTGATTTATAAAAAACTGACACATCAAAAGCATTGAAATCCAAGTCATAATAATCACAGTTGGCGCTAGCAAATGCAGCATTCACAGAATGCAGCTCTCGTAAAATTTCTACGCGACCAGAGACACCACACTGACCCAAAACATGGGCAACCCCAACGAGGCATCAGGCATCATCGGCCGATCCGGCGACAAGGCTGCAGAGCTCTCGGAGAATAATGTCGCTGCTTTGTTGTGTCGTTGCCGTACGGACAGTGGCCAGAAAGAGTTGGCGTACGGGTTCTATTTGCATCTGCCTTCTGAAATCGTGCGCGGCCCGCAGAAACACTTCACGCAGGTAGGGGTCCAAAACCGGGCCCCGCAACTGCAGATATGGAAAGATCGCGGTCAGACCGGCAGTAGAAGCACAGACAAACAAACAGGCCAGACTCCAGACGGCCACTGCCGGCGGCTGGCGCTGGGCGAAGTTGGCGAAAGACAAACTGATCCATTCTTCCACCACGGATTCTAGGCGGTGGCGTTTCAGCTGTTGCACCACCTACACGAAGAAACACCATTCAGTGGGCAACTAATCAGCGATGACTTCTCTCTGGTACCGTGGCCATGAGCCGGGCCGCGAAAGGCAGCAGCGGAGGCGCGGCTGACTGGAACTCGGCCATGGCGCGGTTAATGACTTCATGCAGGGGCATCTTGTTGGTCAGCAGGGTAAGAAAGAGGTCGCCCAGAATTCTCTGTTCAGCGCAGTAGCAGCGGCCGATGCGCTGCTGAATCAGCGCCAGTCTCTCCAGGGCCTGGATCAACTACGGTGCAGTTAAAGAGAGATGGGATCTGTTCGCCTAAATTCGATATTAACACAGAACTTTCATGAACGCTGCGTCGTTTACCAAGGGATCACTATGAATGTCCATCATAGCAGCACTGGCGACGTCTGCGCTGATGCGGCCAGAAACTTCTTCTCCGTCTAAAAACGACATCAAAGCTAGTTGTATGCCCGAGGAATCGACCATTAACAGTGGTTAGCGCTCAACAGCCGAATAATGAAACGATAAAGGAAGGATTAGAGCGCGATATGCAGGCGGACGCATTGCCTACCTGGATCTACACAGCAAAGGAGAAAGCCGAAGATAAGGAGCGATCGAGGAGGCGGAAGATTAATGCTGCATTTGGAGTCAACGTTAGATAAAATGGACAGTGGCCTCGTCGGCAAATATTTGCTTGCACAAGCGTACCTTTCCAAAGCGGTCTTGATCAGCTGTTCACGAAAAACGCCGTCCAGAGGGCGCTTGTCGATTAAGTACCGCGCCAGGGCCAGCAACAGGCTCTTTAGCGAGGGAAAGGACTGTCGTTCAACAAGCCAAATTTAAAATAAACAAATTTAATACACAGTACCAAATTACTAATGAACTACAGCGATTAATCGCTAATATTAGTCACTGTCGAACGGCAGAATACCAATGTGTGCGCCGCGTGCAGCTGCAGGAGGAGAGCGTCCTGATACGGATTGACGCTGGCTTCCTTGGGCTTGGCCACGAAGAAGTCTATCTCCGTCGCCAGGATGCTGTACAAGATGCTACCCAAATCACCGCAGGTAATGCGTGCCCTGCAACAAAAAGACGTCACCTACATACGACATGGAAAACATGAACAGGTTATGGTCTGACCTGCTCTCCAGTTCGTAGATGGTGGTGGACAAGTTGAGCAGCCACTGCACGGTCTTTCCTGAAGCGACGTCGCCGGGCTGATGCTGTTGCAGCAGACGCAGCAGCATTCGCGCACAACAAATGCGGTTAGCCAACGACTGACTGGCTCTGCCTTCCGCCGACTTCTTAAGCAAGCTCACTGCGTCTTTTTCCTACAGATATAAAAGCCAGTTAACAGGATGCAGACAACGCTGTTGTGAGAGAAATCCTTACCTCATCCATAACCGAAGCCACCTTGCCAACAGCGTCCATCATATGGCCGTAAAACATGCTATCCTCGGCATTCTTCAAACGGACGATCTGCCGCACCAGCGAAAACATCCAACCGAAATTCTTTTGGTCGTGAAAGATGTTTGAGAGCAAAATAGTCTACGATTTGCATACACAAAGGTCATCTTATCAGAATGATGAAAGATGCGCATAAGAAAACCGAAACATAATACTGCTGTACCGATTTGATGAGTTCATCGAGAATATAGGGTGACAGTCTTTTCAGCTTTTCATCGGATGTCCAATGACTGTAAAGATCCATGACGAACTTAAGACAGCTCTTCAAGTCGATTTGGTTGCTGTCACCGGTCCGTAAATCCTCAACCGTTGCGCCGGCGGCCTGTGGCGACCCCTTCATCACCCAATGACAGGAAGACTCCTCAAGTCCGTCAAAGTGCGACAAATGGAAGTAGGCTGGTCGTTGCGCCAGGCCAGCAAACTGCTGCTGCACCCACGACTCCTCACTGGCCATGTTGCAACTGCTCCGGCTGACACGCGCGTAAAAGCTGTCTAAACGTCGACGTGGGGACTGCGGAGGCAGTGCCGGCTCGTCCCTACAAAGCACCATCAAATATCTAATGCCTAACTGCGTCACTGGAAGATTTTCATCTACATGTATTCAATTGCTTGTTCGCCTCCGTTACCTAGCCAAACGGTTCCCGGGGTGGCCAGCCAGCACCGATTCCAAAAGTAGGCCGGTTATGCAGCGCAGCGCCATGCGTCCGCCAGCAATGCGACTGACCGTGCTGTCCTCACGCAAGGCTTCGTCCGCCGCGCTCTCTTCGTCAATGGGCACCGAGCTGAGAACACTGAGCAGTGCCATCCAGATCTCCTCGAAGCTCCGTCGACTGCTCCATCCAAAGTGGCCCACACGACCGATGAACTCTTTCAGAACGCTCAACTCTTGCAAGAACTCCACGGGGATGGAACTGCTTTCCCCCTCGCCCGCTTTCCAACCGGATTTATATATGGAAGCGGGAATGCGCACCATGTCCACAAAAGAGGGAAACCGAGCTAATCCTGGAGCACAGTATCAACTGATATTTATCCTGTTCGTTTCACTTTCGATGAACTATGCTACAACGAAATTTCGAAACCATACCTTGGATGACACCGGAAAGCGGGCCATCGCTAAGAGGAAAACGTCGGTCAAACCATTCCGTCAGCGCCATAACGGGTACATTCTCTCGCTCTAGCAGGTGCTCTTCGGCGCAGAAGCGGTATTCCTTCTGCACCGCACGTGCCACACTCTCCGCAATTCTATCGCTCTCCGATGGATGCGTCCGCAGCCAATGGGACCACATGGGCAACTGAAGGCATACGAGGAGGCACTGGACACTACGGCGGTATAGCAGGCGGCCGTAGCTGCATGTCGGTATCGCCGCCAGCTATTACAGCATTATCCGTCAAATGAAGAATAAAATAATCACGCAATCTTAATTTATACTGCAGTTACTAACCTGAAGTCCAAGAAGAGTAAACTCAATAAAATTCCCCATTACATCATCCGGGACTGTCCCCCTGACACGCACCAGCCGCCCTCCGTATTCAACCAGCGCTCCCGCCAAAACCACCCACAAGCGCTGCCCTTTGTGGCTGACAGTCAACGCTCTGTGATCCTCTGTAGTGCAGTCGGTCACTTTTTGCAGCAAAACATCCGCTGCGGCGCGAAACAGAACGGACAACTTTTCCGGCTCAAACGCCGCCAGGCCACCCTGCTCAGACTTGCCACGGAAGCAACTGCGCAGGATAGTCGGGCTGAAATTCTGATCTGTGAGAATTGTCAAGACCGTCTCTTCATTCAGCAGCCTCATCAGCGCCGCGATGCTGTCGGCGTTATCATCCGCAGAGTTCAAAGCTACCCAATGCACGAAACCCGGTATCCACATCGAAGTATGATCGGTTGGGGCCGTACCGCTTTGTGTTCCTGGCTCCTTCTGTCCAGCTAAATTTGTTACCACTTTCTTAAGTTGACTGTATCTCTCCTCAGCCCAGGCATCCACCAGGGCCTCTTTCCCTTCCGCTGTCAACACAGATGCATCTATGTTACCACCCTCATTCCGCATTACATCGACCAGTCCCTGCTGGATGGCTGAACTGCCCGGCCGGCTGAATAACGGCTGAATGACAAAGGCACTTACGCCGGTCAGGCCGGCAAACAGTTTCTCCATTAGCCCCACTGAATGCTTTCCGAATCGCTCCTGCAGCATCTCCACTTCCACTGTGGACAGCTCATCGTTCAAGTAATCCTGACACAATCGCACGGCTTCTTCGCGGCACGTGAAGGGCAAGACGCCCGCCTCCACGGGAGAGCGCACCAGGTTCCACGTAACATCCACAATATGTTCTTTTAAGGGGAATTTGCAGTTGCGATTCCAGAAGCGCGGTTCCAGATCGCAGCCGGTGGAGGCGTAGCGGAAGCGCATCCAGGCCACCATGCATACCACCGATAAGCATGGGTCCTGCGCCCGTTCGGCATGGATATCCCGCATGACAGTCTTCAGGCTGCCCTGGGCCACCATCTCCACAAAATATATAAGGCTCTTCAACAGACTGCACTGCACAAAGTCCGACAGGGATCCGGAAGACGGGTGCCGGCCCAACACGTCCAACATGGCCGACACGTTATTGACAAACTGCACCGCCGCCGCGTCGTGAGCTGCTTCGCCGGGGCTTTCCAGTGGGTGGTTTTGGTTAATGTTGGCAAACAGTTTCAATAACGGTCGGACCATTCCGTTGGAAAAGAAGCCATCGATAACGGTGGAAAGGAATGCTAACGACGCGACGGGGGGCGTTTCACAGCGAACCAGCGACTGAAAGAAACGCTCAAATGACGGTGACTCAATCAAGTTCTGACTCCTGATTACGTCCAAGAACGCTGAGATCCGCTGGAAATCTTGCAGACTGGAGCACGCTAATTGAGAAGGTGAAAGCTTGCTAAATGCCGATTCCACGAGATCGCGCGTCTACAAGAACAAAACGAAAAAGTAAAAAACAATTCAATCCATTTTGTCAAGGTACCATTGATTTATCACCTGCAAGTCTGAAGTTTTCCGGTCTAACCTCAAAAAAATTTCTATTATATTTGCTGTTTTAAATTGAAAGTCGATAACCATAGTGCAAACACATAGACATTAATAGTTTAATTGCATTATACTTCGTGTAACAGTTTAATTCAAACCGACTACCATCAGCGACCTGTGTTGTAAATTCTACCTGTAGTAAACAGCGCTCGGTAAAAGGCGTACTGCATGGACTGTTGCACATGAGCCAGTAAGTAAGTACACCGCGGCAGATACGGACGCGCGCGACAGCTGTTGCATAATTACAGGCATACCAAAAACTTAAAAATCACCTTGAGTTCGTAAAGTCCAGCGCTGTTCCTCAGCTGGTAAATGACGAAACGATGCAAGAGTGCGAAAGCGTCGGGCTGTGGCAGACACCTGATTACCATGGACAGTACCACTTCCAGCTGGGCGTCGCGTTCTTCCGGACCCACACTGTTGGCCCACTTCCGGTATACCGCGTCGTCAAAGAGCAGACTGAGCACCGACAGTACTCCCCGGCCGGAAGCCATTAGACTATCGCACAGCTGCATGATGTGCCCGTATGTCAAAATCCGCTGCTGGAAGATGAATTTGTCATGCGACAGGTGGATGAAAAAGCGGAATAAGTAGGGCAGCAAGAGCGCCGTGTCGTCCTCGGCGACCTGGCCGTACTCCATCAGCTCAACCTGCTTGAGGGCGTACTTGAGGAAGATGTGCTCCCCGTCGAGGACGTTGTAGTTAACGTGCAGCTGGAGGAGAAGCACCAGCAGATCCAATACCTGCACCTGGGTGGTCGAATCGGTGGTACAGGTGTAGAGCTGCAGCGACCTGATCACCACCGACTCGAACTGTCGGATGGTTTCCGACATGGCCGCGCGCTTCTCCTTGGAATAGCTCTTAAACAACGCCTCAAGATCCTCCAATCGTCGCGTTTCCCAGCTGCGTGCCCACCGCTGTCCCCACTCTTCCTCGTTGGCGCCACCGGAAGCGGTGGCTCCTCCTATCGCGACATGTTCAATGGGAAAGGTGACAAACAGCGGCGAAAAGTCACGCGCTCGCTGATTGTCTTCCACGAATGCCGCCAGGACGTTTCGCTCTGCCGGCAGCGGTGTAAAGTGCACACGGACATCTTTGAGGAGGGTGTGATTGTCGGTCTGGCCGATATTGCATGCGAAAAGGCAACGCAACAGCTGTTGAATGCAGTAGATGGATGCAGGCCCGTCCACGCTGATGGTCGCTCGCACGTAACGGATGATCTCCTCCGTATGCTGGGAAACCATTTCCGCCGGAACAATCTCCAGTGTCTGTGCTAAACATACTAGCACAGCCGACAGCAGAGACCGAAACCTGTCAGCATGACTGTCCTGTGATAAGACGGAGCGTCGCTTCAACCAGGACTTCTTCAAGGCGTCGAACAGAGAGGCGTACACATCAGCCGAGTGCAGTGCGCCTAGGCTGGCCTTGCCTTTAACGTCAAACAGGCTCCGGCCTTTCCTATCCGTCTTCCGCCGCAAGGTGTTGCTGATGGCCTGAGTTGTGGGTAAGAAAATGGCCGATCGGAGAGACGGGAACACATCCGTGGCCTTATGACCTTCGCTAGCTGCTTTGGTGATGTTCAGTACCCTGAAATCGAGGCGCACTTTGCGGGCAGTTATACAGTAGACACTTCCATTTGCAGGTGTTGCTTTAAACTGACTTACCTGGCCAAATGCTTCAAAAGAGCTTCAACCAAGATCCGAAGCAGAGAGTCGCCCGCAAAAATCCATAGTGACTCATCAGCAGCACCGGAAGGTTTTGCTTTACCATGCACCGTAAACGCCAAACTAGCTATGAGGTTGCCGATGAGACGTAAGATATCTGCATGCACCACCAAATCTGCAGCAATGCTGTTGAATGTCGCCAATTCCAGCAGACGCCGCAATACTCCAGCTAAGAGCAGAACCGCGATAATCACATACGTTAAATCACAATGATTGACAAAAACATACTCGCTGAGGAGCTAACTCTTCCAGAGTTGAGATCGTTTTCGTCTATCGGACCAAACCAGCAACGCGAGTACACCGTGGGCGGAAAGAGCGTGGACAGGCGGGACAATGCGCTGATCAGTCCGTGCTATGGCAAACATTTGCAGCAGTGTTATTACAAGACAAGTAAATAAGACTCTCGAGGAAATCGATCGAAGCACCTACTAAGTCTTCACGCTTGGGTCCCGAGATAAGCAGATCTAGTACATTGCCGACAATAATGGACACCACGTCCTCCACGGCAGAAATCGTCCGCGACAGGTCATGAACGTTATACGGAAAAATCAGTCCAGTTTGCATAGAAAACCACAAACCTTCGCCAATATGTTTCATACACTCTTCGTACTGTTTCCTAACGGCCCGATATGTCTCCTCTGAAGCCATCTCTGGGAAAGCAAAACTGTACGGCAACCAACATAGTGTGTCGATGGCCGCGCGGGCGACCCGCGGATCGGCATCGCTCAACCGCTTCAGCACGGTCCTCAAAACGCTCTGCAGTATATCGCTTTTGCGGTGTGCTTCCCTCCCTGTCATGTCTTCCACGTACAGACACCAGCTCAGAGGAACACTGCGCAAGAACTGCAGCAACTCCACTTTGATCAGCCAGTACAAATCCTTCTGTTCGTTGTCTAGCATATCCACCACGCTCTGCACGACCAGCAGCGCTCTAGGAGCTTGGCGAGAGGAATACAGCAGGGGTAATGTGCAAATACCCAGAGCATCTAAAGCCACTTTTCCCGCTGTCGCTGAATCACTGTGCACAATGTGCAGCATTTTATCAATATTCTCCGTGTCTACATTAAGCGATCCGGATGACAGGGCGCTATCGGCAATCTGCAGACTGGCTATAACTGCCGCGTGGGCTTGCAGCAAGGGATCGTTGTGAGATAAAAACACTAAAACAGCCGAAATGGATGGTAAATCTTCCGAACGATCGATCAATAATGGTTGCGACAACAATTGTGGTTGCTTGCAGATAACATCCGCCAAGCAGACAAGAGCACTGTTCTGCACACTAACACGCACTCCACTCTTGGAAGCTCCATCGGGGCTCATCAGAAAGCGAAAGCATAAGTAGCGTGCAATGTAAGTCAACGCAGCCTCGTCAGCATCAAAAAGGGCACCAATGGCACCGGCAACCATTTCATCAGACCCGCCCTGGCTTTGGGAAGCCTCTTCCACACTGTCTTCCTCGCTCTCAAGATCCCGATTAACCTCCTCATTAAAATCCGGCCCCTCAGTCACCGGAGATTCGTCATCGGCCAGGACATAATCGCTGTCGTCGGCGGATGTGAAGGCGTCCTCCACGCTGGACATGACACTGGCCACATCTGAAATCTCGCTGGCGGCGTCCAGCGCTCCGATGAGGGGAGCCGCCGGAGTGGCCAGCGCTTCAGCGGAGATTTCTTCCAAGGTAATAACCTCCTCAGAACTCTCCGCTGGCTGGTCTCCGAAATTAAGGCTGAAGTCAGACGATGCATTTGAATCGGACGGCGACACTTGGAGATCCGCCAAGGCACCGCGCAAAGCCAGTGCAGCGTGGAAAGCGTCATTGGGGTAGTTAAGAAGGGCGTGTAGAGCGTCCAATGCGAAGCCCTGCACGTTGTGGTCCTTCTGGTCGCAGCAATCGAGTATCAATCGAAGAATCTGGGATGACAACCACAGTTCCGTTATCAGTCTATTTTTCCAGTCAGCCACGCTGAGCCCTACCTGAATCAGGATGCTGACGTCTCCGTGCAGCAAGGTATTCTGTGAAAGACTGGGACGGTTCGAAAGGAAGCTGAGAACATTTTTCAGGGTCAGCAACACCCCGGAGTAAACTGTCGACAAAGCGTTATCGGCAGACGATCGGGCCAGTCCTGTAAAACAGCTTCAAGTATTACATGTCGGTCAACATTTTCAAAATCGTTCTGCCGACAGCAAAGCTATCCCTCAGCTCCGGCCGAACGCGGGTAAGCTCACCGAGTAAGCCCTGCAGAAGCCAGTGGAAGGAGAGTTCGGGCTTTTTGGAATAGCGGCAGATCGTCACAAGATTGGCAGCCGCCGTCCGCCGCTTGACGGGGCTGTCCAAACTGAGCGAAGGCAGGAATGTGCGAGCCAGCGACTTGATCTCCGCCTCGGTGAGGTAGATGCCCATCACCTTCAGCACCAGGGGCAGTCCCTCCGCCAGTGCTTCCTGCAAGACATCCTCCTCGTGGCGGGCCAGCTGGATGATACACGGCAGCAGATTGACAACAAATGCCCTGTGCAAACAATTAATTACCGAGGAATTCGATATGATGAGGTCGAAAGAGCGCGAAGAGCTAACAGCGACTGCAAACGCTGGCACAACCACGAACAAGCCACACAGTATTAAACGCCCACAGGTATCCCCGTGCGCAGGTATTAGAGTCACTCACCGATTACGAAAGCGTTGCGGCTTGGCGTAGTTGGAGAAGAAGGCCAAACGCAGCCAGGCGGCGCGCAGACAGCGCGGCTTGTCGTTCTTCTTCAGCTGCTTGAAGAGCTCGATCAGCACGGTGACGGGGTGGGCCACAATGTGCTCCTGTGGGCGAACAAGTCGGGGATCGTGAAGTCAGCATGAGACCCGTGTCGCGTCGGAAAAGGTAGCAGCACTCACCTTGAGGATGGCGTTGAGCGATTCCTCCGCGGCCAGACGGACGCTGGCGTCTGCATCGTCGCAGCAGGCCAGCAGATGTTCGATGGCCAATGCCAAATGTCCAGCCAGATCCTTACCGCCCGCATTCTTCTCCGCAGCTACACCGGCCGTCAGCGCTTCACCAATCTCCGCCAGCAAACGAGCTTTGCTCTCGGCTGGAGCCACGCCGAGAACTTTGCTGGTACTTCTCCGTCTGCAGTCAGCAGAAAATTAAGACACACGCTCGTCTTCTCCGCAACGTCACACACGCACGAACTATTTAAGAAACTTTCAAAAGAACGTTTTGTCTGGACCACACACTTCGTACTTGATAAAACTTGGCTTCTTCAGCGGAAGCGCGCCAGCCTCTTGGGAAACGCCTGTCTGAGCTGAGTTGACGGTCGATGTCGATCCGCTATCCGACTGCGTCAAGCCCGACGAAGTCGTGCTTAGCGCTTCCAGCGCGCGCAAAAGCTTCTCAACTTCCATAGCAGAGTCAGGATTCCACCATAACAAATATTACACTATACCCATAACAGATTCAAAACGTAAAAAAACTACAAAGGCAACAAAGTTTCGTGCAAATAGCAAACAAATAGCAAACTAAAAATTTGTCAACATTGCTTTCTGGCTTCCTGCCAGGCCAGTGCATATTCGTTTGCATTCTTCCGACTGCCTGCCCGAGGGCGGCAAGCATTGCGATTTTTCGGGTGGATCTGCTACCGTTTACGGTTTAAATTTTAATTAGGTACCTATTAGTCATATGTATGTATTTCAATTTTTAATGCCCTCTCCGATCCCGCCTCCATGAGGCTCCACTCTTCACATTTTTATCGATATTTTGCGGTTTAAGTGTTTCTTTTATTAAGCTATCCTGGGAGTGATCCGCTGTACATAAATTTTGTTCGTCGTCGTTTTCCGCCTGTGTTCCAGAGGCGAGCAAGTGGTACAAGCCAGCGCTTGGAACTGTGGCCCACATAGTGGAACTGAAGACCATAATTTTAGCATTGATTGAGCACAACAAGAGACAAAAGCAAAGACGCAGCTGATGATCCACTCTGTGCTTCTCGTACCCCTGCGTCGGTAACTAACACTGCTACTGCTCTGGCAAGCACACCTTATTGTCTTGGACGGTTTCGTTCGGGGATCCGTCGGTACACGGCGCTACACGCGTAGTCGGGTTAGAAGAGCATTGAGAAAACACGACGGTGCAAACTGCAAAGTGTGTTGCATGGCCCGTGCAGTGGTACCACTGGAACACTGAAAATGGGACTGTGACGAACGACTCTGGTAAGATCCAGTAGTGGTACAAGGACCCTGTGTGGAGTAATCTCCATTGCGACATTCCTGAGTGCAGGAGCGGCTGAGGCGCTGAGCGGTAGGCTGGCTACGTATGTTTTCCTTCAGAGAGCGCACTATGCAGTAGGCTATGGCAAAGTGGTGTACTTCTGCATATTGATTATTATGCGCCATCAGGCTGTGCACTGCTTTACTTCGCTTTACCGCTGGCTTTTGTGTTCTTCCATCATCACAAACAAAAGCGGCAAATATTACACTGCCGCTCGCTGATGTTCCAAGTTGACGATACAATTATCAGTATTTTAAAGTAAGCTGCTTACAGTAAGCAGCTAAGAATGAGTGTAGCGCAATTGTGTCTTGGTTTGCCCGCGGCGATCAGATGTTATAAGGTGTAAACTGGCTGGCTGGGAAATGCTGCTCACAGTCACAGTGCTGGTTTTATAATCGCCACCAAGCCGCTAACGCTTACCGGTACTTCTATTGATTGCATAAACTCCCATAATTTTTCCAATGATGGGGCCCTGTTGCTCAGCGTCAGATGTGTCCTGCGGCTGGAATTACGGCTGCCACTTGTTGCCGCTGCCAACTGCCTTACCAAGTGCTCTGCTGCAGTTAGCGGGCCACGGGCAACTGCTGCAGCACAGCAGCAGCTGTTTTTGTTGACATCGTCGGCCTTCTTGTTTTCATTCAATATACTCCGCTGGCTGCATTCCTTGTCACGCTTGTCTTTGCTCCTGATACTGTAATACGCGTGAAGTTTCGAAATTATTTCTTACGTCATACACATCCTGTTGCAGGCAGCCAGCGATCATCCACAGCACTTCCACAGACCCCAATTGACCAGTTAGTGATAGCACGCAGTTACGCCTGTGTGCCTCGGGGGTCGGTCACTTCTAATCAGTTCATGTGTGGTGATCTGGCTCGGCACATTTTATTGTGGGAGGAAATCGGGAGTGTCTGCGGTTGCTACAAGGACGTGTGAGCCACTGAGCAGCCGCCCCAGGGCGTGGTCTTCCTGGTTTGCTCATCCCCAGCGTGCTCCATGTCTCCATCCGCCGCTGCGCTGTGCGCCTGCCTCTTCGCCTTCCTCGCCTGCGGGGTGCCAGTGCAGGTATGGATAGTTGGTTGTTTAGGATGTTGGTGAATTACCGAGCGTTTCTTAGTTTCCGGTTGTGTTCCTAGGTGGAGGCTGACTCTGCCGTTGTCAACATCAGTTACCGAGCCACGCGGGACTTTCCTCCCGCCGGCAGCCCGGCGTCGCCGCAAGAGCAGCGCCTCTTTGTCTCCTACTGTGCGGCCTACAACCCAGATTTGTCCCGGCTGCCCCCCGCCACTCAACAGGTAGGTTGCGTCCATTAAGTGGACGATGGCCGGCACAATGTACGGCAATCGCCCACGATAGGGAAGTAGTATTTTTGGCAGGACTTGAGGATCTGTGATTTCTGTGTTGCAGGAGTGGAGGCGGTTGAAATATGTCAGTGAGTTGGATTTATGTGATGATCTCAGTCCGTCCGCACAAGTGCCCGCAACGGCCAATTTCTCCGGACAGTTCCTAGCCGGACTGCGCTCTAACTGCAGTGCTTCCGAGCAGGGCTCCGCTGCGGAGAAGCGGGGAGCGTTGGGGTTGCTTATCGGCAGCACTAGAGTGGTAAGCCAATGCATTAATGCTTTGTGCACGCACGTGTTGCTTGGATTACGCAACGAAGCATACGAAAACATGCTGTTGTTTTCTTGTTTTTGGTAACCGGTTTAAGGAAACATCTTATTCACGTAAACAAAAATATTTTTTGGCTTAGTCTGTAACTACTTTCCTTATATGGACGAGCTACGATTTATCGGTTTTATTTTTTGTTGACCAACCACTGCCCAGTGTCCAGTACTGTCCACCAATATATCACTAATTTAGCACGAGCACTGCTCATATATATTATATTATAATATCACTAAACACGATATGTGTTACACACAATATTAATATCACACTATATCACTAGCAGTGTTTAGTGGTACTATGATTGTATGTATGTAATTTCTGTCTAATTTGAACAATGATTTCGCGTTTCTGCGTGCTGGCCCGCTGGAATGTACGCAACCTCTTCTGAAATGTCAACTTGTGTTTTGTGCGCTTGTAGTTTTTGCCGGGACAGCCGAACGCCTCGATGGCGGGCCGGAGCACGTTCCCCGTTCTGGTTATGAAGCGGAAGCATCTAGAAGAACTGGAGGCGCTGCCCTTCCCCGATACCTGGCAGATTGCCGTGCACGCACTGGAGGACACTTACTCAGTGGATGGTAGTGGCATCTGCTTGATCGTCTTAGCTTTACTGGTGATCGGCATCGGCTCCTACCGCTCTGGAACGCACAGGTAGAATCACCTTGCAATTTGTACTCGTCTCGTGCCAGACGTCGCTATCGCCGTCGCATTTTGTGCGCCGCGATAGCGACGTCTGGTCTCTCAGTTCGTCGGTAAGTGGCTGTTTGATTTAGGTTAAAGTCTATCGAAGATGACCATTTGCGAAAGAGTGCTCAGTCCGACCAAGAAGCAACAGGGAATGCTGAGGCAGCCGCCAAAACGGTTGACAGTGACAGCGAGCGCGCTTCTGTCAGTTTTGGACCGATTGCCGTGGTCGTTTTCGCGCTCTTTATGGCCGGTTTGCTGGTGTTGATGTACTTTTTTTACGAGTACCTAGGTAAGCCCCGTCGTTAAGTCCCGTCGCCGCTCGCTAACGCATCTGTGAAATACTTATGTTGTCCATGAGGGTGGCTAATAATGGCTCGTATTGACAGTTTTCGTCTTCATCGCTCTCTTCACGTTGGGTGCCACATCGGGCATGTACGAATGCTTCAGACCGCTGCTCACCTGGACTGACCGTTTCGCTTATCGGTAAGAAATAAATGAGCATCCATGTATGCTGTTGTCATTGGGCGTATATCAAGTGATAGAATTTCTTGTACGTTTATTGTGAAGGAGTTTGCTTGCATTGCATTTCGTAGTGAAAGTTCATTAATACGTCGGTAAAAGTTGATTGCTGCTTGCAGGATCTCCAGCGGAAGAGTGGATGGACCGATGTATAAATGCTGTGGGCCGTCCGTTGACGTGCGTGGCGTGTTGCTGCTTCTGGTCAGCCTGTCTCTGTCCATCGTGTGGTTGGTCTTTCGCAACGCATCCTTCAGTTGGATCCTGTTGGATCTGTTGGGCAGTTTCTTGTTGATCAGTGTCCTTTCTGGCATCCAACTGCCCAGTCTGAAGGCCTGCAGCATTTTCCTGTGTCTGTTGTTCGTTTACGACGTCTTCTTCGTCTTCATCACACCGCTGCTGACCAAGGACGGCCAGTCGGTAATGATTCAAGTGGCCACCGGCGGTGGCGGATACGACCCGACCAAGGACAGCGGCGGCGGTGGACCGGGCGCTGCACGCGAGGTCATTCCAGCTGCCTTCAAAATCCCCCATAACGTGTTTGGGAGTGGCAGGAGCCTCTGTGAGGATTTATTCGAGGAGCCGAGCTATTCTTTGTTGGGCTTCGGAGACGTCATGGTGCCCGGCTTTCTTTTGTCCTATCTGCGCAGTTTCGAACTGGTCAACAAAACTCCACCGGTTTACTTCCTCTGGGGATGCATTGGTAAGTTCAGGGACATTTCAATGTGAATAGTGTGATGGGGTTGCGTTATAACGCAGAGTGCACTGCTCCATGGCAGATCGTGGAATGTTTTTGCTGCTTTGTAAGTAATTTTTCGAAAGCAGTATGTACTACGCGATCTTCTTTGTCCCAGTGTGCTGTACATAGTAATTATTCTTAGTGAATTACTTAAATGAACATGGCTGGTTATTGTCCGCTTTACTTTGACCATTTACGTAAGTCTGCCAGTTGCGCAAGTGGCAAGCTGAAAGTTTTTACTATGGTTTTCGAAGGGACATATCCTGCGGCATTGGCTTTGTTACCTGTAATTAATGTAACATATGTTACTTTTTCGTTAAAATTCTGTTTTGCGCTGATTGAATTGCACTCTTTGTGCCAAAAAAATTGTAATGACGTAAGAGCAGACGCTCTATGATGAGAAGAGCTGTACATACAACCTCAAGAAAGTGGAAACTTCAGCTACTGAAGCTTCAGCTTATCTATCTAACATTAGCACTTACATATTAGAACGCTTCTTTTATTTTATTTGGACGGTAATCAACTTTCGGGGTGGAAGCCGGCGCCTGCTAAATTGTTTTTTTATAGTAAAATGATGATAACGTTTGCGTTGCAGCCTATTTGGTCAGTTTGGTGGTGACGACGGTGGCATTGATTCTGATGCGCACAGGACAGCCAGCTCTCCTCTACATCGTGCCCATTTTACTGTTGACCGTTGCTGTTATTGCGTGGAGGCGGAAAGAGTGGAGACTCCTGTGGACGGGGAATTTGGTAAGCATTTCAGTTCTGTACGAAGCGGCATCGCCGAAGCAACTCCCGTCGCCAGAACATGAACTGAATACTACCGAGTGATGACGTAAACGCTAATTTGGTCGTTTGTCTTATTTAGTCTGGTTTGTATTCTTCAACACACCAAAGCCATGGCTGGTCAGCCGAAGACGGTCTTACGGTGGAGGATCCTTCGCGGCGGCTGTCTTCCTCCTTCTTAATACCTGACAACGAAGCACGCGTTCCCACAACAACTTAGACAGTCTGCTGATGTCAGCTGTTTTGCTATATTGTAATTAATCATTAACTGATTTTCTGTCGGAGGTTGTTGTAGCACCTGTAAGGCTAAACACAGTCGGCATCATTGATGCAGTACTGCATGTCAGCGTTCTCTAGCGAACTCGAACTTTTTCAGTTTCCTTGAACTGTGGTAGCTTTTCTCTGCTTGACCCGAGTGAATGTTGTTGACTGTACTCAAATATGATCTGTGATGCAAAGTGCCAACCTATAACAAAATCTGCTAACAAAATTTGTTTTTTATTTTTTGCCATTCCGTTCCACAATCGTACAATATTTCCGGGAAGCACCTTTGAACCGTATTTAGTACGAAAACGCCCTACGGAGATGTTAGGCAAATCAAACGATTAGTGTGGTACGTGGTTTCATAACAGTAGCAGATGGCCAGGTTATTAACCATAAAAGGCACTTCTTGTTCCAGCCATCGTGGCGGCGGCGGACGGTCGGATGAAGGGAGTGCAGGCGCTGACAGGACACACCACCTGCAGGTCATGGCTTACTTAAATCCTCTGGCGAAGTTCTGGGGCTCTTGTCTAGCACAGCTAGGATGGCTGGCGGCCTTCCGGTGAACTCGTCGACCTTCATCCAAGAACAGCATGAAGCGCAATATGTTTGCTGCCAGGACGGCCTCCGCATCGCTCTCGGCACCAATGGCGTCTTCCGTGTTTCCGGATCCACAATATCGCATTGTCCGTCCTTTTAGCAAGCGTACACCGACGCGAATTCTGTCTGGTCGGTTGAGTTATACTGCAGCAGAAGCAAACTACGTCCGGGCGGAAATGACAGCTATATGACCTTTTGGAGCGAAAGCGCATAGGCTGTTGATCTGGAAGGAGTCCTCATGACTGTCGCAGGTGACGTCGTACATAATATGCTTCTGCTTTTCGTGGGTAGCGTCTTGTCGCTACCCAGTAATTCGTATCGGCGACGGGGCCGCGTCGGAGGGGCGGGATGTCCTCGTCTGGCGGGTTCGTATGAAGGGGACGCTTCATCGTGTTGCTCTGCTCTAAGCAATTGCCGTTTTACCGGTACATATTTCAAGTAGTGCGATTTGCGATAGATTTTCCGCTCGCGGGATAAAGGAGGTAGATGATCACGCATTAGTTAAGTAAAGGAAGTTCACTGTATCTGTTCACTGCTTGTCTGCTTCTATCTATATACATACATATTATAGATATTATTATGTAGTATGTACGAATAGTACGATGTACGTCACGGTGTGTTGTGTGCACGGTGCAGCATTAGATGTGCGAAGAGTTAGTAGATACGATCGCAAGGGTATTCATGGGGACCATTACAATGCTAAACTAATTTGCCAAGGACGGTTTCAGAATTAACTAGAGCAATACAATAAAACTGACACACAAGTGAATGCTAAACTACTATAAACATTAAAAACAACCAAGCTAGAGAAGAGACATGGTCACTTAAGTATTTAAGCACTTACTTTGAAATTAAATCTGTTCGCACTGTAAAAACTACATAAATATTGTGTCTACGCTTGTAAGTTACAGATAAAAGTATAAACAAAATCTGCCATAGTGGTAGCAAACGCTGCTGCACTACAGATGCAATGGAAAGCCAGCCAGTCAATAGAAACTGCGATACAAACCCCGCGCCCGCTGACTAACATGCAAACAAAGTTATAAACCAGACAAAGTACTAAATTGAAAGCCGTTTATTCTGACTGGGGGCGCTCTCAAAGCGGAAGTCCCATTCACTGGCCATTCAGCAGGTCGTCGTCGCTGAGCTCGGCGTCCTGGTCCTGACCGGGTGGCCGTACGCGCTTAATGTGCAGCTTGGGATCGAAGACATCGCCGCGTGCTACCGCCTCACAGGCCTTCATCAGATCGTAGTTGATCTTCTCGCTAACCACGCCGTCCTGTTTGTAATCGGCATGCTGCTCTACAAAATCCCTCAGCCAGCGGGCGGTCGTCTGCAGTTCACCTGTAAAGGATCCACTACAATCTCCAAGAATCCCGACCCCGAGAGAAAGAACAAGACCCACCTGAGGCCTTCTTGCGCATGAAGCGCAGATAGGTCTGCAGCGTGCAGCTGGTATCAACGTCCAGATCCACGTCCTTCAAATAGTCCTTGATCAGTGGGATCAGACCGGGGAACACGCCGGGAATGCCGTTGAAGATCTCGTTGATAGACATCTGCGTGTACTCGTCCTTGGACGGCCTGGCACACTTCTTGCACGACGGCGACTCCGTGGTACCTGCAACGCACAGTGATCTAGGCCGCCAACCAAGCATTCAGTCAGTAAATAAATAATTACCGGCCACAATATCCTTGCGGAAGTGGAAGCGGCCCTGGCGCGCTGCGTCCCGCTTCTGGGCTTCCTTCATGTTCTCCTCCACCTTGGACATGGGAATGAGAAAGTTGAGTTGGAATGAGACGATTACGCGCGTCAGCAGCACAATGAAGACTACGAAGGCCGCATTCTCGAAGTCGGTCATCTGGATCTGCATACATAAACAGTCTTTTGTTCATACATGTTTGTAGGTCATTATCAAATCATACCAAATCGCACTAACCTCCATCGGCCGGAATTCCACTCGCCAGCCAATGGGACTGTTTGGCGGGGGCGGCTTGAAGCGCATCGTCTGCCAGTTAGTAGACTGCAGATTCTACAAAGCATAAATCCTAATAAAGCTGCCCCAAATGTCCACCAAATCCCACTGTAGATAAATTACTTCGAAATGATCTGTTTCATTCTCATCGTCCTGGTTAATCTTCTCCGAAAACACCGACACCGGATCGCGGACAAAGAGATGAGCCATGTGCAGCGCCAACTGACGATCAATCCCTAATAACAAAGCGCAAACACAACTTTTTAGCATAGATATTTTTAAAATATACCCAAATTCTCTCAGCTACCGTTATCGACCATTTCTTTCAAGAGATCCTCATCCACCACCATCTTAATGTCATTATAGCGCTCTCCCATGGGCGAAATATAGCAGTCCACTGAGTCATAGCGGGACTTCGGAATGCGGAATCTGGCTGCCTTCAATGGCTGCAACAAACACAAACGTATTCTTAACCTTGACAACCGCTTGAGTCAACGGGCAAATCCGGTCCTCACCTCCACTCCCCGCTCTTCGTCCGTCCGGTCATCGACACTTCCGGAGATGACGCTCCAGCGGCAGTCCACATCCGCCAAGTGCCCGCGGAAAATGGGCGCAGCCGCACTCACCGACAGCTACCAATAGAAGTGCCGGCTCAGATTAACCAACCGATAATCGCTTACATACGCAATTTCTACTTGATGATATGCTACCATGGTACGCACAAGTCCAGCTGTACTTGTACATGTACTCGTAAAAGCAAACTAAAATTCGCTCTATCGGTACGATTAAATACAACGGTTTCCAAAAAGCCCCCCAATACAACCAGCCAAAACTGCTGACAAAGGCAACAAATCGCGATGTCGATAAAGCCTTTCACATGGATTGCATAATACTACACATATAATGCAGCCTATCGCTTGAGTAAACATACCACAAATTCTTATTCATATACTCGACTAATCACCAAATAAATCAGACTTACCAAAATGGGACAGAGCGCGGTGAGCTGATCGTACAAAAAGCGTCCTTCATCGATATTGCAGGCTTGGAAAGTGACCTGCCGACAAAACAGAACAAGGGAGTCTCAGACCACGTTGATCCGAAAATAGTCTGCACGTCAGTGGCAATCAGGCTGACAATCAGCCGCTGCGCTGACTCACTTGCAGGCAGCAACAGCCCATGCCAAAGCCCATGGCGTCCATGTAGATGTGATCGGGTTTCGCCGCGCGCTTCGCTTCCCCGTCGTCGCCCAGCGGAATGTAGTCTTCCACCAGTGGCCGCGGAGTCTTCTTGTCAATAAACGCTGCATCCCCGGCAACAAAAACAACGTCAGTGACACAGCCTTCAATGGGCTCGATCTACAGCATCTCTGCTGTATAACTTACCGGGAACATTAATGGCCACCTTCTTACCGCGCCGTTGTCGGATGTTACGCGTCAAAGTGCTGCAACATTAATAACCTGATGCGCCGCGCAATTTTCACTGCTTTAGCAGAAGCCACCTCGCCTACTGATCTACGAGTGCCCACTATCACGTAACGGAAATAAAGTTAGGCATACCTGAAACGAGGATGACCGGGAAAAATGGCCTCATCGGGAAAAAACAGCGACCGGGAGACTCCATCGATGGGATCGGTTTTAGCGGACGGAAAAGTGAAGTCTGGACAGCCCAGCCTGCAAGAACATAATATCCGCCTATGATAAAAACCCACGTTGCGAGTTTTCTACCTCAAACAGACAATACAAAGTTTTCAGTTACTGCAGGAGGTACATACTACATAGTGCAGAAAAATAGCACAAAATAAAAATATGAAGAATGGGAAAACGGTAACGAACAGATCACGTTCTCAGCGGCAAACAAAAACCCAGAGGCGGAACACAACTGCTACTCACTTCACAAATTCCCTTTAACAATCAATACAGAAGCTTATCTGAAACCGATTTCGCAATGACAAAGAATACAATGCCATGATAAGTACCGCTAATTTGGCTATCGCTTACAATGGATTACGTAAGCCATAAGTTACACAAATGACAAGGAAAGCAACCAGTAACGGTAAGATTATTGTATTTTGTAAAGCAAACACAAAATTATTATAATAAAAGGATGATAGAAGCGTACTGAGAAGTAAACAAGAAGAAATTAACCCGTTAAGGAACAAGTGTTTATTAACGACTAGCGGATAACCAACCGGGGGAAGGCCGTGAAAGTGATAACGGCACTGTTGGCGTCCAGCATCTTCTGCGCCTCGTGACGGCGTCGGCGCATGTTATTCTCCACCTGGTTGAAGCAGTGCAGGTACGAGCCGTAGGGCTGGCCGGGAGTGCCTTCGATCATGTAGTCAGCGTACTCGGGACGCCATAGCGAATGCAGCTGCACGTTCTCCCTGACACACACAGATACGCAAATCACTTGAACCGCTAAGCAACTGCGATACCGCATTGACACACAGTCACACAACCACTGTCCGATAAAACTGCCAAATCTGTAGTTCTAAGAGGCTAGTTAAGGACTGACATATTCCAACGTACGAAGTACTCACCCTTTTTCAATGGCCTCATGCTCCTTGTGCTGCAGCTTAGGCAGGACTTCGTGCGCCTTCAGCAACAGCTGGGCTCTCTGCGACGCATCGTCGAAATGCACCATTATGTACTCGATCTACAATGGTTCACAGCACACCGTTGTAACTCATGATAACTGATCAGCCGATCGATGGTGCGGGCAAACACCTGCTGAACAGCCGCGCCACAGCACAGCCCCGTTTGAACCTAACCTCGTCGCCCCATTTCAGCTGGTCGTTGGTGCGATCCTTTAGTTTGTGATAGATATTGATGAACTGCTTAATGCCGTGCTTGCGGATGTGGTCGGCATACTGGCGCGTCTCTTCCCAACTCAGCGGCGATCCTTCCGACAGCAGACCCATCCTCGATCTTCAGCTGCACGATTCAAAACGCTGTGATAGTGGTATACGTTTCGTCGTGCGGATACGGTATCCTCCACGGTAAACAATTAATTTTCGCAAACAGAAGACAGATAAGCGAAAAGATTTCAGCAGGAAAAACTTGTCCACTCAGTAGCTTTATGGAGTTTTAAAATTTGAACTCAAAATCTTCCCAGATCTGACGGCGAACAAATAAAATTCTGTGAAGTCATCCCGATGATTTCACCACCACCACAGCCAAAGCCAGTGCGCCCTGGCACGAGAAGCAGATTTCCGGCAGCGATGCGGAACTAGGATACACGATTGGATGCAAATTCTGCGTTCAGCCAATAACTGCGACTGCTTTAGTCTTGTACCGCCCCTTTTCTTCGTGTTGTGTTGTGTAAAGTACTACTTTCTCATACGAAGTTGCGACTTGCGAACAGTACGTAAGCATAATAGTGACGTTGCGCAAACACGCTTCTCGTCGCAGTTGCTGGTAGCTCGTAGCTTTACGAGTTTAATCCTGTCTGTGCTCTATCTAGATGTAGATAGAGCACAGACAGGATTAAACTCGTAAAAGCTACGAGCTACCAGCAACTGCGACGAGAAGCGTGTTTGCGCAATGTCACTAATATATACTAGTGGTGGTTGTTAACCACATTCTTGCACCGAGCGCGAGCGCTGTTCTCCGGTAAATGTTCACATTCATTTCCTCCAGTTCACTGATCTTTGCCTTAATTGCGTTGAGATACAGAAGCTTTCGTTGCAGTTTAAATTTAATTGGGGTTGAAGTAGACAGTTCCGCACGGCTTGAAGTAAGGCTCCGGCCAACGCAAGTTCTAGCATACGGGAGTAGATCCTCAAACGTATCAAGATAGCGGGTTCTTTTTTCACGCAAGCGCTTTTCTTCTTTCTTTAAAGTGTCAACAAAATCTTGAGGCCCTCGGTATCTTTGTACAAATTCACAAGACAGCGGATCCATTCTTTAGACCATTCTTTCATCTGTTGTACATCGACGACGGCAGCTCTTGGTGAGTTCGTCAAAAAATAAAGATCAGAGAGGAACTTCCCCGGGTTAACTTGATACTGGTGATGCAATATAACGAAAGGCTGCGCAGCGATGCGTGAAAAGTGAAACTGCAAAAGGGAATGCGATATAAAAGCTGATATCATAAGTTTGAATATTTTATTTTTTTTTAAAATTATTCCACACCTTGCTTCAAACCGAACAAACATTACAAATGTTAGGCCTCGTCCCAAATTCAAAGCGAATCTCGTTATGGTACGGTTGCTCAACCACACGAGGTGGCTGTTTGCAGTGGCCACGCCTACAGATACGGTACGCGAAGCCACCTCGCGAGGTGGAGTTGCTGTATCGCAACGAGATTCGCTTCGAATTCGGGACGAGGCCTTACTACCAACTTGTAAATGAATCTTACCCACACTAATCGCTAGGTAGTAAACAGGATCCGACACGAAAAATTCACGCGGAAGACAGATGTGGCTGGCGTATTCCACAGTATAATTCTACGATCGCGAGATCTGCAGACAATCTGGGGAATGTCCGGATGCAGAATAGTACATTTCGTAAGTCATTCGAAAAAAGATTTTGTTGGGGATAAAAGCAAAATGTTTTTATTAAAATTCTCAGCAACAAAATTTCGCAATACAAATTACGACATGAAAAACCATGAAAATTTAAATAATTCAGACCTAACAACGAGTCTAACGACACCAAGAATTATTGCGCGCTTCCAGTACCATTAAAAAGCGATGTAAATCACATCCATGCAACAGCACGTATGCTCTGCAGTACCACTTCCAATGGACATGAGAACTTGTGGAATTGGAAAAGCGTGACCCACGCTCTTCGTGGGCGACAGACAAAATTTTTCCCCTTGACGAAGGCTTAATTGCAGCACCTCGCGCTTCGCGCTCGGTGCAAATAAATATTATCTGCATGGTCTATTAAACGATAAATTCTAATGTTACCTCTAAATTCTAATGGTTACCTCCTTTGGTAGTAGTCTTGCCGGCACTGAAACTTTTTTATGAAATCGAATACAAAATGTTACATTTACTTTATACCTTAAGTAAGTAAGAATAACATTAATTTTGGATTCTATGTATTATCTGTAGATATAAAGTACAGTAAGTATCTATATTATATATATAGATATCTATATAAGTACAGTAAGTGAATTTTTAAGTATCGTCATGTAAGTAATCAAAATCATACTGTACCTGTACAATACCTTACAACGGGCGTAAACTTCGAAAAAAATTTACCAAAAAATACAGATACTTATTGTTAATACAGATACTTATACCCTGTACTTATTGTTAGGTTAGTATACTCATATTTCTATGATTTTGAAAATAGATGTAAAGGTGCGGAAGCGCTTCATTACATAACGAGCCGACTCAAGAGAGCTCGCAGCTGAAGCGCGCCGCCGCTTCTTGCGTAAATCTGGTATAATTAGCCAATAAACACTAACTACAAATAAAAGACTGCAAAATTAGCCAACGTTATTTTTCTTCTAGCATTAAATAAGTTAAGGTTTCAAAGGAACGCTATTAAAATATGGTATTGTACATTGATATTCCACTACTTTACGAGTTAAATGCGTATTGCGTACTCGTACAGAGTCGTACTGTACTTTGCGAGAATGTTATTGCTGACATCAGCTGAGCGGAAACAAATGCACAACCGCCCATGGGTGTGAGTATGTATCATAAACAGTGGCGCTGTACAGGCACGAACAATGTCATTCTGTAGAAGTATCAAGTGTGACTTGGTTGTCAGTTTGTACATACCGATACGATACGAATAATAATATTGTAATTACTGTATTTAAATTTTATTTTAAAATTCTTTTATTTTTTAGTAAGTACAGAGTAAGAACTTGGTTTAGAAGAAGATTCTGGATTGGGATTACATAAGTACCTTCGCTACCGTGTCATTGCTGGCTGGGATGTGCGCTGTGGTGGTAACTTACTGTTTAGTCGATGAAATAACTCTCAATTCGTTAGATTGGTGACGGTCTCATTGGTCTCTGATACCCATGATACAACGTGTTAGAAACGAAAAACCTTGAGCAGAACGTGATCGTTACCACGGCTTTGTCTTTGTAGCAGTCTTCTGCTCGCTTTCCTCTAAATCGTTTTGCAACATCGGGAACGCTAGAAGGTGTAAGCGGACAGACTGTATCGCTACTGGCTCCAGCAGCGTACGCGTGTTGTGGGGCTATAAATAGCTGCATCATTCATATGATCCGAGCTCGTGAACCTGATTCGAGAGACTGACTAACAACACGACTGAACTGCTCGACCAACACTGCACAGTTGCAGTTCACGATTGTTGAAGATCTTGTCAGCAGACTGTAACGGTAAGTATGCAAACATTAATGTACACGAGGCGATCTATAGTAAAACATCAATACAGTACGCGTAGTTATACTACTTGAGCGTTTTCCTAAACACGCGATTGCTGGTAGCTTGCGCTCGACATTGATGCGTGTGCTGTCCGAATAGGCGATGGCTGTGCAGGAAGTGGAGCTCGGCGGAGGGGGAGTCTGTACGGAATCCTTGGTGGCCGATGCTCTGGCCGACGAATTCCTCAGCGCTGCGAGTCGCGATCCCTCGCAGGACAGCGCATATCGCGTGCCCCATTACAGCGCGCACCCCTCCACTCGCCAATGGCTGTGTCCGGGCTGCGGCATGCAGGCGGCGGCCTTCTTCTGTCCGCAGTGCGTCATGCACGGCAACTTCACCTGCTCCACGCTTCCCGCGGGCAAACGCTTCTCCGACCGCCGTTTGGCCTTAATACAGGTTAGTATACCAGTATTTGCGTCCTGTTCTTGCTCTTGCATTCAGATCTGGTATTTGTTTTATCAACCAATTTTTGAAAAATTTTTATCTCATTTGAAAATATCATTTTATGTATTACTGAAATATTTAATTTGACATTGGCTTGCAATCTGTTGAATTTGGTGGTTGAGTGATTGTCCGATAATTTTTATACTCCTTTTACAGGTTTGTCAGCGGCGGCTGGAGATGGCCAACGACTTTATTGGTTTGTCGGAGGAGCTGCACCGTTTCGAAGATACGCAGCGCTGCACGGACCAAGCCCGCTGGCGTGTGCAGTGTCTGCGGGAGCACCTGAACCGGCTGCGCAGCGCCAACGACCACATCCGCGCTCAAGTGGTCAGCGAGGAGCGCTGTATCCAACAGGAGAACAGCAAGTTCGATCACCTGCAAATAACCTGCACCGCCACTAAGAAACGACTCATTCGCGACACCGAAACACTGCAGGAGCGCCGGCGAGAAGCCCACCTGCTGGAAGTTAAGATTATGAAGATGCGCCAAACAGCCGTCCGGCATTTGGTAAGGGATTCTGATTCTTCATGTAAATCACGCTTTAAATTACGTACACGAGTTGCGTATTTCGGTTTTCTCGTACCGTTTGAGCATTTTGTAAAATATGGACTTAATTAAGCGTCGTTATTTTAAAACTCACATTGGTGAAACACGAAGGAATAGTTTCGAAAATACATTAATTACGATTGGAGGACAAAGTATGGGACGTTTTAGGTGAGAGATATTTTTCCGCTGATTGAAATGGACGCCAACTTGCAGCCCGTCCGCACGGCGTCCGACCAGCCGGTAGAATACTGTCGCATTCTGGAGCCCATTCTGCCGCTGGATGGCAATTACTCTGCTTATCACAATTACGCCTCCCAGGTGCGCGAACTCCCCGACGTCAACGTGCGCAACCCGCTGTACGAGGTACCGGCGGGGCTGGGTATGGTGGCACAGCTGCTGCACGTGCTGGTACAGATTCTCAACTTCCAAATGCCAGATCTGGTAGAGTATGGCCAGTTCCTGGGAGCCGAAATGGACGAGAGTTCCTTCCAGAAGGCCGTTTACCAGCTCAACTGGAATATTCTCACACTCTGCTCCTCCCAGGGCATCCTCGTCGATGAGCTGTCGCTGAAGGAGACACTGGGCAATCTCCTCAACCTCATCAAATCGCCGAAATTGGGCCAGTAAGTTGCAGTAATCAATCGGTTAGCAGAGTACGATAAAGAGTGATTTTTGCGCTGCAGGACGGGTCCGTATGATTTGAGCAATGTGCTGGTGTTCACCGAGGATGAGCTGAGTAGTACCAGTGACTCCCGACTCACGTTGGAGGAAGCCGAACAGAGGACGGAGCTGCTGGATACGGAAGGCAGTGACGAGGCTGACTGGGAGACCATCCCGGCGGCCTCGGCTTCCGTCTTACCGGCCGCTAGCCCCCAGGACCAACTGACTCGGTCTACATTGGGTTCGGCAGTCAATGCGGTATCGGCGCTGTTCCGCTCCAGCGCAGATTATGACCATCGTCGCTACAAATGATTAACTGCCAGCGTGTGATGATTGCTCTGTCTTGCCGGTGACGTGTTGCTTCATCGCGCTTTCAGGATGATACTTCTGGCCGGCGCAGCTGCACTGTTGCGATGTACATTACGCTTTCTGCTTGTTGCGAATTCGGTTATGTGGAGTTATAGAGAATTGTTGGCACTTGGCATCGTTTCTCTGTCATGTGAAAATAGGAAATCCACTTCGTTTCGTTATAAAAAATTAATTATTGCATCCTCTTTTGTTGCACTTCTACGCTGATAGCGGGATCTTGAGGCTTACGTTTGTTACATCTGAATGCGATGAACTCAGAGTGAATATCAAAAACACCTACTACCTGGGACTACATGATTCGGTTAACACAAAGATGTCTTTAAGTTTTTGCTGGTGACCCAAAACAGGTTGTTGCTGCCGTGGGCCGGCGGCCACTTCGAGTGATTTGATAAAGTACATACCAGAAAGAATGGTAAAATAATGAGCTGTAAGCACGTGTACAATACAGGAGCAACTACCACTTTGTTCGATATAGCGGCGATGGCACATCTTCAATAGTTATTACCACGGGACATATTTTTGCGGGAGATTCTCGACGCTTTCCGTGCCATTGATGCCCCGTCTGCATTTTCGACTTCTGACTGCTCGCTACGACGCTGACGAGGAGAAACTGCGAGAATTATAATGGATACGAAAGCGGGTTCTGGACTCGACACACTCCATCGCGCAGACCAGAGCGGCATTGTTCTGCCCAGCGAAAGTGCTTGCGAAAGTTGAAACTTCCCAGTGATTTCACGGATGCTCTGTGTAGCAATAATTACGGTTAGCGTCTCCTCGACTTTGCCGCGGAGACGATGAATAATCAATTGACAAATCCATAATTTTCCCCGATTAGGCTCAGCGAACGGCGGATGTAGATATATGTATTTGTGCGGTGTTATCCCGGCTTAGGCTGATCGTGGTAGCGAGGGAGGAGATGGTTATTAGTTGATTCAACAAAGCCCTCTATTAGCTGCTAATCGGGCCGTTTTAACAAGCACTTTGCAGCCATTCACCACAATATCCTTCATACATATGCTCTGGAATCTGGATATAATATGTGGATCCCCGCCCCGCCCAAATCAATAATCTGAATACACACACAGTCGCCAACAAAATAAACTAATTTTCCAATACGCCAGCAGGAGCGGATGTACATATATGCTGAATCAACATCGATTGCCGTTTGATTGCCGCTGCAGGTTGGCCGCCCGTGGAATCCCCACACGGTGTACTGGACTGCCGGCATACAGAATGATATAATATAGAATATTACTAGTATATGCTTTCATTGGTATGGCATTCACGCGCCGCCGGCATCCGATCGCGATGCATCGGATGCAGCCAAAAAACACACTACAAGGTTTTGTATGTATGTACAAGTGACCGAATGCGACAGCAACAAGCCGTACGAAGGGATGCGATGCTGCAGGAGAGAGCGTGACCAGCGCCGGATATCCGGTCGGCGCCATATAATCCAGCACGCCAATTGCACTTGCCACATACACAGGAGCAGTGGCGGAGTCGGGATGAATTCGCTGGCATAGTAGTCATCACATCATTCCGCATCTATCCGCTAACCGGCCCAATGCTGATCAAACAGGCCCTTTCTTGCCCGGTAAATTACATTATCCCCAACTTCCCATGGACGCCATCCCGCGGGATCGGCCGTGCATTGTCTCCGTCTTCCCCTCCTGCATATCAATGACCGCAGCCATAATCAGTTATTATCATTCTTTTTAAAGTGCGATATGCATGTGAAAAGAGGCTTCTAAGCAGTAGTTGGCATCCTTCGACGGCTGACCATGCTGGATTGGGCTCATCCATGCCGGGACGTGGAGAAGCCTGATCAGTTTGGCGCAGTTGCATTGCTAACCTTCTTGCCAGACGTTGTCGTGGAGCTGTTTGGCTGTATCCAGCAAGTGCTGGGATATTTGCACAACAATATTCATGTGGTGGAACAAATACGTCTTCGTGCTGCGGTGGCATCTGCTGGCCATATGTTTATTTCATGTCATCATCAAGTTTCATTTATGCGTCGGCAACGACGCTTCCGGATGGTCCGAGTATGACACGGAGATACCCTTCAGCTATCGCATTCAGTCGGCTTTTCGAGGTATGTACGAAGGCAAAAACTATCGTCGCTACAACCGGGGTAGGCGCGCAGGTTTGGTGAAGCCCGAAAAGGTCACTTACTTCCGGCATATTGATCTAATGATCTAACCCATGATCAAGCTGCAATATTTGCGTATTTCGATGACGACAAACCATTCGTACGCAACCATATTGCAGCTACATCCTTTTGCGATTAATTAAGTACATACTAGTTTAATTTGGCGCCATGCATTTTCTTTACTTGCGTTGCACCGACTGCTTAACGCCAATTTTTACACGGGCCGTTTTAGTGTTAGCAGGTGTTCGCAAAAATAGTAAGTAATGTGTATCTAGTTCGGAGTTAAAATTATGCGCATTTACCGTAGTCCAAAAAATTCTAAAGACAGGCATTAGTGATAAGCACTGCAGGAGAAGTGCGTAGTGCAGAAGAAGTGGCCTGGGTCGTTGTGAAGAAAATAATAAAACAATTTCAGGGCCCAGACTTTGCTATGTGTTAAAACGCTAAACGGTATGATGATTTAAAACATGAAATTAAGCAGATGCGGTCAGGCTGCTCAGTTATCTCCATCACCCTGTAGAGATGCGGCGTATAATAAACAGCGAAAACTGGAACTCTTAGACGCTAAAGAGTAAAAGAGTAATTTCGTAATTTAATCGTAGATGCCTACTGGGAGAAGAGAAGTTCGGACGAGCATAAACGTGAGTCAAAGTGTTGTGATGCAACGGTGTCAGTACAGCTGAATGGCAAAACATAATGAACTAGAATTACTTACTGCATTGTGCTAAAAATTTGAAATAAACACTACGTACGACGTATATTTCTAAAGATACCTTGGGAAATATATGCAATATCATCAATCGAGCGCTGCACTACATGTAGCGCTCTGGTGTTACCTAGTTTGGGGGTTAATAAAATTCAGATTACAGTGCTGCAGTACCTGATGGCGAATTACGAGAAGGCCGCCCGGCCCGTGGTCAACGCATCGGTAAGGTCACTAACTTGCTCACCGTATCGTGTAAAACGTTTTCGGTATCTTCTCATCGCGTGTTCGTTCAACAGAAATACCATGATACAAAGTTATTCAGATTGTATTCTATCTACGTAGACGCCCATCACGGTGAAGGTAGGCTTCGTCCTGACGCAGATTTCCTCCGTGGACGAGCGCAATCAAGTCCTCACCACCAATGTCTGGTTTGAAATGGTATGCACCTCATATTACTTACATGCGCTACCGGCGTACGTAAATTAGTGATTGCAGAGGTGCAGGTAATGAATTGCAGAGTACGTACAAAGTGCTCGGCTATTCAAGCACTAACACAGCCCCATTAGTTCCCCTTGGAAAGAATACTGAATAATATTATATTTATGGATGGTAGCCCTACGTATAGCCTTTGTGAAAATGAACAGTATGTCGAGAAAAAAGAATAATGCACGCTACGCCTGAACGTTGACAGGCGCAGGCAGGGTTGTGTGTGTTAATTTGTTAATTCTTCTACCATCCTTAGGCTACGCAGTGAATGTTTGGCAGCACAAATAAATGAACCTGCCGCTTTCTGACACATTAATTTTATGCTAATCACAGAAACGTCGGCGTTGATGGGAAAATAACATGTCAGCGCGTTATTGTCAGCGATTGCGCCGGATGGTCTAGAGTACTGGTTTAGTACCTAGTGTAAGCCAGACGTAGGGTTGTAGACATAGTGCATCACTGTATAGACATAAGGCTGTAAAGAGGCGCTGACAAGTGACAGCCCGGGGAACGGTAATGATGTGCGTGCATGTGTGTAACGCTAATTTGATTACGTGTGCGATTAGGAGTGGACGGACGAAGTGTTGATGTGGGATCCGGTGAAGTTCGGGGGCATCCGCGTACTGATTATGCCCAGCACCAAGGTCTGGCTGCCGGATATCGTGCTCTACAACAAGTAAGTACGTCCACTAGGTATACATATTACTCGTATTGTTAATCTCTGGCCGCTCCTTTCGTCGGTTGTATAATGCAGTGCCAGTGCGTGACGGACGAAGAGTGACAACACTGCATATGATGCTGTTGGCTGCACTGTGTATGTCAGAGTTTTTCTAATAATGTCGATGCCATAGTGCGGACGACTACAACAAGAATCTGATGCCGGTGAACGTCGTCCTGCAGTACAACGGTTCCATCTTTTGGAATCCACCCACCAAGATGCGCAGCACCTGCAAGATCGTCACCACCTATTTCCCTTTCGACGTAAGTGATGTCGGCAGTGGATTCACCTAATAATATCAGCAAATATTGCGTCCAGCATCGATTAGACATTTGAATAGACTTTCCTTTTCGGCGTTTGGCCTTCCTCACCGCGCATACAGGATATGTTGTGTATATAACGTTTCAATAATTAATCAGCTCCCTCTTTTCAATTGCTACACCATCCACTGCACGCTCTTATTGACTCCTTCAATCCCCATACATACCACTTTACCCTGCAAAGTGTGGCTGTTCCATTGTGTTCTACATTTGATGTGCTGAGTTATAAGGGTTGCAAGCCAAAGGTCACGAGCTTCTTATTTACCTAATTAGCCTGACATGATTTCAACGCTTTATACCGGACAGAATCTGGCTTAATGCAATGACATTCCCAGTTTATCACACATGTAACCGAAAACAAAAATTAAGTTATAAGTTTTGCGGAATTTTCGGTACAGGCTAACGTTGTGTGCTCGTATTTCGAACAGGATCAAAAGTGCCACTTAAAGCTTGGGTCATGGATTTACGATGGCTTTCAAGTAAGACGCTACTTATTGCTGCAATCTTTCGATACAGGTACAGGTGGCGTTACGGGTACAGCTGTATCCTAATTATTGCTGCAAGTAGGATACAGGTGCGTTTAATCTTTTTTACAGTTAGACGTGATTAAGCGGAAGCCAAACGTGGACCTGACCGCCTACGTCCGCAGCGGTATGTACTCTGTATGCTTGTGTTGTACAGGTCTGTTGTGCTTTAACACTTAACTGTCAGGCGCATGTTGTGCTAACTTGACCTTCGCACAAACACGAACCGTTGTACTACTGCAGCGGAATGGGACATTATCAACACAACGATGGTGCGCAACGTCAACTACTACGCTTGCTGTCCCGAGCCCTTCCCCGATGTCACCGTGCACTTCCACATCCGCCGCATCACCGTCTACTACGGCTACAACATCATCGCGCCCTGTGTCATGCTTTCCATGCTCACCATTGTCCTCTTTTGGCTGCCCTGCGACGCCGGTATGCACCATTACGCTAAATTGTAAACCTTGTGATGCACTTATCGGCTAGTTCGCACCACAAACCTCTTGCAACCGGCTAATCTTACACGCTCTATAACGTGTAACATGGTTTAGGGGAAAAGATAACTCTGGGATTGACCGTGCTGCTAGCATTTTCCGTCTTTATGCTGATGATTGGCGAAACCATGCCGGAAACATCCGATTCGATGCCACTGTTAGGTTCGTTATGACAGTATTTACATGCACTGATGCACATAAGGTTTGAATTTAAGACGTACAGGCTCTGCATGTCGTACAAACACAATAAAATTGAATAATCGCTAACGAGCGCTGCCGATCAATGTTTGATTTTTGCGGAAATCTTTCTTTAACCGAGCAGGCATTTATATCCTATCGACGGAGTTCATCGCCAGCTTCTCGGTGGCGATGACGGTCACCATCCTCAACCTGCACTACCGCGGCTTCAAGCGCAACCACGTTCCCGCCTGGCTGCGACGGCTGGCCTTCGGCTACCTGGCTAGGCTGACCTGCATGCCGCCGCTGTACTCCATCGACGGCAAACTACTGCAGCTGCCACCCAACACCCAACAACGTGCCGCGCGTGCCTACCGCAATGCCACCTACCAGTCTGGCCACGATGCCGATGTGGAGCGCAGTCTGGACCTGGCCGAATTCCGCCGGCTGATCGGCCGCCACCCTTACGCGGGCGGAAGCACGCCCCGCAGCGTGGAGCTGGCAACGCCGGCCTCCAACTGCCACTTTCTTTCCTATGACTCCACGCACTCCGCCAGCCTCTCTTTCGCCTCGTCCGCCCTGCCGCCCGGCACAATCCCCACGGGCGGTGGCGGCAATGACATTGCCGGTCGTGTCAAGTGTCTCCTGGACAAGTTCGACGAAGAGAAGAAGATGGAGGAGAACCTGGCTGAGTGGCGGCGCGTCGCGGAGATTCTGGACCGAGTCTGCTTCTATATCTTCCTCCTGCTCATCTTCTGGACCACCATCGCGCTCCTCGTCCTCTCCCCGCTCAGCAAAGCGCCGTGATGCAGAAGACCCAGAGAGTGACCTTCGCTATGGGCGAAGATCGCGGCTATCGCTATGGGCGAAGATCGAACACTGTCAAGCAGGTCGCCATTGATGTATTCTTCTGTCTTTCGGTCAGATTAAGCGATTTGTACAATTAAATACAGCCTATTTATTGAAGCCATGAGTCACTTGACCTACATGCTTTAAATGCGCTTTAAATGCCGCTACATGTTGCTTCGTCCTACGCATGATATAGGTCCTGCCAAATTAAAATCACCAAAACGCAAAATTCAATACATTCCGCGCAACGTCAACCAATTAAAAAGAGGCAAACAATTAATACATAATATGTTATGTTTTGTGTGGCCAATGCTTCCGTCGTTCTTCCTGTGCCGCAAACTCTTGGAGCCGTCTGATTTCGGCTGCCAGTGCAAGAAATTCCATTAGGCTGACCAGCTTGTTACGATGCAGAGCTTTGATATGCTTGAGCAGCGTCAGCAGCTGTTCTTCGTCTACCTCGCCCAGTTGCAGCTCCTGCAGCAGCGCCAGCAGCCGCTTATGGCTGATGCCGCTGCCAGGCTTTTTCTCGGCCGCCTGGTAGCGCTCAATGCAGTGAGCCACTGCCTCCCGCGGTGAGGGCAGCACACTGTGTTCATGGTGCAGCGTGCTGTGGCCCATCTGACGCTCCAGGAAGTCCTCCGCTGCCTCGATCTGTCTGTGTTTCTCTTCGTCAGTCCACTTCAGTTCCTGACCCATAATCTCGACGATGCGCGGCAACACCTGCTTAATCGAACATCGGCATCTTGCACATGGCAACATAAAGAATACAAATTTCTTCGTGTTAGGATACACTGTACGCAAAGTTGCGTACACTAGTACAGCGCTACTTGAAAGTATCGTAGCAGTCAGTCCGACTGACCTGTCGAGTAGCGTGCACATCCTGGAACGCCAACCGCATACGGCGGGCAATAACGTCAGTGAGGTGGACGGCATAATGTTGTCGCACGGCGTAGCGCACTTCCGCTTCTAAGTACGGAAAGTGCTCCACAAGGCGGATGCCGGTTAGCGGCCACGCTTTGCCCGTCACTTCCGCCAACTTCAACACTTCCTCGCTCTGGTCTCCATACTGGTGGGCCAAGTGCTGCACATTCTTCAAGATTAGCGGTTGTTTCGTGCGAAACGGAAGCTATTGCAACGCACCTTAGCAACGTCGTAATCCACGCCGTAACTTTTCACCAGCCGAACGAAGTAGTGCGGTTCGTATTCTGCCGAGATAAAACACCAGTCTTCACGCATTGAGTACAGAAACTTTCCGACAGGCTGCTTACCGTGCGCTCCTTCCAGCGGCAGCCCGAGCGTCTGAGAGAAGCTGTTGGCAGGTTTGAGGTTGCATTCGGCCACGGCCCTGTCGACAGTTTCCTCGGCCATGGCACGGTAAGTGGTCCATTTTCCCCCCGCAATGGTGATTAACTGCGAGGGACTGACTTCTACACTGCGAATAGTCACACGACCGTTACTTAAAGGTCACTAAGTTTGTCACTGACCGGTGTTCATAAAAGTAGCATCTGATTACCTACATGTGAGTGCGGGCCAGACTCTTGGTGTCCTTGCAGTGGGGGTTGCGCACTAACGGCCGGATGCCTGACCACACTGATAGAATATCACTGCGGTCGATACTGCTCTTTAACAGCTCCTGGCATTCCTTCAGGACAAAGTCAATCTCCCGCTCCGTGGGCGTCGGCTCACTGGTCACATCCGTCGGAGTGTCGGTTGTACCGGCTAGCGTTATGCCCTCCCACTGTCAAATATAATGGGAATTTACCTGCTGAGGCCAGCACTCCCTGTACTTGCTGCCATCAGCCGGCTGGAGTTTTACGTTGTGGCTAAACATGGTGCTTATGTACCGCGCCTGATTTAACCGTATCATACGGTTAAATCATACATGCCGTAACGTCACACGTATGTAATGCCGTAACGTAACGTATGTAATGCCGTAACGTAACGTATGTAATGCCGTAACGTCACACTCCAGGCGGGTGACGGCAGTAAGTACAGGGAGTGTTGGCCTCAGCAGGTAAATTCCCCTTATATTAACGCGGGTACATTATTAAATTACCAGGACTGTCATGTAAAAGTTAAAACATATACATGAAGTAAGCATCTCTACCGGCAAAACAAAGATGACCCGGCCGTCACTAGTCTTGGTGCTAATGAGACCCAGATGCCTTGGGCAGTAATACGCCGGCAGCGCGATATGAATACCAGCGCTAGGCATGCAGATGGGCTCGGCGGCGGCGTTGTCGATCTGGCGGATCTCGTCGGTGAAGGGCCCGGTCGCGTTAATGACACACTTGGCACGGATGGCGAACTCCCGGTTGGTCAGCACGTCTGCGACGATAACAATGCCCCCACTATATACGTTGCACTCTTAACGGGATCAGCACTCAGTGACCTTTGACCACGACGCCGCGGACGAACTCCCTCCAGCCGTCGCGCAACTTAACTAGGTTGACCACTTGCAAGTAGTTGGCGACATTAGCCCCCATGCGGGCGGCGGTGATGGCCAAGGCCAGGCACATGCGCGCGTCGTTCTGCTGGCCGTCGAAGTACACCAGCCCGGCCCGTACCGGCTCCTCGCGCAGTTGCGGGAAGGCCTCCATTACGCGCTCCTTGCAAACATAGTACGAGTGCCGCAGTACCGAGTCACCCGAGATCATGTCGTACAACTTGATTCCTGTACACACAAACACTCGTTGTACATGTAAGCACAGCAAAAATTACTTGACCATTCTCGTCAGCGCACGGACACTGCTGGACAAATGCATCTGCAGCTTACCCACCCACATGTAAGGGATGTCCCACCAGTCACGCAGCGGCAAAAGAATCGGTAGGGCGCGCGTCAAATGGGGGGCAATGGACAGAAAGTTGCTGCGCTCCCGCAGGGCCTCTTTTACCTGCCGATACAAGCACATAAGAAGGCTCTAGACTTGACCAATGAACTGAGTACTCTACCATATTATACTGCTGCAGGTCAAATCCGAGGATGGCCGCCTGCAGGTAACGGACGCCACCGTGAATCAGTTTGGTGCTTTTGCTGCTTGTCTGGCTGGCAAAGTCGCCGCGCTCCACCAAGGCTGCAAGAACGTTCAAAAATGCACTAAATTGTAAATGCTGAAGAGTCTTGTGTTGCTTCCGCCTAACCTGTCTTCAGTCCACGAGACACGGCGTCCAGCGCCACTCCGCATCCCTGCAAAACGATTGACTATGCGCACTCTGTAAACTCTGCTGCATGACAGGGGTGACATAGGAAGTGGCTGCATCGTTGATTAAGAAATAGAGTTCTCACCGTAGCGCCGCCTCCAATGACTAAGACGTCGTACTCTGGTGTGTCCTCTAGAAAGGTTAGCTGGCCCTCGCGTGTCGGCAGGCGTTCGAGGTAATCCGGAGTTTTAAGATGGGCTCCGTTGGCCAACCGCACGCTAGAGTATTTTTTTAGGTCGTAAATCTTATAGCTGGTTAAGCCCAAGAAACTGCTGCCCACGGCGGCGGCCGCAACCGCCGCAGTCTTGATAATACTGGAGATGATTGGCATGGAGCGAGTTTTAAATGCGATGCAATGGGGTTAGAATTTCGCAGCGAGAGATATGCAATACACGCGGCACTTTCGGCGCGGATGTAGCACGAACACAAGTTGCACAACAAAATTTTGCTATTCGGACTGTCATTTTCTAAAACAATGTATTAACTATCAGCCCAAGAACGCACCTGTATTTTCATTACTAAATGTCGTACTCGGCGCGGTACTCAAGTATGTACAGTTGTTTCATCCCGCTGACAAGCCGCAGCTGTTGTTGCCAACGTGATCGTACAGATATTTTCTTATTGCGGGTGGCCGATTATACTTAGTCAATAAAAATTTAATATTATATTTATTCGTATAGTACTGAATATACTTAAGTACTTAATACTTTGGTTAAGTACTGATAATTAATATATTGATAATTAATATTGACCAATTAGTGTATAGGTGCTCTAACAACAACAGCCATGCAGATACAGTAAGGTGCTTACGTCAGCGGTGGTGTAAGTAGGTACTGTAGTGTAAGTAATAATAAAGTTCGCGTACAGTAATAAAAAAAGCATGGTAGACATACCAAGCAAAACTCTTCGAGCAATCTTCGATGACCTTTTGTTGTTGTCGCTTTAATTTTTGGTATTACGCTTAATCTTAATTGAGTAGAGAACTACGTATATGTGCACGTGAAGTACGTATGGTCAGCACTGGCTATGAGCATTGATGGTGAGTAGGTCCAAGCGTTTATCCTAGTGTCTACAACCGCAGTTGATCAACAGAAGGACTGTATGGGTATTAGTCATAAGCAATGGAGCAGCGACATGCATGGAGATCAGCTGTTTAATAGTGGCAGCATTTCTGACATTTCCATCCAGTTAACTGACAAAAGTGATACAAGGTCATGCCGTGGAAAAAGGGAAATCACATTAATTTTGTTTTTGCCGAAGACGATCGACAGAATTCAACCGATCGATAAAGGTTAGCATAGCGAATGCGCCGTTAAAGTCTAGTGGAACCGTGAGCTGACCGGGGGACCGGTGGCGGCATAGGCGTGCTGGATGGCTAGACGTTCTATCTGCGTGGAGTTCGAGCGCAGACGCAGGTTGAAGGCAGAGAAGCGCCGGCTGCGCTTCCGCATGTTAATCCCCTCCAGGTCTTCGCCCTTCTTCAGTCTGCTCAATATGATACCCGATTCACAATAACACTTTTTGGCTATTTGACAAGCAATTATTTATGAACTTATTACAGCTGACTTGGCAAATAAGGAATATCCAGGAGCGCAAATACACGTAAACACATTTACCGGTGCTGTCGGAGGGCGTTAAGCTCGGAGCAGGTCCAGGTAGAGGTACGCTGAACACCGGCGCCCAGACTCAGATGCAGGACGGAGTGAGCGTCACGCGCCCACTCTTGGATGGCCGCGTACAGCGATGGAATACGACCCAGTACTATCACCACGTTGTACTCGGCCTCCTGTCAACAAGGCACACCACTACATACTACACTGCATCATCGTCTATATCGCCTGCGCAACGCGGGTGCAGAATGCAGACAGTTATTGTAACCGAAAACGCAACCAGTTTATTTATATATTTTTTTAAAATGCATAAACTCGTCTAAAGTACGGCTGATGACGTTTGCGTGCTAAATAAGCCCAGACTAGAGCAGCTGAAGAAAATGAAAATCTAACATTACCCTAAGGATGGCGGCCACCTGAGCCTGGTCGAAACCTTTGACGGGGCGGCCGTTGATGTCGATGATCTTGTCACCCTGGCGAATGCGCTGGTTGCGGCCAGCAGGCGAGTTGGGGTTCTGTTGCAAAGCACAGACACTCAGCATACGCACATACAATGGCAAAAAAAGCACAAGTACAAAAGGCGGTTAATCAAGCAAAGAGCGGACGAATGACATATGCATCGGTTCTTAAGGCGGATAGCTGGCAATTCAATTAGGCGGAAGCGCTTAATCCCATCGGTTTGTTAGTCGACTAGTTATTGACAAGCTAATCACTCACTGCCAGCAACAACAGTACGAGAATGCTGTATACGTACCACCCACGTGACAAACACGCCCACACCCCTGCAAAGACCCAAAATACCAAAGACAGGTCAAGACCGATTATAATACAATCGACCAGCACAGACCCCAACGGTGGGTTCAGAGTACAGTAATTATATAAGGTAGCCTACTTGCGCTCCATTAGGGAGATGCCCAAGGGTTCATTAGCGTGGTTCTTCCACAATTCAGCCGTGATGAAGATCTTCGGATCTACGTATAGGACGCAATTTACACACCATGGGTTACTAAACGAACATACAGTACTATATGTACAGTACACCGGAATGTAATCATACCGGTATGTGGGCACAAAAGGTCAGAGATACTCGAAGCAAAAGATAAATATAGCTAGCGCAGAGGTAAAGCGTCCTGAAGCATATATGGACGCTATTTACTGTCCATACATGGCCTGCCGTGAATGGACAGTAAATAGCAAGCTATAGTGTTACCCATTAAATAACGCACCTTCTTGGCTAGTGAAGAGCTGGACGGGATCGGGATCGCGGAGGATGGTGATCTGCAGCGGTTGGGGTTGTGCGTCGACCAGGGCCGATTTGGCGTCCTCCAGCGAGACCGTTTTCATTGATTTCCCATTGATCTGCATGGGGCACCGTATAAAATATTACGCAACCGGTTAATATCCGCTAATTACTCCCCGGTGCCGCATCGTCCCTTTCAATAGCTGCGCTAATACGATAGACCCAAATTAAGCCGCCCTGGTGTGTCGCTAGATTTCTTAACTTCGCTTCGTCTGCCGCATTACACGCCGTTTTCATGCACCATTGACACCCATTATGTACGCATTGTCTTCGTTAACTAACGTGCACCAGTTCTGTTGTGCTTTTTTTGACGGAACGCATTAGCGACAAGCGCTCAAAGGGAATCAATGTGCGTTACAGTCCTGCGTATTGACTATTGATCTAGGCAATCGCGTGTGTGCTGAGCTGTATGGATGGTACGGTATAATTATTTATTGATTTGTTTGTATTGTGTGTGATTGCTTGCTTCCGCTCCGTTCCGACCTTCTTAAGTCGTGCCGCTAACACGTTCAACGGCTTAATTGGGTCATATAGGACATTATAAAGGGATGTACCTCTTATCGGACTAGAGATTAATTTCTCCTCAGAAATGATTAGCTAATGATAACGGCCCACCTGAACAGCTGGATTATTGTACAAAAAAGGCTTCCGTGGTAATTGCTTAGGTCCATTTATAATGCGTAAAAAGTTGGTTAGGTATGTTTACTTTGTTTTCGCTTACCGCCAACACGATGTCGCCACGTCTGAGCCGGCCATCGGCGCAGGCGACTGACTCTTTGTAGATCTTCTGCACGCAGATGCTGCCCTACAAGTAACACCCACTTCCGATTTGGTGTGATATAATTCTTCACCCGTAGATGCGTCGGTCACAATAGTAACGGCACTGACCAGGTAAGTGTAACGGCCGCCGGTCAGCTCGATGCCATAGTCGGCGTTCTCCTCGTCCACCGGCAGCGTTATCACCGTCTCCTTCCCTTCCGCAATGAAACATCCGCGCTCTGCTGTACGAACAAGTGCAATCCAGCGTTTTGATGATTATCTCGTTAATTTTTCTACCTATACTGCTTGTATCTTTACAAAATCAAACAGATTTTATGAAGTAGTTCGGTTTTAATCCAAATTCTTAAGACAATAATATGTACTTATTTCGCTACCGCGCGAGCCGTATTGTACGCGTGCAAGAGTTTCTTTTCGCGTTGTGTTTTGATAAATCGCCGTATCACATTTGTTTACTCTCAACCTTTAAACCTTTGTATGTACATGTTTTTCATCTAACTTTTACGCACGAGCAATTTTCTTTTCCGAATTTCTTACGAGAACAATTTGTGCCCAGAAACGAAACTGCTAGGTTTTAGAACCACGCGACTGGATTAATAATTTAGTACTTACTTGCAACTATTTATGGTAAAAATAAGAAAAACTGATTTGCGATGGATGTGATGGTTAGCTCTTTAGTAACACACACAGAAGCCAATAAAAATAAAATGAGCGGCCTTTCTTTCAGAGATTGCTTCGTGCAGGTAACTAGAAACGACTGTACGTAATTACTAGTAATCTACATACGAGTAGTTCTATATACGAACAAACAATGGGCATAACTGCGTTGAGTTAATATAACGGCTCTAATGTACTACAGCGAATAATTTAAGTTTATCATGCGCTTAACGGACGCGGTACGTGCTCGCTTACAACAGCGGCGCATTCGTAATTACAAAAATTATGCATTATCGATTCTTCTAACTGCACTTTATACCGCAATCTCTTCTCTAACTTCGCAGCAAATTTATGATTAATGAAGCGCAAAAAATCAATATTAATTAATATTGGGTATCTTTTCTAGTTCATACCTGCATTATTGCCGGTTGCACTGGTATTATCAGCTGCATTCATATCCTTGAAATTCCCATTCAGCGTCCTCTTCCATCTAGTCTACCTTCCCGTACAACAAAATCTATGTCTACGTACATGTAGCATCAGCAGAACTCTTTCCACAGTAATCGCCAAAATAATAATTATACAACGTATGATGTCTGTGGATAGGAAACGAGGAAGTACTTAACCGTGGAGATAAGAAAAGCCGGAGGACGGGTGGCGTTGTCGGTGGCAGACATGATTAAAGCGATAAACACGGTTGGCTAGTGGCTGACCGGTGTGAATAATGGCGCGCTAGAGGGCAGATTAGCAGGTGCTGCGCGTGGCGCACGCCGGGTCGGGTCGAGTGAAAGTATAATGACAGGAGGGAAGCCGGTCACTGCCGAGGCGCACTGGATATATCCCTGCACGTATATATCCCAATCCCCAGTTTAAGCCGCTCCGGCACACATATGCACCGCCTGTAATATGTTATTTTAACTCTTGACTGATTCGCTGCTTCATTACCGTATGTACGTACTGTAGCCGCACCACGACCGTGCTTGTACCGGCACTGCTAAGACAGGCTGCAACAGAGCGCAAGGGGATAACACAGCCGCTAAGATGATTAACGGCTATCGCCTGACAAGCCCACTCCGCGTTCCCGTCTTGTTTCTTAAGCTCACCCAGCGTCTTCACAACTGCAACGCAACCGCCAGTTGTCACTAGCTGGGTGAGTTTGGGTGCGTTTGTCGAGCGGAACCAGCTTCCGCCATAACAACGCAGCCTCGCGCTTCAGTGGAGTGGTTCCGTACTTGTCATACTGTTGAGGAAGGCGTCATAATGAGATTCTGCACCATCCGCCCACCACAGGCCCCACAGGCCCCACAGGATTCTGCCCTCTTCTGTCATACCGACTTATCCGTACGAGTAGCGCATGGCGCATTTTTATGCAGCTCGTCGACGTCGCTCACCCATAAAACCATACCGATACTTCTGTCGCGCCCTATCGCCATTACGGATAATGTAGAAGCTCAATCTGTTCTTAAAAGCAGAATGTATGTGTTAAAGGCATGGACGGCAAATGTACTTCACAGCAATAGGATTTACAATGGATTTTTTGTACGCTCTTTTTGCTTGTTGGAATCACTGTGAGGGCTAGAAGAGACATCATCGTGCTAAATGAGCAGCATCGCAGTGATTTTGCTGAGGAATGCAGCAATGTCGTTAACGGGTGGGCAAACGCGCTTACATTGCAACGGCAGCAGGCCCGGGTTGATCTGTCGCAGTCCGGCTGGATGCGCCAAGGAGAGCCCGGTTAAGGAATGATGGTGTAGTTAAGATAAGGAGCAGCATTTGCCAAAGTGTCGCTTCCGGCGAGCAGCCTATCGATTGGCATAAAAGCCACAAGGCACAGCGTAATGTACGTGGCGCTGGCCAAGGATGACTTTACATTTGATGGCTGGTTGCCATTCCGCAACCACCTACCCATCCGTCCCTCCGTCCAAGGAGGGAAAGGAAGGGAAAGCAGCCGCGGGAGCGCTGCACCGCACTCGGCTTCGACGTCATGGCTGCTGCTGTTTCTTTAGCGGCAATGGAACGGCAGCACCATTGATCGGCCGGCTGCTGCGTTGCACTGTTCGGCGGCAAAACAAACATTTGCTCAGCAGCAGTCCTTTAGTATTCTGTTGCGGCCGTGTGGATGGAACTCATTAGGCGGCGCATCAGCAGCGGAAATGTTTTGTCTAATATCCATCTCCTCCCATCTCCCGTCGAGCTGCGCCTGACTGACTGACGCTGATGTGCATGTTACACAGCGGAATGTAAGGCCAGCCAAAGCAAACACAGGCACATTGCAGCAGTATAGATAACTAACGGTTTGTATGCACGCACACATCTGCGGCTGCGCATGTATTGTACACCACAATTCAAATTGCCGTTACACTGCCGTGATCGCGATGTGTGTTAAAGCTTGTCCACAGAAATACTCATCAATACAATGAAGCGGCTAAATTGTACATGACAGCGCCGGAGTTCCCACAACACTTGCTTCCAAATTCCAAACAACGCACCGGACATCATGGCAGGGCAGGGCATTACTGTCACATGCGTACTTTGTCACCTTGACGGTTCTAATTTAAAATGTTTGTTGGTCCTTGTAAGGACTGCGTTATATATTTATGCAACAACAACAATAGGGCTGCTGTGGGCATGACCTTTCCATGTGGCTATGAAATCCAAAGCTCGCCATCTGTTTGTAGCTCTAAATTGTAACTTGTAAATTAATTTGCAAGTGCTTCCATACTGGGAATACAATGCAATTGGTAACGCACGCCACCGAGTAACAGCCACACAGAGCAGGTGCCGTGATTAAAAGCAGGCAAGCAGCGCAGCTTCATAACCATTGACACAATTTTGGAACACGTATCGTATGGAAGCGTGTTTTGCGACCTTTGGAAAACACACGCACAGAACAGGCGCAAATAGCTAAAGAGAAAATTCCGGTTTCTCTACATCAGTGCCGGTAAAGGGAGCACCTTTCTAAAGCACTTTATGAAGAATTCACAGCAGCTTACTTCAGCTGATATATGTAATTTTATCTTAGGCGTCCTATACATGTTATACTAAATTCACGTTAAAGAAGTGCCTCGTGAGCCGCTGATTTGGACGCTTTTCGGCCAGATTGGTCATCTCCCGCTACTTTAAATTGATCTTCCGTGGACAGTTTAAGTTAACTATCGAGCAACAGGCTATCTATCAACGTGACAGCGGCTACTCGGCCGCATCGCTCGAATTCCCCGTAACAGAAACCACTGAAAATTGAAGAAATACAGTATAATAATCACAAGATGCTTATTAGTCTGCCAATTCCTGCAAAAACCAATAGCTCCTCCCCCCTTCTCAGGTTAATATTTTACTCTGCGTAATGCGTGGTGCACTCATGTTACCTCTTTTTGCTGGCGGTCCTTTTTAAGATTTCTTATTTTTTTGTTGATGAATGTTATTTCAAAAAACACGGGTACATAACAAATCAAAAACAGTTAATCACAACAACAAGATCATTTAACGCTGCTGCCTTCCATTGTTCCGGGCACGGAAGCGGGCTTGCCTCTCTAACCGTTGGCGAATCAGTTCATGAGAAGGAGGTTCGCCCGTATGCACCTGAAGTCGCTTACCGCTTTCTTTGAAATTCTTTCACTAAGGCGGCAGCTGACTGTCCCCATGGTCCGAGTGTTTCGAAAGGCTTTCGAAACACTCGGACCATGGGGACAGTCAGCTGTGTTGCGAAGGCGTACGAGTACCTACCCAGGCAGATACAAATACAGTTGCGCTTTTTACCCTCGATCTGCGGATCCGGCTGCGACTTCAAGTGGGACAGGGTAACGGTATCCATATCTGTACAGATGTAGAAATAAGTGAAGAGTCAGCGATTTGCGGCACATTTGCCCCTTAAGGTTTTTGTGCTTCTCTCGCCCGAAACAACTTTTCTGTAAGGGATCAGATAATCAGATCCGTTATATCTGGAGGTACTGGGCCGTTCTAGGTACTACCAGTGGAAATTCACTGACACCTAACAAGTGTCAGCGAATAAGATTGCGAAGATAAACCATTTTCAGTCGTGACTGCTAACCTCGCGACAAAACGCAGCTCTGACACAATCACACGAAGCAGGGCACCCTTCAGACATTTGGTTTTGCCATAAACTATTTACATAATCTGTAATTTCACGTAGAGTGACATAAATGAAACAGTCTAGGCCAGAGGCCGGCATCTAGTTGAACGCCCTGCCTTCCGCCCACATCGGCAACCTGCTTGGAGACGACGAACTCAAGATCAGTGTTGGTCTTCGCCTTGGCGCCACGATTTGCGAACCTCATGATTGCGTTAAATGTCTCAAACGCGTGGATGGTTACGGGCATCATGGGCTGTCATGTGCCTTCTCCGCCGGAAGGCACCCGCGCCACGGCGGATTAAATGGCATCATTTGTCGAGCATGTGTATCTGCCGGCGTGCCCGCAAAACTGGAGCCTCGTGGTACCTCTCACACCACGGAACGCCGTCCGGACGGCTGCACGACATTTGCCTGGAAACGTGGATTGTGCCTAGCATGGGACGCGACATGTGTAGACACGGTTGCGCCGTCACATGTCAAAGCCACCTCGACTACAGCGGGAGCGGCCGCCGTGCAAGCAGAGGATAAGAAATCCAGATTTTATTTGTACCTGGTTGGCCGCTACCTATTCGTCCCAATCGCCTTTGAAACCCTGGGCCCGTGGGGGCCGTCAGCAATCGCATTTGTGAAAGAACTGGGGAAAAGACTTCAGCAGCAAACCGGCGAAGCACGCTCGCATGAATTTTTACGCCAGCGTTTGTCGATAGAAATTCAACGGGGTAATGCGGCGTCTGTGCTGGGCACGATGGAAGGGCTGGATAAATTGAACGAAATTTTCTTGTTGTAATTTCTCTGTTTCTTTCATTATTTTGCCTTAAGTTTGATTTGACCAATAAAGTTCTCAAATGAAACAAAAAAATTTAAGGTTGGGGGTGGCAACGAACCAGCGTTTGCATTGCCCCCTAAAATGGGAACCGGAGGAGTTCAGTGTAGGTAGGTTTCATTGTGCGAGTACAACAGGTTTGACACAGATTCCGCGCAACACACCTATTCCAGCTACTCGTAGAACTGCGTAGGACAAGGATTGAACCTGCGGGATCCTGTCCCTGCAGGACAGTGTCAGTTAAAATGCTAACCTGAAAGCTGGTTTAGGTTCAGGTGAAGCTCAGTTAAACTCTTTGAAAGTTCAGGGACAGGGCGCAACCCAGTCCTGCAGGCATCCTGATAATTTCCAAAACCTACTACATTTCGTTCTAACCAAATGTCAACACAAAGCGCTTCTTGGAACACAATCTGCGTTTTTGCGCATCAAAGTTATTTGATCTGTTTCGAAACTAGGTGAGCGGCCCTTCTCGTCTTCTTTCAATACCAGTTTATCATGGGCCCGCGCTCAAGCTCTGACTCTGACTCAGACTCTGACCGCTCAAACTCTGACTCTGACTACTCAAAGTCTGACTCTGACTGTCCAAACTCTGACTCTGACTCTGACTGAATAACCTAAGAATAACTTAAAAAACCTAAGAAACCTAAGAAACCTAAGAAAACTAAGAAACCTAAGAAACCTAAGAAACCTAAGAAACCTAAGAAACCTATGAAACCCAAGAAACCTTCAGAGTCAGAGTCAGACTTTGAGCGGTCAGAGTCAGACTTTGAGTAGTCAGAGTCAGAGTTTGAGTGGTCAGAATCAGAGTCAGAGTTGGAGTCTAGGCCTTTATCATGAGTATCGTAACGGACCTTATGTACAGTTTGCTCCTTGCTTCAACGCGGCCATTGTTTCCACAGCTGAAGGTAAAATATTACGTAAATTATTTAGTAGACACTAGACAGGCATGCTCGTGTTTTTCTTTTGCTCTGGCGCAGTACAGCGGTCTCAGCTTTTTCTTCAGTTTAGACTGTAGGATACCATTGACAGACATACCGTACTTTCTGGTTAAAAGAATGTACTTGACGTAAAAACGAAAAGGGAGAGTAGGCGTTCAGGAGACGAATAAAACCGGTACAGTCAAAGAGCGCTGATACACCCCGTTTGCGTCAAATTTGCGGGTCGCTTTTATAAATTCCCACAAACCGCTAATTTAACTAAACTTTATTTAACTTTTTCGTGATCAGCCAATATATTAATACTTCCAGAATCGTTCGCTATTACCAGTTAGGGTTCCCAAGATTTGAACTTACCACCGTATGAATCACAAGAATATGGAAGAACTGGCAATTCGTTCAAGTTAGAAAAACTCTTTGGTGCTGACAACCGAACACTGAGTTAAACTGAGTATTTTATTAAAACTTCAAGATATTTGAAGGAAATTTTGTATTTTTTAATACTTATAGTGTGTCACAGCAGAGCCGTAAGGGAATACTTCAATTAGCGGTCTTAGCCACTCACACATCGGAAGTGGTACTTAACTTGCATTTCATTCGTAATCTGCGGGGGCAACATCGCGCTATTGATTCTACGAGTATTAATTTTAATTGTAATCGCTATCAAGACGTGGTTTTGTAAGCACATCCAAGGACCACGATCATCCGATTTAGTCGTAGCTCGCAACGCCACGGGTAACACGATGCATCATGTAAAAACTATAAAACACATAGAACGGGACCCACGAGTATTTATCGCACCTTAATCGCGCTTCGTGCAGCTTACGTACCAGTTCACGGTACCCAACATTCTTCGAATGCCAGACAACCGTGCGCTCGCCGTAAGCAGACATTGTTTGAATCACTTTAACTGCAACTAACACCTACGTACGTCAGTTGTAATGCGGCTTTATATTTACGCAAATTTTAAGTCTGGTAGCTCTGAAGGCCGCCTTTTTTGTACTCTACCGGTTTAATCAGTGGCGCACGTCACTACATGTTCATCTAGAGTAGATTTTAAAAAATACGCCACTGTAATTAATCAGAGAATCGAATTGCCGATGGCGGTGTTTTTGCGGTGTGAGCTGCTTTCGACCCATACGGTTATTGCTTGCTGGGACTGGACGAGAGGTCTCTGCATTTTGGTGGTCAGTCCATCTGTACTGTTAAATCGTACCCAAAGCAAACCATAGTTACAGAGCTCGCGCTGTATTAACAATCTAAGCAGAAGTAAAGAGAGAGAATAGACTTTCCAATACTGCTCCACTAGAATTAATCACAACGGTCCATCTCACCTGCAGTGTTACACAGACACTAAAAGGTTATAAAAAGTTAACCGCTGCCTGACATCCAAGGCACCGAATCAGACAGATGCTATATGTCACACCTAAAGAAGTATTCACGCCCCCGGTCCCACTAATCAGCGGTCGTCCACCATCCACACGTGTTCATTTGTGGCGACAGCAAGCGCTGTCGGCACTAGCAGGCGCGCTCAGAACCGGTACCGCAGCTGTAATGATGTTTAAGCAAGTGCCAGGTCATAATCAGCCAGCCTATACTAGTAATCATGGTTGACAGCGGGAATCGCTTTCTTGGAAAACGGGGTACCGTTCTACGGATGAAGATAAGTACCACTGCGATCATCATGTGCACGTGCGCAAACACCATCCGCGACTATCCATCATGTATCGGTTCAACACCACCTTCATTATCCCGCTCGTCGCACTTTGCATTGCTCAGTTGAGTGAACCCTCGCTCCCATGTGGAGCCGCATGCAGATATCTGATGAAGCGCCCCAGGCATTCCACGTCGTGGAGAGCCGTTATCCGCTCTTTTAAGGCTTTCATTCACACAATCACATGCAGATGAAATCCGTCTCCTGGCCGTGATCCTGACCATGGGTGTGGGTGTGGCCATGGTAGTGCGCCGTGGCTAAATTGTGCTTGGCCGTGTGTCGCCAGCTGCACAGCAGTTTGCTAAAGGCGGCACGGTATTCCCGGTTGGTCATGCCGTAAACAAAGGGATTGACGAAGGAGTTAAGGTAGCCCAGCCACAGCGCCACCTCTTCCACCAGCGGAGTGGTCCCGATTATGCCGAAGGGGTGCACGGTGAACAAGGTGAAGTACGGCAGCCAGCAGGCTGTAAATGCACCTGTAACGACAATCGGGAATTCAGAACTCATCGTTAATAAATAATAATTAGCGGATGTTGAATTGCCGCTAAATTCGATCTCTTGGCTGCACTCATTTTGTTCTTTAAATATTTTTGTCAGCCCTTTTAGTGATGCCAAAGTGGACTGGGGCCGTGCCCCACTTTAGCGCTAAAGTGGGGCACGACCCCAGTCCACTTTGGCATCACTAAAAGGGCCTGACTACTATTACTACTATTACTTTCCGACTTCTACGATTACTTTTACTGCCAGGAATCGTTGTCGCTAGCGAGATTCCTGGCAGTAAAAGTAATCGTAGAAGTCGGAAAGTAATAGTAGTCAATATAGTAGAAATAGGTAAAAAAAAACTTTAGTATTGATTTGATTAAATGCGCAGAATGCTGAGATCTTTCATTTTCATTTGGCGACGTATGGTCACCTATTTTTGGTTTTTTGTCAATGCGAAGTCACGACACTTTTACTTAGAAAGGTCACATGTCGGACGAGCTTTAACCAGGGCACATAGACCGCCTCCAAATTCAAAAATTTTCATTTTTTGTAGAAATGTGCTATACTACCGTAGTAAGCTTAAAAAATATTTTCATCTGCCATGGTCAAAAGGGCGTGGCCAGACAAAAATTAGAAAGTTTGCATATTATCCCATGCTGTGTAGTATCTTTACAGAACAGTACTCCTAATTATTTTCCGGAGCGGACTGACACCAGCTGGCAGTCGGCTAAACTAGAATAATTACAAAGACTAGTCTTTGTACACTACTTTGTATTTTTTTTAGTTTATGGCTTGTTTTCGAACGGTCTATGGAAAGTCTGTTACCAAAATGTTACACGATTCTGATTCGCACATTTTAGGGGGGTGGTTTAGCTCAGCAAAAGCATCAAGTTACACAAAGGGAGACACTATAAGGGACTCTCTAAATTACGTTCCCGAAAAATTCGTTCTGTACGTAATTTGTGTTGGGTCCCTAACTATACCGTTAGTTACAGTATACGAATAATACGTAATTTGCACAGCGGCGGAATGTTTTCGCTGACTGCGAAGCAGACAAAAAACGCCACCTTTTGGTGTTTTATTAAATTTTTTATTGCAGTACCGTAGACTTTTGCAGCTGTGGAGTAGTGGTGTAACTGAAACCTACGTGCGGTTGCCCGTGTCATTGCTATCTAAGTGCGCATTTTCGAAAATCCGTAATAAAGTACGGATCTATTTATTCGTAAAACAAGACTACACTTTCACAAAAAATGAAAATGTTTCGAATTTGGAGGCGGCCTTTGTGCCCTGGTAAGGCTTGCTCGCTTCCCGCTATGCATTAAATCGTAAATACACACCGCGCCCTACTACGAGTAGTATTCGGCGCAGGTACACATTTGCTAAGAGATAATGTATTCGAAGCAACTGCAGTTTGACCAACTATTTAGAAGATGTAAGTGTTGCTGGATGTATTGATTGCCGAACCTTTTTGCTCACAAAATTTCAAAATATGAAATCAATACTTTATAGTTACGCACAAATACTTACATTAATACAAGAAACCTACTTTGAGGTACAGTATGTGTCAGAAACGCCGACAGCAGGAGCGGATAGTTTATGAGCCAAACTTACCGACGATGATAAACAAGGTCAAGGTAGCACGGTGCTGGCGCAGCACGTGACTGTGGCTGTTACTCCGCGAGCGTGGATTGTGCTGGGGCGTGGCCTCCTTGGCGTGACCAGCCGTACTGGGGTGATAGGTCTGGGAACGGATGGCCTGGACATGGGCGTAGCTAATTTTGAGGATTTTGGCGTACATGACGTAGAGAATAAGCAGGGGAATGTAGAAGGTTCCCACCCCAAGGGTGACACTGTAGTAGGGGTTGTCGACGGTGAAGAGACATTGCCGCTCGTCAGCGCTGTTCTGTAGACGACCGTCGGCCGTATTCCAGCCGGAGTAGATGGGCACAAAAGCGATGAGGGCGGACAGAAGCCAAGTGAGGGCCAACAAGGCAACCGCAGTGGGGGCGGTGATGATGGCGCTGTATTCTAAGGGCCGGCTTATCGCGTAGTAGCGATCGATGGAAACCTGCACCATCAGCTGTTACGGTACATTCTGCAGCATCAGCTGACCATAGAACGCTCACATATAAACATACTATTTAATACTGTAGCTACAATTTATACGGTACCCGGCATCAATGCCAACATCACCGATCGACATATGCCCGCAAGATGTATGATTTCCCATCAATTCCCTTTCAATCTTAATTCAATTGACCGCCTTCTAATGAATAATATTACTGGATTACGTACGCCACGCACTGCGCTGTCAAACGCGCCAAATTACTGCCGAGAATCGCGTACAGAGTTTACTTTACTTATGAAAAATGGAAAGTAAATGAGCGTCATGAATAACTATGAACGTAAAGTCCGCAAAACATGCTTACTCATATGCAACATACATTACTTAACAACACCGTAAACTGTTTGTCCTGTTTTGGGGCTCATTCCCAGTTCAGATTTTTTTGTTCCGCAAATAATCATGGAATATCAGAACGTTATGTTCCGCTTCTGCTTTATTTAATCTTACAGAGTACCGGTATGTACATATGGACAAATGTTTACCACGAAGAGGTTGAGGATGGAGGCGGTGGAGAGGAAGACATCGGTGGCGACGTAAAGGTTACAGATGACACTTCCGAACTTCCACTCGGGCGATAAGAGCTTGGCGAAGCTCAGCGGCAGGACACATAATCCCAGCAGTAGATCACTGGAGGCGCCAAACAAAACAAAATGCGTAATGAGCAAAGCAATACGGGATAAAACAGCACTGTATTGTGCACATCGTAATGTATGCATGGACTGGCCACGCAGCGGATGTTGACCGCATCGACGTTGATGTAAAGTTTGAAGTTTGAACAGCGTCGTGCTCGCAACAGCGCCTAATTGATTGCACCAAATGCACAGCACGGCACGACTGCACGAGTGCCATCAATGATCGTAATTTCACGTAAATTAGCCTCACTGATGAATAAGTCGAGCCTAATCCCTTACAGTCCTTCCAAACTGGCAATCATCATCATGGTGCCGTGTTTCGCACGTACAGAGTTATGTACAAGATAATATCATTTTCTATATACTTTCCATATACAGTAAGTGCGTGTACCAACAAGTACACTGTAATGCCGTAAATCCATTTACAGTCTGTAAACTTGCATTAAGAATCTAAATAAGAGCAACGTTAACTAAATGCTGTATTTTTGATCCGTAGATTCGTAACCTTTGAAACGATACGAACACACCGAAGATGTTTCTATTAGCCCGTAACGCACAAAATTTTGGTCACTGAATAGGTTCCAATACTAATAAGTAAACGCAAAATTATTAACGGTTGGTGAGTTTTAGAGGGGCAGTTAAAAACATTTCAGAAAGGACCACCTTGACTCCGCATTCATTACTTGGTTCGTTACCGATATCTCGAATGATTCCAGTTTTAATACTGCAGGATTTATAACAAAGGTTTACACTAGAAGAGGCCCCAAATACCCAAACGACGTAGAAAACATTTTCAGTTTATTTTATGCATACTGCCCAGCTTGATGCAAAAGTCTTGTACGGTTGTAATGCAGACGTTGTTATTTGTAGAAAAACAACCTCCCGTGTGTATTCGAAGTCATTTAGACAGCTTAATTCCAGTAGCCTTCTCGGTAAGCACTAAGACGGTTGATTGATCTTTAAGTGAGAAACACTGCTCGAAGGTTGTATGGATGCACACTACAGTACGTATGCTGTCAAGCACGGACTGCACATCATAAAAAAAGAAAAAATCTACTGTACTCGTACCTAATGGCCAGAGAAGCACAGAAGCTGTTGGTAATATTGTTTCTCAACTGGCGGTTATGGACAATGGCCAGGCAGAGCAACACATTGCCGACAATGGTGCCCAGAACGATGGCGCAAGTGGGCGCGGCGGTCAGCAGCCACTGCCACGCGGCCATGGAAAACACCGCGTCCGGGGCTGCGGCGGGGCTGATGCAGGCGTTGCTGTGGTTCATAATTGTGTCAGTGTCGACAGGGGTGTTGACGGACTGCGCAATGAGCGGATTACTCGGCATCACGCCGCCAAATCCCGGTCAGCACCAACACACGATCAGATCACACATATAGTATACGCCGCGGCCGGAAAGTCGCGGCCGGCCGGAAGGGGATTCAGGAAGAGGATGTGGGAAAGCGGACTAATCTCCCTGATTCAATAACACTCCCCATGATCCTTCCAGGAAATCCGCTCCCCAGTTAATGGCTACTATGCATCCATCTACAGCAGCAACGTAAGCAAATCCAGACACGATCATCCCCATATCAACAGACCGTATATGCTTATAATTATAGGCGCTATTTCTAGTTGCACTTATATTCGGAGTCACACTTTGAATTACCAGTATTATGTAACAGTAGCCTGCTGAATAATTATTGCAGTGTTATCGACCATGAGAAATTAATCTGATTACCCAACTTCTATATGTACACCGATAAATCTGCTTAGATTATGGAATGATGCGGTAACCTTTACTGACAGTATAAACAATTCGGCGAGCAGACCCACCTGAGCAGAATATTCAGATAGGTTTGTCAACGGTTTCCGTGTCACGGAAGATTAATTAAAGCCTGGTTTCGTTGAAGCACCGAAATAGCAGTTGATCCGTGCGATTTGTAGGTTTCGATCCTGGTTAAACATACAAACAAGGATCTGGCTGGCGGTAATTGAATAAATTCTAATTACGGCCTGGTAGGGTGCCAAGTAATTCCCTAAGATACCGACTCCACCGGTACGCTTGAAGCATTACAGAACAGACAGAGGCAGAATTAGCGCAGAAAAGCGGAATTTTTGCAGTCAGCGCAGTTAGCAGCACACTGCACAATAAATATCATATTGAAAATATACAACTGTTTCTAGTTGACATAAGCAGCAGGTGTGTTGATTTACTGGTGTAAGGATTAAGCGGATGTGTGCGCCCGTCAGCGCCAACTGAACACAACACAAACCGGGATGGCCCACCGGAAACAAACAAACCGTAAAGCGGTTGTTTCTTGATACTCGTAGGGAAAGTAGTTTAACTTGCGTTGCGGAGATGGCAGAGACTGATAGGCAGTCTGAACGCTGACCGCGGCAGACCAATAAAGTTTATGAAAAAGGGAATGTTGATGTTGCGCACATCCTCTGTAGCCCGCATTTGTCATCTCCCTAAGTGCGTCCATAAATCACCAGGCAGCACGCTGCTAATATACGCTGTCTCGGCCACGACCACAGCGTCTGCATGCGCACCGCATATGTGTGCGTGTGCTGCCTGGTACGAATGCACGTCGCCAATTGGCTGGATCGCTGTTCGTACAAGCAGACCCTGTTCCTGCACACGCAACTAGCTCGATAAAAGACACTGTGGTCACTCAAGAAACCTGGAGAAGGATCCGCCGGCGTCACGTATTCCCACCCAGCCTGTTTGCTGCAACACACAATGAAGGACACGGAACAAAATTTACAGGCAGGAACCATGATGCGCAGTAACGGTATGTATGTCATTATTGTCCACTTTTAGAACCAGAAAACATATCACTGTAGTCTGTTTGTGAAAACACACTTGTTGTCATAATTCGTAAATGTAGCGAAGTAGGGTGAAATTGTATTGCACAGGCCCGGCAAGGGCTAATTAAGATAGAACACTGCATTACCTGATTTGATTAGGTTTCCGAGGAAAATTGGGCTCGGAGACCTCGATTGGCTGCTTCCGGCGGAATTCGCTAATCTGCTTAAACGAAACCAGGTCTGTGTAATTCCCATGCGGGAATTGGGAAAGCGGCGAGATGTTTTTACTGGTAACGTTAAGTCGCACTTAATAATGCGGAAAGCTTCTCAATTTTGACCCACGACTTAAAAGCGTGCTGGGCCAACGAAATGCGTACGACCGGGAGGCGGTCCTTTATTACCACTTTATGCCACATTTGTTGGTAAAATCGTTATTGTTACGGTTGCAGTTCCAGCATAACAAAGGATACAATAAATGAAGTTTCTGAAATCTGGCACATTTAAGCAGTCCTTACCTCATTTTCAGCAACCAATATTGGACTGTTAGACTTAAATCCTGGTAAAAAAAATGCTTCTATCCGGAATACTCGTGCGGCTTTCCCAGGATTACGCGCGACGCCGCGCGTCCACCATGAAAGAAAGTCGTTGTATGCGTACAGTAATATTTTTACATTTTTGCACCGGTGTTTTATATAATAAAATAGGATTCTGGTACAATAAAACCGTACACAATATTACCTACTGCTGACAAAGTGTAATGCAAATGTACTTTGTACTTACACGTGGTTCAAGTTTCCAAAACAGTGAAACTGGCTGTTATACTGCTTGACCTGCGATGAAATAATTGTTACAGCCACCAAAGGCGAGAGCGAACACATCAGTCTATGTTCTTCGGGGTTACCACAGCATCGTTGTGGGGTTTACAGGCTATTCGCATCGTGAGTTGAAGCGGTTACTATGTAGCTGGTACTGGGTATATCATTCTCTTCTAATACAATTAAAACTAAAAGTAATCCGTTGCAATGGAACAGATTTAGGATGACATAACGCACAACAAACGAAGCACGATATTCTGTGTGGTACGATACTTTGTCATTCACTCATCATTTGTGCCTGGGCTTCGGTCGATGCTAAAGATCTCGGTATCTGTGTCTTTGGCGCAGTTGGTATGAGATTCTCCGCAAAGAGCAGTGCAGTATGTCATAATTGTCGTAGAACTGTAGAAGGTCATTTTTGTGACCCACTGACTATCACAGGTCAGTGACGGTCAGCCAGAATCTCGTACTGTACATTGTAAGGTACGAAAATGCATCATTAAATGCCACTCTCCTTGCACATCTTTCTGAACACTGCACATTAGCATATGACGAGTTCTAGGCCAAATAGCGGATTTAAGTGCGTACTGCATAGACAGCGTAGCGCACCCTTCAACACGAGCGGTCGCGCTGTCAGACTACTACTTACTCATTTGTAGATTGCCTAAACGTGCGGTACCCAAGAATCCTGCGACACCCGTGCGTATTATAATTCCTTTGCTCGCCGGAAGTCTCATTTGTCCGGACGTTTTGGTCGGTTGCAGTCGTGGATCCAACTCACGTAAGCCTAAAGAAAGGCATTCGTTCAGCAGTGCAGCACGTACTTTGTACAACACTGTTTATAGCTGACCATCGTGATGATATGTCCAGCGCGTCTTACGGTTTTCTCTTCATGCACACCACAAGCTGTGGTGTCTATGAAGAGGTACGAAAATTCGTATGTTATGCACAAACCACAAGCCTAGTTAAAAAGTGATTGTGGTCCACTACCACTTTTAACTAGGCAAAATCAAACCGCTTTATACGGAGAGGAGATGTTCAGTAAGCAATTCGCAATCAGAACGGCACTCTAGGCAGATTTTGCATGCGGGACATTTTTTATTTAACAACATACCAGCAGTAATGCGATGAAACGGCACTGCAATGAGTGCAATCATAATTATGAGATTCTCGGTTATAGACGAAAGATACAAGAAACGTGTTTAGACGACCAAACCTGCAATCTCAGAAATGCATTCAAAAGCCAACGCCATCACAATGCCAAGCAGCAGTTCAACGGACATCACCGTTTTGTTCATGTAACAAACTAAACAAAGAGTCAGTGCATTAAGGAAAAAGGCAGACGACCACCTCGGTTTCACCGTGTCGAAACTGGGCAGCTTGTTGAGAGGCAAAGGCATATGTAAGCCTTTCACCTTTTGCTACTTCCATTCATGTTAGTTTCACGGGATTAGGTTTACTCCCTGCGTACCCCATTGGCCAGCTGGACTCGACCCACGCACCATGCATCTTGTGCCGACGACGCTGATGTTACTTTCTTCTGACGATGCCTCGAAAGGCACTGACATATATATTGAAGCTTCCACAGCTCTCTCGATGGCTGAATGTTCCGATGGGAAGCCAGTAGCTGCAGTGACGAGTGAAGATGTTCACTCAGCTGTGAGGCTAGCTGACAAGTTGTTTGTCAACCGCGCCATCGCACAGGTGCTCGTACATGAGCTGATATTTACAATTTGCAAGCTTAGGATTAAGCCAGCTGGTCAAGCATGTAGCCATTGACCAAGGTTGGCCAATCAATCACTCTAAAAAGCTCCACGCAGATCACTTTGCGCGCGTGGGAACACCTTCCGAAATGCCAACTACGCTGAACACTTTTTAGGCACAAAGCCTTCACGATAAGCCGCCGAGGGCACTACTTTCTTTGCTTTGGTAACCTCTCTTGCATTTGCCGGTTACCTTTTCCTAATTTCAGGGAACCAAAGATTGCTGGAAAGTGCTGGCAGCCCACAGGGAACAGTAAAATGAGTCCAGTCAATTAGGTTGCTTAATAGCGTGCCTCCACTCTGGCCTTAGCACTGAGGTGGCAGTTTTATTTTTTACGTATGAATTTCGTGTTTTTTGAGCGCCTTAGTGCTCGTATTATTAATTCTGTAAGTCTGAAAATAAGAAAGTGGTAGATTACTTTACGCCGATGCCACATCCGTTGCATTCGACCAATGTTGGTCATGCAAGGCAGCCTGCATACGATCCGAGTGCTGTTAAGTTCAAACGTCAAAGTTTTTTTATCGCAAAACGCTTGAGCACCAATCGCCGGTGGTTTGAATAATGCTATACACGCAAAAAGACACGCAGTATACACGACTATGCATGTCGCAGCGGACGAATTTTACGGTTTAGAGCGGTTTCGAAGCAGCCGAACGCTCCAAAAGATGTTGGCTGACTGTATTGCTGTGCACGCATGCAAATAGATTAGGTTGTAGTTTTCTCTTTCTTACGATTAGTTATTTATATTATATTAAATATATGCGCTCTTCGACATCATCTTGGGGCAGGTGACCAAGTCTGCACACCTTGTGGCTTGCAGTCCTTGCGTATTTTCCCGAATGCGCATGTTCCGCCATTACGTGATGGATCAGTTATAGCCAAACTACTGTAATAGGTACGAGTACTTGTACTGTAGTAAAGTGCAGGCAGTAAGTCAAATTAGTACGTGCGACAGTGCACCGCCAGTTAGTGGCGGATTGGCACGTCACGCTAATCAGCGTGCTTAATTGCAGGCGGGCATCATTAGTGACGGTCGTGTCAGTTGGCGCATCAGCACATCCGACTGGTGGTTGTTTTTCCCATGTATCATTCCGCTTAAGTATCTACTATCTGTAGACACTCAATCGCCCAGGTTGCCACTTTACATAGCACCCTTGACATTCTCCGCGCGGCAGTTAGTTATTTTGTCCAAGGAAAGATGATTTAAATATGCCATCAAACGGCAATTAGCGCCCTTCGTTACGCTAACAACCACGCCACGCCGCGGCCCGTACATAGTTTGCGCGTAAGACGGATGCGCCTGGTGTGCCACACCGTCGCCCAATCACTTTAACCGTGATTATTGCGCTGCTGGATGGACGGTCTTGACGTCAAACCTCCGAAGAACGGAATGCGTTGCAAATGGATAGTTGCAACTTGCGGCTAGCAATATTCATTGGAGACCTGGAGCCGCTGCTCAACTGTGACTGCCAACGGTACGCAACGAACTGTGCGCTGCAGTCTATACTTAACCGCCGCCAAAGTCTATGTATACGTTGCGCAACCGTCGCACGCAGACACGGTCAAACTGTCAAGTTGGCAACTAGGTTGTCACTGCGCGGGTGTTTCACGCAAAGGTCACCGACAGGTTGACACGCTGTTCACCCAACTGATCGCAGCGTGATCGTTTGCGGTAAACCTCATGCAGTACCCTTCATCCCTCTCTTCTTAACATTTTTTAGATTATTTAATCGCCGGAAGCAATCATCGACGCGAGGCAACCCGGAGTCCAATCAAGGTTGAACTGCTGTTCTGCACGAAGATATTCTCAGTGTTCGGTTATTTTGTGAAGCCCAAAATCAAATATATACATCAAAGAAAATTTTTTATTTTTATGTTGACCGTTCTTTGAAGTGTGATAAACGTGCCCAGACAGCATGCAAGCGTAAATACAAATGTCGAATTAAAAGAATGAAGCTCTTCGTACGTGAAAGGCATAATGATTGGGCAATAAAGAAAAACGCGTGCCTGGTAAATAAGTGTACAGCATAATGTACATTACACGGAGGAGACAGGCATTAGGGGATAAGAGAAACGGAGAATTGGGCAAAGTGCTAATGCATTAAAGGTCCTCATATCGATAAGCGATCCACTTGCGCGTATAGGGCATCGCATCGCGCAGGGTCCAGGCAGGCTGCGGCCGTGCGTGCGACAAACTGTACATAGTACAGGCAGACTGATGGATGATACATTTGCTGCGCTCAGTGCCGCGTTACGCAGCGGATCTTCCGGTGAATAGCAAACATGTACGTGCACCGCTAACACTGCTGCGTCCCGTTTTAAGCGGTCTTCCCTTACTTGCCATGCAGCTGGCCACTTGCAGGATATAGTCCTCCTATTGATGACTGGATATTGAGACTTGACGCCGCATCGCCAGTCTCTCTACGTCGGTACGATCGACAGTCCTCATCGCGGTACGATCGATAGTCCTCATCGATGCCAGCGCACATACTATGCAAATCTATCGACGAGGAGGTGCCCGTTCCCTGTTAAACCGCGGACGCTGTATGAACCCTAATTATGCCACTCTAAATAATCGCATCAATCCATGTAAAAAATATATACGTAATACAAGGAACGAATGTGACCTTTAATTTTTGGTAGATGCAATTACGGACTTGCCGGTATTTCATAAGAAGCAGCACACTTGAGAAAAAATAGCGAAATACAAACATGTACGTACGCCCGGCAGAAAACCGTTGGATTAACGCTGTAGTATTGAGCGCAGCGGATGCGTCTTCGACCGGTGCCGGCTGGTGCACACTGCGAGTGCCCTCGTGGCTCGTGCATACAGTATCGCTGCTGCTACAACTTGTCACACATAATCTCCCTCTTTCTTTTACTCGTACAACTGCTTAGTTGTATGCGTATCTACGCAGCGCCGGTATCGGGACTCTTATGCACTGCGATAGCGGTATGTTTGGCAGTGTGCGCTGCAGTGCAGGACGTGATCCTGGTTTTAGACTAAACATAGGAGGCAACTTGTAATTTGCTGTAGCATGCCTTGTTAAAGTTGATTTCTCTAGCCCCGAAAAGCTGTAGATGATCTGCTGCATGCCGCTTAGCACACAATGTCATCTGCCTGTTAAGCAGCACTTTACAGCCGCCTCCCATTCACTCACTCCCAATATCTCCCTCAACGTAAAGCCTGTAGTTAATACATATCTGTATCTCTAATTACTCTACCTGCTGCTGCCCATAAACACACCCGCCTCCAGCCTTGCAGCCGGCATTTGATGGTGTCGATCGGTTGATGAGTTACGAGTGGCGGATTATCCTGGATATATATGGCTGTTGTCTGTGTCACGGTGTATACATATACGTTATATATGCGGGAATTTATTAATCCATCCGTGTCCGGGCTGGATTTACATTAGCGAGGACGAGAGAGATAAAGTGAGCTGTTGCGTCGAGCGATGCTGGATGCTTACATAAGTGCTGCATTTGCCGTGGGAGCCGTGGACGATATTATCCCAGCTGTGTGCATGCGCGACTGCCTTGTCACTGCACTTATACACGTCAGCCGGGGCATTCATGATCGCCGCTTGCAGTTCACCAATGGCCGACAGCCCCCCACGGTCCTGTTGCGATGCTGACCGGCGGCGTTGTGCCGGTACCCACGGATTGTCACTCTGTGTTTGGTCAACATCCTCGTGGCGGTGTCCGGGTGCGGGTGGGTGCCGGGCGTCCTGTCTATCATGAGCGTGACTGGCAATGTCACCTAGCCTACTTCACCCCTGCACTGCTGCAACGCCGCCTTCTCTACACCGCACTGGACACCGTGTTTTCATAGCTGCTATTCTGTTGCTGCCGGTGCCGCTGCCGGGGATCCCGTGGGCGGGCGCTCGCTGCCGCTCAGTGTCAGGCTCAGCTGCTCTTCCTATCTTTTTTCTCGATGATTATGAAGCGACAGAATATCCGCACTCTGTCGCTAATTGTCTGCACCTTCACCTACCTGCTGATCGGGGCGGCTATCTTTGACGCGCTGGAGGCGGAGACGGAGGAGAAGCAGCGTCGAATGCTGCGCGATCTCGACACGTTCTACCGCGATAAGTACAACATCTCCAGCCTCGACTGGAAGATCATGGAGACCGTCATGGTAAGGCTTAGTTAGACCACTTCCGGTCGCTGGAAGCCGCACCTGTGCGCGGACAGCCGCGCCGCAACGATGCACGAGTTGACTATGAAAAAAGACACACGGCTGCCTATAAATACCCATCGATCGGCATCATTCGGCCGAGCTTGCTGCTTCCGGTGTAATCGATAGTTCTTTAAGAAAATGTTACTATAATTCGGGCATTTATATTTGCTCATTGAAGCCTGCTTCGGCGTGTCATTCGTGGCCGGTAGGTAAGGAAGTGGTAATATGGCCGGCCATTGATGAGCGCCAAGTGGAAAGCACCGGGAAGAATGCTTGTTGTACCGGCAAGCAGCGAAGGATGCAGTGGCAACCAGATTGATTTGTGAATAAACAGGCAAACAGAGCGTATAATAATATGCACAGTGCAGCGCATTCAGCGGATATATTGTGTACACGGGACTGATGCATATATGCGAATGGCCGATCGGTGGATCGATGGGTGCTTGTAGGGGAAAAATGTTAGAGGAGCCAGGCTATTAATTTTATCGACAGATCCACGCTGACTGACAAGCAGGCAGCAGTATTGCGACTGTACACCATGCACAGGCATCGGACAGTGTGTAGCTATTCCATAGTGTAGTGACTGTGTTGTTTTGATTTGCAGATCAAGAGTGTTCCCCACAAGGCCGGGACGCAGTGGCGTTTCGCCGGAGCCATTTATTTTGCCACAACTGTCATAACAACCATCGGTAAGGCGATGCCAGCTGTAAGCGTCGAAGCGCTGACGGCGTTGATTACATGCGGTTTTTAATTGAAACAACCTCAAAGCTGTATCAGTTGCGGTATCGGCCGTACCGCAATTCCCATCCTGTACACACCGGCCGCAGTAATCATTTCCCGCTACCGACCGCAAGGGCCAACGGCGATGATTGCGGCGTTGAGCGCCGGCAAATAACCACCTACACGCCGGCCATTTAACGCCGCTAATATTCATGTTGTAATTCAATCCCAATCGGCTTAATCGATAGGATAGCCGGGTGTGGTATACGTAAACGGAAGCACGTGCTCATTATCGGATATACTATATACAGTCGGGATGGACTGAACTGCACTGGTGCATATACCGGAGAGCGATGTACAGCGGCCTGCCGATATACTTTAACATAAATATATAGAATGTTATTATCGGTAAATGTACTCTACATGCAGCGAGCGCAATCAACAAATGACCATTCTTTGACATTTTGGCGTAGTGAAAAGTAGTGCGTGAGTAGCGCGACAATGACTGGCAGCACAGTGAGGCACTTATGAGCGCTGTATCCCACCGGAAGAGCAGCCAATGCCGCTGTTAAGGACAGTTAACAAATGGCAAACATCGCTATCACCGCGGCAGATAAACACTCTCCACGCGCAGCCACTGCGGCGTGCGCGCATTCTGCGCCATTGTTTGCACTGGGCTTGGTAAATAGTGCAGGCCGCCGTTACCGTGGCTGGCCGCCGAGGGTGGATACCATATCAGTTCTTATGGCCGTGTCTTATCAGGCCGGCATCTGTGGATGTTGGTTAATTAATTTTTACATTCACGCACCGGCATGTACACTGGACAAGCTCGTTAGCGGCTGTTGAGCGGTACTCAGCGCCTGCAGCTAGCGCTGGCCTCATCCAGTCAGTGCCACTGCACCATGCATGCCGGCATTTGGTAAAAAACGTGCTGACATTTAGTTTGGGCCTGGAAAGTGCAGGTTGACGTCAGCAGGTGGATTACCCGATTGCTTGACAGACTAATAGCCGATCCAGGCCGAGACGGGAAGAGATAGTCTCGGTCTATCTAGCCGCTGATACTAATTTATAATTAGAGCAGTCTCTTTGGCCAATGACGTCGACATTGCACATGCACACCATGATTACGCCTTGAACGACCGTTGCAGTCGTTGCAACTTACAACGTGGCGGATCAATTTCGCCGCGCGGCCAGATCGACTTTTATCGGTGGTAATCGGAGATGCTGCTGTCGAGCGACTAAATGTTTTTCTATCCGGCTAACATACCAACAGATGCCAACACAAGCCGCTGCCAAACATTGGATCGTGTCCAGCGCTGGTCTGTATTCCCAGCGCCCAGCTGCTGCCAGACTAAATAATCTGTTACAGAATACAAGGTTTTTTCTCCAAAATTAGCAGTTTTTTTCTTTGCAATACAAAACACGTAGTCCTCGTAAGGCGCGGCCAGTATCACCCGCATGCCTGCCGCACTTGAATAACGGAGTGCATATTTCTCCTGGGGAAAATTGTCGACATGCCGGCAATTAGCTGCACCGACCAAGGCGCAAATAAATAATAAATTTTCGTAATATGAAGGTTGGCTTAATGCGTGTTGGCAGGCGTTTTGATGGGAATGATGGGAAGCCGTGGATAGCCGCGCCGCTGCGGCTGTTCCGTACGAATGTTGGCCCGTCTGCAGCGATGGGGATTTGATTGATTTATGCAAATTCAACTCCTAATCACTGGAAAACTATCACACGAGCGCTGCGCATTGCTGGGAAAGCAATATCCAGCCCTCCCGCGCTATGACAGGCTGCAGTGTGCGGTTGCGTCCGCGGGCGTTGCATTGCTACGCGAAGCACCGGCATTGTTCGTCCCGGGGACACAGTGCTATTACCTAACAGTTCCCTCGGCAGCCGCGTTAAGGGACAATTTTGGTAGGAGTCAGGGATGACCCCAGTCCGAGCGCGGACGGGACCTTTATTAGGCGGAAGCGAGATAGAACGTATGTGAAAGGGCAGTTTAGGCTTAACATAGGACCATCGATTGGTGTGTCGGTTAGGCTGAATGCAGCGCTGGCTTGATGAATAATGCGCTTGTGTAAGCGTGCAAACAGCCCGATCATCCGTCTGACCACCTCGACCGGCGCTGCAGCGTACGCGTAGCGTGCAGTACGCCGCGCCGTGCACTGCAGTGCGCGCTCTTCAAACATCTCCAGGGACTCCGCCAACTTGACTTCATGCCAAAGGCAAACATCCAGCACGGCCAAACGATTTTCCTCGCATCCAACACAAACACGACCGCTCCGAAATTAACACCGCACAACGCCACCGGCGGAAGTAATTTCCGCTGACCTTTCAAATACCATTACATCATTAAGCAGTTTCTACTAGCACCTGTACAGTGAGCTGCATCCGTTATTCAACGAAAGAAAAACCGCTAAACAATATATACTGTTTGGAAACATTTGCAATATTTTGTGGGCTTGCAATCAGCCTAATATGTCGCATGGATATATATCACGTTCTCCCGTTTTTTTCCTCTGGCATAACATGATATCGGTAATTGATCCGGCATTATTTTTTATTGCCAATTCTTTTCCGGTGCATGGTTTACATAACGCCGGTGCTGGCGGGTGCGCAGTTACCGCCGGCCACCGCTGTGCTTGTGCAAGATGCCCTTTTGTGTCTGCGTGAATAGCCAGGAGCGGAACGTGAGGGTGTCTTGTGTGGCAAACAAAGGGCCGTAATATTTCTCATATATGTACACATGCACACAACAGGATGCAGCGCACAGTGCCGTGTTAGTGTAGGACATCTGTGCCGCTTTGAAAGCAGTGTACTCCCTGTTGATAGAAAACAGGAAAGAGATAGGAAAAGGATCGTTTAATGCCATTGAATCCTGCCGTGGTCATTATGAGCGGTGGAGCAGTGCAGTGCAGTGCAGTGCGATGGGTTATGGGATGCGGGTTGGGTGGTGGTGATCCTGGCCGTGGGCAGGGGCCGATCGATAATTAAACGAAAGAGTTTGCTGCTGTAGCGCTACGGCACTGCCAGTTATACACAGGATACGGGCTCGCAACTTGTTCGTCTGCCTTTTCTCCCGCTTCCATCGATTGACCGGCTACGCGCGCGATCAATCAACGTTGCCTTTAAGTTTATCCTCGATGCTTTTTGCACTTCCTCTTTATCCGCAAGTGTTGCGCTATATGCCAGCGGACGGGCTATTTTTGGCACACTGCCATGTGCCGTTGATCACTGCCTGTAGTTACAGTAAGCAGTCTGTTGTCGCTGCCGCTGCACTCGGTCACTCGTACACGTAAGGAAGTACGCCGGGCGCAGCGCTAACTGGTCAAGACAGCAACACTGATTAAGCGCACACAAGTGGCCGGCCTGATTATCCGCGCAGCCACTGCAGCGCTGCACTCGGATAAACAGAAAAACAGACTGTCCAATGTGACAGGCAAATCATCGCCGACAAGTTGATCAGTCATTTTTCACCCAGCCCATAATTGCCTACTCTGTGAGCTAGGGAGTGCAGCAAGACTAACCAGCGCGCTAACCAACAATTTATTGAGTTATTTATCGAGCCTTTTTCAAAGTCAGCTAACCATTTTTCTGGCCCAGATTGGATGTCGATGGTAATGACCTTTCCCACTGCTCAGCGCGCAGGATTAGCGAATTATAAGCATAACAAGAACAAACGCGCTGCTGATGCATGATGAAAAGGCAATAATATGTTATGAGAGCGTATTTACGGTGCGTGTGTGTGTGGTTGCGTGGGTGTGTCGGCACGTAAGTGAACAAACAGGAACAGCCGTGCTAACAACAGACAGCGGCGAGTTAAATGGTGGATTTGCGAAATTGGCCGGTGATGCGTGCGGGACGATAGCGGATTGTGGAGACATATTAGTTGTATTGGATAGTCTTAATTTGCTGCAAAGCTTCCATTTCGAAAATGGGGCTTAAAAGATGTGCGCTTCTGCCTCTACGGCATATTGTGCGCCCGCTGCCGATATGAGAATATCAGCGCAATATAACTGCATCGGATCGGAAAATCGTTAAGCTGCGCAATTATGACGCCGCAATAGCCACATAAGCGGCGTTATAAAAAACGCAGCGGATTAGCGATAAGGATTTGCTGACGTGGACAATATTGGCCCAGGGGAGCCCCGGCCAAGGCAGCCCAGCAAACCGCCAACATGTTATACATGTATCTAATATCTGAACACACTGCGAGTGATAGATGTACGACACAGAACAGGCGACCCACTGCGAGCTGATACTTGACACGTAGTGATCTTGAATAATTTGCCCGTTTGGGCGGCTGCCGACCCGGCCTTCCGCCGAGGGGCGTTGATTAACGCCGCTGTGTACGCTGGCGATGCGGGGCTTCAAGAAGCCCACGACACGCCATTGTCCCCGTTAATACCTACTTGACAATGCCGGCTGCTTCGAGGGGAACGCTCAACGGCGTCGCTCGATGCTGATCAGCTCGATACGTAAGCCATGTCAGTGTCGATTGATTGCCTGCACACATTCCATCTCCCCTGCATCCGACATACCATTTCTGCTTAATAACGCGGCGCGTGTATTCAGCGCCGATTCCGGGTCCGGTCGACATACCCGCAGACAAATGTCACTATTCTTTTCACGTTAGCGGAAACATTGTCCGCTATTGTCAACAGATTCATGCCTCTTCACCGCCGCTCAGTGAACAAGCACAAAAATAATCCTCCATACACAGACGCAGCACCGGCTTGACAGCACTGTAATGTGAGGATCGATGACGGGCAAGCCTGCTTCGTGCTGGCAAATAGTGCGCCGCCGCCGTATGACAATGGGCCAAGTACACAAATCAAATGCATATTTGTACACTATTTTTAAACCTAATCGCTTGTCAACAATTGTATGTACTTTCACATTTCTCATCAAACACCAGTAATTTCCCCTTGTACACTGCGCAAGCATGGATTACACAAACACAGAATTATATAGCCATTAGGCTTCCATACAGCGGCAAACGGCTGGTCACATAAGTACAGACCGTGGAAATTGGTTTCCGCCGGGCTCTGAAGAATGCTTATATGACTGTTTATCTACCACAATAAGTTAATAACGTTAGTTGACCTTATGTGAACTTTCGTCCGATTCTGTTTTCAGTCGAATAACTATTACGGCAAAAGTTAACCGTGGGAACGCGTTCTTTGCAGGCTATGGCCACTCGACGCCGTTGACGTTTATGGGGAAGGGCTTCTGCATGGTGTACGCCTCGATGGGCATTCCGTTGGGCCTGGTGATGTTTCAGTGCATTGGCGAGCGACTAAATACCTTTGTGGCCTTCGTGCTGAAGGCCATTAAGAAGTGCCTGCGCCTGCGTAACACGGAGCCCGGCCAGGGCGACCTCATCATGGTTATTGGGCTCATGTCCTTTATCGTCATCTTCGGCGGTGCCGCCGGATTTTCATATTATGAGAATTGGGAGTACTTCGACTCCATCTACTACTGCTTTATCACGCTTTCCACAATCGGCTTTGGCGACTTCGTGGCCATGCAGAAGAACGGTGTGCTGGAGTCGCGGCCGGAGTATGTGGCCTTCAGTCTTATCTTTATCTTGTTTGGTCTCAACACCTTCGCCGCCCTCATGAACCTGTTGGTACTGCGCTTCATAACAGCCAACACGCAGGACGAGCGCGCCCAGGCGCTGGAGGCCGAAGCCGCCCGCGCCACCGCGGTCCATGTGGAGGGCGACATTATCACGCACAACAAAGCCAACGGCAGCATCTGTTCGGGTCATGAGCCTGAGCGCCGCGAGCCTCCCATGTCCACGCGGGAGGTATACTACCGTACGGTGGAGGACGACGGTCAGAGCGTTTGCTCTTGCACCTGCTACCGGCCCTACCGGCCGCCGGAGCATGCCCTCGATTACAGTCTGAATACCATGACGCAGCGCGGCGGCAAACCGCGCCACTACACTGTCAGGCGCTCCCCCACTAAGATAGCACACCTCCTACCCATGGAAACCTTCATCACGGATGACACCGATTTTCCGCTTGACCCCTTTGCTGGGGGGCCTGATGACCCCGTTGAATCCGAGTCCAACGCCTTTCTGCAGGCGGTCAACCGCGGCAAGCGCCACTCTTTCTGACACTGCGCTGTTCGGTCGGTCGATCCGTCCGGCCGTTTACTGGCGCGTCTCACTGCTCACCAGCCGCGTACGGGTTGCGGCTGCACGGACGCCGATGCGGGGGAGTTGCCGGCTGATAGATGCATTGGAGCGTTGGCGGGAAGGATGGAGTGCTAGTGGAACGGACGTTTCTTTAACTTCCTTGAGCTCCCCAGACGCCCATGACCCATTCCGCCCACTGCCACGCTGTGACGCGCGGTGTACGCGGCGCCGGGCTTTGCGTAATGAACGTTGTGGGGCGCAACAATGGCCCATTTGGTGGCTGCGAATCTTCCTCTCGGGCCGCTATCCGCTCGCCGGCGTCCTCGTCGCGTTGCGCTGATAGAACCAGCAGAGCCCAGCCCGTGTCGGCGTTGACGATGATCCCACAAATGGCCTTCTTGATGATTTCCTATGCCTGTAAGAATTGATAGACTATGACGTCGTGGAATGAAGGAAAGAATATCTGCTATCTCTGTGTGACCTTGTGCCCGATGCGCAAGTGTATGCTCTGGTTGTTCTTCTTCTCATCCTCCTTCTCTCTGTGTCTCTTCTCTTGTGTTCGATATAGTCAAAATGGTTGATGTGCATCGGTCTCTGCGGGTTGGCATTTGTCAGCTTTTGTATGCGCAGACGGCACGAAACGGGTTCTTCCAAAAGTTTTGTATTACTTAATTATTTCGTTACTCCTTCTTCTTCACTTATGTGCAATTCGAGCGTTTGCCGGTTGCCGGCTGTTATGATAATTACCTTGTAAATGGGTCGACTTATGCTTTCCCGACAATACAGAAGATGGACCGAATAATAATCAAATTAATTTTCTTTACCGCAAGACGCCAACGGTGTGGTGGCCAAAGTTGTAACGTAAGAAACACACAAGCGCAAGAAAACTCTGAAATGAACTGACTCACTTTGGCGACTAGCAGCAACTACACTCGTAAACTGGTTCTTTACGATCCAGATACTAAGTCATAATCTTAGGAATATAAATGTCAGTCGGTCAGTGGACCAACATTGCTTTTGTTTATGAGACTGCGAAGAAATTGCTCTAAGGTTTAAGAAAAGGTTATCATTAAGCCTATGTGAAGCTGAGTTTTTTGTTAAAGCCTTAAAGTCGCTTGTCCGTGATCCCATTACCGATCCACGGACATGACCTTTGCAGTTTTTTGAGCTGTGCTGTTTGTATAATAAATACTGTATTCGTTCTTTACCGGTGCAGATTGCCGCTCGGCAAACTGCTTAGAAGCGAGCCATTATTTTCAGAACGTTGCAGCTATTTCCCTTACTTTTATTGTCTTGTTAGATCGAGTGAGTTACCGGCTGCCGACGCATCTACGCCAGCTGTGTCGAGCGGGGTCTCACGTGAAGTCCCACTGAGGCGCATGTGTTGTTTAGCGCTTCCTGAGGGACTATCAGCATAATTGTCATGCAAATACGACGCAGCTCTGGCTGACAATTCGACTCTGGTTAAAATAATTTACATTTGAATATCAAGAAAAGCCGAAATCGTTACTGGTCACTGTCACATGCACATGCACTGTATTGTACACTCAGTATACAGTTTGCGAACTGCGTGGGTCCAGAGCTACTGCATAAGTTTAGCCAGTTTAGCCATACGTTCAACGGTTGGACTTTGCTCATTACAAGCACTGCACCGGCGCACTCTACAGTAGAAGATGATAAACCATAGTCCAGCCAAGGAAGGCTTCATCACGACTAAATAATAAGGCTAAAATGATTTATTAAAGTTTTTGAAGCGGTGTAGTATCGTATTTACACAGATTAGCAACGGCCACAGGTCAGCTGCTGCATTTGTCACGTCGACAAGGGGCGTCACTGCGCACTGGTTTGGTGACATTATTGACTTGGTGACTCGTACTAAATGTTGCTGAATTAGTACAATACATCGTGATGATCGTAAGTACAATTGACCGTACCAAATTCTGTGTATCCTGCAGTACAGTACTAATACCTGCATACGTAAGTATTCATGCACTGAACTTTATACCGAGTCGGGCTTATTACCGACTGTGCTAAACCTAATAAATAATATCGACATTTTATTTTATCGTGTACAGCTGCAGTAATTTGTACGCTAACACCACAAATCACATACTCATAACATGTTACGCGTGCACTTTAGTGACGATACAACCACAAGGATAATACTCGTAATTTAATAGAGAGAAAGATGATGGAGCATTAATTTTATGCTGCCGGTTGTATCCACTAAGCCCGGTTGTAGCTAGACACCGATTATTAAAATTCACTGCGACCGCAATAACGAGTCACGTTTCTTCATACTTTAAGTTGTCGTTAAACTTGGCGTTACGTACAGCCGGGCATCAATAATATTTTGTTGCATCGAGTGTTGTTGTTGCGCCGCTGGCAGCGAGTGTGGCAAGGTAATCATCCATCGGCGCTGTGATTTCTCCGCGTCTCAAAACAAGTACAGATACATCCGACTGGCATACGGATTACGTCGAACTCTGGCAGTGACTGCAGCGGACTGTTGTCAATTCCTGGCATTGTTGGATTGACCGTCGTTCGTATTATACTGCTGATTTCATAAAGCTGCTATAATTAGTTATCTGGACGCCAGTATTACTGGTATTATTCCATTAGTATCTGCATAACGTTATAGTACGTGCATGAGTGCACGTTTTGTTTCGGATCCATTTTTTATAATGCCGCGCCAAGGACTAATCAAATTATCCGGTAAGCTGAAATCACTTTGGTCAAATTGTGAACCGTAATCTCAATTTTCTTCTGAAAAAGCAAGTTTACTAGGACATAAAGCTCTTATACTTCCGATGGCTAGTTGGACTTTATCTCTAACAAAGCGAAGCGCATTTAAACGTACCTCTTTTCTGTTATAATACAATATCTCGTCAATGCAAACCATTAATTTTTACAAACAGCTTGTAAACCATCTAGCAGATTTAAACAAGTATTTAAGCATTTGAAAGCGTATAAGTGTATGTGAAATTCGTATGGCCTGCGCATCAGACCTTTGCTAATATGGCCGATTTTAATAAATTTTTCTACAGTTTCCCATTTGATCATTTTAATAATTTTTTTCAAATTTTGTACCCATTTTTTCTTTAAAGTGTTGCTTCTGTATATACAGCAGCACAAAAGGTATGCACAGGGGGTTGTACTAGAATGAGGTTCGATGCATTAGCAAGAAAGCAGATCCCAGTTGTTCATAATTATAAGGAAGTGTCTATCGTGCTACAGGAGTTTTTATGTTGGTCCTATATACCGCACTAGTGGATGCCAATTTCTATCCTGTTGATCTGGACAATTTTACCCAGAACGGCCACCCGGATGCGTCCAAGCTGGACAGTGCGCAATACTTCCGCCAGTGGCTCAAAGAATGGTAATGTGGCCACCTTCCGTATTCTGTGTGGTGAGTAAGGCGCGGTAAACCTGGCGTTTAATTAATACTCAAATTAGGTACAATCCGGTGGCCACGGAGATTACACGCTTCGGCGCGCTATCCTCCTGGGACTTTGAAACCAACATTACCAAGGAGACCGAAGCCGACACGGTAAGCACAATCGAGTGTCTCCTTGACAATTTGCCGCCGCCCACACCACGCATCAAGTATCCTTAAGGTCAGCATGCGTCGAAGATGTTTGACCTGCACTTCCTGTACAGGTTAAGCAAGCGCAGCAAAGCGCCACCTTCTCCAAAACCCTGGCAAAGATGATCGTTCGCTTCAACGTCAGCGGCATGCCGGCATCGGAGGAGCAGTTGCGCCGGCTGCGCAAGGATCTGAGTGAGTTGGGCGACAGTGCGCTGGATCCGGTGGAATTGTCCGAGCTGACCTCAACCGTCAATCACATGAGCAGCGTCTACTCCACCGCCAAGATCTGTTTTGATGCCGGCAGCAGGACTTCCGTAGCTCAGCTGCGCAACCTCACCGGCACCGGCCAGTGTCCTGAGGAAATGCGGGTCGCCTACGATCCCGGTATGTCGGGCAGAAAGTAAAAGAATGTTAGGATCATAGTACTGGCAATGACGATCTGGGGTTGCAGTGGTGCTCAAGTACATGCAAAACTCTTGGAACGATACGGAACGTCGCAAATACGCCTGGACGGCGTGGCGCGATGCCAGCGGAAAGACAATCCGCGCCAACTACACGCGCTACGTCGAGCTCAAGAACAAAGGAGCCCGCCTTTCAGGTACACGCATAAACACTGTAAAGAGTGTAGGGATATGATACAAACGTCTATAGCAACGCTATTTGCATACGTGCCGCCGTCAAAACACATTGCACAAACAAGAATATGCCGCCACGTTAATCATAACGGATTCACCTGAATATCCCGCGTCTGAATGTGCTTCGTCCGTTTTTAATGAAAACTGCTCGATCACATCAGCTTCTGCCTTGATAAGCTGAACTGAGCGTTTGGGTAACAAAAGCGTATCTGCCCATTCTGAAGGTCATGCGGTTAGTAGGGCTGCCGGCAAGACAGTCTAAAAAATGTAGCCTGGTGCCCTAGTTTTGCTTGTCTTGTTGCTTAAAGTAAGGGAGCACACGAGACAAAAGAGAGTACGAATAGAGACAAATTTTTTGTACAGTACGAATAGAGACGCAAAGAACAATGACAGTGCAGAGTTATGATGCACTTATTACATATGAGTGAGCCACCTGTATGCGTTTTGCAGGTTACGCGGACTGTGGCGCCCTTTGGCGTTCCAATTACGTGGTAGAGGGTCTGAACTACACCGACGCCAAATTCTTGGAGGATCTGGAACGGCTCTGGCAACAGATCCGGCCACTGTATTTGGAGCTGCACGCTTTTGTCCGTCGCAAGCTCATTAACAAATTCCCCACGGATAACCTTTCCCCCACTGGACCGGTGCCGGCTCACATGATGGGTATGCGTCAGTTTTCAAGTGTGGATATTTTGTGTTTAAAGATTTTTTTTCCCTATGTACATGTACCGTCGTGCAGTTAAGCAGTAACAATGTCCCAAAAGCAATTGTCTGCATACGTCAGAAATGTAAGCAGAGTTTTGCAGGCGACATGTTCTCGCAGGCGTGGCAGGGTATGCTCAACTTCACGCAGCTCTTCCCCTCCAAGCCACTGCTGGACGTCACCGAGGAGATGAAGCGGCAGAACTACACCGTGGAGAAGATGTTCCGTCTGTCAGACCAGTTTCAAACCGAGCTGGGTTTGATCCCCATGCCACCGGGATTCTGGAACCAGACAGTGTATACCAAGCCCAAGGATCGCGACATCGTCTGTCACGCGTCCGCCTGGGACTTTTACACCGTCAACCCCGACGATGTCCGGTGAGGATCTATACACAGCCTGCGCCTAATGCCCTTTATACTAACTAGGTAAACCATAACTAAACACGCATTTCGGCTGCAGTATCAAGATGTGCACGGAAATCGAGATGGATGACCTCATCACAATTCACCAGTATGCGTTAACTGCTCGCAGTACAGTACGCACATTCTTCTAGCTGTCGCATGTGGTAACGCTTTCCCCTTTGCAGTGAGATGGGCCACATTCAGTACTTCCTACAGGTGCGCACATTAGTGTATAATATAATATGGTTGTACAACGGTCAATAATACTATAATAGTATATTATTAGTAAATGTGTATATTATTAGTATATTATTAGCAAATTATGCAGCGTACGCGTACGGGAAGCGGTAATATTAAAATTAAATACGCGCTGTAGTGCCTTTTTGAAATCACTACCACTTCTGTGGAGAAAACCGCATATCTATATTTTAATCATTTATATAGTTATTTACCTTATAGAACAGATTTCCAAAACGAAATATTTGTAGTCGCCGAAATTTATCACAAGTCGGGAGAGTACAGTAATACCAGTATTACAGCACCAGTCTCCGACAGCACCATTGAAGGTTGCTAATACTATGACAGTCTATGACAATATAATTTTATATAGATAAAAAACATTATATGATATCCATGTCATATTTTTCAGTTACGCTTTCTGTGTTGCAGTATTCCACCCAGTCGCTGGTGGCCTTCCGGGAAGGCGCAAACAGTGGATTTCATGAAGCTGGTAAGTATTTTGTACTGGGAATACGGAGTAAGAACCGATTAATGCAATTCATTGTTGTGGATTATCCTTTCGCAGTATGATAATATTATATGCCGCCACTACTTCGATCCGCCGAGTATCACACAACAAACTGTGTGTGTCAATGTTTAAGCAAAAAATAATATGAATAATATTGTTGATGATCGCCCACTGTCAGCGCATCCATCGTGTTTACGCTGACGTGGCATTGGCGGCACTCACTTGGCGGAAGTTGTTGTGGACAGGCACAAGACGGTACAATGCCGCATTGAAATGCAGTTGTCGATTGAGCTGTTAATGTTGTTTAGTGGGCGATACGCTGGCGCTGAGTGTCAAAACACCCAAACATTTGTCCTGGCTGGGACTGCTCAAGAACAACACGGAAGACGAAGGTAACTAATCTACAATCAGACAACGACGCCTAGCTGACCACTTGAAGCCGATCGGCAGTTCTCTCTCAAGTGTATCTACTTCACAGTTCATTCCTGTGAACTTGACCTTTAAACAAAGCGTAAATATTAGGTAGCCAGCGCACAGCAGTACACCTGCTAACGATGCCCAAAAGAAAATATAGCGGTGTAATTAACAAATGCACCGTATAAGTTATAAAAATATTATTATCTTCGTTATAATTTGGATAATGGTGAATACGTTGCAGACAGTGATCTTAACTTCATGTTCGTAACGGCTTTGGAGAAGATCGCCTTCCTGCCCTTCGCGTACGCCATGGACCGGTACCGTTACGACGTCTTCTCCGGCAATATATCTACGGAACAACTCAATTCCGGCTGGTGGAATTACGTGTACGCCTCCTTCGGTGATCTGATCGTTTACGCGAATTCTTTCATTCAGTCACTTGTTTAATTTGCCACATGCAGGACGAAATACCAAGGTCTTGTGGCGGGAGTAAACCGCTCGGAAGCCGATTTTGACGCCGGTTCCAAGTTCCACATTGCCGCCGACGTGGAGTACATGCGGTAAGTTACTTAACAACCAACGGCATTTTCCCTTGGTCAACCTGCCAGGGTGTTTTCTTTATGACATTTCTCTGTTGTGCAGATATTTCATCAGCTTCGTCATCCAGTTCCAGTTTCACAAGGCCCTGTGCCATGCCGCTGGCCACACCGGCCTCCTTTACCAGTGTGATATCAACCAGTCCAAAGCTGCCGGCAAACTACTCAGGTGAATAATGTACATACTGCTAATAATACAAAAACTGTCCTCTTTTGTATAGGTTCTTTTATTTTTTACACAATCGCAGAAAAATACTATGAGTACTAGAATCACACTTTCTATTTATCCTGAAATTCTTTTTCATTGTCGACACCATGGCGCTAGCAAAACGTTTCCTTTGCACGAATGCTTTTTAAATTGTCTTTACATAATAAACTAAACTGGCCTTCGTTTAAATTAAGCTTACTTTTTAACTGAATAAAATAAAATAGCCTTGTTTATCGTAGCGAATTATACGAGTACTGTAACATATCGGTGTGTTTGTCGTGTAGTGAGATGTTGTCGCTGGGCTCGTCGGAACCGTGGCCGGTGGCCATGCAGCGCATCACCGGCTCACCACAGATGGATGCTGGCGCCCTGCTAGAGTTTTTCTCGCCCCTCCTCAAGTTCCTTCAAGAGGCCAACGCCAAGAACAAGGAAAAGATCGGCTGGGATTAGTCCGGCTATTCATTCTCTTTTTCCTCTCACAATGTCACAAACCAAATCATTTTTTGTTCACGTACTTAATCGCGATCACAAACCGAATATTTATCTAATCAAACAATGAATGTTAAGGCTGCTTTGTGACGAGCAGCGCTGGGCAAGATGCGCAAATCAAAGATTAAATTACAAATAAAAGAAATGAGCAGAAGAAACATCGTGTTGTCACTGTCAGTCAACGTCCAGTCTAGTTAATCACGTCAGTTAGGCTGCGGGCCGACTTGCAGCAAACAATAGGTGCCGGCCTTGAAGCGGCGTTGCGCGTACACGAAGAAGACGTCGCAATGAAAGACACCCGGGACCAGCATCACCATCTCCCGCGCAACCACCACCCGCTCCTGCCCCGCCAATTTCACCGGCCACACGCCCGCTCCAGCCAATAACGCCACACTCCCCACTGCAACCAAACAATCAAACACTGACATCTCAAAACTCATGGTATTTCAAATTTCGTTACTTTGTGCTGTGAAGTATCTAGAAAGGTAAAACAGATGCATTCTGTAAAGTACGTTTTGTCGATTTCAAATTTTGTTTTACAATATTCAGTAGGAAAATGTCACCATTAGATTGGGAAAGGTGTGTAAATACTGTAAATAAACAAGCGCCGGCAGCACGGCAATGAGACTTAAAAGACGCGCGTGCATCACTGTCATGTATAACGATAACATTTCGTTAATCTATACTTGGTGTCCTGTACAGACTGTACGAGCAGCCTACTTTCGAGCATCATCGCTGCTTCGAGAACCATCTTACATTACACCCAATCAGCATCACCTTATACCCGTTAAGCGAGTATCTGAGTACCGACGACATTCTGTCGAACTGACCTCCGCCTTCGGGATTGGGCATCTCCTGTTCTTCGCGAATCTCCAAGCCGGCCGCCAAACCCTCGATGGCGCTGCCGAAGCGGTTGGTCAAATGGAGTTCCAGGACGAACACCTCCCCTACCGCCACCTGCAGCCCCTGACTGCGCGGCTGGACAATCTCCTCTCCGTGTAGGCAGTATGTGATCGACACCGGCGGCAGACTCATCGTCTCCACCTTCTCCAGACTCCAGTCCAATTCCCCAATCCAACAGTCACCCCGCACACCTTCCCGTTCCACAAACTTCCACGATAACGCCACGTTATCGGCTAAATATTTCTGGCACAACTGCGAGGCGTCTTTCTGTCCAATGTCCACCAGCGGAATCTTGCTAGCCAAAGCAGGGATGCGTGCCTGCCACCACGCGAGAACGGCGTTGAAAAGAGTACACACTACTGTAAAGTACCAAATAAATTTCGATCATCTCACCTGATCCCTGCCGACAATGAGCATTTTCTTATTGGGCGGATAAATAATTTCCAGCTCCTCGTCAGTGAGGTTGTGAAAGTCCAGCACAAGGAAGAACTGCTCGGGTTCGTCGGCGGCCAGCGTCGTCCACTGGCTAATACTCACAGATGCGATCACATCTACGAAGAAGGCGATGGCCAGGGCGCGGTAGTAGTCCTCCGTCGCACCAGCGCCACCGCTATACTCCAGCTTAACGAAGAAGGGGATGCTACCGGTCCCCGCGGTGGTGCTACTATCCCCCACGAAACTCAACGCCGCCCAAATGTGCAACGAGAACTCCGCGCTGGCGTCCGGCGCCAAGGGCAGCAGGGCGGCAATCTCTGCTTCGTCGAAAGACACGCACCGCTCTAGCACCACGTCACTGATCCGCTCCAGCGGAATCAGATCCACCACCAACCGCTCCACCGGGACCTTACCCACATTCCGCACTTTTATCTTGCAGGTTGACCTATCCCAAAAACAACCGTTTATCAAAGCAGTATTTCTTTGGCTCGCGATCTGAATAATAAAGCGAATGACAATGCAGCAGTAATCACGATTCTTTACTTGAATGGAAAAAATGGTAATTCATGTGGACCATTCGACGAGGCAACGGGAACAAAAACACAATAAAAATACAGGTCCATAATTTAAAAAGTTTAATTAATTAAAACAAATCCTAAACAAACAAATTACTCCTCGTTAAAAAAAACCGAGCATTGATCATGTCGTTTTCGGAGCACTTACCGTTGACCGTTGTAGAGCAAGGCGCTGGCCGTCGCCACCACGGGTTCTTCTTTCACATCGACGAAGCTATCGTAGGGCGGAAAGGACGTCTCTACCACAATCTGTGGCAATGCCGGTGCCACCCGCACGAACTTGGGTGGTTTGTTTTTGTGGAACTGCGACAGGTCACTGATGGAGCAGCTGGTGCGCATGCCAAAGAGACTAAAGGAGTAGCCCAAGATGCTGAGCACACCCGGCTCCCGCGGGATGCCGGCAATGACCACCGGGAAAGGGCGTAGCGACATGGACGGCAGGATCAACGATGCCGCTGTGGATTGGTAGCCGGCGTTTTCCGAGAGGATTTGCAAATCTTGTATGCGCAGCTCTTTCGGCAGACGGTTGGTGAGCTGCAGCGAAATCGTGCCAGGCTACAAAACATTAGTAACATCGTACAATCGTAGAACCAAGCACCCAAACAAATGCAGACCACATAATATATCCTCACCTCATCGACAACCCACAGAAAGCCCGCATCCTCCGAACTAACGGTACTGTTCCTCGATGATGCCCTGGGCGCCCGGTAAATCCAGTCCACCGGCAGACCACTCATAGAGCGCTCATATTTGGTACGCTGCATTGGCTGCAGATGCCGCGGCAGCGGATTAATCACAAACTCCTGTACGAAGGGCAGCTTTGTCAAACTCGCCACGCCAAGCATCATCCCGGCCTCTCCCAGCGGCACATCGCCAACCGGCGGCCCGAAATGCTCGATAACTTCCATCAAATTCTTCAGTATCTCGTCTTTCTCCCCCACCGACAATACATCACAAAAATTCTCCAGGATGACCAACAAGATACGTTTATACACTTCCGGCTGCGAACGGCACGTAATGGCCAGCTTCTGAAAGACTTGCGCTTGCAGTTCGGGCCAGCCGAACCCTGTCACCGGCCGCGTTGAGAAGGTCAGATTGTAGGCGGATAAGGATTTGACGCTTAAGTGGAACGCCTGCCAGATACCATTGCCAGAAGAGCCCAGGTAACGGTCGGCCGCCAATAAACGGAAGAGCGACGCCTGCCGCTGAAAGCCCAACTGCTCGTACAAATCACCGACGGTCATGAAACGCTCAATCCGCTCCACCGATTCGTTGACTCCGGCTTCCAGTTTGACAAAGATGGCCTGTCGCAGACCCTTGTGGGCCTTGATCTTTTCGCCCAGAAAGGTAAAGAGACGGGCCAACTTCAGGCTGACCTCCATTTCGTAGGTGCCCATTTCACCGACAGCGTAACTGTGCGCTGCAGCTTTCAGTTTGTCATAGATGCCCTCGGCGTTCAGGCACAATTTACGATCCTTTGGCAAGTCAGCCAGGTTAAAGTTGAAGGCGTTGACGAGGTAGCCGTTGAGACTAGCCGCGCGCGTCCTGGTCAGGACGATGCGCGTATCCGACCGGTCGAGAGCGGCCACGCGCAGGGCCAGCGTCGGGTCGGAGGAAGGCAGTACGTACCAGGAGGCGGCGGCCCAGCCCTCCAGGGCGGCCGCCAGGTGCACGGTCTCTTTGGCGGACTGCAGCATTTCCACGGCTTGGGCAAAGTTCTGCAGGGCGTGGTAGGGAAGGCCAGCCAACAGTAGCCACTCAGCGAAACATTTTCGCTTCCAGCCCAATTGGCGCTTCTTTTGCGAACTGCCGAGATCAAGTCTGCACAAAAAACCACAACGTTTCAGCCGCTGTCACAAGGAAAAAATTAATGAGAACCCATTCCGTAAACTGCCATGAAGTGCCTTCTCATGCGGCCTTTTTTCTCACGCCAAAAACAAACCGTAAGGTAAAGTCCGTCGGAAACCCACTTACCGAAAAGTGTCCTTCTTGGGCGTGTCCAGCTTGTCCAACGAGGGATTAGAGCCGCGCCAGTCCTTGTCGACTTTGTCTGGAGCTGATGTCGGCCGGCGCGCCTCAATGCCGGAGAAAAGCAGCAGCAGGAACTCTTCCATGACGCTCTCCACGGCGCTCTGGGCCTTGCCGTCCAGAGGCAGCTCAATGTACGTTTTGTTCTGTTTCCCCCCGGGATTTAGCGGGAATCCCGCCATGTTGTTGGCCGAAAAGCTCTTTTGCACCGGCCGCAGCGAATCGGACAAACCGCCATTCAAGATACCGTTGCCCTCGGGCGACAAACGGCCTTTGGGGTTTTTAGACAGACACGCTCCGTCCACAGCTGTGCTACCTAGGTACATGACACATCGCAGAAACGTAAACAAACCTTTCCAAACTGTCTTATGCAATAAATTATTATAATCGATCACATTTCAACGAGCCTTACAACATTTTTCCGCATTTTCAATTTCTGTTCAAAAAATAAATTCTAAAATCCTAATGACTCCGAAACGTTACACTAACCATAGACCCCTAACTATTTACCAAACATCAGACATCTTATGGTCAGCAATAAAAAGTGTTGGCAACATCACTGCATATTTCTAATCAATTTCAGAAAATCGACGAATAATTAAAAATAATCTGCAGTTTTAAGTTGTTGAAAAATTTAATTTATTTAATTTAAGCATAACATTACTGCCACAATGCGTGATCTGAAGAGTATAGGATGCGCAGAATATGGATAAATTAGGAATGTAGGGAGGGAAGTGCAGATTACTGTGTGGTGAAAACTACACATCAACATGCACGTAATTCTAGCTGTAGAAAAGCAAGCTCACCGTTTTCTCCGCGCACAGGGCTACTCTTGGCCAGCGTTTTGAAGACGAAACATCGGTACTCAACCACCTTGTCGCCGTAGTGCGCCAGGAAGGCGTTGCATTGGTTGAGGAGATCGCGCTTTTCGGTCTCGGGGTCGGGCGCTGTCCCATCGGCGACGGCCAGACAGACCAGGCCGAACACCTGTCGGTGAATCTGGAAATCACTGCGATCTGGCTTAACGGGCGAGTGACGCACGTGGTAGCGGAAGTGCACGTCGCGGGGCGTATTCTCCAGGGAGAGATGGCGGAAGCGGGTGACGGACTGAACCAAGGCCTTGACGGCTTCCGAGGGGGGCGGCGCTGGCGACGCACTGTGCGAGGGAAACGGTGACTGCAGCAGCTGCACCGCCACCAGAATGCCGTGGTTGTCCTCAATCGAACACTTGAAGTCGGGATAGGCCATGCTGTTCTGCGCCCCCAAACGCCAGCCAGGGCCAGTCTCCTGCGCAGAACGAGGCTGAACAGCGCTGAGAAATCCGCAGTTTCAGGTGCCCATTACATACGCTGGTATCAGTACTCGTCTTAATAACAGAACACTGAGAACAGGATAAAAAGCACTGGGATTTTCCTAAAATAATATACAGATTAATGCACCATTCTATTCAATGCTGATATTATATTAACAGCTTTATCACTCGAACGAAAACATTCTCCTTGGGTCTGATTTTGGCATGAAAAGACTTCGAGAGAAAAATCCAGAATCCATACAAAATTGTATTGTACCGTGCCAAAAGAGCGAAAAGACACATGACAAGCTGCACAAGCAGATAAGCATCGGAGCCATCATTTCTGCTGCACTTACCGTAAGGCTAACCGCTGTCTCCAGGGCGGTGGAAGCCGGAAAAGTGTGCTTAAAAATTAGAGTGTGCGTGTGTGCCTTTGCGGTTGAAGTCAAAGAGATTCAAACGGAAAGGCATGAAATAGAAGAGGGGAAAATGAATGAGCTGTTTGTTCATTCGATATTCATCTGATTTGTCATTTGTACCATAAACTTCTTTTTGAATTTGTTGAGGTCACCTCTCCAAATCTGAATTTAGTATAGACGTCTGGTTTTCTGCTTGTTTGTATTGCTGTGACATATAAGATATGGGTAAGAAAGGTGCCAAGAAGACCAGAGACGAAGAGCCAAGCGATTACGATACGGAAAATCTGCGCTGGCGTCGTCTGGCCGAAGTCACCATCTTCCTGGATGCAGACAGCGAGGCTTCAGAGGAACCGCAGCACTCTTTGCCCTTTCTGGATCAGTTCCCCTGTTTAGCGCTCAAATCTCGGGCACGCAAGAAAAATCCTAAAGTGATCTGTCACTGCACGCGTCTCTTCTGCAAGTAAGTCTGCAGCGCTGCGTTACGGCAACGCACCGTGCATGCGACGCATCGCTTTACTTGTCTGCTGGTTGCAGCGATCAAGATTTGGTTTGGAAGCCGTTTACCGACATAGACAGCAGCCTGGGCAAGTCCTCTAAAGCCCGTCGCAGTGCGGAAGCCAAAGAGGATGCCGAGGAAGGCAGTAGCGACGAGTTAGCGTTGGATCTGGAGGAGCTGTGCGGCGACGTGAACGAGAACGAGTTCAGCGCCGGCCGCGGTTTCCCGCCCGACCGCCTGCCCAATCCCATGCGGGCCGATCGCCCCATCATTCCCTTTCAGGGGGAGTTTGCTGATGATGCGGCCAAGTTGAAAGCGCTTGGTCTGCCGCTGGGATTTTTGGCTTCCCCCTTCGAATTAGACCGGGTATAAATTTTGAAAAGCAAAAAGAGGAATTTGGCAAAACCTGAAATATCTGTTGTTTGTTTTCCTGTAAAATAGTTAGTTAATAGTGAACAGAAGTGCTAATTTCTATGCAAAATAAAATTTCGTGCAAACCTTTTTTTGGGTTTTTTTTTCCGATTAACACTATGACTGTTTAAAAATCAATTAAAAGGGAAGATTTTTTTATTTATAAGTCCAGCTTTTTTCAGTGCGATTAATTATTATTAATGTTGCGGGTTGATTCTTTCAGTATTTTAAGATCGATTGAACTGATTAAAATAAAATCCTCGGAGCGGATTAGGAATCAGTAAAAAATTAGGAATCAGTAAAAAAAGAGGAAATCCAACAGTATTGTTATAATACTGTTATAAAATCAGAAGGCCGGTCTGTTCGGTGCTGTAATCGTCACTGATGTCACAATCCAAATTTTATGTGTATAGCAAAAGTGATATTGTAGAAATTGTTGACAGGAGTATCTGAGTATCCCTAGTGCTCCCCTGAGAGCTGACCGTGCTGTCAAAGAGCCTGCCCAAGTGTTCTCCGCCCCGGATGTCGGCTGCTGGCAGCCGGTCAACGGCCAAAAGAAACCACCGGAAAATAATTACACGAAAGCTGCGCAAGGTCAGTGCGTTGGTAGTTGGCAATGCATTTTGTCCCCTATAGGAATAGAGATCCAGCAGTGAGGCAACTTAGGGTTAGAGCTAGTATATGAACTCGTTTTGGTTATTACCGTAGCGGGCATGCAAGGATGAATTTCGCATTGGTATCAGCAATCGTTAGCAATGGCAGAAAAATACTGTACAGTAAAACGTTGATAGTGGCCAGTGGGTTAAGCCCCGAGTTGGTTAGTGGGTTACGCCCCGTTATAACCCACTGTCGGTAAACTATACTTCCACAGGCAAATTGTGCTCCCTTTCTGCAACTGCAGCTTATTTCTCATCTTTATACAAATAAGTGTAAAATATTTCACGGTGGCAAAACTCGGTATTTTGCAGCATGGGAGCAGTACTGGGCAGTTAGTGGACAAAAGCTGGTGTGGAACAGCTGGTTATCCAAATACCGCGATTTTATTAATCCAGAATATCTCGATGGTCTCTGCGCCGATTTCCTTAACATGGATGTGCAACAGGCGACACCGGAAGAAAGTGAGTTCTGAGCGTTTACAGAAATTTTCATAACATGGTACTGAAACATTCTTTATTTTATTAATTGTTTGTTTCGGTCGCGTTCTCGCGGAAGTTTTGGTAAAAATTTTTATCCACTGAGCATCTTTACCAGATTTCGTATTTTAAAATTTTTGCCAGCACTATATATACCATAAGTTTTTTTTAATTTTAGAAAATGTTAGTGATAACAATAATAACATCGACCACAGTCAAAGCAGCTGGAACGGTTTATGGGAGAAAAATTACGAAGAGGTATTCGTGGCGGAATACCGGGCGTTTATGCTGCGCACCATTGATTGGCTGACCAGCCAGGAGGCGTGTTCCAGCGCCACCGCGCAGACACCGCACGAGGCAGTGGTGTTGTTGGAGCGCAGCGATGTGGAGTTGGAGAGCCAGGGCGATATTTCGGATTTAGATAGCGAACAGGCTGATCCGCGACCCGTTTCACCTGGGAATTATCCCGCGGAGGAGGAGTTTGATGAGAAGGATTACCAGGACGATGGGGTGGAGTATTCTGATGGCGATGAAGAGGTGGAGAGCCAAGAACCACCGCAGCACGTACATGTGCCAGTAACTGTAAGTGGTGGATATTCATAGCTAAATTTAAGCATAAAATAGCTGCTAAAAGCATAAAAGCTGAATCAGCTCACATTTTCTTACTGATTGTTTGTAGAAGAGCAGTATGAAGAAAAAACCAGCGCCTATTGCTAAACAAACGCCAGCAGCTGCTGTAGTGGACCAGGAGATTCGGGAGGTTAGAGGAGGAGAAATCAGGAAGACTGGAGCGCCGATGAAGCAAGTGGGTGTTTTGATGTGTAGCGGCTCGACTTGGTAACCGGTTTTGCAAAGGGAATTTGTTTTTCAAGATAAATTTGTTGTAGCCGATGAGAAGCGCGCCAACCGGTGAAAGCAGCACGGGATTGCAAGACCAGGATGAGGGACCGGCCGAAATCCCCTTCATGAGTCATAAGGCCGCCGGGGGGTTCGTCAACGTCTCCGATGTGGCCAAGACGGAGAAGCTGTTTGATTTCTTGGGACTTACGCTCGGCTCCGGAGAGGGCGCTACGTAAGTTGTATATTGAAGCGTTTTGGCAAAGAAGGCATGGTTCTTGTCTTGCAGATACCAGGAGATGCCCGCCGTCAAATCCCACCACGTAACATTCAAAGAGACTAATCTGCGTCAGCGCTCCAAGGATCTCAACTTCTGGAAGCGCGGCAACGAGTACGAGAGCAGCAAGTCCCACGAGGGGAAGCGTACCCGCGAGGAGGCGCAGGGCGAAGAAGACGCCTACGAGGACCAGAACTACGGCATTCCTCAGAAGATCATGAAAGTGATCGGACAGGTGAGGACGGACGATATGCCGGCGTTCGTTAAGGGAAACAAGAAATTGTGGAAGTATTGGTTTCAACGATACCGGCTCTTCTCCAAGTACGACGAAGGCATTCTCATGGACGAAGGTAGGGTGTCGCCTATTGTTTTTACCATTCTGGTTCTGTGTAGATCATAGCGTTCATTGACTTTATGAATAAGGCCTGCAGATATTTTCGAGCGTTGCTGTTGGGTGTGTAGAGTCCTGGTTTTCGGTGACGCCCGAGCGGATCGCTGCGCACATTGCTGAGCGATGCCGGTGCGACGTGATTGTGGATGCGTTCTGTGGAGTGGGAGGCAGTGCCATTCAGTTCGCGCTAACTTGTGAACGAGGTGAGAATAATGAGCGCGTACTGCAATTTTATTGTTGAGTATGTGGAACCTTTCTTGAAGACGATCAGTCGCTTGACGCGGTTGATCGTTAGACACGAAAGGCAGAACGACGAGGCTCATACCTATGGGCAGAAGCGTTTCCTTGCTTTTATCCATGCTTTGATGCCGAACAATATTCTTCAAGTGCTGAAGTGATAATTTAATTCATTTTTTATCATGAGATTGTGCGTTTGTTTGTTTTTTTTAAATGTTTTACATGTACGTGTCGGTGTATCCGGTTTATTTTTTCTTTTTGCTGTTTTACTGAAGGTGTGTTTACAGTGCTGTTTGTCAGTATTTATTTAAATTTGGTATTTGAGCAGGTATTCAATCATGCTGACGAATAACGTAAGCGCTTGTTGCAGTGATTGCCGTGGATATTGACCCCCAGAAGATCGCCTTCGCGCAGCACAACGCGCGCATCTATGGCGTCGAGGAGCGAATTGAGTTCATCTGCGCGGACTTCTTTGAGGTGGCAGGACGCCTCCGTGCCGATGCAGTCTTTCTTAGTCCACCCTGGGGCGGCCCCCAGTACATGGAGCATCGCTCCTTCGATCTGCAGAAGATGCAGTTGGACGGCTTCCGCTGCTTCGCTGCCGCCAAACAGATCAGCGACAGCATTGCCTTCTTCCTGCCCCGGAACGCCAGCATCGAACAGGTGGGCAATACCATAAAGAGAGAGCCAAACTAATTGAGAATATCAGCATGCACAAATTTGCGTAATTGACATCACACAAGTCAGCATTCCGTCTTTATTAACTAACAAATTTGCCCCGAAAATCACGCGGTTGAAGGTTTATTTTAACCTTAACTTGGAATATGCTACTTAAAAATTTATGCGGGTATACTCTGGAAAATAATTTGATTTTGAAGATTTCTGATTTTGTTTTAAACATTGTTTGTTTGTGATAATTATCACTGGGTCACTCTAATACGATGATAGCGTGCTATTGTAGTGCAGTGCCTTTCTTGAAGACGATTTGTCGTTGCTATCGGCTGGTCGTTAGACACGAAAGGCAGAATAATGCTTGGGTCATACCTATGGGCGCCGTTCTGACAGCGGTCTTCATGCTTTTGACGCCAAACAGTTTTTTTGTTGATCGGATTTCTGTAGAAATATCTCTTTGTTGAGTGGGAATGTTAGTGTAATTGTGTGGTTTTGTCTGGCAGATCGTTTCGCTGGCTGGAGCGGGCGAAAAGGTGGAAACTGAACAGAATTTCTTGAACCGGAAGCTGAAAACAATGGTGGCCTATTTCGGAGATCTCATCGACGACGAGTCGTTGATGTGAGGATTTCAGTGAACTGCGCGACAGAAAAGACGTTGAAGACAGAGTAGTATTTTTTATGCTAACTTTTTATTTGTCGCTGTGTTTTTAATTGTGGTAATGTTTGCGCGATGAAAAGTAGACAAAAAAATCAACATGCAAAGCCGCTTCATGAAAATTTGCATGGTTGCATTGTAAGAAACTTCTGCTTCGTTGGTCACAATCGCAAGAGGGAAGAACATGTTACGAGTACATGTAGTGCGTTCTTTTTCATAACTTGTGTAAAACATAATACTAATGATATGCCCAGTATTATTACCTCTGTCGCGCTTTTCTCACTGTGATAGGTTATGAGAGTTTTGAAATTTGGCTTCAGTTAGTCAAGCGAAAATAGATCCTTAACGTACGAGTACTTAGTAGTTGGTGTGACTGGTCTGCTCTGTGACTCTGCCAACACTGTAATGTGACAAGTCTCGCATAAGCATTACCAACCCCGGAAGTGAGCTATATGGAGCAGCTGCTTTTTTCCAATTTATCGACAAACAAACACCTTTTGACTGTCCTGTTGTGATTTACACAGCAAGAGTTAGTTATAGTAAGTCTAAGATTTATCTGAAAAAGGGTCCAGGCAATCAAAATGAGCAAAAGAAAAATTACTTAGCTATTATGGCTAATGAACAATCAGAAAATAGCGTTTTTTATACGAACGTGTCGCGCTGGCGTGAGGGCGTGCTTCACTTGGCGCAGTCGGTTGATCTCAGCGGCTTTTCCCGCCAGCAGGGTCACTGTTGCCGGCTGGATGGGGCGCCGGTCGAGACTGGCGTCCAGCGGCAAATGGAATTCCTCCACAAGGTAACGGATCGTCTGCAGGGAATCGTTGTACACCTACGTCAGCACGACTTCCGTTAATTACCAACTATGTGCAGCAGTGCAATGTCCTTGATAAGCAAATTAGCTCAGCATTTAAGTACAACATACCGAACAAGTTAGGTAATCAGTTGTAACATTCTTGGTAAGCCTACATGTAGACGCTAACCTTGGCCATTTTCTGTATGGACTGATGCAGATCGTTACGTATGGCCGTGTTTTCTAAACACTTCTTCTCGAAGATCTCCACTTGATCAAGGAACTGTTGCGCGTCGAGATTTTTTGCAAGGATCTGTTGTCGTATCTCCTCTTTCACTTTCTGCACGCGCTCTTTCAGCGCCACCGTGTTGTCGCGGATGTCGTTTGCCTGGGCCCCAATAATCCCTTTGGCTTCGCTCGAAGCCGGAACGAAACCAGCTTGCCACTGCTTCGTCTCCTCCTGTAACTACACCACACAAACCGTCGTCAACCGGCGAGGCGGCGACTACACTCGTGACCTTTGCGTGAACTGACCTTAGTCAGCTGCTCCTGCAAGCCGGTAATCTCTGTTTTTAGCGTGCGCCGGTCGGCCTGCAGTCGCTGCAACTCCCGCTGCGTCCGCTGGGCGGCTGCCTCGTCCTTCCTGAGGTTGGCCAGCTGCTGGCGTAGCGTGGTCAGTTGCGCCTGTTTGGCCTGCATGGGAAGCCGGCAGCGCCGGTTCTGGGCGCGGATATCCTGCAGTCGTGCCGCCAACTGCCGGACATGCTGTCTGACGGTGGTAGCGCGGGTGCTCAGCTGGCTGATAATCTGCAGATTGTGCTGCGTCAGCTCTTGAAAGTAGCGTTTCACCTGGGTGAAGTTGCGCTCATAATTGGCCTGCAGGTGGTGGATGTGCTCCCCGCGCTGCTGCTCGGCACGCCGCGCCACCATCTGCCCGTCCAGCGCCGCTTCCTCCGCCGCCCACGTCCACTCTCCAGCCATCCACTCCTCACGCGATGCCAGCGCTTCCCGCAGGTTGTCCGCAAAATCCTTCGCGTCTAGCGCCATTTTCTGTTAAACACCGGCTTTACCATTACTGTGCGTATTATTTCCGCTGAACGATGTATATGCTGGCCCTACTGGGGCACTGACCGTGGCGTTTTCCTTGGCATTCTGCAAAAATGCCTGCTCCTCGTCGACCGCCTTCCGTTGCACATACATGGCTTCCCGGGCGATCTCCGCGCGTTCGCTGACGCGCTGCTTTAACGCTTCCCGTGCCAGCGCTTCCTGGTGACCATTCTCTGACTCCGCTTCCTTGCTCGCTTCGTATTTCAAATGGTTTGCTCGTTGCCGATAAATCTGCACTTACAAACGGATTATGTTACGGCAGATTAATCTCCAAAGTCTGCTGGTAAAATGCAGTCCAAATATATACAGAGTACCGGTAAGTACACATAAATAGCAATGATGATAACAATGAAAATAATTTTGAAATGCTTTACGCTTTAGCAATTATTTAAATTAATTGCGCTGTACTAAGAGATCTCAGTTATGAAAATGCTGAATCATTGTTAAAATCATAATCAAATAACTTACTAGCACATTTACTAAAGAAAGATATTTCAGTTGACTAGACATGAGAGTGCATTTAAACTGTCAGGAGATATTTGCTCAGTTAGTAAATTAATAATCTGAACTTTGGCACAAAATGGATGCAGATATTGAGGTAAATATATTTTAAAATGCGTACATATATGAAACATCGCATAAGACATCATTTTTGAGATTTTCTAGCTAGTTACTAATTTTTTGCGAGTGGTTAATACTCTGATCCGTTTATGTTTCATGTTCACCTTGAGCTCGGTGTGCTGTTTATCCTTAACGTCTTGAATGTCTTTCTTCCTAAGGAGCAATTGGGCCTCCTGCTGCTGCAGCTGTTGACGCGCGGTTTCCAGTTGGCGGAAGAAAAGGTCACGTTCCTCCTCCACTGCACTGCGTTCTTTCTTTAGCTGCACCAGTTCCTGCACTTGCCGTATGGCGAACTTCATCAGCTGCAATAAAAGTCGGCATTAGTTGCACACCCTGACATTTTGCTTGACCACTAGCCGATTGGCACTGGCGAAGGATAGTCGGCATATGGATAATAGCCTTTACCCACTCCTTCTTGGTCCAGGGCGCTGATGTTAACGCCGTCAACCATCACCGCATCCGGCTGTAATTGCTTTTTCTCTGTTTTTCCTGGCATTTCCACAGAAAATATTCCGATATTAAAAAACCGACAGAACGTTAAAAATAATGTGCAATAATCAATAATGACAGGTCAACTGAGTTTTAATAGCCGGCATTTTAAGAAGAGTATTAGTTCTTAATGTACACACATGATATGTACAAAGTACTTGACGACTTTCCTCAGCAACACGTAATAAAGGATAGCACGGCAAGTGACCTTTAACCACTACTACGCATGTGATCTTGCCGCTGTGCTAGTGCATGCATGAAAAAGCATTATATTACGACATCGAATAACTTTAAAGGAATTTTGCTGATGTAAACGTTTTTACGAGGCGGTCTGCGCTCGTCCGAAGAGGCCCTGCAGAATATCCCAGCGCCGCAATGTGGCGAGTGGCAGCGCCTCGCCGTGCAGCCTAGTGTGTGAACCGGCGTTGGAGCTGATCTCCCGGCTCTGACTGGGCGTGGCGCCTTCATCCGGGGGTGTCACATCGACCATTTCCATGGCCGTCTCCCGTGGGCTGGGCGGCGGCCGGTAGAGTTGATCGTAGCTAGGTGGTGGCCCTTCTTCCGTGGCTGTGACCCGCTCACCGTGCGGGGATGCGTATTCCAGGAGGAGGTGTAGGTCAAATCCGTTGGGCGCGGCAGGTGTGCTACAGAGCCGGTACAGCACCAAGCTGATGTGAATTAGGCAAAAAAAGGCCTCCAAGGCGCCCAGCAGCGCCAGCAGGGCGTGTTGCCATTCGGTCATCAGATGCAGCGACGAGTATACGGCATTTAGGAAGGATAAGGCACTGCCGGCGCACAGAGCCACGCCGCAAACCGCCACGTAGGCCACTAACCAACTACGCATGCCGCGCGGGCTCAGGACGGCTCCTGCAGCGTAACTGCCTACCAGGCAGGTCGCTAGGAAGAGCAGCCCCGCCCAGGTGCCCACGCCCAGGCGCCCGTACCACACGAACTCCGAGTGCCGACTGCAGAGCTGCAGGAGGATGCTGTAAAAGTCACCGCAATTTATGAGCTATGCAGGGAATGTAAGCTACTTGTCTGAAGACATTTGTGTTGTAAGGAAAGGCGTGTGATTAGTTGTGCCGGCATTTTCCATGACTACCGCACCATAGTAGGCCGACGAGAGCGTGCAGGCCGACGTGGCTGCGCAGGCTGTCGCGGAAGCCGAAGTGGAGGGGATCCAGCCAGTGTTCCTGGTGTTGACACGGACCGGGTGCCACGTGCAGTAGCAGCTGGCCATCCGGGGTGGGTATTACGAAGTCGTTGGTCCGCGGCATTCACGCATCCTGCACATGATCCAAGTCGCGTCGCCGATGCATTTCAAGTTGAAAATACCTCCATCCAATAATAATATTACTTAATTTTATATTGTATTTTTGTGCGGCTTTCCAGCACAAAATGCTTAATAAGTCACATTTTTTGTTTAACCTTTAAGAACCGTTATGTCATCGTTATTAAAAGAAATGTGCCGGCACCGTGCTGGTGAAAGGGTACCGGTTAGTTTTAAATCTAAGCACTTGCCCTTGTAAATCTGTCTAACAATTAACATTGTTTCCATGATGACAAGATTCCGAAAGACGCCGACGCTATTTACGTAATCCCCCAAAGATCCCCGGCTGTGCAAACCTTTCTTTATTGCTCACTTAATGCGTTGTGATTGCATTTGCAAACTGTCCGCACTTATCAACTGACCACTTGCTATTTCCATATTTTATTCAAAACCGCTGCATGAAGGGAAATGCCGGCACTGTCGCCTTTTTGCACAGGAGCGTTACAAAAACCATATAACAAAGCGTATAAAACCAATAAAATATATGCCTTCTAAAAACTGCGTGTGCAAAAATAGAGGAGGGATGAGATTGTTTATTGCAGTAACTACGCAGTGGCTGCCTCGGTTGTAGGCTCGCCGGTGGACGGTGGCGTGTTAGCGCCACCTGCAGCCGGTTGCGGCGCTACCGACGGCGGCAGGGCGTTGACGGCGGCGGCCACTTGGTAGTCGTCCTGGTTGTCCAGCAGGACGCGATCCGGCTGATACAGCCGGCTGTTGCTGTAGTCGTAAAAGTTCTTGGCCTACAACGTGCAGTTATTATTTTACTAACATTGCTTGCTTTTTCACTCTCACCGACTGCCAAAGCTCCCACCGTGCGCCGGAGGAGAAAATCTCCACACTGACCACACCAACCGTAAGCATCTCCACAATTATCTTGACAGATCATAGTTTATTGCAACGTACCTGGTTGCAGTCGACATTGAAGAACCAATCGCAGATCAGCGTAATCTGGTTAAAAATCTACAAATCGCACACGTTTAATTAAATGTACTCGTAACAAAACTTAGGTATTGTAGAAGCCACGCGTTATTGTCCCTACGAAAAACATGTCCATATTTGTTGCACAGTGCACTGCATATAATTTACTTGTTTCTACAGGTTATTTCAGCATACGTACCGTCATGTTAGGACACAGGTAGCTCGTCAAGTTCCCGTTGATATCACAACGACGAATAACTGCAATGGTAAGAAACGTGCATTTTGTTTACTTTGTTCTTACTAATGAACAATGAAGCTAGCTGCGCAAGGATTTGGTGTAATCCACAAATGAAGATACAGAATGCAGTGATATACTTTGTAGTACTTTTAAGTAAGCTGCATCTGTAATTATTATGTCCCTACAGATATAACGTGACTGGCAGTGACAACACTATCACTGGCAGATGCCGCATGATTCATATGCCGTGAGCCATTAAAAAACAGACCATTCGGAAGATAACACAAGCATTCACAACGTGGTTATCTTTGAACGTGCAAAACGCATGGTGTCTGTTTAGCTGCACTGAAGTCTTCGGTAAAATTGATGTTACGGCTATTTTCCCTTGTTACAGTATCATTATAAAAATTTTGAAATATGCACTAATACTTCGGTGTAATTCTCAACAGTCGTGTCCAAAATTAATAATTTTATTTCTATTGTGTCCTAATAAGTAAGTAAACTAAGCCGGGTAATTATATTATGAGTTAACTGCAATTTGTAAAAATTAACGATTTTACGGTAAATCAGAAAATAAATAAACTTGTAAACTTTATGTCCAGTATAATTGAAATGATAAGTAATTAGCGAGTTAGCATGTTCTAATGAGTAATTACCTAATGAGTAATTACCAATTATCTTACGACAAACAGGTAACTCAAGCAAAAGCGATTTAACCGAACAGATCATACGTACCGCCTTGTTGTAGCTACTAAATATAATGCGATGTGTAACTGTACAGTGAAACTAACTGTAAGTATACGAATAAGTAGGTATACGCAGTGCTGTGAGTGCGAAGTGTGAATTCTAAAAGTTGATGTCGATCAACTGTTGGAAATCACGCAAATGCGTGAAAATGGAGCAACTGTGATAATTCATACAACCAATCCCTGTGCAGAGCGTTATCTCTGCTTGAACTTTGTACCGTTGCATCTGTGAGTGGTAGCGTTAACACTGGCAGTCACGTTATATCTGTAGGGACATATTATTTGGCCCTGAACCGGCTTACCTTGGCATCGGGAGAGCGGATCGGTGTCGGCGTAGAAACCTGGTTTTTGTGTGGCGCAGCTAATGCTGGTCGTGTCTGGGATTGCGCTAAGATTGGGATAGTCTTGTCCAGCCTTGGCGCTCTTGTACAGCTCCTGCATGTCGCCCACCTCCAGTCGGACGCGCGAGCCCCGCATCTGGTCCAGGGCGCTCCACACCTTCAAGCTCTCCTGACTGACCTGTCGCTTTTTCACCTGTATGTTTACCGGTCTTTCTTAATTAACCGCTAATCATTTGACCTGCATCGATAAGTGACCTACGCAATTCTAAACCGTATGTGTAACTCTGGAGTAGGAAATCGCTACTTACAACGGAGCCGCTAGCCACGCCCATCGCCAACATAACGACGACCGCCAACTTCATCATTCTCGCTGTTGTGAGAATTAATCTCAAAGTAAGAGTAGGCAACTGGACAACGCTAGTGTTTCGATTGCAAGATGCACTTGTATACGTACGTAGATGACTTGTGAACTGCGGCTTTTGGTTCTGGTAGTAATCAGCTTAAATATGATTTTACATCTGTGCAACGGCAACCACGAGAGATGGGGCTTGCAGTTATCCATCGTATACGAGCGTTACTTCATCATGTCGGTGTTATATACAAGTTTATCCCCGGGATACGATAAAACCATGCCAATTAAGCATTTCGCGTTAGCCTTGCCAATTTGCAGTTGTTGGCGTTAATTCTTAGCGCTCCTGATTATCATGCAGATTGATGTTTATTGTTTTCGGCGACGATTAAAACACCTTCACTTGGCACCGGTAATGATTGAAATGGTACTTAATGAAACTTCTCTGCATGATGACAGCCGTCGGCATTAAATCTGTATCACGTCGCCACTGCCGCCAAACGCAACATAACCGGCATGTAACATCGCAAAACGCAGCAAGCGATTACGTCTTGCTTCAGCGTCAACCGACGATACATAACCGTTTTTTTGTCTTGCCTAACTGGCACTTGATACATTTGCAGTTTTGCACGCAAAACATCGCACAATGCGGCTTAGTACTGAAGTAGCTTTTGCAATGAGAATCTTTGTTTAAATGAATGAAAGATTGCACTATACGCCACTCAATGCAAAACCTAACCAATCAATTTATTTAAAAAATAACATTAGCGTATAGAAGACGCATTTAAATTACTTTTCACGGACAAAAACAATTATAATTGCATACCAGAAGAAAACAGCCAGCAACGGGTACGGAAACAGTATTAATTTAGGCTAGAAAGAGAAGAGATAAGCCTATGCACCAAATGAAACCGGACGGAAATCCATATTTGCATGAACTTCCGTCTCAGCGTTTGCTGTCGTGAGGCGTCCATGTGATGCGCAGCCCCTGAGCGCTCTTGCCGATCTGCGACACCTGATCGATGTTGCAGACTCGCCCGCCGTACTGCGGCAGGTAGCTGGCGCCGCAGAAGGCTGACTTGATTTCCGGTCGGCCGCGGTAGATGGGCGTGAAAGAGTAGCCGCAGATGCTGAAGGGATTGTGCTCGTCATAGTCCAGCTGCAGCGCCTCGGTGGGGTTGGCGTCCGCCGCCTGCAGAATCTTCCGCGCCTGCGTCCCCACCTCCGGCTTGGGGCCCAGTTCCAACAGGCGCCGCGCGAAGGACCCGGCCGTCTTGAAGCAGCTCAGCTTCCACGCTAAACTCATGGCCATGCGCAGCGTCAGCATCTGGTGCACTGGCTGCAGCTTGCAGTGGGCGAAGTACGCCGCCATCTAAAAAGACAAATTACCTTGAGTACGCGCAAAACAATGCATCTTTGCCATTATTCGCGGCAGTGCAGCGGATGTTTGGATCAATCTGCTAATTTTCAAGTCATTTTTCAAAAATTAAACTTGATTAACTTAAAAGTATTACTGTATTGATGAATTAATTATGATTTAATTAATCAGTATCAAGCACAATAGACTTAATTTTAATTGTTGAAACAACTAAAAACCGAAGTGCGCTTGCACTCCTGTTGTTAGGAACACTGGTCACCCCAAGGCAGTCTCAATACCGATTTCCCGAATATAAAAACTCGTACCTCGCATGACCGCTTCTGATCTTCCACACTGTCTTTGCCAAGTTCTTTGCGTGCCAACTCGATGCTTAATCCCAGCGCGTACTCCCGACAGATATCCAGGAGCTGCGTTGCTTCCTTTTGTTCGTCGCGAGTGTTGACGGCCAAAAACGGAATACTCCACATAATCTTGCGGAACCCGTCCAGCGCCTCCCCGAACTTACCGCCGGTGGTTAGCTGATAGCACACCTGCACTCGCCGTCCCAGATCAGCCAGCTGCACGCCAAGTACCGGGGCAAAGGTAGCCGGATTGCCACCCTGCCAGTTGCGCAGCGGATACGCGAAGAGGGCCGGCACACCAGACTGCGGCTGGAAGACAGCCCGGCCACGCTTGAACAGCGATAACATCGTCTCTTGCAGCGGTTCAAAATCCACCACGCCAATCTGGTCATGCAGCAATCGGCAGGCGCTGTCGAAGGAACCGGCCATGACGTGATCAATGGCCAGATGGGAGTGCAGGGTCCAGTTGTGAGGCAGGGAATGACCGCGCGGTGGCGGCACAAAGTATCCACTGGAATCTTTCGTCTCTGCCGCCGGGGCCACATCCACGGGTATGTCCAGCTCCTCATCTACATCCCAGCCACCGCCTTCGTCATCGTCTCCTTTTCCTGCTACGTAATAAACAACAAAATAATTACCGTCACCACCAACACAATCGCTTCGCATTACCGGCTTTCGGTTGGGCGTCCTCGCCTTCGCCGAACAGATCTTCATCGCCCCATCCCGTTGCTTCCTCATCCCCGGCCATTTCCAGATTGGCCGCTAGATTCTTAGGGATCTTAGCCGCCGCGGCTGCCCCCTCGAAAAAGCTTTTAGACACCGTTAGCAGCGGCCAGTTCTCTTCCAAGCGCTGGATAGGCGGCGCCGGCCGGAACACAACCGCATCCGCCACACTATCCGGCACATTCTCCCCCTCGTCGAAATGCTGCCGTAAGCGCTGCGCCGCCTCCTCAAACCCATAGGTCTGCGCCGCCAACATGGCCATGCTGTGCTGGCCGCTGTTCTCCAGAATCTTCACCTGCTCGCCCACATCGCCCAGCAGCAGCGCATCACGGAACTGCCCGCTGCTATCCTTGCGCACCTCCGCGATCTTCATCATTTTGCGCAGTTTGTCCAAGTTGCCCGTGATCAGATACAAAAAGGAGAGTTTGTCGAAGTTTTTGGTGCGTTGGTACGCCATTTCCACCACTTGGTGATTGCCCTGTTAACAGCCGCACAATTTCAGAATTAAGAACCACGAAGAATACGAATCAGAATACGAATCACGAAGAAAAAGGGGGAATGAACACAAAAGCCGTGCTGACCTGTAGCAATGCGGCTTCCGCCAGCCGTTCCCAGCACAACTTATCATCGATGGTACGCGCGGCCTCCAGCGCCACGTCAATGTTGCCGCATTCCAGAGCCAGTGTAAAGCGGGTCTTATCGTCTTTGACGAAATGCAGAGCAATCTCCGGGTAACCTTTTTGCTGCAGGTAGGCAATAATGGACTGACCAATTAATTTTGAATGCTTCACCATGTGCAGCACCTAAAAATGACCAACAAATCAGGTTTGAAGAAAAGACCATCTTGGACAAATAAAACCCACCTCATCGTAGCGGCGCTGCGATACCGCCAGCTTAAATCGGTACTCTGTGGGATCGATGGTCAAGACGCGGGGTGATGCATCGCGATCCAAGCAGTAGACGTTGTTGGCTTTTATGCGTGTAATGTAGATAACAAAGTCCAGCGTGCGAATGATGCCGTGATCACTACAATTAATCACGTTTTTCAAAAGCGTGACGTATTCTGGAAAATAACTGATCTCACCCGTTGAGAATAGCGTATTTGATGTGGTTGCCGGTGGTGTAGATGAAAACATTATTCTCGTCCCAGGCGCCACTCTTGACGTTTACTGTTTCCGTGATGGTCGTCAGAATCTCCAGTGACCGCGTGCATAGCGTCACCTCTGCAACAGCAAAAATCTAAAACGCAAGCGCAGGCTGACGACAAGAGTCAAACGTACGATGCTTGCTGAGCATGGCCACGTAAGCCATGTCCGTGGACCACACAACGTATTTCACTTTAGGGATGCGCGCCTGTGCCAGGGGACTGCACAAAATAAAGGAGCAATAAACACACAATGATTGCAGAAAGTGTGCGGTGCCAAAACGTACCCTTTCTGCTGCAGATCGTACATAATCATCTGGTCGCCGTCCTTATACAGCAGCACGCCGGTGCCCGCGTAAAATATCTCATCACATCCCGACAACTGAATCTTCTTCCCCGCCTCTTCGTTCTTCAAGTTTTTCACTAAAATCTGAACAGACAAATCATTAGCGTAAAAAATTGCCCTGTTTTTCTGATTTTCATTGAATTTCAAGAAAAGTCCTAAACAGCCACAACATTGCTTTAATAAATTTACAACTTCCTTTTTTTCGAAATTAATTGACGTCACCAGTGGTCAAATCATGGGCGTATCAAAAATGCGCTAACGGATAACGAATCCATTGACTCACCTGTTTAGAACGATCCAGGACAGCGAAACGATTACGGGCAACCCAAACAGCCGCCATCCCACCCGAGCGCTTTCCATCCGACATATCCGGCTCTCGCTGCCCGGCGTCCTTAGGCAAATTGTAGATCTCGTACATGCCGTTGTCCGTCCCGCGGGTAACCAGCAGAATGGCGTTTTCGGCGGGATTGTAGGCTGCGGAGAAGACGGGCGTACGGCCGCTGCTGCGATACTGCAGCACGGCCACATCTTTTGCCGTGTTGAAATCCAGACAGCGCACGTATTGCTCCTTGACGTAGTAGAGCAAGTTGTTGCTTACGGAGAAAGCCGGCCGTTCTCGTTCCAGCTTGAAAACGACGGTGCCGTTGTCGTGGCCAGCGGCATACAGGTTCAAAGAGGGATGCGCGGCGATGACCCAGTAGCGGTCATGTTCACGGCGGAAAGTGTACAGGCACTGCCGCTTGGACATCTCCCACACGCGAATACTCTTGTCCTCCGAATTACTAAGGATCAGCTCCTGGTTGTTAGCGAAGGTCACACAGGAGACGTTGTTGTAGTGACCGCGGCAGGAATCGATCTCCCAGGCCTTCTCCTCTGCAAACAAATTTTTATTTTTTAATGCTAATCAACTCAAATGAGAATTAAATTCAATTTTACACCACAGTAATTAAAAATCATAACAACAGCGAGAAAATTTTCTGGGTTAATTTTTCGCTCTGTGATAAGAATATGCGCGATAACCAAAACTCGAAGAGGACATTTCCTCGTATAGTTGGACAGCTTTTTACTCACCACGTCTTAAATCAACTTACAATGTGTAAAGGTAAAGACTGCGTATAGGCTTCGAAGACAAATTGTATTTATTTTGGATTTGTGAAATCTAGAGAGTCCATAAAAATTACCACAAACTTCCTCACTCACAGCGTGTACTACGTAGCAGCAAACAGAAATCGGCGCTAATCGAAGTGACTGAATTTGATAGAGCGAACTTACGGCTGTAACGCCAGACCTTCACCTGGCGGTCGTCGGAGCCAGAGACAATGAGCTTCATGGTGGGATGGAAGGTAGCCCAGTTGACACCGCGATCGTGTCCCTCCAAGACGAATTTGACCACCGCGTCGGATTGCCCGAATAGCTCCGTCTGACCCGGTGTTCGCACACTGTCCATACCACCGGGGCCGGGCGCCACGTTCTTCTTGCGCAAACCGGAAATATCCCACACACGGATCGTCTGGTCCAACGACGCCGAGATGACAAGATCTTCCGCGGGGTGAAACTGTGCGCACATCACGTAGTGGTTGTGCCCTGCAACCATCAGGATAGCAGGTTACAAAACAGCAGCTTTTGACAGTTTCAGAGCAAGTACGGCAAAAACAAACTCTTACAATCATCATTCTAGCCTAACAAATTTTGATGTGATACAATCATGACTGTATGCAAGTTATATGACTACTAGCTACTTGAACTCATTTAATGAAAATAGCAAAATACTATAATTATCCGTTATCGGAATTAAAATTGGAACTGAATTACTGGCTACTGCAAAAAACGTTAACAAAATTTATAGATTTTCTGCTGACAAATAGTCTCCGTAGTATTCACCCCCAAACAATACGCATACAAACTGCAAAATCAAACGAAATACAGAGCGCAGGGCGACTGTCCACCATCCAATTCCTGGATGACGTGTCAAGTGTGGATAAAACATATTCGCGCGGAAAGTTTACGGCTAGAAAAGACCAATGACATGGAGGTACCTGTGAGAATGCTGATGCAGTGGCGTGACTGCCAGTTCCAGATGCGGACCGTCTGATCGTCGCTGCAGCTGACAATCCAAGGGTATTCGTGGTGGAAGAAAGTGGTGCGGATGTAGTCCAGATGGCCCAGCAGCGTGAACATGCAGCGCCGCAGTTTGTAATTCCACACCTTGATCTTGTAGTCATCGCCGCCGGACACGAAGAGCGGTTGCTGATGGTGGAAGTGGATGCCGCGGACGGGGCCCTCGTGCTCGTCGAATTTGTCGATGAGCGTGGTGAGACGGTAGTCCCACAGCTGGATGGATCCCGTGTGCAGGCTGGACAGGATCCACGGCCGTTTCGGATGGAAGGCCAAGCCTTTGACGCGCGCCGATTTGGACTCGAATTTGGTCAGCATTTTTCTGCTGGGCGGGGGGCCCGAGGAGGAAAGGGATCGCGGCAGGAAGGCCGACAGGATGCGATCGATGGGCAGGTCCACGAGCGCCACCGATCCGCGCACCTCGATTAACTCCCACTCACGCAGCTCCACTTCAGACAGATCGCTCTGCCTTCCCACAAATCCCGCTGACTGATTGACACCGATTAATATCGGTTAAAACGCAAATGTTGCTGGTATTCTCAATCCAGTGTTATATTTTCAAAACATCCAGTGACGAAGCGTCAAAACGCAGAAAACAGATTTGCAATGCATGTTTGGCTGTGACACGTTGGCTGCTCTAGCCAGCTTTGGCGTAATGAGCGGAAGATGTCTGAGTGGGGGTGACTGACCCGATGTAAATGCACAATTTTTGGCTGAGGCCTGCTAATTCCGAGTAGAACAGGCCTTTGTACCGCACAAAGGTACGGGAAGTTAACCGACTTCTTTGATTAAATAAATTAGTTGCTTTACATGGCGTACCGTCACGAGCGCACAGCTACGGGGTACATTTCCTTTAACCAAACTGGTCTTTCGAAAAAAATTACTGTAAAGTGTATACTGTATACTGTATCGTAAATATTTAATATATTTTAGCAATTTATAATTTATTTTATACGACTTTTTAGTACTTTTGCGCTGCTTCATGGCAGTTTAATAGAAGGTTAGTGAATTAATTATTGCAGTGTTACGATGATTTCGGCGCAGGTTTGAACGCGTTGTCTGTTATCGTTCGTTCGTCAGCGTGGGATCACGAATTGTGTAGTGTGTGGATCGGTGGCAAAATTGATCATTGGCATGGCGGAACTGCTGCTGGATCCTAACATCCGCACATGGGTCTTCGTGCCCATCATCGTGGTAACATTCTTCATCGGGATCATTCGCCACTATGTGTCTATTCTGCTGACATCCCAGAAGAAGGTTGAGCTGAAACAAGTCATGGACACGTAAGTTACGCAGAAGTTTGCGGAATGCGGACTGACTGTGAGCACTGCATGGTTTGCTTTGAACAGACAAGCACTGCTGCGCAGTCGCATGCTGCGCGAGAACGGCAAGTACATCCCCAAGAACTCCTTCCTCATGCGCAAGCACTACTTCAACGATAAAGAAACCGGGATTCTCAAGGTGGCGCAAGATCGGCCGGCTCCGGCGGCCAATCCAATGCAAGGTGAGGGATGGAGAGTGTAACTGTAGAATTAAATAAAAGGCTTGCAAACAACAAACTACATGCGAGCACTTGGTACTGCTAACTGCTAAGATAAATCCTGTTTGGAAAAATCTTGCGTTTCAAGTGCAAGTTTGGATAAATCTTGCCTTATCACTGGGCCACTGTCCCTTGCACTCCTTTAAAGTCTGAAGAGTGTTTAATATCATATATGATAATTGATTATACAGTATGTCGATATAAAGATTAAATATGGGTGTATGAATATTTTGGTTTTTTTCATCTTTCAGCTTAAATAATTTTAATTAATAAGTGTTTGTGGAAAACAGAGAGCGGCATTTAAGGTTTAAAAGCGTTCATGACGTCAGCTGCGTAGAGCTGCTTTGTATATTATTTTTGATATTTTAAATTTATGTTCACAGCACATATGCTGTGCTAATAGGTTCGACCAATCATTTGAAGGGCTGCCTTTGACGCTGTGTTTTTTGTCTTGCAGATCCCAACACGCTGCAGGACATGCTGAAGGGTAACCTGGTGAACGTGCTGCCGATGATAGCCGTGGGCGGCTGGATTAACTGGATCTTCTCGGGATTTGTCACTAGTAAGCCTCAAGTAGCTGTACTCGTATCCCCTTCCGCTGTGTGCTGCAACAGTCCTTTTGTCCATCAGCCAAGGTGCCATTCCCTCTGACCTGGCGCTTCAAGGACATGCTGCAGCGGGGAATCAACCTGCCGTACCTGGATCCGTCCTGGTAAGAAACCGCACCATCAATGTGCGGACGCTGTGGGGTTGGTGTTGACTAATAATGTGATCGTGTGTGTAGGGTTAGTTCTGCGTCCTGGTATTTTCTCAATGTGTTCGGTCTACGGCAGATCTACTCGCTGGTGTTGGGTGCCGACAACGGTTAGTATTGTACTCTGCGATTTTAATACGTTGTGTCAGAGAAGCATATGAACGGATGTCTTACTTTGATTGCTGTTGTCGATGCATCTAGCGGCTGACCAGACCAAGTTCATGGAGGACCAGGTCAACGTGTCCGGTGCGCCTCCTGATCCCAAACAAGCCTTCAAGGTAAGCACCGCACGTCTGAAAAGGGATGTTCTTGCGGTTGGCTGAAATTAACCGAGGTGGTTTTTAATCGTGGTGAATTTTTTAAATTTGTTTACGGTAAATATTGCATTGAGTTCTTTTTGTTGGATACTTTTCATTAAGAACTGCTAGAATGGATCCGTTTTATTTTGCATTAAGATTTCCAGATCACATTTACAGATATGTGGTTTTTAATCGTAGTTTTTTTTATCAACATGTGATTGACGAATTCAGTTTATTGTTAGCTCGGTAAATTTAATTCAGTGGTGTATGGTGTGTCGATAATATTGGAGATTTTCTGGCATTTTTTATAACACTGATAAAAACTGTTGCGTTGTTGCTGCAGGAGTTGTGCATCTTAATCGCTGCACCTTCCCACCTAGTATTCATTGTCAGCCAAATGATATGAGACTGGGTTTCATAATACTTTCATTTTGTTTTTATTATCTTGTACGGTTGTACCCTACCCTAGGGTACTTTCTGGTTGGTTGGATCATTGCTACTCGGTAGTAGAGTGTAGGCATTGGGATAGGGTCGAGTTTTAAATGGTTTTAAATCCGTAGAAGGTGTTGCTTATTTTAATGGTATAAGGTATTTTACATCGGAACAACCGAACACGTAATCGTAAAATGTGGGCAGCGTAAAAAGTTTTACATCATGAGCGATAAAAACGCAGCTTTTATATCCGGGCGAGTGAGCTAGTCAATGGGATCGCTGTCAATGTTAAGTATGCGTATATTCTTATTTGGTAAAAAAACACGTAATTCTCTGGTCTACTCAGTGGGTGTGGTCCGATGCTGGCATGAGTGTTGTGTTTTCAGGCTGAATGGGAAGCGCTGGAGCTGTGTGAACACCACTACGCCCTCCGCGGCATCGAAGATGAACTGTTGGCCCAGTATCCACTCGGCGGTGCGCGACTCCACGACAAGTCCCAATGAAGAGGAAACAGAGAAGGCCACAAGAGTCTGCCTGGTGTAGCGATGTGCCTGACAGCTGCAATCGCGGGCCATGCCATCGCTGCTGCTTCTCAATGAGCATCCATCCCATCCATCCACTCCCCTTCTCTCCTTTCCTTCCCAGTCTCCCCAGCATCTTCTGATCCTTGATCATTAGCCATGTTCAACCAAAGAATAACAATCGCAGTCGTTTCTTAGAACATGTCAAGAGGCTCTTGCTGCTTGTAAGTGTATACGCGATGAATGTCAGTGTTTAGTGTTGAAATTGTGCGGGATCGTGTTATACAGCGAACGGTGAGTGTTCGAGAAGTGCATTATTATTAAATTTTACTGCTGCCATACCCATAGATTACATTTAACAGTTCAATAAAAGGGTGACAGCGATTGAGTGACTGAAGAAACAACACTGGCAAACCTGCGTTAGAATAATACTATAAGGAGACTTGCTGTAAATTACGGTGCTTCGCAGAAGGCAAGAAAATCGCATGATCAAGTAGGAGACAGGAAGACGTTTGAAGTGGATAATGTTATGTCAAGCATGCAGAAAGTGTACAAGCCGTCGTCAGCTGATAGAAAAATTAATGGGAATGCCGCTGGATGACGACCAGAGTGTTATCGTTGCCAGCGGCTGACAATCGTCGCTTGATTGACGCGATTCGGAAGAACAACAGCGTGGTAGTCAGTTCAATGTCAGGGATCGCCGGCGAAGGGTACGCCTGGCCAATGGGATGCGCCGACTGCGAGGAGAAACAGGAGGATTCGCAAGACGCGGGTGGAGTGTGGTCGGGCGGGTGCGGCGTTGTGGTTGCAACCGGAGGTGCCGCAACACTTGGAGCACTCCCAGTCGGCATTGCGTCGGTCGCACAGCCGGTCGACAGCCAGCGCCAGTGAGCCTGCATTGTCCAGGCTGCACGGCCCGAACGAGCATTCCTTCGTGATCCGCATACCGCGCTCCGCTGACATTGAAACAGTTTTATTATGCAAACCAGGCCATAAGATACTGCACAAAGCCATTGCTTGTGCATTTCATTAATTTACTGCGCTTTTACAGCATATTAATCGTAAGTCATACTACATCCGCGTACGGCGTACTGTGGTGGGTAGTAACTATTATTACAAGCATGTAAATAAAGTCAATGACTCGCTAAAATCCGATGTTTGTGCCATTAGCTTTAATCAAGAGATCGCTTGAACCATTATGCAGATGTGCAATATGACGCCATTTGCAACCAACGGTTGCGAATTTAATCGTCCGGCTCACTGCAGTTATGCATTTATATTTTATACGATACGACACTGTTAAACTGTTAGCGAGGCATGCATAGAAGTACCGTTGTGGGTGACTTTGGTGGTACAGACGTTGGTGCCGGGGCGCGTGCAGGGCTTGAGGTCAACAGGACGTGAGCAGTTGGTGTTGTCGGGCTGATCGCTGCACTGGTAGCAGAACAGCTCAGACGCCGGGGGATTACGGCTCGTCTGAGACTCCCCAGATCCAATCAAGCATAGGATTAACACTGCAAAACGCATACGTACGCACATAAAACCACACTTCCCGAGCCTGTCCCCCTACACTGCGGTGCCGATCAAACGCCTTATCAATTATTTATTTTTAAACCGCTCTCAATCAGCCTTTGCAATAAATACACATCTCAATCAGCCTTTACAGCCAAGCCGATTGTCTGTTAGGTGCAATGTATTATGCGTACACCACATTGATCGAAACAATATAAGTCAATAATTAAGGCCTACGCTCACAAAATACACTTGAACGAAAAATGACCTTTTTTAACAGATCATTAATCCAGAATTAGATAATCACAGAAAAAGGGTTTTCGTTGAAATTATGGATGTCCACTTTACCTGTACATGCGCACAGGCTGCACAGCCGACAAGTACTTGTACACCGGTACCACAGATCGCCGATTAACGCAGTTACTCGCTGCATTTGCCGGTACATTGGATTAAAGGTCAGAGATCCACTATTTTCTATGGAAGACGATAATAAATTTAATCATAAGAAATTGTTGGTTAATCCGTTGGTGAGGTGCATCCCTGATTTATAGCCGTGATGGAGAAGGGGATCAGCGTGAATACAGCTGCTGCATGGATGGGTAAACATGGTGCGGATGCGACTAACTGCATACAACTAAACTACAAAGCGGCGCGCTGTCGAGGGAGCGGCGTGAGTGAGCCTAATGTTGTTGCGATTGTGCGGTCGGCCAAGTGGAGCCCGATCAGGGATGGCCAGTGTAACTTGTCCCGGAAGCAAGAGTCGAGTGTGTGTAGATGATGTTTGTAGCCAGTTGACAGCTGTACTTGTATATTGCACTGAATTACATGGAGATGATCCCTGGCGGATCGCCGGCAGATGCCGCTGCCGGCAGTTAGCCTGAGCGTTATTCACAATGGCAATCAATAAGTGAACACCCACACTGGCTGCATGCATATGATGAGATTATTCCACCACCGGCTGCCACATCAGTGTTATACATGGGAATATATAATATCCAGTCGGCCTCCTCCGTCCAGTGCCTGGCAGTGGCAGTTAAACAGCAATTCCCTCGGCCGCAAATTACACTTACCACTTGTACAACTGCCGCTTAAGACGCGTTATATGCGCATCCTGTCGCGCCATTTCCTCCTGTTATATCATCCTACTATAACGACACTACTGCTCGAACTGTAATTTACACTGCAGTTACACGTTGAACGAGCAGGGATCGGATGAGACCCACTAGCAAAGTTGCGGAAGTGTTACGCTCGGCGATTGTGTTCGTCTATATATGGAAAGAAACTGATAAAACGTTTTCACTACAGCCGCTTGTACTGGGACAGCGCAGCCGCATTATAAAAATGCCACGGCTGGAAGCGAGCTGGAATTCATGGACACGAAAACACGCCTGCAACAACTACAGTTTATTTAATTTTCTGAAATTTTTCCGACGAAAAATGTAGAAACTCTCGGTGACCTTATGGCTTCACCTAGTAAGTTTCTTTCACCTTTATGGTGACCGGAAGTATGGTTGAAAGTTTATGCGCGGATCCAGTTGCCGAGGTACTTCAGCTGCAGACGATAACCCTCCGTTAGCTAGTATTGCTCCGGTCGATATGGGTGACAGCTTCTTATACCACTGAATCCCTCGCGGATACCCTTGTTATCCAAGCAGAGGATGACCCTCAGTTTGACAGAGTCATGTAGATTTTGGAGGGACTCCAATTTTTTATACGGTTCCGTCTGTGCTGTTAAAAGCTCAAACAACCGTTCAAGCGATCTTGCTGCTGAAACTCCCCATATAGTTCTTTGAGGAACGTTGCCGCGGAATGCAGCATTAACAAAACCGCCGAGTTCCAGTGCAATAGCGTGAGCGACCAAGGTGTCAGTTATGCGCTGGATGGTAGACAATGCACTTTTGTTGTCCAAACGTGCACCAAAATTTAATGTTTGCGAGGATCTTGCTAAAAGTGTTAGCAGTTTATTGCGACATAGTGCTATTACTCGCACTTCGTGCTGTGCATCGTAATGATCTGAAAAATAATGCGCTTCCAGTATTCATGCGCTTGCTATGTACAGCAGATTCTTGTTGTATGTGCAAATTAATTGTTGCATCCTTCCCAGCAGTACGATATACTAGTACCGTATTTTTCACATTTACAGCCTCCTCCAATAATCTGGAGGAAGAGGATCCTCTGCTGCATAAGCCTCCCAATAAACACCTTCGAAAATTTAGAAGCCCAGGGTTTTTAATTCGAAAAACGAAAAGCACGGTACATAAGCATTGTTCTAGTAAAATGGCTAAAATGACGAATGTCATCCACTTATAGTATCTCGTAGTAAGGGACACTATAAGTGGATTATGCATGAAGTTGGTGCTAAAGAGCATAGTAGAGCAGGTAAGGGATGCAGAAGGCAGGCAAGCAGAGGTAGGGGCCAGGGGTAGGTGGGCTGCATGAGGAGGCAGCAAGCAATGCAGGCAAGGCAAGGAGTGCCAGGTGGGACAGTAAGTAGGAAGGTGGGTGGCAGGCAGGGGGTGCAGGCAATGGGGCAGCCGGTAGGTAGGCTGGGCGGGCCGCCTGGCCTGGTAGTGTTGGGGCGGTGATAGGGCAGACAAGAACAGAAGCCATTGTAGCAAGTCAGTCCATCAGCCGTTGGACACTCTGACGCCGCCGAACAGCGATCTGCGTTGCCTTTGCCTGCATTGAACACCGACTGTCAACCTCACACACTGCTCTGGCAGCGCACTGTAAAGGTCACGTACCTTGGCAAGTGACGTTGCCAGCGACGTTGACATACTTGCCGGGGACGTTGTTGGTGGACTGCAGGCACTGGCAGGTGCCTCCCTCTTGGCAGTAGGAGTAGCCCCCGTCGGCCAGAACGGGGCAGGGTGTGGCTGAGTTGCAACTCAAAGGATTGCTTGGGTTGGCGCAGGTTCCGTTGTGGAGGATATCGGTTTGCAATAGGCACCGACAGGTCATGCTGCTGCTTTCGGCTTCGGTGGGCAATGGCATGCACTCTTGGCCGCCCGTGCAGTCATCGGATGTCACGCAGTCAACGTTATCATTACTCGCACCTGTAAAACAGTCGACTCTCCTTTGATTTCCTAATTATGGCATTATCATATATTAGCGGATTGTTAGTAAAATCAACCGAGCGAGTTCCATGACCACTGCAAAACTGCGCTGGAGTCCTGGAACTCGCATTACAGTCTTCGAAGCGCCAGATAAAATTTACGCTGTCCACATCACTTTAATCGTGGCACCTCGTTGCACTCGGTGCAAAACAATACGCAGCCGGATCACCGACACTTGGTTCTGGCAGAAGAGCCACAACATGCAGATCTGTTCTTCCCGCATAATAAGAATATTTTGATACGGTTACAGCCTGCTTCCGGAAAATATTACAGATTGCCGTGGTTATACTTACGACACGAAGAAGGGGAGATTTCGCCGTACCGGCATGAGCAAAAACCATCCTGCGAACCGGGACTTAACACGCACTGCGCGTTTAGGTGATTAGAGCAGTCTGTATCATTGGAGCATTCCGAAGTGCGTACAACAGTACCAGGCTCTGCAAATCATCACAATCACCGGATTAGTAATGTCCTGGTTATATACAGTAGATATACCGTAAATACTGACGCACGCGCTTTGCAGTGGTTGGCTCCGGCACTAGCGTAGTTGGGTTTGCACTGACACCGATTATTCGTGCACTGACTACGTTTCGGTAGACACTTCCGGTTGGGCTCCTCACAAGGTTCACCCAGGTAGAAGGCGTTACGTTGTTGTGGTACTCGTGGGGCTGAATCGGCGCGGGGCATGCTTACCGCGATAGAAACTAACACAAACTATTTGCCAAGAAGAATTATTCGATTATTTTTGCAATGGCTTACTAGAAGTATGGTGTCCAGTACAAATTTGTCGAGACAAAGTCAGGCGGAAGTACTTCGTTTGGTTTGCTGGTGACTTTGTTCAATACATATCATAAATTGCGACGCCTTGATGTAACATGATCCACATAAAAACCCGCTCTACCTAACTGTTAACTACAATTGTTACGATGGTACTTACCATTAGCGGAAGAACAATCGCAATGCGCGTAACTCGTGCCATAGTAAAATGGATATACCGGTAGCAGTGTAGAAACTTTTCAGGTTTTATGCAAGCAGAGCTTAGCTTCTAAGGACAGGCTGAATTCGAAGTATTCTTTCCAGATTTAAATATGCAACCCGTGTGCGCTATAGAAGTACAGTATTTCTTTCATTGTAGCCCAGCACGTCGAAGTAAGTAAAGAAACTGACACAGTTATTTCCGTTACAATGGCAAAACTTACTAGTCGCTAATTCAATAAAATTAGATGATTACTGGTTTAATTGCGAAATGTGGTCTCAACTATACGGAATGTAATTTAATTTTGCCCTCTTGAAAGCAAATCTGCAATGGTAGAAATAAGAATGTGACCAGCAACAGTAAAATAAATGCGCGAAGGTAAATACACACTCATGGTTATCGGCAGATAAGCCGATTGTCTTAGCTTTCTTGTATACTCGTAACAGTACTTCCATCAAAGGAGTGCTTTCGCTTCATTCGACGGCGTTCGTGGTACTGATAAGTAAGAGTTCTCGGAGCTGTACACGCACAGGAGTTTAAGAAGGCGCGTATTTCTTGGTGCATAATTATGAGGTAGTGCATGCTGTAAAACGTGCTTCTTATCACCACAAAGGTCAGTATAATAATAAGCTTTGTTATACGTAATATAATACTGATGGGACCCGTTACTGCTACCGCGGTAGGTAAACCGACAGTGACGTGCACTTTTTACAGTGAGCAAAATTATATTGTTTATCCGTTGCTGATGTTTATCCAATTAATAATGTTCTGCCATGTTTCGGGTTAATTAATCAAGGGTATTTCTAAATAACCATGTAATATTTACTCCGAAAGGTCCGCTTGCCGAACTGCGTACATTACCTACCGCCGGCTACCGGCATCCGATTTTGAAGTGCTTATTCAAAAATTAAGCCAATTTGAGTGCCGGAATACGCATATACCGCTATGTATCGTGCATACGTGTTGTAGATGTAAATGCGCCGGCAAAATCATTTTTTTCTAAAACTGCACAAAGCGACAACAGCGTGGGTACTGACAGCGTTAGCCAGTGAAAATTGGCGTGTTAACGGCGGGCAGCGCGGGCGAGGGCCGCGGCGTCCCGCTGGGCGGCGCGGTTGGTAGGGTTTGTCGTACCGTCAACGGCGACCTGCACAACGACTACAACGCTGTGCCACACCAGCGGCAGGCACAAAAAACAGACGCAGCAGTGGGTTGTTGTGCTTTTGACAAATAATTTACAAGTGCGCCTAATCTCCAGCCATGATGACAAGATCACCTGGGCGGCTGACATGCTTTATCACCGGCTAATTATCCTGCGCGCCGTTAAACGTAGCCAGGCCAATTATTCACAGTAATCACATTGCGCATTTTCCCTACAGCCATCAACAAATTTCCCCGCTGTTTGCCAAATTATACAATTAAATTCCGCTTAAACTCCGTGCCAATTATGCTGAAGAGGAACCACGCATTTCATGAGCAACAAACTGCCAAAAAGACGACCGTTAAGGGTCGTCTTTACTTATATACAATCGTATAAAGGTCAAAACTGCATTTAACACATGCGGTAGAAGGATTATTGCAGTCATAATGTTCAAAATGCCGCCCGTAAAAAAAAAAAAAAAGCTGTTTTGTAGCATCCATATATTAATATGTAATAACAGTTTGTGATGGGGTTAGCTCGCATAAATACATGTACCTAAAGCCGAAGAAGCAGAAACCAAACCTAGAGCAAAATGTCTTATTGCGTTTTGGCAATTGGTGTCATAAAGCGCTTCTTGGTTGCAATTAGCAATTTCGCCGGGCTGTTTATGCCGCGGAATGGGTACGACGAAGTGGTATGGCAACAATATCGTTGCGGCATGATGAATTGCTGAGTACCAAAATGTCACTGACGCACTGAATAATTCTCACCGGCAAATAATGCATTCAATTACCCTCACACAAGCCTGGCTGCAAATACATAATATTAATACCTGTTCAGGGCATATTGTTGCGCAAAGGAAATCAGCTTCTGTGCGACTTTGGTCGATTAGAACTTGTGGCAGTCACAATCGTACACGCGTGGCCACTCTGGGTCACGCTTGTTTTCGCCACGGCCAAACACTTTTTTCAAGCAGCCCTTAATACACCGCGCTTCACAATCATTCTGATGGTGTTCCTATCAGAGATGACTCGATTTCGAAGTTTAACCGTTCGTGTTGAGTCAAATTTTGTATCCTATACGCCTTATATAAACCGACAATTCATGCGCGTCCACTGCTAATCATACAATTCTAGAAAAATGGTGCAATTATGTTCTGAGTTCACAATACTCGATCAAGTGAAAGACCGAGCTCCTGCAAGTTTTTTGTAGATTTACCGGATTGATTTTTTAGCTGTACGGCGAGCCGTAGAATATATTCACAAGAGAACAATTATTTCTGTACAGTAATAACGTAACATATCATCAGTCACACCACAGCCGATTTAAGATTTGATTACGATATATGGTGAAGTATAAATTGATAGGAAATGAATGTGGGCGGATGTAAGCAGGTATTAAATGGCGTGGCAGCGTTTATCCCGGCTAAACGCTGACCGATTGCATTCGCTTGGCCGGCGTGGTGTTGAATACGGTGTTGCGTGAAGTGTGTGTAGCGTGCGGGGCTGTGCGAGTCAAACAGTAACGGAAGCAGCCCGCGGGATGCGATGGTACAGCAGCAGTGTAGCTGTAGCCAGCGAATTGAAAGGTTAAGCTCGCCGGAAGGCCTAAACTCGTTAGCGGCCATTACGCGCGCTGATCCGATCGGCATGAACAAGGTCCGATGTTTCGAACATACATATTTCTAGCGGCGGCATAAGTGTAATTGACTGCAGCATATCTTCTCGAAGAGGATCTCTTCTTTTAAAACGCCACCGATCCGCCTCGGCTGATAAGGGCGCTTCACAAACGCCGCCGCGCAGATCAGTTGCCGAAATTCACTGCAGTATATATCCATTCACTGAAAGGGCACCGTTTAAATATTATTATATTACTGCACATTTACCGACATTTTTGCCGACTTTTCCCCGGTTTGTAAGCGGTTTACGCAGCTCATTGATCACTGTCCGCAACGCGATGCTCGTATAACGCTAATAACACTTAATTAACGTTACGGCCTCCGCCATCATCGCCACTGATGAAGTTCTTCCTCGGTAAACATGCCGAAAAATGCTGATGGATATCAACGACCTTTGTTTGAGGATCATAGTTTGATAGTATTATGTATTTGGAAATTATTTATTAGTCCCGAAGCATTCAGCAAGAAAATAAGTTTACATATGTACAAAGGTCAATATAATAATATCTTTATACTGTTGCATAAAGTATTCAAGTACTGTATCTGTATATGCGTGTTTTTATCACCTTTAAAATAATATTTGTCATTTTTGATTTTTTATTGTTTTTATCGAAGTCTTCAGGCTGGAACGGAGTCAGAATACGCAGGCATTTAAGTGCTCTTCGAGCTATTGATTGCGAATAAATGCATCCGTTGTCGTGTGTGTATAATGATGTAATTACGAGGAGCTTATGTGAGTGTCGAGAGCGGGTGACGCTGTTGATTGTCGCGCACATGAGTATATGTAGTAGACTCATTGATATTCATCGAGATTCATTTGCATTGAATTTCCACGTCGAGAGAATTAAAACTGCCATGCATTCCGGGATTAGACGGCCATTTTACAGCTTGGCTCGTCCTAGACAATGAAGAAGGGTCCATTCATTTCTTTACATACAAGTACATACAATAAAGTGTGTGCAGTGCAGAATAATCGCCACTGTGATACATTCATTCATTCAATTCGCTTATAAGGCCTTCTTATACGATAAGCCGCGCATGCTGACGACCGGCACCGGTCCATCCTGAATGCACGCTGCTCCATGTGTCCGGAAATGGCATTCCGGCCCGTTCCATTCATTCCGGAGCCAATTCATTACCGGCTCCGACGGGTCACGCAGAGGCTGCGATTCGTCACGGAATGGCATTGCGTGCCTGTGCATGCAGTATATATGTACACAGGGCGGTTGAAGTTATCTTCAGTAGTGGGCTCCCGGGTAGACGTTGGCATGGGGCGCGTACCAGGCGGCGGCCGGCGGGTGGTGGGCCTGCAGCAATTGTTGTGGCGGGCCGCCGGGGCCCACCGCCGTCAGCGGGTGTCCGTGTTGGTGGTGGTGGCTCAGCGGTGCGGGGGCCTGGGGCGGTTGCGGCATGCCGGTGGGCATTGGAGCCCCGCCTCCCCCGCCGTGGGCCTTGGAGTTAGGGGCCGCTGGCGGATAACCGTTGGAACCGTTAGAAGGGGAACTGGGCGTGGCGCTGCGCGATGCTCCGCTGCAGGCGTCCCCGGGCGGCGGCGAGTCGGCCGTCTTCCCGTGGGACTTCATATGCTTGCGCAGGGAGGAGGGGTGCGTGTAGGACTTGTCGCAGCCGGGCACCTTGCAGTTGTAGGGCTTGTCACTGGTGTGCACGTGCATGTGCTTTTTCCGGTCCGAACTGTTGGCGAACTTTCGGTCGCAGCCCGGGTGTTCGCACTTGAAGGGCTTCTCGCCTGCAACGACCAACAGTGTTTAATGGAACTAATTGTCTGCTATGATTAATTGGTTACAATAACAGGTTGAGATAGCTGTTACTATGTCTGCGGCAAGGCTAAGACAAGCTACGATTTCACACTTCCGAATTCGATTTCATTTTGCGATGATACGTTAATAATAATTGAACACGGCATTCGAATTTATTTTCTCTAGCCAAAAGTCATTTGCATGTTATACTTATGGTGTATTCATTGTCATGATAACTAATAAATTATTAGTTATTAGTAATAACCCTACATCCGGTGACCTGCTTACTTAGTAATTTGAGATTCTTCCAGAAAACTGAAATCGGCGCAAACAGCCAACCACTTTACAAATTAATCTGTTAGAACAAATTAACTTATGTGGATTTGTATTTACTTCGCTTGCGGTTATAGAACCCAGACCGTTGCGTTCAAGATAGTTTTTTTGTATTAATAGTAATAAGACGCATAAATTTGTTACACCAGTGTGGACAACTGAACAAGGTCAAAGTTCAGTTGGGTTTTGCACGCGGATTGTGACAGTGATCAGCGCTGATTGAGTGGTTATATAAGCTCAACTCTTCAAGCATATAATATCTGTACACAGACTGCAGCGCGTAATCTAATACCGGTAGGTGCCGTGTCGTGTCCAGCGTCGCTGATTACTTCTACCAGTGATTAATTTGTTTTGATAACATCACCAGCATCGACTAATTGGCTTTCAGGCTTCTAATGCCTTTTTGCCAGCTAACGAGAACTCCGTATTAAATATGTACTTACTTTTCTGTCTAACAGGCACTGAAAACAACGACCACTCTCCAAAATATGCGAGATCAGAAATTCGGTGCAGCATTGCCATTCTTTCTTTTACACTCCAGTTTACGCAAAAATAATTTAATTAACCTTAAGTGTAGTGAAAATAAGTGGCGGCTGCAAAACCAATGGTTTTTGGGAAAAAACTATATTAATATAGAAATGCTTATGGAAGACTAATACTTATAACAGAACCGCACAGAAGATGCGCTGTGCAGAGTGCAGTGTACATCTTTCCGCTATGAAAATTGCACTTCCCTTCTGGACAAGCGCTTAGGTAAATGCCATTTACGTTTGTGAACGACTAGTTGCGTTTTGAAAGGACAAGTAGTCGTTTATAAATCAAGCATAACCAGTTGGAGTCAATCAAAAGAGGCTTTCTTGCCTGGATAATTACCGGAATAATTTTCAGTGATAAATAACCGGCTGGAATTCCTGGCCCGCTCGCTATACGCATTAAGCAGCAACTACAATATGCGTGCGTAGACGGCAAATTAAAGTATCAATTACTGTGAGAACTGGCAATTCATTTCACTCCTTCACTGCTACGTTTTTAACCGGCGCAATTTAATAGCGCACTCTTTAGCATTCTCTAGTAAATTATGATAAACCAACATTCTGGCGTCGCGGTTGAATTACTGTCAATAAAGGGCATCATTTGCTTAATATCGCAACGTTTTTGTCATTATTCCCTTATTTAATGTACATAAGCTTAATGCACAAACCATCAAGACGCCAAAAACGCGATAAAGCCGGGCAAAAAAAGGTCATTAGAAAGAAATCGTCCCTGATGAGACAGTCATAAACCGAGTGAACCAACCGGCCGAGGCAGAAAATCACGGCTGATTTGAGCAGCGCAGGCGTCGCAGCTCGATCAGTTGCTTGATCGTTTCGCGTTAAAAGAGAGCTAATTAATTGAAACAATCTGCTGAGACTGCGCGACTCGGCGCTCGGCCGCTATTGGCACTGCAGATACAGACAACGATTAAGTGCTCCATTGAATGTGTAGCAACAAGCGTTTAGCCGATCAGATTCTGGTTGAGTAGAGCAGAGCAGCGAACAGATCAGATAGCCGCTGCTGTATTCCCTTCTCTCTTATTTCTCTCTTCAGCATCCCCATCAGCACCCAAGTCACCGTCAGCAGTCAGACGCAAAAATCGCAGCAGCCTCGTTTCTATTAGCATCGGCGCCTGATTAAATATAAATGTCAGCTTCATGCAACAATTCAGCCGTTGCGTGACAGCGCTCTGTGAGAACACATCCAAGTAGGTATTTGTGCCGGCTATAACCGTTTATGCGCCGGAAATTAACTTCCAACAATTTGCAATACAGCTCTCCCGGCCGCTTTCCCTCCCAAACATTCCTTAACGCAACGTTGTATACACAACCGTCAAAATACTCTATTTTTCCCTACTATTTATTTTATTTTCCGGCGGCCCCGTTTTTTACCGGTTTAAATGAAGGATGTATCAAACGACAGAATTTTCCCAGAACTCGCGATAATGTGTAGCAGCCATTGACGTGACGTTATTGTGCGTGTACAGTGAGGAGATTAATAAAAATCACTTGAGCGCAACGCGCATTGCAGCAGCCAAGACGCCATTGATGCATCTGTACGGGCGCAAAAGCGCGATTGTCGTCAGCGATTGTGGCACATTGTGATCGTCAATGCCGGTTGTGTGTGGATGATCAATCGGGCGATGCAAACAAATCCGTTTTAATTGACTCAGCCAAAATAACTAATCTCATGGCCCGGCATTATGGCATTGTCCCGGCAGCACATCAATGCCGCTGACCGTTATGCGCCTGTGTGCCAGTCAATGCTCAAGAATAACACGCCAACCATCCGCACACTGCACACGCATAATCGCATTCGGGCCTGCATTTTATGACGTTTTTATATAATCTATCACAAATAAAATTCCTTTACGGATAATTTCATCATTTACAGTCCCCTATACGCAAGAAAAACTCTTTTATTGCACAAGACTGGTTCACAAAGGAATTTCTTGAAACATTGGTGCTAGTGCAGTAGTTCTGTTTAAAAATGCAACGAAAATTCGCAACGGTGCACCAAACTGTTTGATCACATTTTAAGAAAAATATGTTTGCTAGAAACGATCATCTCTGGTCACATTAACCTGACACTGATTTCGCATGTAACATTGTGATGCATTTACATAGTGCAAGTGGGCCAGTGGCAAATCAATTAAGAAGTTAAAGCCTGATGTCAGATTACTTCGCGGCATAATAGCTTAATTAATGCCAATACAGTCTATGATAATAATAATTATTTTCAACAAAAATTATAAAAGCGCTTTAAACATTGCTTTATTTATGACATCTATTGCTAAAGGCAGTTGTTTATTTGGGAGGGAAAATAAAGGTCACCGGTATAAATTTTTTTAATAATGTCAAATAATCTGTTTATAGAGATAACTTACCGGTGTGCGTCCTTTTGTGGATTTTCAGATTCTCGCTGCGGGCGAAGAGTTTGCCACAGGTGGGAAAGGGGCAGACGAAGGGCTTCTCGCCAGTGTGCACGCGGATATGATTGACCAACTTATACTTGGCCTTGAAGGCCTTGCCCTCGCGGCCGCATTCCTGCCAAAAGCAGGCGTGGTTGGTCGACTCGGGCCCGCCGACATGGTCGACGGTAAGGTGCTGGACCAGCTCTGGTTGACTGCCGCACAGTCGGTTGCAGGGCTTCCGCGGCTGCGGCAGATCCGGTTCTACCCACTGGCAACGCACGGGCACATCCTGGCCGTGACCGCGAATACCCGCATGGCCAGTGCGATAATAACGCAGGAAACTGGATGCGGCCGGGTGATGATTGAAATCGGTGCGGCCGTAGAGATCATGATGATGGTGGAAGGCCGGAAAGCGAGCGGCCGGCGGCGCTTCGTAGGGAAAAAAATTCTCCGAACAATGCGTGGTGTGGAACGTGGCGGTCTGGGCTGCGGCGGCCGCATGAAAGGGATGCGGGTCGATGTAGGAGTGGTGGTCAGCGCGGCGGAAGCTGAGCGGGTTGGGAAAGAGATCGCGAGTGGGGTAACCATTATTGGGCTCGTAAGCGTAGTTGGGATGCGACGGATAGGGTACGGCGTTAAGGTTGGGGCCGCCCGCGGCTGGTAGGAAGGAGTTGGCGGCCGTGGGCGCTACACCGGCCTCATGCAGGCCGGCGCCGGGGGTGGTTTGCGCTTTGAGGCTACCCATGCCGGACATGTGGTGCGCCGCGGCGGCGGCAGCGTGGGCATGCGCGTGGGGATCAGGCTTAAGGAAGGACGGGTTGAACATGGTCATATAGCGCGCGCTAGGCGAATGATCCCGTGATAGCAGGCAGCCGGCAGCGGTATCCCGGTTAGGCACTCCAAGGACACTCTAAATTCCCCGCCAGAGGATGCCACTTGGCACACACAATCCGATGCCTTATCTCCCACGCAGGGGTCACCAAACACACACTGTCACTAACGGCGAGCGATCAGGCAAACTCACGGTTAGACTGCTGCAAATCTCGCATCGCACGACAAGACGACTGACTGTGCCGAACACTGCGCCCAGCATCGTCAACCGCAGCTTTCTCGCATACTGTGCACGGCAAGCAGCGGCCAGGCGCACATGGCGCAGGGGGCGGGCATAAGCATAAGCGCAGCTGCCTCACCGCGGCAGAGACAGACACCGCGCATTGAGAGACAGAAAGAACGGCCATTGCGGCCAGGAAGCGTACAGCTGCGCTCTCGAGTATCAGGCTGCACTGCACTCACTTACAGTACTGTGTAGAGTAGTCGCACAAAAAAACCGACAACGCTTTCCGCAGCAGTAGTAAAAAATATTCGCAGATTTTAAACGATTTTTAACGATTTTAGCGGCAGACTGTAGTGAATGCACGCTGCACATGTTGACTACACAGAACATCGTGGAGTGCGTTCTTGGTCGCAGCGGGCGGTCCATTCATTGGTGGACAGATTGCCTTTCCGTCCCTCCCCGCCCGCCCAAAGCAGCCAATGGCGCTGAAGGCCGACGCAGTAGCGCAAATATGGTTATGATCAAATCAATATTGTATCCACATATACACTGCATGCCAGCAGCGTTGTACAGCCGCTCAACAACTGAACATGCTGCATTTTGAAAAATTATGTATGCCAGTTGGAGAAATTACGCGCCTCCCGACTGATGCTCAACTTGCCAATTTTCCTCCTTCAGCCACGCTGATGCTTAGCTGTCCGACTAACTAACAACAACAACCGCCAATTAGCCGTGTTTTTCTCTCAATTACTTTATCATTACCGGGCTTCTTCGCCTAATCAGGGTCCATTGTTGGCCGGCATTTTTCGCCATTACCGTCAATGCAGATCACTGCTGTTCCATAACAATGCGCCGGCAATTATTTTACATGCCAAATTTTGTATATTGTATCCATTTTCGCCTGTCCGATAAAATGCCATAACAATGACTAATTCACCCAGTTAACGGACAGCTATTCTCCCAGACGTCCGAAGGGCACAAACGTTTCATTAGCAAAAACGTGCGTGTAGTTTTGTCAAAAATATTTTACATCTAACAACAAACTGGACTCTCCCAAGGTTCTGTTTTAGACCAGATTTATTCAAGACAATGCATTTGTAGCTACTTGGAAGTGCAACCAGATAAAAAATTATTCGAAGCATTTCTGCCATATCTCGTTAAATTTGACGAAAAATGTTGGGGGAATGGGAAATTGATTGCACTGCGCTTAGCGGTGATGGTAGCTAAATGAATTTGGCTGACAAGTGGCTATTTGCAGATGACAATCACGCATCGCCCGCGGAGGTACAGCTAACACTGCAGCTCCACGGCAGTGGCGCTAATGAGCACAGCTCTACTTGTGACGAATGATCCGCTGTGCGACACACCGGGCCCCATCATGCCACTCATTCCTAATTACTCCAGCTCAATCTGATTATGCAGCAACCTTTTCCCAATGACGTAATCTATCTTACAGTTTCCACGAAAATAAGTTGCAGTTAATGGCTGGTCGGCAGAAACAACATAACCGAAGGTTAAAAGTTATTTACGTCGGTACTAAACTAAAAAACTGCAAATCACGCATTTCAATGTTAATGATTCCAATTATTGAAGCCGGTAGAAGAAAGCAAATTGGTAATAAAATTACTTTATGCCGGCATTAATCCCGAGAAGTTTGGAATTATAAAAGCAATTATTTTATGAGGTCAAATGTAGCAATTGCCCGCTCGACTGTCCATGCAATCGGCAGTAACAGTTAACCACGCAGAGTGAGCGATAGACTGAAGCGAAAACTGGGCATGCTGATCCGATTTCTTCCTGACTGCTGGTCATGAAAGGCCGTGGCGCCGGTACACGGGACTGCTGCCAGGTACTGCGTACAGCACATTTCCCCTGCAGCCGCATTGTCTGATTAGCCGGATGAGGCCCAATCCTAATCCCGCTCCCTGACTTCAAAATTTATTTTGTTCAATACCGGCACAATGTCGGCTGCATAATCCGCCGCTTACGAGTCACTTCATTTCTATGCGCACCGTCTATGATACGCATACACCGACACAATAGCATTTGTTCGTTAAACGATTACTTTTGACAAGGGACTACTTTTACCGGCGTTACCGGCGAGTTTTCTTGACTGTCTGACTGAGGCTTTTGCAATTTTGTTTAGTTTTTCCGTGTTTAGCATGCAAATAAATACTTTTAACTGAAATTTTCCTCGTTTATTTGTGTTAGTCGAAAACTGATAGTTTAAATTTTTACCATTTGTCGTAACATAAATGTCACGTTAGCTTTTAATCTGTCCGGCATTATTTAGAACTGTTTATTTCTCCTAGCATTTTACAGCAATTGGCATATCGACAATTCTTGTTTAATGTAAAAGCCTTGTGTTATTTGTAAATTTTTGTTAGTGGAACCTATCGTTGAATTCCGTTGCAATCCGGTCGTTTTGTACATCATTCTTGTCGAGTGTATCGAATGTCGAAACAAGCGAACTGAAGCGACGATTGCACTAGCAACAAGATATTAAACATGGAAATGGCTGAGTGGAAGCTCAAATGGCCGTGCTTGGATGTTGTTGAAGGGCAGCGCAGCGGATTAATTGACATAAACACTGCAGAGCAATTAATGTAAAGAAAGCATTGTGGCTTAATTGTCTGCATATGCAGCTTGTGTGTACAGTGTGCGCCTGACGCAGGATCCCTCGCTCTCATCACTGACTGTCAATTGAATCGGTTTAAGGACAGGATGCGGCACACTGATCGATAGATAGATCTGGTCATGATCAGCGCGTCAGCCGTTGTAAGCGGATAATTATGCCTCGTGAAAACAGATCAGATTTACACCCCGGCACTCAATTCAATCGCCGTGCATTTTTATGCAGTCAACTTCAACGATGTTAAATCGGTGTACATAGATACGAGTACACATATATACGACGCCAAGGTATGCATTGCGCCCGAGGCCAGGCAGCGGCTGAATGCCGGATGATTTTTAAACGCCGGTTTGGTGTTTAGTGCAATTATTTGTTTGCACTTGTGCGTCCACTCTATCATCTTCATTGTCTGACGGGCAGTTCATCTCCCAGTCAAATGGTCTTACAATGTGCACAAACATATGCGCCCAAGATGGACATTTCCACAATGGACATCTTCGCAATTCTCTCTTGCCCATCATAAAACTGCCCTTTACAACCGACCATCAAAACCTGCACCGATTTCTTTACGCAGCCACGTAAATATTTCATTATGCATTAATTTCCGTCGAAACGGTAGTAAAGTCGCTCTAATTCCAACCTGTACAGCGCCATAAAAAAATCAATTATTCCGTTCATTCAGCATCGTCCTTTCAGTGCATGGAAGAAGCTCCCAACAGGATCGTAAAGTTTACCGCGTTTTTGTTGATTATTTCCCACAGTACGAGTATAACTTTCTAAGTACGCGAAACAGGAAGCCAATATTTCACCAATTATAATTATTTTGCCTTTTTTTGCATGAAGTTTTTCTGGTGTTGCCGGTTGATGATCAGATTAATTACACAACTGCGATTCTGGGACTAGAGGCATTAATGAAAAATTTTCAGAAGTATTTCAAATAATTCTCCTGCGTTTGCCCCAATTAACGTGAGCATCGAGTAGCGAAAAGTTAGCACTTAATTAATAGTTAATAATATAATATTAATATTGATAATTTTTTCGCGATTATGTTATATCCATAAAACACAGCAGCATCAAAGTTACAAACATGCCGAATTTGCCGATGACAATAAAACAGCGAGCTACGAAGTCAAGTGTTAAGTGGTGTGCAATACATAAATTGTAAAACTACGTGGCCGATGGTGTGTGTGGTTTTTTCTCACGGTCATGTCCTCATGTGCGTGCGCGGCACATCCAGCGCAGCTCGTCTAAAAGCAAGTGATTGAACCCATATTCTCCGGCATTTTACAATGCGGTCGAGTGTGGTTAACAACCCGGCATAGAAGACAGCGAGCGCACCGGGAAGAAGAAGTTGAGGAATTTAATTACAGCGGTGCATGTTGGGTGTTATTTGTTTTATTGGTCGTAAGCAGATTTCCGGGTGGCGGATCGGACGATAGAACGCTGTCCTTAGTCAGTCCGGTTATTATTCCGGACAGCGTCATTCCTCGGCCCAAATGATGGGTATGGGCGCATAATGCACAATATGGACAGTGGACAGTGAACGTATCTGTCCTTCCCGATATGCCAGCTCAATGCGCATTCATTGGGCATTGTCAGCGCGGACAAGAGGAAGAATAATGACGCCCATTATGCCGTCAGGCACTGGCACAATCCCCCGTGTAACTGCACGGCGATGGAGTGGCCGATTGTTCCCCCGGCAAATACCCCTAATTATCCAAACATTTTCCCCCATCGACAATAATTGCAATTCCAATCTCATCTCCACTTCACCTTTATCCAATTACAACCATCCTCCCCATCACATAAGTTACCACGTACAGCCAGCATATTCACTAACTTCCGCTTGTTCTTTACGCAAGCTTGTCCATAGCCATGTTCAGTCAACCAACACCTTTCAATGTAAGCGAAAAGCGCACCGAGCAACTCAGAAAATCACAAAAAATGCCAATTTTGTGTTGGATAATTAGCGAGGTTTATGGTTGCGAAATGGGTGGATGCTTAATATTTCGTGGCGAAATGGAATGAGTTGGGCTGTCATAGACGATTGTGTGCGCAGGACAATTGTCGCTCTCAAGACTGGTCATTAGGCCGTACAATCCACCTTGTCATATCCACGTTCACTCGCACAATAGATTCAGCCTCCGCCGCCCATTGTCTCCGGGAAGAGCGCCCATTGTCTCAACATAAATACCGTCTGCGCCATATTAGCTCACATCTAATCATCCTGCGACGCATCCTAACCACTCATCCAGCAATTCTGTCACCTTCCCATCAGATAGCATGGCAATACCATACAAACCATAAAACGTTATAATAAAAAGTATTACTGAATTCATTAATAATATCAACATAACAGTAACAGTGCCCGCAAAACGTATTGCGTGTATTTGCTTACATTTTCCAGAGTTTAACAAATTTGCATATTTGTACTGTTTTTTTTTATTACTTCATGTATTGAACTCTTTTCTTTATAAAGGAATGAGAAATCTTTGACCTTGTAGTGTAACTGAAGGTTTTGACGATGCTACTTTAAAGAGAATTCGATGGTTTACACGCAGTCAAATCGACTGGCCAGCGTAAATTATAGCGATGCAGTGTCCAGTGTGGGATCGCATTTCGCTGGGGTGATGAATGTGGGCCTGACGTGTCGCGGGCCGATTAATCGCATTACTCGGTGTAGTGCTGACAGT